GGACCACTCCAGAGCCACTCCAGAGCCACGAAGAGAGGAGCCTTGGGGTCGCACTATCTTTAGTGACCAATCAGACAGTGTCGCGGGACTCCGACATGATGAAATGCCGTACAGGGACAAAATTATGAATTTCATTTCCACTGGGATTGGTAGAGCTTGTGCCACAACCGTCAACATACCACCTTGCACCATGCATACTCGATGTGTCGGATTATGCGCCCTCTTCTCTCAAAGTTGAGATCAATCACAGCACAGTACAGACGATGTCATGGCCTTTGTCCCCGGATCTACAGGTCATCAAGTGAGACGAGTCGTGCCATCACATCACCATGCAATCGGAACACATCACTTCGCGACCATGGCTGACCATGGCCAATGATATATTGGTGAGACCAACTGCAAGCGTCTAAAATTGGGTCTGAACTGTCAGCCTGCTGGTGTGGTATTGGTAGGGTGTTATCATACGGTCGAAAGAGAGAGAGAGAGAGCATGTGTTCTACGCACTTCAAGACACACTGTACAGTATACTCCCCAATCATGCATCTTAGGGCATGCGGAACCAATCACCCGGAAACCTTCACGAAGCGCTTATTCGACACTCCAACGCAATTGAGTCTTTTTTTTCCCTTGTTACATCCAATAAGCGTTTTCAGTTGCCTATGTGGTTCTCGCGGCTGTGTCCCCCCGCAGCTGGTTCCTGCAGTAGGCCGCGCAATTGGACGAATATCGCCTTTGGGCGTGCATGCTGATGCTGTCTGTACTCACTGGATATTGAATTCTAATACCATTGACGTGTAGATTTTGTTCTGGACAGGTACTGTACAGTGTACATGAAAATGTACTGTACGTGTCTCTCCAGTAGGTGACTTTCTACATATAACCAGTGCGCGCACCCTTGCAGCGGTCGGAAAGAAACACACGCGATGGTGTCGGATCCATGTGGCAAACCGATGCAAATAGTGGTCTCAATTATTGTTCTCTTTCTCCAAGATGAAGCTAGAGCTGAAATGACTTGGAACTCCGTGTCTTCGGTGATCACCGCGCGGAAAGGTCAGGATTAGAGGCCATGGGGGAGTAAGCTTGGGCGAAAGTGTAGCCAATACTGTTTCACGATCCAGAGGTTGCACGGTGGTCGCCACCGTTGATAACGAGGCAAGTTCCTACGATTTGCGTGATGCACGGTGAGCTATGGCCTGTTCCCAAGAGGGTAAGTGATGGACTGATGGGCCAGGGAAAGTTTCCACTGGATGATCACTTGTGCCGTCTGAAATGACGAGAGACTGTCGATCTAGTAAAAGACGTGAAAGAGAGACGGCACACAGCGTGGGGCGTGTAATGTACTGAAATGGGCAAAATTACGTCCGACCTTTGATAAGAGAATTGTGTCACACTCTGGGGGGTTTTTTCAGTTATTTTTATTCCCCCTCCGAGAGACTGTGTGCAGGGAATCAGTTATCTAGTTGCCTTCTCTCAGTCACCAGTCAGATCTGTACTGCTCATTAACTGGCCATACTCATTTTGGGGCAGTGACCGAGTCAATGGTTTTAATTTTAATGTTTGCCCCACGACTCGTATGCGATTGGCCTCCGCCTCGGACTGGATAATTCTTTCTAGATTACCGCTTTGGTCCATATATATAAATATATATTGAAATAATAATAATTCGAATAAATAATACCGATAATGTCAATATTAAATTATATAAATAATATTTGAGACAAAGTACCCGGTTCCTGGCCCACACTAGTGACCCGGCAAGTACAGAAAAGCAGATCACTCATTTAATCCACCGCGACCTCTGCTATCTCTCATCGCTCTTTTTTTTTCTATTTCCCCGCCTATTTTTCGACTCTCTCTCTCTATCAAGTCCTCTTTTTTTTTTTTTTTAACTGTACTTTTTTGGGTTTGGGGTTCCTTTGTGGATTTATTTGGATCTCGACTCTTCCCTTCTTTTTAACTATTGTCTCCCGGTTCCCAGTAACCTGTCTTTCCTTCGACACACACTCATTCCTCTATAACCTAATAGCTTTGGTTTCATTCCTTCGACCAAGAACACTCATCACTATCATCACCATCATCACCATCATCACCATCATCACCACAATTCAAAATCACCCAACTTCTTCCGACTATAATCCCATATTAATTCGACCGTGAGCCTTTCGTTTGGTTACCACATTCCCACCAGGTATGTATAGATATCATCATCAGAGGGAGACGGGAGCATCAATTGACACCACCCCAACAGTACAATGGACTCAACATACAACATGGCACCTACTTCGGTGCAAGGACAGCCTTCGTTTGCATACTACCCCGACTCAACACAACAGAGACAGGGCCACTACCAGTCAGAGATGTACTATGGACAGATGCAGTATGGTCAGGAGCAACCACTTTACTCGCCCCAGCCCATGATGAACATGCACCAGATGGCAACCACGAATGCCTTCCGGGGAGCGAACATGAGCTTGACGCCTATTGCTTCGCCTCAACCATCTCAAATGAAGCCTTCAATCATGGTGCAGGGTTCTCCTGCCTTGATGCCCATCGACACTCGGTTCATTGGTCACGACCTGTACGCCTTCCCATCGACTCCTCCACTGTCGTCCTCGGGAAGCTCCATCAGTAGCCCACCTTCGGCCCATGGCACGCTACCAACGCCAATTCACGACACTTTCTTCACCTTTGACAAGGTGGAAGGTGTCAAGGAGGGCTGTGAGACCGATGTTCACCAGGAAATCCTGGCTAACCCTGACTGGGCCCGAACCGATTCCCCACCGATGACGCCTGGTGAGTTTTATAGATCACAGTCAATGATACCGCAGAATTGTGGATCGATCATGCAAGGGAGAAAGCTAATTGTGATGCAGTCTTCATTCACCCCCCCTCGATCACTCACACCTCGGACTTGTTGTCTGCCACTTCTTGCCCCTCGCTTTCCCCCTCCCCCTCTCCCGTCCCGAATGACCTGCTCGCTCCCCACGGTCTTCATGCTTCTTTCTGCGACCCCCGCCAGCTGACTGTTGAGCCCTCTGTCAATGTGCCTGCTCAGGACCTCCCTCCTCTTCCCACGCTGTCGTGCGAGGAGGAGGAGCCCCGAGCCGTTGTCGGCAGTGCGTCTGTGACGCTCCCTGTCAACGAGAACCCATCTCCCTCTTTCAGTGCTTCTACCCAAGACCCTCTGAGCTCGCTGCCTACCTTTGATAGCTTCTCAGACCTTGACTCGGACGACGAGCTGAACCGCCTCGTGGAGTTCCACCCGGCTGCCAACGCTGTCTACATCGGCGACAAGCGCCAGCGTACCGCCTACTCCGTCGAGGATGATGGATTCCTCAGCGAGCACAGCCTCGAGGACTCTGACGACTCCGAGACCTTTATGCCACACGGTATTCCCTCGTTCGAGTGGAACCACGCTGCTCAGCCCCAGGCTGAAAGCGAGGAGGACTTCGAAGAGCCCAAGACCAAGAAGCGCAGCGTTCGCAAGTCCCGCAAGGCTTCGCAGGACGAGGCTCAGGCCCGCAAGCTTTCCGAGAGCAGCCACTCTGACTGCTGCTCCGACGATGGCTCCGTCGACGCCGACTGCTCCGAGTCTGCCCCCGTCTCAGTCAACCGCCGCGGCCGCAAGCAGTCCCTGACCGATGACCCTTCCAAGACCTTCGTCTGCACTCTCTGCTCTCGTCGCTTCCGTCGCCAGGAGCACCTCAAGCGTCACTACCGCTCCCTGCATACCCAGGACAAGCCCTTTGAGTGCAACGAGTGTGGCAAGAAGTTCTCTCGCAGCGACAACCTCGCTCAGCACGCTCGTACCCACGGTGCTGGCTCTCTGGTCATGGGAGTCCTAGACACCAGCGACGCCAGCTCCATCTCATACGACGATCAGCACGATGCCGGGGCGCTAGGCGATGTCATGTACGACCAGGCCGCTGACGCCGGAGGTTCCTCTTCAGACCGCCGGGCGGCCAAGAAGCGCAAGCGCGATCTGGCCTAAGCCCTCCGTGTTTGATTTCCTTTGTTACGAGACCAGGAGCTTCCTACTGCATATAATTATACATTCTGTCGTCTTCTGGCTGGGAGCTCGACTTTGGTCTTGGGTTTGGCGTCTGGGCATCTACACCTGGTATTGGTGTACGGGACAAGGGGTTCCCATCTTTTCAGCGTTTGTCTTACACTACTTCTATGGGGGAAGATCATACAGGCTATGATTCTACCCTAAAACGGGTTTTGATTTTCTGGCGAGTTTACACATGGGCGCTGTGTTTGGTCCATGGAGAGAGCAATCAAAAAACAACAAAAAAAGGGAACACTGAATGTTGGCATCTGTCTCATCATATAGATGCTGGGGTGTTGAATATTTCCTTTGTCTTTGTTTTTCTCATTGTGTCTGTTTGTGCTTTTTTCCTATGTCTCTTCCTATATCTCTTCTGGACCACACTCGGCGTGAGCAATGTGCCTCACTTTGAATCTCTACCCGTCTTTTGGAATGTTCTCTTCGTGTACACCCTGTTGTCTCTTCTTGTGACTTTTCTTTCATCTTTTTTGCTCCCTTTTTTCGCTTCTTTTACCGTTTCGTTCATGTTTTTTTGCCCTATTTGATGTAATATTCTTGGTGCCTTTTTTGTTTATCTCCCCTTTTCTGCTTCATTGTGCTGGTCACATTCGTGTATAAGTTAATTTGACCATTCCCTCTTTTTTCATCATTGCTACATACCCCATTTGTGTTGGTACCAGTTCGCATCTCTAGATGTTGATTTACATGCATCAATTACAAACATAATCCTACAATCTTTTCCTGTGTAGCTGTAAACATTTTGAAACAGAAAAGTAAACCAAAGTAATTCAACTATCAAGTTCATGGAGACAATTTCCAGATTTATACTAAACAATAACCTCGAGTAGGCAAAATGGGACCAAAGTCCACTTATCATCTTATCGATAACAGACCCAGCAAAATTACCCCCCCATAAACTCTCAACTCCTACTCCAACACACAAATCACAATGACTCAACCAAACACAGGATTAAATGTGATCGCCCTGATATCAGGTGGAAAAGACTCTTTCTACTCAATCCTCCACTGCATTCGCAACGGCCACAAAGTAGTAGCCCTAGCAAACCTCTACCCAGAACCGTCCCCATCCACCAAAGCCAACAACGACAATGGCACCAAAGAGGACGAAGACGAGGACATCGACAGCTTCATGTACCAAACAATTGGCCACAGCATAATTCCACTGTACGAAGAAGCCCTCGGCATCCCGCTGTACAGACAAGTCATCAAAGGGAATGCAATTGATACATCCCGCATCTACAAAAATACCACTACAACCAACACCGCTCCCGCCCAAAGCGAAGAAACAGACATCGACGAGACAGAATCCCTCGTCCCCCTCCTGACAAGAATCAAACAAGCACACCCAGAAGCAAACGCCGTCTCAGCAGGCGCAATCTTATCAACATATCAACGAACCCGAATCGAGAATATAGCCGGCCGACTGGGCTTAACCCCCTTGGCTTGGTTATGGCAGTATCCAATTCTTCCAGCGCCGGATGCACGCAGAGTTGATCCGTTGGCTGTGGCGCAGGCTGGGTTGTTGGAGGATATGGCTGCTGTGGGATGTAATGCACGCATTATCAAGGTTGCTTCGGGGGGGTTGGATGAGGGGTTTCTCTGGGAGGATGTTTCGGGGGATGGAATTGAGGGGAGGAGAGTGAGGGGTCGCATTGGGAAGGCCATGGGGCGATTTGCGGGGGGTGAGGATGTTAGGGGTGCTGTTTTGGGTGAGGGGGGTGAGTATGAGACTCTTGCGCTTGATGGACCAGACTTTTTGTGGAGGCGGCGAATCGGGGTTGAGCGGGTTGAGGTGAAGACCGGGGAGGGTGGTGTTGCTTTTGTGAAGGTTGTTGGTGCTAGGTGTGAAGTCAAGGAGAGGGGTGACGGGGTTGTTCCTGGAGATGTTAGGAGGCCTGCGCTGTTGGACGATGCTTTTCGGAATGCTTTGGAGGGAGAGAGGAGGACTGAGGGTGGCTCGGTAGGGGATTCAGTAGTTGGGCCGAGTGTCTTTTCTCCGTCCCCTGAGTGGACTGCCCGTGAACCTGTGCATCGGCAGACTGGTTTGTCGTGGACTTTCTCCAATATTATTGCCCCCGAGGCTGGTCCTGGGGCAGAAGAGCAGATGAAGGGCATTGCGGTCAAGGTTGAGCAAGCGCTGAAGGATTTCTCTCACGCTGAGTCTGGACCACGATCAACAGATGACATTGCTTTTGCTACGGTACTGCTCAACTCAATGGCCGACTTTGGTTCAATGAATAATGTTTATGTGTCGTTATTCAACAAGCCCAATCCTCCGGCGCGAGTCACAGTTGCCTGCGGAGATCGCCTGCCATCCAATGTCAAGGTGATGGTCTCCTTTGTGGTTGATCTAGGTGCGAGAGATATGCGTCAGGGTCTGCACGTTCAATCACGATCATACTGGGCTCCGGCAAACATCGGACCTTATTCACAAGCCATGTCCGTTCCACTGCAGAACAACAACAGATTGGTACACATCGCTGGCCAGATTCCTCTGGACCCTGCTTCCATGGATCTGGCACAACAAGAAAATACCCCATTTGAAGACTACCGTCTACGAGCCGTGCTAGCTCTCCAGCATCTTTGGAGAATTGGCGAAGCCACACAGGTTGACTGGTGGCTTGGTGTCGTGGCCTTTTTGGCGCGAGGAGAACAGGCCGATGCCCAGGCCCGAGTTGCATGGCGCCTCTGGGAAAAGATGCATGCTTTACCCAGCAACGAAGACGAGGATGACGATGAGGGCCCTCAGCTGGATGCATGGGATCTCAAATATGGACGTCGCACGGAAGAAGTGATTCCTAATGCTACCACACTCTCTATACCCAAGTTCACTGCCCTCAATTCCGAGTCTGCTACATCTATTCCACCATTTCTGGCTGTTCAGGTCGATGAACTCCCACGAGGAAGTGATATTGAATGGCAAGGACTGGGTGGTCGATGCGAACAGGTTAAGCTTGGCACCGCCCGAGGCCCAGCTTATACCACCACCATGGACGGCGAATTTACCTACACTAGTATTGAAGTTGAGGCTGGATTGTCTGACGATGCATGGGACGACCGCTTGGATTCGGTCATAAAGACCCACTGTCAGAATCCTAGCCTGTCTCAGGCCGTGCTGTACACCACCTATTCGTTGCCCGAAGCTTGGCCAGGACAGGTTGTCCCATGCCGATCGGTTTGGGGGTGTGGTGGACGAAAATTGGGTGCAGGCGTGGTCTTGCAACAATTACAGTAGAAAAAAACAGCAACAGAGCAACTGTTTGAGACTATCTAGCGAGCAGAATACCCTCAAGTCAACAAAAAACGATGTCATTCGACGCACAGTCCGCTTTCATGTGATAGGCAAAATCCTCTCCGCGTTCAGAGATAACAACAGCCTGCCACGTTCCCAACTTTTACGATTTCCCCCCCATTGGATCCAGGTAGATTCTTTCTCCTCCCTCGTACTCTCGCACGCGACATGACACATCCATCAACATAAGAATGGCGCCATGAGTTCGCTCTACGAAGAAAAAGCGACACCTCGCAGCAGTACACCCCTCAGCCCCGAAGCGGCCGAGGACCTGCGCCAATTCAATCGTTCACCCCATCCCTACCACAGAAGCCAACGCATCGGCTCGCGCACCCCTTCCGAATACGGGGACCTTCTCCATCCGCTCTCTTTCTCAAGGTCCTCGCGCACGCCCAGCGACAGCGGCACAGAGGCAGATGATGAAAGCACCGGGATACTTAGGGGCCTACCCGCCCCACCATTGCGCCCACATAAGGGCCTGAGATATGGGGAGGGAGATTCTTGGCTGCCAAGCTTGCGGCCATGGCCCTCTTTCGCGCGACCCGTTTTCCGCTCTTCACGGCGGAGCTCCGATGAGGAGATGGAGGAAGAGGCATTCGAGGCTAGGATGAAGTTTAGACAGACAAGACGGGTTGAAGTGCTGCGTCGGTTACTGGAGGCGGCACTCCTGATGTCTGTTGGCGTTGCCGTGCTATACCAGGACGGGGCGCGGTCCTTAGCGTGGGCCTGGAAGAAAGGTATGTGGAAATGTTACGAAGATATTGAGCGAGAGAGAGATGCTAATTGATATACAGAGATTGCTACCCACGGTCTTGTGGTGATGGGTCTCTACGCCGTATATCCACTTCTTGTTCGTGCATCCCAAGGCCGGAGCTGGCGCTTCTGGCGCTTCCTATCTACGAAACGCTCTTTTTTTCCCTCCCCTCGAGCTTCGACCCAGCTCCCCTCCTCTATCCGACCCTGGTACCGATCTTTGTTTCACTATCCCTGTCCAACCAGGCCCCGCCGCTTATTATGCCTAATATCATCCTCAGCCTCTCCTCTCTTCCCGCGCCGGTTATCCCGCTTCAACACTGGACGCATGGACTCAGCATCTCGCATTGGATGGTGACATTGATCCCAATTGTCGTCTCCGAAACTTTCTCTTTGGACTCTACGATCCCCACACCACTGTCGCTTCGCGGGTTCGATGCGGAGTTCCTAATTCTTCTTTTCCCTTTGCATCAAGCGTTGATACCCACTTTAGACTTTTTGTTGACGACCAGCGTTCTTCCGGCAGAGCTGCAACTTTTAACGACTGCTTTGATCAATCTATTTCTGTTCGCAGAGTCTCCCCAAGCGGAGATCCTAAAAGCCTTGTTATGGCTTGGTGGCATGTGTTTGTTCGCTTCATGTCGACATATTTTGCGTTGGGAGGTTGCTCTGGCTCGAATTCCCAGTTGGAAGTTCCGCCGCCCTCCAAATAGCTCGCGCTCTGCGCGCAAGTTCTTGAACATGCTCGACCATCGACTTTGTGAGCGATTGAGTCGAACCGGCGCCTCGGACGACGCTTCATCGGATAGCGATGCTCCGAATGGACACACGTATGCGAGACCGCGAAAGACGAGGACTATGCAGACTACTCATCAACGTGGTCATTTGGCAGAACCTGCATCTGCCGTTGACAAGACCCCTACCGAGGAGATGTTTGAGCAATATTCTCGCAAGATGCAACGCCGACGTCATACCATATCTACGTTCGATGAGGCTGTTCGAGAGGAGCGCGTTCGAACTACTGCTGGTGGCCGACGCAAGAAGCAGATGGCTCCTGGTCTTACTGCATTCCTCTCGCTCACTCATGCTCAAGCACAGGTCCGCAAATGGCTGTACGCGTTCTTCGTTTACATTGCATCCCTGCTGATCGTCATCGGACCCATTCGGAAATATGTCGCCGAGCGTGCTCTTCAAGGCCAGGATCCTTTTGGTTGGGCTGTAGGCTATCTTTTCGGGAATTTCTCCAACGTTCGCTTCTGGGTTCTCATGCTCAATCTTGAATATTGGATTGAGCTGCCCCCTCGGCTCGACGGAGATGATCTCGGTGCATCTTGCATCTTCGGATCGATTGAGCATATCCGCCAGGCTACATTTGGTGCGGCTAGCACACGTCTCCTACTCAGTGGCTACTGTGTGGTCGTGCTGCTGACAGGCTTGCTTGTAGTCGCTCAGCTCAGTTCTGTCGCTGAAGTTGACACACGTCGCAAGATTTTCCACGGCATGATGGTCCTCATGTTCTTGCCTACTATTTTTGTCGACCCCGCATTCTGCGCCCTGGCCCTGGCCCTGGTTCTCTCCATCTTCCTTCTATTGGATCTATTCCGCGCCTCCCAGCTACCTCCAATTTCCAGGCCACTCACCAATTTCCTAGCGCCGTACGTCGACGGCCGAGATCACCGTGGCCCGGTTATCATCTCCCACATCTTCCTCCTGATCGGCTGTTCTATCCCGCTCTGGCTCTCCATCTCCGACCTCCCACGGACCGGTCTGGGACCCTGGGCTGGCTGGGAAATTCCATCACGAGACGTCAGCATGGCAAGCGGAGTAATCTGTGTAGGAATGGGCGATGCAGCGGCATCCCTCATCGGCCGACGATACGGTCGACTGAAATGGTTCTGGGGTGGAGGGAAGTCTCTAGAAGGCAGTCTTGCTTTTGTGGCAGCGGTAACCTTCGGGCTGATCATAGTTCGTGCCTGGCTGGTCATTGGAGGATGGCCCGTGTCTGGGGTCGAAGGCGTCGAAGCACGGGGGTCTGCCTTCCCCCTTGAATTCTGGCTCTGGACTTTGTGCAAGGCAGTGTTGGCAGCAGCTGGGACTAGCGCCACCGAGGCGATCCTCACTGGTTGTAATGATAACGTCGTGGTGCCCGTGGTGTTGTGGCTGTTAGTGCGGGGGCTGGGCGTTTGATACGCCACGTTGATGTGTATAGATGCGATTTGTTTGCTTTTTTGTGCTCGGAGGTTTTCTTTCTGCATCTGTTCTGTGTGTGTGTGCATGTGTATATTATCAAAGAGGACAGAGCGTGTACATATGAGTCAAAGGATTGGGTGCCTAGCCTGGCGTATCTGCCTTCAAGGCGCCAGGGCCTGGTATAGGCTGCAGATAAGCTTCACCGTCCTCCAGCGTCGAGTAATCTGTTGATAGGTCAATTTCAGCCCAAGGCTGCCTCGGGAATCCGGGGAAGAGACTTGACGAAAAGGGCCCGGAGGAAACTTCATACTACTTTTCATTATGCTCTATGATGTGTTCCTCTACTGTATCTTATGCTGTAGATCGCCCCTGATCTATGCCGATCTCGGCCTTATCTAATCGATAAGCACATGACCAGTGCATGATCTCAACTCCTTTCCTTTTGACGGGCACCTTGGGGGATAATTCATTTCTTGTCCTGATAATCTTTCTCTTCCTTGACTTCTCCTCTATTCCCTCCATATCTTCATTATCACATAACACGCCTTGCATCTGTTGTGGTCCCGAATCAGTCCACTCCGCCCTCCTGACCGCCTTAGATCATCACCGCCTGTCACTCGTTATCGTTGGGTCACACCCCCCCAATCGTGGAGATCCTTGGGTCCAGCTCTCCCCCCATCACATCATCTCGCCCTTTCATTAGACCAGTTTCTTTTTGCCTCCCTTATACTTCAAATCCTCCTCCTATACATATCCTCTCTTGGTTTCCATCTAGCTCTGTTTGCTAGTAGTACATACTTTCACATTATATCCCGAGCTCGCCGTTCCAGTTCCACGGCACTACATCTAGTGCCTACCCATATTCGCTGTCCCGGTGGTTCCTTATCCTTCCTGGCTTCCCGGGCAACTGGCATCGTCATCATCCAAGCCTGATGGGCTTCCGTTGCTGCACATCTTCATTGCTGCTGCGGTAGTTGTGGTTGCTGGGGTGTGTTTCACACTTGATTGTCCCCAGCGAGAATCTCTACAGCCCTAAGAAGTTGCGGCGCGTCCCGCAATCATGGCGTCTCAGAATTCGAGGCGCTCACGCGACCCCTCACGTCCAGAAATGTCCATCGGTCGCTATACGCGGCTGGACGAAATCGGCAGAGGAAGCTTCGCGACAGTCTACCAGGGCGTGCATACGGTGAATCTTGATCTCTTATCACAATTATCATCGGCAGATGCTAATGAATTCTTATCTACTAGAAAACTCGAACCTACGTAGCCATCAAGTCTGTGAACCTTTCGAAGCTGAACAAGAAGCTCAAGGACAACCTTTCATCCGAGATCGATATCCTCAAAGGCCTTCATCATCCTCATATCGTGGCTCTTATCGACTGCCATGAATCGACGTCTCATATTCACCTCGTCATGGAATACTGCGCACTGGGGGACTTGTCGTTATTCATTAAGCGCCGGGATACCCTTGCCACACATCGATATACACGAGACATGATTGCCAAATATCCAAATCCGCCCGGCGGCTCTCTTAATGAGGTGGTGACACGGCATTTCCTCAAGCAGCTTTCAAGTGCGCTTAAATTCCTTCGAGACCGAAACCTTATCCATCGAGATATCAAACCTCAAAACCTCCTCCTCTGCCCCTCTCCATCATCTTATCGGAGTGGAGCTGCCCAAGTGATTCCTTACAAAGGCAGTGATGACTCCTATGAGCCCACTACCGGAATTGAGTCCCTTCCAATGCTTAAGATTGCAGATTTTGGCTTCGCTCGATCGCTACCAGCTACCTCACTGGCTGAAACCCTTTGTGGTTCCCCGCTGTACATGGCACCTGAAATCCTTCGGTATGAGAAATATGATGCCAAGGCCGATTTGTGGTCTGTAGGCACCGTGCTCTACGAGATGGTGGTTGGCCGACCCCCGTTCCGGGCAACTAACCATGTAGAACTACTACGGAAGATTGAAAAGGGCGAGGACCGTATTCGTTTCCCCGAAGAGAATCCAGCGTCGGACGACATTAAGAAGCTAATTCGAGGTCTTCTGAAGCGGAATCCGGTGGAGCGGTTGAACTTCCCTGATTTCTTCGCTAGCAATGTGATTAACGATCCCATTCCCGGATTAGTGTCTGATGATGTTCCTGGAGCTCGGCGATCTTCCCTTGATCCTTCTGGGCCATCTCAATCACCACGGCCGACTCAGCTTGAAACCAAGGCCGAGGAATCTCCATATGACACAGCGGATGAAAAGGTCACATATCCCATGGGTCATCGAGCTTCTTTTGGCCAACAGAAATCAGGGACTCCGCCCACTGCTACGCCGATGCACCGTATGGGAAGCGTGGATCGGCCTTCGTCAGGTATAACGAAAGAGCAGCAACGAGGAAGCACACCACCTCAACGGCCTGGTCCTGTTAGCCTTGCCACTGCCCCGGGACGCCAGGAGTTGACTGATCGCAATGCAACAACTTCGGCCATGGAAAGGCAAAGGCACCGGAACACATACACCGGTTCGCCCAAGGCGAGTGAATCGGCAGTTCGTACCCAGGAGGAGCGGGATCGGGCTGCGCAGGAGGTGGCATTTGAAAGAGATTATGTGGTCGTTGAAAAACGCGCAGTCGAAGTGAATGCCTTTGCAGATGAACTGGCTCACAGCCCACGTCTCCAGGGTGGTTTCGCTCGTCCGGGACAGACTGGATCCCGTCGCGCTACAACACAGGGTCTTCCTACAGTATCATCGTCTCCACATGCCAACGCAGCCAAAGCGATGCAGGTCGTTACAAACCGTGCTCGTGCGGATTCAACGCACCAGCGTCAACATTCTTACGAGCGACGATACGGACAAAGCCCTACTTCGGCGACTTCGGCAATCTCGAAAGCCCTCAACATGGCCAGCGGCCGTCTGTTTGGTATGGGGTTCTCACCCCCGCTTGCCATCACAAAAGGCGGTCGATCTCCCCCTCTAGCGTATAACCCATTCCCTGCATATCCTGCGACGCAGGCAAGTCTCATGATTATGGGAGAAGGTGGCAAGACGAATATCACATCCGACGAGGATTACAAGACTGTCCAAGCTATCGAGGAATGTGCCACGAGAAGTGATGTGGTATTTGGATTCGCTGAAGTCAAATACAAGCAGCTCGTTCCGCTAGCACCATCTGCACCAACTGACCCGTCCGCAAGACCCATGAATAACGATGTTGATTCCGCTGAGTCCGACGATGGACTGACAGTCGACGCTATCGTCACGCTATCCGAAGAGGCATTGGTGCTATATGTCAAGGCTTTGGCGTTACTCGCCAAGTCCATGGACATTGCCGGAGCTTGGTGGTCACGCAAAAACCGCGAAGAAGCCTATGGCGAGTCACCGTCAAGCAAGGAGAACATGAGTGCGGTCGCCGGTACCCGGATTAATTATGTCGTCCAATGGGTACGCAGTCGTTTTAACGAAGTGATTGAGAAGGCGGAATTTGTGCGCATGAAACTCATTGAGGGCCAACGACGCTTGCCTTCAGACCACCCCAACCACCCGAACAACCACTCCATTAGTTTTACCGCCGGCTCAGGGTCATCAGCAGACGTCGTAGTGAGTGCCGGGGTCACAGCCGAGAGACTCATGTACGACCGTGCACTCGAGATGAGTCGGGCTGCAGCCATCAACGAACTGACCGGCGAGGATCTTGCCAACTGCGAGATCACATATGTCACCGCGATCCGCATGCTCGAAGCTGTGCTCGAAGACGACGGAACGCGATCTGGGTCCGGCAGCGCGAGTGACCGTCAGAGCCGTTCCCAACCGAGTGATAAGGTTGTACTGGATGATCTTCTGGTGGAGGATCGGCAAGTCGTCGTCAAACGTAAGTAGTCTCTATATACCGCACCGCTATGTTCTAAACTAACTCACATACACAGTTGTCTCCAGTATGCGTGGCCGCCTCGCATCTGTGCGGAAGAAGCTTGCTGCCTTGTCAAAGCGTTCATCAGCCTCGACACCTGTAGGTAGTGCGGGAAAGATGCCTCCATCTAATATCGTACCTGTGGCGCCTACAACAGGTGTAACACCGCCTAGGTGAACCTCTGTCAGTGATCTTGAAATCTATGGAGTGTTTTTGACCCCTTGACGAACCTCCCGCGTGGGGTTCCATTCCTGGCCCTTTAGCCTAGACGATTATGACCCACGCGTCCACGGTTGTCCCTTTCGGCGAACGACGTTTCCTCGCCTTTCTTTGACTGCTTATATATCCACTAGCCTGAGGCTAGCTTCACCCCTCCCACCATTTATGATGCTACTTATATCTCTACGGAGATCCTAATTTCTTGGTTCATATTATTTGGAATTCCGAATTTTGTTCTTCATCTATCACGTTTTACGTTGATATTTTGCCATATATCCCACAGCACGACAGTACGAGGCCCGGGAGTTCCGTTTTTCTATCTTTTTTTTTTCATGTTTTTCATTTCATTTCTTTTCTCTTCTGTTCATGTCACGGATTGGCGTTTGACCTGGGCACGGTATACAACAGATTGGCACTGGGAAATTGGAGGTCAGGGCGTTTTTGGAGATTCGCAAATACTGATGTATTGTACATAGAGAAATCGAGGCAACTCACTATATCTGTCTACAATTAAGTTAAGTTCTCAAGTCCCCAAGCGGAAGGTGACAGTGCTTGGCACCTCAAAGCCTGAATATGGCGTGATTGGCCATTTTCTTGTGCTTTGGACCACCTCACTGGACCACCTGGATTTCACCTTATAACCGCGCCGTACGATCATCTGATGCACGATTTCATGTGGACTCTTTAGGCCTCAATCGCCTGGCCCTGTTGACCGCGGACATGGGAGAATGTGAGGCGTCGGCCTTGGATATGCTCGGCCCTGCATGCGGCACCTTCAAGCCGCAATTTTCTTTTCTTCTTGCGCCATGCGAGCTGAAGTCTTAGAAGCTGAACTAGCCACACGCCTAGTCTCGATACCAACGGACTTCCGAAAACATGTAACCCTATAAACCCCATTCGGCCCGTCCAGACGATGAGGTGCCCAACCTAATATCAAAGACCATGGCTTCTCGAATCCTTCCAAGAAGAGCTAAAACCAAAACCAGGAATGCGCAAAAGCCACAAACTCTCGCCTGATCCACCGATCCACACTGTAGGGGTGCTATAACCAGCTCATACCGTACACAATTTCCAGGGTCACATCCAAGACTCTGCCCAGCCGCACGAGGACTATGGCATCAGATTTAGTGCCAGCACCTCATCGTCCGCTGGTAGCCGTTTGGTGGTCGTACAATATTCAATATATACATCATCAGTTTGACTCGGGTTATACATAAGGCCTTGGAGAAGTCTGTCACGTAAATTGGTGTTGTTTTTTTTTCAAGAGATTTTCATCTGCTGATTTGGCACTCGCTGTATCACCCATCAGCCTTCAGCATTTATTCAAAGCACGCTGCGATGGCTGGGTCTAGTGATGCCATCATTGTTGAGGCCGGCTCACATAAATCGCCTGTGACTGATACCAAGTTCACTGGGGATGATGTGCCTAGGCGTGCTGATGGAGTGACGGGGTTATGTATGTTGTCTAGTTCCCGATGCATCTATTCTCGAAAGATGTGGTCTGATCGAATTGGAACATATAGATGAAGGAAATGTCTTCGAAGCATCACCCGAGAACCGTCGCCAACTCGGTGTTTTTAGTGCATCCCTTCTGATTTTCAATCGAGTGATTGGAACAGGTATCTTCGCTACACCGGGTACGATCCTGGCCTTGTCTGGCAGTGTTGGCCTGTCGCTATTCATGTGGGTTTTCGGAACTGCGATTGCCATGGCTGGCACAGCGGTGTATCTGGAATGGGGAACTGCGATTCCAAAGTATGTTTGACGTCCAAGTCCCTGCATGATATGATGCACAGTCATGGTACTGACCTGATATGCACTTGCGACAGAAATGGCGGCGAAAAAAACTACCTCGAATACGTGTATACCAAGCCCAAATTCCTCGCAACGGCCATGTTCGCCGCCTATGCTGTCCTACTTGGCTGGGCAGCTAGTAACAGCGTCGTCTTCGGTGAATATATCCTCCACGCAGCAGATATCGAGGTGGGCAGATGGAACCAGCGTGGAGTTGGAATGGCGTGTCTTTCGGCGGCTTTCCTTATCCATGCCGTTGCTCTGAAATGGGGTATTCGTCTTCAGAACTTGCTTGGTGTTGTCAAGTTGATTATTATTCTCTTTATTATTGTTTCTGGGTGGGTTGCGTTGGCTGGTCACACCAAGGCTCCGACACCGCATAACTTCTCGGATGCTTTTGCTGGAACAAAAGGGAGTGGGTATAGCATTGTCATGGCGCTTTATAACGTGATCTGGTCGTTCATTGGGTATTCGAATGCTAATTATGTGAGTATATATGGTTGACCTGGGTGACGGGAGGGATACTGACTTGTTACATAGGCCTTGAGTGAGACGAAGAATCCGGTTCGCACGTTGAAGATTGCGGCGCCTTTTGCTATTGGCTCTGTGGGCATTCTATACATGCTTGTGAACATCGCCTATTTCGCTGCTGTCTCCAAAGAGGAAATGCTCAGCTCGGGCAGTGTTGTCGCGGCCGTGTTCTTCGGAAACATGTTTGGCAAGCAGGCCGAGAAGGTCATGTCGGTCTTTGTGGCGCTTTCTGCGTTTGGAAATGTGTTGTCCGTGATATTCTCCCAGGGTCGAAGTATGTATTTCTGCTGTCTGAAGAGTCTATCATACTGACAAGGCCTCACTATAGTTGTCCAGGAGCTTGGCCGTGAAGGCATCTTGCCCTTCTCGAAGATCTGGGCTAGCAATTGGCCCTTCCACTCTCCGGCAGCAGGCCTGCTTGAGCATTACATTGTTTCTGTCATCATCATGCTTGCTCCTCCTCCAGGTGACGCATACAACTTTTTAGTCAAGTAAGCACTCACTCTTCCTTGCCAGCGACTCACTCCTAACCGACTCAACAGTCTGATCTCATACCCCCTCTCTATTGTCAACTTCTTTGTCTCCGCTGGTCTTGTTTACATCTACATCACCAAAGAGAAGAAGTTCCCCAACTGGGCCCCGGGCATCCGTGCCACACTCCCCGTCACCATCTTCTTCATGCTGTCGAATCTGTATCTTGCAATTGCACCATATGTACCCCCAAGCGAAGGCCAAAATGTGTACGAGGAGCTACCGTACTATCTGCATTGTGTGGTGGCCCTCGGTCTGTTTGCTGCGGGTGCAATCTACTACCTTGTCTGGGCTGTGTTGTTGCCATGGTATGGGGGATATGTGCTCATTAAGGAATCTGTGGTCGATGCGGATGGATGGTCTCGAAGTGTTTTTACGCGACTACCAGTGGCTGCAGCAGAGAGTTCTTAGACAGAGATTTACATGTATTCCAAAATGCTAATTGTGACCATATAAACGGTCATAGAGTGACCTCCAAACATACATGTATGAACCGTGGTCAATGATGTCCCAGACTTCTATGGTAGCCCACCCAAGAGCGCAGAACGCCGTCATGAGCCCCTCAAACTTGCTGGTATACAGTCTTGCAATGATAACAGCATCGATGCTGTTCCAGGTTGTGTGCCATAGTAAGTTGTGACATACACCAGGGCGAAGTTGCGTAGTTGAAGAAGAAAGAAAAGAAAGCGGGAAAAAGTGAACAAAAGATGCAAAATCCCCAAAGTCCTCACCGCCCCGGTAACTGCCGTGATCTCATGTTTTTCCTCTCCCATTGTCCTCAAGTCCGTGGTTCAATTGTTCTCATATTGCTTATTGCGTGTTGTACTATATTTTAATCTTTTTTTAATACTCTCTCTTTCTTTGTTTCTCCCGGTTCCGGGTTCGTTGCCGATGCGCCGTTTCTCCTCGCGTGCATTGCTGCGAGCAAAGCCACCGCTTCTCTCTGCCAGATCTCCCCTCCCGCTCTTTCTCTCCACTCGATCTACCCCTCAAGCTTCAGTTGCTCGATCGATCCCTCGTCGCGCTCCCACTCCTCTCTCACAAACCTCCAAACGATACTGCTCCTACCGCAGAATGTGTCACTCACGCCGCGGCGAGGCCTCCGGGTCTACCAACGTCCAGGGCCGTGAGGTCCTGCCTACCAATGTGAAGCCAGTGCACTATGATCTGACACTTGAGCCCAACTTTGAGAAGTTCACATACGAGGGAACGGTTTCTATTGAGTAGGTGACCTGGTCCGCAGCTATATAACTAGCTACTAACCCACGAACTATAGCCTGGACGTCGCCGAAGATACCGATTTCGTCTCCCTCAACACCAACGAGATTGACATTCACAGCGCAGTGGTCTCAGCCAAGGGGTCGGTGGTAGACTCCAAGCCTGAGATCTCCTATAACAAGGACCAACAGGTTGCAACTATTAAGTTCGGCCAGGCCATCGCTGCGGGGTCCGATGCTCAGATCAAGCTTACCTTCACTGGTATCTTGAACGATAACATGGCTGGTTTCTACCGGTCATCTTACAAGGACAAGAATGGAAAGACCCAGTACATTGCGTCGACACAGATGGAGCCCACGGACGCCCGCCGGGCCTTCCCTTGTTTCGACGAGCCCGCTCTCAAGGCCAAGTTCACCGTGACTCTGATTGCGGATAAGAGCATGACCTGCTTGAGCAACATGGACGTCGAGTCTGAGACCGATATCCAGGGTGGTGCGAAGAAGGCTGTGAAATTCACCACTTCGCCCCTCATGTCGACTTACCTCGTTGCTTTCATTGTCGGCCACCTTAATTACATTGAGACCAAGAACTTCCGCGTCCCCATCCGTGTGTATGCCACTCCTGATCAGGATATCGAGCACGGTCGATTCTCCTTGGAGCTTGCTGCCAAGACTCTGGCTTTCTACGAGAAGGCTTTTGATAGCGACTTCCCTCTGCCCAAGATGGACATGGTTGCCGTACCCGATTTCAGCGCCGGCGCCATGGAGAACTGGGGTCTGATTACCTACCGTATTGTTGATGTGTTGCTTGATGAGAAGGCTAGCGGCGCATCCCGAAAGGAGCGCATTGCTGAGACCGTTCAGCACGAATTGGCTCACCAGTGGTTCGGTAACCTGGTCACCATGGACTTCTGGGATGGTCTCTGGCTCAACGAGGGTTTCGCTACCTGGATGTCGTGGTACTCTTGCAACGTCTTCTACCCCGAGTGGAAGGTCTGGCAAACCTACGTCATCGACAACCTGCAGGGCGCTCTGTCTCTTGACTCGCTCCGCAGCAGTCACCCTATTGAGGTGCCTGTTAAGCGCGCTGACGAGATCAACCAAATCTTTGACGCTATCTCTTACTCCAAGGGATCTTCCGTCCTTCGCATGATTTCCAAGTACCTTGGCGAAGATGTGTTCCTCCAGGGTGTGCGCAACTACATCAGGAAGCACGCCTATGGTAACACCGAAACCGGTGATCTCTGGGCTGCTTTGGGTGATGCCAGTGGCAAGCCAGTGAAGTCTGTTATGGACATCTGGACCAAGAATGTCGGTTTCCCCGTTATCAGCGTTAGTGAAAACAAGGAGAAGTCTTCGATCTCTCTCAAGCAGAACCGTTTCCTCCGTACTGGTGACGTTCGTCCCGAGGAGGACCAGACTCTCTTCCCTGTTATGCTTGGTTTGCGCACTGAGAAGGGCACTGATGAGGACACTATGCTCACTGGACGCGAGGGTGAATTCCCCGTTCCTGACCTTGACTTCTTCAAGCTCAACGCCGATCACTCTGGTATCTTCCGTACATCTTACTCTCCCGAGCGCCTCAAGAAGCTTGGTGAGGCCGCTCGTGATGGCCGTCTAACCGTCGAGGACCGTGCCGGTATGATTGCCGACTCCGGTGCTCTGGCCGCCTCTGGATACCAGCGTACCTCTGGTCTCCTTTCCCTGCTCCAGGGTCTCGATACCGAGTCCGAGTTTGTCGTCTGGAACGAGATCTTGACTCGTATCGGCACCCTGCGCGCTGCATGGCTCTTCGAGGACAGCCAGACCAAGGACGCTCTCAAGGCTTTCCAACGGTCTCTGGTTGCCCCCAAGGCCCACGAGCTCGGCTGGGAGTTCTCTGAGAACGATGATCACATCCTGCAGCAGTTCAAGGCTCTCATGTTCGGCTCCGCCGGTATGGCCGAGGACCCCGTCGTCGTCAAGGCTGCCCAGGACATGTTCGCCCGCTTCTCCGCCGGCGATGCCTCTGCCATCCACCCCAACATCCGTGGCAGCGTCTTCACCATTGTCCTCAAGCACGGTGGTGTTAAGGAGTACGAGGTTGTCCTCGACCGCTTCCGCCACGCCCCCACTTCCGACGAGAAGACCACTGCTCTGCGCTGTCTCGGCGCCGCCGAGGACCCCGAGCTCATCCAGCGCACTCTCGGTCTCGCCATCAACGACGAAGTCAAGAACCAGGATATCTACATGCCCCTCGGCGGTCTGCGCAGCCACACTACTGGTATCGAGAGCCGCTGGACCTGGCTCAAGGCCAACTGGGACGACATCTACAAGCGTCTCCCTCCCGGCCTTGGTATGCTCGGCACTGTCGTTCAGCTCACTACTGCTAGCTTCTGTACCGAGGCTCAACTGAAGGATGTCCAGTCCTTCTTTGAGTCTAAGGATACTAAGGGTTACGACCGTGCTGTCGAGCAGAGTCTTGATTCCATCCGCGCCAAGGTCAACTGGCTCCAGCGTGACCGTGATGATGTTAAGCAGTGGCTGAGCAGCAACCAGAGCAAGCTGTAAATATGATAAACAGCAACGTCTATTTAAAGTTATCTTGATGTATGAGATACTGATCTTTCGGGCTGTTCAAATATAGCATACAGGATATGCTTAAGAGAAAAATTAACTCTACTTACTCACTTTTCCATCATTTCAACTAGTTCAGTAGCCGTCAACTGCTGACTTTATACTTACCTTGATGAATGTCTCAGAAACATAGAAAGCCTTGTATATTATGGATATCGCCAGTAGCCACGCAGTATCCGAAACAGAAAGCAGGAACTGCAGAAAGGAAAAGAAAAAAAAGTTGGTAGAGATTGCAGGTAATACACAAGTACAAGTCATAACGGGGACATCTAGGCCCATCCTCCCTTCCCTCCAAACCCAGAACTGTCCTCAATCTTCTTGCCACTAATCCCCTTATTAGGTTTCGACTGCGAAGCTTCATGTTTCCGCAGATCCTCAGGAACTCGCGAGAGAGGCGACTTCATAAGCATCTGCCGAAGATCATACATCAGGTCCGTATCCTCATTACCAAGGAAAGTGATAGCAACACCACTCTTTCCAGCACGACCAGTACGACCGATACGATGAGTATAAGACTCGATCGAACCAGCCATGTTAAAGTTAACGACAAGCGAAACATCAGGCACATCAATACCACGACCCGCCAGATCCGTCGCAACCATAACATCCGTCTGGCCATTCCGAACAGAGTTAAGCGCTGCTTCACGCTGTTCTTGAGACTTTCCACCGTGCAACGTGACAGTCGAGAAGCCCATATTCTTGATATCGCGCCCGATGGCATCGCAGTTTCGTTTGATGTTGACGAAGACGATGATTGGCGCGCGGAACTCGCCCGAGGAGAGGATATCGTTGAGACGCTTCTTGCGCTTGTCTTCTCCGGGGATCATTTCCACGCGCTGTTCAACTGTGTCGACGGCTTCGCCGACACTGCCGATTGTGATGATTGCTGGGCGGCGGAGGTACTTGCGTGCTATGCGCTCGACTGCTGGAGGCATGGTGGCTGTGTACATCATTGTCTGGCGATAGCGTTGTTGGCTCATGGCGCGCGAGTCTTCAGCTTCTTCCGAGTCGGGCTTTTCGTTGGTTACTGGGAGAGCGTCTAGGATTTTGTTGACGGGTTCTTCGAATCCGAGATCGATCATTCGATCTGCTTCGTCCATGATCACGTAGCAACATTGGCTGAGGACTAGCATGCGACGCTCGATGAAGTCCACCAGACGACCTGGCGTGGCGATGATGATTTCGGCTCCGTCGCGGAGACTGTAGGCTTGCTCTTCGATTGAGTGACCACCGACGATACTGACGACGTTGAATCCGAGCGGCTGGGTGAATTTCTTGGCTTCGATTTCGATTTGCTGCGCCAATTCACGAGTAGGTGCCAGTACAATGGCATATGGTCCATCGTTCTTGCGCCATTCGTTCTCGTCGAGTCGAGGGAGCTCTGAAATGTAAACCAGAAGCGGGAGTAGGAAGGCTGCTGTTTTACCGGAACCTGTGACGGCGACACCAATAAGATCACGCGACTGCATGGCGATTGGGATGGCTGCACGCTGAATAGCTGATGGTTCTTTGTATCCAACACGATCAACAAGTTCCAGAATGCGCTTGGGCAGTAAGCTTTCCTCCCATGAGCGCATAGGATTCGGTACGCCGCCACCCTTCGTGCTGATCTTGAAGTCTTCCTTGAAGATACGCCAGTCGCGCTCACGCATGTGATCCAACCGTTTCTCGCTCCAGTGCTTGTCCATCTGGTTGCGAGTGCTTTCTTCACGCCGACGCCGTTCCATCTCCATAATCTCCTTCGCCCGTGCTCCACCGGCTTCCTTGTCGCGGGTTTCCAGGGCCTGCACGTATTTACGGGTCACTTCATCGGCAACATCATCACCAAAGCCTGCCAGACGACCCCTGCCGAAGAAGTTGGCCTCGTGGCGTTTCTGATACAGTGGATCATAATCACCACTTGTGTCCTCTTCAGTATTCCAATCGAAGTTGAATTTCCGGTCCGTTGTACGCTTGCGCTTCTTCTTCGCCGAGAAGTTCGACGTCTGCTCTGCTCCCATATATCGCTGCTTGGTCAGCGCAGCAAGCGCCGCTGCAGAGTCTTCTTCGTTCAATCGTTTCTCGCCTTTGGCGGCCTTGGGCGGTGGTGGCATATCATGATCGCGACCCTGTCTACCTCCCTTTCGCATGCCAGCAGATCCGGTCGGGGCTTCATCGCGCATCGATCGTGGCCCAGTGGGAACAAATCTAGCCCCTTGATCATCACGAGTATTCCTTGGTTCAGAGGGTCTTGCAGATGTTGGTTCCGTGTCGAATCCGTTGCGATCACCACCGTTGGTGCGAGCTTTTGCTTGCCGCTCTGCCTCAACCTCCTGGACTCGCTTTTCCAATGCGAGTTTCTCTCGTTGGGCTTTTGATAAGAACTTGGGCTAAAGAGAAGAGTTGAATGTAAGTATGTATTTCCATTTGCGCCGCGACATATTCTCCGAAGATAGGTTAGACTCACCTTGGCCGTTGCCGCATCAGCTTCTTTCTTTTTGCGAATGAGCTCTTCCACGCTCAATGGAGTTGCTGCCGGTCGTTTTGTGCCCCATCCCTGCTTCTTTTTTGTCTCCACTGGCGGCGGAGGAGGGATATCTTCTGGGGGAGGCGGAGGAGCGGCTGAGTCTTCAGGTGGAGGAGGAGGAGGGCTGAGCGGGCGCTGAATCGGTATAGGTGGAGGGTGTGGAGGTGATCCTGGAGAGCCTGTTGTAACTATTCCATCCATTATGAGCTTGACCGAGGTAAAAATGACGACTGGTGGTAGTTCGGAGCTCTGGTGGAATCTTGAATTTCTACGGGAGATCACATCGCCAAACGCGCAGTCATGTGACTCAACCACTGGGGTGAGATTGTATACACTTTACAATTTACGAGGAAGAGCATGAAGAATTCATTAATCTCACATTTCAGGGGAAAATCAGTACATTACAACGGACCACGGGTCCGGGTTGGTTTGAGTCATGACAAGGGCGTCAGACATGATGGGAGGAGGGGAGTTGCTGACCATCTCAGGAAACACCACTTGTAGCTGAACCTGTTCACGGCATTGGAAGCGCTAGACAAACGTAAAAGGGCAGAAAAGCCCACAGAGAGAAAATGGGGGTGATACTACATGAAAAAAACCATCCACCCTGGTATCGAAGCGTGAGGAGTAAGTGATCAAGGAAAATCACCAAGGGAAATGGGATCGAAGCTTCTCAAGGCGAAGCTATCTGTGAGAAAACGAGGAAACATAGTCAAGTTCGCAGCCGTCGGCTACTGGAGTCGTGAGTGGAATTTCAGGCGCTTGTTGTGTCGTTCACGGCAGCTTGCTGGTAATAAGCATATTGCTCTGCGGCTGGGTCATTTGGGATGGTAACCAAGGGGAATGAAGCGGGGTGTCCCTCTGCAGAAGCAAGAGGAGCAGCGACAGTACCTCCAGTGCGAACAGAGGCCACTGATACGGGTCCGTTGACCTCGCAGTCCAGTGTCATGTACTCTTCGGCTGTGTCCTTGTTGCCTCGCTCAAGAAGGTAAGACATGTATACCTGTACGAGCTCCTTGACAGCCGCAACAGAGAGGGTGCTCTTGGATCGAACATCGGAAATGACCTGCTTGATGCGCCCATACTGAACGGACTCAGTAGTTGCACTAGTGGGCTGATCAATTTCAAACATTAGATAGCTACCCCAGAAAGGATGGCTGCCGAGGTAGTACTGCTGATTTTCTTGGAAAACCATACGAGCTTCATCAGGAACACCCTTGATCTTCCACAAGAGACGGGCCCATTCGGCAACAAGAGTAGCCTTGGTGGCCATCTCACATTCTGGCGAATCCAAGTGCGTCTTGTAAACTTCGATTGCGGCTTCGAGACCTCCGTGACGACGGCAAAGGTTGGCAAGCGAAGTGATGGTCTCAACATGATTGGGCAACGCAATCAAAATGGCGTTGTGGATATCCTTGGCCACGTCCACACGGTTGGACTTTTCTTCGAAGTAGGCATAGTGCAACCGAATGGTGGGATTGGCAATGGGAACATACAGATATGCGGCACGTTGATAGATGATGCGAACCTCCTCTTTCTTGCCCGGTTGAGCAGCCATCCATCGAGCGTACCGAAGCCAGAACTCATCGTAATGAGCGCAAGTGACCAGAGCTCGCTCATACAAGAATTGAACTCGATCATATGCACCCTCCTCTTCCTCAAAGTTCAGATAGTTGTTCCAATTAGTCAATTGGCCCTCATCAAGTTCAGTAACATGGAAGTAGGGACGCTTGATTTCTGACTCGAAGGTCCAGCGCTTGGTAGTTTCGGTCTGCGTGTTTGTGAATATCTCGAGATGGTAGCTATCGACGCGCAGTCGGAGATCTTGTTCGGCAGGGGGCACATCTGGAGAGGCAGCCTCCAGCTCGGCACGGAAGCGGGTAATCATCTCTGCCGATGCAAGCTCGGCCAGGGGACGTGTCTGGGCCAGCTGACGATACCGCTCAAAGTAGCGTGCATACTGATGCATCGGGATGTGGATGACCCGAGCAAGGATTCCGAAGATCTTGTCTTGAGCTTCGTTACGCTCCTCGAACTCGAGGTACTTGTCCCAGAAAGGGTGCGCGAGGAAGTCGAGGCCGACACTGCTGGCCCCTCGTTCGAACAGCCTATTGAATGGAAATGTTAGCAAAATGCGCATATAGTGGGCAATTTGGCTGATTGGCAAAGAACTAGCGCGGTCAGGCAAGAGCAATGAGCCCCGTCCGTCCGCAAGAACCCAAATAGACATAAATCAAGCCATAGGGATGTATCCAGTGCTTCGGAGAAGGCCATCGAAGGAAAATAGTCCTTAGTTTGAATGCAGGAGGTGGAGACGTTGTGAGGTAGGAATGAGAAGCAGCCTGAGAGAGTTATGGGTGAGAAGTAAACTCCACTTCAATACGGGTGAGATATGAACGTCTCTCACCCATCGAGAATGCCGAACAGAGACAGATCCAGTCGTCATGCATGATCGGCATCACGAGGTTGTCCGCGTGCTACATTGGTGGTTATAGGGTAAGGGAAGGAAGCCAGCTCGCTATACTCACTCTCGAATCACATCGGCATCGTGTGAGGTCTCTGCCTTGAAGGAGCAGAAGTTGGTCCACAAATCGACGGACGGGGAGATGCTAGCAATGCCTCGTTCGTAGACCTAATCTTGAGTTTCAGCAACTGATCGTCATTCAGAGAGGGAAGTTCGCTGTGGCCATACCATTTCTGCGGCTTCAGTGCCGGTAATGGAGAACTCCAGGTCCGCATACTTCTTCCAGTAGCCAAAGAGGAGTGGGAATTTGGCGAGAAAACGGTCATAAATAGCGCGCACAGTGGTGATTGCCTGTGGGTTTGAATTGCGATTGATGCCGCCTTCGAGGGCCTCGGCGGCGCGAGCCAGTTTTTCCCAGGTTTCAAAGTTGTCCGGATCATGAATCTGTAGAGTGTGCCTGTCAGTCAGGGGTTCAAGCAGGATCTGCGCGCTTGAAACGTACCAGCTCCAATTCGAGCTTTCTCAACTCCGCGTTTTCTTCCTCGGAGCCGCCATACTGGTAGTCCGCCATGGTGAAAGGACAGGAAAATTCAAAGTGCAGGGAGCGAGAGGGTAGGAAATGAAATGAGAAAACACAGCTATGACAACGAGGTCTGAGTTCCAACAAGGTTGCTCCTGGGTTGAAAAGCTGAAAAGCTGTATTGAGGTGAAACTCTGGACGGGAGTCGAGAGGCAGAATGGGCAGAATGACTAAGTCTCCTAGACGGCGGTCGGAGACTAGCCAAAAGCGGATTTGGGACGACATAAAGGCGGTGAGGCCCTGGGGGCGGTGGATCGGATAAACTCGGATGAAGCCGGATAAACTCGGAGATGAGAAGGATGGCAGAAAATGGCGGTCAAGAAATTCTAGGAGATTGTGGTTCCGGCCAATCACAGCTTTGGAAATTCTGCCTGCAGAACAAAACAACAACAATTCTAATCAGGTCAGGTGACCATGCACCTTTCGTCCGATGTTACTCTAACTAAGACGATGGTCCACACCCTGTGAGCCTCAGTTCTCAAACTAGTTTGTACTAACGCATTTCACGGGCCAGTAGTCCACACATGTGAGTGTTCCAGCTGGAACAAATCTTTGCATTAAATATGATGAATTGAAAACTCGAACTTCCCTCGCAGCCTTAACCTTACCCTTAGCCTACGTTCTAAGAACCTAAATGGTGTCAATGTATTGTGATCGAGTTTTTCATGTCACTAGGTAAAGAGGCAACTATACGGGCGTATTTCTAGTAACCTTCCTAATTATAAAATAATTTCCTCACCAGAAACCGAATGCTATTTACTATTCTTATAACATTAACATGTTATACACCACTGTAACATTTCAATTGCACCGCACCATCGTAAACAAGTGTAGACCCTTTTCTTGAGCTATTTGACGATTTTGAGACCCAAAGCTAGTACGTTAGCCAATAAGTAGACACTATTTACCTCTCTAGAATCTAATATAAAGAGATGGAAAATTACCGATTTTAGGGGGGCCTATGGGGAGTGACTACTAATGCTTAGAGGGACATACATGTACAGGAGAAAAAGCAACAATATTGGGAAATACAGTGATAATTCTAGACTCCAGTACTACAAGTTCAATGGATGACGGAACAGCATTACAGTGTAACTTGCACAAGCAAAGGCCAATAAGGTCGCTAGTCAAAAAGTCTCAACACGTGATCTGACTTTCTCCCTCAGCTCTGGTCAGAAACCTCACAAGCTGATATCCGAGGCACACTACTTTAAACGAGGATGTTTCAAAAATATACTGGGAAACTAAAGTTAATAACTTGTGTCCTTACTTTTTGGCTTGCAAAAGGCGGCCTGAACGGCGGTCTGTCCAAGGTGCCGTATACTATGGCAGAATTGAATTTCCGCCTAAGGCAGCATCCCGCGACTTAGCGTAATCCTGGCCCTGACTTTTTGACGGGAGCATTCACCAGCAACAACATCTGTGTAGTCGGGGGCCAACCCATATTGTCTATCCATTATGCCTCCCATGAAGCCGGTTATTCCTAAGGACGTGAAGTCTGTCACCGATCTTCCTCTTCGTCTGCGCAACTTTCTCGCTCGTTACCCTCCGGAAATCCACTCGTCCGCCGTCCGTCGCCCTGATTTTTCCAAATTGACCGAACAGCTATCAAAAGAAAATGCATCCGGTGAAATTCCGTCACCATACACGCCCGATCGTGATGCAAAGGGCTCGGCTGGGTTGGACAAGAATGCCTGGACTCCTTCGAAAGCGCTGCTTATCACCAGCCAGACCCTCCGCAACCCATTCATTCCGTTTAAGGGTCGAGCGGGCTGGGAATCACCCAAATATGGCCTTCGCCAACAGGCTGATCTGATGAAATTGGCCGCCAAGTACGGGATCCAAGGTCTCCTTCCCCCCAGCATGAAATCAACCGAATACAAGGAAACACGACGTGCCGAGCGTGGTTTGGCCATTAAGGGTACTGGTGTTGGACAGAAGGTCAAGGGTCACAAGTGGGAGCGTACTATGGAGTCACGTCTCGAAGAACGTCGCAAGGCGATGGAGGGAATGCCGGAGCTGGTTCGCTTGTGGAAGCAGGTTCGTATCAATCTAGACCTCCATACCTCAATTGGGACAGTGCTAATTCTGCTGAACAGAGAGGTCACGGACGTGGCTGGAAATCATGGCCCAAGCGGTAAATTACAATACCGACCACTTTTACCCATGTTCTTTTCTCTTTCCTTTCTTGGTCGGTAAAAACCGGCTTTCTCAATGCTTATAGATCTCTTCCTGCAACGCTTTAGCACAGAGACTTGTACGAGCCATAGCAGGAGCTTGGGATGGAGTTTTGCTTTTTCGCGTGTATCTTCCACGACCATCTGTACAATACAATCTACAATCTCATAGCCTAATAAGCAATGAGAGAATACTTTGCCTATATGTGGGCTCTTCGCTAAGCCCAGAAAAGTAGGAGATAAATGGACAAGGATCCGTCTAGCAGCCCACCATGCAGGCAAACAAAATCCAACAGCGACTACCCAAAATCCAACAACAGATTAACTGTCAACGACAACGCATCCACAATGGCAAAGTGTAGCCGTATCTGGTGGCAGCCCCGAGCTGGACGGAGTTAATAGATTCAGTTGATGACCGCTAGCCTGGCTCACAACTAATCATTCAATATAGTGAACCAACTCATGCAAGAATTCTGGAATTATCCAACAACGCCATTGTTCGTAGTGATCCTGCAGGATCACCGGGCTACCACTGTGCTTGATTTGGTCTGTGTAGAAAAAGCCAAGTTGATTTCCATGTCTCTCAATGGTCCATATTCCGATCAGCTGCTGGGACGTTTGGCGAGCCGCAGTATTACCAACCAGAGGCTCCCTTTCTCGAGTATATCAATGGCTAGATACCAATTCGATGGGTAAGCCGGCTTCGTGATCCTACCTAGCAAGGTGGCAGTGCTTGGACCCCAGCTGAATTCTGAAAGTCCATGCAGGATAGCTTTTGCAGGGGATATGGAGAGGATGTGATGACCCTGATAATAGGAGCATGCATCACTTGGCTAAGTATGGTCGACTCCATCACACTGATCGGGGAGAACATATTTGCTCATATATCGATCATGGGTCATGGGAACCTGTGGCCCCAATTCTGATCTCTCGTCTCGGACCTGAAAATGAGGGTTATTAATGCATGGACATGCTATAGGGGGCATGTGGTGACGAGCCTTGCAGGGCGTGAAGATAGACCGAAAAGTGCGTGGGACCAGTGAAAAACAGCCAACACGACGTGGTGGCGCTATGTTTGACGCTATTGCCACCACAAACGAGTTGTATGCAATGCGCGTGCGGAGGGGTTTGCATAACTGGGGCGACCCCCGGTCAGGTCCTTTCTTCATTGCCAACTTCCGCGACAGAATACCTATAAAGGCCATGGAGAAGTCGAGGTCAATCTATTCTCTTTTCGTTAAACCGCCTGAGTATTCCTTTGGAGGGAATCCACGACAAGACGCCGACGGGCTGATCTGATTGCTTCGGAGCTTACCGATGCTATAGTTATAGCCGCGTTATCTGTAAGGAGCCCCTCTTCCTGACCGTTATATTGCAGGGTTGGACCGGAATGCAGTCCATTTGTGGACTCTATTTCTGTATATTCGCACCGAATGTTGGACTAATGTCACTATTAGAAATTACCATTGGGAAAAAAGTGATCATTGCCAGACCGCTGTTTGTCAAAGCTGCTCATTTCTCGCCCAATTTCATCGTATAAAGTCGTGGAACCACCTGAGGTGAAATATAGTCCTACAGTCTGACATTCAAATCGAATCATCGACTTCACCCACCATGACAGAGCCAGGCAGTGAAAGGCCTGTCTCGCCCGAGTACAGTCAAGGCTACTCGGCGGACGTGGATATTATCCGAGAACAAGAGTACCCTTTACTAAATGGTATGAGTATTTAGCTTTGCTATATGGTACACCGGATGCTGACTATTGCCTTTGTCGTATAGAAACCACCTATCTTGATCATGCGGGGACAACTCCCTATGCCAAATCTATGATCGAAGCCTTTTCCCGTGATCTTTCATCAAATCTCTTTGGAAATCCCCACTCGATGTCTATATCGTCCCAGATATCCACACAGCGGACAGATGATATCCGTCTCCGAGTGTTGCGGTTTTTCAACGCAGACCCTGATGAGTTCGATCTTGTCTTTGTAGCAAACGCAACCGCCGGCATTAAGCTAGTTGCAGACTCACTCCGAGACTCTGATCATCGAGGGTTTTGGTATGGCTACCATATCGATGCCCACACTAGTCTGGTTGGCGTGCGAGAGCTAGCTGAGATGGGTTATCAGTGTTTTCAAAGTGACGAGGAGATGGAGACTGGGATCTCGGAGTTGGCTGCCAGTCCATCAAAGGCTCCTAGACTTATCGCGTATCCTGCCCAGTCAAACATGAACGGACGCCGTCTACCCATTCGCTGGTGCGAGAAGATCCGATCGGCAGCCAATGACAGCGGACGCAACATATTCACCTTGCTTGATGCTGCTTCGCTTGTATCGACCGCTCCGCTTGATCTAGGCCCGTCTTCATCTGCGCCTGACTTTACGGCGCTAAGCTTCTATAAAATCTTTGGATTCCCCGATTTGGGTGCCTTAATCGTCCGCAAAAGTGCCGCTAGAGCATTTGAGCGACGAAGGTATTTCGGTGGAGGCACAGTTGACATGGTTCTGGCAACGGGAGCACAATGGCATGCCAAGAAGGAGACTTCGATCCACGAGAGGCTAGAGGATGGGACTCTTCCATTCCACAGCATTATTGCCCTCGATGCAGCCATGGATACACATTCACGCCTGTATGGCTCAATGGCCAACATTTCAGCTCATACCCGATTTCTTGCTAAGAAGGTCTATGATCGGCTTTCTTCTTTGACGCATTTCAATGATACGCCAGTTTGTCAAATATATCAGGCGAGCACGACATTTGGAAATGCAGATACCCAAGGTCCGATCATCGCGTTCAACATGCGCAATAGTCGAGGGGACTTCGTGCCCAAGACAGAAGTTGAGAAGTTGGCCACGGTTCAAAACCTTCAGTTGCGCTCTGGGTCGGTTTGTAACCCCGGTGGAACTGCCTCTGCCCTTGGTTGGACTGGACCTGAGCTTCGTCGGCACTATTCTACTGGATTGCGTTGTGGAGACAGCCATGATGTGATTGGAGGTCGACCGACAGGCATTCTGCGTGTTAGCCTCGGTGCTATGTCTAACATGAAAGATATTGATTCTCTGATCAATTTTGTTGAGGAGTTCTATGTTGAAAAGATTCCTCCAATCCTTGCTGTTGACCCTCTTATGAGTGAGAATGAAGTGGTCGCTCCTCATTTCTATGTTGAGAGTCTTGCAGTGTTCCCTATCAAGAGTTGTGGTGCTTTCAAGATACCGGAAGGAAAGCGCTGGGAAGTAAAACGAGAAGGATTGGCCTGGGATAGGGAGTGGTGTCTGGTTCACCAAGGAACTGGAGCCGCATTGAATCAAAAGAGGTTTGTCCGGATGGAATCCAGTGATTGTATGCGCTAAAAGTCCATAGATACCCCAGGATGTGCCTCATCCGGCCCTCCATCGACACTGACAAAGGCGTTCTTCGTATCACATGTGGTGCGATAGCCGCATCTGACCAAGTCAGTCTCGAGATCTCTCTCGGCTGGGAAGATACCAGTGTGATATCGACCTCATTTTGTCCAAGTTCGAACAAAAGGTCCGCGAAAGTTTGCGGAGACACCGTATCTCTCCATGCGTACACATCACCCGTCGTCTCGGCCTTCTTTTCGGATTTCCTAGGCGTGCCTTGTACGCTTGCAAGGTTCCCATCACAGACTGGAAACCGGTATTCAAGACCAACCCGCGTGCCAAGTACCTGGAAAAGCCGGTTCCGCAAGCTCATCATGCCCGGTTCTTTCCCACTTGATTTTCCGCCACCACCCCGCGAACAAGGCCTAACTTCGATAACATTATCAAACGACTCCCCGATCCTGATTGTCTCGCGCTCTTCTGTCAACCGTCTCAACGAAACAATCAAGGCGAACTCGAAACACGGCAGCAGCAAGACTGTAGCAGCGGATGTATTCCGCGGTAACATAGTCGTCGCTGAACGACTAGCCAACCGTGGTGATATCGAGCAGCCTTATGCAGAGGATCGCTGGTCATCCTTACGGATCGGACCTAGCCAACTTCGCTTTGACGCACTGGATGCATGTCAGCGTTGCCAGATGGTCTGCATCGACCAATTTACTGGCGTCAAAAAGGATGAGCCATTCTCTACTCTATCAAAGATTCGGAATATTGATGGCAAGGTTTCCTTTGGTAGATATTCTACTCTCTCCCGAAGAAGGGGAGGGTATTGACTCTGAAACCCCAGATCGCAGGACGATAATGGTTGGTGATGTCGTTATGACTTTATATCAGGAGTATTGAGCTAGGTCTCGCGATCTGGCTGTTATATTTGATTATGATTGTATATTTTCGGCTGGGATTCACCATTTTGCGTTTTATGTTTGGGTTGGGCATCTTTTATTCCATTGATGTGAGCTGTGTGAGTCGAATTCAATTGGCTATAAAAACGCTTCAAAGTGCTAGGTGGTTTAGAATGCGATAACCAAAAGAGCCGTTTTGACTGTGATTTACGATTACAAGGAGTTTTGGGATTTCCTTAATTACCCAAGAGAATGGATAGGAATCGAATCAATCTTGAATGTTCATTCCATTAAAATAACATTAGTAACATCAACCGTAAATTAAGCAGCAATGATGGAAGTCGCAGCTGCATTATCCTGCATCGTGGTGAATGGAGCCGCAAAACCGTAAGTCTTGTAGCCCTGTGAGTAGTCTTTGCCCTCGACACGCTCTAAAGTTCACATTAGCAACTGCTCTCCCGACTAACTAGCCCGTCAATAGAGAACTTACCATGTTCAGGGGGAAACATCTCCATCCGATGCTTATAGTACCTCTCGCGAAGATCTTCGCCATCACTCCTGGAGTGAAAAGTAGCATAAAGACTGGACCGACTCTTCTCCGTCTTGTTTTCAGCCGAGCGATGTGCCAAATGAGACCCGAAGATCAACATATCACCCATATCAAGAGGGATAGAAATCCAGTCGTGCGCTTCTTCCCATGCAGGCGTGATGCGACCACCATCCGCGAACTCAATCTCCATCTTGTGGGATCCGCGGACGACCTCCAAGCAGCCGTTCTCAGGAGTTGCAGCATCAATTGCGATATTTGCTGTGACATGTTCAATGTGGCCGATATGGTCGTAGGCTGGTGCATCTAGGTGAGCCTGGAAGCCGTTGCCTTGGGGCTGCTTGTAGTTGATTTTGTCCTTGAAGAGAAGCATGTCCTAGGTTTTTATAAGGTTTAAGATTTATTTGCACTGCGCGTAGAATATTTATGCTCACATCGCCAGAGACAGCCTTCAGGATCTCAGCTAGCTTCTCGCCACAGACTAGTGACTTGAATTCTGGGTGGTAGTCGATGAATTTCTCGGTGCGCATGAGCTGGCGCTCGCCGTTGATGTTGATCTCATCATAAGGCATCCACTTGCCCTTTACGCGGGGCCAGGCTTGAACTTCCTTTGTCCATCGGAGCAGTGCTGTAGGGTCGACCAATTGATGCTCGGTTGCGCGGAGGAGAAGGTAGCCATTTTCGTGGTAGGAAGCGACTTGATCGGAAGTGAGCGGCGACATGTTCTCTTGTCTGACGACTGAGTCGGATAATTTAAACTTGGGATTATGATCTTGAAAGTCTCACAGGGAAAACTGAACAGTGGTGACAACAGGGCTTTTAATAGACCAAGAACGAGCCAGACACAGCGTCTTTTCTCAAGGACAGCAGGGCAACTAGACCCTCTTTTCTGCATTCAATGGTAATCGGAAAGCTTTAGCTCCAGCCTTCGAGTGGATCTTCATGATCGGCGTCGCGTCCGAAGGTCGAAATTCATCGCAGGTCTTCGTCCCGAGGTTTACGACATGGACGGGCTTCGTGCCGACGGTTTAGACGTCGGGTTGAAGATTCTCTGGAGAGACATTGCACGTGGGGCAATGAGAAAATGGGCCTGGCAGGCAAATTAAATCTTAATCGGACTTCTTGCCTTGAAGTTGACTTGTCTTTCTCCAGTGTGGTCGATATGGAGATCTATCTTCCAGATGTGCCTCTATCAACACAGTACATAAAGTCGACAAGCAGATACAATATCGGTAACACATTCTTGTGATTTCATACTTTAGAAGAAAAAACCAAGCAATAATCATAATCATGAATCCGAAGATGCCAATTCTCCAGACCGAGCAACTTCTGCCCTCAGTCGAGGAACATACCCGCAGAACAATCAAAACCCTCTTCAGTTTCCTGGACGCGCAAGGACAAGGTGACTACCTCGGTGAAAGAGTGACGCAGCTGGAACACTCGCTCCAGTGCGCAAGCCTTGCGTCTCAGTCCGCAGAACATGGACATGACACTGAAGTCGTCCTTGCCGCCCTTTTGCACGATGTCGGACGCTTCATTCCAGCCGCCGAGAAGATGGGTAAGATGGTCACGCCAGATGGCCAGTACATTGGTCGGCAAAGCCATGAGATTCTTGGAGAAGCTTATCTGCGACAAATTGGATTCAGCGAGAAGGTCTGCCAGCTTGTCGGGGCGCATGTCATGGCGAAGCGGTACCTGGTTGCCACGGATCAGGGATACCATGATGGGCTGAGTGAGACTAGTAAGAGGACTTTGAAGTTTCAGGTATGAGCTCTCATGTTGCTTTGTAGAACATTTCTGATGCATACAGGGGGTGGGTTTACACTTGAGGAGGTCCGAAAAGCGCAAGAGGACCCTTTGCTTGCGGCTAAGCTCGCTGTCAGGCGATGGGATGACCTCGCCAAAGTGCCCGAATGTGTGGTGCCTCCACTGCAAGCTTACGAAGAAATGGCCTTTGAATGTCTCCTTGGTGAGTATAGCTACAACTAAGAGCCGAAAGGATACTAACTAACGAATGATGCAGAGTCTCGTTCAAAGTTCAAGCTCCACTCGAGGGAATACAATGTACCAACATCACGAACAGTGGTGATTTGCATCGATGGATTTGATCCGGAATACCTACAGTCCGGTATCGAACGGGGTCTTTTGCCGACATTCAAGGGATTGATGGACAATGGCTTCCATGCGACGGCCAAAAGCTGCATGCCCTCGTTCACCAACCCGAATAATGTATCGATCATTACAGGAGCACCACCGTCTATCCATGGAATTGCAGGGAACTTCTTCCTAGATAGAGAAACAGGCGAAACAAAGATGGTCACCGATGATTCCCTGCTTCGAGGCTCGACATTGCTGGAGCAGATGGCCCAACGCGGTGTACGCATTGCTGCGATCACAGCGAAAGACAAGCTGCGTAAAATCCTTGCGCACGGATTAAAGGGGTCTATCTGTTTCTCGTCGGAGAAAGCTGCAGAATGCACCGTTGAGGAGAACGGGATTACTGATGTCGAGAACTGGCTCGGTCAGACCGCGCCTAGTCAATACTCTGGAGATCTGTCTTTGTTTGTGCTTGATGCAGGAGTGAAATTACTTCAGGAAAAGAGATCGGACTTTTTGTATCTGACTTTGTCAGACTTTGTCCAGCATAAGCATGAACCAGGAAGCAAAGAGGCTGATGATTTCATGGGAGCGATTGACCAACGGTTACAGAAGCTCGCTGCTTTGGCTCCCGTGATTGGTATCACTGGAGACCATGGCATGAGCCAGAAGTCCAATCAGTCAGGAGAGCCAAATGTCCTCTTTTTGGAGGAAGTACTCAATTCCAGATTTGGAACGCATGCTTCCAGAGTGATTTGTCCTATCACAGATCCGTTTGTGCGACACCATGGCGCACTCGGCTCGTTTGTGCGTGTTTATCTCAAAAATATTACACAGATTGATGAGATGATACGCTTCTGTGAATCGCTCCCGGAAGTTGAGATCTCTCTGAACGGTAGGGATGCCGCACAGAAGTATGAAATGCCGCTAGACCGTGAAGGAGACATCGTCGTGATATCGAAAGAGCATGCCGTTATAGGGAGTACAAAAGCCAACCACGACCTTTCCAACTTGAAAGATCATCCTTTGCGATCGCATGGAGGACTGAGTGAGCAAGACGTTCCAGTCATCACGTCAAAGCCGATAAGGAATACCAGCAGTGGAGTGGCCAAGAGCTGGAGGAACTACGACATCTTTGATCTAGTGCTCAACTGGTCAAGATAATATTGGCCTATCATGGCATCACTGAACGAGTTCCGGGGCCAATAGATGTACTATAATGCAGCCACCAGTCATCAACGTCAGGAAAGTGAGTCTGAAAATCAAAGCTGGCCATATTTTCCATCCATCCCAGATCAAATCCTAGTTGATGCTCGGGTATTGAGGGAGCGTTTTGCACTAGATTGTGAGTAGGATGGATGGGTAATCGGTGCAAAAGTCTTTCTAGGCCCTCACTAATGACCACAAGTATGTGCTGCTTGTGCATAGACTGCGTGGTCTCCCGTAGAGCCGACACCGTTTGAGCCACTAATGATAGAATTTTTTCTGTGTCGATACGGATGACCGTCGCATATTTTGTCGCAACCTTCATAAGGAAAACCACAGCAAATGCGAGCATGGTATCGAAGTACAGCGGGAGCCCGTTCAAAAATGATCGGAATTCATCGTCGGAAACAATGACACGCAGGATTGACATTGCCGATAGAACACCGGCATTGGCAATCTCTTCCAACTCGGGTGAAATGCATTGCGGTGCATCATCCGATATGGGTGCACCCCGAAAGGCGTGCGAGCAGAGATACAGCTTTGCGAAATGGAAGTGAAACCCAACTCCCTTCTGGGGATAGTTTCCAACATTTCGATTGGCTTTGAAGCTTTCGCTCCAGTCGGCGAACCAGGTATCCAAAGAGATTGAGTACCGTCGTAGCTGAGGCAATGTCTGCGGTAGAATTGAAGTATCGACATCGACGCCAAAGGTGTCAAAGACTTGACCGAGAATGGACCACTCTTTGACCTGACTGATTAATCTAGCGTCATCTTCGGTCGCATGTTCAGTCTCCAATAACCGACTGGCAGAATCGATGATGAAGCCTTCTCTGGACATGGGAGGTCGGCCATAAGCGATAGAAAAATGGTGGTCGCAGACGTAGACAAGATAGTATAGTCGAGCTTGAAGGTATCCTTCACGGTCACCCTTCACAGCTTTGTAAATTCCACTGTGTAGGTTGATATCTGATGCAATGCGAACAGCTACTTCGGTTAATTTTGAGAAAGCCAGCATATTTCAGTCACATACCATTTCCAATTAATGCCCAAGAAAGCCCATGTAGCCAGAATGCACCAACACACAGACCACGGATGTCGTCTTCATTCACGTTCCTCGAGAAGATTTGTGCTGCAACAAGTGACTTGTATTCACTATAGCATGTATCGAAGAGATGGCCGAGGGATTGGGAATGTAAAGCTCCCACTGTGCAAACTGCCGCTGTCAACAGGGGTGATGCAATCCGGACTGAATCCAGGCTGATATGATCTCCGAGGATGCGATAGAGAAAATGGTCCAGTCTGAGATGATATGTCTCAAATAGTGCCAGTGCCTGGCGCAGTGAGATTTGTCCTGCGGATATAAGGTCTGGTTGATGGGAGCTTGCCATGGTACCGGGTAAACCTGCTTTCCCGCTTTCTGACACGCAAGATGCCGGGATAGAAGCAGGACCCCCACGAGGATCCATGATGACTTCCCAAGTCTGGGATGGGTCATGCTTTTTTACTGAGTCTCTTGGTTGACTAGATGGAGAAGAGTCTTGGTTGACAGCCTCTCTGGCTGGGCTCATAGATTGGCCCTCTGGTTCAGGGCCACTCTGTATTGCTTGCAAAGCCTGCAACTCCGGCATTCCAACTTTATTCGCAATGCTTGCAACTGCTTCTTCTAGTCGCCTCATCTTTTGCACGACTGCACCCTTCCATCTGTGCTCTGTTAGTAACATGATACACGAACGGACTTGAAGTACTAACGTGACATCCTCTTCAAGTAATGTCTGCAAGCTTCTATTGACACTACATGAAAGACCTCTTTTCTTGCACCTTGAGCAGGGCATCTGGCCCTCTCGCATATGACATTTGACCTGTTCAATTTATCAGTCGATGTGTTGGTACTTTCTACTTTCCAAGATAAGACTCACCTTTTGCTTTCGGCATGCCACGCAGGCCGTGATCTTGCGGGTAATATCTGGAGGCTTGCGATCACCAAAGGATTCTCGCAAGGCACTCACAGCTGGCGGAGAGGGCAAATCAATGTCCATTTTGGTCGAGGCTGTGATGTAGTAGCGCACTGTCGCTGATTATTGAAACTGATATCCGGTTTGCACTGTATGCACCAGTGATTCATCCAATGAGATCAGCCAAAAGATCAGCTTATCAACACCAATCAGCGCAAATCCAATAAACATGGCATTTGACGGACTTCGCACCGAAGATATATGCTTCGTCAACCCCGGAGACTCGGAGACTACCGCGAGTGGTCCGAGCGCTGGTATGCACGTGGGCGGCACGTGCACCAATGACTGGTCTTTGCGTTGCACGTTTTTGATGCCCTCGTGGTGGTGTTCACGTCGCTCATTGCATCCGGGATTTCGCCTAACATTACAATGCTTCACTGACAGGTGAAGGACCGGTAGTTCTCGCCGACATGCCAATGCTTTTTCTCATCATGACAAGTATTTGATAATGGCAAACTATATATCCTGACGAAATAATGGCCGATATGCATATTTCTTGCCGTGAATAACAGTCACACATGCATCTTTGAGCAAAAAAGCGATTCTCTATACATATTATTTGCTCCAATGACCTCTCTAGGTGCCAAATTCAGGTTTGTCGTCACTGCGGGTGTGGGATTCTTCGCAGATGGCTATCTGAACCTCACAATTGGACTTGGTGGGTGAGACAACTAATAATTCAAAGACAAGCACTAACATCATCTAGTGGTACCGATCCTTGGATATCTATACTTCCAGGATGGCAAAGTACCGTCAGTCCAGAGCGACATTATCAAGGGCGGTCTAAGCCTAGGGATGGTAGTAGGCCAGCTCTTGTTCGGAGTCCTAAGTGATGTATTGGGTCGTCACACGATATATGGAAAAGAGCTACTGCTCACCATATTCGGAACTCTGATGGTCATTCTATTACCGTGGAAAGGCATGACATCCCAGTCCGTCACGACTTGGGTTGCCGTGTTTCGTGTTCTGACCGGAGTTGGAATTGGAGCGGGTAAGCTCTGTCTTATGGTATGAAAAGAAGTCAAGGACTAAGATATGACAGATTATCCTCTCTCTTCGTCTCTGTCAGCAGAAAAATCACCATTTGGCTCCCGAGCCGTACAGGTATTGACGGTGTTCTCAAACATTGGTCTAGGAAACATCGCAGCGAGCATTGTATTCCTTGTGCTTCTCAAAGCATTCAAAGGGGCTATATTCAATGACTTGAATCATCTCGAATGGGTGTGGCGACTACTGCTGGGAATTGGAATCATCCCCGCGCTTTTCACTCTTTACGCTCGCTTGACAATTTCAGAAACTGTCCCCTACAAGCAATGTGAGAGAGTTTGAACTTCAATTGACCTACATCTACTAACAAGGTGCAGATGTCTGTGATGACGCTGCTGGACAGAAGCGTGGATTTAAAGAGCAGTGGAATGACTTTCGAGATTACTTCCGTGAGGTCCGCCACGCAAAAGTCCTTTTTGCAACGGCAGCTTCTTGGTTCTTGTTGTACGTCTTGGATCAATCATATAGCTTTGCATGAGCTTACATTACACACAGTGATATCGCATACTACGGCATAAATCTTAACCAAAGCATCATCCTTGCCAGGATCGGCTACGCCAAGGGTTCAACACCCTGGCAGACACTTTACAACACCGCTGTGGGAAACATTATTGTCCAAGCTGCAGGATATCTCCCTGGCTTCTACGTCGGCATCTTTCTCCCTGATCGCATCGGTAGAGTTCGTCAACAACTTTACACCTGTCTGATGGTGTGCATTTTGTATGCCATCTGGGCAGGGATTAGCACACAAAGCGCACATACCTCAACCGCAGGTCTAATGGTCATATTCGCACTGTCGCAATTTTTGATGACCGTTGGACCTAACTGCACCACTTTTCTAATCCCTGCTGAGGTCTTTCCAACCCGTGTTCGAGGCACAGCGCATGGAATATCTGCCGCTGCCGGGAAATGCGGTGCAATTCTCACTGCATTTGCCTTTGGAACTGTTGAAGATGCGATTGGCATGGCAGGTGTTCTTGGTTTATTCTCCGGTGTCATGCTTCTCACTGCTCTTGTCACACTCATGATACCAGAGAGCAAGGACCGTACTCTTGAGGGTATTGAAAGGGGTGCGCTTTATGGTAAAACAGTAACCGTTGCGGAGCCATCATCGCCTTCTGGGAGCGTTGTATATGTCAAGGACAATGGTTCGAAAGTTTAGGCTACATTAATATCTACAACAAGCGGAGCGAAACGATTTGCTGAAGCCGCGTTGTAAATTGTGCATGCAGCCTGGAGGTCTTAGCAGAGCAGACAGAAACACATACCCAGAGGAATTACTTGCCGTTTTGCTTTTTTCTTAACATCTTTTATATCTCTTTTTATCAGAAGGCATTGGTTACCCAAACGTCGTTCTTGATCAATAAAATGCCACTTTTGTCATTTCTATCTCTTGTGAAAGCATCATGCAAAACAGTCAGTTCTGAACCAGCGCCGGTGTTGAATCATCTTCTCCTTCGCCCTAGGTCCTCCGCACGTAGCCCTTACAAATCCCCTACGTAAATCATGTACCCTGAACGTTAAAGTTTCAAGATTTCCTTGCCCTTTGAGGTAAAATGTGATATAACTGTCTTGCTACAAAGTTATTTCTGATTGGTATTTTATCCGATGCAGTCAAACGTTTAGATATGGTTAATTCATGAGTGGCATCAAATTGTGGTGACTTTTTTAGCAATAAAATTGTGCTATTTCCAGGTCTGGTCAAATAACAAAGTGTTAATACTTGGCATTTCTCGGATCCATCCGCTTTGTGATGCCTGATATTATCTTTGCTTCGTCAAACAACTGATGAGAATCGCACGAATAGCCCATCTCAACGAAACAGAGAAAGGAAAGCTGCATACAATGAATATTGTGTTCAAGACATGGGAGAATGCTCAATGAGTACAAAGAATCAAAGGGCCCCCTGGAGTCCAGGTGGCCATTGTTGTCAAGGCCAATAGTCCTATAAAGAGTCTACCCGGAACATGGCGTCAGATTTCCAAGTAAGTTTGTATCTTCTTCTTGCAAGAATCCTTTGCAAGTTGGAACCCAAAACGTACTCACTGCTGACAATGGAGTCCTCACCCACTTCACCTAGTGGCGACCCTTGGAAATTGGCTGATCCATATTACCCAGCCCCAATCGGAGCCGTCGAAGCTGCAGAAAATCCAGTACAGGCTTCCTTCCGATTCATAGTCCGCCGCGCATCTCATGCCGAGCCTAGTGCAACGCATGTCCTCAACACCTGGGTGAATAGTTCCTATCTGATATGGGCAGTCTGTGCTGCTCTTGCAGACGATGGCGTGGATGAAGAATGGACCAGAAAGTTTCAGAAATGGCGACCACTGTGGAACAAAATCCAACAGGATGTGCAATACTTCCAGGATGGGCATCGTGCTTTCGTTTCAAACAAATTCTTTATGAAGATTCCTGCTCCGCCTATTCACAGAATGCTTGTCCAGCAGTTTGATGGTCCGAAGTTCTTTCCTCTTCGTGCGCCTCATTTCCTCCAGCATTGCCCGGGGTGTCCTAGCTGCCATGGAGATGGACATCATCATGAGGATATATGGGATCTCTGGCGGTATATTTACAGAGCACCTGTGAGTAGTCCCCTGATTTTCTGTGTCACTTTTCAGGATGATCAAAGAATCAAGTCGGTCCGATTTGAGGATAACCGTGAGGTATCTCACAGGAGCGAGTCAGTCCCTCAGAAACAAAGGCCCCGGGGAGCGGAGACCTCCAAAATGAAGACTTCAGGTATGGATAAAGCCTCGAGAACAAAAGTACTACCCACAATAAAAGTGATTACGGAGACAGCAAAGTCTTTCGCGATAGAGGAACCTAAGGCAGAGACGGCTCTTAACATGGAGAGACTCTCTGAGAACCAATCGTCTCCAATTCCACGGCGACTGTCGAAACTGAAGCAAATTTTGAACATGGAGTAGGATCTTCTGCCCGTGGCTAATTATTTTTCTCTTTCTTTTGCTACACCTCTCTTGGATCCAAATCTGCCTACCAGATTTCAGACCCTGAACTCTTACTATCGAAATAGATCGAATAAAGAATCATGGCGAGAATCGCGACTCGACTGCGGTATTATAAATTGCGTAGTGTCCCTCCAGTATGAAACGGGTATAACTAGAGTCCCCTAGTCCTCATGCTTTTCCACAATAGCTGCAGGACCAACATATTCCTTTCGCCCTTTGACAATGTACATTCCCAAACTCAGTATAAAAACAGCACCAAAGATGACCACGCTCCAGTTGAAATTATCCGGAGTGACATCGACATCTCCCGGCCAAAATGACCAGAAGAGGGCAAACAGAGAATACAAAAGAGCGATGATGTTAACAGGCAAACCCCATCGTCCCATATCCCAGCGACGAATTGGAAGTGTCTCCGGGTGCCAGATCTTTCGATAGATAACGCAACTGATGGAGATGATGTATGTATACATCAATGCAGCGACATTGACGGAAATGATAGCATTGAATGCGGTGTCGGACCCGATGTTAATGAGAGAAAGGGCACAGCTGATAATGCAGGATAAAGCAATGGCATTCACAGGAATCTTTCGTTTGGCGTCAACCTTACCGATCCAGCGAGAGAATGGGAGACCATTATCTCGAGCGAACGCGAAAGTCTGGCGGGAGGTAGATGCATTGAATAGAATGTTGCTGAAGATGACCGGTAACAATGTAATTGCCGTCAAACCATTCACTCCCGCTGTAGATGTTGCGTTTTTGAAAACGTACAGGAACGGAAACCCGGTAACGTCATTCAATGCATCCTCCACGGAGGGAATAGCGAAGAGGTAAGTAATTAGCAGGATTGTGGCCATGATGCCATTGCTGAAGTAGCCCCAAGCAATAGCAATAGGCACATATCGAGCAGCATCCTTGACCTCTTCCGACATGTGTGCACAGGCATCAGAGCCTACAGAATCAGTTAGCATCCCGGGGCTGCAATCAGAGATTCATCACGTACTCAAGGAACCGTAGATCGCCGAGATCTGTCCTATCATAACGCTCAATCCCATGGTCGACCAACCGCCCATATTCTTCCACCCGGTGACAAACACCGCTTCCGCGGATTGTCGAGGAGCCATAGCCCAAAGAACAATCAGTATCACAGCCCATGACAAAACATGGAGGATCATCAACAAATTACTCAGAACCGGCATCACATCAGCCCCGTACACATTGAAAATGTATATGACCAAGACCATGGCAAAGACAAAAAGGGTGCCTTGCCAGCCTTGGGGCTCATAGCTTGGATCTCGGACACTGATCAGCCCTTGGATGATGGTTCCAGTTAGGAAGGACCCAGAAGCTGCGCCAGCTTGCCATGCTAGGACAGACATCCAGCCTACAGGGTCACAAGATCGATGTCAACAATGCACAGAATTCTTGTATGCAAAGGGGTTTAATACCTGTGATATAGCTCAGGAACTTCTGATGCCGCGGCGAGGAAAATTCCGAGACCCAATGGTACTGTCCTCCGGAAGTCGGGGCCATTGAGGCCATTTCAGACAATGAGGCAATGATGAATCCAAAGCCGATAAAGGTCCATAAGTAGGACCAGAACATGCCAGGGAGTCCTCCATTTGATAATCCCTCTGAGTTGGAGCTGGTTCAACATGTCAGTGACAAGACACGGGGGTTTCGAAATTTCCCTAGACTCACATTAAAATAAACTCCCATGTCGCTTGCAAAACAGAAGCAAAGCTGAGTGCAGCAATGGGTCGCAAGTTTCTCTAGTTTGATATGTAAGACTGAGGATCCCTGTCATATAAACCAGCCATCGTACCTTTAGTTCTTGAACCTTTCCCATCCGATGCATATCACTATTATCCAATGCAGTTCCCGCCGTGTGGCTCTCAGGGACATTTTGGCCGACCTGCTGCAGCTCCATGTCCAGGGCTTCCAGCCCGGCGACTTTAGTAGCGACCATGGCCAAAATGTGACGGACCGGACAGGCAGAGAACCGAAAAGGGAAGAAGAAAAGATTGCATGGAGGGGTAGAGATGAAATCTCCCATATTTCCCATTTCCACATAAGCTCCGAGCCTCCATGTTCCTGTTTCCGGTTCCGCCCATTCCCCTCTTTGGTCTGCATAAGCTTGGCATTGACGGCCCGTTTGGATTTGAGACTATTTACGCTCTTGACGCTATTGACGCTGGCATCTTATGGTGGCTTGTTTCCGTCCACCGGTCCACCGGAGCAAGCCCAAAAAAAAGAAAAAAAAAAAGAAAGCATGGAAGAGAGGCGCAAGGCGCAATAGCCCAGAGGCCAGGAATGTGTAACGCCTGAATGAGCTGCATGGGCACGATCCCTCCATGACGATGTGGATAATCCCCTGCTCGGCCCTGTGCGCTCAAGGGTAGTCCCGTTGACCCCGCCCGCCCTATAGATCGCCGATATGCCCCATGGGAGGATTTAAGCAACTAGTATCATGACTAGCTTGTTCATTATTCAACACCTCATTATAAACAGTCCTCGCATTACTCGTGAACAAAGGGGCAAGGCAAAGTTGAGCTGACCCCCCCCTGCGGGATCGCCGCATACCCCGGTCATTCTCGACGCAGCTCGACATGAAAATAGTAATTTGGTTAGCGATCCCAGCGAGCCCTATTGGTCAGTCCACCTACGAGGGAGGTAGGCAAAGTTTCTATTTCTGCCTGTCTTATCGTTCTAGAAGCCTGATATTTCAAAAGATTGAGCAAGCTGACAACATCACGAAGAACAAAAGAGAAACTGGCCCCCGTTTCCCGGATGACCTCCTATTTCATGTCCATATGTATCGAATATCTTGCCCGGGGACCGTGGAAGTTTCAGACGGCTTGACGGCTTGACAGGTTGACATGGCTTCTTCAACAGTCTATCCGCCCGGTGTCAGCCCGCCTCTCAGCACAGACAATGAAAACAACCACAGTGGATTGGTCGTGATTCTCACAGCGCTGTTCCTGGTTTTTGTTCTGATTTCGGTCGCGGCACGGGTGTTTTCTTCATTTAAAAGGCGGCTCATCCAGCGTGAAGATTATTTGTTTGGCGCCCTAGTGGTAGGTCGCTACCGATACCCGGAAGATGCTAGATGTGCCCGCTAACGTGGGGGCGTATTTTGAGATAGGCCGTGGCAATATGCCAAATATCTTTGGTTATGGCTCAGGTGCACTATGGCTGGGGCACTCGAAAAGAACCCAATTTGCCTATTGACATTCGCATGCTAAAGGTAGTGTAATGGGTAGCGTTATTGGATTGTTTCAACACTGACACATGCGAAGATAGGATATGCTGCGGAAATTCTCGCTATTATTGTTTTGGGTATCTCCAAAATCATTACTTGCCTTTTCTATGGAACATTATTCTCCCAGATACAGCATCGGTCCAACCGCCTCGCGTTGGTGGGAATGGTAATATGGATAGTAATGGCGATACTCCTACTAGCTATTCGATGTCATCCTGACCCATGGGCGGATATAAGTGCAGCCCAATGTGGAAGTCTAGTAAGAGTGTCCAACACCACCCTTGATAGCTTCGACGTTCAGAACTAATTGACTGTTGTTCAGCTCTCGCACTGGGTCGCTATCACAGCAATCGATATTTTCACCGAAATCGTACTCTTCATATACTCCGGGATGGCTATATGCAAAGTCAGAATACCAACGAGCAAGAAGTTAATAGTATTCCTGGCTCTCGAGACTCGAATAATGTAAGTTTGTTTCAAACACTGGACTCTCGTCCAGTAAGCTAAAGCGAGTGTGTTAGACTTGTCCCACTCGCCGCAATTCGCTTATACTTCACCAAGCGACAACTCGATTCCAATGACCCAATCCTTCTCGGGGCCTTTGCGACCGTCTCTACTGAGATATACCTTTCTTTAAGCGTCGTATGCCTTGTAAGCGCATTCATTAAATCTTTCCTCGCGGTCTACGAAGACAAAAATGGACTCGCGTACACGGAGCGTGGTTCTGGATTCGGATCTAGCGCTGTCAAGCACAGTTCAACGGCGACTGCTTCCAACCCTCGGTCCCAGGCGTCTCAGCGGTTACAGCGACTTATGGGACGAGAGGGGGATGAAGAGCCAATGATTGATCCTGTTCAAGGGTCCGGGGGGCTTCAGATTGTCAAAACTGTGCGGTTGAGCTTGCATAATGAATCTATAGAGCTTGCGGATGTGAATTCAAGACCACCGGATTTTCATTAATAAATCACGTACCTATGCAATGATACAAGCGTTTATATTGGAAATTTAGGTCCTTTCTCCAAGTGTCGATGATGAAGGGTCTGCTGGAAGTAAGAACTAGTATGCCGAACCCTCATCATGCTCTCGTAATGAATATGAGCTGGACCTCGAAGCAAGGAAGATATTACTGGCTCTTTGTATACAATTTAATCCGTAAGCTAAAACATGGAGAGTATAACTGTACGGTAAACACAATGATTTCCAGACATCGTTTCTCATACATCACCAAGCCGTAGGCCATACGTCCGTCTACACCTAGAAGCATGTTACTCATGCTCTACTCATACACTAGGTCGATCAACTCTGTAGACGACCTCAGCCACATTGAAGTAACCCTCATACTCAACATCGTCACAGTCCTCCTGAATATCATAATGATAATGACCCCCCTTGCGGTCTCCATCCGCCTCGAAACAATGAGTATGCTCCATCCTCAAACCCAACCCTTCAGGATCAGCACTATGCATAACATTCAGACAAACCACCGGCGCATCAAAAACATGATAAGTCAGCCACTCTTGCTCCAGGAATTGCCGATCTCGAAATGGCAATTGATCCTCTTTCGGGAAATCAGGCATAACATGGAATTTTGCGCTTCCAGACTTGAGCAGGAAAGCACCACCCAAACTAACCGGTCTCGAATCCCCATATGCATCACGCAGGCTACCCCGAATACAGTTCGTGAAGTTGTCTTTGCCGGTGCGTATCCGCGCGACTATCTTGAGAACCGGGCCTGTTTGCCCGTCCGAACCGAAGAGGTTTATCATCAGTGCCGAGTTTGTGCTTGACAGCTGTTCGCAGTGTGGTGTGTTCTCTTTATTAACCTTGATCACGCGCGTGCAATTCTCCAGCCGTAGTGAGCCTGGATCAGTGAGATCAGACGTGTGGTCGATTGCTTTCCACGACAAGTTCGGTGCCAATTCGGCATTTTGTCCGATGTCCTGGAAAGGCGCGGCACCGGCTCCAAGAATGAAGCCTTTCGCTGCAGACATCTCCATATCCTTTGCCAGGGAGAGGAGCGAGTATTTAGCGTCGAGGACTGGCCGAGGGAATAGGTGTTGCTGTCCGCCTACGTCGGCTATGCGCGTGTTGCCGGAGAGTCCGGATCCAGCGAGATTGAATGGTGCATGGCGCAGGTCAGGACATTCCACTACCTTTGCGCTTGCAGTCGCAAAGTTTGAGAGTAGGGACTTCTCGATGAGGGCTGCCAACTCGTGTAAGGGGGGAGGGTCCCGTAGGTGCTGTGTTACAGCCATGTCCAGGTGTTGATCGGGGGTTTAACCAACGTTCGAATTGTTGTTCATTCAGACTGTCCGAATACATACTCTTCCTCTAGCAACTTTGGTCTTAGTAGACCATAGGCGGGGCAACCGGCTCTCAGATTGCATCATTGCCCGACATCGGCATTTACTTCGTTTCAATAGTTATCAACTCTCTCGCATCCAACATTGATAGTCTGCTTGTTAGCTCATTCAATGACAGTGAATACAGTAGGAACAAGGTGATGTTGATCATCAGAATTGATATTTTAGACGAAACGAAAGTCCTCGAGATTGCTCTCTCCAATGGCATAAATGTCATTATCCCAGCACATAATCGTGTTCCAACATGATATCGAATCTCCACGCAAACACATTCAAGTCCGTGTCTCATTAAACCGATCGTCTCATCAGCATCATAAAACCCATAAGGAGCCAAACCCAAGCCCAGAACCAAAAAAAAAAAGGAAAACGCAAAGAAAGAAAAACGCAAGCAGAGCCAATCAATCATCCAGACCGCTCAAACAACATAGTGCGAAGGCCTGCGACTGGAGCTGCGATGGCGAGAGTGATGCGAACCAGACCCATGGCCCCGACGAGAACTATGGCTCCGCCGACGGACAACAGTCTCCTTCACAACAACGTCGCGATGCGAATGATGCAGGAACATCGCCAGACAAGCCGTCCAGAAGAAGAACACAACCTCCATGATACCAATTGCAAAGGACGCCTTGAGCATAGCACAGGTCTTGTTCACATCCAGCGAAAGCGGGTTATTCGTCCTTTGACCGTAAGACCCGAACGGACCCAGGGAGACCCAGACCGAGCCGCCATGCCAGCTGGCGCAATCGGCGTTCGCGATAAAGCGGAGCTGATAGACACCGGCGATGAACGCGCCGAAGAAGCACAGGTCGATGAAGGCGACGAAGATGGCGGAGCGCTTGGTGGTGGAGAATCGGATTAGGGTGTCTACTGCCCAGAAGATGGCGATGACGCTGACGATGAAGAGGACCAGGATGTAGGCTGGGGTAAGTTCGTTGGCTTTGAGGTATCCGTTGACAAAGTAAGCCTGTCGGGAGTGGTTGTTAGCTATGGATTGTTTTTTTCTTGTTGCTGGGGGTTGTGTTCGGGACTGAGGGCTGAAAGGTGGGAGGGAAGATCTACCATCATGCCAATGATTGGGATCAGAAAGACGATCTCAACCAGGCGGTTGAAGATGAAAAAGACACTGCCAATCATCTTGAAGGGGAAGATTAGATCTTCGGAATGCGACGATCGTGTTGATGTGGTGATTGAGTTCTGGATGTGTTTTGTATGAGCCTGGGGCTACACCAGAATGTCACTGCGACAGCAACAGCTGCAGGATGCACGATAGAGAGAGATGCAGGGGAGAAAAGTGAAATCGCAAGTGAATCAAAAAGGATAAATATGAGGGGAAATCTTCCACAGATCTTGCAGCGTCATCTTGGGGAGGAGGCTGGGCGACTCAGAGGGCGGCATCGAGGAGGCTGGGGGGTCCCTGGTCTGAGTGGCCTCGACAGGATTTGGTCTTATTGAACCGTTCTAGTCGCTTGCATAGACCCTCTAGTTTAATCTATGTCTTGCACTTGGTTGATCCCTTGTCGCATTTGTCCATTTGGTCGCACTGACGGAGTATAAAAGTGTGTGTTGTCAAGCCAACAGGTGGAGCCCCCAACTTTAGAGCCTATCGCCCTGCTTTGACGGTTAAGACACTAAAAGACACTAAGAAAACCAAGTAGAAAGTAGACGCAGAATACTGAATTCGAGAATCGGCTATCAAATCTCTAAACGCCTAGTCATACAGACGGGACCCAGCCATCTTTTCATATCATGTCCAAGCCGTCGGCATCAAATGCCATCTAAACTGCAATCATGGAGCGATTCCTTTCAATCATCTTTACATAGCCCGACCGGGGATATTAGTCAACGGGCGCCCTGGACCAGCCATCGCCCCCGATTGCATCTCCGCGTCCGTCAGCGGCTGAGCCTGGGAGACATACGCCGTGTTCTCATATTGAGGCAGAGAGTGGCCAGCACCCGGGTTCTGCGCCCTAGCATAATTATGCCTCATCTCATACCCATTCGTGACATCGTCTTCACTAGAAGACCAAGCACCGCCATCCGCATCGTGGTCGTGCGGGCGACGATTGTTCACATTGGACACGTAGGGGTTAGAGCTAGTCAGATACTCCGAAGGCGCGGGACGGGAGTAGTCGTGTACCGAGACAGCAAGATCCGGATCCATGCGCTCAGCTTCAGGGTTGCGAAGAGCTGTCGAGCTGTCGACCTTGGCGCCCATCAGCCGCACCGAGTCAGGGCCGGCGGGGTCAGTTCCCCAAGTGCGAATCGGGTACGCCCGGCCCTTGCGCCACGCTTCGGCGAGAGGAGGGAAGTACTGGCGGTACGAGACGTAGCCGCAAGCTGTTCCGAGCATGGAGCCCGTGATCACGTCGAAGGGATGATGACGCGCATCCATGATCCGCGACACGGCAACGAGGGTTGCGGCAAGGAGCGGGATCGTCACGAGGAGGGCTTTCCAAGCTTCGCCGCGGTTGTCCATGATGTGAAGCTTTCCTCCCAGCCAAAGCGCTGTGTAGACCAGGCCGGCGAAGGACGAGCTGCTGTGACCTAGATAATCGAATGTCAGCATTTGACCATTATCGGACCCTTCCGTTTGTGTCGCACGTACCGGAAGGCCATGACCGGAATCCATCTTTGATGATGGCCGGGTCTCCAGTGCAGATTGTTGAGTTCGACAGTCCGGGGAACAGGTCCACACTGCCCTCACGGGGTTGACACCGGTCAATGAGATCCGGTCGGGGCTTTCCACACGCCGTCTTCAGCGCCTGGGTCATGACGAACGCGACTGCCTGTGCCAGCAATAGGCCCAGGATTCCACAGTTCATCTCCCACAGTCGATCCTTCCATCGGTAAGGACCTCTCAGCTTCCTCTTCCCAGACCCGGCATCTTGGGGCTTGTTGTGCGAGAATAAGCCATCGATCACCAGTGTATATACGACGATGAGGACGAGTGGGAACGCGCCGGAAATGCACAGCGCGTACTTGATTGGGATTCGTTCGTGGACGGCGTAGGGGTATTGAATGGAGATGTTTCGGAGGGAGAAGTGTTGGTGGTAAGGTTCGATTGAGTCGACGATCGCGAAGCCAATCACACAGGCACTGGAGTTGGAAAGTATCAGATCAATGCAGCTTTAAGATCATGCAGGTAATCCATGGGGAGCGTACATTAGAATCACATAGTCAAAGATGTAGCTATGACAGAAGAGTTAGTTCGGGGTCCCGGCAAGATCGAGCTTAACCCACGAGATGATGACACGCGGTCGGAGCCGCCGTTTGGAGAATGGCAGGGTTTTGGGGAGCTCCATATTCCAAGGGTCAAGATTATGTGCAATTCATGGAGTAAGAAAAGGGAAGGGAAGAATCGGCTGTCGCGTGCCTTATGAACGCAGAGGCGCAAAGGCGCAAATAAACTCTTGGCAAGGGATTTTGACTTGGCGCCTCATCGCTTTCTTTCTTTGGTTAGTCCAATTGGTGTAAATGTGCGTTTCATGTCTAAAAGCAAATCAGTGGCGGAGTTTATACTTTGTTCAGGTACCCGGTACCTGGTTGTTCATGGTCTAGACCGTGTGGTGGCAAGTACCGAGTACCCAGGCCCCTAACCCCAGTGCAGATCCCCATTTTCGGGGGTTTTAGTTTATTTTGTTGATAATCAGGCTCCAGTCAAATGGGTGACACGTTCTAAGTAGGGGCAACACAATTGGCTTGGATTACTTCACTTGTCTCTGAACTACAGTATCCAGGGCTTCTTTCTGATCCACCATATCCGCATTTAGGCAGCATGATTACCTGCATGTCAGGCAGGTCAGAGTTGATCAGTAGAGTTGGATAAGGTAGGAGTTGCGAGGAACAGACCGCTATATGAAACGAAGAGGGCCAGACTGAGAAACTGAAGGAGTGAATTCAATGTACTAATACTAATACACAAGTCGAAGGAATGTCGACGCCTGCCCAGGCGTGCATGCGTCTCAATTACACATCAACCAAATATGGCAATGCTTTTTTCATATCAGGCAGCCTTGCAGAAAGGTATTCTTCTTTATGGACACCGGGCCAATCAATCAAACAAAAGAGAAGAAATTGAAGCAAAAAAAAAAGAAAAAAACAGTCCGTATTAACGTGAGGCATCAAAAGGGTTTACAAGGCATAACGGTGGCCGCGGGGAGCACATGTCCATAATCGACGGCGAAAATGCACGTCTTATTTAGCAAGTGGTAATGAAGAGACCCAGACTGCAGGGAGTGTTAGCTGATATCCGACAATTGGAGTCAGTGGAGAAAACATACGGAGAGGGGTTCCAGTCATTGAACCAGTTGATGTTGGTGCTGCCAGCCTCCTTCATTTCGTAGGCCACAGTAGTGCCGGCAGGACAGGAGAAGGTGGAGACAACATAACCGTTGCCCGGGGAGATGGTGATGTCGCCGAGATCCTGGGCAACGGAGGGCATGTTGCTAGAGCTGGTCTGCTCGCTGACAACGGACGAGAGCTTAGCAAAGTCGATCTTGCCATCACCGCTGAAGGTGTAGTCAGTGGTCTCAAGGTTCTTCTTCAAGGGGAAGAGGAAGACCAGGCTGCAAGTCTTGCCGGCGTAAGACTCTGGAATGTCGAAGTTGAACGCGGTCGAGACGGTTGAAGACACGGTACCATTGTAGGAGGTACCGGCGGCCTCGTCGGGCTTGGTCGAGTCAACGGGAATGATCAGATGAGGGTACTGGTAGTCGCCAGAGGTCAGGTTGGTAGGGCAGCTACCGCTAGAAGACTTGCTGGCCGAAGGGGTAGAGGAGGCTGAGGTAGCCGGGACAGAGGCGCTGGCAGAGTCGGTGGGCTTGGGGCCACTAGGCACACGAGAGAACGAGGGAGATTGGGAAGGCTTGCTGCCGCTGCCGCTGCCAGAAGGAGCGGGAGCAGAGTGGGATGATTGAGCACCACCGCCGCCGCTAGGAGCGGGAGCAGATTGAGAGGGCTGAGAACCTCCACCGCCGCCGCCAGCACCACCACCACTAGGAGCAGGGGCAGACTCGGAAGGTTGAGCTTCGCCGCCGCCACCAGGGGCAGATCCAGAGGGCTGTGAACCACCAGCAGGACCACTAGGCTGAGCACTAGAGCCGCCACCAGGAGCGGGAGCAGTTTGGGACGGCTGAGAACCTCCGCCGCCGCCAGTGACGGCACCTCCACCACCAGGAGCATTTCCAGAGGGTTGCGAACCGCCAGCAGGGCCACTAGGCTGAGCACCAGAGCCACCACCACCAGGGGCAGGGGAACCACCAGGGGAACCAGGAACACCAGAGGCAGAGCAGCTGTTTTCAGTAACGGTAACAGTAGTCATCACAGTCTGAGGAGAGCCAGGCAGAGAAGACTCGCCAGCGCCCGAGCCGCCAGGAGCGGAGCCCGAGGGAACGGGGACACCACCACCGCCGCCAGCAGAGCCCGAGCCGGAGCCGGGGGTACTAGCAGTAGGCTGGGAACCGGAACCTGAGCCAGCGGGGGTAGACTCCGAGCCAGCACCACCGGGTCCGGAACCACCGCCGGACGCAGAGGCAGAAGCTGTCGGCACGCCTGAGGAACCAGAGGGTTGGGCGGCCGGGGAAGATGTGGAGGCGCCAGAGCCGGAACCAGAGCCCGAGTTGGAGCAGGAGTCAGCCTTGAGCTGTATGTTCTTGCACTGAGTAACATCGGTACTGTTGGTGGTGTAGACATTCAGACCACCGCGCTGACCGGTTTCACAGGCAATGAAGTTGCTGCTATTGTCGTACTCCAGCTGGCCGTTGGAGTTGATGGAGAAGCCTGGAGTAGGAGATGCACCTTCATCACACTGGAGCTGGGTGGTTGGGGCTGTAATGTAGTCAGATTGAAAGTCCCGATATGATGTCCGATATTTTCATATTTGTTTACTTACGGGTCAGGATACAGCCACGGCCCTTGTTGTCGGTGATGGCACCCTTGGAGTCAATACAGTACTGAGCGGCCGACAGGGTGTTATCACCAATTCGGTTCTGGCCGTCGCTCAGCTGGCCGAGCTCGCCGGAAGCACCGCCAGAGGAGGTGAGGTGGAAGCAGCAGGTATCACTGCGGCCAACGAGGGCGTTGGAGCCGGCAGCGAAAGCCGCGAGGGTGATGAAGTTCTTCATCGTTTGCTTTTCAGCGAATGAACAGAAAGCCCGTCGAAAAGTAGGAAATGATGAAGATCTTCTCGATTGATATCCGCCTGGGTCTGTTTGCCGGAAGAGGGGAGAGATCAGATCTGGGAGGCAAGAGGCAAAGAATATGGGAGGCAAACAATCTTTATAGCATGCAGTGGATTAAAGCTCCAACATTACGAATCAAAGGAATATATATATCCGCCTGAATCGGCATAATCACCCGAGAAAAGATAAATCAAAAAATAGAAACGCTGTGCTGTCAGGCAGTCTTGCTATTACCCATGGATCAAGAACCCAATAAACCAGCTTCTTTGGCCCCGGAGAGTAAACATCGCAGGCCCGAACCAGCCGGAGCGAGATGCGCAATAAGAAGATCGACGTCATCTTGAACAGAAGTCCGATATCCTGATATGTGGAGAAACAGAGGCATTGCTCCACTAGGATTCAAAGGGGCCGACAACGGTCACTGGCTGTTCGGATGCATGGGCAGTGGGCCCTAGGTCAAGGTACCCCAATAATGTATGTGCATAGACAGACAGCCGAACGAGGGTGGCAACATCTAATTTCCATGGATCATGGCAAGGCTCCATCCTCCGAACAGTCGGATGGAACGGATCACAACAATGTCTTCCGTGGAAAACCGCGGGACCACGCAACTCTCATTGAATGCCAATGTTTGTACCAGGTAGTCGGGAGTACAAGAATGATGACAATTGTGGAGGTTGAGGGCTAAGCAAAAACATTGTGAGCTGAGACCTGGGGTATACTCGACCTGTCACCAACTCATTAGCTCCCTCAACGTTACTGAAAAAGGAAACAAGAACCAGGGTCAACAAGGCCAGACTTTGTCGTCATTGTCACCTGCCGATCCCAAATGTAATTTTCGAGCTGATAGCTCTCATAGGTGTAAAGAGTGGGCAGTGGAGGTCTAAGAGAGAACATAACAATGACCTCAAAAGGAAGAAAAGAGAGTGGAGCGGGTGCGAGGCCGACTTAGTCACTCATCAATGCGGTGGGCCCGGCAGTATATCTCGACCAACGGCATCATCTGGCTATTTTTGTTCCTTGTTGCAACCATGGTTCTTTGCCTTTCACTTCTAATAGCCCCGAGTCTTCGTTGTTGCTTTATCGAAGGTTTCTAACAGATATTTGGCAGCAAGTCACTCATATGATATGCCACGTCAACATCGTTGACCCTGCAAACCATAAAAAACACACATGTTGTCTGTACAAGTAGTTCTGTGTGGTGGATGCGTAACAATCCACGACCCACGACGCGTGTCTAGCCCCCGATCTGACTGACGATCAGTAGGGCACAGCCCATCAGGCTGTGATGCTTCTAGAACCCCTCAATGGGGGTGGATGGACAGCATCTCAGGCACGGGAAAGGACTTTGGAGCCTACAACGTGTTATTGGCAATGTTCTCGTGCAGGGATAAAATTCTTCATGCATCCAGGAACCAGGCAACAATCTGCAAATACCGAGCCTTGTCAAACTGCCTCGAAGCCATCGAACCGGTTCTAATAAATTAAATGATGACATTAAACTCTGGACCCGATGCTACTGTTCTCTAAATCCCGAGCTTCGGCAAGCCACATCCCTCATTTCTCCATTCTTGCTATAGGATGGAGCCCTTGGCCGTTAAGAGATCGGCTCGTATGCATTAGCTCTTCCGCCGCCAAGTTTATCCCGGTGTGCCTTGTCGATCTCAATGTGGGTGGTCTGGTTGACCCAGTGGTATCGAATGCAAACACCATGACTATAAGAATGACATATCATTACATAACATGAGCTTTTCTTGCGTCATAGTGTTGATGGTGGGAGTCGGGATGATTACATAGACAGGAACGGGGTATCCAGCTCGGTGAAGAGGGTATTCCAGTCCACAGCCGCTGAGTCCACACTCTCGTCAAATGCCTGCCAGAGCTCATCCAAAGAGGGCATCGTCGGATCCATTAATTTGCTGTCAATGCATGCAATTGAATCGGTCAGGCCTGTGGGCATAGTAAAGTTACCCAAATGCCCAGCAGATGTCTGTTCCTGGATGGTGGGTCCCATTGTTTTTCCTTTAGCTGGGGTTGTTATGTTTCGTTGACGAAGAACATTTTTGAAACATTCGAGTAGACCCTTTGCAAATGGTGAGTGTCCTTTGGCCTCCTCTAAGATTTCAAAAGCATCAAGAATCTCCCTTTCTCGCCCTTGCTCATTCTCTTGTTGAGAACTGCCCAAACAGTAGTCGATGAGGAGCACAATAATAGCCACGCAGACACAATGTATCATGCCTGAAAACTTCAAACGTGTTGTTACGAACGAAATCATCTCACGGGATAGTTGGTGTTCAGTCTGAATGACCATTCGCGCAGCCTCTAGACAAGCTTTCCGGGAGGGCTCATATGCAGGATCCTTTGCTGAGCGCGACAGATAGGGTAGATGGAGTCTGCATCTCTGGGTGTGAATCATAAAATTGAAGATGTATCGCTGGATATTGATTCCTGTGGATTGCCGTGGATCGTTCTTTGGGATATTATCTGGAACAAAAGACAAAGAAAAGAAAGTGGGTAGTTTTGATACAAATTCACATATCTTGATGTCAATCTGTTGGGTTTGCTCATAGTCCGGCGTGCCTGGGTCGAACATCCCAAATGGTGCGCTATCTGTTATTTCGCGACAGAACTCACCCAGTCGGATTCGCTGAAGACAGTACGACATCGATGTTGGCTCTTCAATTGGTTTCCCGATGCGAATCATCCCATCGATCAAGTCCTCGTCATTTACATTGATGGGTTTGTCGGTCATCATATGGCGAGGATCAATCGAATATGTACCTTTCTGAGGGCCAGAAATTTGGGACATTTGCCTGCTATGAATTAGCATCGATCATGCAAAGAGAATGTGAGAAATCTTACCAATCAGTTGCCACTACATACCACCACACTCTTCGACCTATCTCTGCTCTCGCAGAGTCCCGCGGAGGAATATCTAGACTGCGGTTGTGTGGGTGATCGATGCGGTGTAAGGATAGTTCTCTTGCCATTGAAATTGCCATGCTCACGAGATACCGAGCTTGAGAGGCTATTCCAACCAGATTGGTAGTCACGAAGATCAGAATGATCATAGCCTGGACATCTTCAAGGGACTCAGTGTGCTTGGAGCGTGAATATTCAATCACCTCCAATGCCAGTCTCATCCATTGTATGGACTGTCCATTGGCTTCTTCAACACTGGGGAAGAAGTCAATGTGCATATCATGCTCTGTCCAGAAGGTCGTAGTACTGGCGAGGATTCCCAATAGTAGTGAGACTTGTCCAATCTCGACAGGCCGGCTGTCCCGTATATCACTGTAAAGCTTTTCAATCAAAGCCCGCAATGATGGAGTATGTGCCACATGGTGAAGGTACGTAATCTCTCTGATATATTTTTCAATAATCACTAGCGTCTCTTCATATAAAGGGAGCCAAATGCATTTTGTCCGTGGTGCACTTTGTGAGACTGCTGGTGTCAATTTCAGAGCTTTCTGTATGGGACAGGTTTTGAATTCAAGATCGTATTCCAAGAGGCAGTTCTATTAACAATGTCAATATTGGGCTTGGGGTGAATCCCAGTGTTTTTAAGCCTACCGCCAAACCGGGAGAAGTGATTTCACCCTCCAGCCAATCCACAGCAGCTGCCGAAGATGACTCTACTTGCAGACTTCTAATTGAATGGTCTGTTTTGTGTGTTGGGGTTGACGGATGGGATCCTGTCTGATTTGGAGATTGACTTGATTCACCAATCACAATATCTTCTAGACGGCGCAACCGAGCAAGAACATCGGCGTTGAAGTCGACGGATGTATTCTCTGATTTTTGCGGATCTGAAAGGGTTGGAAGCGACTGCGCAGCTAAGATGGGATAGAGTTGGCATTCCTTGCCCCGGCTCGTGCAATTGGAACATGGGAATTGCCGACTGCACTTAAGCTTTCTCTTGCGACAGAAGTGACATGACACCGGTCTGGAGCGCGATGATATGGCAAGCCCCTTGTCAACTCGATACATATTTGCAGACAAGATGTTCTTGTCGTAAGACGTGAAGAGTTGGGGGCCGGATGAGTATTGATGTCATAAGCCAATCACGAGCCGCCAAATCCGCGGAACTTCCGCGGGAACGGACTTCCCTATTTGGGATATTTATTGCTCTAAACTCAGGTATATAAATCTTCTTCGGCTGGCAGACATAGGGTTAATCATCTCATCTTGAACCATCAACTAATATATTCCTCTCATTGCAACCATGGACTCAATTGTCGCTCAAATCAAAGCCTTGGCCGATACTGCAAATGAGGCCGGTCGGCTGGAGATCATAAAGACTCTTCAGCAGGTGAAAGTTGACCTTCAAACTCCAAAAGATGTCTTGTTTGAGCTTGTTGGTCTTGTATGACATTCACTCTAGCCAGTTGATCGTATGCTCATAGTCACAGGGTGGCACAACCATTGCGATGCTGAGAGTCGGCCAAGACCTGGGAATCTTTGATCTGCTTTCGAAGACTGAAGTTTCTATTTCCGTGGCTCAAGTCGCCGAGAGAGTAGACGCAGCTCCTGAGCTACTGGGTAAGAAATAATTTGATGTGTACTACAGATAGATATACATGGAGCTAATGTGGCTCAATATTCGTAGAGAGAGTTCTCCGTCACCTAGGAGCAACCAACACCATCAAAGAAACAGGACCAAATGAATATACTGCGAACGATGTGACCCAAATCCTGGGTAGTCCTTTTGGCGAGGGTCTTATTCATCAGGCGTGAGTCCAGCATTTCTGCAACCACTCAGGTAAGAACATTGAAGGAATTTCGGCTGACATGACAAAGATTCAACCTCTACTTGCCTCTCAGCCAAGCAACGCCAACGTTCTTTGCAGAAAATAACTACAAAGACGTAATTGACAACCGGCACACACCACTCCAAAAAGCATTCGACACGAAACTGACGTCGTTCGAATGGTTCTTCCAACACCCAGAGTACATGGAAGCAATGCACAAGACCATGGGCGCACTGCAAGGAACCGAATGGACAGAAGGGTTCACCCTCCTCGAGACTGAAATCCAAAAGGTCACCGTGACACCTCCGACCCCCAAATCACACCCATTCCTAGTGGACATCGGCGGCAGCCACGGCCACCAATGCATTGAACTAGCAAAGAAATACCCAAGTCTTCTGAACCACCTGGTCTTGCAAGACCTCCCTGTGACAGTCGACAAACTGGCACCAATAGAAGGTGTGAAGGTTGAAGCCTATAACTTCTTCGAGACACAGCCCGTGAAAGGTCCGTACTCTATCCTCGGTCTCTGTCCGTACCTATCACACACAAGCAAATCTAATCGTCTAACCTAGACGCCAAATTCTATTACCTCCGCCGAATCATGCACGACTGGCCCGACGATAAAGCAGCGCAGATCCTAGTAAATACTGCTGCGGCCATGGGACCCGACTCGCGCATTTTGATCGACGATGTGGTTATGCCTGAAACCGGTGCGAACTGGCAGGCAACTATGGCTGATATTTCAATGATGATCTTGGCTGGGAGGGAGCGCAGTCGATCTCAGTATGAGCATCTTGCAAAATTGGCAGGATTGCAGGTTCAGTCTGTTCATTCCTATGCTGCTTCGACTTATACTGCTATTGTTGTCATGGTCAAGGAGTGATTGGCTTGGTTGTTGGTAGGATGGTAAATTCAGCAAAACCCATCCCTTGGCAGGGTTGTCTCGGCAATGTGATATATATTTACGATGTAGGTCGGATCTCTTGTCTGAAAAATAGATATATGTTGTGGGAGGTGGAAACAATCGAATGAGGTTGCTTATTGACGTCGAATTCCATCAGTAACATTCCTAGTTTTCCCTGCACACTATAATAAGAATGGCCTTTGGCGGAGAAACCAATGACAGTGCACTAGAAAGCAAACTAGAGCCCTGTCAGGATCTTAGTTCGAAGCTTAGATTGACAGGGCGGAGCTTGGAAGGGTCCACGAGTGGAGCTCTGCAGCCCTAGTACGGTCTTCAGGGTTCGATTTTAATGTTTGTTTCGAAGGTTTGTGTGGTCAAGTAAAGTTGCTATTAACAAGAAAAAATCAAGCAAATTGTACTTAGAGAAGTCAAATAGACACTTGTGCTGTGTACATATCCAACAAGCAGATAACATGATTCCCACCCGATCAAAAGACGAACCTTGCCAGCCGCCAAAACACTTAACGCCTTGCTAGCCGAAAAAAAAAATAGAGATGGAAATGGCGCTCGATGGAACGGAAAATCAACGCAAAAGATAGTGCAGGGGAGGGACGTCCCAATAGTGATGCTAATACAGGTCGTAAATCATGCTTGTGCAGAGCGAAAAAGAGAATTTCAGGGGATATATTATTAAATCAGGAAGCCTGACTGGAAGCGGATGTCCTCGACTGGGCGGAAACTTGTCTGATGGTTGGCGTGGAAGAAGCTTCACTGATGGTCTGGAAGGTAGACTGCGTTGGCGTAACCGGCGATACAGCCATGGGACTCGGCAGGTTCACATGGATAGAAGGCAAACGAGATATGCTGGGCAAGCGCTGAGGCTGTTCATGTCGGTCGGCGATAGGGCTCTGATATGCTGGAGCGTCACCCCAGTCCAGATGATCATACTCTGGGGGTGGAGGAATACTCAGAGCACCCAGATCTCCCTCATCAGCTTGTGATTGCGGTCGACTCGATCCGTGTGTTGTGGTCTGCGCTAGCGTGAGAGGTTCTAGCTCCGTACCCCCAGTTGACTCGCTGTGAATTGACGAGGCGAATGATTGAACTCGGGAGTCCCGGCTGGAAGGATCCTCCATTGATGCGGAATCCTGTAATAACAGCGGGTGACGATCCGAGTCGTGCGAATCCGCTCGAAGCCGCGAGCCATCATGGCGAACATGTCCAACGTTAGCATAACTGACTGTTGAAATGCGGCGTTCCCGTTCTCGCGCTTGATGCTCGGCCAAGGCGGCTGCTACATTGGCAGCGCTGCCGGTGTTGCTCCCTGGACGGCGAGCCTGGGACCTGACGCGGGATTCGGCGGCAAGTTGTTCGAGACGAGTGGAGTCGCCGCGCGACCGGGCTTCCCGTCGTTCCCGGCGTCGGGCCTCTCGATCGGCAAGTTCCTGGCGACGCTGAAGGCGAAGCTGGTAGAGCGAGTCCATTTGCTCTTCGCGTCGAGTTTCTTGTTCTTCGGCGGTTTCCGGGTACTCGACTACCATATCCATTCCACCGCGCTCGCCTTCCCGTGCGATAATTTGTTCGGTCGGCTTTGGGTTAGGAGAGTAAGGCGGTAGTGTCATGATTGATCGAATAGATGTTTCCCGGCGGACACCATCAGCAGTCTGCATTTCCGGTGCCGATCCAGCGCCGCGATATGATGTGTCTGTCGTATTCGCATTTGTTTGATTAGGAACTTGCCCATACGAGGCAGTCCCTGGGCGCCATTGCTTCCATTTCTGTTTGAGAAATGTCCCGGGGATATATTTGGGCTCGGAATGACGTTGTCGGAGATATCGGGAGAGGAAGAAGATAGAGACACATAAGGCAATCGTAAAGAGAATGGCAGATGCACACTAGAAGGGCCGAGTCAGCATACGAGAACCCTGGAGCCTGGAGGCTGGCGGCTGGAGGCGGAGAGCATACAATGATGAAGATCTTGTTCTTGTGCGAACTATCCGCACGTTTTTGAGGAATGTACATGGCTTCACATGGGAATCACCTTAAGACAGAAAACATAACAGGCATAAGTTGAGTGGAGAGAGAGAGAGAAAGAGTGAATCCGAGACAAGGCCGTGCTATTATTATAAGCGCCAAGCCATCGACAGCACTGGCGTGGCCTCGGTGGAGGCAGTGACGCCCGCTCTCTTCCCAATCAGCAACATCGCCATCTGGCTTGTGTGTCGATCGTTCAATCATTGATTCTTCCCAAACCCCGGGAGATCGTCAGTGTGGGCTCTGTTTCTCCCTCGAGCGCAATTTTTGCACAGTCACCTGCACGAGTCCTTATTGCAGCAAGGGTCCACGGGTACGGTCTCAAGTTTCAAAGCGACTCAAATAGAACTCCCTTGCGTGAGCTCAGCGCCTTGCACGCAGCGCTAATTATCGTCGATCATGTCTTTGGGCTGCTCTTGACTTGCTCGTCGCGTCTAAATGAGCTTCACAACTTCAATCTCCTCCCCAGCCACTGTCGGAAATCAGCCGAGGTTTGAGATAGATTCGATTCTTTCTTTTCAATCCGACTGAACTAATAAACATTGAAACGCTCCCACATTGAGAGTCAATTCAGGGGCGTCTCCAGCTATCAGTGGGTCTACCTGTTCATGCATTTCCCCTTGATGAACAAGTCGCACGGTTCCTATCTCCCGGAGTTGGAAGCAGGTACAGCTCTGGAGACTGTCCCACGCGATCTGTTTTTACCCGGAAATTACTCTTGTGAGGGATGAAGAGATATTGTCTACGCACATGAGATGCTCATGAGAGACCCGATCAAGACCTGATCAAGACCTGGATCGGACGGTCGACATGGTTTCCTTTGAAAATTCAAGTATCTTCTTTGCGTGTGCCATTTGGTCTGAGTCATATGCATAGAATTTCTCACCTTGATTGATCAGCCTTCGTGGTTGCTTTGACTGCAATTGCTGGTGGCCTAGTGGCTGGTGAGTACGAGGAAGACCTTCTCCTCTTTGTCGCTTTGTCATTGATTGGCAACCACGCTCCCTGATTCTTCCGAGCCCTAACATTGTTCCATAATCTCTACCCTCGACGCGGTGGTGGCATTGGCCACTTCAGCAAGTATTCAATCGTGCAGATGCCTGCGGCGAACTCGGACTGTACAGTAGTAGATGAAGGGTCCATGGAGAAAAGATAAAATGAAACCTCTAACGTGATCACTCAAACGATGAGCAGCAAGAGAAAGTAGAAGATCGATAGTCTGATACCACCGTTCCTAATAGGGGGAAGAGGAATGAGCTTTCAGGACTTCCAGCCGAGACTTTCAGCCGAGAGCAGCTTGTTATATACTGAACTCAGTGCGGAATAAAAAAAGAAAAATACTTTGACCTTTGTAAAGAAAAAATTGTATTGTCTCAGCGGTGAAGTTGGTTGTTATTTTCTGTTGAGGGTCAGATCCTTACCATACGGCAAAAGTTGCATACAGGACTGTATCGGTAACAAACAGCCACGATCAACTGTGGAATCTAGCGAGAATCACGACATAACGGGGATATATTGCGGGGAAAGAGGATAGATTCCTATAAATATGGCAGTTCCAAACAGGAATCTCAAGTCAGAGGCCAAGAAGTTGCTCACAGTTGCGATATCTCACCATGGCGAATTTGAAAGACTTGCGCTCTTTTGGCCAGGTCCCCTGGAACCTGATAATGGCAATCCTTGTCATCAACGTCAGTGTATTCAGTTTTGGATTTGATCAGAGTGTCTTTTCCACCATACAGGCAATGGATGGTACGTTATCTTCACTGTGGTTTATCTGTTGTCAATACTAAATTTGAATATCTAGCATACGAGAAACGATTCGGAACCTACGATCATAAAACCGAGACATGGGGATTCACGGCCGAGCACTTATCTTTCTTGAACTCTTTCGGCCTCCCTGCCAAATGTGTAGGCGCTGTTATGGGTCTACTATTTGCCGAAAGACTAGGCAGAAGACCATCCTACATTGCCATGCAGTTCATCGTGATCATCGGTATTGCGGTCAGCTATAGTGCTCAGACGTTTGGACAGGCTCTTGCAGGCAGAATTATTGTCCAATGCTTCGTGGGCTGGGATAATTTCTTAGCGCCGATGTTCCTCGCTGAGATCAGTCCCACGTTTCTTCGAGGAGGTATCGTGGTGATTTATGTCTTTGCGCATATTCTGGGATCCTTGATTTGCTCTTTTATTACTCTTGCCACGGCGAAGTATGAAGGGGATTCCTCGTGGCAGATACCCTTAGCTTCGATGTTTGCATTCCCGTTGTGTGTCTTGGTTCTTTTCTGGATTATTCCTGAGAGTCCGAGGTGGCTTGTGCGAAAGGGTCACCGTGAGCGTGCTATTAAGCATCTTCGTTGGCTTCGTGGGTCTGCCTTTACAGAACAGGAAGCGGAGGTGGAGGTGAACATTTTGCAGGAGAGTGTTGATGGTGATGCTGTGACAAAGGGACATTGGAAGGACTTCCTAAAGGGGTCAAACAAGGTTCAATCTCATCGTGATGCTGGTCATTTGGTTATAAACTGACGCGATCCTTAGCGACGACTCGGAATTGCGATAGCATCCGGGATGTTTAATCAACTGACCGGCCAAAGCTTCATGAGCCAATACGGAGCCATATTCATCAAAAGCCTCAATACGATGAGCCCTTTTACTTTCAGGGTGGTTTCCTCCGCTGTCACGCTCGTAGGTCCAATCATCAGCTTCTCCTTGGTTGATTTGATTGGCCGACGGAGAATGTACTTGACTGCAGGAAGTGCCTGTACAGCGGTGCTTCTCATCTGCGGTGGATTAGGAACAGGAAATGTTACCTCCGGCGACAAGACTGGCATTGTGACCGTCTGTGTTCTCTTTGGATTTTTTTACATTATGTCCTTTGGAGCCATGTGAGTTCCTTCGTCCCTTGGATTTATCCCGGTCAAACCCCTGACGTTTCTCAATAGCGGTGCCGTCACTGCAGCAGAAGTTCCCCATTTACAATTGCGCGACAAGAATTCAATGATAGTATATTGCGTGCAATTTGTTTGTGACTTTGTCGTCTCCTTTACCCTTCCATACTTACTCGACGCTGGATATGCCAATTTGCAATCTAAGGTTGGATTCATCTATGGTGGACTCGGATTTCTCGGTCTTGTCTGGGCATACTTTTACTTACCAGACATGGCTGGTCGCTCTCTTGAAGAACTGGAGATCATGTGGGCAGAGAAAATTCCTGCACGTCAGTTCCGAAGTATGTTTCTGTCTCATGCTCCCCTGAATTGTACATTGACTTTGTGACTGACAAATGTAGAATGGAAATGTCCCGTTCACGTTGGCGCAGACGACGAATCCACGTTTACTGGCGTACAGCATGAAACCACCAAGGTTTAAATTACCGGAGCCGTCGATGATGCCTGTTCAAGTGAGAAAGATGAATGTATATAATTTCCTGTCGTCCAAGTCTCGTATTACGCCTAGTAATTTGCAAAAGCCGTTTCTTTTACACTAGCATACGTCCTACTCCTCTTTCAAAATACAGGCTGATCTCAACTCCGCTAAACAATGGCCCGTCTTCCTCATGTCGTTCCCATATAGTTCATCAAGCTGTCCACGGTGGGCCCGCTAAACCAAACATGGAGGCAATTGCAAATCCGTAGTGTTGATGGCGAGATGAGACTACGGCTGTCGGTCCCGACTACCGGACGCTATCCCAAATCAGGTCTCGGGGAATCTATTCAAAGGCGTGACCTTGGGGTCTCAGTCGTACAACGGTATTGCTGATCATTTGAAAGACTATATTGGCCAGGGTTCTAGACGATACTTGCCTGCCCTAATATGAGGTTGAGAATTCGGGTTTACTTTCGAGCAATCCTGCTCCTATTTGCTAGACGTTATGGCCTCTGGACTTGTCAACAAAGACAAAATAAACAAGTCATTCTCCCTGGGTACTGCATATTAATCTTCGGCCGTTTATAGATCCCTTGGAAGTTAGCTCAAGTGACGTGGTTGCTTTCGCGGCTTCGTCCATCGCTACAGATTGCGAGGGGTATGGGTAAACTAAATTATACGATACCGAGTTTGTAACAGAGCATTAAATTTCATAGTGTTAAATTTTCTGAAGAACTAAATATGACTTAGATTAGTCTCTGCTGTAAACAAACAAATAGCCCCCTGGGAGCAAACCCACTAAATTCAATTCCTTCGAACACCAACAAGTGACCGAATGGGCTTTTTCACAGCGAAACTCTGCCGCTTGATCAATATTAAAGTTACTCTGTGCCTTTTATTAAACCTTCCGCGAGATCCTAAATTATAATGAATACTGTATGGGAGTAGCGCGCATTTGACCAACCCGTGAGCAGGTTTGAAATAAATACCCATCTTCTGTGGTTGCTTCGATGATTTCTCTCTTAAGATAATGACTTGATGCAAGAGTTCGTCGCAAAGACTACCACGCCCATACACCCAACATATGTCGTGCAACCATCCGGAATCTGCTGCTGCCAAAGGCGCCTGCTGTGTACCACCGAATTCCTGGTTTATTATTGTCCTTGAGCCTCAGGACTCGGACAGCACAAGAAGTATAACTATAAGGTCACCATATGATCAAATATGACGTAGAAAAATAAAGTTTCTTGATCAGACCAAATCATCTCGTGGTGGCAGATCAAAACTATATCCAGCGGTGTTATGAGGAAGCGACGCGATGACCCACTGCTAACTGGACATTGATCGCTCACGAGCGTTTTTGACCAGGATCATTCCATGAATTTAAGTCGGTCTACTCTTAGCTATCAAAGTCAGGAAATCTCGTCGTTGCCGTGAATCCTAGATTAGGGGGCTTGCTTCTTACTGATTCGTGCCCGCACAAATAAGAGGCCAGGATCGACAGGAATGAGATCACCTGAAAACACGGCATGACTGGACCGTCCCGCGTAGATCGACGTTGCAACTGCTTATTAGTATCGACGCGTTGTCCATGCTCATGGGTGTGTTCATGCCAAAGACAGGGGTTTGCTCCAATAGGATATACGCTCCAGGGCAACCGACCTGGAATTACGACGGTGCATCACCGGGCCCTGTCAGCCTGCCCAAAATGATACCACGAGTCTAGCTGGACGACAGCGTGTATGGGATATAATATGGGCTCAGTTGCAGACCACTTCTGCTTCACCCCTCATCTGCAGCCTTGTGGACCTCCTACCGCACTCCTCATTGGGCTTTGACGCCAATCATTTAAGCGCTTGCAATCCACGCTCTTCAACTACCGAGTCAAACATTCAACATGGCAACCCTGAACTTCGCTTTGAAGAACAATACCGGTTCAAATACCGTCTACGCCTACATCACAGGCCTGGCAATCGACAATGGCAACGCGCTATTCCTCCTGCGCTCGGACGGTAGAACAGCCTACTATCCAACTTCGCCATCAGCAACTCTGACCAGTCTCAGCTGGGACTGTGCGATTCCAATGGGCGCAGCAGGTAGTACAACCAGCATCACCATCCCGCATCTCGCGGGCGCACGACTGTGGTTCGTCCGCGACAACAAATTGACCTTTTACCTGAACCCGGGCCCTGCGCTGGTCGAGCCGTCAGTCTCGAACCAATCAGACCCAAATTACAACCTCGACTGGGCATTCTGTGAGTTTACGTGGAACAGCGCCCAGCTGTACGCCAATCTCAGTTATGTCGACTTCGTGTCGATGCCTATTGCCATGACCCTGACCAATACATCGGGCGCCACGCAGACGGTGCAGGGTCTCCCAGCAAATGGTCTGGACCTGGTCTGCAGTGCTCTCATAGCACAAAACGACGCCGACGGTGCTGGCTGGAACCAGCTCGTGATCCAGAAGAATGGACAAAATCTGCGCGCCTTGTCACCGAACACGGGAAGAACTCTGAACAACTCCCTGTTCAGCAACTATTACAATGACTACGTGAACTCTGTCTGGAACAAGTACACCAACGACACCCTGACAGTCAACACGCAGGCAGCAGCCGGTGATGTCACTGCCAAGGTCTCGAATGGTGTGATGTACTTTTCAGTCTCGGGTGTCTCCTACACCAAGCCATCGTCTGGTGATATCTTCAGCAACAGCTCTGGATCCTTTGCTGTTTCTGGAAATGGGACCAAGGACGCGATTACAGCCCGCCTTGCGGCTGCCTTCAATCGTTCGACTCTGTTATTGAATGGTGCCCAACCGAACGGGCAGAATGTCAGCAACTACTACCAGAATGGCGTTACCAATCATTATTCTCGCATTTGCCATGCTGTCAGCACTGATACTCGGGGATATGCATTTCCGTATGATGATGTCGCGCCAAATGGTGGGCCTGATCAATCGGGTAGTGTTTATGATGGCAGCCCGCGGCTGTTGACAGTCACCATCGGTGGTGGCTCTACCAACTCTGTGAAGCAAACTGCGGTCGAGTCAGAAGTCGCGCCCGTCCCAGCAATCAAGGAGGCAAGCGATACTTCTGCTCCTGCTGCTCCTGCTGATAACAGAAATGGCAAACAGAGTCGGTTCCATGAACTGAAGAGAATCGTGAGCAAGTTGTCGCGCAGAAAGAGCAACCCCTGATTAACCCACGGGTTGGGAGAATATGGACTTTGGTATTTGAGCATATACTGTACATGATTACGTATATACGTGGGCTGGATTGTTTGATTTGCGTTTGCTTCTGCGAATTTGATTTGGAGTAGTTTATGAATACCATCGTTGTCTATCATTTGAAATCAATCATGCCTTTGCAACAATTTTCTTTCGCGCAGACCAACCCCTTTACTCTGAGTCTCCAGCCTGTCTTTTGATATAAGCCACCACCTGATCAGGAACAACTAGCCAAGGTGTATGCCCAGTCTGAATCTTCTCAGTTTCAATCTCAGCACCCCTCTTGCATGCCCGATCAACCAGGATCTGCTGCACAGCGACTGGAATCGCGCGATCCTCCTCACAGAGCAAGAAAGAAGTAGAAATATTCATATAGGCTGTACTGGTCGCAGGGGCCGTCTTAGTAGCACAAGCATGAGGCCGAAGCGATTTCGCCCAATCCGCGCCATCAGGAACATCATGGAAAAACAAGAACTGCGGATCACTCGTCGTGAAGGTGTTTGTTTCCTCCTGTCACAAGAATCAGCCCTGAAACCCTCCTACCAGAACCGCACAAAGAAAGAAACCAACTTACATCCACAACATACCACGGCGGGGGCGTCCCGCCAAAAGCGCCGATCAGCCCCTCGCCAATCTGCGGCAAAAACGCCGCAATGAACACGAGCTTGACCACGCCGCCTTTCAGGCCTTCGGCTTCCCGTTCAAGCTTGCTCAGTCCGTCTAATGCGCTGTTGACGGGGAGTCCAGCCCAACTGTGCGCAATCACAATGACGTCGTGGCCTGCGTCGACTTCTTCCTGCACGGCCGAGCGCACGGCCTGCGTGTCTGGCTCGAGATCTTTGACTTCGGTTGCTTTGATGATTGATGGGAAGGCGATGCTACGGCACTTGTAATCTGAGAGTTTGGGGAAGATCGGATCGAAGGCTGTTGATGGGTACCATGCGCCCGGCGCGAAGATGAGGGTTGGTTTGGCCATTTTCTTAGAGGGAGGTTAAACTTGACTCTCAGGATGAGATTGAAGAGATGGACGATGTTGCCTTTCAGGTGTCTTCGGGTGTCTTCAGGTGTCAAGGCTGAGGAAGGGGAAATACTCCGGCCACCTTTGCGGGGCTTTTTCAACCTTGGGGGCCACTAGGGCGGGAGATTAGCGAAGTGACCGAATTACAAGGTGAGCTACATTCCGGCTTGGACATTCAGGAACAGATGTAAGTCAGTTCCTGCAACCGGGGAACTTGGTTTTATACACTCATGCTTCGACCGGGTCCTTCGATCTAGACTCAACATTAGTTTCAAGGGAGACTGTGAAGATAAAAACATCGTTGTTTGAGTCGAAACTAACTATTGCCTGAGGCAAATCTAAACATACAGGTGAGCTCAAAACAACAGAGGACATAGCCTCACCTCCTCTAATCATCGGTATTGACCACTAGCTCTCATGAGTCTTCGTGGTCACAGAGCAAGTCGTACAGCTTGCCCCCCACCCGCTTCGACAGGACCCGGTAGGATCCATCCTCAACAACCACACCGTTGTCAAGGACCACAACGTGATCCGCAATCTCGACCATCTCCTTGGCGTGGGTGATGATGATGACCGTAAGGCCCTCACGTGCAGCCACCAGCCGCTGCACGGTCTGTCGAATGACCTCGGCGCCAGCAGGGTCCAGACTGGACGTGGCCTCATCAAGGATCAGGACTTGTGGCTGGCGCACTAGAGCGCGGGCAACCACCAGCCGCTGCTTCTGGCCGCCGGATAGTCCGATCCCACCGTCTCCGATGACAGTGTCGTAGCCTAAGGGGAGAGATGAGATAACCTCATCAACCCCCGCAGCTACGGCAGCTGCATGGATGCAGTGGGACGAAGTAAACCGGGAGAATTTGTCGAGCCCGTAGATGATGTTCTCGCGGATCGTCCCTGGGAAGATTGTCGGCTGCTGAGAGACGATTGAGATCTGTGAGCGGAGTGATGGTACGTGAAGGCGGAGGATGTCTTCACCACCGAGTGTCACTGATGGTTCTCCGTTGCTAGACAGTGGAGCTTCGTAGAACGACACGAGTAGAGAGGCGATGGTGGATTTCCCAGATCCGGATCGGCCGACGATTGCGGTGCAAGAGTTAGCGTTGATAGTGAGAGAGACATCACTTAACACGGTTGTGCGTGGTCGAGATGGATATCGGAAGTAGACGTGATTCAGTTTGATCGGCGTGAGCTTTGTAACGGTCAGAGTGTCCATGTGCTCGTGAGATACATTGTGAGGAAGCCGAGCGAGAGGAATGAGCTGAGCGGCCTTTTCGTGAGCAGTGTTGATTTGGGGTACTGGTAATAAAGTCAGTATTTGATGATTCTTTGGTTGGGGGGCACACGTACTCCATTGAAGAATGCGAGCTACAGATCCCATGCTGAATAGAAGGATCGAAAATACCATCATCACATCGTTGACCTTGTACTTTCCCTGTGCCACAAGTTCAGCTCCAACCCAGAAAATCAAAGCTATCCATGATCGTTAGTTGAAGCAGTATAAACAAGTCACTTTTACATGAGTGCTTACCAGTTGCGAAGATAACCATTGGTTCACTCAATCCGAAGAACATGCCGGAATAGATCGAACGTTTGAAACCAAGGACTCGACACTCCTCAAGAGCCTTGAGGTGTTTGCGATGGAAGTGACCTTCCAGTGTCAGTGATCTCACGGTGCGGATCTCCGAGAACGTCTCCATAAACACATCAGTAGCAACATCATTCGCTGCTTTGCATCGTCGTTCCCAATAATCATCCACAATTTTGAACCCCCAACTGGCAAGGACAATGACGGGTGAACAGGCAATTGCGACAAGTGTCAACTCCCAGCAGATAATCAAGCTCCAGACGATTGCCACGACTGTGAGGAAAGCGCCAACAATCATGTATCCGCCATAGCGACCAATCAAGTTCCGCATGTCCTCGACATTTTGATCAAGGCAGGATGTGAGTCTCAGTGATCCGTGGCCGTCCATATCAAACCATGCACGTGGTTGATCGAGAATTCGGTTGAAAGCGTTTGTTCGAAAAACATCCATCCACGCCTCACCGCAGATCTCCAGGAAATAGTGCATGAAGAAGGATGCGAGACCATCGCCAATTGCAACGCCTAGTACGGTGAGTGACCATTTCATTGTCAGTTGGCCGTCGTCGATTCCGGCATAGAAGGTGTTGAGCAGCTGCGAGAGACAGTATGAGAACAGTGGTGTTGCGCTTGCGTGCAGCAGTGCCGCGACAAAGCCCACACAGAATATCATGCGATGGCGTGGTGTCATGGTTGGGTAAACAGTTTTCAAGACTTGGAACAAAGAGCCGATCTTGTTCTTTGGAGTGAGTTGAGATCCGGATGTCAACGAATGGTGATGCGAGTGACCATCGAAACTTGAACCTTCCACATTCATACGAGTCATCTCTATTGCGTCTGCACCGACATCAGAATTGACTTCCGGTGAACTGTTCTCGAAGGCACCATTTGCATAAGAAAGGCGGTTTTGCGTGTCACGAACGGGTCGTGCAGGCTCTCTTGAATCCACCGAGTAAGTCGTGTTCCAGTTTGGGATGGCGGGCAACATGCTAAACCGAACAAAGGGAATATCGCTTCGAGCCCATGAGGTCCTAGTGTGACGACGTGTACGTACAGGCAACGGAGATTGCACGATATCCGACGAAGCATTTTCCCACTCCGCATCAGACCCGGATGTGCCCTGGTCCATCTCGCTTGAAGCTTCGTTGGCGTTTGACCCGAAATACTTTTCGCTCACCGGCTTGACTTCAATGCCAGAACGAAACCCCGAGTCTACGATGGTGCCGTGTTCTAGGATGTACAGGTAATCATATCCCATGATATGCGACATGTCATGGGTGATGATGATGGTGGTCTTCCCCTCCCTCCAGGTGCGAATCGCTTTCATCACTGCAACTCGATTGCTGTGATCTAAAGCACTGGTAGGTTCATCCAGAATCAAAATCGGTGTGTCACGCAGTCTAGCTCGGGCAATCGCAACTCTTTGTCGCTGACCACCGCTGAGGAAGCTTCCACCCGGACCAACACTTGTGTCGATGCCTTTGGGGAGACCGTCGATGGTATCCTCAAGCATGGCAAGCTTAATGCATTCATTCAGATCCTCCATCGTGACACTCTCGTGGTCATTCTGGCCAGAGACGATATTTGCGCGAACCGAATCATTGAAGAGAACAATCTTTTGCTCCACCAGTGTGATGTTGTTTCGAATCCAGTTGAGTTCAAGCTCTTTGATTGGATGTTGATCAATGAAGATCTCACCAGAGGTTGGCTGGTAGAACCGCATCAGTAGCTGACTGAGTGTACTCTTTCCAGATCCACTTTTCCCAATGACAAAGGTAGTCTTTCCGGCCGGAAAGAAGAATCGCGACGATTTCAGGACGACTTGATCAGGCTGGCTTGGGTACGAAAAGGAGACCTAGAGTCGTCGTTAACGGATGCTCACCAAGAAAGGGTACGGTACTCACATTTCTGACTTCGATGTCGCCTTTGCAGTACATTGGGTATCGATTTTCGTTGAGCTCATCATTTGCTCTGTCACTCGCCAGAATGCGCACAATCGACTTCAGGGCGGCACTGGCAATTTTGCCTTTCTCCATCACATTTATCTGCGGAAGTATCATTTCAACTGACTGGGCTGCAGTGAGACAAGCCCAGAAGGTTCTCAACACCTCTCCCGGAGAAAGTCGGCCAGTACCAGCCAGATATCCACCATACCAGAAGCCTTGGACAAACATTCCGAACATCATCCACTGGTTGAATGTGGCCTGGAGCGCATACAATCGAGCCTGTCGAATGTAGATTGTTGCAGATCGGCGAATGTGCTCAGAGAAGCTTTCACCCTCAGAGTTCTGTCCATTGAGGCATTTGACGGTGTCAATATTGGTGATTGCGTTGTTGGCGATCTTGGATGCATTGGTAAGCTCGACCTGTTGGGCCTCGATTACGCTCTTGATTCTCCATGAGAGGTACATGATGATACCGACCAAGAAGGGACTGCCAGCGAGAGTGACGAGCGACAAATCCCAAGAGGTGTAAAGACCTAGGCCGAAGCAGGCAATTGAGCGACCGGAATATTGCAGGACAAGTCCCAGAGGTTGCGATAAAGCCGTCTGCATTTCATCATAGTGTCTAGGGGACTGATCAGCACTGTGTATCGAAAAGAGTCGGGATCGACTTACGCTTGAACTCTGGACAAGAAAGCTCCCGAGCCTTCGCTCTTGGCCTCGAACCACTCGACATCTTTTTTCAACAACGTGAGGAAGACTCGACTGCGTGATACCGAAGATTGCAGTTGTCCAAATGCAAAGAACAGAGCATAGTATCCCCCGTTCAGAAACCAGGCAATTGCGCCGAGTCCAACTGTTGGGATAATACCTTGAACAATCAGCTCTCGGAATAAATCGACCTCGATGTTGCCAGCACCGAAAGAAGTAAATGCGTCAAACAGATCACCGAAGAAGAATGCCAGAGCTGGAGTCACACAGCTAGCAACAAGAGCAACAGCAACTGCAGCAATAAGAAATGACAGATGTCTTCGAGCTGTGAAGCCGAACAGAGATATCCAGCTTGCGCGGACGTCGCCGTCGGAGTTGGGTTCGTTGACATCGTCGGGTGTTGAAGGTTTGCGCTTGGCGCGCATCTTCTCGAAAAGTCTCAGCGGCATCGTCGCAGTTACTTGGAAGTTAAGAAATCTCCGCGTATCATGCTAAATGCACATGGAAGAAAGATGGTCGAGAAAGATGAGAGGAAGAACAGAGGGAGAGGGAAAGCAGGGAACGTTTGCGAGAGCACAATCACACGCCAGCGACTGATCGCTGAGTCGTCGTACCTACAGCATCGTGAACAGTCATCCAGCCAGAACAATATGAAAAATGATATGAATGGTTCCCTCGAACAAAGACTTTACCTTTGTATTCATCCCGGCGATATAATCACGTGATGCTATGTACCCTGAAATCGATTATGACTACAATTGCCTCGATATCTCTGAAGATATGAGTAATGCGCATAAACGGATGCACTGGACACTTTGGAGCAACCTGTTCATTCTGAAATCAAAAAGAAATTAAATCAATGAAAAAAAAAAAAAAAACTTTATTCTGGGTATATTGTGGACTCAAATGATGACGGGCAGTACATATCTCGAGGGACAGTATGAATTGCGATGATTCGATGAGACCCACACATTCATGGACATTTCCACAATTACATCGTTATCGATCCAAGGCTGTGATACTGTATTGCCAAGCGAGTAAACCACAGCCTCAAACCCGCTCATTATCCACATCTCCAAAAGAAAAACACCGGTAAATGCCTTTGGCCTACCAGCCTGGATGGGGAACCATTCTCAACTTCAAGGACGGCGGGGACAATACGGACTCAGAGCTCAAGAGCTGGCCTTCTGGGACTTTTCGTAGATCCAGTCGTTCAGACCGGCGCGGTTTCTAGATTACGTCAGTGCTTGTGATTTCGCGTAGATCATTTCGTGGCTCACCTGGCGATCTCAACGGCGTAGAACTGCATGCGTACACCGAAGATGGTGGTGTCCTGGTCGTACTCAGCGTTTGCGCGGGTACGGATGATTGTGCCAAAGTTGAAGTCTTCGATCTTCTCCCACTGCATCATCCAGTTGCGCCACTTCTCCTTGCCGGCTTTGCTCTTCATTTGGTCCTCGTTGAGTTCACCCTTGGGGTCGAAGTCGGGGAAGGCTTCCATGAAGGAGTCGTAGATCTCGTTATCTTGCTTGGTGAGGCGGAGCGTAGAGCCCTTGACCTTCTCCAGAATGGACCAGTATGTCATGAGGTGCTCGACGGCTGTATGGGACGAAAGGTTAACATTTATACTTGATATGACACCACACTCCTCCGGTGCTAGGAGATATGGATTTCAAATTGGGCTGCGACGGACCTTTGACGGCGAATTGCTTCTCCATCTGTTGCGATTGTTAGCAATCAGCGATCAGACATGCTGCATGGGAGCGGGTTCATACATCCTCCAGGTTCTCCGCCTCCTCCGGGTTAAATGGCTTCGACATGTTGATGGTTTGGTATAGGGCTGTTGACTCGAAACGAAAGAGTAGAATTAATGAGTGATGTCAAGGGTGGAAATCAAAGTGGGATTAGTGCCCCGCGCACATAATTTTTTTGACGGGGCGGAGGGCGCGCTCTCCGCCTTGCATAACGTCATCCCGCCCGGCTGCATCTAGTAGGTTCTAGTATGCTTCTACATGCAGCTTTTTGATTACAGAGATATTTGTTATTGAAGGCTGGAAGAACTGCAGAGACTAATCTACATGCACGCTGTGATGTGAGGTAGTAGGCAAATGCCAAAATTCAAATTTAAGTCATAATAGTGTTCCTGGCTCAATCACTATCAGCATCATCTGGCAACTCTTCAAACCTTCCTTCATGAAGGGCTTGAGTCACCGGGTTCTCGACATTCAGCAAACCATTCGCCCTTGCCCTGTGCTTTGTTAGTGGCGTTCTGTGTAACTGCAATTCCATGATAAGCTTACCTCTCAAACAGGACGAATAGTCGTTCGGCTTCCCGTTCCTTCTCCTCCATAGTCATAGGTGGGCCTTCATCCTTGGGCTCAGCCGCCCATCTTTGGCCTGTAATAGGGTTGAGCTGTGCATCTGGGCCGTGATTGGTTGCATATGCTTCGCTGGCATTCTGTGGCATCTCAATACCACGTGCTGCCAGGAATCCTGCAGCAAAGCCGTATCCGATATTTTTGGTGAGACTCTCTGGATCTTTATCAGAGAGTACAAACATTAGTTCTGAGATTGCCACCTTGAGGTTGGCGTGATGGCTAGTTGACAGTTTCAAGAGTCTGGAAGAAAGGTTGTCGGACTGTCCAATTGGGAGGCTTCGATCACTGCTCTCGGGCAGAAGAAGCCCTTGCATATGTTTGCGGGGTCCATCGGGTGCAACTTCGTGAATCGTGATAAGTGAATAGAGTAGCGGGACTACCTTGGTTTCTAGCTCCTCCGGGCTGTATGATGACACAGCCTGGTCCAATATATTGATCAATTTGTCCACATTGCAGTTTTCGTTGAATGTTGGGAAGAGTGGGCTACTCTCAAACACCTTGCTCTTATCTTCCAAGTCAAGAATTGACAACGCATTGAGGAGGCCACCAAGTAGTCCATCCAGGGGCTTAGGTGGCATGTCGATGCGACTGATGATCTTTAGGATGTGAGAAATAGAATGAGAGAACGCGGCAGCAAGGTCGAAGAGTTTTGACACATTGTATACCAATTTGAGGGTGTCCGTCAAAGCCAGCTCATCCATTTGGGACAATGGCGTTCTTCCTGACTTGGGAAATTGCTTCGCATGACGCCCAAGCTGATAAGCGACGTTATCAGCCAATGCATGGTTTTCAATCAAATCTTTGAAGTCCATTGTCGTATCGTAGGTTGCATAGAAGAGAATCCGACTTGTCACCATCTCATCTTCCGAGTTGTCGGTCTTGAGCTTGTCTGCCAGCTTTCCACCATAACCTGTGTCTACGAACACCTGCCGCATTTTCGCATCAAGCAACAAGGCATTGGCAATACAGCGCAAAGCTGCACGTCGCACGTCAGGAGATTCCCCTTCAACTCCATACCGCACCAATGTGTTGATTCCCTGATGAGACTATTAGTCTCACGATCTCTCAAACTTGGTATGGTTGTATAGTCATACATTTTGCGAGTAGATCGGCTCTGCGCTGGTGGGGTTCGTGCCGTGCTGCCGCAACTGGAGGAGGGTTTGAACTCTTTCTATCGGAGATACTGAGGTCAGCATTGGGTCGAACAGTCGCTGATTATGAGATGGCCCTGAACTTACGCTCTGTTGTCAGGTTCTTGTCTTTCAAATCCCCTTCGAGAGATTTCATCAACTGAGTCACCTGCTGCAACTTCGCTGCACCCGACGAAGCATCCAGTTAGTCAATCTCAACCCTTAGTGGTGTGTAATGGAAATGTGACCGGCATACCCGCTCCCTGCAACTGGAAGGAATGCATGACAAAATGCGCGCGCGTGTCTGTAAGCCGCGCTGTGAGGGAAGTCCACGGGTAGTAGGGGATCCGGGACGTGTTTCGCTCCAAACTCGAAGGATCTGCTATCGCATGAAGACAAAGACAGTAGAACCGCGATCAACCCAGACCGCAATAATGAAAAAAAGGAGACAGGGGAAACTTTGACGCGGGGAAAGTTGGGCGCGAATCGTCATTAAATTGTTGGAACCGCAAAAACCCCACTTGAGCCTCTATTTTTCGGGGAGGTTCTTTACACTCTCATGTTGGATTGAAAAAATGACAATTCAATCGGAATGATTAGAGTAAGAAGTATATAGCTATCCTACAGAGTATAGAGGCTGCAAAGACCACGCGAATACATGTACGTGGTATGCGCCACGGAGAATACATGTGGCGCGGGCATATAGTCAAGTTAAGTTACCATATAGTTTCGGCGCAGGTTCGTCTCTTATAATTGAGAGATGAGCCTCTTTCCACATCTCCAATTCGAGCATGTGAAGCTCCAAGTCGAGTCCAACGAAGAAGTATAGCGCGTGATGTGGGTGCCTCGTCGCCTCAGGCGCCTCACTTTACGCGCATCGCGACCGCGCCGGAACTTAGTTTTCTCGGCCCTTCAACAGTATCATGGACAGGCTTTGATTGCCCAGCAATGGTCCTTGTCTTTCTTTCACTTTTCATATCCTTTTGATCTCCAACATGGTGGAGATCCTTCCAGCTCGTCCGCCCACACCTCCAAGGACAGCTTCACGATCTGCTGGCGAAACCCGAACTGAGTCGGCTGTTCAAACCCCCAAGGAGTCTCCCTTCGTGGCATTTGGCTCTGCTGGTCCTGCTTCCTCAAACAGAAGCTCCAAGCGTGTGAATTTCTCACCGTGGCCCAAGTACATTAAGCCGCCAACATTCACTAGTGCCTCAGAATTGGTTCTTGACCTCAAATCCAACCCTCCGTCGACCGGTTCGAAGCCTGCAAAATCGATCCTCAAGGCCACACAATCACCAATTCCAGTTTGGTCACCAAATGTCGATACATTTACTACCGAGTCACTCGCCATGTTACTTGAATCCGTGATTCAACAACTCGCAGGCGAAACACTCAGCTCGCGACTCGATGCCTATATGCAATTCTTTGGAGCGCTTCGGACATATGATGGACTTCCCTCCGGCCAAGACATTGCCGATAAGTTAAATCTGGTTACAGAATTCATTCAACGCGATGTAAATCGAGACCTTGTGAATGGCGGACCTATCGACACAAATCTTGCCAACCAGGCTTTAAAGCTATCGGCTGCATTTGTCTGGCACGCCGACATCTCAACTCAACTTTCTGATGAATTTAAGATCTTCTTGGTGGAAAACGCAATCACATGTCTTCATGAGGCCAAGGTTCCAAAGTCTGTTTTGTCGCACTATATGTCCATCATGTCGACCCAGAACTTTGGTCCGAAGATTATGACAAGCGCTCGCATCACCCGTCTTCTTACCGTCCTCCAAGACATTACTAAGAATATCCCTGGCAATGCGATTGTTTCGCATCGATTGAACATATATCAACGCCTCCTCGGCCAGGCCAAGTCAGGTTTCCTCGCCCAGCCACACTTATGGATCGAACACCTAATATCTAGTTTGCTTCATCATTTGAAGGATACAAGATCAAAAGCGATTGCCCTTGGATTCCAAATTACTGCAGAAGCTGGTCCAAATCCTGTTTTGTCCAAGAATATCCGCGAGCTTTTCAGCCGCACACTTGAGCATGACCGGAAATTAGTCACAGAGATCTGTGAGCGTATGACTCGAATGATGTCGTCTGTGGAAAGTGGTGTCCATGTTCCTCAAATTTGGAGCATCATAATATTACTTCTCAGAAGCAAAAGATGGAGCTTGGAACAATGGGAATATTTTAAGGACTGGGTTTTGGTACTACAAAAATGCTTCAATTGCAGTGAAGCTGCGATCAAAGCACAGGCCATCGTGGGGTGGAATCGATTCATCTTTGCCGTCGTTCCGAATGAATCGACAAGTCATCCATTGCTTAAAATGCTGGGCAAACCAGTCCTTTCGCAATTCGACCGCAAGAAGAGTGATAAGTCCGGATCGCCGCCAACTCAACTTGCCTTGACCAGTTATCACAACCTGCTATACTATACGTTCCGCCCTTCTGCCTCTAACGAGCATCTTGACATCATATGGGAAGAATATGTCCTTGTGCCTTCTTCGGGTATATTTTCGACCATACCCGCCCTTAGTGATTGTTTGTCTCGTATATTGACAAATATTTTGTGGAGCACGCAAGCAAAGATCTGGACTGAGGGTCGAATTAACGACACTGCCAAAATTGAAGCCGAAGAACTTCCTGCCGTTGATAGTCGCTGGGTTCGGTCAAGAATTTCGTCAATTTTGAAAGTTTTTGAGAACCTGTTCAAATCCTCGGTTTGGGTTGACACCGCAATTGAATCGTCACACATTGCTATGGCTTGGGTGAGTCTGTCCAACGCCTTGTCGCTCGCATCGAGCAAGGAAATTACGCCCTCTGGTGAGTCCATGCAAGCCGTAGCAGCGGTTCTTGGGTTGTTGCATCGTCTATGGGCTACTGGGCCTTGTTCCTTGAACATCGTCGGAAATGACAACAATCTTTTCTTTGAAAGATTCGGCTTCTTATCCACGACCATGATTGTGGCTCTTGGGGGCATCCCATTTACCGAGAAGCTTCTCTTAAAAAGTACGGACGAAACATTCCAAGCTGCCACCACTCCAACACATCGTCACGCCGAACCAGGCACCAATCTAAACAGCCCCATTCTTCATCTTCTCCGGACAATCACCAGCAATACAGGGGATACTTCGGCAACGGATTCCTATGCGCACTTAGTCACTGGTACCATCGAAGCTGCCTGTAACAGCAGGATCTCCCGTGGGTCTCGGCTCGAGCTTTTGCGCCAGTGTGCAGAATTGAGCACGGCAGAGACCACTGCTTTGCCTGGCACACCCCAATTGTATGAGGTTGTTTGGAAATCGGCTGCACAAGCAGCTTCGAATGCCCTGCGATCGTTCCCTATCGAATCTGCTCGTGAGCGCGATGGGTCCGTATCTCGTGATTATGAGAATGCCATTAAATTCCTGACAATTGGTCTGGCTTTCCCTGCTGTTTTCCAGGATTGGTCTCATTTGCTTGATTCATTTGTCCATGTGGTTCGAACGGAAAAGGGAAATCAAGCAATCGCCACCATGATTGTAGAGCCCTTGGCTGAGCAACTCATGGGTGTTCCAGCCGACGATACCTTTCTTCCGTCAACCTCGCTGTTTGGTCACTCTTTGTCTATTCCATTCCTACAAGGTACTGGACTTGGTATCGCGTGTGATGGGATTCAATCGGTCGGGCATTCCCTCTTCCCCCATAGACTCGTTGACTCAATTTCTCGCACTTTGCGTGATGCATATGACGGATTCAAGGCCCCTGGTGCACCCGGTCTTGCAGAATTTATTGAAGCACTGACGTCCTTCTTGGGCTCCGGCATTCCGCAATTTCGATCTCAGCTTCTCCAAAGCCTACAGACACCAATAAGTCTTTGGCTTGAGGATGAGCCTTACAAGATGGGCATCGACCACGGTGTGGATAGCAGAATTATTACTGCGGTAGGTACCCATGAACAATCAGAAGATCCTGGTCTGACTTTAATCTAGTGTCGGGCCCTTTCCTCTGCAGCAGTCAACATCATACAGTCATCAATTACAGACGATGTGTCGTCTGTCGACAAGTTTCAGGCAATCTTCTGCGCTGGTTTGAAGTCGTCGCACACTTCAATTAGCAAGAGATTTGTTGAGCTTTGGCATTTGACAATCGATTCACAGCCGACAGCCTGTCCTGAAATTATTCTAGAAGCTGTGCAGACTGCCGAATTCAAGCTTCAGAGCATCATCTCGCCTTTAGATGGTGATCAGGTACTGTCAACTCTTTCTTTGCACGTTGGAATCTTATATTAACGTTGTCACAGGACACTGAAATGCTGCCTCCGCCGGCTCCGGAAAGGACTACTAGGCGTAAAAGCAAGCTTGGAACCAGTCAAGACATTCTTAACTCATCTCCTGTCGTGCAGACACGGGAATCAACTGCTTCAAGTGGGCTGAGTGAGCCCCAACTGCCTAACAACTTCCAGCTGGGAGTTCCGGAAACTGAAATCTTTGGAGGTGCTGCTGTAGCCAAAAAACGTCGCACTCGTCGCGAAGTGTTTTCAATGATCGAATCCATCCAGTCGTCTTCGCCTGCCAACACCCCTCAGAAATTAGGCTTCAATACTCCACCTCACTTGCGCCGGCTTCAGTCATCTGAAACAGCGTCCGAGATTCCAATTACCCCCACACTGGCACCAACGGAAAATGAAGAAGGGTTCATTGGATCATCCCCTACACCAGCGACAAGGGACCCAACACCCGCCGCAAACTCCGAAGCTCCTGGATCTGCTCTCCAAGAATCCAACACCATTCATGGAACAGACCTTCCGTCCTCCCCTCCTGAGATTCACTCTCGAAGTCCGAGCCCATCCAAGGGTCGAAAACAATCTAGAAGTGCTCGTCGAAAAGCTGCGAAGGCTGCGAGAGTTCTGAGAGGCACTTCAGGCAAACAATCCACTGTTAACAGTCCCGCTACTTCGCGACTTGCAGCCGAAGAAAACACTGATGCACCAACGGTTGATTATCATGATCAAGATAAAGAAAATGAAGACGCCACCCCCCGGGCAAATGCAACAACCGCCAGCAGACGTCTCCGATCGGGATTGAGTCATGAATCAACCACTTCCGAAGAGCCTTCCCATATTCAGATTTCTGATTCTCGTGAAACTCCGATTCAAAAGTCTGCCCGCAAGAGCAAGTCAAACTCCAATTCCAAGAAGGACAAGAAGAAAACAAGTCTCCAGCCTGCAGCAGGGGAGAACAAGCAAACCACGGATCTGCCTGCTGAAATCAACCTTCTGGACGCATTCATGGACTCGAGCGAGGAAGTCGATACGCAAATTCAATCTCAACTTGAACAAGATTTGGAGTTTGCTGTCGACATGGATGAGCAGCCTCAAATTAAGCCCTCAACCGCTTCTTTCCAGCAGTCAGCAGCAAAAAAGAGAAAGCGTGTTGAGGAAGAGCCTCGCCCATCAAAGCGAAATGACAGACGTCGGTCAACGCGACTAACCTCTGGTAAGGATGTCGAAGGCGTGGCCGAAGATATGGATGATTCTCGTTCACAGGGATCTACTGTAACCGAACAGACTGAACCAGTCTCATCTCCTACTGCCACTCGCCGATCTGCACGTCATTCTCAGCGCAAAGCGGAGGAGAACATTCCTGCAGATGTTGTTCCTGCTACTCAAGATTCTCCTGCGGTGGAGCCAACAGAAGACGTGGAGACTCCAAGACCATCTAAGCGGTCGCGCAAATCACTGCGTCTCGACGACCAGCCTCCCTCGACTGCAATGGAACTTGATGTTTCCAGCAATACCCTCTCCGATCAACGCAAACGCAAGACGCGGTCTCAACAAAATATCTCTCAGCCCTCTGGAATCTCTTCCGAGGTATCGCAGCAAGTTCAACTCCATGATGACAATCAAGAGAAGGTTCCTGGGAGCATTATGGCCGACGATCCAGCTGTTGACCGTTCCGCTCCTCTTGCTTCTACTGAGGCGGCAACAGACAGTCAAATGAGCAATGCTCACCAAATTATCGAAGCTGCTCCAACCGCGGTTACCAAAATTGAAATGGATGACATGCTCTCCAGCCAGAGACCTGAGCAGACTATCGGTCTTGCCACGTCGGGTACCCAAACAGAGGACACAAATACTGCGCCTCAAACAACCATCAATCAAGCAAGCATCACTCAGTCTCTCAAAACACTCTTGGGAGACATGAAACTGGCAACTCTCGACCCCAACAGCATCCGCGAGGTCGATGATCTCCTCTTCCATATCCGTGTCGAATCACTTCGTGCATTAGATCGACACAACACTTCAGCATAGCGATGGCGTTTACAGCGGAAACTTTGATTGGATATGACTTCTTTTTTTTTACACTGCACTCCGTATCATCATTATTCCCCTGCATCTTACATTTCTTCTCTCGTGGAAGCACTCCCCCATATGTATCTTATCCTCCTGAGATGCCTTTGATCCCGCATCTCATCTTTCCATCCTGATGTACTTATCTCTGTTTTTCGCGCTCTGGAGGGCTTCTGCGATTATAATTTACCCCCAAACAATCAACGTGAATAGTATTACCCTTCCAATGCTTAGTCGTACTCTTGTGGCAATAGCCCTCTCCCTTCGCCATCGCCACGAGTCAGGCGTTGGAAATCATGTAATCACCAGATGGAAGAAAATCCGACAATAGATAACTCGCTTGGTTTATGGTCATGATGACGCGGGTGCCACGCCTTCCCGTGTTTTACATAGTTCACCCGGTGTTTCTGATCTAGCAACAGTCGTTATTATTGTTAGTTCAAGATCGCCCTGTATAGATACTCACTCAGTGGAGGCTAGCTAGATACCAGACGAGCCACAACCACCGTCACCATAATGGCTACACCAGGAACCCAATACATGATGCAATTTGGCCTAGCAGCCGGCATGTCTACACAAGGCTTGCACCCTCCACACCCTAAGTCTGTGGACCCCCATCTCAGCGACCCAGTTGACATGCTCCCAACTGGCCTGATCCCAACCCTCTTCCAGGGCATGCCGCGAGACTCGTTCGTCGTGCAAACCAAATGGCTTTCGACGCCCGATATGACCAACACAATCCTTCAATCCGGTGGACCGAAGTCCAAGCTCCGCGATTCACTTGAGCGACTCCAGCTGGACTACGTTGATATCTACCTCGTCCACGGTCCGATCCATCCTACTGTGATCGCAAAGGTCGCCAAAGGCCTCGCGGATTGTGTAGAGTCAGGCTTGACCCGTGCTGTGGGAGTCGCCAACTACAGTACCCAGGAGATGATCAAGATGGCAGATGAGCTTGCGACGCATGATGTCCCACTCTCTGTCTGTCAATGCGAGTACTCGGTCATACGTCGCCTGCCGGAGGTAAACGGTATGATTCGAGAATGCAAGAAACGGAGTATTTGTTTCCAGGGCTTTGCTTCCCTCGCCGAAGGTCGTCTCTCGGGCAAGTATTCACGGCTCAATGAGACTCCACGGAGACGTCGATTCAGTAGTTATCCGATGCATATGCTGGAGCCTACTATCAAAGTGCTCCAAAGTATTGCTGAAGATAGGCATGTAACTGTTCCAGCTGTTGCATTGAACTATTGTATCAATAAGGGCGTTGTTCCTCTGGTTGGTGTTCGTGATGCTGAGCAGGCGGAACAGAATATGCAGGCGCTGGGGTGGCGATTGACAGAGCATGAGATGAGGCGAATTGAATCTGTCAGTATGGAGGGGCAGACATCTTCATCTTTGCAGCATGGCTAGATGACAATCGTTTATACTGTCTAGAGTAAAGAAAAGGTGTATATGGTACCTCATCCGTATTATAAGATAGTCCTAGTCATCCCACTTACTGATTTCGATTTCTGACTTTTATCGGGCTTATATATCTGAGTTCAATTCATCAGCTACGGCATATCTCTGATATTCTAGTCATCGGCTTCGATAATACTTTTGTCATTCTCTTCGGTTTGGCTCCCACCGTCTATTGAAGGGAGCTGACTGCCAAAATATCTGACTTGGTACCCCCATCTGTATATATTCTCCGGAATGGAGGACGTGCAATCATAGAATTTGCATTAATACCTCCAAATGCCCACCTGGTATTGAAAATGACTCGTAAATGGCGTTGACCTTGCCAATAGTCAGATCACGTGATACATATATAACACGATGTAATCAGCCATACTGTCCCTTTTGATGCGAAGGCTTAGCTTCGATATAAGCTTAACTTCATGGTCACCAAGCTGACTGCATCTGATCCTATACCAATACATATAAAAAGCAAAGACAGATCGGCATTCAGGCACAATTAAAGTGGAACGCAAATCAAAACAGGCGGGGAGCCCGATAAGATTCCCCGCCATAAGCCTCAACTCTTCCTCCTTCACATCTTCGCTCTCTTCAACAATGGATCGTTCTAACAAGCCCTCCGCCATTGGCGTAGGTGCCTCTCTCCCGCAACCTACTTTATCCATCAAGGACAACATCATCGAAGCTTCATTGCCCTCCGGTCAATCCGTAACGGTGCACCTGTACGGTGCTACCGTGACCTCATGGAAGACAAACGGCAAAGAGCAGCTGTTCTTGAGTGAAAAGGCTCATTTGGATGGCTCCAAGCCAATCCGCGGTGGTATTCCGCTCGTGTTCCCGGTATGTGATGTACAATTACTTTCGTCGACCAAGCTGCTAAGCGCCCTGCTTGTTCTACAGGTTTTCGGCCCTCCTCCCAAGAATCACGCAACCTCCTCCCTATCGCAACACGGCTTTGCTCGTAACTCCAACTGGGAGTTCTTGGGCAAGTCATCCTCGGAAACGCCTGGAAGGGACAGTGACCAGACCGACCTCACCGTGAAGCTGGATTTCGGACTGTCGCACTCTATGCTGAATGATGAATTCCGTGAGGCCTGGCCTTATGAATTTGGCCTGGTCTACAGTGTTACACTCACCAAGGATACTCTGGAGACAGCTTTGCAAGTCCGCAATGAAGGCCAACAGAACTTCGATTTCCAAACTCTGATGCACACATACCTCAAGATCGCGGTAGGAGCTTCTTTTGACTGTTGTTTCTGTCTGACATGTTGCTAACCTGGATCAAAACGTGCAGGATATTTCCGACATCCGCATTAAGAACCTTGAATCCAAGACCTATATCGACAAGACCCTCGACGCTACCTCTCATACCGAGTCCTCTCCCGCTGTCGCCATCACCCAAGAAACTGACCGTGTTTACCAGAGTCTTGACCCGGCCGTTCCAATTGTCGTCTCTTCGGCTAAAGATGACCAGCCCATTTTCTCGGTTACTCGCGAGGCTTTGAACGATGTCGTTGTCTGGAACCCCTGGATTGAGAAGGCCAAGGGTATGGCCGACTTTGGACCGGATGAGGCGTACAAGAACATGATCTGTGTGGAGGCTGGTTCTGTGTCTGCCTGGCAGACCCTCGAGGCTGGAGAAGCCTGGGAGGGTGCTCAGAGTATCAAGGCTCACCTGTAAATGCAGGGATATAGCATCTTATAATTTGCTTTTATTCCGTCTCTCTTTGCACAATGACAGTTTATGACTTGAAGACTTGTATTTTCTGTTATCAGTGGATATTGGCCCCGAGATACGTATATGAACAAGTACTGGGGCGTAGTTCAATTTGCATTTAGATAACCAATGAACCAAGCTATCCTCGCGTCAACCCTCTGAGCTACGTATTTCTGTCAACTTCCAAATATGGTCTACGATATCTATAAAACGCCCACATGCTCGATGGAATATATCCAACAGGATTCGTTGTCTTTGCTCCTAGGTCAATTAAGCTCGTGAACTAAACAAAACACACTACACCTTGTATCCGATGAGCCTGACGAGAGAGGCTAAAGCCCTGCACCGAGCGAAGCATGCCTGCCAATGTAGATTCTGGCAAAGACCAACCCCACCGAAGAGTTTATACCAAATTGTACGGCCAAGTCGCTCTTTTCGTCATCAGGGACCCTTTTCGGGTCTGGCCGCTCCCGTCTTACCCAATTGGGGGTTAGTCGCTCATCATTTCCATCTTGTAGATCTTTCCAGTCCACACAGAAATCTGCAGTGGCTAATTGATATGCAGTACTCTAGCTATGCAGTCTTGCAATACCGTGGAAGCCGATGCTTGCAGGAAGCAGCTCCCAAATATCCTGCAGTCTTCCATATGTACTCCTCGCAAATAATTTCGAGATCAATAACCCCTAGATTGATAAACATGGGTCAGCGTGAGACAATTGCACTCCGCCACTCTCTGCTCCCCACATCCAATTCCCACAAATAATGCCGGGCCTATCCGATCTGATAAAAATCCCGACTATTACCAGTGTCATCGATCGCGCATGCTGCATCGCATACATGTACATGTACAAGGGAGGCTAGATCCACTGTAATTGGGATACCTCATGCAACCCTCAGAATAGCGCCGAAGAACTACCGAACTATGATTCTCAACTCGCATTCGGATACATGCCCCGTAGCTTTAGTGGAAATATTGCAGCATAGCACGGCCGATCCCTTGAAATGTGGACTCCACATGCGAGTACGAGAAAAAAAAGGGTCTTGATTGAAAGGTTATAACGCAAAAAGGGGAGCTGACAAAGGATGGTATAATAGCCCTGGAGTAGCCTGTCTTTAGATTGCCCCAGGTCGGTGGATGGAATTTGCGCGAACCAACAGTACTCTGTACAGGATCTCATAAGAAGTTGGCAGAATGTTTGGTCGGTCTTTGACAGCAGCAGTGCTGGCGACTGCATTTTTCATTGGTGATGGCCAGGCAAGCCAGGCAAGATGGTCGGCTCGAGGTCCTTCCACACGTAATAACCATCATACTCGCGCATCTGAGCCCATCGACACGTCAAACTTTCGATTCTTAACCAATAAAACCAAAGGTAGGTTTCAATCATGTCCACTCTTCAAGATTGACTGACCATCGGCTAACTACTCTGCAGATAATGTGGTGGATAGCCTACCAAATGTTCACTTTGACTTGGGGGAGATGTATTCGGGGTATCTGCCGATCCGTGGAAATGATTCCTTGTTCTATATCTTTCAGCCGAAGATTGGGGACCCAAGCAACGATCTCACAATCTGGCTAAGTGGTGGACCAGGGTGCAGTTCAATGCAGGGGTTTCTGCAACAAAATGGACGCTTTACTTGGCAGCCCGGCACATACGAACCAGTCATTAATGAGTACTCCTGGGTCAATTTGACCAACATGTTATGGTAGGTCATTGGCAATGCAGTATATCTTTGTCCAGCCAGACGTGGTTGATAAACTGACTGGGGCTTTAGGATCGATCAACCCGTTGGAGTCGGGTTCTCAAATGGCACGCCAAGTGTTACCAACGAGGATCAGCTTGCTGCCGCTTTTATTGACTTCTTTCAAGAATTTCAAGAAACATATGATATCGAGAACTTCCGAATCTTCTTGACTGGTGAAAGTTATGCGGGGCGTTACGTGCCTCACATATCTGCCGCTATGCTTGACAAGAACGATACCAAACACTTTAATCTCAGCGGTAAGACTATACAATGTCCTTGGACCTGCATCGAATTAGTCGCTTATTCTTACGGTAGGAGCTCTGATGTATGACGCCTGTATCGGCCAGTGGGATTGGATCCAGGCCGAACTCCCCTCTTATCCCTTCGTCCAACAACACGCGGAGCTATTCAACTTTAACCAGTCATTCATGGGGGAGCTACAAGATACCTACGAACAATGCGGCTACAAAGAGTACTTTGAGCAGTATTTCACTTTCCCTGCATCTGGAGTGCAGCCTCCGAAATACATGAACTACTCCGAGTGTGACATCTACAACATGATCTACAACGAAGTCTACACCCCGAACCCATGCTGGAATCCTTCCAAAGTCAGTCAAACATGCCCACTCCTATGGGATGTCCTAGGCAATCCCACCGACCTTGCCTACCAACCCGATCGCGTACCCTATTTCAACCGCACGGATGTCAAGCGAGCTCTGCACGTCCCCGAGGATCTCAATTGGGAGCTGTGCAGCCTGGAGAGTGTCTTTGTGGGCGCGGATCTGGGACCCGAGCAGGCGTACGACGAGTCTCCCAACCCGACAGAGCATGTCCTGCCTCGGATCATCGAGGCGACGAATCGGGTTCTGATCGCGAATGGAGATTGGGATTATCTGATTATCACGAATGGAACTTTGATGGCGATTCAGAACATGACTTGGAATGGAGAATTGGGCTTCCAGGCTCGTCCTACCATGCCTATCGATATTGACATGCCTGACTTGCAATACGCTGCGGTCTTTGATGATCTAGAGGGGTATGGTGGGTATGATGGTCCACAAGGGATGATGGGGGTTCAACACTATGAACGTGGACTGATGTTTGCTGAAACTTTCCAGGCGGGTCATCACCAGCCTCAGGATCAGGGCCGAGTGTCTTATCGTCATGTTCAGTGGTTGTTGGGTGATGATGAACATCTTTGATCCTATTCTTCTTCAGTCTCTTTTGTTTAGATGGATTGTTTATTCTAAAAGTTTGAGTGACGTCTAGGTCGCGATTTCAACAGAGACCTTGGATCAGACCTCAATATTGGTGCATTAACTGAGTAGCAAGATGGAATTGGGAGCTTGTTGACTCTGCAGTGGTATGATATCTGTTAGGAAACATAGGTGTGATATAGCCACAGGTGACTGGAGATACTGACATCCATACCAGATCATTTGCATAACGTTAACCAGAACAAGACATTAAAAACTGACAACAAGATACACCGTGGTAGCTACAATTTTCTGTGCCAAAAAGGTCTAGATATGTTATGAAAGAGTGAATAGGTACGCTAGGTGAGGAACTCTTGATGAGATGTTCTGTCAACAACCTATCCCGCTGGTTCAGCTGGTTCAGGATTACCAGCTACGATGGTCGAGTGGTTTTAAGATCTCCGTTTCCCATCTATTATGGTACAACGGAGGGCCCGGGTTCGAATCCCGGTCGTAGCACGTTTCTGTTTTTGTTTTGCTGCGTTGGGAGAGGGGAAGAGAGAGGGGAAGAGGGGGGTCAGGTGACCCACTTGACCATTGGTTTCCGGGGTATTCTGGGGTACGAAGCTATTTATATGCCATGGTGGATATGCGGTGACCAGATGGTTCAAGGTAGGCAACGATGTTGATTATGTTGACTCGATAGGACTCAATTGAAAACTTCCCAAATTCCTCCCATCCACTCTAACCCAACACACAACATGCATTTCTGGTCTTGGAAAGCGCCACCGGGTATTCAAGACAAGATATTGAAAGCAAATCGCTAAGACAAAAAGAATCACACCAGGCAGGGTAAAAGTGTTGCGCCTAAAATATACAAATGTAACGACCACGTAGAGATTATCAACAAGGTGACCGTGCCGGTCGTTTAGGATGGAAATGAGACTCATACTCGCTCTCAGAATGCATGAGATCATCTCCGAAGCCATCCTGTTTAGAGGGTGGCTTGTCCAAAGCCTGAGTCATGGAAATCTCATCGCTTTTGCTCCAGTCCTCCAAAGGAACAGCCTCAATGCAGTGCACGTCATCAATGAGATCTGTATTGAAGGTGTTGGATCGGTTGATGGGATCAGCACTCGAGCGCGGACCATCATTACGCGGAACCGGTGGTGCGTTCTTGATATGTCGACGACAAGGCGGCCGCCACGAACGGGGGAAAGTGAACGATGGGCGGGATTGCGAACCATTGGACGTTCCAGAGCCACTGCTATCTTTGTTGTTGTTTTGGTTTCCAGGTCGCTGGCCTCGGTTGCTGTTGTACTGGAAAGCTTTGAGACCGAAGAGCTTTCGCAGCAATGGCCACCAGCACATCAAATTCGCCACGTAAATCGCGGTACTCGCTTCCCGGATATACCAGATTTGATAGGTTGTGGTGAGAGGAGAGGCAAAATTGAAGTATTTGTTCAAAATGGCGGCGATGATCGTGAACAAGCCCAGGCTCATGACGCCGATCAGGACAACCTTCCTGCGCCGCTTGAGTTGGGCTCGGATGAGAAGTGGAATGGGAATGGCGAACATCACTGCATCCGAGGAGATGTTGAAGACGGCCTGCGTGATGGAGTAGCGCTGATATGTGGCGCACTGCATGTTATCCACGGGCATGGCCCAGTATTGCGAAAAGGGTCGACAGTATACCGCATAATAGGTTACCATGATGACCACGAATCCAACTGCCGTATAGACTGCGAGGATCTTGATGTAGAGGTTTGATCGTAGGTTTTGGGTGATCCGCCAGTAGAGCATGAGCATGCATGTCTTCACCCCCCAAGTGGAGATCAACATGCATTGCTCCAACCCAATAACGATTTTGCTTCCGTATATCCTGTCGCTGACCTGTTTTGGATCCTTCAGCACCGCGTCGTAGTCCTTCGGGTCCATGAGATTTGTTGCATAGCGGGCTGATATCTGGATCAGTACAAGAAGGGTGGTATAGATCGCCTTGAGGAACAGGTTGGTCAGTTGAGCTCGATGACGGTGACTTGAGCTCTACTTACAAATGTAGCTGTCATAACATAATCATCCACTGGAAAGAAATACATCAGCAAGTGCCGAGGTCATAGAAAGCCTAGAAACAATACCAAATAGACGTTTAAATGATCCATTGGCAATAATTCGAGCCGCACTGGGAGGGTTAGTGCTGCTTCAATTCTAGACCTTGTATAATCAGCAACTCACATTCTGCCAACATAAATCACAAGACCAATAGACCAGAAGATGAGAGCCTCTGTGAAGAGCTGCTGTGGAGTGGGCGACACGTTCCCCATCCTTACAGATAGAGCGACACCCGATCGGGATCAAAACCTCAGATTGTAAAGAAAATCAAATTCAAACATGCCATGTGTATCCTCGAGAAGTGATCAATTAATCCAGAGTGTGTAAGTCTTCAGGCGAGGAACATTATTCAACAATATCGGCTGATAGGCACGGCCTGTCCGGCCACCCGCATAGACCTGTGGATGATGTATTAGTATTAAAGGCGGGCCACTGCACCGACAAGCGCAATGGTTTCACCCAGTCGGTGAGCGTTTACACTTCAAACTTACGTCTACTGGGGGATGATAACGGTGTCATTCGAAGACAGGGCTGCATCGTCATGGGCTTAGCTCGGAAATGTCAGTGCTGGGCTGGAGAGTTGGCCAACAAGCAAGGAAGAATGGGGGCCAAATGCAAGGGATTAGCTCGAAGCGCTGTCCAAGATCGATGGCAGTTGTCTTTGGAATGCAGATCCTATGGAAAAGAGGTCCTGTCAAATCCCTCCCTTGTATCCTGGAAGCCTTGTGCGCACCAGCTCAAGATTCGACAAAAGCATCTTGTGAAACAGCGTCTCTCCCAAATCCAAATGGTATGGTGTAAGTTGCAACGCTATCGTATGCATGTTGACCACAACAGGGTCGCATAAGCGAGGTTGGTGCAACCCCAAGACCAACTCGAATGCGAAAAGGATTTCAATGTGATCTGAGCTGACTGCCAGTATGCACAATAATGATAGTTCCGTGATCTTCGCGCCTCCAGCAGAAGCAAAGGGAGTTGACCTGTCAAATTCCATAGTGGATGTGAAGCCGTATCGGGTGTGATTGGAGGATATGGATGATCTGCAAGGCGGCCAACCTAAGATTTTAATAGTTCGGACAAAAATAATGAGTGATCCACGATTCAAAATCATTTGACGCGATATGCGAGCTGAATAAAAATGTAATACAGAAGAGCGATATCTCTCATAGGCTGGTCCAATAATTTCATGAGTCGGGTTGGCCAAATATGGATCTTCAACTGCGCCTCATCCCTGGGGAACTGACTGGGATCTCCCCGAGATACTTCTTGCCGAACAAGTCTATTGCAGAGTCGATAGTCCAATATATCTCACGTGCATGATCTTTGAACGAATTCGAACTCTACGTAAAGGCAGTTTCACGTTGGATCACAGCTATCAACCAACACTTCACGTATTGGCCATTCAATCCACCTGTGATAATCACGAGGTAACACCGCAGCAACTGCCCTTACAATCTTCGCTGGAATTGGCTCATTCCACCAGAACTTGGGGGCATTTTGAAATAGTATGGCGAAATGAGCAAAAATGATAAGCGCTGCTGGTTGGCGCTGCTCAAGTAGTTCCACAAAGCCAAAAGGAATTCCAAACAGCCACCCAAATGACAGATTGAGATATCTGGAAGTTTCCGTCCTTTGAGAAGTGTATTGTGTTGACAGCTGCGGATCCTCGACAGCTATCCGACCAGTATTTGCCTTGGAATCTTCAGAGACAAGATTGAATGCCTCAACCAGAATTTCTAGCGCCCGAGAATTTATCTCATTCTCCTGGACTTCGCTCGGTGTAGGCGCAAGAGTCGAATCCCATATTCTTGCAAGGCCATGCAGTGGATGGATTTTGCCTTTTTCGGTATCGACTTTCCATGTTGGTGATAAACACCTCTCGCTCAAGACATCACTCCAGAGAAGAGGAGCAACAGGACCGTTCTGAATCCAATGGCCCTTGCGCTTGTATATGCCAGATGTTCCCTGGTGCAAACGAAGCCAATCCACAATGGCATCGAAAAAGTCATCCTCCATGAATGTGGCAGCGGGATTAATGACGGTTCCTGCAGAGGCAGGAATGTAGTATTCGGCAAGGAACGAGAATGCAAAAATGGCATCGCAGTTTTGAAGAGTGATGGTTTCTAGCTGAGACCGAAACTCTTTGAGTGCAGCATCTTGTTTACTGGCAGCAAGAATGGACAGGCTTTCTTTGTCACCTGTATTCAAACTTGCCATGTGAAGAGCGGCAAGGGCCAGGATTCCTTTTAGGAGAAACGGTTGTGCAAATGCAATCTGGACGACCGTTGTGGCCCATGTCCTTTGGGCTTCTGGGCAATCTGACAAAGTCGCACTTGTACAATAGGTGAAGTGGTGCAAAAGCCGCATGTCATCTAAGGTATAGCCCGAGTTGTCTTTGGCATACTTGGACAAGCCTTGCCTGGCATCAAGCCTTGGCTTTTGAACAGAGCGGACTCTGGCACGTTCTGCTTGCTCATACAATAACCCTGAGCTTCGCAAATAGGGGGTAGTTGTCCAATAGCTACAACTTTTGTTAAACTTCGAACAACTGCCGCATGTTGGTCGTTGTTCATCGCATTTGACTTTCCGAGTCTTGCATTCTCGGCAGCCCGTTCTCGACTTTTGACCGAGTGTAGTTCGCGGCATGATGATGATCAGTGAACCCGAGAGAAACCGACACCAATAGCAGACTGGTCGGTGCGAAGGTGCTGGCAATTCCAAGGTGGTTCCGATGAGGTGAATCATACCACACCCGCTTCCGAAATTTCGGATGTGAATTCGCTCAACCATGAGCTGCTCTCTCGACAATTGGCTTTCCCAAACATAGTCAGGCCCAATTTGTAGCTTAACGGATCCTGGGTGGACACGTTCTCATTGTCTCCAGATCTAAGTTGGTCTCATAGACCCACTCCATATATCCTGCGCTCGCACCGACAGCTGCATCATTGGTCGAAGGCCATCAATGGCGTCAGTATATTCATTGGCCCACCTTCAGCGCACATCGACTACGAATGAGCCCGACAATTGTTCTCAAGTCTTTTGTCAACGAAGATATGCCGATGGAACCGGGAAGAGGGCAGATGGCAAGTACATAAAGCCTCTGCGACCCCGAGATCAAATGAGTTATACAAGACACCACCAAGTATTCTAATCAATATCCTTCTACTTCCCATTTCAACTTTCAACATGCTGGGCAAGATCGTTCTCGAGGAAGCCTATGAACGCGCTGGCAAGGAGGAAAAGTCCAAGGCCGAAGCTGCATTGTACATTGCCCCTGAGGACCGCGCTCGCTACATGCGCCAGATCCACGATATCAACGATGAGCGTGTCCGTCTATCTAATGCCCACGGCATTGGCTACACCATTGTCTCCTTGACTGTTCCCGGTATCCAGGGAATTTCCGACAAAGCACTTGCCGAGAAGACTGCCTTCGAGACCAACAACTGGGCCGCCGGTCAAATCAAAGACCACCGCGACCGCATGGGTGCTTTTGCCTGTCTTTCCATGCACGATCCTAAGCAAGCTGGACAAGAGCTTCGTCGCTGTGTTCAAGAGCTCGGATTCCATGGTGCTCTCCTTTGCGACTTCCAGCACTCCGGTTCCAACGGAGAGACCTACCTCTACTACGACCAGCCCGCCTACGACGAGTTCTGGAAAGTCCTCACCGAGCTGGATGTTCCCCTGTACATCCACCCCGCTGCTCCTTCCGATGTCGTCTTGGAGAAACTGTACGCTCAGCGTCAGAACTTGATTGGACCCCCTCTGTCCTTTGCCAACGGTGTCAGTCTGCATACCCTCGGCTTGATCTCCAACGGAGTCTTCGACCGTTTCCCGACTGCCAAGGTCATCATCGGCCACCAGGGCGAGCACATCCCCTTTGATTTCTGGCGTATCAACCACTGGTTCGAAGATGTTAAGCGCCCCATTGCTAATGAGGAAGACCGCGTTATGGCCAAAAAGACCATCTATGACTACTTCAAACAGAACATCTGGATCACCACCAGTGGTCACTTTTCCACTTCTACCCTGAAATACGTCGTCAACGAGATCGGTGTCGATCGCGTTCTTTTCAGTGTCGACTACCCCTACGAGACCATCGAGAATGGCTGTGGCTGGTGGGACAATGATGCCAAGGCCATTCAGGATGCTGTTGGTGGCATTGATGCTTATCGTCGGATTGGTCGTGACAACGCGAAGAAGCTTCTCAAGCTGGGCTCTTTCCACGACTCCGAGGCTCCGGTCAATTAGGATATACGATCTTTGACTGCTCGTTACTAGACTTTGTCTGTGCACATGGCTCTCTTGACGTGTGTCGTAAATATAGATTAGAACTTGAGCCGGAATATATTCTGTTCGAATTCATCAATCGATTAGGGAATTTAATCAATAACAAGCATCACCAGCACTGTAGCTACAGTAGGTATCAGGCTAAGATTAAAATTCAATCCCAAGAAGTCGACGTGCACAGGAACAGGACGTGCACTATTAGTCCGATCTCTAATGTATGATCAAGATGTGATATATCACATGAACTATGTGGGCCATCAAACAAGGGATCGACGCAATTACATGCATGAGACAAACCAATTAGATGGCGCGTAGAATACCCTTCAAGAAGTATTGGGATGAGCGGAAGATATTCGAGCTGCAGCGTAGTAACACAAAAACGAGCTGAAACTGCAAGTGTGATAATCTCAATATTCGACGGCACGGAACCGCCGGTATAGCAACAGACGCCTTTGGCACCAAGACCGACACTTGAATGCATATTGAACCGCCCGATCGACACTCGACTAACCCCATGTCGGTCTCCTGGTGGACCATGCCAATCCCCCTTGCCGCACCGCGATGCATCACGCAACCTTGCTTTGTTTTTTAGGAAGTTAGAAGGAGATGTGATCCATAATAAATCGACGCTACTGTACATTACTTCACAGTAAATGCAAATTGCAATCCTACTGGGCCACTTGGACACGGCTACACGCATGGTTGGTTTTTTCTGACTGTCAACACCACACTATTGCCAATAGACATGCATCAGGCTTACAGAATCGTACTTCTCGGCCCAGACATCACAAGAAAAGCAGCTTCTCGGAGAAATTATAGACGAGTCATTCGATCACAAAATTCTTTTACATGGATCGGGGCACGTGGCAGCCATATGGGCATCGACCCTCGCATACAGCATTCCTGGGGTTGCGACTCGCCCGATCTGCCTTCTGTGCTCCCTGTACGATTTTGCTGAACTTAGTGGGGTGGCGTGGTATTTTCTCCTTTCCTCCCCCTCTTTCTTTCGTATCCCCGTTTTGTCATGGCATATTGATTTTGCTGGACATTTGCTTCGATACGCTAATCCAGACGGCAATATGGTGGTGACCGCACGACAGATCCCTCGGGATGGCGAGAAGCTCACCAAGTCCGATGCGGCTATGGACGAGGCTCGACTGGAATCAGCACTTGGCCACAAGCAAGAACTGGTTCGAAATTTCGGATTGTGGAGTTTGACCAGTCTGGGGATTGTCATTGCAAAGTAGGCGCCCGACTTCTCGACATATATATACCAGGTACTAACGAGATCAAGTTCGTGGGCTTCAACCGGGGGCACAATCGTTGCGGCACTTCAAAATGGTGGCCCAATGGCCGTCCTTTACGGGTTGATTGTAGTCAGTGTCTTTTACACGGCGATTTCAGCATCTCTAGCCGAACTAGCATCGTCCATGCCTTCGGCTGGTGGTGTTTACTACTGGTCGTCAGTTTTGAGCCGCAGTCGAGGCAAAACAGCAGGCTTTTTCACTGGATATTTGAATGCTTGCGCCTGGCTGCTATCCGCCTCTTCGATGAGTTCAATGCTAGGCAATGAAGCGGTCGCCATGTATCTGCTTCATCATACAACCGTGAAGTGGCAGGCTTGGCAAGTCTTTATCGTTTTCCAGATCGTCAACTGGACATGCTGTGCTATTGTATGTCTAGGGAATCGATATATCCCGCTTCTCAACCGCCTCGCTCTCACTTTGTCAATGTGTGGACTCGTCACGACTGTGATTGTTCTTGCAGTGATGCCGAAGAAACATGCGAGCAGTAAGCAGGTGTGGGTTGAGTATCACAACAACACAGGTGGATGGTCAGATGGGGTTTGCTTCATGACTGGACTACTCAACGCTGCATTTGCAGTCGGCGTTCCCGACTGTATCAGTCATCTATCCGAAGAGGGTAAGTGTCCGGATAGAAGACCTGACAACACCCCCCGTCAATGAAACGCACAAAGCTAACCACAGGTGTACTCAGTACCCAAGCCCGAGACCAAGGTTCCCCAAGGCATAATGCTACAAATGCTCACAGCGTTCATCACATCCTTTGTCTACCTGATCGCATTATTTTACTCAATTCAAGATCTCGATGCAGTCTTCACAAGCAACATTGTGGCCTTCCCAACAGCCGAAATCTACCGACAAGCAACTGGATCTAATGGAGGTGCTATCGGCCTGATTGCTGTACTATTTCTCGCAACCTTCCCAACATTGATCGGAACTTTCGTGACAGGTGGTCGAATGTGGTGGAGTCTCGCCCGCGACAACGCGACGCCATTCTCAAGTTATTTTGCTCACGTACACCCCACGCTGAACTGCCCGGTTCGCGCCACAGTTGCCATGAGTGCACTTGTGACTTGTCTGGGATGCATATACATTGGCAGTACAACAGCCTTCCAGGCGCTGATTTCGTCATTCATTGTTCTCAGCTCACTCTCTTACTTCGGCGCAATATTCCCACACGTCCTATCTGGTCGTCGAAATATGGTTCCTGGACCGTTTTATATGGGACAGAATCTCGGCATGGCAGTTAACATTGTTTCTTTGGTGTACATTATTGTGACTGTGGTTTTCTTCTGCTTCCCCCTCGTTCTGCCAGCCACGGTTCAAAACATGAACTACACTAGTGTCATCATTGTTGGGCTGATGGTTCTGACTGCTTTATGGTGGCTATTTCGTGGAAGACGCCAGTATCACGGCCCCCATTACAGTTTTGAGGCTGCTGAGCGGTTGGCAGCGTTCCAAGAAGGCAAACAAGGTCGCCGTTCTTTTATTGATGTTGTGGATGGATCGCCTGCTGGCTGTGTTGAGCATGGCTCAAGAACTAAATGAAGAGATATCGGAGGAGACGATGAAAATGGGTGGCTGTTTGACTAGGGATTTTTACTTCTTGTTTATTTGTTGGCCTTTTTATACCAAGGCATGTGTATTTAATCGAGTTGCTTCTATATGTTTGATGACTGAATGGAATTCACGACTTCAGCACCACACGCCAACGTGACTGGCAATGGCGTCAATCCTCCAAGATATTGTTCGGAGCTCCGTCAGCCGGCTAACCGTATTGGGCAAAGCGGCCCGACTGTATCGGATCCCCGGAATAAAACGACTCTGATTTTCTACACCGTTTCTTCCTTGATCCTGGATTCAAATACTGTACTGAGAGCGAGACTGCAGACCACGTTGTACTCCCCTGATCACCAGTTCGTAGTCGCCATTCGTGAGAGAACCTCTCGGACCGAGATCGGAGTTGATGGGGTCTTCTCCGCAAACCCAACACGGGCGCCAAGGCCGCCCAGCGACAGAACAAGATGAACCTCTACTTACGCAGGGTGTCTCCGATATGTCAAGTTCCGAGAGTGACAGTGACTCAGAGAGCGCCGATACCGCTTTCTTTGAAGGGAACTCGCTCCGCACGAGGAGATTAGGTGTTGCACCTTTGGAAATCAATGGCCGGCGGCTATCTGCCGATGAAAATGAGCACGGCGACTCGGACAGTCTGCCTGAACTGGCAGAAGAGGAAAAGCCAGTGACGTGGAGTTCACTCCCGAAGAAAGGCCAATTAGCGATTTTGACATTTGCTCGGTTGTCGGAGCCCTTGACGCAAACTTCTCTGCAAGCATATATGTTTTATCAGCTCAAATCGTTTGATCCATCTTTGCCGGACTCGGAAATCACTGTACAGGCGGGCATTCTCCAGGGTAGCTTCACAGCTGCGCAGTTTCTCACTGCCGTTTGGTGGGGGCGGCTCGCCGATGCGGAATGGATGGGAAGGAAACGGGTTCTATTGATCGGATTGCTAGGCACTTGTATTTCTTGCCTGGGATTCGGATTTTCTCGGTCATTCACTTCCGCTATGATCTTTCGAACCCTTGGTGGAATACTGAATAGTAATGTCGGCGTCATGAGAACTCTGATTGCCGAGATCATTGCTGAGAAGAAGTGAGTTGCGATCCTTTCACAAGCTCCGAATGGTACTGATTATCCAGATTTCAATCTCGAGCGTTCCTGCTGCTCCCAATGTGCTACAATATTGGTGTTATCATTGGCCCAATCTTGGGCGGCTCCTTGGCCGACCCTGTCCGCAGCTTTCCGCAGCTCTTTGGTCCTGGATCAGTCTTCGGCGGCACGGACGGTGTTGGGTGGATGAAGCACTGGCCATACGCACTACCCAATGTGCTGAGTGCGTTCTTTATTTTTGCATCAGTATTGGCCGTCTTCCTTGGACTGGACGAGGTGAGTATATTATATCTCGATTCAATGAGCTCTCACACGTTCTAACGATCTCTCTAGACACACGAATATGCAAGATACAGGAAAGATTGGGGCCGAAGCCTAGGAAAGCGACTACAGCGAGCTCTGACCCCGTCATCCAAATATCACCGCCCATTACCGCGTGCCAGAAACGATGGCTCTGTCTACCTCGACGAGAATGCCGAGACCTGGTCAGTGCCATCGAGCCCTGCCCGCTCGCGGATTCAACCCAGAGCACACAAACGCCCGGAGTTCCGACAGATTTGGACTCGAAACGTTCTCTTAACCCTATTTGCTCACTTCCTGCTTGCCTTCCACACCAGCGCCTTTAACTCCATGACATTCTCCTTCCTTCCTACACCCCGAGCCCCTGAGGGTTCCCGCGACGGACTATTTCACTTTAATGGTGGGTTAGGACTCCCCTCTGCTCGTGTTGGGCTTGCCACCGCCATCATCGGCATCATTGGGTTACCACTGCAGATCTTCGTCTATCCGAAAATACAGACAAAGCTCGGTACAATGGCATCGGCACGGGTCTTTATGCCTTTCTCACCACTCTCGTACATCTTGATGCCATTCCTTGTGATTCTTCCGAATGTACCATGGGTCGTCTGGTCCTGCTTTACCGTGGTGGTGGGCTTCCAAGTGATCTCACGGACATTCATTCTACCCGCTGCCATCATCCTTGTAAATAACTGTGTCACAGACCCATCTATCCTGGGAACTGTTCATGGTGTCGCACAAAGCATTTCTAGTGCGGCCCGAACACTCGGTCCATTCCTGGGTGGCTGGGGTCTCGGTCTGGGGCTCGAGAATAATATGATTGGCGGTGTCTGGTGGGCATTGGCCATCGAGGCCCTTATTGGATGGGCCGTTCTGTATACCATCTATGAGGGTAAGGGCATTGAACGAAAGAAGGACGTGGAGGAAGATGAAGAATGATTGATTCACGGCATGATTCCAGATACCCGAGCATAGATCTAGAGCCTATTCACAAAATTGGATTTGCATTTCAACAAAACAGTCTATCAAGCTTGTTTGCTTTCTGTCTGAACACGTTGGGCATGAAGCCTTTTTTCCAAACAGAAATGCATCATGCTTAAAGAATTAAATATCTCGTTCTGCCTAGAATATTTCTTACAAAGGTTAGTTAGCCCACCAAAGAGTTCTGCCCTGCAAGGCAAACGTCAACAAACCAAGCCACTTAAATTAAATTGTTACAAAATGAATGAGTTCAAACGAATGAGACATCGGAGCCTAGCAGAGAACCGGTCATCAGATTATGTTCGCCGGCGTTCCTACGCTCTTGCCACGACCCCCCAACTTACATCGCAAAGCAATCCCACAACAGGCTCCATGTTGATCATCTCATTCTTGACTCTGATGATGATTACGTTGCTCGTTATGATGGCAAACTGTCTTCTCGTCGTCATCTACATCATCCTCGAGCTCGGATTCGAAGAGCTCAATGTTCTACGAAGGCTACACGCAGTCATTCAATGAGTCCACAACGATTCGCATTCAAATCCTTTGAATGAGTAGCATCTATGGCTCTGCGAAATGTCAGGGAAACGTTCGTCCCCAGTTCCAAGCACTACTCTGGTCATCCGGTATGAGGTTAAACATTACTGCGACGTGTCAGTGTGATTAACATATTTGAGGAAACAGATCAACCCACGCTCTCCAAAGGCGCCAAATGTACCATCGAGTTGCTCGAAGATATTTGAAGAGGGACATTCTGTGGTTTCGAAAGATGGTTGGGACGCCACACTAGGCCGATGCATTTGCTCGGAGATTCCTGGGATTTGATGTGTATGTCGTGATTCCCTGTTTGATGATGATGGGAAAGGATAAGAAGATGTATTATGGCAAGAGGATACCTGAGGCTCGGTGGAATTGAGCGGCATTTGTTGAGTAGTCGAATTCACATTGCTTTCAGGCAGATCTCTTGACGAATCGGGCCCCCCTCTTAAAGCACAAGACACCTCCCGCTCGATGGTTACCTTGAGAAGGTCTGTAAGGAGCTGTGCAGTCTGCTTTGCTATGCGATTGTGTGGACCAAACGCCTTGCTAGCATGAATGATGCGCATTACTCCCGCTTTCGCCTCATGCGCTATCGCAGAGAACGGTTGGCTGGTTGGTGAGATGCACAGAATGACCCCGGCAGTAAATTGCTGTAATGAAGCAAAAGATTCAGCAAAGTGGTGCTTGAAGTGGAGAACTGGAATACGTGATATTCGAAGTGCAGCTGTGGTGGCCGTTCTCAAAGATCGACATATAGCGTTGACGACGTATTCCGAACACGCACTAGAAACCTTCTGCTCCAAGAGAGGCCGGCAGGCTTGGATCAAAGCTCCATCATATGTGAGCTGAAGGCAAGCTGCCTGGAGAATGATGATCTCTGCTTGAACTTTGGCGCGCGGAGGTAAATTCTCTATCTGTTGGTGAAATCGCTCGAGCCTATGCTCGTGGCTCCAGACCTCGAAGTCGAATAAGCGGGGAACTGATTTCCGCCAGCGGAATAATTGTTCCTCTGAGTCTTGCGAAGCTTCTGCGATTGCTAATAGATCCTCTTCCATCCTTTCCTTCCTCAGTTGAAGACGCCGGAAGCGGGAAAGTATATGTCGAATGATGTTGTAGATCTCATATTTCGCTTCAAAAAAGCCCGCTGTCGTTTTCTGCCTCATATCATCCGGTATTAAGTCATTGCTTAGCAAGATTGGGTCGATCATCAGGTCATCCATGTCTTTCAGGGTATGTAAAGCATTTAGTCCCGTATCGATACAAGAAGGCCGACCATAAATGACAGATGTGAACGTATCACCGACGATCGCGTGGTTCCAACACCGTGAGCGAATCTCATCCATCACAGGATCATCGCATCGGGACGACTTTGTATAAAGATCGAGGGCGTAAGCAGACCGAACTGCCATGCCGGAGACCGTCCAAGCAATGCTCGGAGAATTATGATAGACGAAATAGGACGATACCAAGTAGCAGACCTGAACAGCTTCAATCCGACAGTCGATAGAAATATCAAGTAAATGAAGCCGTATCTCTTTCACGAAGCTGTGCATCAACTTTGTGCCGTCGATTGAGTAATGTCGGAGTAGTTCATGTCCGCTCCAGCTTTGATCTGGTAGCACACACTGCAATCCAATCATGGCGACAGCTAGCACAGACATGGTAGGACTGAGATCTTGACGCCGCCATGATGTTTTAGAAATGATTCTGCGTACCGTTCGTTGAAAGGACGGTTCGTGAAATAGCATGACAAACCATTGCATCCGATCGAAATAGGCGTCGATCAAAGCTAGCATAACGTCTTGAGGGGGGAGCTCCACCTCTGTTAGATGCCAGAGTGAATTGTCCAATTCAGGACACCCGGTATCGCCAGGTATTGATGCACCCGTAAGGGTTCGACCGGCCTCCTCTTCATTAAAGACACGTCTGGCGAAATCAATCGCAGAAGCATTGGCGCCAGACTGTGGTGCTTTTGGAGAATTCTCGGGGTAAGAATTCGAGTCCTCCGGCATATATGACTCGGCTACTAGCGAGGTCAAAGAAGTGGCAGGAGAGCCTTTGGATTTTGCTGGTGCGATAGACTTGTGTACCCTAGAAGGCCTGTGCAAGTCTTTGCTCCCAGTTCGCCGGCGAGCTCGTACTGCTCGCTGGGATGTTTCACATTCATGCCCAGCTCGCGTGCACAGCACACACGGCCTAGAGCTGTCACACTATCAAACAGTCAGAAAAGGACCATGGATGGGGTCTCCGACTCATTGACCTTGAGCTTTTGCCGACGGCATCTATCGCAGGCTCGCGACGTGCGTGACTTCTGAATAGGGGATGCTCCTCCCATGGCCATTGGCATTGGACTACAACTTTCTGGCCTCGGATTTCGAAGGCGGAAATCACTCAAGAGTTGGGGTCCCCGCAAATTGCGATTGCCGAGTAACCGCCGGCAACCGAACCCTGCCAACTTTACGCTCCGCATAGTGCGAGGTTGTGTGAATGACTTTCAATCTGATGCTATATTTTGGGGTCTTTCTCTTGTGAAGACTTATGTCTAATTTTGGCAAGTTTGGAAATCTCGTAGCTTGCATGTGGTGTGTCGACTACTGCAAAAGCATTTGTCTGGACACATGCAGCTGATCTACATGCTAAGCATAATCTTGCGAAAAGTATGGCTCTGGTAAAAAATAATTCGATAAAACGTCAAATTCCATTTCCATTGAACGAACGCCATGATATGCTCCTTGCTAATGATACATGCTTGAACGCCCGCTAGTCATAATAATACAAGAACAAAAAAAGAGTAGACAAGAATTTTTAGACCGAAAACCATATGCCCTTTTGAATTGACACCTGGGTATCTCCTGTGTTCACGTAGTCGCCTCTGCGGCTGAGAGGGGTCTTATTTGACCTTTGCAGGACCGCGACGACGGCGTTTAGGAGTTTGCACGGGGGAAGGCGCGCGTGAGGGGGCAGTTGAGGGTGAGTGCGGAGCTGGAGTATCCTCTGTATTGGACGTATCATCCTCCTTTATCTCAACATCGGGTGCGGGCTTGAGGGTTAGACGGATTCGCTGCACTTTAGGCTTTACGTCCTCGGTAGTGGGCGTTGCGATAGGGGCGACCTTGCTTGACTGAGACTGTGCTTTTGTCGCGGATTTTGGAGGGGAAGAGGGAGCAGGAGCAACGTCAGACGCCGGGGCAGCGGCAGCGGCAGGGCCCGGCTCAGTCTGGCGGCGGCGACGCTTTGATTTGCGTTCTCCGTCAGGGGTCGTAGTCGGATTAATCGCGTCTGTGGCTGCGGTCTGGCGACGCTTGCGCGTGGCACGAGGCTTGCGAGCCGCAGTTGTTGGTGTAATGAGAGGGGTTTCCTGGGGACGGGAAAGCACTCTAGCCCTTTCCGCGTCCACGTTCTCTGGCTGGAAAGGAGATTGGGACCCGGCAGGGAGGTTGCGAGATCCTATGAGGGGTGGATAGCCGCGTGCGTTGTCGCTATCGCCTTGGTGATCTGCGCGAGCACGTACGGGGGGATAGGGTAGGCTTTCATCCCCGTAGGTGTGCAGCGAGCGATACAAATGGTAGTCATCGGGGATCAGAGAGACTTCTTCAGCTTTGTCGTTGACGTAGCCGGTTTGAATCCATCCGTCGCCGCTCGTTCTGGCACTGGACTGTAGTTCGAATCCCAAAATGCCGGGAGCGTCAGTGGATTTAGCTGTGGGAGCTAGCTTGGGAGATGTTGAGATGGCAGAGGGTTCTGGGACGACTTCATCGACAGTCTGGGACGAGGGCATATCGTCGGCCGACGTGGTAGTCCCGTACATTTCATCGTGACTACTTTGATAATATTCGCTTCGTCTCTCTTTGATGAACTGCTCGGCATCAATGTTGATTGGAAGAATGAAGTCAGGGCTTAGGGCTTCAAAAGTGAGATCAAACAGCCTCTTGCCAGCGAGTTTGAAGTCGATATCGCTGCCGATCAAAATCATATCGTTTCGAATCTTTGAATTCGCCATACGCCTTGACGTGCGAGTCTTCTTGGCGCTTTTATTGAGGGTATTATTCTTCACTGCCTTTGAGGGGTAAGCTGGCTTTTCCCCGATCGGAGTAGATGCTTTCGCATTTTTACGGGGCTTTTTCTTTGCCGACTCCAGAGATTCAAGAGCTCTAATTGTAGGCTTGCGCACCCGCGATGAGTTCCGCATGTCGGATGCACTTGTGGGGCTAGAGGGACCGTCTGCTGTTCCTTCTGACCCGATGGCACCAAAGTACTGCTCATTCGTCCATCCAGTACTACCAATACCCTCCAAAGGGTCGAAATCAGAGATTTCCGTTTTTGGTGTTTCGAGTGCGGCTGTCCTTCTGGTCCGTCGACTACCCTGGCTGGCTGGGGTATCTATGGTTGGTGTATAGACCGTTGATAAACGAGAGGGACGAGTCTGGAAACCTCGTCGGCGTGAGGATGGAGTTTCCGGAACCTCGGCTTGGGAGCGAGGACTAGCCGCAGCAGGTTTGGGATTGTAGAAACGGATGTTGATTGAGGTTTCTTGGGGCGAGGCGGGTGTAAGGTTCAACGTTTTGGGTGGGCTGGCGGTTTCAGTTGGGCTTGTTGGAGGGGGAGGAACTCGTGGTGACCGTCGAGATGGCGCTAACGTAGGCGCTTTATTTATGCGCGCCGACATCGATTTACGCTGACCCTTTTTTGGAGGCATCGTGACTTGTGCTAAACACACAGTACTGGTCAGTTGAGCTATTCGTGCAGATAAAGACAAATGGTAGCTAGAGCAGCAGCGATATATATGAGATCCTCGATATGCATAACAGGAGAGAACGAGGGAAGTATATGGGGGGTCAGGTGTAGGCCGACGTCAGAAGGACCGCCAGGAAGGGGAGAAGGGGATTAGGGCCCGAGATATTGGGATCAAACTTACGGGACCAAAGGTGCGCCCATCCGTAGTCATGAGATTAAATATCCATCAACAATGTTAAAGAGGAGGATAGGGCGAACAGGTGGGAATGAAATAAAGCTGATGGAGGGTGTCGAGGTCGAGCAGAAAAGAAATTAGGGCTACGGTAGATCGGCGCTTATCGGCTTCAGGCTGTCCGCCTTATTCTGCAACTCCCTCTTCCTCCTCTATAGCTTCAGCTTTCACTGTCACTTCTTCCGCTTTTGTTACTATTTCTTTCATGATGCATCTGTGGCAGGCCACTGTTCCATTCTGCCTTTTGGCCGCTGCTGCCCTGCCCGGCGCAGCTGCGTCGGCTTGGGGCTTTACTGATGCCACCGTGGCCGTTCAACACAAAGGCGCTGGCGTGAATGGAGGTTTCAAGGAGCAGTATGTCTCTTGATTCAATCAAATGCAAGAGTGCTAACAGTGTATTTGCAACAGACTCACTGCATCCAAGCCGCTCTCCGAACCTGTCTCAATCGTCGACACTGATACTTTACGCGTCACCTTGACAGCTCAGGAAGGAAGCTCCCCGAAGCGCCCCCACCAAGCTTTCCTTTTGCTGAAGGATGCTCATACTGGACTGGATGTATCCTATCCGTTCATTGTTAAGGAGAACGGCAAGTCAAGGGTGGAATTGGTATGCAACTCGAGACTTCGCAAGCGATGTAGCTAATAGCCCCCAGACCAAGAAAGACTTGCCAATCCAATTCCTCTCTCTCCCTGAACCGGTTGACGCCCGCGTGGTCATTGGTGGACTTGGTACATCGGATGCATACGACAGCTCTGCTTTCCAATTGTCAATTGATCGCAACCCAGAACTCGCCGTGCCGACCGTCGAGACTGAGCGTTATGGCAAGAAGCCCGAGATCCACCACATCTTCAAGGACTCTCCGTCCAACCCACCAATTGTCATTACTCTGGCCTTTGTCGCCATGGTTGGTGCCGCTCTCCCTGTTCTGGGTGGCTTGGTAAGATGAATTCTCATGCTGTGGCGCGAACAACTGCTAATCCATTGCGTCTAGTGGCTCCTCCTCGGTGCCAACGTCAGCCACCTTCCTACAGCTTTCAAAGCCGCCCCTCTTCCCCACGCTGTATTCCTTGGATCACTGATCGGCTTCGAGGGAATCTTCTTCCTCTATTACACCTCGTGGAACTTGTTCCAGATTCTCCCCGCCGTGGCCATTGTCGGTGCAGTCGCATTCATCAGCGGAAGCCGCGCACTGGGTGAGGTGCAGGGTCGCCGCCTTGCTGGTCTCCGTTAGACCTCGAGATTATGTTGAAAAGTCTGAGACCTGGTTGCAGTTCTCTCTCGGCGATGTTGCGGAATACTGAATATGCATGTCACAGCTTACGCAGTATTGTATCTTAGATGTGATGATATCTCAGCATGTGTCTGCAAAAGCAATTCTTTACAACATAATGCAAACAATCTTTATTGGATTCGGGTGTTATCGTCCGTCTGTAGAGTATCCCACTCATATAATACTTAGCTTTTGAGGTCAGCGTTTGGTTTATGCAATGGTGCATTTTGCGCGAACTAGACTTTCCTAAATACCGATTGTTAACTACATGCTGAGCTGTACTATTTCAAGAAGTGATACTCAATCTTTCAAGATTCCATGCTGTAAATCAATTGGAAAACACTACATCCATATAGCTTTATTTGTTTGATTATATTTTGACGTCACCTGAGTGGCAGATCAAATGCCAAGGCGACCTCCGCGATTTCTCCCCGACCTCCGTCGCAAAAAAAAAAAAGCCTCAGTCCTCCAACATCCTACGTCTTAACACCTACAATGGGCTCTGCTGCTTCCAAGCCAGCTAAATCAGCGGCATCCGCTGCCGCCCGCCGCCAGTATCCCAAGAAGTCAGCTCCTCCACCCACGGGACAGCGCAAAGCTCCAAAGGAAACAAAAACCGCACCCAAGCCGGAGCCTGCTAGTGCAGCGCCCAATCTTGAATACACACCCACAACTCGTCGCGCACCCATGGCTTCTCCTCAAGGGCCGACATATCACTCCAAGGAGCCAGCCTCTAGCGTGAAGTCAGATGGTATGTCCATGCAGTTCCAAACATCTACCACCGTTTTTGCACCTACCAGACCAGCATCAGCACTCCCGGGAAACAATGCTAACCCTTGCTCCCAGCCATCGACATGGATGGCCGAGACCCCGACTTCGCCGCCTCCCTCCGCTCAATCGGCCCCGTAAATCCCAATCCAACCTACTCAAACTCCAGCACCTTCAGCAGCCTCGGCTCAATGCAAACGATCTTCCCCCAATCCTCAAATCCAGCCCTGCTGGTTGTGAACGCCCGCCAAAGACTTAACAAACTCGCGGAAGAGGAGACCGAGTCGTATGGTGTTGCCGGCCATCCTGGGCGACAGTTCCTTGATGCGCTGACCATTCAGCAAATCTTGACGATGCGTGATAAGCAGGGTATTCCTCGGAGGCAAATTGAGAAGTTCTTGGGTCTTAAGACTGGGGTTGTTGATCGGTTAGGAAAGGATTCGATTGTGTCGCGCATTGCATAAGCTTGGGTCTTGTTTGGCCTAGACTGTGAAGGTTTCGAGGTGTTTTGGGCTTCATAAAATGGCGTCTTTGTTAATGTTTGTACATTATTTAGGTTTGGCTATCCCTACTCACGATACAGATAATATTTGGGATCTAGATTTCCATGTTTGCATGCTCGATGCCATATCTGCTTCTTGTCCAGTATAAATATTGACTTTGGACCATGATATCCTGATCGTTATGAGTAGCTATGTATTAAACTTGAGCTCTATTATGTCCAGCTCATTTGAATGGCCGAATTGCGCTTTGTGTAGCTTGATTATAGGACCGAAGCCTTGTTACAGGAACCATGCCTGGGTCACGAATCCAAATCCACAAAATTAGTAGCCATTGCAGTGCTTCAGTATGGTTGATCCTTGTGCATACTTCTGTCAGATCGCAAATGATCGCAAATGAACACCAACTCCATTCCAATGTGTACTTCAACGGCGCTATTGCGGACATTGCGACAGTCCGCGGGGAAGTACCACGCCCTTCTACACCCGATGCAGCCTGACCCATTATCTGATTATTTCAAGCGACCTGGTTGGAGCATTGGCAAAGCATTGGCAAAGAAAATGGAGAACATCTATGAGATTCGGTGCCGACCACCAATCAAACCACCTGGATACGCGATGACAAGACTATGCGGGCATCTACACTAAATTTGCATGACAGATGAGTCAATCAAGAGATATAAAAATAACATTATAACTTTTCCAACACTCTCAACACAATTGACACCACAACTTCCCCTGCGCCTACAATGTATCTCCGCGCCATCCACGCCGAGGGCCAAATCCCCCTCCTACAGAAGTTTATCCGCGATAACCCACTTGGGATCTTCACCACAGCAATCAAATCCTCGTCGCACGCTTTCATTCAGTCGAGCCATATCCCATTCGTGCTAGATACCCCGTCCTCAGACGATAACGCATTACAAAATGGCATCCTACGCGGCCACATCGCAAAGCAAAACCCACAAGCAAAGGTGCTAATGGAAGCGCTGGCCGAACAAAACGCCGCTGGAAACGACAGCCTTGAACTACCCGATGAAGTTCTAGTTCTTTTCAATGGCCCACACCACCACTATGTCACGCCGAAGTTCTACACAGAAACAAAGCCTGAGTCTGGCAAGGTGGTCCCGACGTGGAACTACTCTGCCGTCCAGGCATACGGCAAGATCAGGGTTTACTGCAACTCGAAGGCTGATGAGACAGCTGGGTTCTTGGCAAAGCAGGTAGACGATATGTCGAGGCAATCTGAGCGTGATATTATGGGAAATACGGGTGGTGACAAGCCGGCTCCGTGGGAGGTTTCTGATGCACCGGTTAACTATGTCGAGTTGCTGAAGAAGAATATTATTGGGATTGAGATTCGGGTTGAGAGGTTGCAAGGCAAGTTCAAGATGAGTCAGGAGATGAGCAAGGGTGATCGCGATGGGGTTATCAAGGGGTTCGAACAGTTGGAATCGGAGGTTGGGAATGGCATTGCTGCTTCTGTGAGGGAGCGTGGTGATATGAAGGATTTGCGGTAATTTGGGGCCATCCCGTGCTTATGTGAGCTTTGTAAATAGAATATTTTTTTATTTATTTCATGTCTAGATGGCATGGTTATGACTGATGAAATAGATGAACATTTCAACCTTGGGTTTGAAGCAGTATCAGGTTCATAAGGATGGACAGGAAAAGTGGTATGCAACGTGTACCGAGGTGCAGTGTGAATTCGGGGTAGACGAGTAGATCGAATTTCGATCGGATTTCTTTTATGCAGACCCGACGCGGAGAATGTGCTGCGACATGAGTCTGATATAAGCGTGAAGAAATCTTTGTTAAATTAAATTCCTGATAGCATCTTGCTTACAGTACTGTATGCTGGGACATTTCATTTCCCTGCGTCAGAATAACTTGGGCCTAAGATTGTCAGATCCTGGAGAGACGATTGGGAACAGCTCAAAAATTTAAATCTCAAACAAAGGACCTCGGAAAATATCTCGAATAGGGGAGTGGTCCACGCAATTTAGATAAACGGTGCGCTGGGATTAACACACGGCCGATGGAGCGATGCGCCGAGCAATGACAAAATCACACATGTTCGCGAACCAAGGCCACAATAAGATGAATAAGTTAAACCAGTCTGATGCAGGGCATCTGCCAAGGTAGCTTGGCGGGCAGGCTTAGACCCCTATTTTTGACACATCTAAGGCACAAAGTTTAAGCATGCATCTGAAACAGGATAATGCATCGTATAATGAGCATCACACAATAGGCAAGACAAAGCAAGACACGGTGGACAGCAGCAACTCAAACAGGTATGGGATCAACAGATTCTCCACAGAGCTCAGATGCCACAGGGCTCATCGGAACACGGAGGCCCCGACGATCCAAGGAGATCAGAGAGTGCTTTCCCAGTCCACAGTCCCTTTTTGGGGGAGCCTAAAAGGAGCCACTCTGAGGGGGGGGCCGCTCACATCATTAAGTGGGTGCCTGAATGTCTTTCCATTTGGAAATTAATTGGAGAAACCGCGGTTTGACACACATTTTCTGGATGGCGCCGGATCACTGTGGGGGAACGGGGGGTTCGGGCATGAATAGCTCTCCGAGAGTTGCATTTTGCGTCTGACCCCAGATTCCATCAGAGTTTAACACGAGATTGCGTGCCGTATTGCCAGTTGGAGATTCCGACGTGTCTCAGTCAAGGGGCGAATCAGGGCAGGCTGGGAAAAAAAGCCTTGGTAGGATGTGCTAGACGAATAGTGTCATGCAGGGTCCACCTTGCCTCTGTACCATGCATTTCCAGCATGTACGGGGCACAATCCACCGCTGTACAGACGTATCGCCCATTCCGTTACATCCGAGTCTAAGGGGGAGAGAACCGAGAAGGCAGCATCAGTAATGCCGTAATTCATCCAGTCGAGATTCGAGGCTTGACAGTCGGAGACGAGAGAAATCGAGGAGAGTTGCAAGTTGCAAGAAGGAAGAAGAAAACCGAGGCCAAAGACAAGCCTTTCGAGTTGGAGCCGCAAAGTCGCGTGCGCGCTTGCCTCAAGGGTCTCAGATGCTTTTTGGACTCCACAGCCTAAGAATAGTTTCCCTTTCGCTTTTGTTTTCGCATTCTGCATTCTTCTTCTCCCCTTCCTTTCGCTTTCTCTCTTCGCGTCTTATCATGACATGAGTTCACCATGTCCATCACCGCCTATTTTCCACCGTTGTCTCCATTTCTGTTCTCTGCGCTTGTTGTAAGTGGACTGGCCTCGAAGGCTTTACACATTGCGCTCCACATTCGCTCGTTACCGTTCATTTATTTCGTTCTCTACTCGCCGACTCTCATTTTACCCGATGTGCTGGTTATAATCTGTGCGCGCTTGTTGTTGCGCTTCCATAGACCTGAAGGTCGCTGGCAATGGCTATCCACGGTAGCTGGTGGGGCTTTGTCGTATGTTCACCTCGGATGCCCTGAAGCCATCGAGAAGGTGGATTCGCACAGCTTGAACATGGACTAACAGAGCATTAGCCTACTAACATGGGGCGCTTCGTCGATTCAATTCGGATTCTTCCTACAAACTGGCGCCGAGGTGGCCTGGGCAGCGGGCGGCAGCTTCCTCAGTGACCCAGCTGCCATGAAGATCCTACTTAGTGGTATATCGACGGTATCTGCTGCTGCAACAGTGCTTGGACTGGTGGCATGGTTGATTCATTCATACTTGTACAACCTCACAGGCCTTGGGTTGCAGGCAATCCGAGACTTGTGCATGGGAGGATATAACGCACGGTACACATTGATTGCCCCTAGCAAGTCGTGCATGGCTTCGTTCGACCTCCGATCCCTCCGTCGCATCATCCCCGCAGTCGCTATCTGCGTGTCTCTCATTTTCCTGGAGATCACTCGCCCAGGGATCCCGTACGATCATCTCTCCGGAGCTCTCCCACTGACTCTACTTGAAGCCTTCACGAAGAAATCCGCAACAGTCGAAGGATGTCGTGAGCCGGCGGTGCCTTTCCCATTAATGACTGTGGACGCCAATGGCAACTCCCGCCCTCTATACCAGCCAGATCCGGTTGTGGAACAATGGTCACGGGCTTCTTGGCTCCCCGAAAACCCGCCTCAGGGATTCACCCGATGGGGTATGAGTCCTCAGGAGCGTGCAGAGAAGGAAAACTCGTTCTCTTATGTTTGCGGTGGTGCTGAAAGTGGTTTTTATGATCCTAAGAATGACCCAATCAAGGTTACAAATTTGGGCGGCGAAATTTATCAACCACTGCAGAAGGCCTTTGAGGAACACTCCGTGGAGGTCAACCATGTGGTATTATTGACTCTTGAGAGTGGCCGCAAGGAGATGTTCCCTACACAACAGGGTACTCCATTCTTTGATAATGTTCTCGCTTCTCACAAAAAGAAGGACGTGGAAGAGGCTATTGACCTTCTAGTGACTATGACCCCGGTCGCCCAACAGTTGACTGGAGAATACGCAACCGATAGCAAGGGCAATCGAGCCAACATGACAGGATCGCCATGGAAGACGCCAACGCCAGAAGGAATGGGCGGTCTCAATGTTCGCGGGGCTATGACTGGCAGCTCGTTGACATTTAAGAGCATTCTAGGCAGCCATTGTGGTGTCAACCCCTTGCCAGTGGATCTTTTGGAAGAGACAGCACTGGAGATCTATCAACCATGCTTACCGCAAATCTTCGAACTATTCAATCAGGCCAAATCCAGGTCGCACACAAGAGATACTTCAAAGTCAGAGACTCTGAATCACCCGTGGAAGCCTGTCTTCATGCAATCTATCACAGACGACTACGATCGCCAGGATATTCTCAACGAAAACATGGGATTCAACGACAAAGTCGTCAAGAAGACCCTGCAATCCTCGCATTCAAAGTACCAGGCATCGGGCAAAGAAATCAACTACTTCGGATATGCTGAAACGGAACTTCGGCCCTATATGCAGGATCTCTTCGAGGAGGCTGCAAACAACAAGACTCGCATGTTCCTTTCTCACGTCACCAGCACGACACATCATCCATGGGGTACACCCACCGACTTCGAGGCAGAATCGTACATGGGAAGCCAAGGGAGTGCCAACCACGACCTGATGAACAATTATATGAATGCCGCTCGGTTCGTTGATATCTGGCTCGGCGACATCATGAACATGCTTGAACAAACCGGCATTTCCAACGAGACTTTGGTCGTTATCGTCGGGGACCACGGCCAGGCGTTCGGTGAAGACAACAATGACATGACCGGAACCTATGAAAACGGTCACATTAGCAACTTCCGCGTGCCGCTTGTTTTCCACCACCCGAAAATGCCACGAGTCAACATCAACGCCAACGCAACCGCGCTCTCCATCATTCCTACCATTCTGGACCTCCTCGTCCAGTCCAACTCTCTAGATGAGCGCGACTCCGAAATCGCTTCTGCGCTTCTCCCTGAGTACCAGGGTCAGTCTCTTCTCCGTCCTTTCCTAGCCTCTATGGAGGAGCCATCTCAAACACGCCATGGCGATCATCGTCATCCCCACCCCCTCCCAAAGGCGAGCCTGAGCCTGAATCTTCTCAATTTGAGGCCCGGTCTCACCCTGAGAGTCCTGCCAAACGATCCGTCTGGAACATGGGTCTCATTAATGCCGGTGGCTCGATGCTCTCCGTCACAACTGCCAGTGTTCCATACCGCCTAGTTCTCCCTCTCAAGGAAGGCTTTGAATACTCCTTCACTCACCTTGGTGAGGACCCCAATGAGGACCACCCTATCAAGGATTGGACACTCAAACTTCTGATCGAAGAAGTCACTCCAAAATACGGCGAGGAGGCCGCTGCCTGGCTTTCCGATGCCGAGAAGGTTGGCAAATGGTGGGTCACTGAGCAAAAGCGTATCTGGGGATACCGCGAAGCATAATGACCTATCTCAACTAAAAACTTTCGGTTTCGCGTTACGACAATCTCTAATCTCATTTCCGCCTTTTTTTGCATCATACGACATTCACACGGCCCTTGCGTATCATCGGAGGCCAGCCTCTCCCCGAGCCGGTGTTCTTGGAGTTCCCTTGCTTTCATTTATTACTGACGTTCAAAATTTTCTTTACACATTTCCATTATCATGGCGGATCTGTCTTTCCTATTCCCCCTTTAACTTTCCTCATTTGCCCTCTTCGTCTGTGCATTGAATGGGATTCACAGCTGTTACTTTATTTTCTCATCTCTTTTTCTTTCTGGATTATGGAACTTCAGTACCCTACTGTACTGTTACGGGACGGATTCGGACGAGCGTTTCCCACTGTACATAGTATCAAATGACTCGCCTGTTCCCTTTGGCCTGGTAGGGACTCCTCATACAGTATCTGGAGCTGCATTTCTTACCATACTCCGTGCTGGATGGTTAAGGATTCCTTGATTTAAGGCTCAGTTATTTGTATCTACTTATCCAATATCATCTATTTGACTTGATATTGCTACCTAATAACTTATAATTTAAACTTTGCGTAGCACAAACAGGTTACATACCCTGGCCAGATCCACCTTTCGGAGTTGGTTATCGTACGTATAGCCACCAACTAGACCATCGGGGTCTGTAGGGCTGATCCCGCTCCACTCGATCGACGTCCAAACCTCCGGGCATAACTTTTTGAAATCATGGATCTGAGTATGACTGTGGCGTTGGCTGTGTTACTGGTTTGACATATATCCAGAATTTGTGCTCCGCTAAGCTTTCGAGTCCTGGTGCTAGTCCTGAAATTAAAATGAGAAGCGTGTCAAGCCTTCGAATAGCCCCAAACAGATGGCCTCGGAGACTACAGGGGATCTGTATACACTGATAACAAGACCTAGTATAATGTTGCTGGCATAGCCAGAACATTCTCAGACCATCGCCATTTTCTAAATCCATAGACTGCATCCAGACCATCTGTTTGAGATCAGGAACATTGCTAATGTAGCCTTCATCCTGACCAGCCCTGACATCACCGTTCTGCGTCTGGAAAGACACATTCCACCGATATTCACCCTACACTCGACATAATTAATCAGCATCTCGCAGCAGACGGTGCAGCAGTTATTGTCTAGAAAAAGAATAGAGACTTACCAACCGACATCCATCAAAGAGTCAAATTGAGAGATAATAGCTGGAGTGGCAGTGGAAACGACGGGAAGGTCAAGGAAGAATAGGAAATGGGCCAGAGTGACGGATGTAAGGATAAGAGTAACCGCCAGGCCTGATGGGTATTGGCGGTTGAGATCTCCATCATCACTAAAGGCAGTGAGCTCGGCACCATATTGCTTTTCCAGTGAGTGGCACTTTTAATTCACGAGTGAGTCTATCAGAGGCTCATCCCAAGTAAAAGATCTTGTCTCGGCCATTGCAGAACAGTATTCCTAGCCAAGGTGCTGCGGATGAAGGACTTGGGATGCTGATGTGATAATTTGATGACTACAGGATCACTATGAAATCATCGTGGAGTAATACTTTCTAGTTGGAATGTTGATACTAGATGTACCGCACTCATATTCCAGATTCCGCCCCTGGTAGAATGAAGCGGACTTTGACTCCGAAGTCCGAATCCCAAAAAGGACTTCTTTTATCTGTATCGGATTTGGGCCGGAGTGAAGCGTCACACTCTGCTTCGACAATTCGAAGCTTATCTGGGCCTAAGCTCAAGATTATATACTACATAGAAAGAGATAGCAAGCAATTCACAGGCCCGCTGTTTACAATCCCAACAATCAGATGCTGTTAAATGCGGGAAGTCACAAATATATATATTTTTTGGTAATGATACTAGTAAATCAGTTCAACAGGACAATAATTTTGCAAAATGTGGCACATAATGAAGTCGCTGATGACGCTAGCAGGTGTCTTGAATATTGCCTGATGGCTACTAGATTCAGCTCCAAGATGACTTGTCGGTACCCTGTTGATTAAAAAGAGTTTCCTTTTTGACATATCCAACCCAGAATTTGAGAAAATTGTCCACAGAAAACCAAGTCTCCTATTTGACATATGCAATACATGATCCGAGAGAAGTTGTCAACAGACCTCCAAAATATGATCAATCCCAACAAGCAAACGAGACACGTGTTGGCTTCAGTTGTTCACCGACATCCAACACAGTCGTGCCCATTCCACCGCAATATCCACAAACACCTCGGTTCAGTTATGCAATGCAGCGACACAAAAATGCCAAACCGGGACTACCTAGCTAGGTAAGTACTAAGCAAAGCAGATGAAGGGGTGAGCCCGGATAGTTCAAGATCGTAGATCTACTGCTTTGCAGCGACAAAAGACTAAGATCTAGGGTCTAGAGCGTGAGGGGTTCGTCAGCAAACCTCCCAGAAACCGGGGGCAGGGGTCAGAGTCAGGGGCAGGATAATTCTCGAAGAGACGGAAATGTGAATTGTCGGAATCGCCCGATTGAGTAAGTAGCTTCGGAATGGAAGAATCTGCCGGTCACCAGACCCCAGTCGCAGATAAGCTATAAGTTAAGGTCTCTTCGGCTAATTTTAGTGCCCAGATCCGGGGTTGCAGCAAAGAAGGGCTGTTCAATATTCCCCATTGGACAAGTGTGTTGGTTTTCAGGTTGTGTCACTGAATTAGATAACCGCATAGATCGAGTAAAAGCGTAAAATTCAATATTGAGAGAGAACCAACTAAGAATCAGAGGGAAAATAAATCGAATTGGCCAATGGTCTGTCGTTACCCTGGAGTCGGAACAGGATCAGGCCCGGGCAGTCTGAGCGGATCTGCAACCGATCACTTGACCCTGCTTGGACTCGTCTTTCTAGAAGGTCTCGAGGATTGATGGGAGAATTGCAGGTCACCTGGTGTCATAGAATGAAAATAAATATAGGAAAAACACGACCAAATCCAAACAGAATTCAAGTGGCGTTCCCCGGGTTCCCCAGACGGCTTGCCTAAACCAGAAATCCGGAGTGCCATCTGTTTGGCTCCCGATCTGCCACATCGTGAACTTTTGTCGGGTGACTTGATTTCCAGCTTATCCCTGGGTTTCATTCGTGTTCAACGCAATTTCAATCAGGGAAACCCTTGACCATTGAAGTAATTATGACACAGTCCATATTTGATAGCCAAATGTCCTGAAAACCTAGTTCAACTAGCTATTCTTGTCTAGACGAGGAATGAATCTCGCCACGGCCGTTTAAACGCATTTCTCGGAGGTCTGGACCGAAACTATGCAGCGCCCTTGTTCAACCTGAATTTCCAGATTGGGATTTTTCCAAAGCTCACGAGACCGGTCTGCTAGGTCCTTGCTCTTGGCTTTCGGCTTGATTCTGCCGGATCGTGAACGAACAGTATTTAAGGAGAGTTTGTTCCACGATGGGTTCTCAATTGAATTATATTCGCTTTCATCTAATATCTGACCCTTCGGTGCTCTGGATCGTCACTTCATCGACTTTTTTCTTAATCCTTGGCCATATACCATTAATACTCTTCTTATAATGTCTGTCACCATTGAGACCACCGAGGTTCCCATTGCCCCCATGTCTTCGGAGCCTATCTTGCTCGGCCAGAAGTCCAGAATGCCCGAGTACAGTCTCGCCGGCAAGGTGGTTCTGGTCTCAGGTGGTGCCCGTGGGCTTGGATTAACCCAGGCAGAAGCTCTTCTGGAAGCCGGTGCAAAGGTGTACGCCCTTGACCGTCTTGAAGACCCTGTATGTTGAAGCAATGAACCATCTATACTCCGCACGACCCTAACGCCGTTGCTACACCAGGCCCCCGAATTCTCCCAGATTCAGCACCGCGCAAAGGAGCTCGGAACCGAGCTGCACTACCGTCGCATCGATGTACGTGACACAGAGCTTCTCAACAGTGTGATTGAGGCGATCGCCAACGAGGAAGGCCGTATGGACGGTCTCATCGCTGCCGCTGGGATCCAGCAGGAGACCCCAGCCCTCGAGTACACAGCCACAGACAGCAACAGAATGTTCGAAGTCAATGTCACCGGCGTATTCATGACCTCGCAGGCAGTGGCCAAGCAAATGATTCGCTTTGGGAACGGGGGAAGTATCGCCATGATCGCCTCTATGAGTGGCACTATTGTCAATCGGGTATGTTCATCTCCCTCATTCGTCCCGTTCAACCCTAGTTCGCTCCCATATAGACCTGTCTATGTGAATCTCGCTCTGCTTGGCATGTCATCAACGGCATTTGACCCCGTTAAACTTTACCCTTTCCCCGCATTATCCCCCCGCGCCACATCACCACTTTCGAATTGGATCAAGTTCACCAGTCTGACAATCTATATTCTAGGGTCTTATTTGTCCTGCGTACAACGCTAGCAAGGCAGCCGTCATCCAGCTGGCTCGAAACCTCGCTGCTGAATGGGGTCAGTACAATATTCGCGTCAACACTATTTCCCCCGGATACATTGTCACCTCGATGGTCGAGAACTTGTTCATTGAGTTCCCTGAGCGCCGCGACCAATGGCCCAAGGAGAATATGCTTGGCCGTTTGTCTCGTCCCGAGGAGTACCGTGGTGCTGCCATCTTCCTGCTTAGTGACGCGAGCACTTTCATGACTGGCAGTGACCTCCGCATGGATGGTGGCCACGCGGCTTGGTAGTTTGATGGCGACTCCTTGGTTTTTTTGAATTGTAATCATCGCATGACCTGGCTTAGCGGGTCTTTTATGGCATGGTGTTGATTTTCTTCCCCCCGGTCCACATTGGTTTTGTTTGTTATGTCATGGGCTGGGCTGGAAATAGCGAAGCGTCCGTGTATGTACTTGGGGATTTTTTTTTTCTTTTACTTTTTTTTGAATCATGAAGCTCTTGTAATTGGCTGTGACGCTTCTGGGCACTGTCATTATGATGCTAGAGTAGAAAAGTATTTAACCATTTTCTTTGGCCTACTGGTTCATCTTTATACTTCCAGTCTTAAGTGTTTAGCTGCATATTCCTTGACCCACTTCCATCTTGACAGATCTGCCCCACTCATGTTCCTCTTCTTTGGTCGACTCAGTCTGCGCACATCTTAATAAGGCTGAGACGTTGGGTTCCTCCGCACAGAGGATACCTAACTTGAGCCACCTCCTTTATTAAACCGGTCATTCTTTTCTGACCACCCTCACCGACAAAATGTCGTGGTCGGCCATCCAGTCGTAATGAAACACATAGCAAACCTACAGTGGGGAGCACATGATCAAGATCTACAGCCACATACTTTATTCCAGATCTTCGATCTCATGCAATACGTGGCTATATCTTGAAATAAGAATAATAGAGCAAGTCGCATGACATTCATAATCCATGATGGCATGGAGTCTGTACTCGTCATCCAACGACATCGCCAAGAACCATGGGAATCACTCCGTATTTATTTATCTTGGGACGTGGGGAGGATTTATTTTAGAGACCAATCAAGATGTGTTGGTCCTGGGATGTGTGCATTCTGTCAATTGGTTGAGGGTTCGTGCTGTTGGGCCAATCAGCCCTTGATGCTGGCGAGCATCGGTTTTCGTATTGTTTCTTGGGGATTGGATGTAAGGGCCTTTGATTTGCAAGGATTTGTACATCCCTGATGGTGTGCTCGCCTATTTGCGGATACTGCAGGGACCGGGTGCGATATGTTGAAATATCACCTATCCAGCGGGTACTGACCTGGTACTTTTGTTTGGATAAGCCCAGATGTAAGAGAGAAAAAGGATTTCTTGAGAACGAGGCTCCCGGAACCTTGCGACGAATAACGGTTCAAGCTCCACTTCCGGAACCAGTGATAGGGATCTATTTTAAATGGCCTTCTTTTCGTCGTTGTCATTGTTGATAGCTATACAGTAAGACTTCTAATGGCTGTTGGGTCGGGCGGTCAAAGATTTGCATGAGGACTAAAGACTCTCAAACGGCATCGTCAACGGGCAAAAGAAGCAGCCGCAACAACGATCTCTGAATGTGATCAAATGAAGCAACAATATCTTAAAGCCATGCTTTCATGGGACTTGGCATTTTGTGGCACTGGTGAGTCTCTCAGGGCAATCTTCCAAAGCCTAAGCCCTAGACCCTTTCTCCCCGTCCTGGTAACTATGTGGCGGCTTATGATGACACTAAATATATGAACATAAGCGCAATCCTGATGTTCTTCCCATCAGCACTAAAAAATGCAGGGTCTGCTGTTGCCTTGACACGGCGAGGCAATAGTGGCGACATCTGTACATAAAATCATCAATCAAAACGGGCAGTCGCTCGGGTACTTAGTTACAACAGGCTTGTTCAAACCTGCATCAGAATACTCTGTGTGGACCATACAGGGCTTAGTGGTGGCAAAGATGCCCATATTGGTTCCAAAAGTGTTCTTCGGGGTTTTCTCGAATCAATCGGCCGGTCTCCCATTGGTTTGTTTTATTCCTTGCATATCATGCCTGTATAGTTGCCACCTGGCGTAGTATTCTACGGCTGATAGCAAATCGGGGCTTATACGGATTATGAAATTTGCCTTCTTGGCTGGGCCACCCTCATATTCGGAAATGGCCTGATTCGTGCCAGTGGCGCACAAGACCAGAATCCACAGTACACTTGCTTTGATCGATCATGAGTTCTTTGTTTCTATCAGTGGGGATTGCAACATCAAAGTACCGTGCATGTATATTCTTATCACTGAGATACACCTATATCCACCCTGATTAATACACTGGCCCTGTTTGGTTCTTCCAAACACAGGGCCTGTTACAAATGGGGGCCATGGCGTGGACACCAGGACTGTGCACCAAATCAGGAGTTCTAGAAGTGTTTTAGATCTTGGCACAACCAAATATCCTATTTAGTCATATCCGACACTATATGCTAACAGGCGAGCATAGCTGATAGCTGAAAAGCGACCACGGATCTCCGTCCAAGCCAAACAAGCATGATTAAGCTTCCCTGGGACTCGGGGGCCCGTGCACCACCGCATCTCCGTCGGACTCCCCGAACATCGGTCTCATCTTTTTTCTTTCCTTTCTGGCCCCCCCGTGTTAATGCAATGACTATTACACATGGGATTGATTTCATCTCGCGTATCATGCGAGCCGGGGACATCAACTTCATGCCCTATTGCCGACTCTATCAGCCCCACTGGTCTTGTTATCATTTGGGTTAAGCTTCGTCTTGGCTCAATGTCTTCTTCTGGCAATGGCCTATTAGAAACCCCCGGGCTCGGTCTTTTCCGGCCAAGTTACATGGCACGGCACATGTTGTATCCACCAGGCATTTAGTGAGCGGACAACGAGGGTTGATTCGCCCGCTACTGAGCCTTATCTACGTGCAGCCACGGAGATAGCCCCCATTGAAGCTTAGCGTAGTCGTGGCGTGATAAGTCCGGGGTAGAACATCAACAGGCTAATATTGCTGCTCCAGGGCCTAGGGCCATTTTGCGTCCTCGAGGCATGCATGGAACTGGCGAAGAAAATTTACAATTGGTCACACGGCAGCGGCCCCTGTCACTCAATTTGGATTTCTGAGCCTATAAGTCGGAGGTGTTTGTCCACCACGCGAGTCTTGTTTCAACTCAACCTCTTCTTCTTCTTCTACCACTACATCCTTCACTTTTCGCTGCTTTGATCCGGCCTCGTCTTGCATTCTAAGATGGCCATTCAAGCTGTGAACAGGTCTTCGGACTCGCTCGCGATCCGTGATACTGAAGTCACCGTCGTCAAGACTGATGCGGAGAAGCCGTCCAAGAGCATCATCCCCGCCTCGTACGATCTTGGTCTCGGTGATGAGGACCCAACGGAGGAGGAACTCCACGGTCCCACTGCGCTGCGTCGTGTGTCTGCTCCTATTCCCTGGTCGGTCTACACCGTCGCTTTCGTCGAGCTATGCGAGCGATTCTCCTACTATGGAACCCAAGTTCTTTGTATGCCCATGAGATCCCTATGAGGGAGATGTCAAATTCTAACACGTATCTACAGACTCCAACTTTGTGAACCACTCTCTTCCCCTGCCTGCTCCTTATGGCCCCGCAGGCTCTCACCACGACACTGGAGCTGGTGGCTCCACTTCCCAGGGTGTTTCTGGAGCGTTGGGTAAGGGTCCTGAGACTGCGAATGGAATCAACACTTTCAACACATTCTGGTGCTACTGCGTTCCTCTTCTCGGTGCCTACATTGCTGATGAGCACTGGGGACGATACAAGACTATCTGCTGGTCTATCGGATTCGCCATTCTTGGCCATGTGATTCTTGTCATCTCGGCCATTCCTCCTGTCATTACCAACACCAGTGCTTGCTTCGGTGTCTTCATGCTCGGTGTGATTATCATGGGTTTCGGAACTGGTGGTTTCAAGCCCAACATCTCTGCCCTTGTCGTCGAGCAGATTCCAGCTGTGAATCTCAAAGTTCGCACCCTGCCATCCGGGGAACGTGTTGTAGTCGACCCAACTATCACCCAGAGTCGTATCTACCACTACTTCTATCTGTTCATTAACATCGGTGCCTTGGTCGGCCAGATCGGTATGGCCTATGCTGAGAAGTATGTCGGTTTCTGGCTTTCCTTCTTGCTGCCCACCCTCATGTTCATGACTACACCCTTCGTCATGTGGTGGGGTCGTGACCGTTACCGTCAGTCTCCCCCACAGGGCTCTGTCACATCCAAGGCCGTCAAGGCCATGATGTATGTTCTGCGCGAGCGCTGGTCCTGGAACCCGGTTGTCTTCTGGAAGCGTACTCACGATGGCACCCTCTGGGAGTCTGTCAAGCCCTCTAACATTGAGCCCCGATTCCGTCCTAAGTGGATGACCTTCGACGATGCCTGGGTGGACGAGGTCCGTCGTGGTTTCGCTGCCTGTGCCGTCTTCTGTTGGTATCCTCTCTACTGGCTGGCATATGGCCAGTTGACCAACAACTTCACCTCCCAGGCTAGTACCATGACCCTTCACGGTGTACCCAACGATGTGGTGAACAACCTGGATCCCTTCGCCCTGATCATCTTCATTCCCATTTGTGATGCACTGCTGTACCCCGGCCTGCGCAAGATGGGCATCCAATTCACCCCCATCAAGAAGATCACCGCTGGTTTCTGGCTGGCTGCGTTGGCTATGATCTGGGCTGCTGTCATCCAGTACTACATCTACAAGACCTCTCCCTGCGGTAACGATGCCAACAACTGCTACACTGAGGATGGAAGTGTCAACCCCTCTCCCCTGAACGTTTGGGCTCAGACCGGTTGCTATGTCCTGATTGCCTTCTCTGAGATTTTCGCCTCGATCACCTCGCTCGAGTACGCTTATTCCAAGGCTCCTCGTAACATGCGTTCCCTTGTCCAGGCTATCTCTCTCTTCACCAATGCCATCTCCGCTGCCATTGCCGAGGCACTTAACCCGCTCGCCAAGGATCCCCTGCTGATCTGGAACTACGGCGTCTTTGCTGTCCTCGCCTTTGTTGGTGGCTGTGGATTCCTCTGGCAGTTCTGGCAGCTTGACCAGGAGGAAGACGCCCTGAACAACTTGCCCGAGGGTCATGTGGAGGCCGATGAGAAGATGGCCCAGCTTGAAGCAGCTGAAATCGGACCTGTTCGGGGTTAGCTTTGATCATCTTGTCAATAGATACCCAGACAGAGCATACTGTATCTCTATGTTCATCGGATGTAGCGAATAATGAACAACGAATTAATTTACGTATCAACTCGATTTACCGGCCGCACCATCGGCCTCTTTCGCTTGCTGTACTTGAGATGCGTAGAGCTCAGAAAGTAGTGTCAAGGTAGCAAGGTTGAGCTCCCATCCTTCGGGAGGGAAGAATATAGTACCGATCAATACCAAGAAGTGCCCCAAATCACTTTTAAAAACACCTTGAAAACGGTGAAAAGAACGCAAGCAGTCGGTTGCCAATCATTTTTTGTTCAGAAGTTTTTCTTCTCCACAACTTTTCTATCGAGTGTCGATCGATCTCGATTTACCAATCGCGTTGCACTTGGTGCTTCTTGTGCAGGGCACAAATCGAGGAGCTATCACTTGCTTCCAGTGCAGTGCTCAAACCTGATCTCGACATAATGTCCACAGTCGTTCCAGTATTCGGTTCCACTTCGGACACATAACGAAAAAAATCACAGTCACATCTCCACCCACAACACACCGCTGCCAGCAGCAACCAGCAGCCAGCACAGCCAGCAGCAGCCACAACAGGACGCCTTGAAATGAGTGCCCGCTTTGAAACATTCACATGGTGTACTCCAATAATAGCCTCGGAAATGCAGATGCCTGGCACAATATGGGTATATCGGCTGTGCTTCAGGCTCTAGTCGAATCCACTTGCATACAGCAATCCCAATTAGGCCACTCGTGTTCGTATCGTACTCCCACGACGATCACGGCTGTGGCTGCTCTAACCTCAACCTAGCGTTAGGCAGTCCAATACAGGACAGTCTTGAGCTGTAAGGCGCTGGAAGGCCATCTCACCTCAGCCCTGCGCCTCGAGATGCACACAGGGATAGCAAGAATGTCTCAACGGAAGCCTCGGGGTCCTTTGATGTCACTACTCCACCATCTCAAAGTCCACTCGCTGCACCATGATTCGTGATCCCGGGGAACTAATCTGCACTATAAGCTCTGCTGAACATACCGAACTGCTTCCCTTGGCTGGGCATCCGGCATCCCCGGGTGCATAAGTATTCCACCCCCCTATCCCTTTGAGATCATCTTGACTTCACTCTCTATTGCATTTGTGAGAAGCCATGAAGACTTCCACGCTGATCAGTTCGGTCGCGCTCGGCTTTTTGCCTGGTGAGTAGCATTCTGTTTCCCTCGGTCGCGTTTTTTTCCAATTCTGCCCCTGCGAACACCTGTGGAGCACCTCCGTGACGATCATCATGAATTTCAATATGACTTCAACTCGATCTTTACGCGATCGCATAGCTGATCCGCTTCTTCCGCAGGTGCAATCGCTGCCCCAGGAGCTCTCAGCTCCAGTAATATCACTGTCGCAATCGCGGAACGAGCGTTGCCTAACGCGCCCGATGGATATACCCCTGACAATGTAACGTGCCCAACAACCCGACCGACAGTGCGCAGTGCCGCGAAGCTCTCCTTGCACGAGACGTCATGGCTGGAAGGCCGACGCAATAAGACTCTGTCGGCGATGAAGGATTTCTTCGGCCATGTGACAGTCGGCGACTTCGATGTTGTCAAATATCTCAACGACAACGCGAACAATGTTTCGGCTCTGCCTAATGTTGGAATTGCTGTTTCGGGCGGTGGTTACCGTGCGCTTATGAACGGCGCTGGAGCTATCAAGGCCTTTGATAGTCGTACTGAGAATGCTTCGACTAGTGGTCATCTAGGTGGTTTGCTGCAGTCTTCTACCTACCTGGCTGGTCTTAGTGGTGGTAGTTGGTTGCTTGGATCGATTTATATTAATAACTTCACTACCATTTCCAATTTGCAGACGCACAAGGATGGTGCTGTTTGGCAGTTTGGAAACTCCATTTTGGAGGGTCCTGATACTGGTGGTATCCAGCTTTTGGATTCTGCCAGTTATTATAAGGATATGATCGAGGCTGTTGATGGCAAGAGAGATGCTGGTTATGATGCTTCTCTCACTGATATCTGGTATGGTCTTACTGTATTCGCAGTTTTTGTTCTTGTTCTAACTTGAAACAGGGGTCGTGCGCTCTCTTACCAGATGTTCAATGCCACCAACGGAGGTATCGACTACACCTGGTCTTCCATTGCCGACACCAAGGACTTCCAGGATGGAAACTACCCGATGCCCCTGGTTGTTGCGGATGGTCGTAACCCTGGTGAGCTTGTTGTTGGAAGCAACTCCACCGTCTATGAGTTCAACCCTTGGGAATTCGGTACTTTTGACCCAACTGTCTTCGGCTTCGTTCCTTTGCAGTACCTCGGCTCTCGTTTCGTTGGTGGCTCGCTTGCAAGCAACGAGACCTGTGTCAGCGGCTTCGACAGCGCCGGTTTCATCATTGGAACCTCCTCCACTCTCTTCAATCAGTTCATCCTTCAGATCAACACTACCTCGCTCCCCGACTTCTTGAAGAACGTCTTCACCGACATTCTGGGCAAGCTCGACAGAGCTGATGACGATATCGCGTCCTACGACCCTAACCCTTTCTATCACTATAACAATGACACCTCTCCGTACGCCAGTCAGGCAATCCTGGACCTAGTCGACGGCGGCGAGGATTTGCAGAACATTCCTCTGCACCCCCTCATCCAGCCTGAGCGTCATGTTGATGTTATCTTCGCTGTCGACTCCTCCGCCGATACAACCTACTACTGGCCCAACGGTACCGCTCTTGTAGCTACCTACGAGCGCAGCCTGAACAGCAGTGGTATTGGAAATGGTACAGCCTTCCCTTCAATCCCCGACCAGAACACCTTTGTCAACCTAGGATTGAACACCCGCCCTACATTCTTCGGCTGTGACAGCTCCAACTTGACCGGCCCCGCGCCCCTTGTCGTCTACGTCCCCAATTCTCCTTACTCGACTTACTCCAACGTCTCCACCTTCCAACTGAGCACCGAAGATGCCCAGCGTGATGAAATTATTCTCAACGGTTACGAGGTTGCCACAATGGCCAACAGCACCCGTGACGGCAACTGGACTACTTGTGTTGGCTGTGCCATCCTCAGTCGTTCGTTCGAGCGTACTGGCACTACCCTCCCTGATATCTGTAACACGTGCTTCGACCGCTACTGCTGGAACGGCACTGTCAACTCCACCGAGCCAAACGCTTACGAGCCTGTCACTTTGATGGCCGACAGCGCCGCCTCCTCTGTCTTGCCTACCATTGTCTCCACGGCGGTTGCTGCCGGTATTGCCATGTTCACCATGCTCTAAGTAACACAAAAATATACCATTTGGAGTTGTGTTGTAAGTGCCGCCCTGCTTTCGCCTGGTTTGGGGCAGGCAACATATTTTGTTTATAATCATTAGCTTTCTGTCGACCTCATTCGATGAATATAGCGTGTAACGTTAATTTAGATGTGTACCAAAAATCTTTCTCCTTTTCAATCTCAATATAGTCAAATCTGGATGTGCTGCCCAGTAGTCTTCCCTCTCTAGGGTCTTTTCGAACAACTTCTTACTCTCGAACAAGATCAACCAAAACCCCTCCCACAAAGAACTAATTTAAATTGATTCCAATTCCTCTCCTGGTCGAGAATGTTACGACATAATATAAGCCGGTGTAGACGCTCGAACTACGGCCTCTGTCCAGCATGTTCGGACTTTATTTATCGTTTTGTCTATAAATACTGATTGCTGGATGTCGCAAGCGCCCAACAACAATTCGGCGGGTCTGGATTTGCCACCACGAGGGAAAAACATGGATAGCCAACTATATATCAGTCCTTTACCCGAGGATCCCAACCTGTCAAACGAGCTATAGTTCGGAACCACCAATGATTGGAACTGCATCCAGCCAATTGATATCATCTCTTCTGTATCTATACGTCGTTTATCATCTGACCCTTAATCCCCAATGACCCCTTGAGCAGTCTACAAAAGCATCCCAAGCAGTGGATTTCGGAGCTTTCGCTTAGCATCAATCTCACCTCGTTCAAACCACATCAAACACACACACAAATTTTCATATGTCTGGGATTAACAATTTCCAAACACTGCTTGACCAACAGGTCGGCACACTCCCAATCCGATCCTGGCCGACAGTAACGGGTAAGATGTCTTATCCTGCATCAGTGCAGCAGCAGTCCTAACGCCCGTTTCCATTAATAGACAGGTCAAAGAAGCAGAGGCCTATTCCAATCGCCTCCTTGCGATTCCAAGGTGCTGCTTGGGCTACTGCTGGTGGAAGCATGTATGCCACTTTGCATGGTGTCTATAGGATTTTTCGGAATTTCCGCGGATTCAAGTATTTCTAAAACTTGAGTGTTTTGAAATTGTCGTTCTCGAAAAGCGATTTTATGTTTGTATTTGACGATATCTCTGTTTTACGAATGGATTTAGCTGTGGTCAAGCTTTCATGGAACAAGTCATTAATTTGATCAAGACATAGAAATCATAGGCTAGCGCTGACTCTGCAGCAAGTTATGAATATCATGACAAGTGCCCATCAACAAAGATCTTGTCTATGAAGCACCACTATCAGCGACATTGTCACTCATGACGAACTCAACTTTATGATTTGAGAACTCACCAAAAGGGTATTTAAGCACTGAAGTCACAGGGCAGAGAACCGCAGCAATAGCCATGTCCAGCATCGAAGGCACCTTGGAAATCAATGTTGTGGCATCCATCGCTGGTACGCCACATCTCAGCGGTGAAGCCATAGGTTCCAGCGCTGGTCTCGTGGAAGCTTGAGAATAGTCAATTAACTGCGCAAAGGAAGCCGGGTTCGAATTATGAACTTACATGACGGCACATTCACTGCTGGTGCAGGAGTTGAACCCTCCATAAAGAGTACCAGAGTAGGTCGACCCGGTGTTATAGTCGGTAAGATAGATAATTTGGAATGTACCACCCTCGTTTGCCTCGTAGGCTGAAGCAGCCATTTGGCCATAAAAGGCGCTTGCTTGGTTGGCAAGAGCCAGGGCAGTTGCGCTCAACATCAGAGAGAACTTCATTTTGATAGGAAGAATGCGAGAAGAAGCTTGGTATGTGAAGAAGGTCTGGAAAGGCTGTGATTAATGAGTTCTTGGAAGGGAAGTTGGGGCTATTTATATGTTTTATTGTCGACAATCTCTGTGTATATCATATATACACCGTATTCGTTCTTCATCTCCGACATGCAGAATATGTCCAGCACTAATTTCTTAGTTTCACACCCGCAGAAAATGATATAAGCTAGGCTGCTTACTTTGGAGGCTAGTCATTGAACTAACTGGGACAGAGTAGAGTGTGGCTTTCTTAGGGTCAGTTCGGAGAGAGGATGCGAATGCTCCCAGACAGAGAAACTCGGTGGTCCTTACGATTTTGTGCGGATAATTGCCATGCCTCATGGACTTGATGTCCCGTTAAAGCTACAGTTTTACACTACTCACTGATTAGATATTGACCTCGTGCTTATTCCCTTGAAGTATTCCCATATACACATTACCACGATCGAAACGATGCGGAATGGCTTGGGTGGCGGTGAGGCATTCTAGTATCCCAAAGTCTCTCCGCAATAAGTCAGTATGGGGGCTAATCTTTCGTACTTTGATACCCAGGTCTGGCTGTGGTCTGAATGTGCGCATTGAATCCTACTCACGCAACGCCACCACAATCATTTTCGCAATTACTTTCCCACGAGCTGTGCCAGCTTGTGCTTGGCACGCATGTCGGCACAGTCGGCTTTATCGAGTGAAGCACAAGCTTTGTCATTTGTAAATCGTCGGCAATCGTTTACTCGTCGCGGGGTCATGTCCCAGAGCCTCTAATCATGCAAGAGGAGAGGGAAAAAAAGCTGCGGCATATCCCACTAGCGTCCGCTAGCTTCAAGATTCAATAATTCAATTCAACATGGCGGGTCACATCTCATAACCCTTTACAGCGAGGAACAAATCCCATCCAGTCGTTTTCCCTGCAAACACGGTGCATCTTTTTAGTTGACCCCACGCGCAGCTCGGTAACAGTTTGCCTAAGCGAGGCCGAAGGATGCGTTTGGCTTGTTTAGCCTATGACACTAGGCTGCTTACGTCAAAAATCAGATCCAAGATTAGCAACTAGTTAAGTTATGTTGTAAACATATCAACTACCTATTCAAAAGACCAGTCTTCCATTAGAATACAGTTTCATTTGTTTGAGTGCAAGCTTTGTCTCTGGTGTCAATGAATGGAAAAAGCTTCATATCGATCTCCACGAAATGAACGAGCTGCTAGGCTTGTTCCTACCTGTATGGAGGCGCGCCTAGTTCAATCTTGGCGCTTGGCACCTAGCGAGTTTGCTCGTGGCTAAAGCCCAGATAGGAAATGCCCGTGGATTGAACTACAGTACATAACACATTCCCCGAGCACGCAGCCACAGTCACTTACTATGATCTCTGTTGGGGCCATTTTCCTCATCTGGTAATTGTACTTTTATGGAATCCCTAGGAGGTCTGCTTTCTAATAGTTCATTAGAACTACCATTCTCATCAGTAATCACCTTCAATATTCCATATACCTAATGGTGTATCTCAAAGTGCCCTCTTTGAGGCGCTTTGTAGCATCGCATTGAATCCTCTGGGCTTCGTAACAAATCCCATGTGTTTGATTCTAGCAGGAAGAGGTTTCGAATGTAACGCTGCAAGGTGTATGCATGCAAGTGAGATATAGCGCCCCGACGCACGCGCAAAGTCAAAACAGGATATTCAGGTACAAATCTACTGTATAATGGGTGTATAGGGGGTACTCTAATTGGCGGGGGTTTAACGGCAAACATAAGCTGCATGTGCGATAGGGATGCTTAGCCAGTTCTTAAAGAAGCTTAGCGCAACAGCTCGTAGATCAAGATAAGTGAGATCCAGACCCTGCATTCTCAATCAAGCAGGTATGATGAAACGTTCTTCACTCGAGTGTGAGTTTGGATAAAAAATGTATCGATAGGCTGCAGTCAGAGGATTAACCAAGTAAGAACATAATTTCGGTGTCTTTATTCTAAGCATGTTCCACAAGGCTTGTGTAGTTACAGGCTGACTGCAGGCGCAGCCAAGCTGCTGAGGTGGCAGAATTTCCAAGAAAAACATAGGCGCCGTAAATGACTTGGCCGTATAAAAAAATAGACTCCTACCAGTCATCTTACCTCAGCAGCCACGGTTGCAGCCCTGGAGGATCCAAGGTGCAATGGTTCTAACATGCAAGTCCAGGTAAGACCCGGGGTGCGGACTTTTAGTTGATCCAGACACACTTTGGATTGAATCACGGAGTATCTATTATTCCTTGGGCTGACTCGACCTTAAGAATGCGAATTTCGGTAGGCTATAAAATACAAATATTAAATTCTCACCCTGTCAAGAATCCGTTGCTGGACTAAGGGCTCAAACTAGGAAAGCTTAATCATGAGATCCGGATTCTGGTTTCAAGCCCACTCTCAAGATGCGTCCATAGCTATGATCAAAAGCACAAAGCACTGAGGGTGATTTTGGTTTAAAAAAGTAATCGTGGCTGTCGATTCGGTAAGCAAGGTAAGAGCGATAACTTTCTTGTAGCTTGAGCTGGCTTGTTACGTGGAGTGCCTCGTTACGCATCAAGATACCAAAGCAGACTCAATCAGAAAGAGGATATACGGAGAAGACTCGAATGTAAGTAAAATGTATAATTGATCTCAAGAAAAGAATCTATATGTTTCCGGTGCAGAAGTTCTAGGAAGTACTTCGTGGTTTGACCTCACAAGCCGGCGGATAACTTAGTTTTCCGTAAGCTGCGCCGGTATCCGATAGAAGAGATGAAACTATCGTAGTCTCTTCCATATCAATGCATTGATGTTGTATCATTGCAAACATGTATCAGTTTGTTGAAAAGTCCTTCCCATTCCTGTCTCTAGTAACAAAGATGTTAGTAAACTATAATCGATGAACTGTTGGGCAATTTATGAAACTCACCAGTCTCGATATAATCTTTATATCTAACACAAACTCGAGGCAGGGTAAGTGCCTTGCATCGCGGAGATACCTAGGTGTCCTCTCCATGTGCCACTTCCATGTTGCATTGTCATGCACAGTGCCGAGGTGCTTCCGAGACCGTCCCAGGCATCGTCAAGAGCAGTAACCATGGTCTTGATCTCAGCAGTGGTATCACAGTTGCGTCCCGAGGCATAGAAGTAGTAGGAGTAACTGACTCCGTTATAGTCTTCGATGGTGCCTGTGACGCTGCTGCAGCTTCCGGCTTGACTTTTCTGATACATCTGGTTCGCAATTCCGAGGATCACAGCCTGGGACTTGTTGGAGTTGCTGAACTTGGTACTTCCGGATTTCTTGTTTGACTCAGAGACGGAGATTGAAGTTCTCTTCACAATTCCGATCTCATTTCGTTTGGCGGTTTCTTTGTCTTCATCCAGTTCCAGAACCGCGCTGCGGTCTTCCTCAAGCTCGAGAAAGCCAGCATCGCTCCTTTTAGCACCTGCATGATGGTCGGAGCAGGCGCTTTGGGGGTCGATACCAGAGCCAACGGTTGCCAGGCCAATGACTCCATGCCAAGTACCATGGTGATCAAAGTCAAGGCACACTGCAGAAGCGCCCTGAGAATGCAAGTCATCGAATGCGTCGGAGAGCTTTTTAGTGATAGTTTTAGCTCGCTGAGTGCTATCACAGTTTGACCCAGTTGTATAAGAGTACACGTAGTACTTATAGCCGACTCCATCGTCTCCTGTCTTTTGAATCGTCGCTGACTTTCCACAGACCTTTTGCGCGTCTGGCTTGCTGCTGTACCAGCTGGTAATAACGTTGGCAATTCCAGTAATCACAAGGCCAACCGAAGAAGCTGCTCCAATAATTGCTCCACCTTCCCATTTATGGACGATAGTATACTCATCGCTAGTTCGGACTGCTAGCTCCGAAGACTCTTTCTCATTGGTTTGGATTGTCTCAACTGCAAGTGCTGAACAAACAGTCTGCATAGACAGCAAAGCAACGAGGATGGAGCCAAAATGATCCGAGACGTTTTTGAACATAGTTGCGATATGACCAAGACTCTGATGTCCGTGTAATTTGGATGGTACCTATACCTAGTTAGCAAGACCCCCGAACATACAAACAGAACAGTAACTTGCGTACTGGGAAGAAGATGAACGTGAAGTTCGAGAGAATAGGAACCGAAGACAATCACAAACACGATTGAATGCCCGAGTGCCTCTGGTGAATTGCTCAGAGAATACGAGGGCCGATGCCTTTTTATATGCCAACAACGACACTGAGATGATATCGAGCTTACTTTCCTCATCTGGCAAAGCATCTCACTATCTATGGAGCTCTGGTAGATGTCTCATTCTCATAGGGTCATTTCCATATCTATATTAAGAGTGAAGAATAGACCCCAAAGTGCCCTTTTGTGGATCACACGAAACTTGTTGTCAACGCCAAAGAATTTGGGGGCGATATTGGTCCTGTGCAAGTGACTCTCCCATGTCTGGACGTCTTCTATGTCTATGAATTATCAGGCAGATAGAAAAATGGACATATCATCTGGGCGAGACTGAGCGATACTAAGCCTGAACAATGGGCCATAGGATGCCTTTTTTGTTCTTCTTCTCTGCAGTATGAATATGAAGTGCAAGTCCAACGTTACAATCTCACCTCAAAGTCCCACTTTTTTGCTGCGAAACTGAAGAGTGCTCAGGTGATGAAACCCGATATAGAGAGAGAGCAGACGCCGAACAGTGGCCGAACAGTGGAGACAAGCCATAGTGGAGCCCGTGCCCTGAAAGTGCCAATCCCGCTTACTGGGGGCGACGCTCAAGGCTTTCAGGGTATCTGCAGAGCTAGACAGCTTATGAGCTAGTTGGTGAAAACCTGATATCAAGTAGGTTTGTGACATCACCTTTCTCAAGAACTCAAGAAAATGTATCTGCAAGGGTTTGCAAGGCTCGGAAATGATCAAGAGAGCAACGATTGCCTGTGTTTCATGAAACAGAAACAATGAGGAGCACACTGCAACGAATTTCCATGCATTGTTCCTTCTGTATCCTCCCCAATGATCAGACCAAGTTTTTTTCTGAAACGCATCATATCGCCGGGCTGATGTACTGTACTGTGTATTAGACTCCTTGTTCCTATCACGCCCCACATCCCTGCAGACTTCCAACAAACTATTTCACGCTAGGTATAGATCGGGGAATCCCGAACCCTACAGTGGTGGCATTGTCGATCTCATCAGCCACTTAATATGCACCTATATTCGAGACATGGGGCCGAAAAGTACTGATATATGGCCACCGGAGGATGCCAAGTAATTCTTCCAGTGGGGGCCAAAACAACGGTCTTCGGTTTTCGGAGTCAAGCAGATGCCCTTGAAAGGCGATAAAACGACATGAAAGCTACTTTTCGACTCTCTGCTGCGGAAAACCGCACAAAAACGGCACCTGCATCAAGTACTGTACAACGTTCTTTACTTCGTGGGGTCCAATTCATGTTTCACGCGCTCTCGAGGCGCGCTTCCCAGAGTGGAACCATAGTCATTGCGACATTGTGTATCCTCTGAGGTTACTTTCCTGCCTGATAGCGGAGTGTTGCTCCATTCACTTCCAGAATCTTTTGACAGGATTTATTGTCAAATACCAAAGGTGCATTGGCCTACATCTGCTGTAACCTGAATTTACCCCAATTGAAAACAGAGGTAATCTATGTATGTCCGGCTATAGGAAATTTCATGTAATCAGCATTTCTGCAAGGTGCTTCCATGGATAATCCCATACTCTGCCACATATTCCGTCTAGATTCTGTGCACGCAGAGAAATTCGACAGCTACCTTGACTTTGCATTTGGTCGAGTGTGTATGGCTCCCAGTGCTTAATCACTATTCATGTTCTGGATTCTCTCTCTGAAGGATAAGGCGGGTAGGTGATAATCATTATTCTCGGTGTGAGATCCGGTGGGGTAGCGAATGTCTTCACAGTGAAACCTACACATAAACATCTAAATCTCCTGGCGTAGGGGCATATTGTGAAAGATTTTCCCATAGTTCAAGCTCTTGGGGTTGAGACATGTAATGATTTTGGTATGGTACAGTTTAATCTACAGAGGATCAAGGCCTGATCTGTCAGCATAGGTGTGCGATACCAATTGTGGCAGGCATTCAATGAAGAAAGTGACGAAAGGGAGCAAGAGCCATGAAGAGCACTAACGAGAACCATATTAGACGACCGGGTTAGCCTTCTACAGCAGTAAACTGAAGCACAGCTTTCGCAATGTATAGTAAGATGAAGATGCATACGGGGAGTGGAAGAAACGGAGTAGGCATAGATCAAGCCAGATTGTCAGATCTCTGCCTAGGACCTTCATGGCAAATACGGTAATTTCGCTTCCTAGGTAGCCAGCTCAACAGTCATCATTATGATCTCTGCACATTGTAACGATTAACACATCTCGTTCATCATTCTATCTATACCCTAGATATCATGACTTTCAACGAGTGTACTATACTCACAATGTTGGGTAATTAGTTCAGAGGATACCAGGGAGCAAGGATATATATTGGTAATATGAGATACGAAATGAAAGATTTCCATATTAGATTTGTTAAAGTCTTACCGAAATATTTCTAGCATAACAACGATTATCAGATATGAGATTGCGCATGCAAAATTCCGTCAACATTAACTTGTAAGTTCAGTTCCTCTATCATGTTGAGCCAAGTTTGTGGTGGTGCTATTGACGCATTAGGTCACGTGCCAGTTGCTATAGAAACCACGCCACAATAAGCAATTCGGAACGGCCTCCACAGTGGATTATTTGCTCTGCCTTGCTTCTTCTTTCATGCAATTAATTTGACAACCTCGGTACCTGCGACATTTCGAAGTCCGGACCGACTTCCAATTTCGACAATCCCAACCCGTCATGAGTGTCGCGTGCCGATAACTACGATCACCGGTAATAGACAACGCGCAACAATAACATCATGGCGCGTGCTGCAGTGATCCCCCCCCCCCGCCAACCGAGCTGGGCGAACCTCCACCAAGTCAACAGCTGCAGCCGACGCGAAGAAGAAAACCGTTCGAAAGGCTACACCAGCCAGACCAACCGCGACCACACCAACCAACTTTGATTCGGATGATACGGACGATGAGTTGGGCTTCATTGCCACTAAGCCTGCGAAATCTCAAGGACGTCCCCCTGGCCGTCCAGCAGTCAAATCTAAGACGACTATCAGTAGTCGCAGCAAGAAAGCAACGCCAGAGCCGATTACCGAAAAGCCAAATGCGAGCACAGTGGACGAAGATGGGTCCGGGCAGCAAACAGATGCACCCAAGAAACGACCCGGCAGACCACGAAAGAACCAACCCGTGAAAGAAACCCCTTCCGGAAAGCCAGAAACTGCACCCAAACCCAGGGGTCGACCAAGAGCTGGAACACCCGCCAAGGCCTCGGCGACCCGTGAAACCGCAGCATCCAGCAGGAGAACACGAGGCGTGACTGAAGTCACTGAGGAGAAAAGGCCGAATCAGATCACAATTGCGACGAACTCTACTGCTATGCGATCCAATTTGCTTCGTGGACCCGCCAAGAAGAAGACGGTCACGTTTCAAGACATGTCTGAATCCGAAGAGGAAGAGCCGAGTGCCCCTACGTCGCCGGCAGTTGGTCGCAAAAAGCCAGCTGCCAAGGTCGCCAGCACTGGAAAGACTGGTCTTAAGGCGACGCCAGTTCGGAAACCTGCGACAGCAGCCACACGAGGACGGAAGGCAGCTGGACCCAAGAAAGCCGCGACCAAGCCATTGTCCCCCAAGAAGACCAAACAGATGGGCAATACCCTATCAGCATACACCAGCTCCGACGGAGAAGATGACGAGTTGAATACACTGAAGGACATTGTCAAGAGTCCCGTCAGGCTTGTTGTGCATTCACCTGTCAAGCACGGGCTGGAAACGACTGGACTTAGCTCCCCTGTACGGAAAATTAACTTCACTCCCAAGAAGGCGTCCAGCTTTGTTGACGAAAATGGCGAACCGAAACTACCAACCCCCAAACACGGATCAGAAGGCACCAGCCTCAGCTCTCCAGTCCGACGAATCAACTTTACGCCAAATCGCAGCCAGAACACGGTGGCCGACAGTGGTCATCTCCCTCTTCCGGCTGCAAATGCCGTTGATTTCACTGATTCAGTGTTCATGTGTAGCCCCGCTAGACGACCGCCGCCAACCTCGTCCCCATTCAAATTCTCCCTGCGAGATAGTCAGAGAGGAGGCTCACTCTTCCGGGACTCAGCAAACGCGACTGCGGCACCCGACTTTGCCCCATCTCATACATCTCCCCTCAAAAGCTCCCCAAAGAAAGGAAATTTGGGTGCTTCTTTCTCGCAGTCACCGTTCAAAAGCTCCACTCCAGCAGTTCCAGCTCGGACTCCCTTGTTCCAAAGCCCAGCTAAGAGAATAGCTTCTCCATTGAAGAGCTCAATATTCTCTACTCGCGCCTCAGTAATTCAGTCCCCCGCTACACCGGAACAAGGAACACCCTCGAAGCCATTGGAAATTGAGCGAACTACCCCCAAATATTCGCCGAGGGCTGAAGAACAGGATCAGTCTGCCGTTGACAAGGACTCGGAGATGGTCGAGGATGTGGCTCGAGATGTCTTTGGAATTGAGCTCTCGTTTGAGAATAGCCCCTCAGAATCCCCTCTCCAAGCTGATAAGCTCGAATTTCAGGAGGCGGAAGAGGCAAATCAGGACGAGATCGATCCTATCTTTACCGACATGGAGATTGAAGAACAAGACTCAGTTCCTGAAGAGGCCGAGGATGTCGAAGACGGTTTCAACTATGAGTACGAAGAACCCGAAACAGTTTGCTTCGACGCCATGGAGGAGGCGGAACTGGAAGCCGGTCACTTGTACGACCAAGACATGGAACAAGACTCGGGCTATGAACATGCTGAAGATCCACAAGCGCATTCTGTGTATGACTATGAAGAGGTTGACACCATTTGCTTTGATGCCATGGAAGATGCAGAAATGGATGCCTATGAATCACGCAGCGAACAGGTCCAAGTCACAGAAAGTTCCCTAGACGACGAACAATCTTTGGACAAACAGGATTCAGTGCTGGAAGATCAAACCGACGAGGGAGAAATCGAAGACCTGATTACTCCTGGATCTCCAGATTTAGTCTCCGAATCAGCGCAAGCCCCAGAAAGACCAGTGCAAAACGGTTCTGACGAAGCTGCTTCGCAACTTGAACCATCATCTGATTTGGGTTCCCTTGAGGATGTTGAAGCTTTCGACGAACAAGAGGAACATGATGCGAGTAGCATTATCACCAATTCCGAAGAAGAGCAACAACCCATTGGCCAAGAGACTCAGACGGAGGAGACCGAGTACTCTCCTATTCGACCTTTTGCATTCGATATATCCACACCCGAGCCCACGTCACCCTCCATTGCCAGCGAAGAAAATGAGTTTGGCAGCCCCCTGCAAAGGATGTATGCGACTCCCTCACCCGTGTCGATGCCACAGATCGGTTCATTTACTCCACCGACCATGGATCGCCCGGACAACATGGAGAATGATGACCCCACTCCTCGCGCAAGGAATGCCAGTGCTGGCATGCGCTTGGGCGAGATAAGTGAGCCATCTCCAAGCGTTCAGGTTGATAGCCCTACGTTGATGACACCCAGTCTCTTCAACACTCCAAGTGTTGTTGATAATCGGCAATCGCCCCTCGACGCTGGCCTGGGCTTCACACCCCTAGCACATAAGTTTGGCTGCTGGGAGACCAATACACCATCGCAAAGGAGGTCCCTGCGTCCTCGCCGTCGTGGAGTTTTCTCTCTAGTAGGACCATTGGATCGCACCAAGACAGAAACTCCCGTGCAGTCCAGTGCAGTCTCATATCCTGATTTGTCTAACAGTCCGTTGGCAAATACCCCTTCTTTGTTCGCAGAACTGCCCCTCCAGCCTCAAAGTGAAGGTACTAGCGTAAGCCCCGAGCAAGATCAGACCCCACAGCCTTCTTCAATCTATGAAGAAGATGCATTGATTCAATCACCGAGCAAAGACACGGAGATCTATGAAGATCCTAGTATGGACATTTTGGAGGACGACAATCAGGAACAAACGACTGTGAATGACCACACTGCTGCTGAACCCCAGTTCTATGAGCAAGAAAATCTTGACGAGGACAAGGAGAATTGCGACTTTAACATTCTTCCTGCCACCCCGATGAAAACCAAGTCGGAAGAGATGCGCACCGTCCATACAGTGTCGAAGGTGCCTTTGAAAGCAGAAGGAGAAGTATCACCTATAAAATTATCACGGAAGAGAGGCCTGTCAATGTCAAACATGTCTCCCACTCGGTCATCTCCCCGAGTGCGCAAGCCAACCTTCATGCCACCGGAAGAAAACATACCTGTTCTTTCTCCTGCTCGCAGGCAATCGCGGGCAAACAGAAGTCCTTCACCAAAACGACGCCTAAGCACCGCTCGACGCAGCAGTGGGAAGTCCGCAGCCACGGCATCACCAAGTGAACATGCTGCAACTCAAAGCCCTGCCAAGAAAGCCCGCAGGAGCATGAGCAGTAGCCCGCAAGCTCTGCATGGTGCAGTTGTGCACGTCGATGTCCACACCACCGAGGGTGAAGATGCATCTGGTATCTTCGTCGAGCTATTGCAGCAGATGGGAGCTCGATGCGTCAAGTCTTGGTCTTGGAACCCAGCATCAAACCATTCCGATGTTGACGGCGCCGAATCAAAAGAATCGAGGGTTGGAATCACACATGTTGTGTACAAGGATGGTGGCTTGCGGACGTTGGAGAAAGTGAAGAAAGCAAGAGGCCTCGTAAAGTGCGTTGGAGTCGGCTGGGTTCTTGAGTAAGTCATCAATTTATTCATATTTGGAAGCATTCCTCTAACTAGTCCAAGTTGTGAACGGGAAAATCAATGGCTCGACGAGACACCCTACGCTGTTGACAGCTCCATTGTCCCGCGTGGAGGCGCTAAGCGCCGCAAAAGCATGGAGCCTCGTGCGTTGAGCAATGTCAACGGCACTCTCGTGCGTATATCCGAGTCTTCCGCTCCCTCCGCCAGTGGACGTCGCAGCGGTGTAGACCAGGGCGCTGTCGATGGTTTCCGCAAGATCACTCCCCCGACCCATCAGCAAGAAGCCCCGTCAACCCCCACACAGCAGTCAAACCCTGCTGACTACGGATTCCCCGCTACTCCTGGCTACAACTTTGCCAACCTTGACGCCATTGGCATGTCGCCCGCTACTCCATACTTCCTCGCCAACCGTAACAAGCTTGTGCAGCAATCTTGCCCCCTAAGCAAAGCAACCGCGGATTGTTCCCTGGTGCCAAGCCCTCGAGCATCCTGGAAGATGAGGATGATGATGACCCCAGACGCAAGCAGCGTTTCCGCATGGAAGCTGCTCGCCGTAAGAGTCTTGTTCACAAGCCTGCCGTTGCTAGCCCGCTTCGTCGGTGATGGCATTCAATTGGTTTTCTGTGCTTTTTGTAAACTTTGCTAGTCGCTGTACATATGGGGACTACTTTCTTTTGGTGTTTCATTCTTGGGAGTAGGTCGGGGTGTTCTTGCATTGTCCCACGCGTCTTTGTCATTTGGCTCTTATGCCGTCCAATGATTTGAATAAGTTACTTTTGATTTTTTTTAACTTTCGATATCCCCATTTAACTTGAAATCATTGATTGTATTGATTAACACCAACACTTGGCTTTCCGAAAATAGTTGTTACTTTTTGTGTCCAAGAAACCGAATATAACTCTGACCATGCAGCACTCTAGCTAAAGGATATCAATACTCAGACTCTTCGCGATAGAATCCAGCAACCAAGAAAGCAAGCTCCAAAGCTTGCTTCTCATTCAACCGTGGATCACAGAAAGTAGTATATCGCTCTCCAAGGTCATCCTCAGTCAACCCGGCTGCACCACCCACACACTCGGTAACAGCCTCGCCAGTCAACTCAAGATGCATACCACCCAAGAACGAGCCAGCAGCCCGATGAATCTCCAGCGCCTGTCGCAACTCAGACAAGATATCCGTGAAATGACGTGTCTTCACCCCTGACGGCGTACTCTGCGTATTGCCGTGCATGGGGTCACACTGCCAGACAGGAATATGACCAGAAGCCTGCACCGCGGCAATATGACCCGGCAAGAAGTTTGCGATCTTCGAAGCACCATATCGTGAGATCAAAGTCACCTTGCCGATCTCGCGCTCGGGGTTGACGACATTCAGCAAGTTCACTAGCTCATCGGAGGTCATACTAGGCCCGATCTTGATTCCGACGGGGTTGGCAATGCCGCGGAAGAACTCGACGTGTGCGCCCTCTAGTTGGCGTGTTCTATCGCCGATCCAGAGGAAATGGCTGGATGTTGCGTAGTAGCCGGAGTCGGGGGCGGTTGGGTTAGCTGAGGTTATGGAGGGCGGGTGTCGGAGGAGTCGAGTGAGGCTTTGCTCGTATTCGAGTGAGAGGCCTTCGTGGCTGGTGAAGATATCTGCTGTTTCCACACCGCGATCTTTGTCGATTCCTACTGTCCGCATGAAGCGCAGGGCATCTTTGACTGCGCTTACCGTGTGCTCGTATTTCTCTTTGATTGAGGGTGTAATTACGTGTCCCAAGCCCCAGTCCAAGGGAGAGTGCAGGTCTGCTAGTCCGGATGAAAGGGAGGCACGCAGGTAGTTCAATGTTGCTGCCGAGTGGAAGTATGCTGAGACCAGACGAGATGGGTCTGGTTGGCGAGATTGGGGGTCAGCGTCAAAGCCATTGATGTTGTCGCCGCGGAAAGAGGGCATTTCCACGCCATTGACTATTTCTGTTGAGCTTGAGCGTGGCCTGATTTATGTCAGTTTGGAAATGTTTATCTTCGATCCAAGTGACTTACTTGGCAAATTGACCTGCAATGCGGGCAATACGAATGACGGGTTTATTGGCACCTGTTAATTTTCAGTTAGCACGTGTTTTTTCCGTATGATAGGTCTAGAAATACCCCAAATCAACACCAAGCTCATTTGTAACAGTAGCTTGACCTTGGCTTCAATCATGTCTTGATTACAATAGTCGAACAGCTCCGCACAATCACCTAAGCAGCACAATTAGTCTTGTGTTCGACAGTGACGCGGTCGTTGATCAACGCACCACCTTGTAAAACGAAAGCCTTGCCCAGAGCAACATTTCGCAAATTCTCCTTGAGATGAATGATCTACAGTTTTGGTCAGATCTTATCTCAATGCTGATCAAAGTCAAGGACCTACTTCTCGAGTTGTTACAAGAGGCGGTAGTTTCTGCAGCTTCAAGAGGGAGTCTTTCAACCCCTGGCGATCTTCATAAATGACATCTTGCTTGATAGGCTTTCGTGTCCACGCTGAGACCAGTCAGTAACAACGAAGATTGGAACCAGATTGAATGAGCTCTTACAACTTGGGGTCCATTCAGTCATGGCGGTGAGTAGCCCAAAGGGTGGGGTGACAGAGTGGGTATTATTATGGGGATGAGCTGCTTCCTCTGATCGTCAAGAATTCACAACAAGTCAGACTCAGTCACAAACAGATGTTTTCGAAGGACAAAAACACGAAGAAATGACCTCGCAGTCGCTTTAATGGCCAGTGTGCAGGGTAACGTGATAGCCACGTGCACTGGGCGCTTATTCACGGAGATGACTCATGTGATGCCTGGATGCCTGGAAGGTCAGGCGTCTCCACAGCAATATCTTGTCTCAGTTTTACCATCCATGGATATCACTCAAGACTGTTTACTTTGTGGCTCAAGTATTCATTATGTAAATCAGAAATATCACATGTAACTTTGTTCCCTTACGCCCTGCTCATTGTTCCACAATTGAGCTGGTCAGATCGATGTCTCTTTGCCAGATGCGTTTTCTCATCCTCAACTACAAGGCGCCTGAGTCAGAGGTGGTCATGTTGATAACCACATTTGTACAAAGATCAAATTGATCTAGGTGAATCAACCTTTGCTGTTCTTGAGAGAGCACAGTTAATGTACTTGGCGCTCAATTGAACAACTTCGCCTGACCTTCTAGATCGCTCGGTGTCATTGACCCACATCTCGATAGAGACTGGACGTTATGGAAATCTTCAGACCACATTGAGTCTCCAGAATTAAGTTAATATCAATAGTATAATCCTACAACGTTCGTGCTGAGACCACAACCCACGCCTATTCTATCATAAGGTATCCTGACCCGAGGATCCTAACAAGCTGGTCTTGAACTTACGGGTAAGATTTAAACGTATAATCTGACGAAATGTTCGTCTGAACATCACGTTGCCTCGTAAAGAGAATTTGACGAGCGAGACTACTTTGGCCTTCATTTGACGCCGAAATCAAAACTCTACTTTCGGACCCATTTGAGGTAAATTAGAGCAATCTGACCTGTCGTGGGCATAGAAAACCCGCATGAGAGGGTAAAGGCGAAAGTAATGCTCCAGACCAGTGGAGTCGACCAAACCAAGAATTAGATGTGATAACCCAAAGTCAATTGTCAGGGCAAGACTGGGAATAGTCGAGATCGGAGCTCGGAGCCTAAAAAAGGGGCGTTGCAATCTCCACGCTGACGGAAAACAAACGAATTCGAGCCATGGCGTTTTTCTGTCGAATGTGGCGGACCAATCTATTTCCGAACAGGCAACCCTGCAGGAGCCTATGGCTAGAAACAGGTAGAAAACAGGGAGCCCCATACGTGCAAAGGGGGCTATTGGACAGGTCTCTCCCCTAAAGTTGGCTGGGTTTAGTGCGCTCGTTTGAGTTTTGCTTGTTTGGCGCTAGTTGAGGCCGAACGTGGGCCGGACCCCCGAACAGAGCCCCAAAAGATTCTATGCTGATGCCCTATTTAACCTCCCTGTTTTCTTTGTTTTTTCTCCTATTCACCCTCAAATACCCAACCCTCAAAATGCAGTACAAGGTGCTCGTTCCTCTTCTCCTCGCCGCTACGGCTCTGGCTGCCCCTGCTCCGGATGCCACCGGTACATCCTCCAGCGAAGAGACTTCCGACAGTGATGATAGCTACGATCTTGCTGATGTGCCCAGCTCCATCATGAGCGTTCTGGCCACCGCCATTCCATCGTCGTGGTACGATGACATTCTGGACCCAGAATCTCGCTCCGCCATCATCAGCGAGGCTGCGGCTGGTACCTACCCAGCTTGGTACAACTCGCTTCCCGGCAGTGTCAAGGCCTGGGCCACTTCTCAGTTCGACGATGAGATTATTGGAGCTTCAGCTACTGCTGCTAGCATCTCTGAGACCGCTGTTGGCAGCGCTTCCCAGACTGCCGCTAGTACTGTTGCTGAAACTGGCAGCTCCCAGGCCGCTGGCAACACTGTCAGTGAGACTGCCAGCCAGACCGCCAGCCAGACTGCTTCTTCATCTGGTAGCGAGACCACCTCTGGCTCTTCCTCCTCTTCCGACGCTAGCTCTAGCTCTGCCTCGGCTTCTGCCTCCTCTTCCCAGTCCACCGGTGGTGCTCCTGCCCCTACTGGTGCTGTTGCCATGAGCTTTGCTGGTGCAGCTGGTGTTCTGGCCCTTGCCCTTGCTCTGTAAAGTCCGACCATGTGACTTTTCTATGCATGCTAATCTTCATACCGGGGTTGACTTTCTGAGTATCCCTGCTTTCACAAATCAAGTCATTTTGGCTGCTTCTGTGTGTATATAAAATAAACCTATATAGTCGTTTTCTAATTCATATTCCCCATATCACAATCCTCTGGTCTATATTTTCTTTTGCTTGACTTCCCTGGAGAGATTAGCCGTCGCTACCTTCACCATGCTAGATTATCATCTCGCGGGTATCAAGACATCTCATCAGTCAATCGTAATCTCCAACGTTCCATGTAATGGAATTGGGCACGAAGATCAGAGTTGTAGCAAACCAGAAGCCTCGTACTAACAGCGAAATCCTGCAAAACATCATTCATGCCTTCAATGTCCCACTCAAGGGTTTGTTTGAGAATGATCAAGGCACAGACCAAAGTAGCACAATTTCTGGCAAAGTGACATGAAGTAGTCAGGGCATACTGATGAACCCATCATGTCGTTTGGAGTGCAGCTTTGTATACTTCGTACCGCAATTTTAGTTTTCGTTACAATATCACGGAGATGACCGATCTGATTTAATGCCTTGTAGCGTCTATTTTTGAGCTACTTCCTCTAGAAAGAAGAACATTAATTGTCCTTTAATGAGCCTGTCAACTGGCACCAGTATTCATGATAAACCCGCCTCCCAGTGAGTCTGATGTTTTGCATTCAATGTTAGACTAAAGAATGAACCCCCTGTTTGATAATCACGAGGTATGACGTTGTAGGAGCTAAAGTGAATGAAGGATGGAAGTTGGAGCGCGTATTGTGAGCTAGTATATTCTTTTCGGTGAAGATGCGATGAGAGGGAGTAAGCATTACTATTGTCAACTGGTAGCAAACGCTTAGGGAAGATAAGGGAAAGGAAAGCTTATCCCATTCAAAGGGGGTGCAGGTGCCTCTAAAAGGCACCTGGCGTGCTGACAAAAGTAAACTAGCTGCCCTAGGGTAGTCAATGTTAATGTCAACTGATTCTGGGAGGGGAGTTTTCGCTTGAAAAATAACTCTCGACCATTGAGCTTGTCTACTAGGTGATCCAGCTGCCCCTAATGAGTTTTACGCCCCTTTACTTGCCCGATATATCCTAAGCAGTAACGATAATTAGAAAATACTCAATCGCAGCATGATCCTGATAGGGCTCCCTAAGAGCTCTTGAACTATTCGTAAATCCACAATGATGAGTGAGATGGAAATAGATCCCAGGAGCTTAAGTGCTAATGCTGAAAGTCAAAGTCTACAAACGAAACACCGATCCCTTCTAGAGTGATATATGTCCTGAGCAGTTCTTTCAGGTCTTATGAACTCTGCTCTTAAGTTAAGCAACCGTCAGTATTCCAGGTCTGCTTCTATTTAGCAGATTGTCTGATGCAGCAAAGAAACCCGATAACGTAGTGAGTTTTCGATGCTTCTTACCTAATGAGAGTTCCAAGGTCGTTTCCTGCATATCCTCGAGCTCTGAGTCTGTTATAAATGGTCAAACCCTAAATGGGAGGATTCAAGTGACTCTCATTCTTTCACGGGGAGCGCGAGAATTTGCAGGAGGCCTGTGGCTGACTGAATCTAGTAGCATTCATTACACCGAGAACTAAGAGACAACAGATCCTAGTTTCATTCTCCCGGTCTAATTATACGCACTAAAGCTCAATTTACTTGCGTATGTTCTTTTGTTATTTACTCAGTCGCAACTGGTGTGCATCCCCGATTGAGCTGGACCAACGATAGCTCCTCCCACGCAAGTGAGCTTGATCCGTGAACAAAGCACACACCAAAACACGAAGGGAGAGAAAAGACAATGACCAAGAATACAACCAAAACACCAATGAGGCAGAGGCTTGGCGCGAGACTTTTTGGTGGGGGGTTGTAATGTTGTTGGCAGCGTTAAAGGCCGGGGTCGCGCAGGCGCGGGACCCCTTTCACTCCTTTCCTCTGTTTTAGAACACTGGGGCCCTCGTCCCTGAAACCAGGGATTTTCACCACAGCTCCTCAATGGCTTTCAATAGAAGCTGCTGCTAGAATGCTCCGCACCAAATGGCCTTGGGGCAAAAGGTCGTTGAGATAATCTGCCGACGTATTAGGCAATAGGGATCAGTAGGCAAGCCAAAGCTACAAGATATTAAATTGATGAGGACAATATTATTTAACATCAGAAGGATCGAAGCGACCTTTCACGGGTTCCGCAAGCTACCATAGGTCCGTTGTCGGGGCAATCTAGTGGGGTGGCAAGGAACAATTGACTCTCAGTACATGTACAGTATGGTCCTCATGGACCATTTTTATTCACTGTGACTAATGCAATCCAGGCGAAAATCTGCCTATCGACCAACCAAGCTCATAGAGAGCTCAGGCTTAAACCTTGAAAGTGGTCTATCCACTACACACCCTTGCCCGGGAATCCACATGCTTCCACACTGCTACAGTACGTTGCTACACAAAGCACAATAAAAAATTCTTCAAGTGAATTCACTAGCCATGCGGGTCTTCACGCCCCTGACAAACATAATGACGAGATTCATAGGGTGCGTCGCAGATCTATTAGCGGCTGGCTTCTCCATACCGGTTGCGATAGTTCTCCTCGCGGGCATTCACTTGCGCTGTGTGTAGAAACTCTTGACCGTCGTCCACTTCTTCCGGAGTGGCAACGATGAATGAAAAGTCCTCCCGCATAAAGTGTTGCTTGGCTGTTATCACGGCATTCAAATTTTGATGCCACTTCTGTCCAGCTTCCATGTCGTATTGCATCAACATGTTTTCGTAGCGAGATTGTTCAGATTTGACTGTGTTAAAAGCCGCCATTAATGCAGGATACTAAAAGGTCGTCCATTAGTGCCATACTTGATATCCGATGACTTTGCCTGGGTACTGACATTACCCTGTTGTACCCATTGCACAAAAGAAGAATCATATGCGAGTCCGGAATCTTTTGCTTCTTCATACTGTGACTGTGCGTCCGTCTTTGTGGTGACGAAGTCGTCCGCTGCTTCCGTCCATGCCTCTTTGGCAGAGTCGACCATATCTTGAGAAACCATTGTAATGCTGATTGAATGGAGGGTGGAGAAAAGAGTATGATACACGACTCAGAGGTTACGGTAGGAGTAGAAAATGAAGGACATGAACGAACAAAAGAGGGGCATGGTTAGTTGCAGAGGGTAAGTTACAGTACTTATACCTAGTCTACGATCTACTGGTCAAAAAATCAATGGCGTCACAAAAGCCAGAAAATTCAAACATTTCAGCTCTCGCCCAACTTCAAAGCTAAACAGCGGCTTCGGGAGTTATTACGGATCAGGTACAGTGTATATCGCAATCAGATTCGCCACTTACATTACCATTTCGATAAGAACGAGCACCAAGTTATACCGTCTCACCGAGTTCCGAGTACCAGGTTAGCGATCAAGATCATCGACTGTAATTGAGCCAATAGGAGGTATAGACCCGTTCTAGCAATACTGTACAGTACTGTAGGTGACGCCGATCCAGTACAGTAAGTAGATCTCGCTGTTTGTAAAAGCCCCGCAGTTCAGCCGACGTGTACAGTACGGAGGGAAACGACCCGCCATTCATCCATTAACCGAATGGATCATCGATCGCATTTACACATGGAGTTAGTGCATGCAGCAGTATGAGGTCATAGCTAGCGATGAAAGTGGAGCCAAGTACTGTATTTCTCTTCGATCTATCACGTTAAGATCGACAAGTCGTCAATCTACTGTACTGTACTGTACTGTACTGAGATCGTCATTTTCAGCTGTGCGTACGGACTACAAGTACAGTATAAAGTAGCCAATCTTGGCTACTGTCTACGCGTATCAGATGCCCTAGCTTGGTCTCTTGTCCACAGTAATCAGAGCCAGTCCCTCGAAATTTCCTCAATACTATAGAACAGTGGCTTGGAAACAGGTTCATCATAATGGAGTTCACATAGTCCGTGCCTACACGCGACTACTGTACAGTTAGAGATTCCGTTGAATAGAGTGGCCAGCTGATCTTGTAGATTAAGGAATCTCGTCTCAGCAGAATGCTTAAACGTCGTCATATCTCGGTTGCCCTTAAGGGTGCACACGGATGAAGAAATTCACTGAGTCGTATTCGTAGCTTGCTTCGACTCATTATTCATACTCGACTACCCAGCAGTTGATCTCTGCTTACATTGAATTTCTCTGGAGATCTCGTCAAGGGCAGCAATCGCGCCATCTGATAATATTAAACAGCAATTTGGAACAAATTTATCTTGGAGCCTCGCTCTACTTAAACCCGACATAATGAAGCTGGAATATCTATCTGTTCACACCATTCAAAATTCCAAAATCTTGGACAAATTGACATACTCAGCAGCCCCTCCAACTTTTATAGTAAAAGCACTATTAGCCGATGTGCACGGAATCACGAGATTAGGAAATTAATGACCCGGGGTTACTTACCTGTTTCGAACTTGTACTCATCTCCATCACTGACAGTAATATGGAAGACCTAGGTCGTCCTCAAGTTAACATGGCTCAAGGGTCATTTCTCTGGCTAGCAGCTCCTCACAAATCGTATAATCGAACAAGCATGTTCAACAGAATTGGCTCCGATATCTTCGACAAGTTTATCACTATCCTGGATCTGGACACAAGGACCGTAAGTATGACCATGTTTTTGATCTGTGATATAATGAATGGCACCGCGGTTGACACACCTCGTCCCGGTCTGCCTCCCAGTAACATGCAATAAAATCTTTCACTTGGTCCTCATAGTTCACGTCTCTTCTAGGAGCATTCCACCACATGCTGTAAGCCTCTTCCTGTTCCACCGACATCGTGGTAATATATTTTTAGGTATATTGCGGGCAATCAAAAGGAGAGTGTAACTGATAAAAATTCATTAACAGCAGGCAAGGGGAGGGGGGTTTATATGCTTTGCAGAAGCCCCTCTCGTAAAATTACATGTAAGCCGAGTTCGAAGTTCCACATAACTTATGTGCATACACTACATGTACCGATCAGCCTTCCGAGTATCTCTATCATTCCCTGAAGTGGAAAGGATCGAAGAAGGTCCACAGTTTAGTTGTTCCTCAGACACGGTACAGTACAGCACTATACTGTACTGTAGAACCAGGGAAGGAAGGTCCCACCAAAAAACTCCAAGCTCATATCTTTCAGTTGAGCACTTTCAACTCTCCAGTTCATCATATCATAGGCAAAAGACGAATATTGGATACTATCTATTCGCTAGTCCCATGTCCACATGATATTGGGGAGTGAAAGATCCCATTATTATACACCAATTTGATAGGGTCCGAATGATATTATGCTTCATGCGAAGAAACAGTGTGTTTAGTGTTCAGCGAGCCACGTCAGTGAAGCCGACGATTTTTCTCCCCGCTCTACAGTTATACAATGTAGATCTCAATAATAATGTGCTCGATTTTCGATCTTTGAAACGCGTCTATGTACGACGGATGGACTCCGTCATACCCGTGATTCAGAAATGATTTGCTCTCGCGCCATTATGATTCATGCATCCTCCTCATACATATTAAGATAGCATCCGTCACATAAAAGCGCAACATTTTATATCTAATTCACCTACATTTACCCGAATTTATATAGTACACATAAAAGAGGCATCGTCTTGCTTAATATTTTCCTGTCTTCAAGAATTAGTCTCTGAGAATAACACGATTGTTCTTACTTTCCTTTCTACTATGTATTCTTAACCACGTAATAGACTGTCTAGCTAATAATACAATAGGCCAGCTACGTTTTATAATAAGGTATTGAGCAGAAAACCTACTTACTGTAACTGTGGGTATGTTCATAAAGGCGGTAATGAAGTGGAGTCATTTTATTGGTCGAAAGTCTAAAGGCGGTGAACAAAAGAGTTCGGGAGGACCAATGAAATCAGGTCAGGATCAAGTTTGATCTGACAGAAATCCCCGACCAATCAGAAGCCCAGACTTACCACTACAACATTGCACTTTTTTGACTTGGCCAAGTAGGAAATAGGTTGGAAAGATTTCAGTGAATATCAAGCTAGTCCTCTGTCAAGGGCCATATTCCGCAGCTATTAGTATTCGTCTCTTGCATTGGGTGCTATGGGTCCGAAGCGATGACTGGTGAAAAGCCAAGCGCGGAATTCCGTTCCACCTATTTTTTTGCCCCCACCTCATCCCGCATTCTGCTCCCCTCCTCTATCAGCACTATTGATATCATTACAACATGCCTGGAAAAGACGCTGGTACTCCCCGTGTCTTCCTCTACCGACATGGTATGTCACAGCAATCTAAAATCCCCATCTCTCTAACCAGTGGCAGGTCAAACCGAGTGGTCCAAGAACGGACGCTACACCGGTGTCACCGAGCTTGAGCTCCTCAAGGATGGCGAGAATCAGGTTCGCGCCTCTGGCAAGATTATCGTTGGGTCGGGTAAATTGATTGATCCCGCCAACCTTGCCCATGTCTACATCAGTCCTCGCAGGCGTGCAATGCAGACTTTCGAGATTGCTTTTGATGATGCCGATCAAAAGACTCTGCGAGATGCCAACAAAATCTCCCAGACCGACAGGATTGCCGAATGGGACTACGGTCTTTACGAAGGCATGTTGACAAAGAACATTCGTACTTTGCGAAAGGAGCACGGTCTCGATGCCGAGAAGCCTTGGGACATCTGGCGCGATGGATGTGAGAACGGAGAGTAAGTCATTCACGTCCGTCCTGATTCTCTAGATGGATATCTGACCCCTCTCCCAGGTCTGCCCAGCAGGTGACAGACCGCCTTGATGACCTCATTCGGGAGATTCGTTCCATTCAGAAGGATAACATGCACGGCGAGAACCCATCCGATGTTCTCCTTGTCTCCCACGGTCATCTTCTTCGTGCCTTCACCAAGCGTTGGCTTGGATATCCTATGGAATTCCCTCTTTCCTTGATGCTTGACCCTGGCGCTGTTGGTGTTCTCAGGTAATACTAGACTCCCTTTTCTCCGGTTGATCATCTGGCTGACCAGTTCATTGCAGTTACCAACACCACAACATCGATGAGCCCGCTATGCTGGTGGGATATGGCTTCCCTGTCGAGGAGGAATAGGAGATTTGTTGGGACCATGCACTCACTGAAATGAATCTTACCAGACAACATAGACCTCCCTGGGAAATATCGAATGAATGAAATATACAATGGATTCAACACAGAATACGGCTCATCATCGAGGGCTTCCAAGGATTTGCCTGGCTAGTGTTCGAGGGTGAGCCTTGAAATATACCATATCCCCTCAAAATCGCCTTAAAGCAGAACAATATACGTATCTAGGTTGATCGAAAGGCTTCGGCGTCGTTAAAGCTAGTTATACATTGTCGAAGATGGGAAATCATATATGCTCTTGATATTCGGTCGTAAGATGAGAAGGGAGGTAGCCAGACGTGGTCGATATCAACCGGGCTGGCACGTGTCGAGCTGTTAAGCAAACAAGTGTGTTGAACGCATATAAAATGCGAAACCGTGCTGTTTTCACTTATTAACTTCTTTCCATCTCCATCAGCGCAACATTAAAACACACAACAAAACACAAACCATCATCCCAACCACCACCAAGATGGGTATGGCTTGGACTCCCGAAGCTGATGCTCAGGTAAGTATGTCTTTCAATCCACACGAGGCCTCATTGCTTACAAAAAGCAGCTTCTGATCCTGATCATCGATCAGTTGAAAGCAGCTAACTTCGTCCTCGATACTGAGGCTCTCGCTGTCGGCATGGGACCGCGTACGTATCACACTTCCCACATAATTGACTCATGCTAACAGCAAATGCTACAGGGTGCAACAAGCGCAGTATCCAGCACCGTCTCCTCACCTTGCGCAAGCTGCACGCCAGGGCCCCGGCCGCTCCCACCGAGGATACCTCCGCTACCACAGAGGATGCCTCCGCTCCCACCACCCCAGTCAAGCGCAAGGCCGGCCGCCCCCGTAAAAACACTGACAGCAAGAGGGTCAAGGCTGAGGATACCAAGGCTACTGAGCCCAGTGTTGAAGATGATGATGCCTTGTTCGGCATCGTTGCTGACGACAAGGGGGCAAACTAAGAAGGAACTTTTCCTACTTGTGCCTACCCTCGATATCGCGGGATAGCGTGAAAAATGATCACTACATGTATCTTTATCTCAGTTACCTAGCTACAGCACAGTTCTGCTTACTTGACTTTTTTGTATTCGATATTCCCCACTTGTCAATACATTTCTTGAGCTGGAATTTGTTTTCTTTCCGCAATAACTTACATTACTAGTGTCACCCCATCCGAAGTGTGCTATCAACAAATCAACCTTCCCGGTCTCAGACAGCTACATTAATGCTCGTATCGAGACAAGTGTTCATTTTGAATAGACGAGGAGGAATCAATCAACACAAAAGAGAAATAAGGGTACAACGACGGCAACAAAGAGGAGCGGACAACAATCCGAAGGATGAGGTCGCTCTAGGGCGGCACGAACATTCTGCCAACAAACAGTGACGTACACACAACCCCCAATAAGAACGAACCTCAACATTCCACCTTTCTACCGCTGAATGACTGCTCACCTCTAGTTTGAAAAAAGAAGCAAAACTTACAATGTCAGACCCCATTCCATCAGCCACAGCCGATCCAAGCACCGTCGACCAAACGACCCCAGCAAATGCCGAAGACCGCAAAGCGGCCGCCGCTCTCTCCTCCCTCCATACAAATGAAATCAGCTCGGGAGCCTCCTCCGGGAAGACGAATAATATCAACCAAGAAGCTTTGGGGAAGGCTATGAGTCGGTTGGAGATTTCTGGACAAGATACTAGCAAGAAGGGCACTGGGCATGCACAGAAGGTCGACGGCGTTGCAAAAAAGCAAGTTGTGAAGGTCGCTCCGGCTGATGTTGCACTGCTGGTACGCTTTCCCATGGGGGATCTACGGGTTTGATATCTGTTTGTTCACTGACGGTCTTGATTATGCTAGGTGGATCAGTTGGAACTGACCAAGATGAAGGCTACGGAACTGTTGAAGGCTCATGATGGCGATGCGGTAAAGGCGATGACGGCGTTCATCTCGCCATCTATCCGTACGTAAGCAGCTGTCTTGCCAAAGGTACTCGTCGATGCAGGTCGACAAGGCCATCACGGGCTCTTTATGATGTCATGAATTTCGAAATTGAATAAGGTAGATTATCGGCGTTGTAATTGATACATGTTCGTTCAAATCATTTTGTAGAGGCTAAAACGCAAATTTTCCTTTTTCCATCAGGTGGTAACCAGCCCCAGTAAATGTCCACGGGCATTCTGAACCTTGGAGATAACAATCTCTGCAGCAGGATATGTCTGCAGCAAATGTCCCGCTGCTTCCTCGCAAGCATACAGATTCGACATAGCCTGTTGTCTCACGATCTTGTCCGAAACCTTCAGATCGGGAAGACTAGCCTCGAGAATAATTCCAATGATAGTGACTGCGCTTCCAGGCAGTAAATGTAGCATGCTACAGTCATGTAGCTCGTTGAGTGTTTCGTTGACCTGAGATACCAGACCTCTCATCTCTGGTGTGGCAGTCTGGTCGAGTTCATCTCCCCCTTTCGAAGCGGCTATGTGCAGGATTGACATTGCGGTAAGGTGGAGAAGATACAAGAAAGCTTGATGGACTAGCAGAACCAGTTCAGTCGACTCCGGATGAAGATCGCACATGAGTGAAGGGGGGAAGTAATGTGCCAGGGGGGAAGGTTCTGCATCCAAGTCTTGAGAAGCTGTTCACAGCTAGCTATGGCGTCCTGTGATATCTCTGCTTTGGGAACAAGGGTATAGACAGCTTCCCCCGATGGTATAGCCGTCCATGTGTCGTGGTAGAAATACTCCACAATCACACCGACGCAATGAGCGAGCTTTATCTCCTGAATGAATAGGAGCATCATTCGCTCTTGATTCTCCCACTTCAGCATGGCAGAAGCTTCTCCTAGCATTAGGAGAATTAGGTCATGGTATAACTCGGAAGAATAGTACTTGGTCGACTCTAATAACGACATTGTGACATCGCTATTGGGAATCCGTAACGGGCGACGGAATCCAAGGGATAGAATACGGTCGCGGACGTAAAGACACCACCATAGTCTGTGCTTGTGGGAGAAACTACCCGGCTCCAGACTTCCAAGGAGATTGACGCGCTCTGCTGTCGAATAGGCGAGGTCGAACCAGTAGATTGGGTCTTTGTGGCCAACGCCGCTTCCATGCCAATGTGTCATGAGTAATAGTGCTTGGATTTGGGTATATGCGTCGTTCTCGGTTTCGAATTCGTAAAGGAGCTGACGAGGACATGAGTCTGATGATCTTCTTTTCATGCAACATGCAGCAAGTACCACTTACTTTGGCTCTCTCGAATAATGTCCTTCTTAATGCTTTTCTTGAAGAGAAGCCGGCTCCAGTGGCAGCTTCTTGTGCAATAAAGGCACTTCCAGCCAGCATGACAGCTTGATGAAGAAGCGGACTGGTAAATCGGGTTTCATCTTCGACCATAGCACCGCACAAAAACGATTGTAAATCAATGATGGGGAGTAACGGATGGACATATTTGATGTATGCTCCAAGCAACTGGTTTCGAAGCTCGATGGGAACGATCCTCAGCGCCCCTTTCAGGGCCAAGTATTCATAGTCCTCGTCGGAAAGATGTGGAGGCCGGAAGTTAAATGATCTTTGGAGTTCATATGGCTGATTCTGTTCTCCAAGAAGGAGCTCTGGAGTGCGTGGTGAAAGAAGTTCGTTTATCGTCGTGAGAAAACTGTCTAGTGGATATGTTTGAGGAACATCATGTGTAAGGCTCATATGTGGTTCATCAGATATTGGTTTGCTTCCTGATGCAATGAGCTGCGAAAAGGCATCTAAGCATGTCAATCTCTATACAAGCCTTGCTGAGCCTTTTAGCGGCAAATCCTACCTAGATCAATTCCACCATATGTGTCCATCCGATCCACAGCCTCGGTATTAGAGAAGGCTTGGGCAAGGATACCAAAAGAGGATGTCACGTCCATTGGCACGGACCGCATATGCTGCTTAGCTCTGTTTCTCAAAGGCATTAGTGCTGAGCTATTCGCTTCGATGGTCTTGTTTTCTAGACTTGAGGGTAATGTCTACCTTGATTCTTTGGAAATGCGGCAGTGAGAAGAAGCGTTGGACTGACACCTGCGACAAACACGTGCGTTTTGCTCTGTTTCGCACCGAAGCTTCGATCGTCTGCACTCCGTGCACGCCTGTGATGCCCGTTGAGTCACTCGCTTCATATAGTCAATATCAGTCTTACAGATGAGCGGTGGGTTGTCTAACGTGTTGCAGACTTGTCCTGAACAAAAAGGACAAAGACAGAGAAACAACCGTGACATCCGGACCCCCATGGAGAAATGACTGATCCACACACACCCCCCGCATTTTTCCGGGGATGGGCAGCTGATCAAGTCTTCATTGGTTGTTCAAGTTGTGTGCGGTTGAGTCTGGACTGGAAGCTGTCGGCAAGCTGCGGTGAGTGGACGAATATCTCCACCGGATACAACATGAAACTTCCCACCGGCACTAAGCAGCCAATCATGGAACAGAGAGAATCGCATATCAGTTTCCCTTTGGGAATATACACGGTCAAAGCGATATAAAACTACTCAAACCAGGAGACGATAAATCTGCGATTCCACAATAACACTAACTTTTCAACCCAATCTCACTACCACTTCCAACCACCGTCCTTATGAACAAAGCCGCCAACATCTCCATCCCTCTCTCCCATAACAATTCCCAAAATACCCCGGCCAGACTCCAACGGATCCCCCGCTCTACCCTGCGCATTCACAGCGGCCTCAGACTCCCCCCGCAAGTTTGACCTCACTAACCCAGGACAAAACGCGAACACGGATACCTGCCCCTGCAGCCGCTTATGCATCTGAACAGTCATCATATTGAGCGCGGCCTTGCTCATACGATACTCATCCCACGGCGCAGCATAGTGTGGACAGCTGGGATCGGTCGCCTCGGTCAATGAACCCAAGCCACTGGACACCTGGATCATATACGGTTTGGCAGATTTGAGGAGGAGCGGGAGAAAGGCTTCCGTGACAAGCATTGCCCCGATAACATTTGTCGAGAAAATTTTGGTCAGCCTTTCACGCCCGCTGCTTTCTGGCGCGGCGGTCCCAGCATTGCTTATGAACACGTCGATTCGGCCGAAGTCGTGAGTCACTTTGTCTACCGCTTTGGTTATCGAGGCGTCGTCTTCGATGTCCAGACTGAGGACGGAGAGTGTGCCTTTAATCCCGGTGCTTTTAATTTCAGACATGGCCTTTTCGCCCTTATGTGAGTCCCGACAGGCCATAATTATGTGGTGGGTTGGGGTCTCGGCTAGGACTTGAGTCGTTGCATAGCCGACGCCTGAGTTGGCGCCTGGACGGAGTGACTTAGTAGTTGACGATTGGGGATATCCCTGATTCTTTCTCTTACCGGTGATTAGGATGATCTTGTTTTCGGACACGGACATTTTGCCGTTGCGTTGCTTTTGGAGATGGTAAATCGATCGAACTTATGATGGGTGTTACACATTTATATACGTCACCCCGAGGTCTGTAACCACTGGCATTCTTTAGGATTCGACATGGACATTACAATCATTAAATCCGTTGGCATCTAAGTTCAGCCCAACCTCCTTCGTGTTTGGCTTCATGAGCTATGCAACCGGAAGCAACCCCGGACATAAGCCTATCGCCGTCTCGGCTTAACCCGAACAGCCGAGCGTCCAAGGTTCGGACTTTCTTATCAGATTTGACCCTCTCAAACGTCATCTTCTTGACTTACTCCTGAACCTGAACACTGGACTCTTTTGCTCGGTCTACAACTGCCTCATAAATCGGTTCACTGCGCTACAAATGTTTAGACAATTTACACTCGCAATTCTAGAAACTACATCCTGTTACAAATTCCGTGTACTTGACCTTGGGCTCTCTTTTCATCCCTGTTTTCTTGTTCCGGGGTTCCTTATTGAAGGGACTTATGGTCAGTCTCAACCCCTCCCCCACCTGGATGGATCCTCCTAGAGTAGCAGGTATATGACAAAGAGTTCGAAGAATTTCAGGACTTCTTCCTCTTCACAGCACGATCGCATAGCAAGATATTGAGTAAGTAATGCCCCATCAAGATGGAACGGAGAACGGAAAGGCACTCGGCAATTTGGGGCATACTTGGTTCAAAATATTATCACGGAGTAATGATGAGAATCCCTTTAAGAACAAGCATGAATAAACAACTTGTTAAGAGCCAATATTCCTTGTCCAATGGTGAGGAGTAGACCAAACCACGGAGAACATGTATTGTCAGATGGCCATTAAGCGATTGTATTATAGAAATGACCGAACATATCGGGCACATTACGCCGAAAGCACCAAAGTCAGACTTAGACTTAGCCCGACACAGCACTCTGGGAATTTATCCGGGAAGAAAAAAACACACCGGTCGAGAATATGACTCTTTGTTTTGATCATAGCCATGGAACTTTGCCAACTTTACTCCACGACTATCGAAGCCCACGTCTGATTGGAACGGCGTTGAACATAGGCCCCGCCACATCTCACGCGGGGAAATCCTTTACAGTAGCCCAAAAAGCAGCCAGACAGCCACCAATCGCCATAAAGTGATCGTCGCGCCAAGTCCGCCTCTGAGGGGGAGGACTACCGCTCGGATTCTTATACGGAGAGCTAGACAACATGGATGGAACCTCAATCTACCACGTTGGTCTAAATAGCGGCATGAAGCGATCCAGAATCTCAGCTACCGTCTTAGTAACTATATCATGACAATAATACCTGCGATAATCCGGTCAATACTTCAGTGCAGGGGCCCCGGTGCCATGCAACTTGGACGCAAGGGATTGGACCTCGATTCGCGATCCTTGCCTGGTGGAGTTAGATGCATAATCAGTCCATTTCTTGTTTCGTGACCTCATTCTTAGACCAAGTCGTACATGCAGGTAAGCTGCGGGTCAGCTCAGAAAGCAGAGACAAAAAAGCTTTGATCTCCTTACTTTACACGGGGGATGTCTGTATGTCTGGGGTAAAGCTGTCGCGAGTCTATGGTGATCGCCGATGATTCTCCGAGGATGCCGAGACAGATCTCGCATTCCATCGCGTGAGCAAAAGAAGGGACGAGAAGAACTAGGGATTCGCTAAAATGGAATACTTCTTACCCCACTGCATACCATCCCCAAGGTCGCAATTGTGATTTGTCGGTTCCTGGACACGGACTCGCGGAGTTTAGCCGTATAGCCACCGATGTAATATTGTGCATAGGAATTATCGGGCAATTCTAGGTTGTGTGCCGCTCGTTTCTATTGATTGAACTGAGCATCTCAATTATTGATTGTTATGTGCCGTTTCGGATTTCATGGGCTGTGAGCTCAATATATGTAGGTCGACATCATGGCCATCCCTTCAACTCTTGGCATCTGCATAACTGCCAACCACGCCAAGTAGACACCGATCCTCCCTGCACTCCGGCATTAGGCCTCAACTACGTTCTGAGTTCTCTGCTGTCTCGACTCGGAATGCTTGGGCTACTCCCTGCGGGGTTGATCGGCCCTTGTGGAGACATCAATGCCAACTGAGCATGCTGATACAGTACATGTACATGTACCATTGACGATGCCACATCGAATACAGGGGTCTGAGGGCCAATTTCCTCTTTCATCTTCGTATGCAGGGAAACATGGTGCCATCTGGCAATCCCGCGTGTGCAGGTCCTATGTATTTAAACTCTGGCATAGGCCCAATAATGCTGGGAATGTGACCCTTCTATTCCGAAGATCTTCGGTCTTTTGTTTATTCTGTGCCTGCACTCCTGTTGATCTTCGCATCTCTGGTAAGCATGCATTTGGTCAGGGGTATTGTGTTTTCGTCACTGGTGGCCTTTGGCCTGGCCCTTCCTGGTAGTGAGGGTAGCAAACAACATGTGAATAAGGCACGCAGTGCAGGTTATGCCCTAAAGCAGCCTCCACTGACCACGCCGTGGACAGATAAAGTCGGCACTGAGCCATGGCCTGAGTATCCTCGTCCGTTGTTGCAACGTTCAGAATGGAAGAATCTTAATGGCGTGTGGAAGTATCAGAATGCTTCCGGTCTAGATGCAGTTCAAAGTCCACCGTTCGGACAGGAACTCGCTCAAGATGTGTTGATTCCATCGTGTCTTGAAAGTGGTTTGTCTGGTGCGTCTTTCGGTGTTAGTCATGTTATTGCTTCATTCTAATAAGGTGCGCAGGTATTCAAACTGATTACGCTTTATACTCGTGGTTTTCGACTTCTTTCGAGGTATCTCCCTCCTGGAAGGGTGAAAAGGTGCTTCTTAGCTTTGGTGCCGTAGACTATGAAGCAACAGTCTTCGTCAATGGTAAACAGGCAGGCTTCCACCGTGGTGGATACTTCCGCTTTGAGTTGGATGTGACAGAGTACCTGGTCTTCGACAAGGCAAACGAACTGTGAGTTTCACTAGAACAGAAAGTGATCAATACATCTGACTCGAATTGCAGACTTGTCTTCGTTCATGATCCCACAGATGATGGTGACTATGTGATTCCCATCGGAAAGCAGACTCTTAGACCAAGTCACATCTTTTATACACCATGTAGCGGCATCTGGCAGACTGTTTGGCTTGAAGCTGCTCCTGCAAACCACATCACGCAGTTGGATATCGATGGCAATATGGACGGTCAAGGTGAGTATCCCAATTTGGCGTAAAAGGTTTCGTCGACATTGACAATAAATAGTCAACATCACTGTGCACAGCTCAGCACAGGATGCTTCCGCTAAAGCAGAGGTTACTGTTCACAAGGATGGCAAGGTCCTTGCCACTCACAATGGTCCGACCAACACGCCCTTCCAGTTCACCGTGTCCTCTCCCAAACTCTGGTCTCCCGACTCACCTAATCTGTACAATGTGACTGTCAAACTGGACAAAGATCAAGTAGAAAGCTACACAGGGTTCCGCACAATTTCCCGAGGCCAGGTTGACGGTATTGAACGACCTCTGTTGAATGGTGAATTCATCTTCATGTTTGGTACCTTGGACCAGGGGTACTGGCCAGATGGACTGTACACGGCTCCAACCCGCGAAGCAATGATCTATGATCTTCAAGTGCTGAAGAAGCTAGGCTTCAACGCGGTCCGCAAGCATGTAAGTGATACCGCCAGATCTTCTCTCCAGGTTTTAACTCACACTTTCACAGATCAAAGTCGAGCCCGAGCTCTTCTATCAAGCATGTGATGAGATTGGACTCCTTGTCATCCAAGATATGCCATCAATGCGACCACTTCAATCCAAGACGGAGCAAAACTGTCAATCAGTCACTATTCTCCCTGACGCGACGCAACAGGCAGAATTCGCCCGGCAGTTGGATCTCCTCGTCAACCAGCTCAAGAGTTTCCCCAGTATTGCCACGTGGGTAAGTTGAATTTCCCCTCTTTATGCAGGGGCTAGAGCTCACAGGGATTGTCTCGCAGGTCGTATACAACGAGGGCTGGGGTCAGATCACAGATTACTACCCTGAGTTCGAATTGACCGATCGGGTCAGACAGCTAGACCCCACTCGACTCGTTGACTCGACTACTGGCTGGGTCGACCACGGCGCCGGAGACTTTAGCGTAAGTATCTTTGTCACCGAACAGGTCACACGTGGCTGATTGGGATATAGGACAATCATCACTATGCAAACCCGCAATGCGGCACGCCTTTCTACTCCACCGCTTCGAGTCCCTTTGACCCTAGCCGAATTGGATTCCAGGGTGAATTTGGTGGTATTGGAAATAATGTCTCTATTGAGCAGTAAGTATTGTGATTGCCTCATTTGGATTAGAACGTTACATGCTAACTCGTATAGTCTCTGGAATAAGCAGGCTGCCATTAACACCATCAACCAAACTTATGAAATTGACACTACGATCGAGGCATGGAACTACCGTAGTCACATCCTGCTTGGCGAGCTCGAAGATCAAATTCGTCTCTTCTCGTGCAGCGGTGGAGTCTGGACCCAGACTACGGATGTCGAGGGCGAGGTCAACGGCCTCATCACCTATGACCGACGACTGGCTCGAACCGACGAGAAACAGTGGCAAGCAGATATTAAGGCACTTTACGACGCTGCTGCAGCTCGCAGCAATGCGACCACAAAAACCCTGTAGGGGCCGCATCAACTGGAATGATAAGGATATGATGAGTTCAAAATACATATTGACTTCGTCTCTGAAACACACAGGCACACAGACTCAAGCCTCGTAAACCAAATAGTCGACCTGTATCCAAGGTTAAATAGATTAAGCTCCCAGGTCACATTCCCCGCGATGCACAGGTCATTTTCTTCACCTTCGCGCAATAACAATGGCTGAAACGGCTTGAATGGCTGACGGGACATCAAACTTCCCGCTGTCAAATCTCCCCCCAAGTCAAATAAATTGCTTGGCATGGCTTATCCACGGACGCCGTTGACGACGTGGCACGGCAAGCCGTGAAGACAGTCAATCAGCCTCTGGTCTAGACCAGAGTGCCACGGCTCGACCACTAAGGAGGCAGTGATCGTCTAGCGCGGCTGTTTGAGAAGCGTCTCAGGTTGAACCCGGTTCCAAGGCACCAAGGAAAACAAAGGGAAAAAAATCACCGAGAGAGGAAATTTGTGATGATCTATCAAACTTGTCCCAATATGGAAACCCAAGATCCCATCTTTATCTTCATCACTCCTTTTACCCCTTTTGCACCGAAGAAGAAAAAAATCTCGCTGCCTCTGACTATGTGAGTAATATTTTCAATCGGAACAGTCCCATTGATCAGGCAATCCCCACTAGCCCGGGGAATTTACCCGAATTTAGTATCAGGCCACGCCATCACACGATGTTCACAAGCAGCGGATCCCATTTCAGATGAGCGATTCGAATCTGGCGGATAGACGGTAGACATGTTCTCCGTCTTCTAGCGTGCTCCAGATGCAAGTGTTCCCTGATTTTGTGAGACTATCACTCTTTAGCGCGGCGCCATTGTCGTTTTAGCTCTGGTTGGCCGATTAATCACATTAATCACTGCTGCAAAACGTTATACGATGCTGTTCCGAAGGCCCACTCTGGCAAACGGTTTGTTCCTTGAACTTTTGGACCTTCCGTAAAAATCGAATCCCTGCTTGGCGCTGCCATAGAACATGTTCGGGGGTGCGGTTTTAGTTCGAACCTATTCCCAGATGAGATGGGCTTACCCTTATGCATGTCTACTTTTGAGGTATATCGTATACACCGTATATCTTGAATAGCCCGCAAATCCGTCGGCTCCGAACGGAATCCACTCAGTCTCGGGTCTTACGCGAGACCGTCCGGACCGCAGCGGAGTACGATGCTAAAGCACAGCCGGTAACGCAGAGACACATGCAAGTGATGTTTAATTTATTCTGCTTCGCTGGCAGACCGTTGACAGCTAACGGTCTGACAGGTCTCATGGAAGAAGCCATGTCGTCGATGTAAAACGCGACCAAAGCGCATGCCGACACATGAAGAAGGACTGACAGCCTGTTAGAAGCAAGAGATCGGCCTCCGCGTTCCCATGTGGACATCCTAGTCGCTTGTTTCAAGTTTGCCCGTTCTATGACAGCACTACAGTGTGGGTCCTGTCTTTTGGCTTCATAGTGCTCCAAACTAGGAGATTGCAGGGATCAGCCCACACGTTTTCTTTCGAGGTCGGAGAATAACTCCCTTTCTTTGTGTGGTCTGATTCGACCATACCCAATGCATTCAGGATCTGAGATTTTTTTTCCTCTCCTCGTGTGATCGGGTGTGACGGCTTCTCTAAGAGGTGGCCCACAGACCGTCCTGATCCAGAGGTCGCCTGCACCAAATCCCGAATCGGATGCGATGTGCAGTTTCGTGGCTTGTGCTATGGTCCTTCTGGAGGATCAGATGAATACTGTAATCTAACGGGGATTGTGCAGGCAAGATATAAATACTCGAATCGCCAGCCTGCCACGAGGTACCCCGGTTTTATATTCCCTTCAACCAAGATCTCTGATATCTCCCTCTCCCTCTTTGATCTCGAACATACCCCAGGTGTTCGTTGAATTGCCGGTTGTATCAACTTATCAAAGACCACATCATACGATGGAGTACGGTTTCAAATCGGCCCCCGAGCCACAGCATGTCGACCGCAAGCTGCTCTACACAAACTTGGAAGAGCGAATCAAGTACCTGCATGCCTTCCTCGACTTTGGCCCGGGTCAGTCTTCATCATCCATCTCACCTCCAGTTTCCTCCCAGAACAAAGAGTACTAACACTATCCCAGCTGATATCGAGGCACTGATTAGCGGCACAAAGTACATCAAGCAATTGATCCCAGCAGTGGTCAACCTGGTATATAAGAAACTTCTCGAGTTCGATATCACATCACGGGCCTTCCACACACGAAACACAGTCGACGAGACCGAGCCTGATGATGACTACCTCGACGAGGAGGCACCCCAGATCAAGCGACGCAAGATGTTCCTTCGGTGGTACCTCACCCGTCTGTGTCAAGATCCCACAACCATGGATTTCTGGCGATACCTGAACAAGGTCGGGTAAGTAAACCAAGCCTGTCCCCTGGAGCCATTGCAGGCCAGAAACAAGATCCCCCGCAAGAATCCCAAACTAACGTGGTTGTTTGCTGCACAGCATGATGCACAGCGGTCAAGTCCGTCGATCCCCATTGAACATTGAATACCTTCACCTTGGTGCCTGCATGGGGTATATTCAAGATATCTGGATTGAAGCCATGATGTCACACCCACACCTTTCGCTCCGACGGAAGATCGCCCTCGTGCGTGCCGTCAACAAGATCCTTTGGATTCAGAATGACCTCTTTGCACGGTACCACTGCAGCGATGGAGAAGAGTATGCGGATGAAATGTCTTTGATGAGCTTCGATGATCAGGAGGGCTACATTGGTGACAAGCGCATTCTTGGCAGTAGCTCCAATAGCTCTGTGGATGACGACCGGTCTAGTATTTCTAGTGGAGTGGCGCCTTCTACACATAGTGCGGACCCATCTATCAAGACTAGTGCCTCGGCAGCGGCGTCCGCTTCAAAAACTTCGGTCTGTCCTTTTGCGGATATGGCTAAGCCCTCGTCGACTGAGACGAAGATATGGGCGAATTAAAAGAGAGTGGTTGGGAAAGCATTTACTGGCGTTTGGGGGACACAGTTAGACGGGAATACCTGGTTGTTTATTAGGCAAAATGAATGTGTGAATATGTTGTCTTACCCCTATCCCACAGAGATCAATAACCTAGGTAAAGCGGAATGATTCCGATGGTTGGATCCATCCTTGGAACTGGGTCCGCGAATGTTAGTCATGGTTAGTCAGCTGAGTCCGGGTTGGGGATGTTTGTTATGTTTGCCGTGTTTGCTTCCAATCGGATTCTTCCCCCCACACAACTCCCGACATGAACGGCATTTGGAGTTGGATATCCGGCACGGAGATATATCTTTGGCTCGCCATTGCGCCGGAGATAACTCACGGTCTACGAGAAAAAATTGGGGTTTGTGCAGCTACCCCGGGCCCCAGGTTGCAGACTGCGTCGGACTGAAAACCTTATGCCGCTCATTGATAATCCCCACCATCCTCCTTTTTGAGATCGCCGATCATTGAAGCCCCTCCATAAGCATTGGCTGCCATTTATTTCCAATCGGAACTTATATAGATCCCCTTCATTCCATCTTCACCTTTCTGTCATCTTTTCTCATATTTCCCATCTTGCACAATGTCTAACCAAATGGCGGTGACCCCGCTTATCATCAACAATGAGTCTGTCGAGACGGATACCAAGTTCGAGGTCTACGCCCCTGCGACCGGCGAGCTGAACGGCTACGCTGCGGGCATCTCTGCCGAGGAGGCAAAGCGCGCAGTCGACGTTGCTCAGGCTGCTTTCCCCGCATGGAAGAAGACCAAGTACAATGAGCGCCGTGAGATCCTGCTGAAGGCCGCTGAGATCATGGAGTCGCGCAAAGAGGAATTCATCCAGTATCAGCGCGAAGAGACCGGTGCTGGCCGTCCCTTCTGTGAAGTGACTTTTGGCATGGGTGTTGAATTCATCCGTGATTTTGCTGGCCGTATCTCCTCCATCCAGGGTATTGTGCCTAACGTCAACCGCGAGGGTGAGGGTTCTATCGTGTACAAAGAGCCATATGGAGTGATCCTGTCAATTGCGCCTTGGTGAGTATCAACATTCAATGCTTGAACATATATATTGCTTGGTAGTAGATATAACCTGCGGAATGTAAGCTGACTCAGAACCTTTTCTGCACAGGAATGCGCCTTTCATCCTTGGTGTCCGTGCGGTTGCCCAACCCCTGGGCGCTGGTAACACAGTTGTCCTCAAGGGTTCCGAACTCTCGCCCAAGTGCTTCTGGGCTATTGGCGATGTCTTCTGGCAAGCTGGGCTTCCCGCTGGATGTCTGAATGTCATCGTCCACCAGCCCTCTGACGCTGTGGCGGTCACCAACGCCTTGATCAGCCACCCTGCCGTCCGCAAGGTCAATTTCACCGGTAGCACCAATGTCGGCTCCATCATTGCTTCCACTGCGGGCAAGTACATCAAGCCTGTGCTGCTCGAGCTGGGTGGCAAGGCGTCGGCGGTCGTTTTGGACGACGCGGACCTCGACAAGGCCGCCATGAACTGCGCCATTGGTTCCTTCTTGCACGTACGCTACAATCCATGAAACCCAGAGACCAGGAATCACGTCACTGACCAATACAGTCCGGACAAATTTGTATGTCGACCGAGCGCATCGTTGTCCAGCGCTCCATCGCCGACGAATTCCGCCAAAAGCTCGCTGCCACAGCCGAGAAGCTGTTCGGTAAGGAAGCGCCTGTCCCCGTGTTGGTCAACTCTGCCGCTGCAGCCAAGAACAAGAAGCTCGTCGGCGACGCTGTGTCGCGCGGTGCGACCCTCCTGTTTGGCAACGGCGATGCCACCGAGTCGACCGACGCCGCCATGCGCCCGATCATTGTCGACAACGTGACCAAGGAGATGGACATCTACGCGACCGAGTCGTTCGGTCCGACCGTGTCACTCATTGTGGTCGACACCGAAGAAGACGCGATCGCACTGGCCAATGACACAGAATACGGCCTCACCGCAGCGGTCTACACACAGAACCTGTTCCGCGGATTGCGGGTGGCTAAGGAAATCGACTCGGGGTAAGTAAATCCATCCCATTATACTCCTTACAAATCCATATCCGATCCACGGGTAACCCGGAGCCGCTTGAACACGATACTAATGGTTCCTAGCGCCGTCCACATCAACTCCATGACCGTTCACGACGAATCAGTCCTGCCCCACGGTGGATGGAAGAGCAGTGGCTTTGGTCGCTTCGGAGGCGTAGCGGGCTTTGAGGAGTTCCTTCAAAGCAAGTCTGTAACCTGGCATGAATAGAGCCCGGTCCAGATCTAGACCTATCGTAGACCCAGATTTTGGAGGATGCATTTTGGCCCCCAGACCCAGATAGAATGGGTCTACCAGGATCTTTCGGGCTTTGAGGCGTTGGGCTGAGCCGCATACTCACCAATCGCGGAGCCTCGTCTCGTTCAGACCCCTGATTTTGGTCTGTCGCTAGAGACGCAGGCGGCAGACCCGAAAGTTACTATGTGAAAGCAACGAATTGAATGATCCCTCGGTTTCTGTACAGTCATCATACTGCATTCTCGTACTGTACCCTGGTGGGCTCGGAGGGTGTCCGTCTCGTGTCCATGATGTGATTTGTCTTGTCGGCCTTTCTTTCTACACCACACACCGGAAGTCAGTAACGTTGAGAAAGGATATCTATAATTATACAGGTAAACCGTCTAGCTAGCTTGGAGCAGGCCCTTGAGGCAAAATATCCGAAGACTATATACGGGGCGCAGGCCCACTATCCCAGGAACAAGTAATATGCCTAATACCCCAAGCCCTATTTCCCAGTCCGAGACTAATCTCGCGTGTCTTAGATTAACCCAATAAACACAGCCCACTTCGGACTCCTATTTGACTTGGTCACTTTACGGAATCAGCTGTACAGGTATGATACACCCGACGGTCGGCCATGCCGTGACCATACGCTGTACACTTGAAAGAAAGTCGGGTAAACTTCGCCCCCTGACTATCAACGGTTGATCCTATCACGAACCAGTGGGATCGGCAGAGGGGTTACAGTTGAGACGTTAGGACAATAGACGGTGTGTGGGGGTGGCTCTGATCGTCACGAATATCAGTGAACATCGAAATCTGCTGTGCATTATGTACTGTGTAGCAAGGGAGGTTTTCTTTTTTTTTCATTTTGTTGCCCCGTGGCCAGAGACACATGGTATTGTACCTGCATGGAAGGCGCTGCAGGTACCATACGGTATTTGGGGGAAATTAAAATTAGACCGAGAGGGAATGAGGGAATGGAAGCACCGAAAGTGGCGTTACTGGAAATAGGTGAGACCAATCCATGGACCTGAGTTCGGGTGAGAGTGCCAAGTCCACGGGTCAAACCTTAGTCTATTCAGTATTCAGGGCAGAATGAGAGGATCTCGACCATACCATGACTGTCATACATTGTAGAGCCTCTCCCATTAGATTCCAGAGTCCTGTTTCGCTGCGATCCTGCTAATCTTACTGGTATTTTTGAATCTTCGGACATTCTCTCGATTCAAGGGTCTGCCCGTTCACAGAAAATTAAAATCGTCAGGTCCACCAATCAGCGGTCGTGTTGATTTCACGCTAATGCATCGCCTTCTATACAGTACTGTATGATACCTCGTGGGAGTGGTCTGCAGTCTGATGTAGAGCAATGAGGATCGAATGTTAGACCAGTATCAGACATGTCAGTTAGCCATCACGAGCCTCAAAATATCCCCCAATCATCGCTATAAACCAAGTAAACAAGCAGTAAGTAAAACAGAGGAAAAAAACAAGAAAAGTAAACAAAGTGATTTCGCTTGGAAGCCCCCCACTTGGACCTTTGGGGGCCGTGCTGAGAATCCGACATAGAAATGAAAGTCGCCTCCCAGGCTGCTCTTCTTCTCTTCTTCATCCAACTCCTTCGTATTTTACGATAGTCATTCTTTTTTAGTATTCCCACCACAGTCATTCTTTGCTCAACATGCGTTTCACCGCCACCATCGTCTCTGCTTTCGCCGTCGCTGCGTCGGCTTTGACCACTCCCGACTACACCCAGTCTCCCTCTGGCAACGCCATTGTCTCCCCCTGGCTTGAACGAGATCGTTCCTGAGGGCAAGGCCTACACCATCAAGTGGGACCCTACCACCACTGGCCCCGTCTCTCTGGTCCTCCTCCGTGGCCCCTCCACCAACGTTCAGCCCATCCAGACCCTCGCCGACTCTATCCCCAACAGCGGCTCCTTCACCTGGACCCCCAGCACCGACCTTGAGGTCGACACCACCCACTATGGTCTCCTCCTCACCGTCGAGGGCACCGGCCAGTACCAGTACTCCACCCAGTTCGGCCTCGGTGCCGCCGCCGGTGGTGCTTCCCAGTCCTCCGTCGTGATCAGCGCTACCACCACCACTGCCACCGGCGCCGCTGCTGTCACCGTTGAGACCACTGAGAGCACCACCATCTGCCCTGAGACTGAGACCACCTCGGCCCCGGCCACCACCGCTACCCCCGCCTTCTCCACCATCATCTCCAGCACCGAGATCACCACCACCATCTGCCCCGAGACCGAGTCCACCGGTGCTGCCCAGACCTCCACTGTTGCCCCCGTCGGCTCCCCCTCCAGCATCCCCTGGATCTCCTCTGCTCGCGCCTCCGCTACTTCCGTCGCTGCTATCCCCTCCGGCACTGCTTCGGCCTCCCCCTCGGCCTCTTCGCCCGTCTTCAACGGTGCCGGCCGTAACGCCATCAGCTTCGGCGCCGTCTTTGCCGGTGTCCTCGCTGCTTTCGCCCTCTAAGCGAAATCGCCTTGGAATGTTAATAGCGGAGAGTTGGGCTTGACCTGTGATACCTCTTTTTTCTCTTTCTTTGAAGCCCTCTCGAATAATGTCTGTTGTTTACGAGGCTTAATCTTACCGATTTTTTGATTCAGATATCTGGTGATTTCACTGATATCTGGCTCGTTCATACCATGTCTTGACTTTTTTTCTTTGTTACATTGCCTCCTGCGTGCGCTTCTGCTATGCTGTGTAATGTGAAGTTCATGCCTTTATGTCTCGTTCTTGGTAGCGTCTGTAGATATGGACATGGCAGTCTTCTGTAATTATGTCATCTAACGTTATTCAATAACTTATCCACTGACCAGATATCGTTCATCCCATTAAGATTCCTCCCATTGCGCTAATGATGTCACCACAACACCCCCTTGCCGATCGTCCCTGTCCACCTGCCACACGAGGGATGCGACGTGCCTTTCAATCATACAGGACATCCATCATCGAATGTAACCATCTTACCGTACGAACATTGTTCCACCTCGACAGAATACACCTTTGAACACGAAATCTCACCTCCCCTGCGCCACCGGCGCCAATAACGCCATGGTCAGACTGTCCCCGGATATTTACTCAAAGGAACAGTCTAGCCCTGGAAGCCATTCAGGGGGATCAGAGTCATCTCAGACAAAGTACTCAGCGATCACGCAAGCGGGAACCTGACCCCTGCGACTTCCAGGGTTGTTACGGTGGATATTACACTAACAAAATATGAGGATTCCATTGAATACCTTGCTAGACTGACTCGCTTTTCGCGCGTGGTCTTGGTATTCCTAGTGAGCCCCTGGTTACATCGCGGAGCCCCTGACTTGTATAGTATGCTCTGGATGTTGATGTCTTGGGCGTGAGATGTTGGTAATGACATGGGGAGGGGGGAAGAATGTACAGTATGCAGAATTAAGGACTAGGATCAGGAGAGTACAGTAAAACAAGAGTCAAAACCAACCCGATTCCATTCGTAACAGTCATGGAATTAGTCGTACGCGAAGTACGAGTAGAAGGTAAAAAAACCATCCCAAAGATCAGACCCAACACCCCCAAGAAGCAGAAAATCAAGTCCCGAGTGCAGAACATACTGTAACATACATCCAATGAATCCCAAATAAAAGATCAATCCCAACACCAAACCCAAGCAATCCAACCCCCAAACCAAACCAGACGAGCCTCCAAACCCTCTTACCGAAAAAGGAAACCCTGCAACCTGAGGCCCCAACATCCAAATCTTCCTCACCAAAACCTCCAACCCAACCAACCAGAAAGAAACACAACCCAATCCTATCAATTCTCCACTTCTACCCAGGTACAAACAATGTCCGCCCCCAACCCACAACAAAAATGGCGCTCTGTAGACCCGGCTGCATCGGTAGATCCCAGTTCCAGACCTGCTCGCCCGGTCCGACCTCCGCCGCGGACTAGGAAGGGGGATCAGGATATCCGGCAGACGAAGGAGTATAAGGCTGCGGCGCGGAGGTAATGTTTATCCTTGAATGTCTTCTTAACGGATGGTTTATGAGATGTCTTTTTCTGTTGATTGTATTATTTTCATTCTTTTGCGGTGGTTTGGTTATTGGAGGGCATTTGACTGACTGTTCTTCCGTAGGTGGACTGGGGCAATTGTGGGATTGCCCATTGTGATGTATACTTCTTGGATTCTTTATGAGCGCAGTATGTGCTATTTCTCTGTCTCTGTCTGCTCTCGGGTGTGCTGCTAACCTGGGATTCTTCTAGTCTATGGTAATAAAACTGCCAAGCGTCTTGTTCCTCCGGAAAAGAAAGACTGAACTGCGTTCTTTTCTTTTCTTTTCTTTTCTTTCCGTTCATTGTGACTATTATTTTGGCTCTACGAGCGAATATGCATGTACTTTAATAGAATGGATATGCTGTGGTAAATACCGTACCCAAGAATCGACATCATCATATCTCCTCCATGTTTATATCGATGTTCAAATCTAGACTTAACAGAAAATAAACAGGTCTATTGAATTGTATAGCATTCATCGCAGAACTCCAGGTTGGAGTCTCGGTATATAACCATGGGCTAGAAGATGATCAAGCCAAAAACATAAACAGAAGAAGAAGAGAAGAAAAACAGATGAGAGGCACAACACAACACCCCACATGCATCATCCCATTTTCATGAACCCCTCTCTTATCCTTCCCACCTTGCCAGCCAGCTGGTGCGAAAAGCAAAAGAAAGAAAGAAATGCATACAGTCCAAAACACGGTCTGGTATCTGGAAGATCATACAAGAAAACATGCGGGAAGATACAAGGGGAGGCGGGCGACAGGAATGATAAGGGGAGGAAGGCATCACATGCCGTGGAGTGTATGTTCATAGTGAAGGGGAGTATACAATATCAGCTGGCAACACCCTGGAGGGGCATCTGATGATCAGATCCAGAAGAAGGCGGAACAGAAGTCGACCCACTGCCTCCGCTGGGCGGTTTGGCGCTTCGCTCGCGCATCCGACGACCCTCCATGAGACCGCGAAGACCGCGCTTCTGCAGACCGATCACGCTGCTCAGATCGCCTGTCCAGATTTCGCGCTGGGGACGGCGGAGCTCAGCGTCCGTGCCGCGGCGGTGGTGGGTGGAGCGCGATTGGGAGCGTCCTTCGTCGCCGCTGATGAATTCAGAGTCGGAGTGACTAGCGCTGGAGGCAGATGTTGCTGTGCTTGCGCTGCTCATGGAGTCTTCGCGTTGGGAGCTGCGCTGGCGAGAGTGCTGAGAGACATTTGTGTCGATGCGGAGGGATGGGAGGCCACGCGCGAAGTTGGTCAGGTCGCCTGTGCTGCTGGCGGCTGAGGCGGAGATGGCGCCGTTTTCTGTGTCAGATGAATCTGACGCCAGGCCGCTCTGGTGGGAGCTGCTGTGTTCGCCGATTGTCGGTACGCTGCCGTTTCGGCCGCCGTTGGTGTTGGCGCCGTTGAGGGCCTCTAAAGTGCCTCCGGGTCCGCTGTTAAATCCTGTTCCGCGGCCTCCACCAGCGGCCATGGCTGCTGCATTGAAGACGGCGGCGGCATTGCGCCCGTCCAGGACTTGGTGTAGTCGTTCGACGGTGGCTTCGAGAAGCCCATCAATTTGGTACGGACGTGCGAGTTGGAGAAGAGAACAGAGGATTTGCGGCGTGCACAACGAGGAGCCTGCAGGGGGAAGAGCTGCAGTGTAGAGATATTGAACGAGGACTTGAAGGGTCAAGATAGTATGAGGTAGGTAAAGCACACGCGGTCTGGAGGTGGGAGCAAGTGTGTGTGCAGAAGGAGCTTCCAGGTTCTCAAGCAAGGACTTTGATGGCACCGAAGGGTTCACAAGAGTAGTGGCATCGGAGTAATTGCTATTATGACCCACTGAAGGTGTGATAGTAATACTCGAATTCCGACTTGGGTGAGCCATGGCTGGACGGAAGGTTGCAGAATCTGCAATGCCCCCATCTGATGACTCACGTAGGAGTTGAATGAAATAGGGTCCCCATCGTCGAGTCAACACACGAGAGTTGACAGAGATGCGCTCTCCTCCCACCGCCTGCAGTTCCATGTCGGCCATCTCTGGCAGAGATTGTGCAAGCTTGCCTAGCTCATCTGATGCAGCGGACAATGGCCGTCCACCGGAAGTCAACCGAACCAGCTTCTTCTGCAAAGAAGCCGGGACAGAGGCCGAGCTATACGACTTATACCCCGAGGTAGGAGAAGTGCGGCATGGGTTGTTGTAGAGTCCAAATGCCTCCAACTCAACTAGACAGACATGCGAGAAATTGATACGTCGGTGATTGTAATCGTCAACAAGACTTCGCTTTCGATGACCGAGGATTACAAAAGAGTTGCGACGAGGCCAAAGTACTCCTCGATTCCAGCTTCCATGACCAAATACGGACCCACCGGCATCAATGCGTCCCCAGGTTAATGTTTTCAGGTCAAGAGCCCAGAGTGCATATTCCTGCTTGGACGAGGTCAAGTATGTACCGCTAACAACAAAATGGCCGTTAATAATGCCACCGTTCGGGAAACGTAGTCCCGGCGGGGATGCCTGGCTCTGCATCGGCCGTTCAACAAGGCGCCCGTCCGGCAGGCGCACCTGCAGCTCCAGCTTGACATCCAGGAAATTGTAGTTGGAGTAGATAAGCATAGGGCAACCAGGTGACTCTGTCTGCTCAATAGGCTCATGTAGATCACGATCTGGAGAAGATGAGCCAATCTCAGATACATCCATTCCAACTAAAGGAGCCACGACACTGCGATAGGCACCGCAGCTCCGGCCCAGGGGGCTTGTGTTGGTCCACTTGAGACTGCGCAGGTTGAACACACTAATCTGTTCAATGTAATGATTTGAACTGTCCTGACCACCAACAACAACCATCTCCGCACCACCGAATCCATCGATGTCAACACCAAGAGAGCCTTGGTGGGTGGAGGACTCCGGGTTGTGATGGATGGCAGATAGCGGCGCACTAGCAGATGTGAAGCACGCACTAGATGGAAGTATCGTAGCACAGTGCGCATAGCGACCCTGAGGAGATTCATGAGCAGCGACACGAGTCCAAGCTCGAGATGGCACGTCAAAAATATGAATATCCGACATGACCACCACTTCGGACTGCGCCTGCGATTCCGCCCCGTGGTTCTCTGAATCCTTTGGCGAACTAGGCGCAGGCGACATTCCGCCATAGCATACCAACTTGTTATCTCCCAGAGCGCAAACACTGTGGAAGTACCGCGGTGGCGGCACATCACCAGCGGGCTCGACTTTCGTCCAATGGCGCCGAATCAAATCCAACTCGTAAAGGTCCGAGGTCAACTGTGGGCGACTGCGCGAGAGGATCCGGCCTCCGAATACGTATAGCTTATCGCCTAAAATAGTTGTGGTCGCGCCCACAAGGGGATGGGGCTCCTTGCCGGTCGTTCGTCGCACATTGCACACCAGTCCGGAGAGGTTGATAGGACCAGACGACGCCGACTGGTTCAGCGACGGAGATCCGCCCGCTGCCGAAGGCTCGTCTCGTCCTGAATCCATGTACCCCAAACTAGACTGACTTCGCGACATCATGATGGGCGATTTTCCTGTCCCCACTTATCTCTAGCAGCCGTTGGCGATTGCAACCCCTTTTCCCTTTTTTGAGACCACCGTTTCGAGGTCAGATTTCGCGCATGAGACAAATTCTCTTATGCAGTGGTGTGTAAGCCGGCGAATATTTCCGTCGGCGCTGATAGTAGGTGTCGTCGAAGGGTTGCCTTGTCTGTGGGGGAGCTGGAAAAAAGGGAGTGGCTTCCCCGCGTCGACGCCGCAATTCTGCGGACGCCAAGCTTGGCAAGGAGAAGAACGATGTGGTGAAATGGGAGAGAGCGGGCTGCAAGGTGAATCTCCGGTGGGAGAGTATTGGAGGTGTCAGACTGTCGAAGTTGACCCGGCACAAAAAAAGGCGGTCTCAACCTTTCCTAGATGGGTTTGGGGTACCACACACACTTTGTATTTACCTCAACCCTTGCACACTTGGGCACATAGTGGGACTAATCCATTCTTCTGCAGTCAGAGTTTTAAACCCTTGCTTAAAATTTATTCTTGAACTTTATACGTATCGTGTGGGGCCATGTGCCCAAAACACAGTATACACGGGGATTTAAGTTAGATCCGAAACCACTAGAAACAATTTGGATGATTCTCAAACGGTGTGCTCTGCACGTCCTCTATGGGGAAGATGACGCCAGCAGGCAGATCATGAGACGGGATCCGAGGTGAAATCGCTGTCGGGTTACTCATATCGAGCTCTATAGCTTCCCTGTGATAGAATATCTCTGGACTCTATGCATGGGAGTTTTACGAACATTCAGGATTTTAATATGCTAATCAATGGCAGATAGTGCCGAATTCATATCACATTGGTATCAAAAAGGGCTTTAGCCCTCGACTATCCCAGTATCTGTTTTAAGTCTTTCATATCACGTCATGACACATTTACTCCTTGATGTTGACGAAGCGGAGGTAACTAGAACACGTTAGTCTGTTTTTGTTTTGCCAGAACCATGCATGCAATGGACGAACTTACGGCTTAACCTCACGGACTTCACCGAACTTGGCCTTGGCATCCTCAGTCTTCATGGGAGGAGGGAGAACGTTGTCATCACCGGGGAGCCAGTTGATGGGGCAGGTAACACCGTGCTTCTCAGTGCGCTGGAGAGCATCAATGACACGGAGAACCTCGGCGGTGTTACGGCCAGTGGAGGCGGGGTAGGTCATGATCAGACGGATCTTCTTGGCGGGGTCGATGATGAAGACGGAGCGGATGGTCAGGGCCAAACCCTTGGAGTCGACGTTGGTGGTGTCCTGGAAGTCGACCATGTCGTAGAGGTAGGCGACCTTGCGCTCGGGGTCGGAGATGATGGGGAACTTGAGGCTGGAGCCGGAGATCTCATCGATGTCCTTGATCCAGGCGTGGTGGGACTCGGTGCCGTTGGCACTCTAGAGAATCATTAGCCTGGTTCGTCTGGAATTACCAGATGATGCTACTCACCAGACCAATGAGCTTGACACCACGAGCAGTGAACTCGGGCTCGAGCTTGGCGAAAGCACCGAGCTCAGTGGTACAGATGGGGGTGAAGTCATCGGGGTGGGAGAAGAGGATGGTCCACTTGTCACCAATGAACTCGTGGAAGCTGATAGGGCCGTTGGAGGAATCAGCAGTGAAGTCAGGGGCAGTAGAGCCCAGACGGAGGCTAATAGAGAGTTAGTTAAGGACCCAAGAGCTATGGGAGCCATCGATGAACATACGGAGCAGCGCGTTCAGCCATTGTGATAGTGATAGTCAATTGAGTTAACTTGAGAGAAACAAAGAAAAGGAGGAAACGCCAGGTTCATATAGACCTCGCAGCTCTCGCCCGATGTATTCCCCTCCCCCTCCGATCGTCTTACCTCATCCGGCTGTTGCCCTCCCCATACGATGGCGTGATTAGCTCACCGCCCTGGCAGAAACCCCGCGATTGGCCTGACGCAACGTGGGCTGTTTAGTGCTAAACTTCTATACAATTCTATCCCCAGATATTTCCCCATCTCCTGTTGCACGGGAGGCTATAGTCATGTATGCTGCTATTCTAGACCACCTTGGAGTTCACTTTTGGGATACATAATTCAGAAGACTTACGTTAACTCACAATTTCTGACTCGAGATGATCCGTTTGACTTCCCCCAGTGGAGACTCAAAGGAGTGACGCAATCCTATGTCGGCATGGTGAATACTGCATTAGGCATCACTGCGGCAGATCGCTTATCACACCCAAACCGAACTGAATTTTGGCTTGACTGCACATGGACCTGACCCTGGCGGACTTGAAGCTGTGACCCACTCGGTGGGGCGGGTATCTAGATGCGTCGGTTGAGCTGCATCCGCTGCCACTTCCCTTCGGAGACGGGTTGCTTCACAATAAGTAGAAGTTTCATTGGTTTCTCGATCAGTCGGGGTGTTAGGGGAGTATCTTTGCTGATGTAACAGTTATCCAACAGACATGGCGTAGGCCACTGACTGTCCCCTTGTTTGTCTGGCGAGTTCGAGATAGTAATAAGCTTAATGGGTCCTGTGCTTGGTCCTCTGCCCACCGAAAATTTTAACTTAATGCTTCCTAACGGATGGCCTCAGCCTCGATATAACGGATTCATACATAAGACTCGAGTCTATAAAGTCGATGTGTTGGAAAAATATGGCTTGACTCGCCCATCCACAATTGATTCGCAATATGGATTATGGAATGAAGAAAATGCAGTCGCGTTGAAATAAGTACCTCAACCCTGCCAAGTCATACTTATCAGAAAGCGATACACAACTTGCTTTCGGGCTGTGTTGAAGAACTCAACTAAAAAAGCATGTGTTCGTTTCAAACTGTATTTATTCATGGTGTGACTGGAGCTGAAATAATAACAGTAGACCAACATTACATTGACATCTAGGCAGTGTGTGCAAGAAAATCTACTGGAAACTCCTCAGTTGTCCTTCTTGATATGATCGACCGATCACGTGTGTCACAGACCCACAACCGCGTCGAGTTGGTCTCAGTGCAAACAAAGCTTCACGCCAGTCATCCTGGCGCTGGTCCTCATTTCCAGGGCTCAAGGCAGCGTGCGTAACTCAATTTTACCTGGTGCACAGATCTCCCGAGTATTCGTACCCCTTCCCATACTTTTATCCCATTTCGCATCTTTCTATCGTCGCCGCACCTCAGCCACCATCATGCCTCCAAAGCGCAAGTCCGTCGCGGCGTCAAGCGCAACTGAAAGTATCGCAACCCCGGCGAAAAGAATGCGCAATTCTGTAGCTGCCACTCCGGCGTCTGCCCCGGCGGCCCCTCCGGTAAGAGCGCATGATACAGGGGCTGATCGTACCCGTTCCGTGGTTGATACTCCACGACCCCACTCACGCAGGGCTGACCTTGCAGATAGGTCGATGTTACTCCCCAGACTGGTGAGAAGAGAGGTCGTGGCCGTCCTCGCAAATACCCCGAGGGCGAGACCCCCAAGCCTCCTGCTTCTGATGGGCCCAAGCGTGGCCGTGGTCGTCCTCGTAAGATTGCTGTGCAATCTGAGCCTGAGACTGAACCTGCTACGCCTTTGGTCCCTAAGAGAGGTCGTGGACGTCCTCGCAAGGACACCGGTATGTATGCAGCACTATTATTTTCAGGAAATTTGGCTTATTTTCTCTGCGTTTTTAGTCTCTGTGACAGTTGCCACACCGGAGATCAAGAAGAAAGATGGCCGTGGAAGACCTCGTAAGGAACCTGGTATGGAATTGATGCGACGATAGAACCGGAGACTCTTGCTAACTATAAATGCGTCTTAGCTGCTGAAACACCTGCAACAACCACGGAAATCAAGAAGAAGGATGGTCGTGGACGCCCACGAAAGAACCCTTTGCCAAATGACGAGCCTCCAGCTTCTAAGTCCCCAAAGGCAACTGACGCGCCCGAGGCAAAGGCAGCACCAGTAATCAACAACAAAGTCTCCGATACTAACCGCTCTTTCTGGCTTATGAAGGCAGAGCCTGAGTCACGCATGGAGAAGGGCGTTGATGTCAAGTTTTCCATTGATGACTTGGCTGCTGCAACCGTGCCAGAAGCCTGGGATGGTATGTTGACTCTACTACTGATATATCAAACAGGCTAACCAAAGACCAGGAGTGCGCAACCATGTTGGTAGGTTAATCGATTAACAGACATTCCTCTCAGTCATGCTCACCATGATATAGCACGAAAATCCATGCAGGAGATGAAGAAAGGAGACTACGCATTTTTCTACCATTCAAACTGCAAGACTCCCGGCGTGGTCGGAGTGATGGAGATTGTCCAGGAATCTTCCGTTGATAGTTCGCACCCCGATTCCACCCCGCATGATCTCACCCCTAACCCATTATCTTCCACAGAGTCCGCCTTCGATACCGCACACCCCTACTATGACAAGAAATCCAAGCCCGAGGACCCAAAATGGGTCGTTGTACATGTCGAATACCGCCGCAAGCTCGGCAAGCAGGTCACCCTCGCAGAACTGAAGGCGCACGCCCAACCCGGAAAGCCATTGGAAAACATGCAAATGCTCAAGCAGTCTCGCCTCAGCATTTCCTCTGTAACCCCGGCCCAGTGGCAATATATCCTGGAACTGGCGGGTGAGAAGCCCTTGGAGGAATTTACCAAGGTGGAGCCTGAGGAGGTGCTTACCAAGGTGGAACCCCAGGAGGAGAAGAAGAAGATATGAGGAATTAATCTACATATGCAAGCGAAGTACGGGCTATTTCGTCTGTACAATCTTTCGTTGTCTCTATCAATGGCGTTGCCGGTGAATATGGGTTATCTGCATTATCTGCACTAGCGAATTGAACATGTGATATTCAGCACGAGGTCTGCGTTGTAGGGGAGATATCTAGGCTGAGCTTCAGTGTCGGTCTGTAGGAACGTCTATGGCTATGAACTTGGCTGGTTACCTTCATATTGCGAGGTTGCCGAGCTCCGCTCAACGACAACCAAGCACATGGCCAAAAATAGTATCTATCTGAGCCAAGACAGTGTGCACTTCCGAAAGTAAAACACCAGTGACGATATTTACGATGATATTCCATTCCGATCTGTCACCTTCGATCCAGCATACTGTGCTTAGCACATGACAGCCCGGAGACCATCCAATCCATGACTGAGTAATGTGACACAACACTCAGAAGCCCGATCTGTCCCCCATTTACATCCACAAGTTAGCCAGAGTCATGTGAAGCGGTTCCACTGCGTAGCCAATTATTTCCAATTCCAGCAGCCGTTATTCGTTCCGTGGACTCGAGCTGTCATGTCCCACATTGAGTAAATTATGTCGTCGATCCCTGCATATTGATGCAGGCGCACTGTAAGGAGCCGCGGATCCTGTCTGTCACACCCGGGATCTAAGTTTATACTCGATTGCCTCGATGGCGATGTGCCAGGGGTATCGGAGAATCGGAATTTTGGAAAATAGGCAGTAGAGTTTGACTTACTGGGACAGGCATCGGATGCGTCGGGGTGATATTGACCGTAGGGCGGAGACTTTTTTCCAGGGTCAGTTCAAGATGTCGAACCTCGGGCGTTCTTGGGTTGATAAGCTGGAGAACAGAGGGGAACGCCGAAGTCGGATCGACGAACCAATCGCAGTGCAAATTGCATACAAACACAACAAACAGGGACTGGAAGAAGAAAGTGTATGCGATGTGGATTCTTATCGTTATCAGGTGGGGGAATCAGCATTACCTCCCAAGGTTTATGTAGCTTCTTCATCCTCTCCATGTTTGCCAATTTGTTCTCTCGGCACCTGCACCGTCTATCTCGATCTCCTCTCTTCAGTGTTCGTCAATTCCATAGCTCCCCCTTCGCCATGTCGAACGTCTCCGTGCAGTTGACTGCCCCTAATGGGCACAGCTACACCCAGCCCATTGGTCTGTTCATCAACAACGAATTTGTGGCTGCCAAGTCGGGCGAGAAGTTCGCCACTGTGAATCCTTCGTATGTAGGACAGGTGTCTTGAGGTATTGATCTTCAACTGACTGGACTTATAGCGACGAGACGGAGATTACGTCAGTGTATGCCGCTGGCGAGGAAGACGTTGATATTGCTGTCAAGGCTGCCCGGAAGGCTCTCAAGGATCCTTCCTGGAAGCTGTTGCCTGCTACTGATCGTGGTGCTTTGTTGATCAAGCTTGCCGATCTGATTGAGCAGCACAAGGAGACCCTGGCTACCATTGAGACCTGGGATAACGGTAAGTAGCTCACTGAGGTGTGTGCGTGTGCGGATGATACTGACCACCCATTCAGGCAAGCCCTATCAAGTCTCTCTGAACGATGATCTCGGTGAGGTTACCAACACTCTCCGTTATTACGCTGGCTGGGCCGACAAGGTCTACGGCCAGACCATTAGCACCACCCCTGCCAAGTTTGCATACACTCTGCGCCAGCCCATTGGTGTGGTTGGCCAGATTATTCCCTGGAACTTCCCTCTCGCTATGGCTGCATGGAAGCTTGGTCCTGCCCTTGCGTGCGGTAACACCATTGTCTTGAAGCCCGCCGAGCAGACCCCGCTCAGCATTTTGTACTTGGCTACCCTGATCAAGGAGGCCGGTTTCCCCCCTGGTGTCATTAACATTGTCAACGGCCATGGCCGTGTTGCTGGTGGCGCATTGGTAAACCACCCCAATGTCGACAAGGTTGCCTTTACTGGCTCTACCTTGACCGGCCGGGAGATCATGAAGATGGCCGCCGGCACCCTCAAGAATGTCACTCTCGAGACCGGTGGCAAGTCACCCCTGGTCGTGTTCGAGGATGCCGACCTCGAGCAGGCTGCCAAGTGGGCTCACATTGGTATCATGTACAACCAGGGCCAGGTTTGCACTGCCACTTCGCGTATCCTTGTCCACGAGTCCGTGTACGATAAGTTTGTTTCTCTCTTCAAGGAGGTTGTCAAGACCACCAGCAAGGTCGGCGACCCCTTCTCCGACGACACCTTCCAGGGTCCTCAGGTCACCAAGGCCCAGTATGACCGTGTCCTTTCATATATCGAGGCCGGTAAATCCGAGGGCGCGACTCTGGCTTCCGGTGGTGTGCCCTACAAGAACGTAGGCGATGGCCGTGGATTCTTCATTGAGCCCACTATCTTCACCAACGTCAAGGACAACATGCGCATCTACCGCGAGGAGGTCTTTGGCCCCTTCGTTGCCATTGCCAGCTTCACTACCGAGGAAGAGGCCGTCACCCGTGCTAATGACACCACCTACGGACTGGGTGCTGCTCTCTTCACTCGCGACATTGAGCGCGCACACCGCGTCGCCTCTGACATCGAGGCCGGCATGGTCTGGATCAACAGCAGCAACGATAGCGACTTCCGCGTGCCCTTCGGAGGAGTCAAGCAGAGTGGTATCGGTCGCGAGCTTGGCGAGGCCGGCCTGGACGCGTACTCCCAGGTCAAGGCTGTCCACGTCAACATGGGCACCAAGCTGTAAATGTCTCACCACGAGGGAAAAGAAAACCCAATCATCTATTTTCATGTATTCAGGCTCAGCCGTTATGTCTAATGACCAATCTAACAAACTTTGTCTACTCTATATACACTTTTCGCTTTTTCGCTTTCCACTGTTTTTGCACGCATGACATGACATGACGTTATATGCAGATCCCCAGAGAGTTCCCCTTTGTCATTTCCCCTTTCTGACCTACAGATCCTCCAGATCGACAATCACAATGCCATAATCTCGCTCTCGTTCCGTAAAATGAGATACCCACATCAGCTCCACAAACACGACCTGAGGATCCCCCGCAAAAAAGGAAAAACGGAAAAAAGGAGTAACATTTCAAACTCTCTGTTATGGAGACACTTATCCAGACAGTAAGACACTCACCAGCAGCATCCATGTATAGACCATGTAGATCAGGCCCCGTCACACAGCCTGCATGTACAGTAGTCTCTGTCCCAGTCTTAGCTCTAGTGCTACCGTAGTCCCATTCCCAGGCCTAGTTCCATGTACATGTATACGACACAGGACGTCGAGGATGCAGGGAAGGACGAAGCGACGACCCCCCGGCCCCGATTTTCCAATTGGAATCGATGCCGTAGGATTTCGTGTTTTGTGTTGGCCTCACACCATCCCCATCCCATTGCATATTTCCAGTCCACTGGACCCGAACGCAATTCCTGCAGTTGATGCCCAACCTATTACCGACTTATGCGATGACTGCATATGCATGCATTACCTGGCACTGGCACTACACAACACGGGTCAAGAGTTGGATTTGAATTTGAGTTGTGGACACGGGATGTTGGAAAAGTTACTAGGGCTGTAGGTTTGAATATGATGGCTCTTGTGGATTCTCCGAATGTTTATCTTCTTGTCAATCTTGGGTCTGGTTCTTGGATCGGACTTTGGATCTGAGTTTCTTGTCTCGAACTCATCGGTGGAATTTGATCTACCGCCGATTCCTATCTTAACATCCAGGGCCGTACTCTGCGCTGCAGTGTGCCGATTGCAGGACAGCTGTGGACAAGGTGATACACCATTGTGGCCCAATTGTCGAGTCAGGCAGGAAGCGATCCAGGTTCCAGGTCTCCCAAGCCCTAAGCGCCAGCTCATCTCGTGCATCTGCATGCAGAGTTGGTCATGTGCAAGCCACCTAGACATTGATGAGTTGTTCAAACTAGACTTCATTGACCAGTGCCAGCATGAGTGTCTGCAAGTCGTGATAAACTTTTGCAATGATTCGCATTGCAGCCACTCGACACTGCAGGGCATCTTGTCCTACGAGTTCATCTCGGGTGGGGCTTGGCATTCTCTCTCACCTCCTCTTTCCTTCTTCCCCTCCATTCGTGCCACGCAGTTTCTTGACTCTCGGACGCCCTGCTCTGCTCTGTACAGTGTTGATTCAAAGCTCAAGCTCAAGGTTCCGGGGTTCATCAGTACTGCCACTATTTGACTTTGTGTCAGGATTCACCTTTTTTACCAACCCCCCTCTCTCAAGTAGCGGTGTCCGTCAGGCACCGATCGGCGTCATGTCTGAAATTCAGAGATGGACGGTGAATGAGGTCCGTATTGCTGCAATTTGCCGTCTTTTCTCTTTTTTGATTTTTTGAATTATTTTTTTTAATTCGGTCGTTTGATGCCTTTTTACGTCTATCCTATTCGATGCGACCTTTTGCGTCGGATGTCGGATGTCGGTCAGACGTGAAATTCATTTGATTCTTCTGCCGAGCCTCTCACAGAAGCAAAAGAAACAAAAAGAACAAGGAAGAAGAAAAAAAAATCTAATGATCCGCCAATCAAAAAATTACACACTCTCGAATTTGTTCATGTACATGTCACTAACTTGCCCAGCCATACCTCGATATCCCGGGAACGTTACTTGAAGGCCCCTATCACGATGTAGCCAACAACGAGTTTCGTTTCATCGATATCTGGGACCAAAAGCTTTACCGCCTCGATCTAGCCAAAGGTCCGGACTCTCTGAGAGTCATCGATACCGCCGCTTCTGTTGGGTGGGTTTCAACCGTTCCCGAGTGGAAATTGGGCTGACAATCCCCAATTCTAGCGTGACCGCCAATGTCAGTGGGTCGAATCAGCTGATTGTTGGGGCCAAATATGGATTCGCGCGGCTGAACCAATCTACTGGAGAACTGGACTATATTCACGAGGTCTGGGGCGACGAGGAAGGGGGAAAGAAAGCGGAGAGGTAAGCTTGTCCCCCTCTCTCCGGAGAACAGCTCTGTTCCCCGATGAACGCCGATTGAAAAAAAGAAAAAAAGAAAAAAAAAACCTCAAGGAATAACAAAAGGCTAAATGCAAAAAATAATAATTATATAGAATGCGTTTCAATGACGGCGCAGTCGACAGCCACGGCCGGTTCTGGGCAGGGGCCATGAACGATCCGAAGATCAAGAACCCGGAAGCTGAAGGTGTTCTATTCAGACTGGACCCGGACCTCAGTCTGCACCGTATGCTGGCACCGGTGACGATTCCCAATGGCATCGGCTGGAATGCCGCAGACGACACCATGTACCTGACCGACTCGCCGACGGGCAAGATCTTTGCCTTTGATTTCGACGCCACCACCGGCGCCATCAGCAATCGCCGCATCCACTTTGACATCGGCTCGTCGCTGGAACCTGATGGCTTCGCTATTGATGTCGAGGGCTGTATTTGGACTGCCGTGTACGGCGGTGGATGCGTGCTTCGCATTGATCCTGCTGGTCAGATTATCGGGCAGATTGACTTGCCGACACGCAACGTGACCTGTCCTACTTTTGTTGGCACCGAGTTGTTCATCACCACTGCCAAGGATGACCGTGATGACGATCAGTTGCCCCAGTCGGTCCGGTATGGGGGCCGACTTTACAGGGTTGATGTTGGGGTCCGGGGCAAGCCCAAGACCGAGTTTCGGTTTCAGAACTGAATTCGAAATCTGAAATCGGACGCCTGATCGGTCCGGACTATCGGACTGGTTACATGTAAACTGCCTGATTGCTGCATGTACATACAGCACTTCTTATAAGGCGACCCTCGGTATCATACTGTAGCCTAGTTTAGCACATACTTCACATGTCACCACATCCAATGGATCGACCATGCATTTCAAAAATCATGACAAAAAGGCGGTAATGGCAGAGGCCCTATTCGCAGACAAAAGCACCCATGCCTGGACTACCCATGTACAGTACATCCTACAGGCTACATCCCACATCTTCCATCCTACATCCTACAGTACTGTACATCCTACTGGTACAGGACACTCCGGATATGCAGAGTGGGTCGACGATCAGCAAACGGGCGAACAGCGACGGTCCGGATCGCTGTCAGGTCTTTTTGTCCACCGCAAGGGGTGTGGAAAAGAAAGCTACACATCGAATCAGCATTTGTTCCATGTCGATCTCACATTATGTAGGCCATAGTTTCTTGTTTTTTTGCCGGGTCCGATTTACAATCCGTCCGATCTTGAGAAAAACACGCGTGGGCGAGGCCCAGCACTGCCCATTCTATTTCTTTTCTTTTCTTTTCTTTTTGTTGCGGGTCCTGCAGGATGATGCAGGCACTGGTTTGCTGGATATTCGGTGTGTGCTACACGGTGAACTGTGTGTCCTGTGGACTCGGTGAAGATGCCAGCGACATGGGGCTTGGATCTACATGGTGATGTACGCCTTTTCCCACTTTTGGTCTAGATTCTTCTGTGTTGGACAAAGCTATTCTTGTTTTTGTTTAGCTCAGTTCCCATTGATTTGTTTTCTTTTTTTTTTTTTTGAGGGGGAGAATTCCTTCTTGCTTGCAGTCGCGGTTGCAGCGGACACGAGATAATCGGAGATCCTGTGAACAGGCCCCCCTTGGTTCTTGAAGAAATGCACAAGATTCCACCAAAAAAGGGGTGAAACAATTCTCTCAGGCAAGAATTGCCCGACTATTGAGTGGAGCCCCGGGATGCCTTCTCCAGAGACTATTGAAAAAGGTTCTAGAAGACCTGATACATACAGACGTTAGGATCGAGGATATTGAACGTTCCGGTCAATGATCTCTATGATCTGAAATCGGCAAGTTCCACGCATCCGACCCGGGGCGTTCTCGGGGATAGTCGTAACCACCTGCCTAGGCGGGAGTCAACCACCCGACACTTTGGATTCGGTGGTTTGAGGTGCAAGCCACTTTTTACTTCTTTCAGCCCCTAGATCTGACCAGTCATGTTCACTGGATCTATCAGACCTGTGGACTCCAAGTCGATTCGTCGGGGAACTTCAAGAACCCAACCTCGGAAACTTCTGCAAAGGATCTATCACCACATCTTTCTCCCTGTCTCTCACTCTCACACTCTCACTCTCACCTGTAGCTGTCAAGCGGAGAGCTTTTTCGTGCGAAACTTCAGCTGAGAAAGGCCTTCTCCACTTTGTGGGGACCTGGATCTCCGCCTATTTGACCCTTTTGCCACGCGGAGTCTGGTCTCCATTTCCTCAGTTCATGCAGCTCACATCGTGAGGCTAGGGGAAAAGGCCGGATCCCTTTCCGCACGTCCGATCGTGGAGAAAGGTAGAAAACAAGCTGTCAACTGAGCTATTGACTTTGCTGGACTTTGCTGGACAGCTCTCCTGGGTGCTGTTTGTACGAGTCTAGATCAAAGTCTCGGACATAGGTACGCACTGAGCATCACTTATACTGTAGGATTGCCTGTACTCTTGCGTTACCCCCAATGACGTAGAATCTTCTACCTTTCCTCCTCCCCCCTCCCCTGATACTCGCGTAAATTGAATTCCCGTTTACCAACTCCATGAAATCCACTAACACCTCTAGTCTATCTCGCTAGCCAACCACACCGACCCGTCAATGACCGGTGAACGCCAATAGTCTTCCGAAGTCCTGCATTTCCCCCCTAACGGCCGGCAACGGCCCCTTTTACCGGGACACGGGGAATGCACAACATCCAGAAGGGATTAGGTTCATGAGACACACGCAAATCACTTAAACTTTTTTTTTGTTTCCCATCATTCCCCCAACGGGCTCTGATCGACCTCACGTTGGATGATATACTTCGAATTTGGTCCTCCGGAAATTGACAGGACTAGGCAACTAGTGATTGCCTCACCCTAGCCCCAAGACGGTATGGATGGGACACCTGAGACTCCTAGACAACTAGTGACTTTCCCTGCGAGACTGAATATGCCGTCATGGCGAAATAGCATGGAGCAAACATTCCATAGTTCCATAGTTCCGTGGTCCACATATACTATATCACGAAGCCCGTCCAAAAAACCTTCCGAGAGCCTGACATCAAAGGACCAAAAGATTACCCCCCCCCCAAAAGATCCCTAAAAAGACAAAAGAAAACAAATCCTAAACCGGTCAAGAGCCAAACAAAAAAAAAAAAACAAAAGAAAAGAAAAGAAAAGAAAACTCGGTCTCCACCGGTCCCTGTCCACGTCCATGGCCACGGCGCACTATGATTGTGCATGACGCTTTCCCCGGCCTCTTCTTTTTAGATAACCTACAGGATTCTCGGTGATTTTCATTGGTTGTTCCTGAATATTTCTTGGGTATTTTCTGGTTTTCGGATTTTCTATTATTATTTTCACCCCAAAAGAGGAGCCCAATGTGTTCCCGTGAGAAGTCTCCCTGGAGATGCCCAACTTCCGTGGACAAGATCACTTCTCACCGCTGTCCTCATTTCTTATTAGAGCTTGTTCTTCCCTTTTCCCCATTTGCTCTTTCTTTCCCCTCTCTCTGATTACTTGACGCATTGATCTCTTTTGATATATCTGAATCTGTCTAGCCTCAATTGGGAGGCTCTTCTACGTCCCCCTAAGCTTCCATTTCATAGCTACCCACCGTGGCTGCTCTAGGAATCAGCGTGTTGAACGCGCCGTATTCTGGTCCCCGTCATCCATCGACATTGTCACTCTATTCAGCGGATCATCGCTATCCATCACCATCGTCCTCCCTCTCTCATACTCGAGGAACCTCCAGCGACGAGGAGAGAGGGGGACCTCGGTCATGCCCTAATTCCCGGTCCGCCGAGGACGATTCGCATTCTATGTCGAGGGATCGTCGACGTGCAGGGTCTTTGACTAGAGAAGCGCTTCAAGCAGATGACCGCGCGATCAGCAATGAGCATGGGCCTGCAGGCAACCGAAACCCAGCCCGTCGACCACCTCTTCGGACCCGACCTCAGTCATGGCATCCGTATGGACCGGTAGAACCGCCGCTGGAGTCGCTGTCATCGCGACCCATCGGCGTTCATGCAATCCTAAATCCGACATCCCAGCCAGCTGCTGAGATGCCGTCCAGCAAACGGGAGCCTCTCAGTCTCCCAGGCCCATCATCCTCACCTCGACCTCAAGGTTCCTCACCCACAGTCCGTCCGGGTCTCCCATTGGCACCGCTTCCATTGTCCCCGAGGTCCCATACAAGAGCTCTCATGAATCCAGGCTCACCCTCGGCCAGGTTTGTTGGCGGGGGTGGCAGGACTTCCGGTCAGTCGAGCGTTGCACAGTCACCTCTAGTTCCCCAGGAACCTTTCATGGGCCCACGACCCCCCGCCCCCAGTTCGCCTCATCCAACAGAGACCACCGGTCTACGCTCAATCGCATCCATCACAGGCACACAGCCTCCTGTGCCGGCTTCGCTTCATTCTACACCTAGGCTTCATTCGCGCCGGACCAGCGCGGGACCAGGTCCTCTCACCAACCCGAATTCACAAGAAACGAGTCCCATTACGCCTCATTCGACGTTTGGCCAGTTTGGCCGGGCTTCTCCGGCTGTGACTAGCGTTTCCATTCCACACAGTGCCCCGGCATACCCAGCGGTTTCCCCGTATATGACAATGGAGCCTCAGAGCCGGGGTGTTCCTGCGCCAGCAGGCCCAAGGATCAAAGCAGAAGAGACATCATCCAGGGCGGGAACTCCACAAAGCGGTGCTTTCCCACCAGGTATGATACCATGCGTACTAGACATGCGGTCAGGATCATCTAGCCAGGCCGAAAAACGCAAAGCCAACAGCGATGCATCACGCCGATTCCGCAATCGTAAACGCAACGAAATGCAATTGGAGCAGCGACTTACGGCCCAGCAAGAGGAAATCCAACGAAGTATGGAAACAATCCGACGACAGAGTGACGAACTCCGCTCCCTAGTCCAACAGCGAGACCATTACCACTCGGAACGAGATTTCTATCGTGACCAGCTGAGCCGAACAATGCCCCCGGCCTCTTTACCCCCAAGACCCCCTTCTCCACGCTCCAGCCAACCAGCCCACGTCCCAAATGCCGATCCAGCAGGCGCAGCCACGTGGTCAGGCGCGGACTCTGGCCGATCTGTGTCAGGCACACAGCCAGCCCCAGCGGGTCCTCCCAAACCGAGAATGTTGGACCCCGTTCAGAGTCAGGGTCAAGGTCAGGCTTCCTGGCCTACAACTAACCCACCATCTTATCCTTCTACTCCTATCCCGCCTACTGCACGAGGGGGGCCTCCTGTCCCGTCTGCGTCTGTCTCTGGAGGCCCGTTGCCGCCGATTCAGGGGACTTGGCCTCGTCCTTGAACATTATCACACTATAAAACGGAACTCGCGTCATGCTCTTCTCTCTTGTTCCTTTTCCCCCTCTTGATCCTAACTCAATTAATTTTCCGTCTCTACCTCTATCTCCTTCCCTCTCTATGTGCTATCACGAAAACAATGGAAAAGTGCGGTCACTGGTATGATCGCTGCAGGTGGTATGTGAACTCCTTTGGCGATACGGCATTCAACTGTTGCCATGTCCTTCGAGTTGGGGTGTATTACTATATATCTGCATTTTCTCATGGGTGTTCCTGGCTCTTTCCAAAAAATGGGTTTTTGTCATGTCTACCCTCTCTATATCTCACTTACTTCTATCTCTCTATCCTACTCGCACCCTCATTACCACTCATACCGCTGTCTATTTTTTGCTTTTCTACGCTCTTTTGTGCATGGATTCTGGATCCCACAGCGATGATACCTCCACTGGCGATGTATTAAGTTATCATTTGTGTTATTAAAATTGTATGTTCGAATACTGGAAATAAAGGTTACTCATAAGTGGCTTCCGCCACTGGACTCATTACTTCTAGCCCTCTTGTATTCTTTGTCCTTGCGTTGAGTTTCCTCGCCACGACGAACTATAGTTGAAGAATTGAGTACTTGTACTTCGCTGTCTACATTGGACCCTGCGTTACACTTATGATGTAATTGGGACCATCAGGTCCAAAGCTTGGCTTTTGGATTTAAGTTTGAGACATACGTCGCTGGTGACTGGCTTCTTTGTGGGTGATACCATCCGAAGCACTAAATTCGCTTCTGGGCGTCATCTTGGACCCTGTACTGTTGTCTCACATGGCAAATTATGAGCATCTATATTAAGAAAATAAATTTTGGAAAAAACAGTACGTTATATCCAAGTTATACAATCGAGTACTACTGTGAGAAGTCATCAGCATCAAGATTAATTTCCGGCCGGTTTGCCTTGTCCGTATGTGCAATATTATGATATGTTCACGTCCAGTACCTTAGGGTGTCCATTTATGATCTTTTGAGTTTCGAAACTCAAATCCCAAATTCCCTGCCCACCTAATTTGTTTCATTTCCCTGATTGTTGCCCAGGTGAGATAGTTAGATACAAATTCGGATTTGTAATCAACCTACGCCCCCGCCACGCTACGATCTCGGGGTTGCGACAGCGACAGCCTACTTTTTACCCGCATGATCTTGGCATGGGAACAGGTTTACTTACTTTTTTGTGTTCTAGATTAGTTGTTATAACGTCTTGTTCCGATGGCGGAACACAATAATCCCAATCTGGGTACGTTAAGTTTCGTGACAACTCTATAACCGTTTTGCTCACCGTTGAATGTCTTTCTCAGACAGTAAATTCCATTTTGTTTCTTCCAAGAGCCCAGATGGCCGTACAGCAAAGCGCATAGCCCGATCTCATGCTGTAGCTCGCGGTCTCGAGAACAAACGCAAGCTCCAGCAAAAGTCGGGTCTCAATTTCCATGTCGTATCTTTGAAAGGTGGCTCTAGCCGCAATTTGGATAAGAAAAAGACACCACGTCCTCGTCTTGCACCGAAAATCACCTTATCTGCAGAGGAGTCTAGTGCGTTCCAAATGCTCGCCGCAGAGTCACCGAAGTTACAGGCGTTGTTTAGTCGATGTGAGATCTTCACGGGAGCCCCGGAACCAGCGACAGACACTCACTTAATATGATCTAGGTAAATTGCAGCATGCCACAGAGCCAGTGTTTAGTGTTTCAGATGAGCTTGTGCTCCAGAATTTCCGCCCTATTCTACGCAAAGGGCTCGATGACCATGCCCTTCTGAGTGCAGCTATGCTTACATTCTCATTTGCCATCACTAATGGCTGTATTGACGCCGAATGCCTCCGATATAAAGGTCAAGCTCTTAGCTCCATTCGTCAAAGGATGAACTCTCCAGATCTGGCCACCGCGGAATCAACACTCGGTGCTATCTTGCTGTTGGCTGGAGTGGAGGTTCGTGCAATGCTCTCTTCCTCGATTGTGCATGTCTGCCAAGAAGCTACAAGCCGCTAACTACTAAACTACACAGGCTCAACTTGGAGTACCGCGTCAAGTTCAACTTCACATGGGTGCAATACAACAGATTCTTGACATATGTGGGAGAAAAGGTGTGTTTCTCAGTGATGGTATAAAGCGTGCGATATTCTGGTAAGTGAGCATCCAAAGCACTTCAACAACCCTTCTCACATATACTAATTCCCCATAGGTCAGACTTGAATGCTTCCGTCATGACTGGATCCAACCGAGTGGTCGACCACACGACCTTTGCCGAACTGCAATGGGAAAGAGATCCTTTTACTCGGCAATTCTTTACCCTGCCACCTGGATTCCAGGCCCACTCTCAGTTACTTGGTTCGAGCTTCGTTGAGGTGCTCAAGGATGTCTTTGCATTGCAGTGTATCCGAGAGTCTACCTATTTCGAAAAGGAGGATACAATCGCCATGGCGCATATTGATAACCACCAAGCGTCAATCCAGTCGAGACTGGCACATTTACCAAATCATTGCTCCATATCGGAGTGTTGCCATCTAGCGGCGTATATATGTTCAACAATGCTGCGCTGTAAGCTTTGGCGCACTTCTACTATTCCTGTGAGTCTATGAACCAATGCTCCTTGCACACCCGTCTATCCTTGGCGCTGATTTCCGGCGGAATAGTCTCATCTTTCATCAAGGCTACTCGGGAAGCTGCAAGAAGCAGATCATGATTTTTTGTGGGATGATTGGCCTGAGTTGTTAGCGTGGTTGCTATATATTGGTGGGGCTTTTGCTCCTACGGGCGATATACGATCGGGGTATCTGACATTGTTGCATTTGAATCGCACCTCAAGGCTCAAAGAATTGTATTCATCTTGGTCTGATCTGCTGGGAATTCTGAAGCAGTTTATCTGGTCGGAAAAGGCTTTTGAATCCCAAGTGAAGGCGTTCTTCGAGTATTGTGATCATTAAATAATCTGAAACAGAAGTCAATTTGCCGTGCACAGTGGATATATATTTTGATCAGGACGTGAGATTTTATCACGGGTAAATTGGTTCCCATTATAATCTAGGGAAAGACTTGCTTAGGGTTTAGAAATAGGCTTACAAATATGGAAGATTGGACTTTCTGCATGTATTTGTAATCGGTTGCTAGTCAATGAACTATCTCAAGATCCCGGATGACGCTTTAGTGCAGATATTAGTTGGGTCTGCCCTCCCCATCTAGCAGATGATTGGCTCTCAATGGCATATTTGGCCTTTCCTCAATTGGCTATATCTCCCTTCCTTTTTGGGAAGAATCTCTTTGCCCTAACTGTACAAAATGATTCTATGACATTTACCTAAACGCCTCGCCATATTTTCAAACAGCGGGTATAAATACCTGGACACAACGCAGATTGCAGTCATATTCTTATCTTTTAATTATACCTGAAAACGTTCCAAAATCCCAAATTATGCCTCAATCGCGTCTTTTCAACCCTCTTCAGATCGGCCAAGTAGAAGTGAAGCATCGCATTGGAATGGCTCCCCTTACTCGCTTCCGAGCAACTGAAGATCGAATCCCGACACCCCTGATGAAGGAATACTACAGCCAAAGAGCAGCTGTACCTGGTACCCTCATCATCAGCGAAGGGACTTTTATCTCAGCAACATGCGGCGGCTTCACTCATGCACCAGGAATATGGCACGAAGACCAAGTTTCTGCGTGGCGAACCATCACCGACGAAGTCCACCGAAAAGGATGTTACATATTCTGCCAGTTATTTGCCATGGGTCGTGCTGCGGATGATGAAGTCGCTAAAAAGGAGGGCGTTCCTATCGTTGCACCTAGCGCTATTCCAATGCATGATGGAGCCGTGACACCACAGGCCATGACAGTCCAAGAAATCAAACAAACCGTTCGGGAATTCACGGATGCTTCGATAAATGCTATCAGGGCGGGATTCGATGGCGTTGAAATCCATGGCGCCAATGGTTTTCTCCTCGATCAGTTCATCCAGGATGTCAGCAATGCGCGCGATGATGAGTATGGCGGCAGTGTGTCGAATAGATCGCGTCTTCTCAACGAGGTCGTCGAATCTGTCGTCGATGAAATCGGCTCTGACCGTGTGGGGCTTCGACTGAGTCCCTGGAGTACGTTCCAGGGTATGAGAATGGAAGATCCAATCCCGCAATATACGGATGTGATTCACAACGCCAGTCGGTCAGGCTTGGCCTATCTACATCTCGTGGAGTCGCGGATCTCTGGTGCCATGGACCATGATGGTCGTGATCAGCTAGACTTTGCATATGATCTCTGGCATGGGGTTCTTCTTGTTGCTGGTGGATATACTCCTCAGGAAGCTGATGATCTTGTGAATAAGAAGTACCCAGGCAAGGATATTGTGGTCATGTTTGGTCGTCACTTTATCTCGAACCCGGATCTTGTATACCGGATCAAGGAGGGCCTGGAGCTCAATGCCTACAATAGAGAAACTTTCTATTCGTTAGAGTCGGTTCTAGGTTATTCGGACTACCCTTTTGGCAAGGAGTATCTGGAAGGGGTGAAGGTGAAGGCTTAGTCAACTTGAGCTTGAAGACATGTATGCAAATCAGATCTCAATTTTCCATTTCGAAACTTGACGCGGCTATCCGCGGATAACGGAACGTCTGAATCTGTCAATGGTTGGGCCGTGGAAATGTTGCGTGAGGTTTACAGGCTTAATCGGCTCATACAAACCCCGAAGTTGGGCACGATTTGATGTTTCAACGAACTTGTCGAGCTGAGTCAGATACAAAACTTCACACTGTTCGGTCTTTCGGGATTTGGGCTATTCTAAGATTTTTCAGTAATGTCCCCCCAATGATGAGATAAATGTAATCTCTCACGGTGATCTAATAGGCTCGGGGTTTCAAGTCGAAGCCGTTAGGTGGCATACCTCATTCTACTTTGGTTTGTGTTTTTTCCCCTTTGCATGTTCAGACTTATTCATGTTAAACGCCTTATGTCATATTCTTACATTGAGAGAGTTTTATCAAAATGTTGTGAATCACTCAGGTCAAGCCTTATACATAGGCCTGACCCGGCCCAAGTATACATGGAATTGTGATCCAATGGCAGCATAGAACTCTGTTGAGCAATTTATGCCTCTTGTACGCTCATAGAAGATTATACAGTGAAATATTGCTCAATTAATCTCGTTGGGGTTGAGATCGGGATTTGAAACGCAGCTATAAGCTCGGGATTTAAGGTGCGGCAAATCCCTTCATGGCCTGACCCAAAGCAGACCCCGCAAACCCCGGATTCAATCTAGAGTTGCGATGCAAATCACTAAGCTTATAGCGTCTCACATGGCATCACACCACATCTGAGCAAATCCCGGACCTGTCTGTGTACTTCGACTTCACCACTCTATACACCAAACATGCATCCGAGTTTCAGCATTTCCCGAACCCGAGAGCTTCCGGATCTGCTGATGCTCTTGACTCTGAATCTCGGGGTCTGGGATGTTTGTGATGGTTTCGTAGGAGATTAACGAATGTAGCTTGAAATCTATAAAACGTGCCCGTTTCCTCGATCAGCAAAAGAAACATCATTCTACATCACTCTCATCTAGCTCATCAAAGCAAAACATCAATCTCGTCACCATGGTTCCTGCTCTTAAGAAGTACAAGGCTGCTGCCGTCAACGCTGAGCCTGGTTGGTTCGACCTCCAGGAGTCTGTCCGCCGCACCATCCACTGGATCAACGAGGCCGGCGAGAATGGCTGCAAGCTGATTGCTTTCCCGGAGCTTTGTAGGCAGCATCTTTCTAACTACATCAATTCTTCTTAACTAACAGATGAAATAGGGATCCCCGGTTACCCTTACTGGGCCTGGAAGGTCAACTACCAGGAGAGCCTTCCTCTGCTCAAGAAGTACCGTGAGAACAGTCTTCCCTCTGACTCCGAGGAAATGCGCCGCATCCGCGAGGCTGCGAAGAACAACAAGATTTGGGTCTCTCTTGGATACTCCGAAGTCGACCTTGCAAGTCTGTACACCACGCAGATCATGATCAACCCAGCCGGTGATGTGGTCAACCATCGCCGCAAGATCAAAGCCACCCACGTCGAGCGCCTCGTCTTCGGCGACGGCACCGGTGATACCACCGAATCTGTTATGGACACTGAGATCGGCCGTATCGGCCACCTCAACTGCTGGGAGAACATGAACCCCTTCCTGAAGGCTCATGCCGCCTCCCGCGGCGAGCAGGTTCACATCGCTGCCTGGCCTCTGTACCCGGGCAAGGAGACCCTGAAGTACCCCGACCCCTACACCAACGTGGCCGAGGCAAACGCAGATGTAATACTCCCTTCTTTTTTTTTATCGAGGCGAAAACGTGATCTGATGACTGACAAGACTGCCCAGCTCGTTACCCCTGCCTATGCTATTGAGACTGGCTCCTTCACTCTTGCTCCTTGGCAGACTATCACTGCTGAGGGTATCAAGGTCAACACCCCTCCTGGTAAAGAGCTTGAAGATCCTCGTATTTACAACGGAAACGGCCGTATCTACGGCCCTGATGGTCAGAACCTTGTTCCTCACCCCGACAAGGACTTCCAGGGTCTTCTCTACGTCGACGTGAGTCATTCACCTTCCTTCTACTTTGAGAATACAGAACTCACATGACAAATAGATCGACCTTGATGAGATCCACCTGACCAAGTCTTTGGCTGACTTTGTAAGTCACACTCTGCTCTGCACTACCAACTTCACAATGCTTACATTCCTCTTAGGGTGGCCACTACATGCGCCCTGACCTGATTCGTCTTCTTGTTGACACTAACCGCAAGGACCTGATTGTTCAAGAGGACCGCACCAACGGCGGTGTCATCTACACCCGCACCATTGACCGTGTTGGACTCTCTACTCCTCTGGACGCCATTTCAGACTCCCAGGAGTAAATAGGGAGGCTACTTTTGATATAAGGGCTGATTGGCTAAGATCCACTTAGTTCCCGGAATAGAAGGTGTAACATAAGAGATAGAAATCACTACTTATTCATTGATCTTGCCTGATATTGCGGGTCTGCGGAATCTCGCCCTGCAATTCTCTCAATAAAAAAAATAAACTTGTATAAATAACTCATTTAGATTATATATGTTCACATCTATGTATGTACAACTATTATTCTTTTAAAATGTAATATACCTCTCAAGCAGGCACACCATCCCGAACAGACCCCCAAGCCCCAAGAGTCCAGTTACCAGAGCAGGCATAAGGGAACTGCGCATCAGCCAGACTATGCTTCTGCACCTTCAAGAAAGTCGACAGCTCACACCACCCATCATCACGGTACTCACAAGCAGCGAAACTCGAGTGAAGAGGAATAGTGCGCTGGTTCTGAATAAAGTGCACATACTTCGTCTCACCAGTTCTGGAGACGTAGTCGGCCTTTCCAGCGGTGGCGGACCGCTTAGTCGAAACCTTGTGCGGCGAAGTAATAATCTCAATATTCAACCGACCGGCAAAGGGAACAAGCTTGCTAGCCGAGAACTGCTGGTTCTCAAGCGGACCAGTAGTGGGCAAGAAATCGTCGAATTGGGTCAATCCAAATGCAGTTAGGACAGAGATGATGTTTGCATCGTGTGTGAACTCCAAATAGAGACTCTGGTTCAGAGGGAAGGTGACAGGGTTGGTATCCAATGTCATATTAGCACCGGTGAGCTTAGCCGGGACATCGACATAGTGACCCTCGACGCGAGCGAGGAACTCCTCAACCCAGGCAATACCCTGCGCACGGCCAGTAGGACTCAAGAAGCCAGACATACCGGCGAACTCAATGTCCATGAGGTAAGAGAATCCTTCCCATTCTTTGTAGGTGAATAGCGAGCAGAAGGGACTGTAGCCCAGACTGACGGTTTCATAGGGACACAGACTTTGAGCGTGATACGTGTCTGCCACAGTCCAGTTGTAGTTACCAGTCAGCTTGCGGAGCGCTGCGGTGCGATCTTGCAGATATGTCTCCATCCAGATGCCGAGTGGCTCGGCGATGTTGGCCTCCATGGTGGTATACTCGTTGGCGCAGGGTGTTACACCCGTAGTGGCGGGGTCGATTGTTGCCAAAATATTGGCATTCTTGGTCCAGTCGAGGCCGAAGAATCCGGCCAGGAAGTTCTCTGCGCTCTCTAGCATGCGGGACTGGAGCGTGGTGCGCACGACGATCTTGGAGGAGTTATCGTATAGATGGCCGTAGTTGTAGTAGTTGAGAATTCCGCTGTTGAAAAGCTCTTGGCGACCAATTGGGACGAGAATCTCTTTGCCGAGCTGGTAGGACCAGTCGTTTAGGAATTCGAGCGCGCCTGTGAAAACGGCGCCCTCGGCAACGGCTTTTTGGATGGTGGCGCCCCATGTATCCAGTCCTTCTGATGAAGAGGGATATCTTGAGCCGTGACGCTGCAGCAGGTGCATGTGGGTAATGTTTGTACCCTTGGGTAGAGGGTACTCTTTTACTCCAAATCCTTCACTGGAGGGGGAGTACGGGCTTTATATGGGGTTAGCCCAAGTCACTTATGAGATCAGTGTTGGAATGTACCTTAGATCACCCATAATTTGGAAGATATTCTTCCCACCTGCTCCACTGATGGGCTCAGATGTTTCCAAGGGGGCATTGGGAACATAAGTTGCCTCGCCGAAGGGAGCTGGATTGCTTGCTGCGAGGAAAGGAGCAGCGCCAGTTGCCGTAGTGCCTGTTTCAAATGTTAACATCGTTGTACTCTCGTACAGATCAGCTGCATGAGAAGATCTTTTATTCACTTACCCGCGTAGTTATCAGGAGAGGTCTGGAACCAATTGGGCTGTGTCGCAGTCGCTTTTTGCTTAATGGCGCCAGCTTCAACACCGGCAGCCAGAGCGATTAAAGAAACAAAGCTCTTAGTAGCCATTGTGGCAAGTGGCGTACGCAATGCAATGCAAGAGAAGGATGGAAGGAAATGTGGATTCTATAACGTTACTGAGTACGATCATGGGCTTTATACATGAGTCTTTGCCCTTGCAGCCCCGAACGCCATCATTGACCTATTCATCTCGCTTAGGGTACGCGACCAGATCCTCTGGAATTGGGGCTTCATCGTTGTAGTGAAGCTTGAGGCCCAAATCAATCATGATCGTCGAGTCTGGCACGTGGGGAGGCTAAGAGCTTCTTTCGGTGGGTGGAGCCTCTGCAGCCAATCAACGTCCCGCAGGACATGCAACACCCACCTATTCGATGCAGCAGTTGAACAACGTGCTTGCTTAGCTCGCGGGTTTTTTCAAGGTGATTCATGAATCTCGCGACTCTTGATTCCCGCTTGCATTATTCGCGCACTGGACGCTTTTTGCATGCTGGGCTAACGATCTAATCTCGTATTCGTATGATCGGAATGCTGACCGTCTTGAAAGGTGAACAAATGCCTACGTAAGGTGTATTGGGTTAGTAAGATTCCCATAGTCTTCCTACGGCCGGGTAGAGGTGCCCCTTGTGCACTTAGGAACTTATGCATGCAACCATGATAGAAATGGATCCGGGAGATGAGAACTAGCTTGAAAAATATGAGAGAGCTAGTCATGCAGGTGTCGGCACTGACAGGATGGTCACGCGGCAGAGCCCTTTCTACCCTGTTTTTCGGAAATCGTGATTAGCCTCGCTTTTCTAGATTCTATCCATCTGGTAGCGGCCTCTTTCAAAGATTTGACCGCTGTGCTGAGAGAGATATTTCATGGCAATACGATTGAAGCCGTCTGATATATTTTCCTGTTCGTTGGGTTGGATAATTCTATACACCGGAGCGGAATGACCCGCGCTGGACTCAATTTGCATTGCCAAAGTGGAGGAGGTTAATGCCCCTTTGGTGGACGTCAACCACCATCTGAGCTTCTCTTCTAAGAAATCTGTGCTATGGCTGGCGCCCCTTGTTAATGAAAGCCCCATCTATCTGGAATTCTCCGAAACAGGGTTCAGCAATAGCCTGGAACGTGAGTTCAGATTGAAGGAGACTATTACAGCTCTATGCTAGCTCTCTCTTACATCAGAGAATTTTTCAAGTTTCTAAAATATATGATTGTGTAGATACTTCCGGCTGCCTCTCAATTTATATTCACAACACTTATACATTATAACATTTCAAGCATGTTCCATACATAAAATCCCTTTCTCAATCGAAGCTGTTTATTCCAAAGGCCCAAGACAATAATTACGAGCTCGCTGCTTCAAGCCTCGAACACTCAAATCCTTACCCACATCGATTTGCCCGTTGACCGGGCGCTCGGACCCCTGTGAACCGTGAAACGTGCACATTCCGAGAATCTTCACATTCCTTGACACTCTACTGTAGGAAACCCTAGGGTTACAAAGATCGCACCAATAATTCGAATAGAACCAAAGTACTACGCGGTGACCCATAATTCTACCCGAGTCGTCAGTGTACAGAGCAGGCTGCCATGGATTATCATGGATGGGACCCGTTGGACAATACCACCTCCATGAAGGTGTAACTCTGACCTATTGGCTGGAGAAATGAAGCGCGGTACGATGGGCGCCACAACCTTGAGCTTCGCGGCATCGCTACAAGGCGGGGGACAATGCAATTGTTGCCGAGAACGGAAGTAGAGTTGGGCTTCTGACACTTCGTGTATGTACGTCACATACCTCACACCCCACGAGTACACTCAAACAAGTACACTCAAGGCCTAGAAATCATCAGGGACAGTAAATTCTAGATCTTGTCTATGCGGAATGCTGCAGAAGGTCTCGAAAAGACATGTCCGAAATTTAATCTGTCCAACCTCGTTCTCAAGTGGATAGATCGGGGCACAGAATGATATTCCAAAGATTGTCCCACCAACTTCAACAATCAACATGCATCAAGAACTTGATATCTCCCGTTGATCTCCATTACAGCCATACTTAATCACGCAAACTCAAACTGGACGAGCCAGCGGTGCTTCTTCAATGCCAAGACATTCCGTGACAAACCACATGTCGACTGGAATGTGAGATCACCGCAAACAGCTTTGCTATGTTCCCCATCAAATCAAGTATTTGATCGAGCAAGAAAGAAGAGCAGGTCTGGCCCCAGTTGGAATATGTGGTCGGAATTACAATGGTAGAGGGGGAAATTGAACATTGTGTAGAAAATGAAGTATAACTTCCCCAGATATCGGGCCGCGCTTTCCCAACCACATTATGACGACGACACCCAACTTGCCGCTTTCAAATCGACTTCATTTGCTTGTCTCAGGTTCCTCATCTATCTCGATCCACTTGGTGGTTCCCCGTAACCTCTTTCTCCAGGCCTGATCCATATTTTTTGTGACCTTGGAACTTCCGTGTGGCATCAGGAATCGACAATCATAGACTCCACTATCGAAGGGAACGGCCATTGCGACCTTGACCCGTCAGAGAAAGCCTTTGTGTCTTTATTAACCCCGGACCCCAGAGGACTCCGTCCCACGATCCGCCGCTTTCAGCACATCCACATTCCCCAGTTCCCTCGAACAGCGTGATCTATACCTGGTATAGGAAAGGTCTACAGCCCAGGTATGTTACTTTGGCTTCAAGCCTCGTGGGGATTTCCGTTCTCACCCAAGTCACCTCTTGTTTGCCTGCATCCGGTTACCTATTCAGCCATCAATCCACTCAGGTTTACTTATACCAGTCGATCTCCATGCCATTTGACACAAATCATTCATTCCTCATTCCCGAAGCCCAACCTCCTAACTTTTGGGCCTGACTAAGTTTAGAATCTTCAGTATGCCATCCAAGACTTCACAGAAGAAAGCGGTCCTCGGCCTGTCATTTTTGGCGGCCTTGGCACAAGCCACACCGACAGTGTAAGTGATGCTTGCCTTTACCTTTACCGCATGTGACTATTATTTCACATGATGGTTACTGACTCTGATATATAGGAGCCTCAACTTTGATTACGGTACCCAGAAGGTTCGTGGCGTCAACCTTGGCGGCTGGCTGGTGCTGGAGCCATGGATCACTCCATCTATCTTTGACGCAGCTGGCGATGCTGCTGTTGATGAGTGGTCTCTCTGTGCGACTGTTGGCGCCGACCAATGCCGAGCTCTTCTGGCAGAGCACTGGAGCAGCTTCATCACTGCCGATGACTTCACTCAGATTGCCGCCACTGGCATGAACCACGTCAGAATTCCCGTTGGTTACTGGGCTCTGAAACATCTCGATGGAGATCAATACGTCGATGGCCAATTGGAGTACCTCGACCAAGCTGTCGGCTGGGCTCGTGCCGCTGGCCTTAAGATCGTGGTCGACCTGCACGGTGGTTCGTATATTTTATATCCATTTGACATATTCATCTCTAACCATTGTCACAGCTCCTGGATCACAGAACGGATTCGACAACAGCGGTAAGCGTGGTGCGATCCAATGGCAACAGGGTAACACTGTTAGCGATACCAAGGATGCCCTGGAGGCTCTGGCTGCCCGCTATGGTAACGATGGAGATGTCGTTACCGCCATTGAGGCTCTGAACGAGCCCAACATCCCTGGAGGCGTCAATCAAGATGGTCTCAAGCAGTACTACTATGACTCATGGGGCTCTGCCCGCAAGGCCAGCCAGGACACCACTGTTGTCCTCCACGACGGCTTCATGCCCACTGAGTCATGGAACGGTTTCATGAGCGAGTCCACTGGTGTCTGGTACGTGATGATGGATACTCATCACTACGAAGTCTTTGACAGCGGTCTTCTTTCCATGGACATCAATGCTCACGTTCAGAATGTCTGCTCCTTCTCCAAGGACCACGTCCAGACCTCGGACAAGTGGACAGTCGTCGGTGAATGGACCGGTGCCATGACTGATTGTGCCAAGTACCTCAACGGAAAGGGTGTTGGCGCCCGCTATGACGGAACCTACCCCGGTAGCCAGGCTGTCGGCAGCTGTGACGGCAAGTCCGTTGGATCCATTGACACTCTTACTGATGACGAGCGCAACAACATCCGTCGCTTCATTGAGGGACAACTCGATGCCTATGAGCACGGTACTGGCTGGCTCTACTGGACCTGGAAGACCGAGGGTGCCCCCGAATGGGACATGCAGAAGCAGATCGCTGGCGGCATCTTCCCTAACCCCGTTACCAGCCGTGCATTCCCGGGCCAGTGCTAAATGCCTTAGCTATACCATTTGTGCCTTGCTATATTCGTTCTTGAACTTAAGCATCAAGCATGCTTCTGATCATTGCTTGATAGGAGTTTGCTTTGTTTCTAAATTGGTTTACCGGGATCGCGCATGAGAGAAAGTTGGATTCTTGTGTCTTTTTGGTGTTTGGGTATATGTTACTTTTCTTTTCCGGGACATGCTGAATAGGCCCCGCCCGCTTTTGACCATTCACAATTTATTCATTTTGCTTCCATATAGAATTCCTGGTAATTCTTCATCGTAGGCAGAGCTGCTCATAGACGCAACGGCTTACAACCAAAACCAGGGGGTATCCAGCAGGTTTACCCTTTTCTGACTAGCCACTGCAACTGCTGGAACAGTTCCGGACTAGCCCAAGACTTGAAAGTATCAGCCACTAGGAAATCATGATCCTTGTAATCAAAGCCCGGAACAACCGTCTATTCCCATTAGCTTTCCTCACAGCCCATGAAATCGAAGATATAGGGGCAAACCTCACCTCACTAATAAGCAAACCCGAACTATTCCCCAATTCCCCGTCATCTCCTGGGATCAAAAAACTCGCTTTATAACAGCCCCCTCAACAATCCACTGCAACTTCTCCTCCTGAGCGATATCATGTCCAACAACAAACGTCTCAACGCGGTAGTCATCAAAACTCCCATTGGGGCCCAACGGAACCACAATAATGTAGACACCCCGTCCATGGTGGAGGGTGTGCACGGTACGACTAGCATTGCGATGGAAAGCCCCGATCGGAGTATTTGGTGTGATGAAGTAGAAGATACTAGTCGACATGGAACGCTGTTCGCCTGCGGCGTTGAGCGTGAGTTGCTTGTCGCGGTCAGTTTCGACGAAGTAGCCGCCTTCAATGTGTCGGATCATTTTTAGTGTGTCGATGGTGGTTTGAGTGGTTTTGTTTTCTGGAACTTGACCTGCTGCTTTGGTTATTGGCTCTTGGTAGCGAGTGTTGATTTCTTCGATGGATATCTCCATTTTGGGGGATAGGCTGCGGTTGATAGAAGTTGTTTGGAGGGAGAGAGATATTGGCGGGATTGTTGCTTTAAATACGGAGATGGTGGAAACTAAAATATGCTGGTTCTGGGATATGAATAGAAGAGTGTTTTGATGATATTATGGGAGATCATGTTCGAGCCGGAAGTCTACGGCTATGTCGGGGCACGAAACTCTTTCTCTTTTGGGTGATGTCCGGACTAATACGAGTGATCGGGAGGCTACCTTGGAAGTTGAAGAGTGATTTTACTGGTTCGCCGATGGACGCCTTACTTCTTTTTTACATGTGTCTTATAAGTATGGCGTTTTTTGGCTTTTCTATTCTCAGGCCTGCCATGTCGTATACCCTGTACATTAGGACTAGTATCAGATTGCGGCATTTGATCCCATCTTTATGTGCGGCCAGTTTTGGTATGAATAAATGACATGCAATATTTTTAACGGTCAAGATTCGTTTGTATGGCGAAGAACTGGTCCAGTTGCACATAAGCCCCGGATTTACATTATCCCAGCTTCCACTAGCCTTTGACGAATGAAATCTAGGCAAGATAAATTATATTTCCTTCACATCATTCCACTGTTGTCTTGCAACCTCTGTGACTCTTGTCTTGGGCATGGTAGAAACTCGAGATTTTGTCTCGCGTTCAGGCCTATGGCAAGGATCAAAATAAGTCATTTAGCGCAAACCAAACCTCTCCTCGATGAAGTTAGCCTGCAGTTTCCAGAGGCAGCCCTTTCAACTGGCCCTCATTTTGAATTTTTCCGTCTAGTGAAGGAAAATTCCACGGCTGAGAATTCACAGGCCAAGAAGGCGGCTAACAACAAGTAGTTAGATTTTGAGTTATGGAACTGGGCCATCCCGTCACTGCTGCTTGACTACCATTCGCTTGCCCTTGCTCTAATATCCCCTTTCTGATTGCCCTTCCCAGAGAAAGGAGTCCTTTACCATACTAACGTTTCTATGGACACTAAGTTAAGCAGTATCTTGAGCCTATCTCGTCCGCAGCTCCCTACAGTATGCAATAAACCTATGGCAAATGTCGTCACTCCAAAAAAGGGCCTTCATAATACGATGCACACTTCAGACTGTGCCAAAATCTTGATCAATTGGATATGCTTCGGTATAGTTATAAATCTGCCGTTTGCAACTTGATGTAGTATGAGCGGAAAATCAATTATCCGCCGTAGAATTTTCGCGCGTTCACAGGAGCCCTCAATAGCCTTTGATATCATTTAAGATAATTGAACTACGTATGTTCTTCCTAGACATCTGCCTCCGCAACATATCTCATGCAATAATGTAAGATGTGCTGCTTGAGGTTCAGCGCTGCAAGACCCTCGGTGGGCCAACCCCATGCGCCGGAGACGGCACCGAGCGGCGCCCCAAACGCCGCCCGGGTGAGCTTAGTTAGTTATATGCCATGCCACCATGCAGGACGCGGCAGCATCGGCCGAAGTATATCTTGCCCAAACAGTTGACCGTTCTTTTACGGTGCATGAAATTCCGTGGAAAAGTGTCGCATGCTCAATATCCGGTTTTCGCCTAGGGATCTTGGCGGACCGCTCACGAGAGACTTCAAATTTGATACTGAATATGGCATGGTGCAGTGGGCCCCAGGGTGGGTATAGTTAGTGATATGCATACATCAGAGGCTGGAGGCTTGACCCATAGGGCCAAGAACCACAGAATGGTTGGCCGACTTCATATCCGATCCACACTCACTGCCTTCAAATTATCTAATTCTTCATTTGGCATAAGAAATTTTTGGTCTGCTGGTAATTTCCACTTTTCCCCGCTGGACCACTGCGAGCTATAACTCCTCCTTTCCTCCCCAGGAAAATAGAGTCGACTTTCTAATCCTTTGTCTTCTGCACATTCCTCGCCTGTGGCTTTTGCGTTTCTCGCTGGTCTCGCACTGCATCCGACTCAACTCCGTCGAGTCATCCCGAGAATCTCGTTGACAACACTCCCCGCATATATAGTTTCACTGGCAAAGAAGCTTGATCTCGCTCAACAGTCTCGCAAAAGTAGCAGCATCTAGTTGCGTCACCAATCCCGTTGCGCCAATTTCGATAACATATACGGCTTCAATACCCCATTGCGCATTTCCCGGCAGTCCCTCGCAATTCGGATCCGATCAGCCCTTGCACCTGCAACTCTCTGTCCATTGCGCCAAACAAGATTCATGAAAAGTCCCAGCAACAAGATACCAGAAGCGAAACGGTAGTATTAGCCCTCACGCAAGAGCTATATTCAACAAGCCGAACCAGTAGCGTCAGAACTACTTTTTCCGTCGCGCCAACTAAGTACTTTGCCAAGCACCTTACAAATTACAGCTGCCCTGTCGCGATACCGAAACATCAATATGCCGAATTGGACAAAGCTTTTCTCCAACTCGGAACGGAGACAATTCCCCGAGGTTGTCGTTCCACTTGCCCATGGCTCCGCAACAAAAGATGCTTACACCAATGACAACTCCAACTCTGGCCTCGACCGATCCTCTTCTCAGGAAAAGGGCGTTGCTGGTTCCGTGGCAACTGGCGAACTGACGCTGGAAGCTCTCAGGGCCGAGATCATGGCTGATATCGAAGCCACAGGCCATGATACTGTTTATGATCGTATGTCTTACCAACGAGCTGGATCTTGTCACGCTTGAATTTCGCATCTTTTACACTGCTTCCGCCTGATATCGGACCTAACACTTACTTATAGGCAAGGCAAAGATTATTAACAGAGCAATCCAGGACATTGGCATGGGACGCTACCAATGGGGTCTGTTCGTGCTCTGTGGAATGGGTTGGGTTGCCGACAAGTAAGCATGCATTAGTTCTGGTATAAACTCTCGGGGTATTCTTTTGCTAACCGGATTTTTCTACTAGTCTTTGGTTGCAGGTATGACCAGTGTTGCTTGAAGCTCTAAATGTGTACTAATAAAATGCAGGGAGTTGCCCTCACCCTGACCCCAATTGCCACCGAATTTGGTATCTCTGAAAATGAGTCTCGATTCGCAACATGCTCTCTCTTTGTTGGTTTGATCATTGGTGCCTCGTTCTGGGGTATTGCCTCCGATGCTATTGGAAGACGTCCAGCTTTCAACATGACGCTTTGCATTTGTGGAACCTTTGGTCTCGCCGCTGGAGGTGGGCCTAACTGGGTTGGGTATGTTATCTCTAGTGTATTTTGAGACCTTTTGGCTGACTCGTTAATCAGAACATGTGCTTTGTATGCCTGTTTGGGTCTTGGAGTTGGTGGCAACCTGCCCGTTGATGCTGCTGTCTTCTTGGAATGCCTGCCTCCCAATTCAACCAACATTCTGAGTGGTCTAGCTACGTGGTGGTCTGTCGGTACTTTGATTGCCAGGTTCGTTCCAAGACGTATTTTGCCCTGGATCTCTAAACTAATACCATCTTAGTATGCTTGCCTGGGCTTACATTCCCAACTTCTCTTGTGAAAGTATGGAAACATGTACCAAGGCAGACAACTGGGGCTGGAGATACCTCGTCTTGACACTCGGTGCTATCACGTTCGCCATGTTCCTCTGCCGTTTCTTCCTCTTCACTCTTTACGAGTCCCCCAAGTTCTTGGTTTCCCGCGGTCGTCAGGATGAGGCTGTGGCTGCCGTGCAAGGAATTGCCCACAAGAACAAGACCACCACCTGGCTCACCGAGGAGATCATGAACGAGATCGGTGGATATCCCGAGGAGCACAAAAAGCAATCTCTGTCCACCGTAGAGATCATCAAACGGTCCCTTGAGAGATTCTCCGTTCAACAGATCAAGCCCTTGTTCAGAACTCGACGCCTCGCCATTTCCAGTACGCATTACCTTCCCTATATCAAGTCTCGCCCATGCTAACTGACATAACAGCAATCCTGATCTGGTTCTGCTGGACATGCATTGGAATGGGCTACACCCTTTTCAATGCCTTCCTCCCTCAATACCTGAGCGCCAATTCCTCCACCTACATCACCTACCGCAACTACGCCATCACAGCAGTCTGCGGAATCCCGGGACCGCTTCTTGGCTGGTACACCGTTGATATCAAATACATCGGCCGAAAGGGCACAATGGCCGCCTCAACCCTCATCACCGGCGTCTTACTCTTCTGTTTCACAGCTACCAAGGACCCCAACATTCAGCTCGTCTGCTCCGCCCTGGAATCCTTTTTCCAGATGATCATGTACGGTGTCTTGTATGCCTATACCCCCGAAGTATTCCCTGCTCCCAACAGAGGTACCGGGTCCGGTATTGCTAGCTGCTTGAACCGTATTGCTGGTCTTATGGCTCCGATTATTGGCATTTATGCTAGTACTGATCCTATTGCGCCTATTTATGCCGCTGGTGCTCTCATCTTGGCCTCCTTTGTCGCAATGTGTTTCTTGCCCATTGAAACTCAAGGAAAGCAGGCCATGTAAGGTGCTTGTTGCTGGTGTTGTGTGAACCCCTTTTACCTCCGGGGGAGTTTGCTTATAAAAAATCATCGGAGCTTATGATGTCCGCTGGGACTGGGTTATCGCATGGAGACGTAAATCATTCCAGTGTCGATTGATGTCTTCCCTGCGCGACGTTTTTTCTTTCTTTTTCATTTGACTGAAAGTAATGCATTTGCGCTGCACATAGCATAGAATACGCATGTTAATAAAAATTATCATATTGCATCAATAGACTTTCTCTTTCCATTCTAGTGCTCACGCATCACTGGTTGGGGTTGAACACCAGATATACGCATATACCAGACCGACCATATTTACACCAAGATACAACAATGACACTCGACAGAAGACCAGAGAAACACAAAAAGATAACACTACACATGACATGTAGGAGACCTACTATTGGATGAAGTTGAGATTGACTTGTGCATTGGGGTATGTAGCTAAAATGCCAACAAGGACGCGGAAAAAAAACCCAGCAATATCGATGAGACTAGGTGACCGAGCAGATTCAACGATTAAAACCGGATGCAAATGCAAGGGGATCATGCAAATAAATATTGCAGGATGAACGTCTTCGCAAACAATGCAGATTCTAAGTTCAGAGTAATCCCAAGGCTCCGAAGGCCGTGACCACTTCTGTGTCAACGTTCACCAACCACTCTTCCTGGAATCGCTGGGCGCCACCGCATGCACCAATGACCTCCTGGAGTCTGTGACGAACAAAGTCTCGGATGGTGAAGCGGTGAATGACATCACCAGATTGCCATTCACGGCGACGAATCGATTCGGGCTGTTCGACTCCTTCTGTGCTTTCGGCAACTGCTGTTTCCGATCCAGCTGGTGCGTTCCAATACACCAAATAGTCGGCGTTCGGATCTGTGCCACCATCTGCCAGTTCGGTGATGAGGTCTGTCCACATGCTAAGGTAGGACTGAAGGTGGGAAAGGATGTAGGACGGGGGAGGAGCGGGTTGAGAAGGGTCAGTTTGAACACCTTGTAGGGCCAAGAGTTGAGTGAGACCGAGGGCATGGAGTTTCTTCTGGTTCACACTGCCGATGTTATCGTAGTGCGAAAACCATTCGGTAAGAATCCATGTGAGAGAATGTTCCTCAGAAGAGTGAGTTGCGGCGGCGATCGATGAAGCGAAGATTGATGGATTTGCCAATGCAATGCGTGCTAACACTGAATAATAATCGGTTTCGATAGCACCATACACTGGAGAGGTTTTCCTGTTGGGTCCTGAGGTTTGGCTGACTTCGTAGGCAGAGAACAAACCCTCTAGAAGGGATGAGAGGAATGAGCTATCCACGAGAGAGCGAGATACTACGCTGTAAGTGGCTTCACTGCCGCCATCAACGGTCTCAGCCGCGCGAATCATTAGCTCCACTATCCGTGGAATAACACCGAGCCGTTGCTTCGTTGTTGTCTTGAGCACAGCCTCGAGTGACACCAGTATCTGGTGGCGGAACCGGTCACTCAAGACTTCCTGTGGCGCAAGGAAGATGTAGGATTCAACGATTTGCAGGGCCTGGGGAGTACTGTCGGTAGCATCTTCGATGATGGGGAACAGAGATGGGAGAAGTGATAGTATTTCTGGTGAGGCGGAAGATGGTGTAGACTGAATTATGGCAGCCCATAATTCCAGTGCCTCATCAAGAAGGTAGATAATTGTTTCCTGCATGGAATATTAGAGAATTGGGTCAAGCCATGAATGAAGGTACGTTGACTTACCGAGCCAGGCTCTACTGAGCTTTGGATAAGAGGGAGAATCAACGGGTGGTATCTGATAGACTCCTGCTTCAATGATTGGATCAAAGACGAAAGCAGAGTAAGGATGGCCTGTTTCATGAGGTGCTCATCTCCAGAACTCTCCCAAAGAGGAGGAAGCAAGGACAGGATTTGGTCGGAGAAGGGTGTAATCTGGTCATGTCAGTACAGTTATGGCTTTGCTGCTGATGTGACACAAAGATACTTACATTATCTTCCATTTTAACAACAGCTACGCGAACTGTCTCCAAGAGTCCCATCTTTGTCTCTGATGATTCAACTTCTTGAACGAGAGACATAAGACTTGCTAAAATCGAGGGTGCAAACGGCATGAATCCTTCTGCAGAGAATTCGTAAGGATCGAGAACATTGCGAAGCTGCCGGCCCGCAGTGATTCGAACAACTAGATCATTCAAAGGATCCTGGTTATTAAGCAAGTGTTGGAAGATCTGGTAAATGGCGTTTCTGTTAAGTTCACCCGGCTTGACTGGGACCCACTGGCCAAGTACTAAGGCGATTCTCCTTCTGAGGAGCCTATACTCCTGTTCTTGGGATTGAACCTCGGGAACCATAGTATGCTCCAAGAAAGCATTGAAATCCAAATGCTGTTCCAGGCTAGCGGCTGCCAGGCCAATCGCAGAGTAAAGTGAATCCTTCAGTAGCACATTATGATTCTCGGTGTCTAAGAACAAGAATTAGCAGGTCGTACGCGTCATGATCATGGTGTAAAAGCTTACTCGCAAAGGAATAGAACACGTTCAAGAGTCGAGGAATAAGCAGTTCTTTGAAGTGAATGACGAGGTCAAGGAAAAGTCTCTCAGAGCAAGAGCGGATAGAGAACTCCCAAGCATCGGCGTTCTCTTCCTCTCTCTTCTCCCAGTCTTCGGGCTCGTCTGCCCATTCCTGGAAATCGATGTTGCGGAATCTGAAGAATTGCGTGACAAGGAGCTCCATAACGTTGACGACAAAGTCCTCGGTAAAGAGCTGTGACTTGATGAGCTCAACGGATTGTTTCCGCTCTTCCTTGTCCTGTGGAGTCTGGTATTTAAATGTCTGAGCAGGATTGAAAGCCATTTTCGCGCAAGCACGAATCAATAGTAAAGCACGGAGACCGGTCTTTTCTGCCAACGACTTCCCTTCGGCTTCATCACCTGCACCGAGGCTGTCATATTTCTCTCCCAGCTTCATGACCAATGACCAGTACGACTGGACGAGGGAAATACTATCTGGTAGCAAGGCAAAAGATGCAGGATGCGTCTTAGCCATTTCAACATGCAGCTTGGACATTTGCAGCAAGTGCTTTTCAATAGCCCGATGAACTGGTTCGGGAAGTTTGGCAGACCCATCCACAAAGGATAAGAACTTGCTGAAGTGGGAATGGGTCAATACCCAGAAACTCTGCACTTCCTGGTTGCGGCTTGGTTGCTCGAATCCAGCAATTATTAATCGTCGAAGAACTTTGAGAGACACCATGCTTTGATCGAGCGTCTCCAGCAGCTCTTCTTCGCCAGCGCCACCCTGCTCCAGTGTCGCAACCCATCTGTTAAGCCTGTCCACGTATATTCCTCCCAGTAGCTGGAATATCTCTGGGGAGACAGACTGAAGATTGTGTCGTGTTCGCTGAATCCGAGCTGTAGACAATTCTTTGATGATCTGCAATAAAATGAGGAGAGTTCGGGAGAGTTGTAGTGGGTTGGCACCAGATTGAGTAGAGGATCGGAGGAAAGAGATAACAGATGACATGGCATCTGGCCTGGTTGGAATTAGCATTATTGTTCTTGATGAGTGCATGGGTATGCATACCAATCCTGTGGAAACTCGTAACGCAAGATCTTGGCAATCATCAATGAGTTATGGAGGGCCAGCAGTGGAGCAGGCTCAACAATTCCTGCTTCGAGGGCCCTGGTCTTGATCTGTTCTTTTTCTTCCTTTTTGATTGCACTTGCATCGATGTTAGCATGTAGCCTTCCATGCGGGGGTTCGATGTCATACTTTGCAGCTGTTTTGCGCCAGTATTTATCGATTCCATTTTTCAGCTGGATAATAGCGAGGTAACGGACTTCATTGGGAACGGAATGGTCAAGGAAAACGTCCTGCAAGCCGAACCAGAAATTAGCGCGTGATCTATAAATTGTCTGGGTGCAGAGCTGATACCTGTAGGTATGTGTAGTACATGCCCTGTTTTTCCCAGTTCTGGAGCTGTTGGGTTCCCGTTTGGACCTGATGCTGTGTAGAGCTTGCGGCAAGCACTAGGGCATTCAACACATTATGGGCGCTCAATGGGTTGGCCTGACCCTCGACTTCAATGGCGAACGCCATGGCAGATGCGATTTAACGACTGAGATGGACCGTGGAGATCTGCACTGTTCAAGAAATCTTCTGGGACTGGAAGCATGAACCTGAAAGTGTCTTTGGACCCATATACAGGGAAACAACGCGCCTTCAAAGATGTTTGGCGATAAGGGACTGACAACAGACCGCCTTGGAGCTCTTTCGATGCTCCCCGCCTCCGGATTATAGATCCTCCGATTCCGCACTGTCCTAGGGCTGGATCCACCCTTCTGTCCCAATGCGGACATGGACTTAGGGCATCTCTCGGTGGAGACAATGAAGTCAGAATGTCAAACTTGCTAAGGGTCTATCAAACTGGGATCTACAACCTTGTTTTTGGGCAGTTATGGAGACATAGACCCATTAATATCATCTAGATTCTCTCTTTCTGTGACCTACCTATGATGTATCATGATGCAACAGAAATTTCTGGCTCAACTGTAACTTGATCGTGGTGAACAGCACAGGGTATATAAACCATTATAGAGTCGCAGTGATTTTCTGTTCTAAGTTCATATCTATTCTCTCTTCAGTCTCTTCTTCCTCTCATATTATTATCCAAACTTCTCATTCGAATCACAATGGCACACGTCGAGGACCTCAAACACGCAGCCTTCCAGGCCGAGAAGGACCTCAACTCCTACCAGGCCAAGCAGGGTCTTGGCAAGAAGAGTGACTCAAGTAAGATGTCATGATGTACTTGATGTCTTCTATTTCATGCTAACAGTGATCTCTTAGCTCTTGAATCCGGTGTCGATGAAATGGCCGAGAAGAAGTTCTCCGAGTCCACTAGCTTGAAGTACGGCCCCGGCTCAACTGCCTCCGGTAGCGACCACCGCAAGATCCCCGAAGATGAGGGTGGCACTCGTGACGACCGTAACAGGTAAGATATAATATACTCCTTTGTTAATTAACATGCTAACCTGTCATCTCCATCTAGACTCCCCAAGGCCGAACACTTCCTGGGAGCCGGTGGCCCCGAGACCAGCGTGAAGGAAGATTCCGAGAGTCGCCCCGGTGATCAGGATACGCTGAACTTGCAGGACATGAAGCGCCGTGGCATTGCTCATTAAAATGTACAATACAAACCTGATATCCTGACGACATCTTATGATAATGGAACGTGAATCAAATATCGTTTACTTCAATTTATAATCTATAACCAACCAATTATGTAGTGCGGTATCAGACTTCTCCAACTTCATAAATTTCATGCACAAGTACAATGAAATATACTAATTCCCACGGACCGACATCTCCCCGACTAGCTCAAACATACCCCGCACGTATAGCTCTGGCCTTTGCATACGGTTAGCCCAATCAGCATATATCTGGGACACTAGCCTGGACAGACTAAGCCATTTTCTCGTGAGCGTTGCAACCATGCATCGTTATTGCATGCTACTTTTGTTACTATAGGCTACCTTCATGCATCCTTGTATCTCGGCGCCTCACATCGAGGAGACCTCGACTTTGGGGCTGATCCAATTATCGGTTTACAACTGGGCCCTGGTTGAAACATTGACCCCTGTCCTGTTGGGAATTTATAAAGCAGATTTCCCTGTGCCTCTTTGTAAATCATTTTTCAACTTCAACATATCTCTAAGCTATCTAATTAAACTTTTTATCCAATATGGCATCCGCTGCCGTTGATCTTAAATCTATTGAGACTCGACTGTTTATCAACAACGAGGTAGACAATTAACTCTTTTGTTTTTATTTTGTTTTTCATATACAACTTATACTGACCCATTTAGTTTCGCCCATCGTCCAGTAACAAAACCTTCAAAGTGGTATACCCCTACACCAAAGAGGTTGTCGCCGAAGGTACTTATATTCACCTTCACACACTCAGAACAATCCTAACAAGCACCCAAAAGTCCAGGAAGCCGACACCAAGGACGTCGACGATGCCGTAGCCGCTGCAAATGCAGCTTTCCCAGCCTGGCGTGACCTAGGCGTGGAACAACGCGGTCATTACCTCCGCAAACTATCTCAGCTCATCCTCGAGTCAAACGAAGACCTAGCAAAACTCGAGGTCCTATGTATCGGTCGCCCATTAACCCAACTCTTCGACCCCGGCCTGGCAGCCGAATACTTCCGCTATTTCGCTGACGCAGGCTGGAGTGCACAGGGTACAGCCAGTCTCAACACCCCCGACCATCTAAACTTGACCGTTAAGCAACCATTCGGCGTGGTGGCGCTTATCATTCCATGGAATTTCCCGCTTGTCATGTTTGCCGGTAAAATGGCGCCCGCTCTGGCTGCTGGAAATACAGTTGTCTTGAAAAGTAGCGAGAAAGCGCCATTGACAGTTCGTCCATCTCCAACCCCCTCGCTGTTCATCTTACATCTAACAACTATACAGTCCCTGTACATGGCCAAATTAATCCAGAAAGCAGGCTTCCCACCAGGCGTCATCAACATCCTCTCAGGTCACGGCGAGCCATGCGGCTCAACTCTAGCCTCGCACATGGGCGTCCGAGGCATTAGTTTCACCGGTTCCTCGCTAACAGGGCGTAAAATCCAAATTGCATCCGCAAAGTCTAACATGAAACACATCCACATGGAACTGGGTGGTAAATCGCCGGCAATTGTGTTCCCAGATGCAGATGTCGCCTCGGCAGCCGCCCAAACCCAATTTAGCATCCAGTTCAACAGCGGCCAGATCTGCGTTGCCAATTCTCGGATCTACGTGCACGAGTCGATCGCGGAGGAATTCATCAAGTCCTTCCGTGAGCACTTTGCGGCGGTTAAGATGGGAGATCCTATGGATCCGTCAACTGGTCATGGGCCACAGGTTGATTTGATTCAGTATGAGCGGATCAAGGAATATCTTGCTATCGGGGAGAAGGATGGGAAATTGACAATTGGTGGAGATGCAAAAGATGGCTTGTTTGTTAAGCCGACTGTGTTTGAGGGTATTCCTGAGGATTCGCGGTTGATGCAGGAAGAGGTATTCGGGCCTGTTGTTGCCATTAATACATTTTCTACTGAGGAGGAGGCGATTGCCAAAGCGAACAACACTGAGTTTGGTTTGTATGCTTCTGTATTTACAAAGGATCTTGATCGGGCTGTGAGAGTTTCGAAGGCGTTGGATGCTGGGACTGTTGGTGTCAACTGTACTAGTCCTACTGGTGCCAAGGACTGTCCTTTTGGAGGCTTCAAATCTAGTGGCACTGGTCGTGAAGGTCTGTTGCATAGTCTGGACAGTTTCCTTGAGGTCAAGACTATTTTGATCAAGACAGCGGCTCGTTTGTGAGATTTCAATGCGAATTAGATCAATGGCTATATGTTTTACTTCTCGCTATGGTCTACAACGATGGAGACTTTTGATTCAGTAAATCATGAATTTTGATTTTTGGTAGCTCACAGCCAACTAGCAAAGTATTGGTCTTTGAAGACACTGTGTTTTTGGTTTTTGTGTTATTTTCGGGGCTGTGAGGACTCACTCATCAGTGGTCACTCGAATTGATGTCAAAGTATGTGAATACATGACACAGGGAGCACCAGCTGGGAAGCTATGAGTATGAAAATGAATTAGAAAAGGCAGATAATAGCCAGGACAGTGCTCAGAGCAACAAAGAAGCTAGGAACTGCGGCTGCGAATCCGGCGCCAACGTGGGCGGTAGGAATAGATGTCACATTCTTCTTGCTCGATGTGGAAGCGTTGGTTGTCTTCCGAGTGGCAGTGACCTTCACATTGTAATCGTGTCTGGAGTCCCAAGGGTAGGGGCTAGTGTAGTTAAAAGTCGCAGTCAGATTGCCGTAAGTCTTCTTGACAATGTCCAAGATACCATGGCCAGCCGAACAGTCACCTTTGGTGAGAGGAATGGGCCACTCAGCCAGGAACTTGGAGGTGAGACCAGTCTCTTTATCACCGATGGACATGGGACCTGGGTAGGTCTGGTTGAGTGTCAGGTGAGTCTTGTCGACGTGATAATTGACGTATCCAGTCTTCTTGGCCACAATATCGAAGATGTTAGCACCGCAATCCCAACGGCCCAGAGATGGAAGTCCCCAGTTCGCAGACACAGTTGCAATGCTCGAATAGTGAGTGTAGAAGGTATCGTCGGTTGTGCCTTGAAGGTTTTCGGGAATGGCACCACCGACAAGCACGCTGAAGATGCGGTTGTCATGCTCGTAGTGCTGATCTTCATCAAAAGTCAGAAGAATCACAGTATCCTTCATGAAATACTCATTCTTGAGCAGGTTGGCAATCCATGGACGCTCCCACTTGGCGGCGAAAGTAATGTTGGTGTCATGGGCGTCATTGGTCATGTTGGGAGTAATGAAAGCCCATTGGGGAAGCTTCTTGTCTTTGAGGTCGTGTTCAAAGTCTTTGAAGCTTTTGATCGAACGTGCACGGTTATCGTCAGAGACAACAGTGTCATAGAGTACCATGGGGTTATGCTTGCGGACGTAGTCATGAGCTTGAGTCTTCTGGTTGGAGTAGTTCATTCCCTGGAAGCCGGCATGAGGGATGTGCTCCTGATACTCAGCCCAGGAGATCTTCTTAGTGGCCAGAAGATCGGCAATAGAAGAGATGTTGGCGGGCATCTGCTTAAAGTCGTCGTTGTCCATTCCGAATGTGTCACCACCAGCGGCAGCGCAGTAGTTGGGCTCAGACGGGTGGGTTACAGCATAAAAGTTGGTTCTGAGATAGATGAGTGACCGAGTCGCCATGTTTGATCGATACAATACTCACAGCAGAATTCCCTGAGAGGCGAGCCATTTCATATTCTCATCCGCAGCAGAGTCCTCAAAGTCCTAGAAGCAAGTCAGACATAATGTCCTCATCCTTTGGTTGTGCTATCACGTACAATGTTCTCCAACCAGACCTGGTAGAAGCGATCAAAAACTAGACCCTTCACGTCAGAGGTGGTCACCTGAGGCTTGATGGTAGCAGCCGCAGCATGGATCGCGGACAGAGCAGGCTCAGAAACCGTGGCAATCTGAGCCATGGCCGAGATGGCCACAGCCAAGACATACGCGATGATGGTCATCATTTTGATGGAAGCTAGTGGAAACTAACGTCACGATGGAAGAAGAAGCAACTGTGGAAACTGGGAGGGCAGAGGAAGAAGAAGAAAGAGGAAAGTTGGCAGAGGTCTCTTTTAAAACCAAAGCAGAGTGATGCAGTGCGTGTGACATGGTAGACTTTGAACACAGTATACCTGGTGAGTACTTGAGGCTCACTCATCTTGTCAGTGTTTCGTTCGGGTCTCTGAGCATCTGGCCAGTACCATGTCGGTATCTCTCGTTTAGGATGTTATGAGAGAATATAGAGGGAGGAGCACATGGGATAACGGAGCTCTCTGGTTGGTCCAACCAGTTTGTCCCTGTCAATCCTCCCAGAACCAGGGCTGAAGCTTGTTTCTGTCATGGCTGAACTTCTGCCTTATAGGGCTGACCCCTTTCCGGGAATAGCTTCACTCAGTCTCAGGCCCATTGGACTGGAGCTGTTGATTCCGAACACTTTCGTTCTTTTATGCTGCCTCGAAGCATGCCATAGGATAATACGATAATTCTTGAACTTATGCCTTCTGGGCTATTTCTTCTCAATTGGATTCCTGATGACATTATTAAATCTAAAATGACCATTGAAACAGATCTTTCAATTTCATTTAGTTATGGGATGTGTATCCATAAATCAACGAATTTCAAAGTTCTTTGGTTGTGAAGAACCAGCGGAATAGTTGATGATATATCAAGACGCGGAGCCGTGCTGATCAAACGCCGAAGATCCTCCCCGGGGTCCCGATTGACCACAACATTGAATTGTCCGATTCAAAACTTCTAAGCCTCCGAATCTTCATTACCCACTTCCTTTGTCCAGACAAGTCCTCGGAACTCGATTGTGACATGACCGAGATAGGTCAGTCACGTGAGATGCCTCGGCTGGTCTCCGTCTGGGGAACCGAGCGTGTATGAACTCCGCCCATTTCCCCGTGCTTCCTCTCTTATCCACATCCACGCCATGATCTCACGATGAGCTCTACCAACTTCGCCGCCGCACAAGAGCGAGTTCTTGAACGTCGCCGTCAACGAGAAGCCGAAGCGCGCACCCGCCATGCAGCCCAACAGCGGGCGGCTCCGATCAGCCCAGCTACCGTCCAGCGTCTTCCATACCCGTTAAACAGATTGCCGAGCTCTGGATGGCGGATATGGAATACTGTCAATGGGCGAGATGGCACAAAACCTGCGTTCCGAGTGGGACAGGTTGATGCCGAATTGTTGGATGAGGAGCTGCTAGGCTTGATGAAAGGCCAAGTCGGGGATGCCCTCAAATACTTCGGGGTATGTTTGAGCAGTTGGGCGATATGCTGAAGCATTGTGGCGATGGTTGCTGATAAATTCAATAGTCTTCGATATCTGAAGATTGGTCGCACGAGATCCAGTTCGCATTGCGCGCCATTCTTTTTAAGCTATCTATATGGGACCACAATGCGTCATATGGTGCAGCTCTGCAGGGCCTTCAGTATACCGACAGTCGCAGCAAGGGTCCAGTGTACTCGTCTCCAACGAAATTGCAGAAGAGCATTTATGGCCTATTGACGGTTGGAGGGCGATATGCCTGGGGCAAGTGGGAGGGTTGGTTGATCGGACAAGAAGGTGGTTACGATGAGGTTGGTTGCTCGAGTGCTCCATTGATCTTACTATACTGACAGTCACCAAGCCATCGCAAGATATCCGCATGCTGTCCAGACTAACGGACTTAATCTCCACCTCGCACTCGATTGCCGCCTTTGTCTCTTTCCTTGTGTTCCTCGTGAACGGCCGATACCGCACCTTGGTTGATCGCATCCTCCGCATTCGCCTTACTCCACCATCTGCACAAGCTAGTCGGGAGGTCTCATTTGAATACCTGAACCGGCAACTTGTGTGGCATGCGTTTACCGAATTCCTCCTATTCCTTCTCCCTCTTGTTGGAATCAGTCGCTGGCGGCGGTGGATTTCTCGCGCTTGGCGCAAGATGATGTCGTCTGTCAAGTCGAGCGGTGATGATGATGAGCCTTCTGAAAAGCAAGGGGAGCTGGCCTTCCTCCTGGAACGGACTTGCGCGATCTGCTACCGTGACCAGAACCCAACCACCACCACTGAATCAGATGTCATGGCAGCCTCCACATCAGGTGGCATCGCTGGATCTGCGCAGACGGACATCACGAATCCATATGAGACGGTCCCTTGTGGCTGTATATACTGTTTTGTATGCATTGTGCAGAAACTCGAAGGCGAAGAAGGCCAAGGATGGGTTTGTCTCCGTTGTGGTGAGATCGTCAAGAAGTGTCAGCCGTGGAATGGCGATGTTCTTGAGGAGGCCCGCTCCCAGCCTGGCTCAGGAAAGATTGTCGGGTTCGCCATCGACGGAGAGCAAAATGAGGCTCGTGAAATCGATCCCGCTCAAGTGAGTTCCGAGAAGTCCAGCCCGCTAGAGGAGATCACTGCCGATGAGTCCCTTCAGCACTCAAACCAATGGTCTACCATTGAGAAGGAAGATGGCGAAGGCTCGGAAACAAACGGGGATACCAAATCGGCGTCGTCATAAGGACAGCCATAATATCCACGGCTTATTACCCCAGTGTCTACTCAACGTACCTACATACATACTCCTCTTCTCTACATGTTTATATAGTTACCACCAAGCCAGCCGCGTACATAGCGCACTCACTCACACCAATAGAAACGAAAGATACCCAAATCAATTTGAACCAAAAACAAGCATATAATCGTACAAAAAGTCCACCCCACAGGAATACTGGTATACCGGTATACCGCAGAGCAAGAATTCCTCACACCTCAGCCCTAGGGAAGAACCCAAGAACCAACAGCCGCATAGAACCCAATCCCAGCCCCAACAAGTGGGAAAACAGCCCGAATCAAATTCAACTTGGCCCACTTCTTCAGCAAAGCCGGAACCTCCCCATCCTCCTTCTCCCACTTCGCCTCCTCCTTCGCCCCAACAACCATTCCCTCAGTCCCCTCGCTCTCGGCCCCATCGCCACGCACAGCATGAGCCCTCAGCCGCCCATTAGTCTTGCCCATGGCAAACACAGTGAACGGCGCAATAGACATCGTAACAACAACAGCAATGGCATAAACCCCGGACCAGCTCGACCCCACGAGCGCAGGGGCCGGAGCTGGCGAATCACGCAGCGACCACATTGCGTATAGGTTGGCTAGGGATGCGGCACCTGCGATACCTGGGAAGATCTTCTTGCCTCGGTCGTACAGGTCCAGCCATTGGTGTGTTAGGTGTGCGGTTGGTGTTCCCGGTGCGGTGTCTTGGGTTAAGGTCTTGTTGCCTGGGTGGCGGGGTGGCAGGGCTAGGTTTGGGATGTTGAGTATTGAAAGTGTTGCTATTCCGCCTATAATTTTGGTCAGTTTGTTGATTTTTTGATTTTGTTTTGTTTTTGGCATCAGATCTGATGATATAGATGGCTTGGTGTGTATGACTGGTTGGAGGTTATATCGTGAGGATATGGGGATATGACCATATCCCCGGAGAGGGTGATGTATGTACCTGCTGCAGCGGCGCAACCAATAGTCCCAATTGCTTGGGCGATTCGGACGTCTGATGTCATTTTGGATGGGTGGTTGTAAATGGATTACGGGAGTTGGAAAGGGGAGAATATCAAGAGACCTTGGGAAAAATACCTAAGTTAACCTTTGAAGTCATGCCATAAGCTCATGGCATTGTATGACGTCGGCTCTAGAGTCGGGCTCTGCGGGTTTCGGGTTTTGGGGTTTGCTGACTTTGCATTCAACCCACCTGATTTTCGACAGTTCCACTACACGTCAGATCTCTGGATATCGATGATCAGAGTAGTTCCGGGGTTTGCAGATCACCGAGTTGTCCGAGGTCGGTCGCTCGGAGTTGAATTTACGTCTAATGGGCGAGAAATTGGGGATTTGACAGCAGGCGCGGCTCCAGCTTCGCTTCATACAGGTACAACTACTCTTGTACACTTCGAGTCAGCTCATCCTACACGAAAACTTTCCAGATCTATGTTAAGGATCTCGTCGATTTCTAAGCCCTCGGCCCGCGCAAAAAGTACCCTTGATCGCTTCGAACTCAACATCCAGGGCCCACTACTGGTGTTCAGTCATGAAGCCCTTGCTCACACGGCAAGTAGACGGCTGGCTCGTCTAGCGTGATTGCGGTTAGCTGGCCCTCGAGGGCGGCGCAGGTCACCACCGTGGCTTCCGCCGTGTTCGCCATGCTCCTGATCAAGGTCAGTATCCATGTCAACCTCCGGGGACAGCGCCGTACCGATTTAGAGACGGATGAGGAAAGCAATGATAAACGCTGGCATTTTGTGTGCAATGTGTGTCCTGTAGCGCGTCACTGAGGCTCCACCCGGGTGTTTGGTTGGAAGTGGGAATGGTATACTTATTACAAGGTATTCCGAGCTGCTGGAGAGCTTTCTTCATAGTTTCCAGTTTGTTTACTGCACCCCTATCATCGTTCTACGATTGCACTAACACGACGACGTCCTAGGCGTCTGGGAAATCTCGCGAGTGGTGGTCTAGAAACAGTCTAACATTCTGTTTGGCGATGAGCAGTTGAAATATTTCTAACTAGCTGCTTTCCCTATTCGTCTTTTATTGCGCAGAACGTGCGGGCTTACATGAAGGTAATCACTGACGCTTTTTTTTAACGTTTTTTGGAGGTCTTTTTGGAGGTCTTGTTTCAGTATGATTTGAGTACCAAGTAGAATTTAACCAACTTCCGTTGAGGTGGTGGTGTTTACCCTGGGGTGCGTGAATATCTAGGTGGCATACAATGCGGTAACAAACTGTCGATGTCTTCATACTCTTACGACCCTTCTTTATATCATTCCAAATGGCCCAATCTGGTCATTGACAAGCGGTAATTAGTCCAATTGCAGGGTCTTGACACGGCATCGCGTTCTCCTATATACTTTGATGAATATCATCTAGCGAACTGTATCAGCCTCCGCCGTTCTCATCAAACTGGTGCACATGCTTCATATACACTCTTTAACCTCAACGTATACCTATATTCAACCATTTACAATGCCCCAGATGGCAACTCATCACCAACACCAATATCAACCCCAACACCCTCCAATCCCCTCAATTCACAAACACGCTTAGCAACTCTCTCCCCACTCCAATAAGCCCCAGTAGTAGTCCCAAGCGCAACAAAAGGTGCAGTATGCTCACCAGCAAACCACAACCCTCTCAGCCGCCCACTCCCACCCCCATCCCGAAGAACTTCAATATCACGATCCGCCGCCGCAACCCCAACCTGGAAATTACAATACGACCCATGACCCGCATACTCATCCTTCTGCCACTGCGTCGCGAGCATAGCAGACGGCAGACAGTCACCTGACGTGGCATCGTAACCTGGTAGCCGGGAGTAGAATGGTTCCAGTGTTTTCATGAGTATGTCTTTGTATTCCGGAGATTGAGGGTCGAGGTGCGAGATTCTGTTGATGATTGCCGCGCCGCCTTCGCCGTAGGTATAGAAAAGGAGAGTTGGATGGGATGTCCCAGCGGGCAGTGAGGCCAAGCTGAGGCATTCTTGGTTCCACTCTGTGCTTGGGGGGTGTGGCGTGTAAGTTGGTTCGAGGAATTGGGCAACGACTGTATTTTTCTGGAGTTGAGATTTCGTTTGGGGAGCGGTTGGGTCGATGTGCCACCATGCTTGGGGGAATGTCACGTAAACCTTTTCGAGTCGTCCATAAGAGATGTTGTTGATTGCTTCGAGGAGGCGGGGCGGAAGTGCTGGGTTGAATGCCGTTATGTTTTGTTTGAGCCAGCCCAGTGGGCACGTCACGACTACCTCGTCGAAGGTGTATGTTTTTCCCGTGGCTGTTTTCACGGTGACTTGGTGCGGCGTTGAGGGTTCATCATCGCGTTGAGGGGCATTGATGTTCACGACTGGCTCGTTCAAGTGAATATCAGCTTTTGCTGTTGCGTTCTTCGAGACATGCTCGAGAATTCGCTTATATGTCGATGCCACGACAAAGTTGCCTGCGAATATCACGTTAACAATCGAGCCCGGTATATCAAAAGACAGAAAAATGTACACATACTCCCATCAACGCATTCCTCCAGCCGGAAGAACCTCAAACTCTGCCTTTCAGTAGGCTCACCAACATACGCACCCCAGAGCTTGCATGCATCAAGGACAAGTGCTTTCTCTGTCTCTGGGAGACCAGATTTTCCAACTTTCTCGTTGAAAAAGTCCAGTAGACTCTTTTCAGCGGGGATACTATCGCCATGCTGATTACTATACTGGAAAGCTTCCGAGATGGTAGTCCAAACAAAGTTCTCGACCCTACTCGTAACTGCATCATCAATCAGGCCACCTTCACGGGAGAATTTGACAATCCCACCCTCGGGATCATACATAATCGCCCCCGTCGCTTTCGCGATATCCATGATAGGATTCTCTCCCGCGCCATGAATCCAATTTGGGCCCCTGGTGAATCACAGTCAGCTTATGATTGCCAGTCGATGTGACCAGGCAAAAGGCATCCGGATGCAGGCCTTCGCCTTGGCATAGCACGATAAGATGTGCAGGGGTGAATGTACATACAGATCGACCACATGGGACCCGACCGATGATTGGTGCACCTAAGCGACAACAAGTCCAGTGCGTTAGCTCGTACAGTTCTCGAGTTTCATGCAGGTGATACGGTAGATAGTGGACTGCACATACTCTTCCGCCAATGCGATCTCTGGCTTCTAGGATTGTTACGTGGGCTCCGTTTTGGATAAGGATATCGGCGCAGCGGAGGCCTGAGAGGCCTGCGCCGATGATGCCGACATGTGGGAGTCGTGTCATGGTATGGAAGAATTTGAGGGAAGAGTTGAAAGCTCGATATCGACTTGGGAATAACATGGAAACTGTTTGAAGTTGAAGATTTCCGCTATCAGGGGATGTGATTGGCCTATCAGACCTTCATATGGCCCACATTGACTTGCATACGGAAGTCTACAGAGTATACTCGAGAACAGGTCACATTTGCAGTTGAATGCTCAATTGAATTGAGTTACATTGAATCGAGGATAATTGAATTATGGCCAGCATAATACATAGAAATAGTAAACATGCACTGGGTCAAATCTGCCGTAGCAGGGGAAAATTGAAGACGGCATGAACTGCCATAGAACTCCTGGGCGAGAAGCGCCTTTTGAAAACAAGGCCGGAAGGGGTATGTACGGGTCAGAGGTAAAATGAAGGGTATCAAGGAAGTTCAGAGAATGGGAAAAAGCGCCGGAGACCAGAAAGGCAAGATTCAGTGGCGGAGATCAACTCCACAGGAACAATGCGTGCATGTAATCGGATGGGATAGTTGTAGGTGCAGACATGAATGGACCGAGAGGTGACAAGTAGATGTCCATTCAATCTTCCCAGATGGTCTCTAGGTCGAGATCCTGACGTCTTTCGGCACCGCAGACACTCCATCGCTTTCGCTTATCGCTGCGGGGTGCATATGTACCAGTTCCTCCACGCATGGTGGTGAGGTTGCCAGGTGTATCAGAAGCTCCGCGCCGCCGGTTCGCATTACTGGCCGCATCGGCTGCGTCTGCTGCGGCTTTCAACTGGGCAATGCGATCCTCTTCCAGCGCCTCAATTTCGGCATCTGGAATATCAGGGATTGTTTCCAAGGACGAGATGCTGGGGCTGCGAGAGCGCATGCTGGTTGGAGTTGAGGGAATGGAGACTGAAGAGGCCGAGGAGGCAGAATTCACCGGGTATGATTCATTGTACTTGGAGCCAAGCACAGGGGAGGAATGTGCGGGAGAGCCACCGGGGGCTGTAGATGAAGGGGAGATGTTGGACGCAGACGACTAATGCGGGGGAACGTTTGCGCCATGAGGACAGGAGAGCCGGACTGTGAGGAGGTTGATCGGGGGACTGTTTCCAGCGTTGCGTTCTCTGAGATCGTCTCGGAGATATTGAGGGAACCCATGCGAGTCTCGACGTGGTCTTCAGAGCGCATCTGCAGCCTTTTTGTATCGATGGCGGCCCCGCGACCGTTGATAAAGATGTACCGACCCCGGGAGTCCAGCCCTGGAGAGGAATAGGCGCGCGTCATAGACGGCATACCCGGGATGCCCGCCAGCGATCGAGAGCGGAGATGGGATCGGGCCAAAGGGGACCGGGTCCGAGGGGGTGCCGTTGGTTCGGGGGAAAGCGATAAAGTGACCATGACGTCCTCCTTTTCTGAACCGGAGTCAGTTTGGCGCAGGCGCATTTGCTCCATGTCGTAAATTTCAGGGGTAACGAGATTCACTTTGGCATCATGGCATGAAAAAAGAACTGAGCAAATGGCAGAGCCTGTCTGCCAAAGGTGAAGTGAATAGGGGGGAGTGGTGAGGTCAAAGATGTAGAAGGGGGGGGGGGAGAAAAAGGTTGAGGCCCAGAGCCAATCCCGCCCGGATCCCCCGATGATCTTTTCAGCCGCTTCAGATTCACAGCAAATTCTTCACTTTCATTTTTGGGTTCCTTTTTGCCTTTTACATTTGCCCGATCCTTATGCTTCACGTTGCTCTGACCCAGTTGGTCTCCTTTTCTGGTTCTCCTATCATTGCCCTTTCTTATACTATATCCTAACCTATAGTTCGGGCCTATTCTTAGCATTCATTGTCATGGCCTCTACTGCCCCGTGCTATTTCGGCCCAATGACTCGTGGCATCATTGATAAACTGGCCTAAGATTCGTAAACGTGTGGATCACAAATAGTGTTTACTGCACAGGGGCGAATCGGCCCTCAATTTCGCCCAAGCTTTTCTTTGGTGACTTCGAACTATACAAGAGGGTTCAAGTCCTAACGTTATACAAGACATAACTTATCACTTACTTCACTTTGATAGAAAACTTCAATGCAGAGTCGACATGCACATACATGTACACACCTCAATGCCCACTCTTATCCACATCGACCGTTGGGCCTTAATAGACTCAGACCCAAGAGTATGTTCTAGACTCTATCCACACTGTATCCACGGATATCCTATTTATTGTCTCAGCCTTCTGTTGACGTTGCATTCGACTTTCGGGTCTAGGATGTATCAACGTAAACAAGACAAGAAGAGACGTACTAGTTGATCTCATCTACGGACACGCCGAAGTACGTAGTCCATACCCGGCTGATTCGGCCTACAGACATTCGGTCAATGTTTGCTACGTCTCCTATACAACAATCGACAGTGATTCGTCGAGCACAATGTACGCCAAGAGACTAATATATTGACGGTCAACGGGTTTCGATCTGAACTGCAGAATTCTAGATGGTTCTAGAGGACTCCAGGCTCGAGGCTACAGGTGTAACTCGGATATGTGTGCAGTATGTACCTACCGCCATAAGATGTGACAATTTTCGAGTTCCGACTTGAACACAATCTACAGGATTGGGCCTAGGCACTTCAAGGTCCAAAAAAAGAAAAAAGAAAAAAGAAACAATAAGAGTGGCAAGGATGAAGCGAGAGAAGTATACTGGCGATGAGAGATAACGTTATTGCACAGTTCATATCATTGATTACAAATTTGTGACGTCTGTTCAATACAAAACTTCCCTCCAAAAATTACCTATTAGACAGTATAGAAAAGTGCCAAAATGAAGGCATGTAGAAAAAGAAGGACATAACCAAAAGAGACAAAAACAGGGATATCTTAGGACACAGGGTTGGTCTTCCGACCATTCGTTTGACCGTTCTCCTCACCTTCCTTACACTTAGAAACGTCCTTGCGGATATAAGTTTCACGCACAGGATCACCCTCATTCCTGAAAACCACCCACTCACCCATACCATACTCAGCCGGCGCAACGCGAATGCCGCGACCACCACCACCAACAATCACATTGCCAGGACGGTACGCCTCCATCGCCTGCATGCGACGAATAGCAGAGACGTGAACTTCAGCATTAGAAGGGACATCACGCACCTCACCACGAGGCAGCGGCCAGCTAATGGGCTTCCAGGATCCATCGGCCTGCAAATCCATCCGGCGGAACGGCAACCACTCCATGATGCGCCACGTAATAACAGACATGGCAGGAATGCCCTGGTTAAACATCAGACAGTCGTGCATCAGACCCTTCGTACTGGAGGTATGCAGCGCATGCCAGAAATCGCGGCTTGCAGCCGAGCGCTCCTTCTCATCAGGCGCGGTACGGAACATATTAGGATCATCGGCGTGGTCCTCGACACAGCGACTCGGCCGGCGCGCATTGATCTCTTCCCGGATGGGAGTGTAGTCGCCATAATACTCCTCGAGACATTGGAACTGCTTCATCTTGCGCTCGTCCAGCTGGAGACCGGCCTTTTGTGCCTCCTGGGTCATCCAGACCAGAGGCGCATGGCTGAGTGCCCACAGCTCGCCGTCATGAAGCTTCCAGCCTCCGCCAATGTCTGCGTGGCAGCCGGGGAACCAGATCTCGTGGATATCCTGGTCGTCCTCGTCTTCGCTGGATTCGTCTCCCGGGATGTGCACGGAGAGAACGTTCGATTGTCCGCTTTGGCAGGATTCTTTGCTGCGTACTGAATGCAGATCGTCCATTGAGGCCTTTGGCACTGCGAGGCTGCGCCTAGGCGATGGTGCGCGGTATACATGTGGCTGTGTGGCGCCGGTTTCACTTCCTGCGCGGGAGGTCTGTTGAGAGCTCTGGTGTGCGTGGTGCGCGCTATGATAGTATGACTCCCCCGTGTTAGGTCCCCATCCGGGAAGTTGAAGCTCAGGCGCGGCAGTCGTAGGGTCTTTCTTTTCCTCTTCGGAGCCGTCGTTGAAACGGATAGATGGAACAGCACCAGAGTGCTCATCGTTCTTCTCATCCTTTTGCTCTTTATGGTCTTGGTGGAAGAGATGCAGATGATGCTGGGCATCACGGTGACGCTCCATGTGACTCTCAAGCGGATTCTTGGGCATGTGGGGACGGTGACGGTGGTGCTTCTGTCCGCGAGGGCGAGGACCAGAGATCAGATCTTGACGGAACTTGGCACGGCGCTCATCAATTCCCACGGCATGGCGAATAATCTTGGCTGAACTGCGTGCTGTATAGGGGAACTTGGTGCGCTGCATCCACGCGGACTCAAAGCGCGGCACACTGTTCACAGTATCAAACAGACCCATGAAACGGATACGCGAGATCGGACGACTGAAAGTTTCACGGAAGGCCTTCATATAGGCGAAGAGTTTCTTCTTCTCTTCGCGTTCCTCTTCTGTGTCGTCGGATCGCTGCTGCCATTTCGCGAATGTCTTCCACGCAAAACGGACCAGTTCTTCATTTCCAGCTTCGAGCAGACCGATATAGTCAAGCATTTCGGCCAAGAATCGCGCGATATATGAGCCGCGACTAAAGCCGATGAAAAAGATCTCGTCGCCTGGGGAATAGTATCGCATCAAGAACTTGTACCCACCCATGACATGCTCGTCAAAAGAGGACCCGACCGCCGAGTCCTTGGCCTTTTGATATGCAGACTTGATACGCTGGATGCGGCCGTGACTGGAGAGTGACTTGGAGGTCACATATGTGCCAATACCAGGCTGGTAGTAATGGTACTGGTGGCTTTGGCTGCGATCAAGCATCTGCAACTTGTCAACATCGCTTCAAAGCTCTTGGCTCAATGTCCCACTTACGCGAAAAATCTTGAGCACATTGCTGTCGGACTCGTCACCGGCAAACTTATTTCCCGTGCCATCGAAACAGAGCACGAACTGCTTTGGCATGCCTGACGGCCCTTGATGTCCATACCCGTGCGCCATAATGCCAACGGGAAAAGAAAATAATCAGTCGGTCAAAGTCGTTCCAACTCTCGGCCGTAATAACCAGCCCTGAGGAGACTAATATAATAAACAGGAAAAGGGAGAAGAGTCCGGCCTATGAAGTCCACTCTGCAGAATCAGTACAGCTGATTCCAGCCAATTACATGAATCAGCAGTCTACAGTAGTACTGTACAGTACGGCCCCAGCAGGGAGGGGGTTGGCAGCATAATAATTCTCAACCCACTAGTCGATCGCTGCAACTTTGCCAAAGGAATACGTCAAGTTGGCGTGGGCTGAAGGGCGGGCCCCGGCCCGGCACATTCCAATCACAGATCTTTTCCAACACGGTGGTATTGTTTGTGGAATTTGCTCCGGGGAGAGACACTCCTACATATCTAGCGCCCCCTCCAAAGCAGGAGTCAACCTTCTTCCGTCACACAGGACGGGGCTCAAGGACACCTGTAGGTGTGCATACCATCCAATTGAGAAGCACCGCATATCGTTGCTTGATTTGTGACAGTTACAAACCGGACTGACCCTGACTCGAGACGCTCTGCACGAGAAATGCCCGGTCCGCAATTGCGCAGTAGCGTAGGAGAGTGGATTCTACAGTAAGTTACTGTATGATCCCATACATGTAAGATAGACACGGGGGGAGTACGGGGCTGAAAAGACAAAAAGCAAAAGGAGAGACGTGCAGATTTTACACACCTTTGCTACGCGACTATTGGACCCATCTGGTTCACTTGGGGCTTGGCCTATGAGGACAGTGCAGATTGGAGCCGATCTGTCCGTTCGGGATATTATTGTCGATCATTCTCCAGCCTCTGAGCGCGTGTTGGCCACCAATAAATTGAGGTGTAAGGGGGGGCGAGAGTTTCTCCGCTAGGATAGTTCGTCAGCGATCGAGTCTAATCCTTTTCTTGCCATCCCTGCTAGTGGCTCTTGTCAAAAGGGTTGGACTGTGACCCACCTATCTCTTGAGAATTGTATTCATAAAGTTTGGACCCAATAGTGACACGGACCGGGGGCTACATATCATACAGTACAAACAGTACAGTATGATATCTGGTGAGGTCATTGCGCTCGAAATCTTGCACATGCAGAAACTGGGATTTAGGAGAGTTTCCGAGAATGCCCTACAGCCCAGCTGAAAAAAGGTTGGACCCAGATGGCTGGAAAATTGTGGGCCTTCATAACCGCGGATAATGTATACTGTATCAGGTACAGTAGGAAATTGCCTCCAAACCACACCCGCAGGTGTATCATGACGAGGTCTTTACTCGGGAGTAATGGAGATTGTTTATGTTTTTTATGCTTATTCGGCGGGAGTGGCCGTGTCAGCCCGTGGTTCCAGTGTTTGCTTGTGTTTGTTTGTGTTTGTCCTTTCTTTCCCTTCTTCCCCTTCTTTCTCTCACGGTCTCCTCTCCAAAGGGGATCCGAGTCACGAGGAAAGGGGGACCCTGAAGGTGGGGATTTCAGCTGAGGGATACACATCACAAAATGAATAATACCTGACAATGACTGGCAGATCCAGCTGCCAATGACAGGCAATACATTGTGGTTCGTGGTGTAAGCGGCCCGTTCGCTTCTAAGAATCCATCGTGAACGGGTGGACCGTGACGATCTTACCAAAACCAAACCTGTTACGGCTGGGTGATTCCCTTTTTCTGACTTATTCTGTCATCCTCAACCTTCCTTGCGTCTGGTCTCTGCTCAACGTCATGCAATCATGGATGTCGGTGAAAATATCGTAGAGTATGACAGGACCTTGAAACAAACAAACAGACCAACGAGAAAAAAAAAACCGGGTCAGCAAGCCACCGTATTTTGCGGTCGTCTCCGGGAGATACGGGAAAGCTCTCCCCACTTGGGCCACTTAGGGTCGATTTAGTTCGATCTTGAGATCCCCCGTGTGGAGCTTCGACTTCCATCGCCTTGTACACCGCTGAATACAGTACAGCTCATATTGAGATGTCTTGGAGAAATTGTGAGCTGAGCTTGGGGCCCAGCTTCATCTGACCAAGCGAGCCTTGAATGTTCCGTCCTCTGTATTCTGTACTTGATACTATGGAACTTACAGGATGGTATGATGGCGCCTGGATGTCCAGCTCTGCCCCGCCCCCTTTCCCAGGCACATATGGGATATCAAGTCCGTCAGTCTTGATGATCCATTACTGCGTTCAGACCTTTCATCACTCGTGTCCCCACTGACCTGCCCCCCGCTGTTCCTCTTTGGGACTGTGATTCCAGGCGGGGCCCTGTAAGTGTACTCAGCCCAGGTTCAGCGAGGATCGGTCTCCCCGTCAGATCTAGTCCCTGCAGTCAATCAACTATTGGCGATAACAAATCCGCCACTTTGACTTGCTCCACAGTCTTGCAGCTGACTTGCGTCGTCCTCATTTTTAAATCCTGGGAGCTCCGTAGCGCGCCTCCCTTTATTTCTTCTTCTAATCTGGCCCTTGGTAGCCATCTCTGACTCGGTTGATACCTAATTGCTCTTTTCTGTTTTCGTTGCTGTGATACCTGTTTGTTTTTTTGTCTACATTCACAATGTTGAGGAGAATTTCTACTCAATTCAAGCGGTCGTCCAAGGACAATGGCGACAGCGAGCCTAAGAGCACAGAGAAGCCCAACAAGCGCTTCTCCAAGGTTTCTCCCACACGCAAATCTAGCTCCAACCAGGAAGAATCCCCTGCTGTGAAGCGGGCCGAGGTTGTCGCAACCTTCGAGAAGTTCGCGCAGGCCATTCACGCCTCAAATGAGCCTCTACCCAACCAGACCGGTGACGGCACCTTCCTGAAGCACGACCAGTCCTCCGGTCTGATCAATGACATCAAGTCGCTTGGATTTCGCGATGTGAACACGGTCAAGGATCTCGTCAAGAGCAAAGCCTCCGGCGAGCTTGTTGATGACAAGACCTACCTGATGGAGCGCATCATCCAGATGGTCGCTGATCTGCCCGGTAACTCCAAAAACCGCACTGAGCTCACCAATGTCTTCTTGGATGAGCTATGGGAATCAATTCCTCACCCTCCTCTTTCGTAAGGGCTCAATGGATGATCGAAGTTTATTTTGCAATTGCGCGCTAACGCTTGGAATAGCTACATGGGCGACGAGTTCAAGTACCGCTCCGCTGACGGCTCTAACAACAATCCTACTCTCCCATGGCTTGGAGCTGCCAACACTCCATACTGCCGCACTATTCCTCCTCTCACCATCCAGCCCTCCGGACTTCCTGACGCTGGCCTGATTTTTGATACCCTCTTTGCCCGTCAGGAGTTCACTCCTCACCCCAACAAGGTTTCCAGTGTCTTCTTCGACTGGGCTTCTCTGATTATTCACGGTAAGTTCGCTTCACGGTCAGCTGAAATTCACACGCTCATGCGCTAGCTCCATAGACATCTTCCAGACCGATTACCGTCAACAGCACCTGAACAAGACTTCCGCCTACCTTGATCTCTCAATTCTCTACGGTGATGTCAAGGAACAGCAAGATTTGATCCGTTCTCACCAGGACGGAAAACTGAAGCCCGATTGCTTCTCCGAGGGTCGTCTTCTGGCTCTTCCCGCTGCTTGCGGTGTTCTCCTCGTTATGCTGAACCGTTTCCACAACCACATCGTTGAGCAACTCGCCGAGATCAACGAGAACGGTCGTTTCAGCAAGCCCCGCCCTGGTCTGTCCGAGGAGGAGACCAAGGCCGCCTGGGTGAAGCGTGATGAGGATCTGTTCCAGACCGGTCGTCTGATCACTTGCGGTCTGTACATCAACATTACCCTGTACGACTACCTGCGCACTATTGTCAACCTGAACCGCACCAACTCCACCTGGTGTCTGGACCCCCGTGCTCAGATGGAGAAGGCCGGTGCCACTCCCTCTGGCCTTGGTAACCAATGCTCTGTTGAGTTCAACCTGGCCTACCGCTGGCACTCCGCCATCAGTCAGGGCGATGAGAAGTGGATCGAGCAGATCTACTACGACCTCATGGGCAAGCCCGCTGACGAGGTCACCATGCCTGAGCTGCTCATGGGTATGAAGAAGGTTGAGGGTAGACTCGATGCCGATCCCGCCAAGCGCGAGTTCGCTGGTCTCAAGCGTGACGACGGTGGTTTCTTCAAGGACGAGGAACTTGTTAACATCCTGTCTCACGCTACTGAGGATGTTGCCAGCTCCTTCGGTCCCCGCAATGTGCCCAAGGCCCTGCGCTCCATTGAGATTCTCGGTATCGAGGCTTCCCGTAGATGGAACGTCGGCTCCCTGAACGAGTTCCGTAAGCACTTTGGCTTGAAGACCTACGATACTTTCGAGGAGGTGAACTCCAACCCCGAGATTGCTGAAACTCTCCGTCACCTCTACGACCACCCCGACTACATCGAGCTGTACACCGGTATCGTCTCCGAGGAGGCCAAGGAGCCTATGATCCCCGGTGTCGGCATCGCCCCTACCTACACCATCTCTCGTGCGGTTCTGTCGGACGCCGTTGCCCTTGTCCGTGGTGACCGTCACTACACCATTGACTACAACCCCCGTAACCTGACCAACTGGGGTTACAACGAGTGCCGCTACGACCTCAATATCAACCAGGGTTGTGTCTTCTATAAGCTGGCCACCCGGGCGTTCCCCAACCACTACAAGCCCGACTCCATTTACGCCCACTACCCCATGACCATTCCCAGCGAGAACCGCAATATCATGAAGAACCTCGGCCGCGAGCAGGACTACTCTTATGATAAGCCCACCTTCATTGAGCCCCGTGTCAACCTCGTTTCTCATCAGAGCGCCAAGCTACTGCTCGCGAACCAGAAGGACTTCCAGCCCAGCTGGGGCCGCTCCATGAGCGAGCTCTTCGGCAAGGGCGAGTTCGGTACCGAGCAGCGCGAGGCTATTGGCAAGGCCCTCAACACTGAGGAGTTCCCCAAGCTCGTCAAGAAGTTCTACGAGGATATTACTGAGCGTCTGATCGCCGAGAAAGGTGGCCAGCTCGGAAAGATCAACCAGGTCGATATCACCCGTGATGTCGGTAACCTGGCCCACGTCCACTTCGCCTCGACCATCTTCGGTCTCCCACTGAAGACCGAGGCGAACCCCGGCGGTCTCTTCACCGAGCACGAGATGTACATGATCTTGTCCACCATCTTCAGCGCGCTCTTCTTTGACATCGACGCTCCCCGCTCGTACTCTCTGAACCGCGCCGCCTCCGCCGTCTCCAGCCAGCTTGGCTCCGTCGTCGAGGCCACCGTTAAGGCTGACACCAGCAGCGGCCTCTTGTCCGGTATCATGGACAGCTTCCGTCCCCATGACAACGCCCTCCGCGAGTTCGGAACCGAAGCCATCCGCCGCATGAAGGAAGCCGGCTCCAGCGCCTCGGACATCACCTGGTCGGCCATCATCCCCACCATCGTTGGCATGGTCCCCAACCAGGGCCAGGTCTTCACCCAGGTCATCGAGTACTACACCGCACCGGAGAACAAGGCCCATCTAACGGAGATCAACCGCCTCGCCAAGGAAGACTCCGCCGAGTCCGACGAGAAGCTGTACCGCTACTGCCTGGAAGGAATCCGTCTGAACGGCACCTTTGGCGCCTTCCGCGAAGCCAAGGTCCCGATTACCGTCGAGGACAACGGCAAGACCTACGGCATCCAAGCCGGCCAGCAGGTCTTCGCCTCCTTCGTCGAGGCCAACCACGACGCCAGCGTCTTCCCCGAGCCCAACGAGGTCCGTCTCGACCGTCCCCTCGACTCATACATCAACCACGGCCAGGGCCCAACCACCGGGTTCGGCGAGCAGGTCACCAAGATTGCTCTTGTGGCCATGCTGCGCGTCGTTGGTCGTCTGCAGAACTTGCGCCGCGCTGCCGGTGCCCAGGGTCAGCTTAAGAAGATTCCTCAGGAGGGTGGTTACTACAATTACCTCCGTGGCGATGGCTCTGCCTACTGCCCCTTCCCTATGTCGCTTAAGCTTCACTGGGACGGTCCCTTTGAAAAGAAGAAGCCTACTTCTTCGTAAGCCCGTTCTCCTGATTCGAGTCGAGACGAGGTTTGAAGTGCTGTCGGATTTATTAGGTAGTCTACTTCTAATATTGCCCGGAGTGGCGATGTGCTTTGTAATGTGGAGGTAATATCCCTTGGGGTTGGCTATGATTTCATGTTGCCTTGAGGTTTTTGTTGTTTGGGAGGATGTTGGTTGCGAGGATATCCAGAAATTGTTGAGTTTTGTCTATAGTATAGTGTACGTCTCATGAATCTTCCATTGTTGAATTGCTCTTATAAGTATAATAAGAAGACCCGGAGACAAAGCATGAACGTACCAACGGACATGACTGTATGCCCGGTCCCATAATGTATCAGACAGTTGCTATGACTCCAGGGGTGTACAATACCCAATGAGCCTTATTATAGTTTCTATGCCCATCTATAAACCATGAATCAAAATCAAAATCAAAATCAATGAGTGCAAGTGTATGGTAAAAAGTTTGATAATTATACTCAAATCAATGGTATTCAACTCGTTACTTGGAATCATTCCAGGATTAGTATTCGTCTCGGGGGAGCTTTGCACCAGAATCTCTTCACACATCAACAGCAAGCCAGCAAAGACCAAACGAGTCTACCGACAAAAAGCACCATCAACAGCCGAAATCCTCATTGCAAGACTTCATCGCACAATAAATGCCGAAGAAAAACGAGCACATAGCCCGAACAGAAGTAAATCATGGATACTGTTCACGTGACCGCTAGCACACGTCTCAAATCATGACGGGGGAAAAAAAGGAAGACAAAAAAATACATCAAGGCTCTGAACAAACGAAAAAGGAGAATAACGCAAAGGGAATAAAAATGGGAATGGGACTGGAACCGGGAATGGCAATCCATCAGCGCGCCTTGAATGCCAGTTCATGCATATGCAAGCACCTGTATCTCCCTATCGCCAGGCCCCTTGACTCAACGATAGGAGACCCTGAACACAGTCCAGGTCGTCTTCTTGACTTCCCCCATCACCACTGGACATGAACGCCGACACATCTGCACTGACCTCTGGCGGGGCTTTGCCCTGACCAGATTGGAGCGGTCGATTGCGTTTGCCGTTGCTGATGCCGAGACCGCGGGTGCGGTTGGCATCGCGAAGAGCGGATCGTGGCACATGCGACGTATTGCGACGACGAATATTGGCCGCTCGTGTGCCTGGAACCCAGTTCTCCTTGTCCGAATCACCGGGGTCTAATTCCAGGTCTTGCTTTCCAGACTTGGAAAATATGGGCTTCGACGGCTTCGATACAGAAACAACCTTGTAGCGTCCGGGCTGGCGTTCGGTCTCCAAACGCCCCATAGAAGAAAATGCGCGAGCCAGCTTCCGTCTCTTCTCTCCCATGGACTGAGAAATAGGTGTACTGTTGATGTCGGCTTGGGCAGCGAGACCCGATCGCCCAGAAGCGCTCCGTGTTAAGGAGCGCTGACTGCGAGACTGGAACAGACCCGGGGAAGAAGCGTTGGGGCCTGAAGTCGGTGTCGATAGAGCACTTCGGGCATCTGTGTCACAGAATGATTCCCAGTTGCGCGAATCGCGAGACCGACCAAACGTCCGATCCTTCTCAGCCATGCCTGCCCGCGGCGTAGCTGGGAAGATGGCACTGCTACTGCGTCGCAGGCCAGACATCTTTGTCCGACGTACTGAGAACATCGCCACGCGGTTCTTGGATGGCGAGGGCTCGTTCTCCCCGCGAATGACTGCCTTGCCATCGGACGACATGGCGATACGCAACGCGTTGCGACCTTTTGGAGGCGACGGCGTTAGCTCGCCCTCTGTGCGTACCATAGCCTCTCCATCAAATGACATGGACAATCGCAGCGATGGCGGGGACTTGGTCGGCGTGGTGTGTGTGATTTGTGTGTTTGTTGTCTCCTGCTCGTGTGCTCCTTCGCCCTTCATGTCCGACACGGACCGTTTTCTCTTGGGAACGGAGAGAAGAGAATCCTCCGAGGGGTCATTAACATTTTGGGAAAACTCTTCCTGCGTGGTCGGTGGCGTGTCCTCTACCACCTCGGTAGCCACGCTTGTTTGTGTACTCGGAGGCAGCTCAGGATCCTCTTTTTCATCCACGGGCTCCGACTCATCGGAGAAGTTCAGCAGCCCACCGTGCCATGGTTTCGCCATTTCTTCGCGACGGTCGTGAACGTCGGATTGTTCTGCCCCACTTGACGACCCCGGCTCCGCCGACGCGTTATCGTCACTTAAAGGTTGACCGGATGAATCGACTATGCCCGACCGCGGGCCAAGTAGTTCGTGAGGCTGAAGGGGTTTGGATTTCCGACGGTCGTTCTGGCGGCGGTTCTGGAACCAAATCTGCGCAGACGGGTTAGATGTGGGTTTAATGCGTTAGTTCTTGGCATCACATACTTGGACCTCTTTTTCGCCCAGCGAGACACGGTTTACGATGTTTGTGCGGGCACTTTTGTCGGGCTTGGGGTTCTGCTGATATTCGGATTCGAGAATGGCGTGGTCTTCGGGGCTGTATCCAACATTGCAGTTAGTCGACGCGTACTATACCCTCGACCACGTGCCATGTCAATAGCGCCCTGGAAATAGCATACCTCGTCCGGCGCCGCTTTTGGCGGGCTAGTAACTTGTTGTCGACCCGAGGAGGAAGATTCTGGGTGAGTGTCTTTTGGGAGTGAACGAGGAAGGCGTAGTTGAGAGGATTGGAGTCGGTGGCCGGGAGAGAGGGCGAAGATGAGATCGCCACCGAAGGCTCCGGATCAGACATGATACAGACTAAGAGAGCATGAGGATTGGAGGAAAGAGAAGGCAAGGAGAGAGTAGGGGGGGGAATCGGGCCAAGATGTGAAGTGAGTTGAGGCTGGTGCAGAAGTATGCAGAAAAACGTCAAATCGCGTCGCGGTGTAGGACGCGGAGTAGAAAGAACGTGGCCCGCGCTAGTAACTCAGTGCGCCTCCGAGGTACCTGCTACCTGCCCGCGATTTGCTTTTTGATCTTGGACTTGGTTTGCTTTTCGCTGTTGATTCTGTTGACTCTCTTCCTGGTGTGTCCAATGTGCTGTCTATGGCTGTCTATGGCTATCATGGCTGTCTGTTGACGCGTCGGACGATCTCCACTTAGGTTGCAGTTACATGTGCAGTTACAGGATGTTCTACGGAATATCTTGGCGCGTCCAGTACAGTGTCATTGGACCATTGAGACCACCAGACCACATCCAGGGACCATCCAGGTTGAAATGTGAAGCTGCGTTGAGAAGAGCAAATGTCCGACTGGATTTCAGGACGCGGGTGACGCGCCCTCACGTGACCCCACGCGGACCACACGTGGAGATCTCGGGTTGAAATCGGGTGGAAATCGGAAATCGGAAGTCGGGAATCGGAGAGCATCAAGAATGCAGTGTGTTGTTCAATTCCCTGGGCCAGGAATGTCTTCGGCATGACTTGAAGCATGGCACTGAGTCGCAGGTTGGGGTGCGGGGACACTCACCGGGGCCACTTGGGGGGGAAATCGGGGCTTCTTCGCTCTTCCCCGGATCCATGGTCTTTCTTCCCGTTGACTCGATACTCAATTGTGCAGTCTCAGGCTACCTGGTAAATATGTAGCGGGACCCCAATTGCGGGTAGAGCTCTCTGAAATTCGGTAATTCTGGAACATCTCTATGGGTCGATTGTACACCATATCAGTGGCCGTATTGGCGGCCACAGGGTCATTCCTCTTTGGTTATGACTCGGGGGTCATGACAGATGTGATCAACTCTCCGAATTTTCTAGACTACTTGAATACTACACAGACGTCTTCTATTGTTGGCGCTATCAACAGTACCTTTTCGGGAGGAGGTGTGTTCACTGCAGACCCGACGGCCTTGCGTTCTAGTTCCATATCCCCCAGATCAAAAAAGGACTCAACCAGCTAACCCCAATCAATAGCGGTAATCGGCTCTCTTCAAGGGGGACTGACCATGGACCGTTTCGGCCGCAAGTTCACCATCCAACTAGGAGCTTGCCTATGTATCATTGGCGCATCACTACAAGCAGCCGCACAGAACCTCCCCATGATCCTCATCGGCCGAATCCTAGCTGGCTGGGCAATCGGTCTCATGTCCATGGCCGTCCCCGTCTACCAGGCCGAGTGTGCCCACCCACGCTCTCGGGGCATGATCGTTGGACTGGCACAGCAAATGATCGGCGTGGGATTCATTTTCAGCACGTATGGGGACCACAGCATCTCCGTCGATACCATCAAGCACAATGAACTGACGACCTATAGATGGATCGGGTATGGATCCCTCCATGCACCAGATACAAGTCAATTCCAGTGGCGATTTCCTCTCGCCTTTCAAGTCATTCCTGCACTGATCTTGGCCATTGGCATGTTATTTTTGCCGGAGTCACCGCGGTATCTGATTGAAATGGAGCGATATACCGAGGCGCGGCGCATTCTTCACAGATTACACTTTGATGGCTCCAATGATGCCTATCTCGAGGCTGAGTATAGTGGCATTTGTACTGCCATTGAGACGGAGAAGGGGTTCAAAGCAACTGGGTGGATGGCTATGTTTACTGTTTCGCAATGGCGGACTCGACTCTTGTATGGATACCCTCCCAGTTGCTAATCACAAGATGAGAGACTTACCAGTATGCGCAGCCATGGCGTTGCCGTTCAGGTATTCACACAGATGACTGGTATCAATGTGATTGGGTATTACCAGACCATCATGTATAAGTCCCTTGGTATAACAGGAGATCGCATCACGCTCGTTGCCGGTATCTATAATTGCGTTGGTCCGCTCGCCAACTTGGTCTTTGTGGTCTTTATTCTTGACCGTGTCGGTCGTCGGAAACCTATGCTCTTTGCTACGGTCGCCATCTCACTTGCTCTTGTCTGTGAGGCAGTGCTGAACTCGCAGAATCCCGATGGTCAGAAACTTGGATATAGCATCGCGGGTGTTTTTTTTATCTTTTTGGTCGCAGTAATCTTCTCGATGTCTTTTGGGCCTTGCAGCTGGTGAGTTTGCATCGTTTGCTCGTGTGTTTGAAATTCGCTCATCGCGTCCTCCTTGCTTCCAGGGTCTATATGGCTGAAGTCATGCCCATGCAGATCCGGGGTAAAGGCAACGCTTTTGCTGTTGGTATTGGGAACTGGGCTGTCAGCACCGTCTGGAGCCAGATCTCGCCTGTTGCTTTGGGGAAACTCAAGTGGCGATTTTATCTTGTTTTTGTCGCGTGGAGTGAGTTGATTCTGCGTTTTTGTCGTTCTCGCTTTTCATCGCTGACCGGTTAGATCTCTGTATATCCCTTCCTGTGATCTATTTCTTCTTTCGGGAAACCAAGCAGAAGTCACTCGAGGACATTGACTTGTTGTTTGGGGGACGGCCGAATGCACTGCAGGAGGATAGGGGTGTCGCGCATCCCCCCAAACTGGATCTCCAGCAGTTTGATCAGATCGAGCTGGACACATCTGCAAGTAATCTCGAGAATGCATCCCGAGTCGGTCATCGACACAAATAGAATTCAATAGTCGCATTTCTGTCAAACCACAGTACGTTCAGTCCGACATCTGACCATGCCAACTCCTTTCGCAGGATATTACTTCCGTTCAATGAAACCCCTATCCCTCGACACTTCGAATCCTTGCAGTTCGAGTGTTGACGGTATCTTCGGAGCTGGTATGCCACCTTTCGGACTCGCAACATACAAACATTTGGCCTCGATGAAGTAAAGTGGAGTCTAAGATACCATCTTCTCTCTTGAATACTACATGCTAGAAACTTCGAAGAATGTACAACTCCAGACTGCAATCCAACCTTGCAACGTCCAAGCAGGGGAGTGGAGCAATGAGGCGCATATAGTCTTGGCCGAGTTTAAAACAATTAAACATGCGGCTTGAAATGGAAATGACAGTACACCAGCAACCTTCATAACAACAACAACAACTATGATAACCAAGCCACTAGATCGCAAGACCCAATAGCTAACCCAATAAATTAATACCTCAATACCACAGACCGTTGGACCTATCAACTTCACCCTCCAAATTCAACTCGTGTCACCCAAGGACAATTCAGCCGATCAACATTCCGCCGCCAAAGCCACTCTTGGCCTGCCTATCCCTTCCCCTAGACACCCACCTTATTGGGCCAATGATGCAGGGAGGGGAGCACATTAAGTTCAGAGTGAGTTGACGCCCAAATACCGTGTGAAATCTGTGTATCCATCGCCTCTCTTCCCCGCTTTGACGGGTCGATCATCCCCAGATCCCCTGCACTCTACTCTTACTCTGCTCCTCCTCCGGTCTGCTTGTTTTCACCGGAAACTTGGATGCGAACCTACGTCTAACTGGCTTTCTCTTCTTTGTGGTGTGGTGCTGCGCCATACCCTCAACTTCTCTTTGAGCTGGTCATCGCGATCGGCTGAAAGTATCGACTTCCCTTTTCAAGCTGGTCTTGGTGGTAAAAGCGCACGGTCAAGCCTGTGCAGTCGGATTTGATCGTTTGGCCTACTGTTCGCCGCCCACCACGCTGGTTGTTGATCATACGCGACGACGATTCGTGCGACCAAGACCGGGAAATAAGTCATGGCCGAAGACCAACATCTGAAAAACAGCCATATGGCCATCGTGCTAGGTATCGGGCTTGGAGTGGTGCTACTTATTGTGCTGAGTTTAATGTGAGTGGAATGCGATCTGATTGTGCTGCTGGATCTCGGCTGTTCTCTTTTCTGGTCCTTCATTTTTGGCTTTCTGATACATTCCCTCCGTATCACATGCAACACAATTCCTGACTGTATCACCTAGTTTGACGATTGTCATCAACCGCCGGGATCGGCAGTCATTTCTGCGCTCGAAGAAAGATCCTGACGAGCGCTTGCGGAGTTTGGATGCCGTGGCTCCAATTTGCACGCTCGAGAAGTGGTGGACTACCACGAAAGGGAATCTGGGGCTGTCCGAGGCTGTTGATGGACAGTTTGTTTGGTATGTCGCTTTGAACCCGTTCTGTCGGTGGTGTTTGCTGTCCTGCAGTGACTGACTTCGGATTCAGTGCTGTCTGCTTGGAGCAAGTCGATCGCGCTCATGAAATTCGCCAACTGCGCTGTTTGCATGTCTTCCACCGAGAGTGTCTGGAAAAATGGTTTTTAGGTGATCATTTCAATTGTCCGCTCTGCCATCGAGCCTATTATGCGTCGAGTACACCGCCCCGCAATGATTATGTATGGATGGTTTGACTCGGGTCCATCCATGTAGGGAATATGGGCTAGGATCATGCCTTTATGAATGAAATCTTCAACTTCACATAATTATGACTTTCCGATCAATGCGGCAAGCCTCATGTAGCTCGTCTTATTGATGTTGCAGTGTCAAGGCGCAAATCCCTCACCAAGAGACATGAACTCGGAATTGAAGTCCCACATAGTGTTGTAATTCGACCAGTTCAAGAAGTTGTCGAGACCTGATGTCACATCATCTACCACGTTCTCCTGCGCCGGTTCGGGATCAAGAAGTCGGTCAAGAATCTGAGATAACTTTTTCTCGGCTTCTTTGCAGGTAGTATAGTTACCGTGACCAGGACATGATACCCAGGATAGGAAGGAAACAAAAACGCTCAAGTTTCGAATCAATTCCGCGCGTGGGAGTGGGACAGTGTGAGGGCCGGGCTCATGTGACTGGCGTAAAAGTTCGAGAAGAAGAACGCTCGCAGAGGGTACACCATAAGTGAGGACCTGTACATATGTCAGCAAGAGTCGCCATTTGGTTCACAGGAATAACAGACAATCCATGAAAAGTGGCGGTCAAGATCCACCATCGGAGTTCGAAAAGAGTTCACACGGATGACAATTGCTAGAATTCGACGTGAGACATCGCATAGATCGTCTTGGCCAGTATTGGTGTGCTTCACGACTGCCCTATAAAGCAAAAAGCAAGTATAGAGGTAATCTAGATAGAAATAAACGATTGTAAGCCATCCATCATGGAATTGGTCATCCAATCTGCGATCATATCGAAGATGATCTGGAGCCGCTCCCCATATGGCACGAGACTTTGCTTGGATTTCCCTTAAGAGAAATTGTCAGCATTTATGCAAGTGTCCACCAGGCCCGGAAAGTTAAATGAGATGACATACTCGGATTTTTGGATCAGATTATGTTGTTTTTGGGTACCCAGTACAACCTCAAGAGCTTCTTCCCGAATTATGGCCAATTGATAACGAAAAATAGTTGGGGTTACCAGGTGTAGCATCCCTTTCGTGTTCCAGCCGGCACTGTCCAGCTCCGATATAGCTTTGTTCAGTACATCACCACCGGCAACTAGATCATCATCACTCAGATCCAATGGAGCAGTGGGCGTACAGAATTTACTGTTCATCAGTGGTGGTCGCCCAACAAAAGTCGCTACCATTTTGTCCATGTAAAAGGCTGCAGTAAAACAGCGCCTTCGCCATTGACGAAGGAAAAACGGACAGTTATCTGCGCCATCGTTCTCCAGGTGCAGTCCAGCCGCATAGATTGTGGATACTAAATCGCCCAGTCGACGCCATGCTTGATAGCCTAGGAAAAGTTGTTAGTGAGTGGAGATGAAACAAATGTTGCACCAAATGAAAGACCGTACTGGAATCACCATACTGCTGTGTTCGCAGCATGGTATCATTGAACTGCAATATCGCGAGCAGTTCGTTGACCGACGATGCCTGGTCACAGAATCCAAGACATATCGTACTTATCACGGTCAGTTGCTCTAGTAATTTGTCTTTTGCCCGAGGATCATCGGATCCCTGGGTAACTTCAGGATCGCTGTCTGGCGTAATGACCAGCTGCATTCCACAAAGAGTGAAGATGGATCCAAGGGCCTCCCAGCGGAGGTTACGCCCAGTGAAAGACGCACAATATTCTCCGGCTGTCATGGACTTATGTGTCCGCATTGGTCGGGCAGTATTCTGAAATATCTGCGTTGCCAGCTCTTGCAATCGTGCGGTTGGATCAGGGGAATTGAACCCGTCAAACATGACACGCACTGAGCGGAGAATTTCATCCATAACCAATTTCGGTACGACTGTATTCCATGTTCGAACATAAAATTTTTCAATCAATGCATGGTGCATGTTGAAGTTGTGCAGAAATCGCAAGACGTCAACCCCGGATTGCAGTCGATCAGGTTCCACTACTAGCCCCACGGATGACTCCGTGTTCTCCTCGGGCTCGAATGGAATCTCATTGCGGTGCTCAGTCAAGACTGCAGAGAAGCTCGTCGAGCCCAAGTATCCCGGCAGAGCCGAAGGTGGCTCTAAGGGCGCAAAAGGCGCCCACTACCCAGCGACCCTGGGCTGGATGCACTGCTCCCCACATTAGCATTGTGTCATGATTTGGTGCAAGGGGTTCGCTCGTACTTTGAAGTTGGCTGGCTTGTCATTCGACTGGAAACAACCGCCGGGTTGACCGCATTCGATGGTCTTCTTCTGGTCATGGGAGCTGGGTGGTAGAAACATTTATCGCTGATTCGCTTTGCAGCGCACCTGCGGCAGACGGGTCTGTCATGGTCACATCGCTGTTTAGATCTACGACAGGGCTCGCATGATTGCAATGTGCCATTTCGACGTGTGGCTGGCGATTGAGAGCGACGATCATCATTCCTCATGACTTTTCAAGAAGCCCTGCATCGGGTCTTTGTTCGAAAGCCAGAAGTAGAAGAATTGGAAAGAAGTGAATGGTTCCCGTGATGTCGGCCACATCCGAAATAGGTTTAGTGTGCATGTTGAAGTATGCGACCAACAATTATTCCAGACATCACTCGGAGCCTACAAAAGTGCGCTGAAGGGGGGTTTCTTGGTATTATATTCTCGTAGGTACTCTAGAAGATTTTCACCGGTGAAACTCTACACCTAATAAATGGACTGGCTCTGCAAATAGAAATTCACCTGTGAACACAATACCCCAGTCTAGTTTCTCCCTCTCCCTGAATCAAGACAATCAAATACCAAATAATATGACTTAGAGTCTTATTTAGAATCAGACGCGGCAATATCTTTCCGCATAAAGACAGTCTTTATGTCCCAAATCTTGCCATTTTTGTCCGCAACACGGTAGAAATTCTGCACGGTCTTGACCAAGCGATAACCTCGGCGAGAATACCATTCTTCATTGGTGGTCTGCATATAATAAGTCATTTAATCCGGAATTGCAATTTCTGATACTGTACTCACTTTCGGAATCCCCCCATATGTTACATTTGCAAATTCCTCGTTTTTTTGATCATCTTTTTGGACTGTATCCAGCATCAATGTTTTGGCGTTGAGTGGCTCCTGCACTGCCATGGTCTCCACCTCATTCATTGCAGCTCGTCCGATACCCTGGCCTTGGATATGCTGTCTGATATAAAATGTCTTGATCCAGAAAATGTTTTCGGATGGTAGATCGAGATCAAGGTGCTCGATTTCGACATTTTTGGAATCTAACGATATATGACCAATCGGAGTGAATCTTGCTTTTGTTGGCTGTCGAGCCACAGCATTGATTGAGCTTGCTGTGTCTTGCAGCTTTTCGTCTTCTGCGTCCACCTGTGAATCAGGCGATGACAGCACCTTTTGAATCAAACATTAGATGTTATTCTTCATTTGAAGTTATTGTAAGCTTCTTTCGTTGTTTAAAGACTTACAATCCAATAAATGCATTTTTCACCCCGGAGTTGCTGTCCTTTCCATTCTGTTTCAACTTTCTCCTGGTGCCAGCTGCATTCCACCCGTTGCTTTACAAGCAGTTCTACATGAGCATCTGAATTGGAATCCCAGGGGAATAGAGTCACTTCTGTAGTCTGGCCCATTTTGTGAATGCAATTTTCTTTGTTTTGGTCGAAAAGTTGAAACATATTATTGGGGTGACTCATTGCTCCCGGTCCCCGGGGCCCTGATGATTTATAAGCCGCTATTTTTTACAGCCATGTCGATAAACACGAGTACAGCTAGGAGGCATAATCCGCTTGGAAACTGAAGTTTGCGTCACAGCCATTCAGAAAATCTTAGGTCAGATTACATGATACAGGAAAAAGATAAGAGGTCATAGGCTGGTGATATCATGTCGAAAACTGACCGATCTGGCGCCAGCGACTTGGGCTTCGGAAATTATATCCTCTATGGACTTGGGTAGAAAACATTGAACAATTTTAATCCTTGAATGCAGCTCTGAGCCGCCGTATTCTTCTCATAAAAAATTTCCCAGCGAGCGTTACTTATTCCGCTTTTGCCGTGTTTGACTTATCCTGCTCTACCGGCGAAGAGATACTCTCTTTCTCGCCCTCCCTACCAGAGCTCGAGGTCACAGATGGTTGAAAAACTCCACTGGAATGAGCAAGTTGATGATCAAGTTGGGCTTTTTCTTCGTCGGTCTTATCGGTAAGATGAACAGCGACCTCTTCGCCGAAATTCTGTGCGATTTCCTCCAAGGTGAGACGGGCAGTCTCTGGGAAGAAGAAGTAGATAACTGAATATATGATTAGTGGCCAGTGATTCAAGGTAAATCTGAGTTAGGCTAAGAATCATACCGGGAATGAAGCATACAGACCAACAGATGATGACCAGATAGTATTTCCAGCCAACATTGTTGAAACCCATGGGAGCAGTCTGCAGAAGAATGATTGTGGCTTTTTGATATTAGCTCTAAATCAAAAATCATTGGAACTGCAACCAACTTACCTGCAAACTGGCCGAACAGGGAGAAACCCATGCCAATTGGACGAATCTCAGTTGGGAAAATCTCCGAGACATAGAGGTACATGGTAGTGTCACAAAATGTACTATAACCATGTCAGTCTCTCAATGATGATGACAACCATGGGCCGAATATTCTCAAACTTACCCCTGGAAAGCCAGATACAGGTACATGAAGAATATACCAAATCCGTTTCCGACCTTGTTAGTAGTACCAGCGTATTGAGCAGTCATGGCAGCCAGACAAGAAGTGGTCACAATAATGCCTACAAATCCGGTCATGTACATTCCCCGCCGGGAGTTGACTTTATCATGCAGCCAGGCACCGAGAGGGTTATAGATCACACCGGCTGTTGTCAGCCAAATGGCACTCAGGAGCAGAGGCATGCCACCTTCCATGCCCAAGTTTGTATACAAAAGAACAGCATAGTTGTTCTACATGAACAGTCAGCTTGTATCTTCTCAAGTGGAATTACTCAACTCACGATAATCAAAGGACCACCGAATTCAGCGCCCCACTGGGTAAGAAAACCGATAGCCATGCGCTTTCGGTAAGTTTTCTTCTTGAATACTGCTTTCCATACATTGCCGTACTGAGCCAATTTGTCGGCCTCAAGTCGAATCTGCTCTTTCGTCTGGAAGAACTCCTTCTTAGCAACCAAGTTATCTGGGTCCTCTGGAGATTCGCGAAGTTTGTTCAGAACGTGTTGTGCTTCATCAAGTTTGCCCTTTGAGATCAGCCAACGAGGCGATCGTGGCAGCCACGGGGATCCTAGTAATAGGATTAAAGGAGGCAAACACTGCAGAGCTAAAGGAAACCTCCAGCCGAACCCGGACAGGGAGCCTGACACGAAGTAGCAGGCATACCCAACCCACGCAGAAAGCATGTAGCCAAAGACTAAAAAGATCGCATGATGACCAACAAGCCAGCCACGACGCAAGGCACTCGACATCTCGGACAGGTACATGGGGCAGACAGTCACCAGAATACCGATTCCCAGACCGCATATGAACCGTCCAGCTTGAAACATACTATATCCTGTCAAAAAGATTCCAAATAATACAATTCCAGAGGCCTACTCACGGCAAAGAATTGGAGCCAGCCTGAAGAGCTCCTCCAAATAGCGAAAAGAAGGCACCGAACTGAATGTTAGCCTTGCGACCAAAGAATTCACAGGACCACATTATAAAGAGAGTACCAACAGCACCGCCGGCACTGAATACACCGTTGGCTGTTGAGATTGCAGGAGTAGTTATCGTGGCATATCCCGGTTCTCCGTCAGCCGGGAGACTGAAGTATGTATACCACCCCGGCTGGCCGATCGTACTGGATATAACCGATGTGCAATACCCATATGTCTGCATAAATCCAACGAGTCAGTGTCGTCAAAACTATGAGCAGACAGGTGAGAGCTTACCATAGACCCAATGGCGACAAAAATAGCCACCAGCCTGTTATAGGTACTGGTCTGGGAACCGAACCTACCCATGATGCCGTTTGTTAGTCTGATCAACCTGACCACAGGTACCACAGTCTGGAGATCAGTGTACAGTATGAGCAAGGGCTCTAACAATCACAGTTGGATGCGACAAGAGAATTTCAAGGTATTTTGTAGGCGGCATAAACAGGGGGTCTATTTGACAGAACCGTAGTGGAGTGAACCCACCCAAGTGCATTGAGTTCATAGGAAGGCATCTAATGAGTGGACGGCTGATCCCAGCATAAACTGCAGCTAGGGCTGGACCAATCTGGGCGCACATACTCCGTACAGTATTACTGAGTTGTACGAGGCTAGAAAAACAGATGTTAATTACTGTTTTGTGATCTGCAGATCTGTCGAATCAAATAACTGCCCTCCAGTGCATTCCAGTGCGGACCTAGTCCGACGCTATTAGCCTATGATGTGAATTAACTCCACATCAAAGTCTGAAGTGCCAGAGCCCGTAGCTTTATGCCGTTGTCCGCTTTGTCAAGTCTATCGTGTTTGCCTTGTTAAATAGCCAAGCATCAATTTCCTGTTGCTGGTCACTTCGTTCACGAACAAATCATGGTCGATTCTCCCTACGACACCCCTTTTGATGAGCTTCCCAACCCGAGACAGGTGTGGCTGGGAAAACCTGGAAGCTATGAAGAGGGTCTTGGAAAGCTGGCCATTCTTACCCCTGAGGTCGTCGCTAAGGCAGCAGCTGACGAGATCAAATGCGGCCGCCGAGTGACTATGGGATGGGAGCTGACGAAACTTGATTATCCCAATCTCAACCGTCAACCATGTCATCACAAGATTATACCTCTTCTGGGAGGTGTGGCATTTGACGATGTGTATACTATGAACCCCCGTGAGTTCAGGATTTTCTTTTCTCGGAATTTCTATACATTAGTGCCCAGAGGCTGTACTAATTAGTGCACAGAGCAAAGTAGTCAATGGGATGGTCTGCGCCATTTTTCTCAAAATGTCCCCGGTCAATCTGAGCGTGTATTCTATGGCGGAACAACAGTCGAAGAGATTAATGATCGCCAAAATGACCGGATTGGTCTCCAGCACTGGGCTCGAGAGGGAATCGCAGGTAGGAATCTTTATCAGATGAATCTTCCTTAAGCTCATCGGTTATAGGACGTGGAGTCTTGATTGACTACGCAACGTGGGCTGAGAAAAGGGGAATCAAGTATACCACGTTCTCGACTCATCAAGTTCGCTTTGCAGACATTCTTGACATTGCAAAGGAAAACAATATCACCTTCCAAAAGGGGGACATCCTTTTCGTCCGGGTTGGAGTGACCAAAGAGTGGGACACATCCATGACCGATGCGCAAAAACGGGCATATTCCGAAAACGCTAGCCCAGAGCATGCTGGAGTTGAGGCAACTACTGAAATCCTTCGCTGGCTTTGGGACACTGGGTTCGCTGCCATCGCCAGCGACGCAATTAGCTGGGAGGTAAGACCACAATATCTTCAAGTCTTGCCATCTGGCCAGTCAACTACTGTATGGGCTCTACTGACAGATACGCAGGTTTATCCGCCTCAATCCCCTGACATCTTCCTGCACGAGTATGTACTAGCTGGATGGGGTATGCCGATCGGTAAGTTAGCGGAAAGCAGTGCATTTTGTCCGCTCCCACTGAGGAACCACAGGGGAACTTTTCGATCTGGAGGCACTGGCCCGCACCTGCCAAGAACTCCAGCGGTGGAGCTTCTTCGTGACATCTGTGCCATTGAACATGCCTGGCGGAGTTTCGTCGCCTCCGAACATGATGGCGATTTTCTAGATCAAATCTGCTTAGATTCTTCCATAGGTAACTATACTGCTCGTCAAAACCTGGTGTTCCTTTTCTGTAGCTCTGTAACGGCTATAAGTATTTTGAGGGTCCTGAAATATGTCAAAATCCCCTGGACTACTTAAATTGGAATGCGAAAAGAGACACTAAAACCAGTGACAAGGTCAATGTGGGCTGATACAGTAGACCGGGAGGGGCGAGCGGATTCTACAATCCACCGCATTCCGCTTTGGTTGACCTGCGTAAAGTTTCTTCAACCCAAGGCGAAGCTTATGAATAATGATAGTCCAAGGGTCCACAGGCGTCATTTCCCAAAGAGGTCATTGCAAAGTGCACTGTGGATCTGTCTCGTACTTTGAGTTCATTGTAGACTGGCAAAAGAATCAATTCTCTAGGTCTTTTGCTAAGCCCACATATCCCCACTTAGAGAGCCATACAGTAACTGATGTATGGGTCGCGGGTTGTGAAAGCCCACAGAGGATCGAGTGGTACACACTACGGGGCCGTTGGGGGCCCACTTCCCGCTGGTCTATTTTGGCCCCCAACTTAATTTCGGGTGAATCTTACGGGTAATTTACATTTTCATTCTAGTTGAACGATTGTTTGTAGGTGAACGAGTTGCATACCTGAGTTTAGTGCACTGCTGTAAGGATGAAATCCAGGTATCTGCTAGGGACTCCATGCCAATGAACAGGTCATTGATTGTTGTTTTGAGGTCAGACCATGACTTGCGCAGAATGCTATACATATATCCATGCAGGACAGTACTTTTGCTTGCCGGGATAACAGATTACATTACGCATAGCAACATGTGATTCAGACCGTAACATCCTGGTCTAGATGCAGATGCAGAAAGCTACTGTACAGTACATCCATTATGCGTTGAGGTCCAAGTTATCTGCTGCATGGAAGATATTCGTACCTGTGTTAATACAGCCACCAAGCATTAGTTGACGAAATATTACGAGCGTCTCGCATGCCACGATCGAAGATTCCACCGTCGACGGACCTAGTGCTTCCGTAACACTCGATCGTCGGTTGTGGCTTAAGGTTTATCATCAATGCTGGCTTTTTGGGCGTTTCAGAAGAGTCGATCAGGGTCAATCAGAACGCTATTTCTGCTGTCCTGGTTCTGTAGACGGTAATGGTAAGTTTAGGCGTATTATGCAATCTGTTTGTCAAACCAAAATGCCAAACCTAATGATTGGTCTTCGCTGTATTAACCTTGGCTTTAACTCTCTGGAATATTGTTTAAAGAGGGCTTTCCTGGTTCAACTAGCCTCTAATTGAGGTTGGTTCCTAGCCCTACTGTTCTTGACGATGCACGCTATGTCGTCTATGTTGGAGCGAGCATCTGGGGATGTGTCCATCAATCGGAGTGTTCAAAATTGGAACTATGCCTGTCAATCATTGTGCATCACTGGCATGAGTGTTTTCTTGTGCCTTCGCATGTATACACGAGTGTTTATTCTCAGCGGGCTTAACACTGAGGATTGTGAGTTGAATTGTCTCACACAGCTGAGAGATACTGACAGCTTTGATAGGGGTATGTTTGGTAGCTACGGTATGGCATCAGTATAATGACGATTCTGATGATAATTCTGACAATTTATGTTGAAGTTCCTCGGGATTTGCTACTCGATCATTGCTCTCGTCAGTATGTTGCCTAGCACTAGCCCTCAACGTATCTTTTTTAACACATTTGCAGTGGGACACTATGGTGGAGGCTTACATTGGTCTGATGTCCATGAAGAGGATAAAATCCCTTTTCAAAAGGTATGCGATGTTACGCTGCATGAGATTCCATGGTACTAACAATGTAGACCATTTACGTGACGATGGTCATGTATGGACCAACCGCCTACTTAACAAAGGTCTGCCTGCTTTGGATCATGACTCGTGTTTTTAGTCCCTTCCGAAAATGCATCATTTTCATCAGGATCTTCATGGGCATCATGCTGGCCTACTACATCCCCGCTGTTATTGCCAAAATCCGAATTTGCAAACCCATCCCTAGGTTTTGGGACCCGGAGATTCCTGGTACATGTCTTGACAAGAACTCCATTATCCTGGCTGATGCAGCCGTCAGTGTTGTCAGCGATCTAATTATTCTCATCCTGCCTATCCCGTTGACCTGGAGCTTGCAAATGTCGACCAAGAGAAAAATGAGGGTGATGGGCATCTTGGGGGCGGGCGGAGTAGCTGTTGCATCAAGCATCATTCGTCTAGCCCTCATTGTGGCTACCGGGCAATCAGCGGATGCATCTTTTGCTTTTATGAGGATTAACATGCTTGGGTATGATTATGTGTTTATCACTGCTTTCAATATAGCGAACTAACTGATACATCTCTAGTAACGCCGAAGTCGCCATTGGTGTGATCTGCACTTGTCTCCCTGCCCTCTCCGCCCTCCTCATTCGCATATACAATGAATATTCGAGCAACAAAGCGACACTCGAGTCTTCGTACAAGATGAGCTCAGTCAAAACTCAGACCAAGACCGAACGAAGCAAACATCAACTGAGTGTTCGGGAGTTGGACTCTGACGAGGATGGACTGGTATACAATGCACAAAGCAATCCAAGGATTGAGACTACTATTCGTGGTGACAGTCTGCGGCAAGAAGGCAGTGGGAGGGTAAACTTCGATGGCATAGGGATTACACGGACGGTGGATGTGTCAACTTCTGTGGAAACCCGGTGATCCAAGAGACGGCACTTGAGTTAATCATAATGGAAAGTCCCTTTATAGACTGTACTATAGAACTGTGCCTTTTTTGGTTTTTTTCCTTTCCAATTTTGGGCTTCATTCTCAACAATGACATGTCCACGCACGGCAAGTTGCATGTGAGGTAACTCGCTCTTATGAATATAATTCTTTCACTCCCCTTAATCGACATCTTCATTCTGATTCCGTAACAGCAAACAACACTTTGAGGTGACTAACCATGCATATCTTACAGGGAGTCGAGTCTACAATAAAATAGATGACCCGTCATAATGCAGGGATACCGGGGTCTGCAAAGCACATGACTCTCCCTAACAGTTGAACGGCCTCAGCTGTTGACCGCTTCAAACTTACCAGCCTCATCCTCTCGCAGCTTCAGTGGCTTCTTTATCGAAATTCTCATCAACCTTAATAAAGTAACATGTGGCGGGCAAGATGAGCAACTTTCCATCTGCAGATACACCTATCAAAACCATAGGGTTAGGCAGACAGGTTTGCGAGGTAAATGGACAGACCCTGACTCGCAGAAATGGCACACAAGAATGGACCAAGCATGCTCCAGAAAGTGAAGCTCAACTCACGGCCTCACTCGACTCCGCATCTCTCTACCTCTCATTAATCCATCACGCACAAGGCCCAGGAGAACCATTCCACTGGTCCCTATTTGTCGCCCATGAAAACCACCCAGGCTCTGTCTACCAGGTCAAAGGCGACGCAGAATTCATGACATATGAGCCCGAAGACTCGGTAGATGAGACCCAAGCGGAATCATTTTCAACCCTTTATCAGTTGGCCGTGGTTTCCGAGGAACAAGCACGGGTGATCAAGCAAGTGGCGGAATGTGAGCCTCCTCCACATGCACCGAATCGACAGTATGTTATTGAGAATTGTCAGGGATGGTCTGTCCGTGTTATTGCAAAGCTGGTTGAGAGAGGAATTGTGCCACCTGTCAAACTTGAGATGGCGATATCCATGATGCAGCCGGTTTGAGTGGCTTAAGCTTATTCATTCCATGTGGCTCGACTGGGGCCGGAGCAGACGAAACAGGTCCGGCGCTCAGATCCCGAGGAAATTCTACTGCAGTTCAACGACTCGACTAGATTGATTATTCAAAATTTCTCTTTGGTCTAACAACACCGGTGAGATGCACATGACAAAAGATAAATTAAATACTGCAAAGGCTAACATCCTACGGTAGTTGAATGCATAGAGGTCTGCAGGTATCCGACTGGGCTTGGCGCACGGGAGCAGAATGCTCATCTCACCGAGGGTTATACAGTAGTCCCTGTCCCTCTTCCAACTCAACAAGGGGAACTTACTTCCTACTACGCACTCCGGTTGAACAGCGACGCTTCGGCTGCCAGTGACCCATGGGACGAATTCCCGTCCTAACCCAATTCCAGCCATAAACGACCGATTTAAGCTTACCGGCCTCTTGGCACGGCTTTACCTGGCTTTGGTTGGACGCTTGGGTGCCTGGGCATCTTTTCGGGGTTTACTTTGACGGACTCTCCTGGTGCTACTGCCTTCCACTCACTTCTAGTCTGACTTCTTACTCTGGCATCATACTTTGATTGGACTAAGGAAATCCCCGACGTAAGCCTTACGTGTAGATGGACTTTGGTCAGAGGGGCTAAATATGGAAATGGGGCCATAGCCGTCTATGTGGTCGTTTCGCCGTGTTTCTTTTCTCTTAAAGTTTATCTGTTCTATCCATGGTTTAGACGATCTGGTTATCTTCCTGTTTTCTCATACTGGATCTGGAACAAAAGCCATATATCTCGCAGACTCGTGGGTTGAGATCGCACAATGAACAACTCACACGATTGACACTAGAAGATCAGCTAATATCCCGGCTCCGGGTGGACATCCTCCTCTTTTTGAGACCCTCCAAGCTGGTGATGTCAAGACAACAACCAACAGAGTCATTTCATCATGGTTGGCGTCCCCAAAAGCAAGGGCTGCCAAACATGCATCAAACGCCGGGTGAAAGTTGGACTCCTCTTCCTCCCGAGACTTCAAACCACATCACTAAATCTAGATGGTCAAAAACATAGTGTGATCTCGTACGACCGAACTGCACTCAATGCCGAAAATATGGCGTCGAATGTCCGGGCTACATCAAACTCCACAAGTTCATAAATGAAGGACCACAGCTCGGAACCCGATTCACGAAAAAGCCAGAGCCAACCCCAGAATCAATCGATGAGCGCATCGCACCCTCACTCGTGTCCAGATCAATGGGCAAGCAGCAACCGGTGATCTTCGGCGATTTCGTCATGGCCTCATTCACGCGCTGGTTCGGACTGAACCGCTATCGAGTACATGTACCGTGGACAACATACGTCGCGCAACATGGGGGAAAGAGCCCAGCGTTTGATGCGGCTGTCTACAGCATGAACTTGGTTTTCATGGGGTACACTCATGTCGATGATAAGTTACAGCGCTCGAGCCAGGAGATGTACAGTAAAGCGCTGCGGCTATTCGGCGACAGGATCCGAGACGAGGCTGCGATGAAGTCTCGTGAGAGTGTCAGCATCACTATCGTGCTGAGCTTATTCGAGGCATATTCGCCTACGAACCCGGACTCCTGGGCGCACCATGCTGGTGGGACGGCGTTGCTTATGGCTCACCGTGGTCCTAAGGCTCATTTGACGGGGTTTGATCGCTGTCTTTATCTCTCTTTCAGAAGTTTCATTGTTGCGGAGGCTTTTTTGAATGACAAGCACTGCATATTTGAGCGGCCGGAGTGGCAAGCTCATGTGCATCAAGTTCGTCGGGAGGATATGGCCGATCCACGGGTTGATGGGCCCATTGCTCTCTTCATCGACTTGCAGGATCGCATCTTCATCGAGGTTGCAAAGATTCCAGGGCTGCTGTTTGAGTCTCGCCGGCTTAGACAAACGGACAACCCAGAACAGACTGCGCGCCAGCTCTCAGCACGAGCTCTGAGCTGTAGTCAGGTCATCTATACATTCTCGGCTCACCTGCGCCTGGCAGCTGCTGTACAAAAATACCAATGGTGCAAGCCAAATGACAAGAGTGGCACGCAGTCTAGCGACAAATCTCCTTTCATTGGTCCCATTCCCTCGACATTCCCACAAGAATTTGCGAACAGCGTTCTCCGGGGCAGCGACATTTGCAGATACCTTCTTGGTCTTCTTGTTGATTATCTTGATGGCTACAAGGCGAACACTCAATCCTGTGAAAAAGATCAAACGGAGAATGTGGACTCGTTGCCATTTCACTTCGTGTCTAAAGTTCGAGGGTCCAAAAATTCCAATTTGACGCCAATTGAACCAGGCGGTCCCGAAAAAGACCTGCCGTCTCCTAATAAATGGCTTGATCTGGTGGCAGCTTCTATGGGACTCGAGGCGTTTGATATAATCACATACCCGACCAGAAGTCGCTCGCCTGAGCTTGTTGATGACCAGTGGGATGCTGCTCTCGCAGTGCGATAAACGGAGTCTATAAATCTTGCGCGGTTAGGTGCCACATAAGATACCCTTGCACATGTTCAAATACTACAAGTTAATTCAAATTCACCTAGAAATCGACTCGTTCAAATCATGATGCCATAAACAATCTCGCTCAAAATGTACGAAAATAAAGAAACAAGCTCTATGTATCACTTGAGCACGCATTGTGTCCTTCTGAGTATCAAAAATCAAGAGATCTTTCCGATCCTCTTCTTGCCAATATCGATCTTGGATTTGAGGCTGGAAACATCGTTAGCAACGCATATACAATCAAGGAAAGGGGATGGACGAACATGTCTGCCTCCTCGTCCGCTAACTTCAACAGCTCATTCTGCACTTCGAGCTCCTCATTGATCTGAGTGCCCAGCTCCCTCTGTCGAATGATGATCTTCATTAATTCATCAACATTTGCATCCTGACTCTGCATCATCTGCCGCTGAAGTTGAAGCACGCCCTCGTTGTCAAGTTCACGAGTCCGTTCGGTCTCCTTCCCAAGAACTCTGCCTGTCCGAGCTGGCGTTCTGCGCCCACCACTTGCCGAATCACTACCCGCGTTCCCGGGACTCAGTAAAGCTTCCTTGTCTTGAATAGATGCTACAGCATGATCTAGCTTGCTCTTTGTCGCCATAGCATGCAGCAGATCCTCCAGACCATCTTTCTCCTTGCGTGCATTGATAAGAAGATCCTTCCGACGACGAATCTCGCCGCCGCCTAGTGTCGTCGAAGACTTATCTCCGCTTCCTATCTTCTTGAGACCCTCATCCAGTGCGGTGATCATAGTCCCCGAGCGAACAAGGCAGCTCTTTGCCTGTGCTGAGCTTTCGTGTTGCTTCTGTGGTGTAGTTTCCTGGTCTCTGCGAGACAGCTGTAGTCGTGCATCGTGCAGGTGGCCCTTCATGTCGCGGTAGTAGTCAAGCCATAATGTCGGGTCCGTGATCGGTGCGTTTGTAGCACCTGGGTCTGTGATGGCTGCATGGAGTCGCGTGGATGTATTTGTTGATCCGTTGCTATTCGAGGCGACTGCCGTGGGCAGGTTCAAGAATGCCCGCCACGCGGGCGAAGTGCGCCAGCGGCCATCTTCGGATTCGTTGATTGCGCGGAGGTATTGCTCTAAGCCGCAGCGGCGGTCTTCGCGCAAGCGTTCATTCGAGACTGTATTTGAGAACCATGTTTTGGAAGGCAGGGGGCTGGTGGAGGAATGTTTGTTTGGGACAGAAGATTGTTGTGGAAGGTTGTGAAGTCCGAGTAGCGCTTGGGGACAGTAAAGGAGCGGAGCGGAAGCCGGAGGGAGATGTGATAGATAGTATATGGCGGAGAGGAGGAGGATATGGTGGTATTTGGAATGGCTATTTCAACAGTTGGCGCCATGTTTAAATTGGAGTATCATTGCTCATGGATGAAGGAGGGAGAGAAAGAGAAGTTTAGGGAGCTCTGTATGACGCAAAAGCTTAGGCCACCCGACCTTGTATGGTGATCAGGCACATCTACTGAAAGGCACACGACTTGGCCACTTTGAAGCTTCGGCATTTTGCAGTTTGGAATTAATTAAATCAATATGGGTATCTCGTACAAATCTCGATGCAAATTCAATCCTTGGTCCAGATCTCGCGTGCCTCCAACAGATCCCGTTGGCCATAGTACTCACCCACCACGGTAATCACCATGTCGAGCAACGAGCGAGTCTGTGTCAATAATTCCTCATTGGAGGACTCTGTAGATTTAGTTGTTCCAGAAGTGCCCTGGATTTGAGCTTGCAGGCGCGCCTTGGCAGCCTCCAACTCAGAGTGCTCTGAAGCATCAACCGTGCTAGGGTCTTGTGATTCTGCGGTCTCAGGCATTGCTTTCTCCTTGGGCTGATCAGCGTGCTGGTCAAGCATTTCCAGATCTGATTCGAGAGATTCAGGATCCTCCTCGTCTTGAGATCGGTTGTTCTCCGTCTCTTGTATCTTTCGCATAATTGTCGCAGCGCGTTTTCCTAGATTCCGAATGGTACCAACATCCTCGGTAGACAACTCGCCAACCTCGCGGCATTTTCCGAGTAACCCCCAAGCCCACGCCCCGATGCGCCGTAGGCGTTCAGTGTCTTCACTTCGCACAACGTCGGACATCATCCTCGCGACTAATTCCAGCACTTCTAACACGCTATCCGAGTCCATGCAGGCTAGCTGCACCATGTTTGGATCGACTGCAATCAATAGACGACGCCATTCCTTATGCGCCGACCAAGCATTTCGAGGCAGGCTGATAGGGTGAGCATGGTCGAGGGCGCTAATAGCCTCAGCGGGCGGGCTGCATCGAAGAGTCGATCGCAAGAGCAAGAATCGATGTCGAAGAAGTGTGTAGTAGGAATTTTGCGCATCGGAATAGAGGTGATCAAGATTCATGTCCACAACTGGGGCCACATCCTCCACGGGCGCAACGTAAGCCTCATCCGCGTAGAAGCCGCCTCTCGGAAATGGTTTTGATTTTTCGGCCGTCTGTGCACGTTGTTTATCATTCAATGCTGGCTCGGGGGCCTTTGCAGTTGTAGGCTTGTAGAAAAGCGATGGGAGAGAGTTGGCTTCGGATCTAGGCAAAAAAAAAAAAAGGTCAGATTAAGCTCGAACCAGGGCGTAGACAACTAGTAAATATGACAAGTTGAGCAAATGATGAAAGAAATAAACAGATCAACTCACCGAACCATGCGCAGATATTCTAATCCATCCTCTGCGGGCCCGTAAAACAATTGGTCGCCTTCATCATCTAACCCCGGGAATGCATTCTTTTGGCCATAGGCAGGATTATTTCGGGGGCGCTCCTGATTTAAGGGCGAAGACTGATTCTCATGCTGATCGTCATCATAAGACAACCTGACACGCTTGGGGGAAGGGGGCGAGGAATCGCCCTTTCGCTTCTCAGACATGGTAGGGTGAAGGTCGTGAGTTTGAGCGTGAAGTTTAGGCCCGGATGGGACCGTGCAAACACGTTTGCATAGGTGAACTGTAAAATCACAGAGATCAACGATTGTTATAGAAGAAATACGAAAGTACTGAGCTCGGTTTCGCTGAATGATTTCACCAAGGCGGTGATGTTTATCTGTAGGCGGGAGCTGCATCTGCCAGAAAAAAAGATAAGCTCACTTCTTCATCTTTCTCCAATTTACCCCTCATGGCTTCCTCTTTTTCTTTTGATTGCCTTCTTACTTACTTTCTCTCGGTTGCGTGAAGAAAAAAAACTTCTTCTCTCGATACTCCTCCTATATTTAAGAGATGACCTACACACATGGTGCTCTCTATATATTGCCATTCCTTTCTGTTAAACCTTGACCTCGGTGTCAACCATGCTTTCCTGAAAACAACATCTTGAGTCCCCCACTATAGCATCACCTTCTTCAAGACTCACTTGAATCATGACTTCCGGCAAGCAGGTTTATCTGCCTACAGAAATCCTCGTTGAGATTGCGGAATATATACGGGACTTTCGGGAGGACGGCGATGTTTCTCAGACAAATCATCCATTTTTGTACCAAACAACACTTTATAACTTTTGCTTGGTGTCTCGTCGATGGTACTCCGCCGGAATCGAAATGCTGTACTCTCAGCCCGATATCACCAGAGGAAACAGCTTCGCACTGTTCACCAGCACAGTGTGCCCGCCTCTTCGTGCAAAGAAACCGAGCATGGACTTTGGGTCGATGGTCCGCTTTCTGTGGCTCGATCGACTTGTACACCACAGCTCTAACAGCCTGACTTCAAGGTTGTTAGGTCGAGTGAAAAAGAACCTTCAGATTTTCGTTGCCCCAAGAACATCATTCTCGTATGTTTGATCTTCATCAAGCTTCCTCGCGAACTCTGGCTAAACCATTCACATAGGATCAATAGTCTTGCACCATTATCGAAGTGCACGGAGCTCATCCACCTGCGCCTGGGCCTTGTGATAGAACCAATTGAGCTTCCCGTGTTGAAAAAGGCGATCTCAAATCTTCACAAGCTAAAGCTGCTTGTTCTTCCGTCCTCAATGCTGATCACTGATGATCAATCAGGCCCAAGCTGGCCTTCCAACATCCAGCACATGCAGCTGGGTGGGAGATTTGACCTAGAGTCCATGCCTACCTTCAGGTGGCCTCCAAATCTCAAAAGTCTCACATTCTGTGGATGCGAGGAGCTTAATACGTTCACCCTTGAGCTAATTCTCATGAACGAACAACTTTGCTCGACCCTGCGTACATTGTCTCTTCACCCCTCAAATGGCAATTTGCTGGGTGCCGAGGATTCCCCCATTTTAAGTGGTTTACTCGCGTTGAGACGACTAGAGCTGCCCATTGATCTCCTATACTCATTACACATTCTCCCCCCTTCTGATGAATACGCCTCGCCGCTCTCAATTCGGGAACTTATTCTCATGGCACCTTATGATGACGACTCCGAGCCGACGTTTGATCTTGATGAGCTTTACAAGGCCCTAGGGCGGAACCTTTCGCGCGTTTGCGGGCTGGGCATCTACCAAAAATGCCTTGGCATGATACCAAAGGAATCTCATGCCCGAATTGATAAGAAGATATGGAGGAACATTGATGAGTGCCCGGAGATTGAGCTAGATTACGTCTACGACCTGGGTCTTTATGAAATGGAGACTGAACAATGCTGACCATTTATGAAACACGCAAGACATGGATGTATGATACGATATACCCGAGGATATTTCTTATGACAAGAGTATGGATGTAGGTCTATGGCGTGGACAGAATTCAATATCGTCACTTTGAGTAGATGCCCAAGAAAGATATAATATTTTCAAGTGATCAGTAGCTTATGGTAGAATGCTATCGCTAACGTTACCTATAAACAGACAAATGTAGAGTTGGGCAAATGTCTTGGCGGATCCGATAACAAAGTCTTGGCGCTCCGAACCCCCGAGATGACGACATCTGTACACATCCCCAGAACCAACCACAACCATGAGACCGCAAACAATGTGGCGGTCATTGAGCCTGCTGCAACGCACCGCTTGCCACACAACTAGTCGTCGGGCCATTCAAACGGCAAGTTCCAGGCCTATCCCTAACTTTGCCTTCGCATTCGAGTAAGTCTTATCCATTGCGCGGGCCCAATGCCCTGCTGTCTTTAGCCGTCTAACCTTGTTCTCTAGCATCGATGGCGTTCTTCTTCGATCCTCGAAACCTATTCCAGGGGCGGCGGAGTCGCTGGCCCTCTTGAAGAAGCAGGGCATTCCCTTCATCCTACTCACCAATGGCGGCGGCAAGCACGAGACAGAGCGCGTCGCGGAGATCAGTGAGAAGCTACAAATCCCATTGGATCCCACGGACATTGTACAAAGTCATTCCCCCTTTGCTGAACTGGTCAAGGGACCGGACGAGGCCAGCTCCCTTGAGCATAAATGCGTATTAGTTGCTGGCGGTGATGGGGATAATTGTCGGCGCGTGGCAGAACAGTATGTCAAAACATGATCATCATGACCCTACAGATGATGCTAAGCAATGGCTATAGGTACGGATTCAAGAATGTTGTCACCCCGGGAGATCTTCTCATGGCCAACTCTGCTATCTGGCCGTTCTCTAAGAACTTTAGCGACTATTATAAAACTTTCGCCCGCCCGCTACCTCAGCCAATTGACTTGAACGATCCATTGAAGAGCCTCAAAATTGACGCTATCTTTGTGTTCAATGACCCTCGAGACTGGGCATTAGACACCCAGGTGATCATGGATCTCCTTCTCTCGTCACAGGGCCGTATGGGCACTTTGTCGGAGAAGAATGGTCGGATCGATCTACCCAACCACGGCTATCAGCAGGATGGACAGCCTCACCTCTATTTCTCAAACCCCGACTTATGGTGGGCTGCCGCCTACCCCTTACCCCGTCTGGGCCAGGGCGGTTTCCGAGAGGCGCTTGAGGGTGTCTGGGCCGCGACCACGGGAGGCCCAAGCAAGGGCATTGAGCTGAAGAAGACCGTGATCGGGAAACCTTATCAGCCTACATACGAATTTGCGGAACGACAGCTGCTCCGCAACCGGATGAAGACATTTGGTGACTCTGCGGATCTCGTGCCTCTTCAGAGAGTCTATATGGTCGGTGACAACCCAGAGTCTGATATTCGGGGCGCAAACTCCTACCGCAGTGATTTTGGCAGTAGTTGGCACTCAATCCTTGTTCGAACTGGCGTCTACAGCGGCGGTGAGCCTGCTTGGACTCCTCAAACCATTGCGGACAATGTACACAAAGGCGTTCAATGGGCGTTGGAGAGCTCCAACTGGCCCGCCGATCGTACTTGATTGGACGTTTCTATCACGAGAATTAGATGTCGATATAAGCAGGAATACGATTCGTGCTGCATGGAACACATAATAGCAGGCATTTACCACATTATTCAATCAAATAGCTTCAAATTAACATCAGCTCTCATGTTGTATAGAAAATGGCTCCTCAGGCACGAATCATGTGATATCCCCTCTTAGGGCTTAGGGCTTGGCATTCGGCGGGGTGAGTCAAGGATTCACCCGCGGTGACAGAAGCCGATCAGCCCGTTGTTTTAGAGCTTTGTTATTCTCTGATAGATCAACCATCATTGAGGTAGGTTATGTCGACCTCTCCCCGTCAACTCCCATCTCTAATTACCCTCACAGCACCATGGCCGACTCCGAATTGCCCCACCGTCCCAAGCCCGAGGAGACCGCCAACGCAGCTGCGCCGGCCGCTGAGGGTCCCAGCAAGAATGCCCTGAAGAAGGCTGCCAAGGATAAGGCGAAGGCAGAGAAAGCTGCAGCACGTGCTGCGCAAGAAAAGGCCCAGGCCGCCGCCCAGGACGCCAACGACACAGCTAAGGATCTATACGGACCTCTGCCCGAGACGGAGGATGTTGTTCCTTCAACACGATTCTCCGAATTATCCGAGGAATTTTACGAGAAGGAAGTGACAGTTGTGGCTCGTGTCGACAATGCGCGCGTGCAGAGTGCTAAGCTTGCATTCTTGATGCTCCGTCAACAGGGACAGAAGGTCCAGGCCGTCATCGCCGCCGCGGAGCCAATCTCGCGCCAGATGATCAAGTACACCGGCGGTTTGAACGTCAACTCTATTGTGCAGGTTACCGGTCTCATCAAGAAGCCCGAGATCCCCATTTCTTCTGCATCCATCAGCCACCTCGAAATCCACATCCGCAAGGTCTACATGATCTCCGAGGCTGCTCAGATGCTTCCTATGCAAGTCAAGGATGCCGAGCGCCCACCTCCCGAGACCACCGATGAGGGTACCCAAGTTGATGCCGATGGTGCTCCCATTGTCACCCTTAAGACTCGTCTTGACAACCGTGTCCTCGATCTCCAGACCGAGACCAGCCAGGCCATCACCTGGATTTCCAGCGGTGTTTCCGAGCTCTTCGCCGAGTACATGTTGAAGAGCGGCTCTCGCTGGATCTTCACCCCTAAGTTGGTTGGTGCTGCTACTGAGGGTGGTAGTGGTGTCTTCGAGGTCAAGTATTTCAAGCGCAACGCCTACCTTGCCCAGAGCCCCCAGCTCTACAAGCAGATGTGTATTGCCGGTGACATGGAGAACGTCTTTGAGATTGCTCCCGTGTTCCGTGCTGAGGAGAGCAACACCCACCGCCACATGACCGAGGTATGATTAGCTCCTAGTTCTTCGGTGTTAAATAACGAGTATGTTAACACTATCTAGTTCTCCGGTCTCGATTTCGAGAAGACATTCCGTGGTCACTACCACGAGGTCCTGGATTTCGCCGAAGACCTCCTTGTCTTCATTCTTACCCAGCTCAAGGAGCGTTACGCCCCCCAGATTGCTATCATCCAGAAGTCCTACCCCAAGGCCGGTGACTTCAAGCTGCCCAAGGACGGCAAGGCCCTGCGCCTGAACTACATGGACGGTGTCGCCCTGCTGAAGGAGGCTGGTGTTGACGTTTCCGAGCTGGAGAGCTTCGAGAACGACTTCTCCACCGCCATGGAGAAGCAACTCGGCCAGATCATCCGCGAAAAGTACGACACCGACTTCTACGTTCTCGACAAGTTCCCCATGGCCGTCCGTCCCTTCTACACCAAGGCTTGCCCCAACGACAAGCGCTTCTCCAACTCTTACGACTTCTTCATGCGTGGTGAGGAGATCATGTCCGGTGCTCAGCGTATCAACGATATCAAGGAGCTCGAGGAGTCTATGCGCGCCAAGGGTCTTGAGCCTAACCAGGAGGGCTTCGAGGACTATCTCAATGCTTTCCGCCAGGGCTGCCCGCCTCACGCTGGTGGTGGTCTCGGTCTGAACCGTATTGTTATGTTCTTCCTTGGTCTGCCTAATGTGCGTCTCGCGTCGCTCTTCCCTCGTGACCCCCAGCGTCTGCGTCCTTGATTTCTCCATGGAGAATCATTTGCATACTACTGGAAAATATAAGATTAAAATAAAAATTCAATGTCGTTCATATCAAATTTTTTTGCTCAACGGTTTAGCTTCAAAAACAAAATCGTAACATGGACTTTATCTTAGCAGGGCTTCTGGAAGCCATTCCTTGCGATTGGAAATCTAGTATGATCAACCACGTAGTGGAACCGACATCACGAAGCTACCTTCAACCGCGTCGACATAGTATTTACGATACCTAGAAAGCCATAGATGGCATAAGGACAAGGATGCCTGGAATGAAAAGGCGTGAAGATAGTATGATATTTGGAAGAAAAGTTGCATTGACAAGTTTTGAGGGATGGACGACGCAATCTAACGAGCCAAGACACATGAAAAACATACACGCTCTTGTCCCCCCAACCAGGATTAAGCAGATAACAACAAAAAAGCAAAGCAGAGAGATTAGGACACAGAGGCAATCACAGCCGCGGCCACGCCCTCCTCCTCTGCGCGGACAGTGATCTTGGTCGTAACACCGGCTTTGCTGGAGTAGGCCATCTTGATAAGAGAGGCGACACGGCCACCGGAGACGGTCTTTCCAAACAGCTTGAGCGTGTGTGTGCTGCTGTTGAGAGCCACGTCGGTGCCTTCGAGGGGTTGGAGCGACAGGGCCGCGATCAGCTGTTCTGTGGCATCTATCGATATCGTCAGTATGTCTGTTGAAGATCGAATAGAATTGATACGTACCGGTGATGCCCTTCATGTTGCTGAGCTGTAGCGTCTCACTCTCTTCCTCGCCATTCGCACCGGTCTGCTCCCAGACGTGATCGAAGCTGCCGGCAAATGTCGGGATGACATAGTCACTGCCAGTCAACTCAAGGTCCTCCACCTGGTACTCATCGTCGTAGCCACTGTCCTCGGGCTCACCGCTCGAAGGATCGATCTCTTTGCTGGTGAACTTGAGGATGTTTGTGAATGAGGTGACGGGAACGCTGTTCTCGCCGCCGAGCTTCTTGAATGCTACGTAGACAACACCAGGCTCGTCTGTGGGAAGCTTGGGGGCAGGAATAATAAAGTCTTCCTCCAATACGTCCTCTTCCTCTGGAGTGGCAGCCACAGTGACATTTTCAAGGATAGTGTCGGGGAGTGTGTTCTTGATATCGTATTGCACGACAATGTGTTCTTTGAAGATGTGCTTGACGGCCGTAACAACATACTCGGTTTCGCTCTCGGAAAGCTCGACAGGCCCGGAGGACTTGAGCAAAGTACCATATTCCTTGAGGTCGGGGTGTTGCATGAGCTGCTCGGCATATTTCTGGGTCGCAGAAGCAGTGGCAGCCTCGGCCATACCGCCGCTAGCCTTGCTCTTCGTGGGACCCGCTGAGGGGGCCTTGAGTGTGGGAGTAGCGGAAGTGAGCTTCTTGGTTCGCTCCTCAGCCAGGGCTTGCTCGTGGGAGACAACGGGAACGGTAGCAACGTCAAAGGCAGCAGCGAAAGTCTGCTTATCCCCTGATGTCACGTACATGACCAGTTGGTGTTCGAAGGTGGAAAGGGAGTACATGGAGTCTATAGTTGTCAGATCAAGAAACATTGCTAGCAATGGAAAGCAAATTACCGTTCTTAATAAAGGCGCTCGCTGCCTCGTCCTCCTCGCCCATCAGGCGCAAGTTGAGCGCAGCACGATCACGCACCTCGTCATCGGTGTCATCAAGACAACGGGTGAGTAGAACATGAACACTGGATTTGACTTCGGGGTCCTTCTGGCCAACACCAAACTTGGCCAGTGCGGTGACGGCAGCAGCACGTACAATGGCGTTCTCTAGAACAACACGGTTGTAGATGTAGCGGATATACTTGGTGGGGTGAGTAGTCTGGGGGCCCTCAGCACCAAGAAGGTGCAGAATTCTGACAGAGAGCTTAGTGAATTCACAGTCCTCAATGAACTCGCAGAGGTGGGCGAGAGCTAAATTTTCATTAGTGATTGCAGTACGTGGGATCGGACTCTAAACTTACCATCTTCCTTGCTCTCGGGAACAAACTTGATCAGATCAAACATGCTCTCCACAACGGTGCGCTTGAACTCGTAACCACCCTCGTCCCGCAGGATGCCGCTCAGGAAGACAAGCATACCAGCTTGCTTGCTGGGGAACTTCAAGCACAGAGTACGGATAGCCTCAACGATGGTGACCTTGAACTCATCGGTGATATCGGCCATGAAGCCAGAGATCTGTTTCATCAAACGGTCAACGCTAGCTTCGTTGCCAGTCTTGAGCAATGTGGTAATGGCGAACGTGGCGATAGAGCGGTTGGAATTGGAGATGAGCGATTCGATGTCGGGATTGCAGACGTTGACAACGTGAGGCTTGAATGAGGCGAAGTTGTGGAGGATACGGATGGCAGCGAATTTGGTGATAGACCGCGGGGAAGACAGGAACAGCTGGAGAACGTGAACAGCCTGCGAGGCCTCGGCATCGGTAACATCGCGCATGTCGCAAATAGCCTTGGCAGCCTCGAAGTTGACCATTTCATGCTTGTGACGGAGCCAGCCATCCAGCATCTGCATCATAGGTTTCCGGAGACCCTGGTCCTCTTCGGCTAACTTGGCGGCCAGACGGACCAACAAGAGCAGAGCAGCCGGACTCTTCACAACACCTGCAGCGCCGTACTGCTGCACCATCTTGACCAACGACATACGGTCATGCGAGCGCATCTGATACAAAAGACCAATGGCGTGGTATTGAGTCATGAAATTTGACTGAGAAATGGCGTGGCTCTGCGAGCTTGATGAGAAGCCAAGGAAACCAGTCGATGATTTGGAAGACGAAGCCGCTTCCTGTGTTTCGCTCTGCCATCTCCGAACGACATCGCGCGCAATGGGAAGAAGGTGGTAGGAGGAGACCAAGGCGGCGGAGGAAACCGAGGGAGTCTTGTCAACAATGGCGGTCTTGATGAGTCGCTCGATACCCTGGACTGTGGAGGCCTGTATTAATTAGAGTCGTTAGTTTATTCCTCGCCAATCGAATCAAGTCGCAGCGACCTACATCGATAATGCGGCAGAGCGCTCGGATGGCATTCGCCCGGTACAAAACATCGCTTCCCACCGCGGTATCCTTCATAATGATGCTGGTCGACATGATCACATCTTCAGCGGTTCCAGCTAGTTCCTTCAAAATCAGATACACCATCTGTCGCAACGAAGGGTCCTTGTTCTGGAAGAGCTTGGAAATGCCGAAGAAGAGGGTGGTGGCTTCGTTCGTAGGGAACTGCTCCCCGGTGAACATGAGGACAGCGATCTTCGTAAGTAACGTCCGGCATGTTCGCGGTGAAATAGGAGAGGAATTGAAAAGACGTGCTGGGAGAATTGTGTGGTCAGCATGCGTACTGTTGTAAAGCGCATAGAGGCGCCAGGGGCAGGAGCAATTGCACACCATCTTGGAATACGGAGGTCCGATCAAGCTTGATCATGACCTGGTCCGCATCTTCATCTTTCTTCATATAGCTCATCTTGCCCGGGAGCTGGAATCTACCAGCAGGGAGTAATCACTGTCTCCTTGGAAATGTGGAGTGGGTGTGAATGGAACACGGGTCGAGTACACAGAATCAGGGCAGGGCGGTGTAGGCGACTACAGCATAGCCACCCGAGAATTGAAAGCCAAACGAGAGTGAAGCGGAGGAGCAAGAGAAATAAGAATTGAAGCAAAGAGGTGGTAAGTCCTGGATCTCCTCGAGCTTGGCTATTGGGGGACAAGTTGAAGGTGGCCTTCCGTGTGTTTGGCCCGAAACAAACACTGCAAACAGTGGCATCATGGTTGAAGGCAGCACACCCCTCCAACTCCCCTCACTTCTTCCTATACTTTGTTTCTTTTTGACTGCATTTCTGATCACATCAATTCAATATGCAGGTTGAAGTCAACGAAAACGAGGACACGGAGTGGTAAGCTTGATATCGTACCCAGCTACCTGCAGCTGCCTGCAAGGATGCACAGTGTGTTGACCACTATTCATTTTATACAGGAACGATATCCTCCGCCAACATGGCATCATCCCCGAGAAGCCTGTGGACCCCGAGCCGTTGATTCAAGAGGCTCTGGTCGAAGCAGAGCACAGAGCGTACGCAAACCGACTCGAGGATAAGGACATTGACGAACTGGACGCACTGGAGGAAGAGGAGGACGAGGGTTTCCTCGACTCATACCGGTGAGCACATATTCTATGTTCCATTCAAGTGATTAATTTGCTGAATCACGTCAACAGGCAAAAGCGCTTCGCTGAGCTCTCCGCCATTCAACAAACCAGTGTGTTCAATCAGGTCTACCCACTTCAGAAGGTTGATTATGCCCGTGAGGTGACAGAAGCGTCGAACAACGCCTTTGTACTTGTCAATCTCACTTCTATGGGCGGCAATGTAGAATCGCGCGTGTTGACAGAGCTCTGGCGGCAGCTGGCTGCCAAATTCGGAGACATCAAGTTCTGTGAGATCCGCGCAGATATGTGCATTGAAGGATATCCGGAGAAGAATACGCCTACAATTTTGGTCTACAAGGATACCGAGATCCGAAAGCAGCTCATTACGCTGCAGCAGTTGAAGGGACCCCGTACCAAGGTTGAAGGTTAGTCATTTACAATCAAGGGTGAAGATATACCCATGCTTATCAAATATACAGATATTGAGCGTTTACTGGTTGAGATCGGTGCTTTGAAAGAGAATGACGTTCGTCTCAAAAAGCGCGACGAGGATGAAGATGAGAAAGCCGATGATCTGAACGTTGAAGACTATGACGATGACTGGGATTGATTCCCCAATTGAAAAGCAATGCAAATATTACGATTATGGCATGTGTATATTATGACTATATCCAACCAAAAATGAGACATTGTCCTGTTGACAGGCGATTGTGATTAAAAGCAGTTCTGAGACACAATTCACAATGTCCTTCGCATCCAAGAACTCTGCGTAGTAAAAATTCAATTACTGATTTTGGTTAGAAGGCGGAAGGATTAGTTATTATTCATGCTCTGTCCATGTTGTATAGCAGTGTCCATCTGAGCTATCTCCGAGCTAGCGACTTCTTTCCGCCCTGCGAAATATGCGATACGAGCAATTGGGCAATGTCATCCTGTAAGATCTCAGTAAATGACTTGAGCTCCAGAGCATCATTTCCAAGTTCATAATGTTGTTCAACTTGTGGAGTTTCCACCGCAAGACACATATTCTCTCGCATGTCGCTAATGTCCTCTAGCATCTGTGAAGTAACTTTGTAAAAAGGACACATTGCCCGAAGGTCCTGCGACCTGGATTTACCCTTTAGTACATATTGCCATATCCTTTGCCAGATCTTTAATAGGCAGAGTGAAAGTCAAGTAGTGATTGAGTGACTCGATTACCCAAGGATAGCCGTCCAGCAACTCCGGATGCTATTGAGAGAGCATCAGCCATGGGGATCGAAATGGTACTGCAGATCGGGGCAGGGAAATGTTTTTCTTCCCAAGAGACAGAAAGACGAAGGGGCTAGGGGAAGCGTCAGCCTTCAGGATTCTCAGCATCACCTTGTACTTTGACTCGTAGTATCCCCAAAGACCAAGCCGGACCTTCCATGCAGAGAATACTCAGTTATACTGTCTTATATCAAGACTCACATGGAACGAGTCAACATGTGCACTTTGTGTGATATTGACCAAGCCCAAACGGGCTTGACCTCCAGGAACTAGGGCAATATGCACCATGCAGTCCTGAATCAAACATTGAAGACTTCATTCAGTATGTACTGCATGTACCTTTCGCAAAGTATGGTCCAAAATAAGGGTTCCCGTCAATAAAATGTTACCAAATTCAAGTAAATGAAAAGACCCAGACACTCGGGGCCCAATAAATCAAATCGTATATCCAACGCCAAAAATACTCCAAATCATAATCGTAACAGCGGAACACAACGTATATCCTAAATCAACTCATCACGTCCCATAGCCGCACTCGCCTCGATAGCCCTGATAATCTCACTCTCCTTAAATGCAGGTCCCTGGCCATTGCACTGCGCCATACCCTTAAGTCGCTCACCAATTTCACCAATATCAAGCTGTCCATTCTTGAACAAATCATGGCTTTGAATAAGGTCCCAGGTAGCCCGCGAATCCAAAAGCTTCTCGCCAGTCTCTGGACATACTAGAATGCGGTGCTGCGGGGACGGAGGGACGGACTTTCCCCCATGTTGAACAGTGCCAGAGAAGTCTGTTGGCGAGTACCTCATTGGACCAGTGACAGTCGGTTCCGGGGGTTCGTTCGCCTGGCCGTTGCCATTGCCGCGGCCGAGATGATTTGATGTAGCACGCAGGATTTCATTCTCAGTTGAATATCTCGCTAGCTCGCGCTTCAGGCGTTCATTATCGGCTTGTAATGAGTCGGAGGCTTGTTCGAGAGAGTTCACTTTGTCTTCGAGATCGCGGACATGACGTTCTTTTCTCTCGCGGAATGCTCGTTGGCTATATGAAAAATTGTTCCTGTTAGTAATACTGATCGCAGGTCTCAAGGGTGTTTCAACACCTGGGAATGGGAGTTGCTTTGTCACATACGCAGCACGGTTCTGGGCTTTCCGCTTGCTTTGCGTGGGCGCCGACTGGTTTTCTTCGCTGCTGCTCCTTCCCATTGAGGGATCGGCAAATTGTGGCTCATCGCCCTCAAAAATGGGATCTGTGTGCTGATTGTTGCCGCCATCGGTACTTGAGACTGAGTGCTTGGAAAACGATTCGGGCGGTGAATGCGGTGGCGGGACAAAGGACGAAGAGGGGTCGAGGTGGAATGAGGCATCAAAGCCAGGGAAATTTTGCTGATAGTCATTCTGGTCTGGTTAGGACCAGGAGTACTGTGAATATCAGGACAAAGAACCTACTATGGGAGCAAATGTATCATCGCGTTGCGCTTGAGGTGGCTGATCGGGTGTCGGCAGTCCGTAGAGGGAATAAGGCTGCGATCGGGGGCCGTAGTAGGAGTAATCCATAATAGTAGATTTGCTGGATATGCTGACTGAAGAGAGGACAAGTTGGAAGTAGGAGGAAAGATCTGGTTTGAACCCCCGGCGGTATTGGATTCTCGACCCTCTGGTACCCGGTACTTAAGTTTTGGCTGCAGATCCAACCAATAAGCATCGTACTTGGTACTTGCGCTACACCCCTAAATCCGTAAGTTGACCTCGACGGAACTTTATTCGCTCTCACCGCCGGAGTATGAACTGGCTGAAGGAGTTTGGTCTACGCCCTCAAGGAGGCGTTTGCTGATCTCATCAATTTGGATGGGTAGATATGTACGAGTTGCAAGAAAAGTAGAGTTGGATAAAGAAACACATTTAACTGAGTGAGAGCTTGTAACAACGACATCGACGCATACCACCCCGGAAGCGACCCTAACCATTTTCCGTCGCCATACCACGAGCCTCCTCCAAGCGGGATCGCATTAAAGACCATCCGTAAACAGATAGAAGCTTTGTAAGATAACTGGACATAACCAGAAACCCAAAAAGCAATTCCCCCCGAAGGAAAGACATCTCCACCGTCACCATCAATCGACCAACCGGTCGCCCCTCGTCCCCATTAAACGTCGATGTAAACACATTGCTAATCTCAAGACACAAAGAAAAACGAAGAGGGCAGGGGGGAAATTTCATAGAAGATGAAAGGGGTAAGGAATGGGTAGCGCATCAAATGATGCGTTCAGGGATCTCGAATCGCAGCGGCGACATAATTTGACAATAAAAAGTGCGAGCTGACAGCATCATTTGCATCTCCCTGAGTCTTGCCCTCTGGTCGTGCTGACCGAAGATGCCAGGTTGAAAAGAGAAATCAGAGGGTAAAGACGTAGAAATAAGCCACAATATCAAGAGCGTTTCGAGACATGATCGGTGTCCCGCAGAACGGGTACAAAAATCCGAACACATAAAGGAGGTCGCTAAAGTCCATCGCAAGCTCAAAGTTGACCAATGGATCAAAGATTGAGCTGAGGGCGACAAAAACAATAGCGACTCGAAACGGCTGAGGTCGAAGAATGATCGAAAACAAGATAGGGGCTGTCGGGGGATGGCAGAATGAAAAGAGATCCATGAAGAAAAAAAGAAAATTCCGAGAGGGTGAGTGCAACATGGTCCGCTCCAATGCGACATGAGCGAGGTCCCGGGTTTCTGAGTAGAAAAGTGCTTGACAACAGACATGAGGAGGCTGGAAAATAACCTCACTGTCCTTCTACACGATTAGTACCACTGAGCCCCCGCTTCATCATCCCGCTTCGAACGGCTACCAGAGGGTCCATAACCCAAAGCAGCACCTTTCGAGGCAGAACGCAGCCTAACGCCGAAGACTATGCGATTAGTCAGATTCAGAACCAAAGGATTCCTCCACGCCAGTGTCACGAAAAGCAAATCACACAACGCAGGGAGTTAAAAAAGAGAAGGGGTTCCCTACACGGAAACCAGATTTCATGTTTACTCACATCCTGTCGCTTCCTCCCACGGCACGGCCGGTCTCTGGAGTGCCGTCAAGGCCGCCGCGGTCCATAACCTTGCGACGCTGGCTAGAAATGGCACCGGGCTTGGGGGCACCGCTGGCACCCATAGGGCCAGCAGCGGGAACACCCTGACGGCGTTGCTGATCCTCGGCTTCCTTGTCCTTCTTGCTGGCATCGACAATCATGGCGGCGTTCTTCTGGTATTTGTAGACGGTCCAGTCGAAGACGTAATCGTACTGGAAAGACTCGCGGACGAAGAGGTCGCGGAAAATCTTACGCAAGTAGGAGTAGTCGGGCTTATCATCGAAGCGAAGCGAGCGGGTGTAGTTCAAGTAAATGGCGAACTCGTTGGGGAAACCACGGCAAAGAACCTCGGTAGGGGTGGTCATCTTCTTCTCCATGATACGGTCGTACTTCTGCTTCTTAGTAGCTGCCTTCAGTCCCTGCCAGGGGAGAGAGCCACGGCAGAAGTAGAGCATGACGTAACCAAGAGACTCCATATCATCGCGCCGAGACTGCTCAACACCTAGGTGGGTGTTGATGCTGGCGTAACGAGCAGTTCCAGTCAGGTTCTTATTCTCACGGTAAGGAATGTGGAAGTGAGTCTTCGGGTCCCGGTATTTCTTAGCAAGACCGAAATCAATCACGTTGACCTGGTTGCCACGCTTGCCGATGCCCATGAGGAAGTTGTCTGGTTTGATATCACGGTGGATAAAGGACTTGGCGTGAATGTATTCGATACGGGAGATAAGCTGATCGGCGAGGAGAAGAACGGTCTTGAGCGAGAACTTGCGGTTGCAGAAGTTGAACAGGTCCTCCAGACTGGGGCCGAGGAGGTCGATGACCATGGCATTGTAGTCACATTCGGTACCAAACCAACGAACAAAGGGAATACCGACACCACCGGCGAGAGACTTGTAGACACGGGCCTCGTATTCAAGCTGGGGGTGCTTGGCCTTGACGCTTTCGAGCTTGATGGCAATCTCCTCACCGGAAATGATGTTGGTGCCTATAAGGAGTCAGCGTAAGTGGCAACGGAACCCCCGAAAATCACATACCGAGGTAGATGTCACCGAAACTACCGCTACCGATCTTGCGGCCAATGCGGTACTTATTACCGACACGCAAATCCTGCAGAAAGGGGTCAGCAAACCGAGACATCGATGAGTTGACATGAGAGGGACCCATCTTGGGCCTAGGCCCTAGGCCCGAACAGGTCGAACGTCGAGTAAAGAAAGAAGTAAGGAAATTGGGGTTGGCTAACACTGACCATGGTCGTCATCTTGTAGTGATGGGGGCACAGCGGTTAGCCGTGAAGAAAGACTAGAAACTAGGAAAGTACGACTGTTAGTTCAAGCTCGAACGAGTGACGGGCAAAATATCGAAGAAAACGGGAGGCAGAGGAAGATACAGGAGAGAAGAGATAGGATGTGAGGGAAGAAATCAAGGAAATAGTGAGAGGGGGTGTGACAGCTGAGGCTCAGGCAACTTGCAAGGCTGGACCAGGCCACTTGATCATTCAGACCCCCTCAGCAAAGGTAAACAAAACGCACTTGACGCGAATGACGCGAGGAGTTGGGCAACAAAAAATGGACTAAGGCAAAAGATCCGATATATTGGCATACCTGGAGATAACGGATCAAAGAGGATTCCGACCGAGAGCGACCGGAAGAGAGGAAAGGAGGAACAACGGGTATCCGGGCAGATCCGAGATTCCGTTGAAATCGAAGAGAGAACCAAGGGCAAAGCCTTGATAACGGCTGAAGGCGATGTTGTTGGAGAAGAAGGGAAAGGAGAAGGGAGAGATGAGGGGGGGGGGGAGTCGGTGAGGTGTATTTTTTAGCGAAAGGGTGGCTGACAGTTACATGCAATGTACAGGGCGCAGAAGGCTGGCACCGCTTATTTGCGACTAGCATTCGGGGCTTACGGTATTATTGGTATTGGGCTGCAAATTTGCAAATCGAATACTTTTATACAGCTTTTGTTCAATTGAGAATCAGGCATTCAGATTGCTATTGTTGTATACGTTGCCTGTTAGGCGCCGGTGGCGAAGAAGAGCTCAGCTGACCCCCTGTATATCATTCTGGTTATTATATCATTGTATCATTATACAACATCAAGTATAGCCGTCTAGCCCTTTCGGATCCATGGGATGTATACGAGAATATGGGCAATCACAAATCATTTCTACTAAGAATCCTAGCAAACCAAAAGGTATGTTGGCTCATAGCCGGATCAATACAAAGACCAGATACTATCTATGCGCGATTTTCCTTCAATGAGAAATTGTCTCAGCCTGTTTGAGGCCAAGCTCAATGCATATCCTGCACTGTTCTCTCAAACAGTAGCCTTGATGGAATTCTATGCAATTTAACGTGATCCTTGGCATAGGTTTGTCCAGAAGCCTTGTCAGTTCGATTGTATACCTGTCAAATCGGGTAAATGACAGGTCATCGGTTGCGGTTTGAAGCATCCAATTACAAGACTGACTCGAGTGCATTCTTACAAAGTAGAACAAGTCTTTGGGGAAGGCAATCATGAAAGGTTCTGATACTAATCGAACAAGAAATCCGCGAGGAATGTGATAGTAGTACAACCAGTGTCCAATGAACATCGGAAAACCGGGGTATAAGAGTTCAGGGGGCAGAAACAGGATGGAAACAGAAGGGAAAACAAACGAGAGCGGTAGCGGAATAGCATCAAAACAAGCCCTTCTTTCGATGTAAACAAAGTAAAGATCCAATAGGAAGTAAACAAGTAAAAAGCAAGCAATTGTTGCAAAAATACAGGCGCAAAACGCTCAGACGGTGGAAATTGACATATTTCAGGCCACATGGTCATAGTAAAGGCGTGATTCTTAGATCACGTTGGGACCTTCGGGTCCAACTCCTGCAGTCAATGGCTTGGTTTTGACGGGAAGACTAGCCCGTTCATCTTCATCAAGTCTTCTTCTCCACTCGGCCAAGCTATCGCTCATTAGGGCGGGGCCATCACTGTTATCCTTGGTGGGGGTTCGCTCCATATCCAGCTGGCTGCTCAGGCGGTAGTTGCGATTGGTGCTTTCCCAGTGGGTACGCAGCGCATCGAGCTCGTTGGCGAGAGAGTCCAGCGCCATGGAGCCACGGTTATCGGGGAAAGAGGACTCTTGCGAGACGTTGCTATCAGCTCGAGGCCGACCATTTCCCCCGCCGACGGTGCTGCTAGAGGCGTTGCTGTGAGAGCGCGAGATGCCGTTAGTGCCTGTACCATGCTGCGACTGACGGCGGTAGTGACCGACAGATGTTTGAACCTGCTCCAAAAGCATGTTGACCTTTTGCTCTGCATCCGAGGCACGGGTTTCAAGGTCGGTATTCTCTTGCTTAAGTTGTTCCAGCTCGGTTCGACTACGCTCCGCAGCAGAAAGAAGTTCTTGTCTGAAACGCTCGTGTTCGTTCTGGGCATGTTGCTTTTCAGTCGTAGCTTCATCCAGATCTCCCTGAAGCTGAGAAATCCGAACCTCAAGGTTGGCAATTGAGGCGGTTGTGCGCGCTTCGATTTCGGAAACTGTTTGTTGAAGCCGGGCCCGCTCGGCTTCTAACTCTGTCAAATCTCCGGAGGGCTGGTCGTTATCCTCAAGGCCTCTTTGGGCAGCTTCAAGCTCAGACTGCATCTTGGCATTTTGAGTCTTGTAGCGACTCAACTCATCCTTCATGCGCTTGAGCATCTTTTCGGTGCCCTTGACGTAGTGGACAGCTGATTGGTAGTCGTTCTCAAGCTGCTCCAGTTTCTCTCGGAATGTTCGGTCAGCCTCTTGCTCGCGAGACTCGAAGCTATTCTTCAGATCTTCATGAGCCTTGATGCTGGCGGAGAGTTGCTGTTCCAGCTCCCGCAAACGACCCTGTTCAGGAGTGCCGAAACGGGACCCTGGGGAGTCAAGAAGGGGGGAACGTCTGGTATCATTACTGATGCCACGCTCACCGAGAAGATCTTTCAAAGCGGCATGTTGGATTGCGAGAGCACCGGCCTCACGCTGCTGGGTCTCGAGCTGAGACTTGAGGTCTCTGCTGTCTGTGGCAGCAGACTGACTTTCCTTCATAGCGGTCTGGAGCTGTCTGCGAAGCTGCAGGCCTTCACGGCTAGCCTGCTCCTGGTAGGCTTCCAGGCCTGCAATCCGTTCCTCGGCAAGGCGGAGCTTGTCCGCCGCGGCGTCTGCTGCTGCCTGGTTCGCCTTGGCCAGAGTATTCGAACGTTCGATCTGGGCTTCCAACGCAGCCACTCGCTGGTCGGCACGCGAGCGAATAGAATTATCCAAGTCCGTGGACGATGCACGTTCTAAGCCCGAAACAAAGGCCAGTTTGTGGGTCTCGGCTTCCTTTGCGTGGCTCTCAGCCAACTCCTCCGCATCACGCAGACGACGGGTAACATTTTCGAGATCTGTGGTTCGCTCCTCGTGCTCGGAGCGGAGCAACAAAAGCTTTCTCTCAAGCCCCTCCCGACGCTCACGTTCTTCGTACAGCTGCCGTTCGACTATGGCGGTCTTCGCAGCGGAGGCAGCAACAGCATCTCTTAAGCCACCGAAGTTGGAACCAAAGTCCTTGAGACGAGCAGATGACTCTTCAAGCTGTGCCAATAGCTCTTCCTTATCTAGAGTGAGTTGTCGCAGTGAGGCCTCCGCTTCCGCGTGCAACGAGGCCTCTTCTCTAGAAGTGGCTTCGGCCCGGTGGAGCTCTGCACGTAGGTTCTCAGCCTCCAGAGTATTGCTTTGCATCTCCAGTTCTGCCAAGCGTTTGCGGGTTGCCTCGTTTGTTTCTTCGGCAAGGTCCTTTGCTTGACGTTCTTGCATTAGCTCGGTCGTCTGGAGATCCAATTTGGCCTTGAGCTCAGCTTGGGAAGCCAGGGCCAGGGCGAGGCGGCGGCCCATATCAGTAGGACGCTCATCATCGCCATCACGCGAACTCTCGGGCTGCGGGGTGCTTCGCTGGCTGCCACCATGGGCAGCGAGCTTGGCCCGCGAATATGCTGCCTCGTTGATAGCCATGTCACGTTGGTGCTCCACTTCTGCAACACGCTTCGAGGCGATAGCAGCCTGCCGGTCAACAGTGGCCTGCATTTTGACCAAGTCCGCTCGCATGGCCAAGAAGGCCTCGATGAGGGGACGGTCCTCGTCATTCAAGGCGTCACTAGCCCGTTCATCCAAGGCAGGGCTACTTGTCGCATTCGGAACATAGCCTCCCTTCTTAGCGAGCGCAAGTTCTGATACATACCAGGCATTTCGAGCTTTGGTGACCTCAAGCTCCTTGATCAATGCCTCCTGGTGGGGAGTGAGGCGGGGGGAACGAGGCTCATCACCGAGAGTCTTCGAGTTGCGGTAGGTTCGGGAGTCAATTGAGCCCTCGATGCTGGCGTGTCGACCTAATACGGACTCTTCGCCACTATCAACAGACCCACGCTGCCTCTGAGAACGTAGCGATCGCTGACGGCCTGGAGTAGTGATTAGAGGAGCGGCTTCACCCGCTTCCATTGCCTTGACCGATGGTTTTTGATGCTGAGTGGGAGTTCGGCGACCAGCCGAAGGAGGTCCCTGCGAGTCTTGCGGTGCATCCTTGGCGACAGGGGATTCATCACGTTCGCCGTTTGCTGTCCGGATATCGATAGTGGGGGTGGTTCCGCGTTCATTCTTGGTCGGAGTCTTACTCCGTGGGCTCGTGGCCGCCGGAGGACCATTGCCTCGAGGGCCAGGAGACGGGGCTTGCCCAGGAGGCGGTGGTCCAGCTGGGGCTTGAGCGATTGAAGCTCGGGGAAGTCTAGATCCTGGTCCCAGGTTGGGATTCGAGCCTGAAGTCACCATGATCATGCTCTCTCGAGAGGGCGTGGGACCCTTGCGCATGGCTTGCTCTGGGTGCTGGTTTTGGGCTTCACGGGACGATCGTCCAGATGACGGCCCCTGCTTATCAACACTTATTTTTCTACCAGATGCCTCGGGAACGCGCCCTCCAGGTTGGGAATCGTTAGGGTAGCGAATTTTGCTTGTGTCAAGGATGTAGGACATGCTGAGTTCAACTGGATCCCGAGGAGACGAACTTGGCTCGCCGGCCATGACGATGATCTGCTTGCCGAAGGCTGTCATACTGTGTCCAGACCGGGGGGATGGTGCCGGGCCCATGTTTTGAAAAGAAAACCATCGTCGGGTTGAAATTCGGAAGGCAGACAAGTCTCCCAGGTCAACGCCTTCGTCAGTACGACCTCCAAACACGTACATGACATCACCGACCAGGGCAGAAGCGTGGCCCTCTCTGGGTGTTGGAATGAAACCAACACAATCCATCTCAGTCCAAGTGGTGGTGTGCGGGTCGTACGCCCAGACATCATTGAACCACTGCATCCCGTTTGTACCTCCGAAGCTATAGTATTGTTAGTTGTGGGACAAGATTAGCTTGACCTTGCATATCTTACAGATATAGCTTGTCATTGTAGGTGACAATCGTGTGGTTCGTTCTCGCCGGGGGAATTTGACCTGGTGGAGGTCCGCCCTCGTGGCTGTTCTGAACAAGCACTTCCCATTTGTTTGCAGGGTTCTGGAGTTGGTTCAAATCAAAGGCAATCAGGTCATTGAAAAAGAAGCCTTCAACCTGCCCTCCGAACACATAAAGCTTCGAGCCCAAAATGTTCAGCGTGTGTCCGTAACGACCAGAAGGGCGAGACCCCGGGGGAATGGCGCGAGACCATTGTCGCGATGCTAAAAAACCGATAATTAGAACCCAAGTTCTCGAGACGAATGGTCGTCAACCTTACAGGTATTCAAAAGATACAACGTGTCGTCCAAGCTATCGTTCTCGTCAATTTTAGTATCGCCTCCGAACACAATGAAAGCGTTTCCGACAAGTAAACTGGCATGACCAACTCGCGGGCCAGGACCCTCGGATACGGTTGCGACCTGAACACAATTCAAGCTACCAGCGCTGCTTTCGATCATCCACAGATCTCCCTTCACCGTGGATCCGTCAATCAAGCCACCCATCATGTATATGTCTCCTTCCTTGGAAGCCACGGAATTGATTGCGGCGCCATATCGAGGGAACGGATTCGTTTGCGGGGAGGAGAAATTTAGACGGCGTTGTGACCATGGGTAAAGAGATGAATTCGGGCTCGGAGGTGGGATACCATTTGGTGGTGCTTGTGGTCGTGGACCCTAAATCAAGAGCAAATTAGTTTTTGCACTGACATCGCCCTGTTGGCAAGTGCTATGATCAAAACACCAACCTGAGACTCTGATTCCGCTCTTTGCCGCGGACGAACTGCGTCCGGGCTAGTTGGACTCGCCGTGTTGAGTGAGTGACTGAAGGAACCACTGGGAGTTGGTGTCTGAGAGGTTGTGCCATCCGCTCTCGCTCCGTTCGGCACGGGAGGTGATCCTGTTGAAGGTGCGCCTTCGGAGGTGTGGACATTGCGAGTCGCCGGGGGCAGCGCGGAGCCCTGCTGAGCCTTTTTGGATTTGAATAAGAAAGCCATCGTAATTATGCGGTCGTAATCGGTCGTAGCAAATGGTGTCGCAGTGTCTTCGACCCCCGAAGTTCGGAAGTGAAGCTGTCCTCCAAGAAATTGGGGATAGGGGGAGGTGTTCTTTTTCAGTGGAGTGGGAACCAGGCACAGGAACCACGGGAAGCTGTTCCATGCACGACTTCCCCCAAAAAAAATAAGTGGCCAGGGGGGGAGGGGAGGGTCCTAAAAGCCGACATTCGCCGCCCTGGGCTTGAACGTTTGAATATGGAATAAGCCCAAGGCTGAGAAAGGGGGTGGGTGAGGAAGAAAAGAAGTGTTTCAATTTCCCTGGCGGAGATGCTCTAGTCAAACTAGTCTTAGTTCAACGATGTCCTCAGGGGCAGGATTTTGATAATATTATCACATTTACTACGTAGTCCTGATCTAATGACCTGGGTTCTTTTTTGTTTTGCAGTTTCTGATTTCTATGTTTCTTCTCATTCCTGTCTTCCAGCCTCTAGGTACCATGGGAACACATTCCAGGCCGTTGGATCTAGAGGACCATAACAAACGAGAGCACCATAGGAACGGGCAGAATTAGGGCCTCACCATAGTGGAATACTCCCCTCGTTAAACAACCCTAACTTTTGGATCACACTACAAGGCCTTACGCGGGGCCTCGGACTCGACCATGGTGTGAACATTGTACAGGTCCAATGATAATTCATCCTGGCACTGCATTCCCCAATTCCACTGGGTGATCCACCACCCCCACAACGTGCAGGAGGCATAAACAGTATATATTGTTTCGTCATGTATTGGAGATTGGAACCTGTCTTCGGTACAAGACATCCAGATCAAGCCAGGTCTAGTGGAAAGCATCCCAAAGTAGGTGAGGCCAACATGATGGATCCATGAATAGGGGAGAGGGGGGTTGGGTTTCCTGCCTATCAGAAGAATCCGAGCGATGATCTCTCGGTCCCTGAGCGCCAGCCCGTTTCTTGTCGTCAAGGGATGAAAGAATAATCTCTCGAACCCTAACGCTTAAATGTATTGTTATTGGGTGGCTGTTATGCTTGGTGTTCTTTGCCTCTACTTTCGGTCTGAAATTGGACGTATCCAACCCCCGTCGAGTTTCCCAGGTTCAGCCTTCTGGTGAGACCAATTGTGCACCTCGAACATCCTGATCTCATGATGCAGCTGTCTTAGACAGGGCCCGCCCTGCAAGATCGGTCTCTGTATGAGATTGCCTTTCTACCTCGTCTAAGTTGAGATGTTCTTTTTTGTTGACATGTAATTTGGTCCAGCTCCGCATGCTGTTGATATGCTGGCAGATTCCGTCATGTCTTCTAGGTTCCAAGGTTGTCATCCTTTCCGCTTCCCCAATGTTATCTTCCTCTAGTCTCGTGTGCTTCGGTGCTATTAATTGTGACCAATTGATCAAGCCTCATACCACATCAGGACTGGAAGCTATGCAACGCCTTTTCACCCACTCATGGACTGCTAGCTTGATATGTTTGGATCGTGGCGCATTCCAGCGACCTACAATCAGGTGGTTTTCATATTTATAGAGCTGTAAAGTTGAGATAAGAACATTCTGAAGCTCTTGTGAATAAACAAGGGTCTGCTTATACGGTGGGAAATGCAAAAGACTATCCCCCTCAAGTAGCCAACGAAATGCGGTCAGTTATGAGAGCATAGACTGGCTCGTTAGCTTCTTGTAACTTAAATGGTTTTCAAAAAACATGATTCACATAATGTTATTTATGTCTACATACCGGAGAACAAGAGCAATACTTCCATGAGTTCCCGCCAACCAAGCTCTGGTCCATTCAGCGAAGTTCACGTCCAAGACTAGTGGAAGCACTGAGTGGTATCTATATGTATGGGACAAACTTTGAGGGCTTCATATCATGCACACACAATAATGATATTAGCATTAACTGCCTTTCCACCCTTGCCAATATTGTCAACAGCATGAATTCATAGTTTTCCAGATGCCATGGCCATATCCATCGTCGGTATACTTCGCTCAGCGCCAAGACATGAGTAATCAGTGGATCCGGAACATCAATGTCCCGATGCTGCATCGGAGCATCCCCATTCGAACCCCATCGGCTAGAACAGGAAGCTCACTGGACTTCAATAGGCTGTGCGCTGTGTTCTCTGTGCGCTCTTGGACTATATCCAGGACAGTCGCAATTTGATACCGGGCTGACTACAGGCTCCCCGAACCCTATACACCGCCTGAGGTCATTTCATCATCTCTTCTCCAGCTACACCCTATCCCCCCCACAGCAAATCAAATCCAAACGTGATAATCTCTCGATTCAATCATTTGAAGGGATACTTGCAACTTGTTCGGACACCCCGGTCAATCTTGCTTCGCCCTTCCGCTTGCACGTAACACCATGAGCCAACAGACAATATGAGGGATCCCACCACAGACATGGAACAACTCTCGCAACAATCGACCAACGGGTCGACCGCCCCGCGACGTAACCCAAACAAGTCAGCTCGAGTCGCATTCGGTCCTGATTTAGAAACGACAATTCCCGCCCGGGAAAGATCTCCAGCCCCGTTGGCTGGCCACCATCGGTCATTCACAACGGTCGAACAAAGGCAGCCTTCTATGGCGCTCCCTGAACGTCCCACAAGCTCCTCGGGAGAGAACCTATCCAGCGGGATAGATACAGATGCTCCTCCGCGTCGCCCTTCGCCCCGGAGGTCGGAGAGCAGCCGACCCGCCATGCTAAAGAGAGCTAAAAGTGATTACGGCCCAAGTCGAATCACCTTTGACAAAGCACCCGGTGATGATGACGAGGACTTTGCTATGCGCCACGGATGGCAGGAAGAATACACTTCCAGTGAATATCTGAAGATATTACATTCGGTGAGAACGATGACTTGGAGTGTGGGTCCTAGAAACTAACACGAGTGTCTGCTGCTACTAGAATTTCTACATGTACTTCACGGAGAAGCGCCACGAAACCAATGGTGTCCCTCGAGACCCGGTCGGAAGCTGGCCTAGTCAGGATTGGCGCATGAAGGACCGTCTGAAGACTGTGTCTGCGGCATTGGCAATTTGCCTGAACATCGGAGTTGATCCTCCGGACGTGGTGAAGACAAACCCAACTTCCAAGTTGGAATGCTGGGTGGATCCTACCTCAACCACTGGCGGGGGTCAAAACAAGATCATGGAACAGATCGGAAAGAAGCTACAGGAGCAATACGAGACTTTGAGTCTACGCACAAGATACAAGCAGTACTTGGATCCGTCTGTCGATGAAACAAAGAAGTTCTGTATTTCGCTTCGTCGAAATGCCAAGGATGAGCGAGTACTTCTACATTACAATGGACACGGTGTGCCACTGCCAACTCAGTCTGGTGAAATTTGGGTGTTCAACAAGAATTATACCCAATACATCCCAGTGCCGCTCTATGACCTACAATCGTGGTTGGCTGGTCCCAGTCTTTTTGTCTTTGATGTCTCTCACGCGGGCAACATTGTTCAGAATTTCCACACCTTTGTCGAGAAACACGAGAAAGAGAATGCCGAAGCCAAAAAGCGAGACCCGAATGCTATCGTCCAGAACTATGGAGATTGCATTCTCCTCGCCGCATGCCAGAAATCCGAGTCTCTCCCAACAAATCCTGACTTGCCTGCAGATTTGTTCACCTGCTGTCTGACAACACCAATTGAAATAGCCCTGCGCTTCTTCATTCTGCAAAACCCTCTCCGAACTGACATTTCCATTGACGACTTCCGAGTTCCCGGCCGGCTACAAGATCGTCGAAGCCCTCTTGGCGAATTGAACTGGATATTCACCGCTATCACTGATACCATCGCATGGAACACTCTCCCTCGGGCACTCTTTAAGAAGCTTTTCCGACAGGATTTGATGGTTGCGGCTCTTTTCCGCAACTTTTTGTTAAGTGAACGTATTATGCGAACCTACAAATGCCATCCCATCTCTTCACCCGAACTTCCAGAAACCCATCACCATCCGCTATGGAAGAGCTGGGATCTCGCGGTCGAGATGGTGCTATCCCAGCTTCCTGCTCTAATTGATCATGAAGAGGGACGTCGTCAATACGAGTACCAGCACTCTACTTTCTTCGCCGAGCAGCTCACTGCCTTCGAGGTGTATCTGTCGTCCGGCCCTACGGAAAAGAACCCGCCAGACCAACTTCCCATTGTCTTGCAAGTTCTTCTGAGCCAAGCGCATCGCTTGCGGGCTTTGATTCTGTTGAGCAAGTTCCTGGATCTCGGTCCATGGGCTGTTCACCTTGCATTGAGCATCGGTATCTTCCCGTACGTCGTGAAGCTGTTGCAATCAGCGGCCCAAGAACTAAAGCCTGTCATGGTGTTTATTTGGGCCCGAATCATGGCAGTCGACCACACAGTTCAAAATGATCTTCTCAAAGATAACGGCATTCACTATTTCATATCAATTCTCAACCCCTCTTCGCCAATCCCCGTCGGCAATGCCAGCGAGCATCGTGCCATGTGTGCTTTCATAGTCTCCATCTTCTGCAAGAACTACCCACAGGGTCAGAACGTCTGCCTTTCTAATGAGCTGTTTGACTCCTCACTCAGACATCTAGGTGACGTGGAAAACCCTTTGCTGCGACAATGGTCATGTCTCTGTCTCAGCATGCTCTGGTGTGACTTCCCAGAAGCAAAATGGATGGGCATTCGATGTGCCGCTCCCGCGAGACTTTGCGAGTTGAATTTCGACCCTGTCCCGGAAGTTCGTGCTGCTATGTTGCATGCGGTAACAACCTTCTTGGGAATTCCTGATTTGACAGACCAAGTAGCTCAAATTGAGGAAACTTTGGCTCTTGCTGTCTTGCCCATGTCCGCCGACGGCAGTGTTGTTGTCAGAAAGGAACTTCTGGTGTTCTTCTCGACATTTGTCCGACGACACCAGAACAAATTCTTGGTCGCCGCCTTTGAAGAGCTTCAAGACGAGAAGCGGTCATTGCGCCAGCGCTTCCAAAATGAAAACCCCCATTCAACTTACAACGACAGCGAGAATGGAATAGTGACATATACTCCAAAGCTATCTCGCAACACCACCTTTGGTACTATCTGGAAACAACTCTTGGCTCTCTCGGTTGATCCTCACCCCGATATTGGCCAGGATGCTGCCATCATTGTCGATTATATTCACCTGGCATTGCTAGAATCTCCAATGGCCCCCCTGACTCACAAACTTCAGACTGAAATTCTGGATCTTGTCGGGGTTTTGAAACTTCAAACTCACGAGCGTTCCGAGACAAAGAAGGTGGCACCGCCCTCTACACCTCCCTCGTCATCAACGCCGACTTCGAAGCAAGAAGGCTATCTTTCGATTGGATTCAAGCGAACAGCTAGCGTTGCTGCTTCCCTCAAGAACCTTGCTTTTGGGAACTCAGCAAATGGGGATCCATTGGACGACTCGAACCCCCCGTCTCCTTCAACAAGTAGGATGCCCATCACCCCTCGCGGTCGTGCTCCTCCCGAATGGACCCGACCCCCAGAAGGCAATGATCATGTTGCTCCTGCGACGGCATATCATCAGGCACCTTCCCCTACATCCCGAGGCTTTGAACCCAAGGGCGCCGGTGCCATCCCCGTCATCCCTCTCAAGAGCCGATTCCTTGACTGGTCGACCGAGGTGAGTTGAGATCCCATAACCCATAATCTACATCATCCAGCTAATAATATCGCCTAGTATTTCCGCGAACCCCAGATGAAGCCCAACGAGCCGGATGAGCCTGGTAGCTCAGACTACAATCAACGCCTATGGAGACGGAGCCGCAACGAGAAGATCATTGCCGAAACCCAACCCCTCAAAGGAAAGGCTGGAGCAAGTCGGTGGGATAATTCTGTTGCTCTGTTGTCGAATGGTAGCCAGCCCATGAAGATGTGCTTCCACCAATTTGAGGATCATCTTGCTGTCGCAGACGATCGAGACACCATTGCGTAAGTCGCTCATAGAACCCCCGTTTGAAACTCTTTTTGACCATATACCCATTTAGAATTTGGGATTGGCAGGGCCAACGGCGTCTTAATCAATTTTCCAATGGCAACCCTGCAGGATCAAAGATCAATGAGGTCCGATACATCAATGAAGATGATCAGGCACTTCTCATGACTGGATCTTCAGACGGTGTCATCAAGCTATTCCGCCACTATGAGTCCAACAGAGAAATTGAGGTCGTCACAGCTTTCAGGGCCCTTCCCGAATTAATTCCCAGCAATAGAAACGCCGGTCTTGTGCTTGATTGGCAGCAGGGACAAGGTAAAGCACTGGTTGCAGGTGACGTCAAAGTCATTCGTGTTTGGAATGCTGCCACTGAAGTGTGCACAAATGTGAGTTTTTCTCCCCGAGTTGACCTCCTGTCTCTGAACTTACAAATATGACTTGACAGGACATTCCTGCACGCTCCGGCTCATGCATTACATCCTTGACCTCTGACCAGGTCGCGGGCAACATCTTTGTTGCAGGATTTGGTGACGGCGCCGTTCGAGTCTTCGATCAGCGATTGAAACCCACCACCTCCATGGTTAAGGTCTGGCGCGAGCACAAGCAATGGATTACCAATGTCCATATGCAACGTGGTGGACTGCGAGAACTTATTTCAGGCGGCCGCAACGGCGAGATTCGCCTTTGGGATCTGCGGATGGATGATCCAATCTCAACCATCAACGCCACCAAAGATACCCTACGAACCCTGAGTGTACATGAACACGCCCCTGTATTCAGCATGTAAGCTTTGCCCTTAATCTTCATTGTTACTGAGATTGTTGAACTAACTTTAATTCCAGGGGCACAAACCGCCACGAAGTCAAGACCTTTAACGTGGATGGCACTTACCTTTCTACGTTCGAACCATACTCCAGCTTCCTCCACCACAACCGCTCTTCTCCCATTGCTAGCACTGCCTTCCATCCCCATCGGACTGTGCTCGCATGTGCCGCGCTAAATGATCACCACGTCAATCTCGTGTCCTGTTAATCCTAGCCGAACTCGAAGCTTCATGATACGTCTATGTCGGTATTTTATTTTCGGACACCCCTGTTTCAACTTTCTTCTTACTGTAATATGCACTTGCATACTTGATATGCAAATTTACATGGCGTCTTGGCGATTGAGTTGACCGGCCATATATTGATGGCTCTGCGTTGTTTGTTTCTGGGCTAGCTTCACTACACTTTGATTTAGTGGTGATTTCTTGCTTTCTTCACTTTATGTGAGACAATAAACAGGCCTTGTTGGATGTTTGACTTTTTGATCTCGTGTTATCACTTGCTAACTTTGTCCTGTATCGGACAATGCTCTATCTAGGTCAGGAAACCAAGTTATACATCATTACGGGAACCCCTTTTATTTCTTTCTCGTGTTAGTGGTTCGAGATACTCGTATTAATTACAAGTACATATTCTAATACATTTCCTTTTTAAACGTTATCAAAGTAGAGAAGGCCTGGGCATTGCCATTCTGTTCAAGTAAGGGCAACAGCGGTCACGTGTACATAGAGTAGAATGTTAATAGTCAGTTTTATTTTTATTTGACTGGATATAACTTAATGCATGGTAAACTTTGGTGCTAGTCCCTTTTGCTACTCGGTCATTAAATCGTCAGACATTGCATTGCAAGGTCAACGATAATAAATAGAAGCTACGTAACTCGCGTTCTACTTTTTCAGCCTACTGGTTCTGTTCTGTATCCCTAATGATGTCATAGTAAAGGGTTTAATTTACTTTGGGGTATTTTTACGCATGCATTTGCATTAAACATGAAGTAATAGAAAATGTTCATATCAAATTGATTCATATCCACAAGAAACAGGCTAAATATACAACAAAAAGATAATAAGTCGTGATATCAATCATTAAATGATCTAGTAACCGCCGCGCTGGTTGGTCATGGGGTCCTGCTTGGATTCCTTAACACGGGGGTCAAGCTTGTTCAACAAGTCGGAGTTGTGAGGACCAGAGGTCTTTCTGGCACCGGAGCTGTGGTCGTTGTAGCTGCTGCCACCGGTAGCGTTGCCACCGAACTCTTGGCCAGAGTGGGTGTTGTAACCCTCGTTGGAGCTGCCGTAGGTATCACGGCCACTGCTGGTCATGGGGTTACTGGAGCCGTAGGCGTCGTTGTGTCCAGTGGTAGTGGAGCCGCCGTAAGTATCGCGACCTCCGCTGGACAGAGGGTTGGTTGAGCCATAGGCGTCATTGTGTCCAGTGGTAGTGGAGCTGCCGTGGGTGTTGTGGCCACCGCTGGACAGGGGGTTGGTCGAGCCATAAGCATCGTTGTGTCCAGTGGCAGTGGAGCCGCCGTAGGTATCACGGCCACCGCTGGTCATGGGGTTGCTGGAGCCGTAGGTGTCACGACCTCCGCTGGACAGAGGGTTGGTTGAGCCATAGGCGTCGTTGTGTCCAGTGGTAGTGGAGCCGCCGTAAGTATCACGGCCACCGCTGGTCATGGGGTTGTTGGAGCCGTAGGTGTTGGAGTGTCCTGTGGAACCAGTGTTCATTGAGTCGTAAGCTCCACCGCTGGTGTGGTGGGAACCAGTAGTTGCGTGGTGCTGGGCGCGGCCATCAAGATCACTGTCAACGCGGGGGTCCATCTTGTTGGCAAGTTTGGAATCATGGGGACCAGCATTGATGTTGCTTGAGCCATGGCTTCCAGTGTTGGTAGTGCCAACTTCCATGGGACCCTTGCGAGAATCATGGATAGTTTGTGTGCCAGTGCTGCCCATACCAGAAGAACCAATGTCCATAGGCCCCTTGCGGGAATCATGGTGAGTTCCAGAACTGGTGTGGCCAGCGCCAGTAGAGGAGCCGTAGGTGTTAGAGGGGTTCATACCAGAGCTGTGAGTGCCCATGCCGGCACCACTGCCAGTAGTGGCACCATATGAGCCGTAGGTATCAGCATCTGCGGTGCCAGTGTTGGATGAGCCATAAGTGTTGGAGGGTTCTGTTATGGTCAATTATTTGGCCCTGAAATGTGGCAGATACATTGTACTCACCATTCATTCTGTTCATGTTGGATCCGTGGTGGGCGCCAGAGTCATGGACAGCACCGGATCCAGAGTTGTAGTTGTTGGAACCAGTAGAGGTGGTGTTGTATTCGTTTGAGCCGTGAGAGTGGGATGTGGAGTCATGAGTGTTGTGCTTCTCACTCTTGTCATGATGTCCAGTGACAGCATCCTTGACCTTGTGAATAATGTTCGACATGATGATAGATTTGGTTGTAGAAGAAGGGTATATCAAAGGGTGGGAAATGCAAAGTGTTGTAGAGTATTGCTTGGATGGGATAGTGATTCGAATGGGTTATTGAGAGTGATTAATTGAAAGAGGAGTTGGGAATCACAGCAGCTTTATATAATTTTTGGGCCATGCTTGATCTCGATCAGCCACAACTAGATCGCTATTTGCGGAAATCCAGTGACGCCATAACGCGGGGGGGGTAAACGAGTAGAGCACCAGTAAAACATGGATTAAGACCCATTGATTGTCTATGTTCACCTATCCATGACGTTCGAAAGGTAAATCAACCATATCAGATTCTTGGCTGAGCATGAGGAGATCAGTCAATGTCATCCGTCGTCATGTCCCGGATCGACATGGGTTAGAACGCCACTGAACCAGGTCCTCAAGAGGTAGCTCCATACGAGCGTGGAGGTAAGTCATGCAGCAACAGGCTGGAGATCTTAAGGGGACGACCACGGTTTCACATTGATTGGGGTTCCATGGTTGACATTGGTGCTGTTCGTCCAAGTTTATACATGCAATGGCTACAAATTGGCGTTCAATGGCGATAGATGCGTGATATATGAAGTCCCTGGAGCTTCCAGATATACAGTACTACACACTGTAAGCTTCTCAAAGTCCCGAACAGAAAGTCTAGAATCGAAGTGACTCCATAGAAGGATCAAGGCAGTGTAGATACGTCATGTTTGGCGGGGCTCATTTCCAAGCCCCACAGAGGCAAGTGGAGCAGCCTTATCGTCCAAAAATATCCTGTGCCTTGATGGGAGAAACATATTCTGATATAACGTCGATCTATGACCTGGTGTAGATGTGTACTCTGTATGAGATAATTCACCGCCCTGTAGAGATGAACTGTATGTAGTTGCCTAACCATGATGACATGATCGGCAGTCTCCCAAAACATCTTCAGCGTTCTAGTGGTGTCGACTACACTCTATGGGTAGCAAGATAGAGCAAGATATAGAATACCGTACATATTGGATAGCCTGGTGTGTGCACATTACACTCGACATGTTCTTGCTGCTGTGTAAGACTTCCGTTTCTGGACAGACGCAAATGTGTTGGTCAAATGGTATGGCCATTGATGAGAGGGTACCACGGCGGGAGGGAGCAACCTGGGAAGCTCCAGACTGTAAAACAAAGATCTCGATGCAACCCCTTCTCGCGACCCTTAGAGGGGGAAGTTTAAAGGGTATACAGAGTCATGTGACTCCACATGACACGATGACCATGCCGTCACAGACTCCAGTTAGGTAATCGATCATCAGTTCCCGAAGTCTCCTTCTCCACCTGACTTCAGCGCTCTCCTGATCTCCCAGGTCTTCTTTCTGGTGTGGTCACCTGCGGTTTTATTCCAAACAGCCGTGGTGCTGCTCATTGTGCTCGATGAGTGGCAGCCTGATCGCTTGCCGCCAACCGTTGGATTGGTCATAAAGAGATAACCCAGAACCTTAGACAGTGGTACGACCGGGCACTGCATATCACTCCATCGATCTCCTTCGATACACTCCAGGATCACTATTCCCCGAGTTACTCGTTGAGGGTAGCCTCCTTCAACAGACATGCGACCGCCACGCTTGATTATCGTGCTCTTCTGCCTAATCTTCTTCCCGATCCTCCTCACCATCTTCTCCGCGCTCACTTCGCCTCGGGTGGCAGCCCCCAATACGCTCGCTGGTCGAACAACGGGGTTGCATTCCCTATTTTCCTTCAATATACCATCGTCGCTGTTCCCGCCCTCGGCCATCATCAGTCTCACTGATGACAACTCCACCTTCTTCCTGGCCCGGCCAGCGGCATTTGGCCCGCTCCTGCCGATAAAAGGCTTGAGTGGTCAGTTATGGGTGGGAAGTGGCTTTGGAGAGGGTGGACTGGCGGGCGGCGTGGAAGGGGAACTGGGCTGCTCCGATATTCCCGGTTGGGGCGAGGGCGCCAACCAAAAGAAGCAAGACAAAGCCTCCAAGGGCACGGATCAGAGTTCCGGCAAGCCCGGAGGTAGCACAGCAAATGATCAGCTACCAAACCACCCGCAGCATTCGGTGTCGCAGGCCGATACCATACCCCAGAACGAAAGAGACGATACCACTACCCCGCCGTCGAACGATGGCACCGACGACCACCTGCATCATCCACTCCCCGAATCAGGAGCGTCAAACCCCGGTATGAGTCAGAAGTACGGAGATTATGTTCAAAACAAGCCACCAGCGCATGCCGATATTCAATCGCTCCAGGAAACTGCCGAAATCCAGGGCAAAGTGGTCTTACTGAGTCGAGGCGGCTGTGGATTTCTGGAAAAAGTCAAATGGGCGCAACGGCGAGGTGGAGTTGCCCTGATCGTTGGCGATGATACCCGAGGCGGCAACTTGGTCACCATGTATGCACGGGGCGATACCTCAAACGTCTCGATTCCGTCGTTATTCACATCCCACACCACCGCCCATCTTCTATCTTCATTAATTCCTGGGCATGGCGGGGGAACCGCTAGCTTGGGAGATGTGACCAAGTCATCTCAAGTTAATCAAGCAGGCAAGCTGGAGGCCGACAAAGAACAAGTGGTCACCTCAACGACGGCTTCAGCCACACCAACCCCGAGCGTCGGTGCCCATTCGGCAGTCAAGGAGAAGCCTTCAACTTCATCTCATTCCAGTGGTGGGTTCTTCCGCACTCTTGGATCACTCTTGGGTCTGTGCGATAAGAAAGCCGGCTCAAACCACTTGGAGGACAGCCGACGCCCGCCTAGCAGCGGCAACATTGACTGGATCAACCTAGGCTCATGGGACGAGAAAGAAACTCCCCTAGCTCCACTGAGTGCTGGAAAGAGATCAGGTGATTATAATCGTCGCACTCGAGCTAAAGTTGACAACAAACTTGAGAGTTCTCATAAGACCGACATGTCGCCTGAAAGTTTTGGCGACGATGATTTTGTCATCGGTGTCCAAGACTGGAGAGACCCCGATTTAATGCCTGGCAAAGGAAGCAAGCCTTCGGCGGCGACTACCTCTACGACAGGGAAGGGCACATCTAAAACGGCCACCGCAGAAAAAGACGCCCTTTCCTCGTCTAATATACTTCAAGGTGGTAGCATTACACCTGGCAGTGGAGAATATCATAGTATCGATAAATCTAGCCTTTCTCATGACTCGGCTGTGAAGGCTTTCGGCAAACAATCCGACGGGGCCAATGCAGAAACTGAATCCTCCGGTTCACCGAACAAGGGCTGGTTCTCTGATCACTTCGGCTGGGGAGACAACTCTCAAAAAGAGAATTTGCCCTCCTCAACGCCGTTGCCCCAAAAAGGCATCGTAGCCAACCAGAAAGTTCAACCAGGTCCTCAATTGTCGAGCCACCCAAGCGCAGAGTCGTCCGAGCATGAAGGTCTCTGGATTACAATGACCCCCACAACCATGTCTACCAGCCCCTTCTTCGATACGCTGTTGGTACTTGTCGTCAGTCCGCTGCTTACACTGACTGTGGTGTACGCACTATTGCTGCTTCGATCTCGAATTCGACGCCGTCGATGGCGCGCACCAAAGTCGGTCATTGAACGACTACCTGTCCGGACTTATCATACAATTACCACAACTTCTTCATCATCATCGAGCTCGCCGCGTTCTTCTAGCCCCAGTGCTCTGTCGCCAACCTCTCCGCTTCTTGGCAACGAGATTCAGCCAAGTGCCTCTCGACCAAACAGATCTCGTTCGCAAACAGTGTCGGGGCCTCTGCTTGACTCATCTTCACTGCCTAGGGAAGAAAAGTGCAGCTTACAGACGGGTTCTACGCTGTGGCGGCGCAAGTATACTGGAAGGCAGGTTGAATGTGTTGTTTGTCTCGAGGAATATATTGATGGCCAGAGCCGGGTCATGAGCTTGCCGTGTGGCCATGAATTCCATGCGGAGTGCATGTAGGTGATATGCAACTCAATTCACTTCAAACAATGCTAACCCTTTTACTAGTACACCCTGGTTGACTACTCGTCGACGAACCTGCCCGATCTGTAAAGGCGATGTTGTCCGTTCAATGGCCCACTGTCAAACTTCTGACGCCCGGAGCCACGATGAACAATCCAATAATCTCAATTCTTCTGAGTCGATCTCACGGGCCGATGCATCTTCCGCTCCGGTATTAATCGAAGGCGTTACTGAAGACGCTTTCGATACTGAACAAACTGCGGGTCTACTCAGTGAACATGCAAGCTCCGCACCACAGTCAAGCTGGAGAAACCTAGCAACCCTTAGCTTCTCAGCACTCAGTGGTGATACGATCTGGCATCAGGCTCGTGCAGACCGTAATCGCTAATGTCTCTCTATATCGCTCCACTCTTTTCCTTTTAGCATTCCCCATCACACGTTGTGTGAAATTTGCTCTTGTATTGAATCATGTTTATTAGCGATTTTTTTTGTGTGTTTTCCTTCTCATGACTTAAGCCTGCCTGGCGTTGGGTGAGAATATCCCGGTGTGCTGGGCAATCGCAAGGTGTGCAGCCATAGTTGAAGCGGCTGGGATTCCCCGCGGTTCAATCGTTTAAAGCTTTACTGTGTGATGAATACATAATTGTACTTCATTGATCTGGAGGCTTGATCAATCTTCATATGTACTCTACGTAACTATACATCGATGCCTTGAGTAATCAGTGGGAGTGAACACACCTACCTACAGCAAGCTGATTGAGATCCTGATCGTCTGAACAAGGTGCATTGATTTCATCGCCGCTGTCACTGCCTAGTGTTCGTGATATCCTGGCTAATATCTTGAAAAATTATAACTAGTCACCGAACGGGGCTCCTTTTCTCTCTTATCTTAAACCACTCACCTTAATTCTACGCTCGTATAATATTAAACATGCTCTGATCTGTTCTGTTCATGAAAATTTCAAGGGAACATTCAAACCACCGATCTGGGGGCATTTCCAACCCGGTGGAATAGCGTACCGCTTGTGAAACTCCATCTTGCAATTGGTGCAGCATTATAGCACCAGAATTGAAAATCCTACTCAGAACCGAAGGAAAAATGAAATGAGCTTAGCAGTATGGAGCCTTGAAGGAGATACAGCCGGCATTTTTCGCATCTGAACTCATACAGAATTTGTTGACGATCTAGTACCGGCGTGTATGGGCAGGCGTACTTGAAGAACAGTCGAAGGAAAGCGAGGCTATACGTTGATCAACAACTCAAATCAGAAAGGTATCAGTTCGAGAACTCTATCAGGTTTTCTTTGGAGGAAGTTATGAACAACAATAAACATGTTTATCATGATTTCTACAAGGACACACTAACCGTCATGTCCAATCAGTAGTAAAATACAAAAAAAGAAAAGCCCAGCACCAAAGATAAACATACAATCTATACACATGCAAAGTTACGATGAATCCGAAAAAGAGACAAGAGCCACAAGAGAGAGTATAAATACATCAAAGTGGGCTCCATGTTTACGGTGCTCCGGGAACACAAGACAAACTACACCCAAGCCGACGGAATGGCAGGGGCCGAAGTTTCTCGCCAGAATGACGTGGCAGTTTCATGCCGTTCTCACACGGTGTGATGTCCCACCATTCCAGCCATTCTGCGCGGGGGATGACGAACTCACGCTCGCAGATGGAGCAGGGCTGTCCGCCTGCTGCGCGCACTTCTCTTGCTTGGCGGAGAAGGGGGACAAGGAGGGCTGGGTACTCGGCTAGTTCTTCGTCTGTGGCTTGCTCGAGGTAGGGGAGCTGGCTCACGGCACGCAGGGAAATTTCGCGAAGAGATGGAGCGACGTTCGAGTGTCGGATTGTTGATCCCATGAGTGGGTTTCCTTCCATGTTTAGGAAGGTTGTTGGGCCAGTGGCGACGTGGATTGAGTTCCACAAGGGCTCGGAGCTTGTTGAAGACTCGTCGTAATTGAATTTGAGCTGGCTAGATAAATATTCTTCGTCTGTCTCTTCTGTGCGCTTGTTCTTGGCGCTGTGGTGCCATTCTGCAATTTGGGCCTCCTCGATTGGGAGGAATGAGTTCGGTCGTACGGTCAGGTGCTTCAGTTCGCCTTCTTGCATGAGCTTGAGAAGCTCCCATGGAAGATAGGTTAATCTGTTGACTGAGAGATTCAGAACTTGGAGAGCTGTCAATCGGCGGATAGTAGACGGAAGTTCGGTCAGCTTGTTGTTCCGCAAGCTAAGGACTTTGAGATTGCTAAGTTCAAAGAGGTCGTTGTGCAAGGTTGAAAGGGAGTTGTTGGGAAGGAAAATTCGAAGGAATGGCTGCAAAGAGGTAAAGACATTTTCAGAGACAGGTGCTTCCCTGACAGAAGGGAGCTTCGTTAGATGCTGCAGAGGTCGCAGTAGGCCAGAAGGTATGGTTTTCAGATGAAAGTCGCTGTAGGAATAAACCGATTAGATGGCTTCATGACGAATGTATATCAGACCAAAGAGCTTACCCAAGATCAATGCTGTCCTGTCCTTTGTCAAGGCAATCATTAACAACCTCCCTCGCAAATCGCTGCTCCTTCGATTCCTCAGATCCCATGATCACACCTTTCATCTGCGCAGGAGCATTCTGGGTCCCGATCAGGAAAGGGGTCGAGTTCCCCGGCTTCCTAGGATCAAGCACAGCTTTGCGCAAATCCTCTTCCCACGCCGAACCATCCTCGGACGGCAAGAGTGACTCCGCGGCAGACTCGTCACTCCCCATCCAGACACCACTATCGACATGTCTTTTCTCCTTGAATTGCCCACGCTTGCGCTTAGGGTCAATCACCTGTTCTCCCCACCAGGTCCCACGATACCGGCGTTTCCGGCCCGCGCCAGATACAGGCGCATGATAGTTCTCCAAGCCGGAGGCGGGGATATCGTCGCTGGAAAAGAGCGCAGGATCACTGGATGGCTGGCTAGAGCGATCGTCGAAGCGAGTTAGGCGCCGCGATCTGTGAAACGAGGTGATTGCAGGGGTCGGAGCTGCGCCTGATGCTGAGGGGTTCACCGCGTGCGCAGGGGAGCGGTGCCGGATTCGCCGCGGCGGGGGAGGGGGATCTCGCCGTCCATTGCGACGTTGTGCTGGATTCAGACGGGAGTTTCGTTTGGAACCGCCTGGTTCATCAGGTTCGGTCTGAAGTATGAAATGTAGTTTTCGTCTGGTGCTAGGTGAAGGCGCGACGCGTGGTGGAGACCGCGATAGGAACGGGTGTCAACAACGCGTTATTTGCGCGACTGGGAAATAGAATGAGATCTTGGATCTCTCTACAGTATACAGAAGATACTCATGGAATTGGGCCAGGAAAGAAAAGGGCAAAGGGAAAAAGTCGAGATTGGAATGCCAGAGATAAGATCAGATCAGACGCGTGGGTGCACGGCCATCATTCGACCCCGGAGGTCACGGCTTGGAATGATCGGCACTCCATAGTTTATTAATGTATATAATTGTATGAGGGAGATATTTATATTGGGTATCAAGAAACAAAGGTGTCAATTGTTCTGTAGATGACTATCAGATGTTCTCCGTTCCAACCCCACCACACGCTATTGGTAAGAGCCATATCAAACAGTCACCCGCCAAACGAATATAGACAGGAGAATCGAAATAAAAAAGGTCGTTGAGAAGGGTAAAGTAACAGCGTCAACTCATGTCGTTCCGCAAAATCATGAATAAAAAAAAACAGGGGTATTTAAGAAGCGTAAAACCGTTTCCTCTCCAAAATAGGTTCTCCAGCCAACCGAGAGGAATATAAAGTCGGGGTAAAAGAGTATAAAAGAAGTCAAAAGCGTATAAATCCCGGCTTTGCTGAAGATGAACGGCTCACAAGAAGAGACAAAGCGACATTCATGCTGTATAAAGACGGGTCGAGACAATCAATGGACCCGAATATAGTTGAGCACAGCTTGCATGAATGTGTCTCATCGCACTACACTTCAATTACAGGGCCTGGCCCATGAAGAGAGCGAAAGATCCTGCAACAATGGCAGCTGGCAAGCCAGCGCCCAGGTTCACAGCGGCGCCAGTCGAGCTAGCGGCTGCGACAGCCGAAGTGGTGGAAGAAGCACGGGAGAGAGGGGTCGAGGTGGGCGTGGCCGACATGGTCACCATGCTAGAGCTCGGGGTCGGAGTAGGAGTCATGGTATTGACTCGGACAAGAGTCTTGGTGATGGTCATCGTCGCAGTCGATGTGACATCGGTCTCTGCGAGGGCCAGCGGGGCAGCTGCCAGGCAGAGGAGGGAAGTGATGACAGTGGTGAACTTCATTGTGTGCAGGTATGCGCAACAGTGATCAATGGCCAGATGAGTAATTGAGGTAAAAGTTGTGATAAGTCTGATGTTTAGACTGGCGCGAAGTATGGAATACGTGAGGCTTCACAATGAGACAACGGATGTTTGGGCTTTGTTTGAGAATGTGCGCAAACGAGCGTCAGAGAATGTATGGCAAAGAGTGTGTAAAGAGTGTGGGGAGAGCGCTGCTCCAGATAAACGAGTGACTGGTAAAACGAGTGTATAGAGAAATCTCTTAAAGTGCCTGCAGGAGAAAAGGGAAAAAATCGGACAGGGCCCGGAATGCCCTAAATAATAAGCCAGGCCCGAACCTGGGGAAAGGGCCATTCGTCCATGAGAGCCCTGTGGCTTGTTTTTCTTCCTTTGTTTAATTATCATTGATTTTTAGGTGAAATTCCGAGATCTGATTGGGCGTTGAGACACGCGGACTATGGGACTATCCAAATTGGGCTCCATCGTGTCCGAACTATGGCCTTTTGGAACCCTAACAAATCTCCCAAACAAGGCGCTAACTCAGGAACACGAAGGGTCTTCCCGCACAGACGCCAGGGGCGACTTGCATATTACCAGACTATTACCAACTCATACGTGTACACTGGACGGAGTACAGTAGAGAATGAAGGTGCGGTGCTGTTCACCGGGTCCGTAGCCCAGTTCCGGGCCAACATGGGAAAAGGCTGTCGCCCTTCTCTAGGCTCCGGTGAAATGGTGAAATACATACATGCATATAATACGAGATTCTTCGCCTCCCTCGGTGTCCGATAGGGTGTAAAGATCCTGGTCCCCTCGATTTCAGTCCGTAAACCTAAAGGACTGGTCTATTTGGCCGGATGCTATCGGCACTCGGGTTTGGTTTCCAGAGGCGCTGTACTCAACTGAAATGAAAATCCTCGTCACACTTTCGCGGCCAATCCGGAACTTGCATAGGTTCCGAGCCCCTGGCGTCATACGCAGGAACACATAGCAGATCATTTCAGCTTGTTATGATCCCCCATCATCAACACAACAATTCGGCTGTGTCGCAACCCCCAGTAGTTATGGCCTGCACTTTGGTCACGGAATACGGAGTACTGCACTCGCCATATGCCGAATCAAGCATTTAGCATTTAACCGACATCCGTCTCTTGTGCCCCCCTTTGAACAGACTTTTCCGATGGGGCTCTATGATTCTCCCGGTACCTGGAAAGAACCATGGAACTCTGATCCACTCGATCGTCGCCCTGGCCTACCATTCTCGTGTGGTTTGATGGCGATGAGAGAGTCTGAGGCGTTCCAGAACGAGTTTCATTTCATTTCTATGATTCGCTCACCGCCTCCTTGCAGGAATACAAGCTCGTCATACCATCAAAATGTGTACTAAGGAGTATGGGCAGTCATGCATCAAGAATGACCACGGTGTACAGTACACATGTGCATGTGCACGTAGCAGTCCACGTCTTGGGACAGCGTTGGGCTGTGGGGGGTGGCTTAAGGAAATCGTGACTCCCAAGCCCTAAGAGACCCCCCGCTTGAGTCATACCCTCATGCGCTCCCGAGGTTCAAGGCTCACACTTTCAATAGCCCCATATGGCTAATTTGACAAGATGCATCTTGTAGATCTCATTAAACTCATGTTTGGTTGTTGTGATGAACCAAATCCCAAGGGGTAGAAAGGGGCGCAAAGTAACAGAAGAGAGAAAGGGGCTCGGGCCCGAGGTACAGCCTTGAGCGTTCGTTCTTTTCTGGTTTAGTGCTCACTTCCTTAGGCTCTGGCTTAGGCGATTGCTGGAGATCGTTGATCGCTTAGATACCCGGGTAACTGACCCCTCAACTCGGGCACAGTATACGATTCCGGCCCTCAGGCGCAGTTGGGATCTTCCCCTCTCTTCCCCAACAATTTTTTAGGTATCAATCTTACCTGCTATGCTTTAAGTCGGATCACAGTATTCCTGATTTCTTGCAATTGCATCGGAGGGGTCTGTGCCTCGCATCGTTGACTCATGGATCGCATGTCAATACTTGGACTGCATTGCGCTGTATGTATAGAAGTACTGCGCTGGATTTTCTTATGATGGTTGCGATGCAAGGCCACGCCATTGCAATAGCAGCGAATTGACTAAAATAAAAATTTCAATTAGTACGAAAATATATATATTTCTAGTCGTGTGTTGTCATTCACTGTGTGCATATTTTCATGTATATCGTCCCCGTATCGGGATATTTACTGATGAAACTGCAATGTTGTAACATGCAGTTGAGATTTACCGGTTTATATGTAAACAGTAGTTAGTTGCCCACCAAAAAACAGTGATGTATTGTGTACAGTCCTTAGTCCTTTTTCCCACTAACCCAAAGAGCATCACGCAAATAGACATTTTTAGTAATGTTAACAAATTAAGTAAACCCTCGTTCAATCTGTACCCCCAAATACACCATTTCCAACCCTACAAAGCTTTTTTAATCTTATCACCACCGAATTGATTCTCCCAAAGAGTCTGATATCTCCCACCCCGGTTCACCAAGTCCTGGTGAGACCCACTTTCAACAACCTGCCCTTCATGCAAGACAAGGATTCTATCAGCGCCAACAATAGTTGAAAGCCGATGTGCAATAACAAAAGTAGTCCGTCGAGCTCTCAGGCGATCAAGAGCAATTTGGATTTCAGACTCCGTCTCTGAATCCACAGCACTGGTAGCCTCATCTAGAAGAAGAACTGGTGACTTCTTCAAGAAGACCCGAGCAATGGCTATCCGCTGCAATTCTCCACCAGAGAGCTTGACCCCATTTTCTCCAACCGTGGTGTTGTACCCATCTACAAAGGTTAAGACTTTCTCATGTATAGCTGCAGCACGACATGCGTCGTGGATTTCTTCATCTGTAGCCGAAGGTCGAGCGTAACGCAGATTCTCGAGAATAGACGCGTTGAATAAAACCGGATCTTGTGGGACAACACCGATGGTTTCACGTAGCGAGCTGAGGGTTATGTCTCGAATGTCTTGGCCGTCGATTTCGATGCTACCAGAAGTCACGTCGTAAAGTCGGAGTAGGAGTCTGAGGATTGTCGTCTTTCCGGAGCCTGTCCTTCCAACTAGAGCAATTGTTGTCCCTGGTTCGACGGTGATATTCACATCTTTGATAGTTGATAGCCGGGTGTCGTAGGCGAAGCCGACATCTTTAAATAGCACGCGGCCGTCTCCAGACTTGAGGATTGTTGCATTCTCCTTTTCAGTGATACTGGGCTTGGAATTAAAGAGGTATAAGAGACGTTCGGCATCCACTAGGTCTGAAACGAGCCAGCGATACTGCGACGAGAGATAGGCCAATGGGGAGATAAGTGAGGACCAATATTGTATAAAGAAAACAAAGTCACCCGTTGAGGCTCTGCCAACGGATATCTCGTGGACTATGAGCGATGCAAGACCAACGAAAGAAAGTGGTTTGAGTAGGTCTAGAAGCGCCTTGCCGATTGCTCGCCGTTGACCGAATTTAGCACTTGCTTTCAAGCATAGATCAACCGCCTCACTAAAGCGAAGTCTCTCATAAGAGAACTGATTGAAATAGGTGACCGTCTGCCAACCTTGCACAGCTTGATGCATAATGCGAGTTTCATTTCGCTGCGTCTGTGTCAATTCACGTCGGTGTTCTAAATTCCAATTGGAAGTAGATACTTCTGCCGAAACGTAAGTAATGGAAGCAATGACAACTAAGAGAGAAGCATAGATGTTGAACTTCAAGTAGAAAACAAAACATCCAATGAACAAGTCGATCACTGCCGGGCCAATGTCGAGAATAGCCATTTCTAGAATATTGTTTAAAGCTGCCCCCTGATCGATCGACTTCATGACTTCTGCGGAGTCATTCTCGATATGGAAATCCATCGATAGATTCATGACATGGCTGAAAGCTGCGTTGGTGATTTGCCGGTAAGAAAACTGCCTGATCGGGATTTTCACGAGAGCTTCGATTAACCCTAGTCCAGCTCCGCCACCAATGACTTGTAACAAGGCCCATTTCCCTAATGAGGCATATGGCGTTTCGTGGGCGAAGATGCTATCGGTAACATCGGCTAATTGTTGAGGGACCAGAATGTTTAGAGCTCGATGGAACCCTATACAGACAACACTGATAGCAATGCACAGCTGAACTTTGGGATTATTCCTAGGCACCAAATAGGGGAGAAAAATGCTAAAGTCTTTCAGGTAATTCCACCAGCCGCCGAGCGAATGTAGTCGTTCTTTGCGGAGCCTCTTGACTCGCGCAGCTCTCGTATTCTGGTTCTTATCGGAATCGCTCTCGCTGTCAGATAGAGCACTGCTATCATCCAAGTCGGGGCTATTGACAGCGCCGTATGTTGATTGTGTTCCATTCAAAAAGGGACGCGACTCGTCCAAGACCTTTTTCTTTCGCTGCCTGATCTCCAAGAGAAGAGTGATCGCCACCAAGATAAGCAGTGAAAGTCGAATGGCTGAAAAAACAATCTGTGCGATTGGTTCCCAGTGCCTCGATTTGTGGAACAATGCGATCACAAGGAGTGGAATCTCGAAACCAGCGGTGACGACTGACGCGCCGGCCAACTCATACTTGGAAGGATTGTCTTGCCGCAGCCACACCGCAGACCAAACAGCAGCCTGGGAGGTCATATGCACAAGGAATGATTGAGATCGGTCAAGGTCATTGATAGTGATGCTCAAAGCTGTCTGGGTGATGTATGTGAGCACAACGAAAGCCGTCAAGAACGCTCGAAGCCGTGTTCTGCGTTTAGAGCGACTATGTCGCTTTTTTTTGGTTGGACTGCTCCTGAGAAAACAGACCACGATAAAAAGAGCGGCTACCAAAGGGCAGCCATAATGCAGAGCCTGAGATGCCTGCTGCATAGTCATACTGAACAGAGAGATGGAGCGGGAGGCGTGAAGTTGCTACTCTGGAGGGTGTTGCTACTTATATTCTAGTTTTAAGCCGCACGATCTAGACACATTTTCCAAGAGCAAACATTTAGTCTGCCTAAGTGTCTGACTGTTTATTGGACCTTCCTGAGCCAGGGTTACTGGGTCATACGCAGCGGGGGCTGGGGACATAAGGGGCGTCCAGGCTATGCCCTGATTATTGGGCAGTTTGTAGATCTGACTGAATACCAGTTTGTTCCAGCCGCTTCACCGTACGTACTTTTTGGCGTTTTAATTGGCCTTGGACTCATTCCACAAGCTAGGTATGAATTTTCTATGAACCTGGCTGACTGTGGCCGATGACTCAAAGGGTAATAAGTTGTCGCTTTATGGATAATGACATGGTCTATAAGACATTTCTATCGTTTGTTTCATTCTCAGTAATTTGCGACGATATCCAATCGTCTTGACTGCCGCTGTCAAATTCGAAACTCAATATTGTTCTTCCGAACTACTTTTGACCTTGCATATATATCAAAATGACGGTTTCATCACCCTGGATGACCCCCCCCCCCCCCCCCCAAGAATATTTTCACTGCCGACTTTCGAATCGGCAGATAGCAACTGGAATGAAAATCCAAGCATCCCAAGGCTGCAGTACATAAAACCAGACAGCCGGGTAGGAACAGAAGTCAGCGAACTGGTTATGTGGCTAGCTGTGCATTGATAGAAATAGCACCGCCCAATATGCCACTCGAAGACCCCCAGATTCGAGTCTGATTGGATCCATCAAAAGCGCTAGCACGTCTGGGATAATTACTCGCAATCGATGGATGTGAACTATCAACAGGAGAAAATATCAAAAGTCCTGAGGTGCATTTTGAGGCCCCGAAACCGATTGGAATGGACCCTAAGTTTACATTGAAGGCCCCTGCCTCTGATTCAGTCAGGTCTGAAACAAAACGGACCTTTGCCAGCTGGACACACCATTCGGACACCGACCTAGTATCAAAAGGCCCGTCGTCTGAATGGCTGTAACATCCGTATCGTGATGCCAAGAAGGAAACGGCTGGTATCTATTGAAGTCGTTCCAGCTTGATTGCTTGATCACTGGTCACAAGGACTGGGACTTGCAGCCTCGTATCTCTTATGCCGCACCTCCTGGGGACTGCATACATTGCCCCGAAGGACTACAGCAATAAGCCATCTTTGCATATGTGAAACGGATTTGAATGGCTGTAAAAAGGATGAATTCTCACATTAACGCTTACAACGGTTGGCGCTTTTATAGAGGATTCGTCGAACGCCAGCAAGTTCTGGGTACCGCTAGTCTATGTACATCGCGTGCTGAAGTAGACAGTAGCCCTGGAACCTGGCCGTTGCAACCGTGGTGGTTTCCTGTCTCCTGAAACCACCGAGAAAACCTCTCAACCAGAGATTATATCGTACAAGGGACGTTGCCAGGGGAGTGGTCATGTCGCATATTTCCCGGGTGTGTCCTAAGACCGCGAGAAAGAGTGTGTTTATTGGCGCAGGGGGCTCTGTCGGGGGAGCATCATCGGGGGTCCGCGGGCACGGAGCCAGGCATCGTTCACAGGTCCTTCGGAGCGAATGACACTACCAATAGACATGAAGAGTCTATGAAAGCTTTTGGTTAGTCCTAGTTTCCTAAGGCATTCAAGGAAGATCTCGGAATATGAAAGAGACATACCCAAAAGTTGCACCCGAACCCAGCATATACTTGCCCAGTGTCCGCATGACACCATTGGGGCCAGCGCCGTACTGGAAAATGGTCACGGTTCCTATGGCTGATCAATATTATGGCAAGTAAGGCAAAGTGGCGTGACTGACCAACAATGAAACCCATGATACCACCGACGGCTAAACTATGATGTTAGCAGGAGCTCGAGGTTAGATGATGCGACCACGTACTGGATCCCATCATGCAACCCATTTTCACTAAAGTGTTGTCAGCCCATCTATTCAAATTCATTGTATTAAGCCATGCGAAAAGGGTCACTCCAGCGCATTGCGATGTATAGCGAGTGAGTTGTAGATGACATACTCTTGTCGAAAGTCGAGGGACCCCCTGGGCCACCTTGGGCGGGAGGACCAGCAACAACAGGCATGATTGGAATTGAGAAAGAGATTGATAAGATTAAAGAAGGTAGCAGCTTAGAGCTGAACGAGAAATCCCGAGGTTGAATGATTCGAGAATGAGCTTCGTTTTCCTCCCCAGCTTCGATCTCCACCTCATCACGTGACAGACAACGGGCGCACACGTGCCCACATACCACGTGACCCGGGGGCGTCAAGGGAGTAGACCAAGTGAGCAACTCGCACTTGCCCAGATCCTTGATGGCAACACTCCACGATCTCTGACCTCTTTTCTCCAAAAATTTCCCCAGGGTCAGAAGCCTGCGCTGAGGCGGTAGTGCCGTCTTGAGCTTCCGTCACCTTTTTGGGACGTGTGAAGCCGCCCACGATTCGGCACCTCCCTCCTTGGTCCGGGCCAATATTACACCTCAACATTTTTCAAATCATTTTCCAATAGTGAGTATACGACCAGCTGAGATTAGCCTGAGCGTGGAGCGAGTCCAGCCCGAGACATCGAGTGGAGGTCCTAATTTATGTTACCTTGTTCAGACGACACTAACGCGACCGTCCTGCTTTTAGCCGGGCAGCTGAGATTGAATCACCCTTGCGCGCATTCAATTTCCACAATACCTTGGACTTTTCCAGATCTTCCAATACGTCTTATTATTCGCCTCCTAGACCGTCTCGAAAACAATCATCCTGTTTCCAATTCGCGACCGTGGACGCGCCGATCTAGACATCTTCCGTTGCTTCGACTCACCTGCGAGTATCCTTCTCCATGACTGCTGTGGCATCTCCTCCTAGTGTAGAATCGGGGTCTCGCTTGGGATGGTACAGCTCTGGTAACGGGGGACAAGGAGCATTGTCTTCAGTCAACGCGGACGACGTGTCACGGATGTTCATGCCACGGAAGCAGGTCCAACGATCAAATTCCTCTTCCTCTATCGGATCGTCTTCTACCACGTCGACCGTGTCCGCTTCTCAAGATACACATGCTGCGCAGAGTTCCGATACCGAAGGAACTTGGTCATCGAAGAAGAAGCCCGCGCGGAATCCTTGGCCCAGCTCGAAGTCCGAACCAGTATCAGGGGTAACGAACACGAGATCTCAAGCAGTACCTGCATTTACCTCGGGCCCAACTGCGTCCTCGACAATGTCTGCCATGCATCAACCTCCGTCCATCGTCCCGTCGCAGACGGCGAATATGCTTTATCCCTCCCCGGACCAGCAGAATGGTCAGCGGGGGCCACCCAGACAGTCCGCTGATATGCCGGTGATCTTGGCTCTGATACCAGTGAATGGTACCTTTGAAAAAAAACAAATCAACGTGCCAATTTACCCTGACGTTATGCGAATCGGCCGACAGACCAACGCCAAAACAGTTCCTACAGCTCTCAACGGGTATTTCGACTCCAAAGTTCTCTCCCGACAACATGCTGAGATTTGGGCCGAAAAGAATGGCAAGATTTGGATCCGAGATATCAAATCATCTAACGGCACATTTGTCAACGGCCATCGGTTGTCTCCAGAAAACCGCGAATCGGATCCGCACGAGATACGTGAAAACGATACCCTGGAACTTGGTATTGATATCGTCAGCGAGGATCAAAACACCATTGTTCACCACAAAGTCTCAGCCAAGGTTGAGCACGCCGGTCTCTACGGCAGCACCCCTAACATTCTTGATCTGAACTTTGGAGACCTGGATCCCGCCTCTGGAGGCGGGCTTCTTCCTTCCCCTTTGAGCCAACCTCTTTCGCATCTACGCAGCCGAGCTGGTAGCAATGCTAGCAACCGAAGTAACCAAAGTGTTGCCAGTACTCAGCTCAATGCTATGCACCAACAACGACAGATGAACTACTGGAACTCGCCAATCTCTATTGAACAGGTTGTCAAGCGACTCACGGTATGCTCAATTTGATATAGACACGAGGATTTTGCTGACACATCCCAGGGCGAATTGAAATCAGCAAAGCAACAATCGATCGATCTTGGCCAGACCGACGAATTCTTGACTACCATTATGAAACCAGGTTACTCAGAGAAGGACAAGATGGCCAAGCCATCCCCCCTAGAGAGCAGTGCTCACCGACAGATGAATGGCCGACCGAAAATGCCACGGGTTGACTCTTTCTCGAGGTTTTCTGATCCTCCAGCCCCTCCACCCCAACAACCTTTACCAGAGAAACCCGATGCGCCACCGCGTAGTGCATCTGAATCATTTTCTCCTTTGAAGCGCAGCGATACAGAGAAGCCCAAAGGAGGCGCGGGCTCTCCTGTCTCACGCGACTCGAGTCAGATCTTGTCCCTTATTGAAGCACTATCTTCCGCCAAGCGAGAGATTGATACTCAAGGAACCCGTGTTAAGGAACTGGAAACTCTTTTGCTTCAGGAGCAGGCTGCTCGGAAATTGGCAGAAGAAAGAGCCGACCAATTGGAGATGCGCTCTACATTGGTAAATGGAGAGGCTCCTGTCGAAAATGGCATTATTCTCCATTCAGAGAATACCCAGGAGAAGCATCAGGATGACTCGGAAGAAACCGTGCAGGTCAATGGCATTCATCCCCCGGAGACTGCTACTGAAGACAGCGAGGCTCTTGCCTCCGCAGAAGCCAATGCCAGTAAGCTTCAAAGTCGCCTGGATACTATGATGGAAGAGATGGAAGAGATGAGAAAGCAAGTTGCATCTTTCAAAGAACGTGCGGAGAAGGCCGAAGACGAGAGCACACAATCTCGTACATCATTGGCAGAAATGGTTGAAGCGCTGCGTCAGGAACGCGAGAAGGCTTCTGCGTTGGCCGCTGCGAGCAAGCCTGATACAACCCATGAACCAAGCAAAGTTCCGTCGGGAGAGTCTAGTTCGAGCGAGGATGCAACGCAATCAAAGCCGAAGAGCCCGATGCAGCACGTCAATTCGGTTATCCAGCAGAATAAAGAGCTGGACTCTGCGGCTACAGCTTTTGCAACACACCATCGGAACAATGTTCTGGAAGAAGCAAGTCCCTATGCTTCAATCTTTGGCGTGGTATTATTAGGGGTAGGCTTGATGGCCTATCTCAACGGTTGGCAAAAGATGGATAAATAAACCAGCTTCGAATCATTTCCTTCTGGGCTTCGGTGTCTCTTTCTACACGGTTTATTGCATAAGTGCATTGCGTACCTTGACCTTCACTCCTATCTTTGTTCCATCAGATCTCAGCTTCTGCCAGTCATGACTCTCTGGCAATGGATTCCTTGGTCGCCTTATTCTCTGATGAAGATCATCTGTTATTTTTTTTCTTTTCCTGTCTTCATACTCGAAGCCTCACTTATTTCAGCCCACAATCTCTCTTTCCTTTGCCACGAATTTTCTTGATGACGTTCTTCGATGAGATTCTCTATCAACCTCCCCGATGTCCCACCCCCTCTTTCCGGTCATCTCCTTTCGTGTTTGTTTCTCTACCTCCTACTATGTTACTATTAGCCTCTCGCCATTTGGGACTCGGCATCTTCTCTTTTGTCTGTACATGATGGGGGAAAATAAGGATACGTTCATGACTTGCAGCCTCTCTTTGAAACATTTATTTTGATGAAGGGTTTTCAGGCATTATCATTCATCGTGTCATGTCAGCGCAGGGCTTTCTGAGCGTATTATGGAGTTCATTTTCATTAGTATTATTTTCTTTCTCATTCATGCCTATCTGGTTCCGTCGACAGATGTGACGATTTACGCTTTTTCTTCTAAGCTCTTCTGGATTACAGTAGAACTGCTGGCCTCGAGTTGGTGCCCCTCTCTTTCTTGCTAAGTCACTCTAAGTTGAGCATCTACGGCGGGTTAGAGTGAATTTTTAGTTTGCAGATGTGCTCTGGGTAAATTGGTTTTCATAAGCAAGGCTATTTTCGATGTACATGGTTTTGATCCTGGTGGGCCTTGCACAAAAGAATTGCTCCTTTCTTGACTGTACCTGCCCGACCCATGATGTGTTGCGATTGTAGAGAAGCTGCCCTATGGTGGTAAAGAGGGTCATTGGAAGCTCTAGAGCTCAGCAACTGTGGACACCACTCATGTCCTCATCGGAATTGAGGTCCCGGAAAACTAGCGGGTGAGTGATGAGATGATTGACAGCCACTGCTGAATGCGGGTCTGCTCGATAGACAAGATGTGTTTTTGCAGCTTGCTAAGAGATTGCCGGAACATCCTGGGTCGGCCCAAAGGATTATCACAGGGATCGATTCCAGCCAGTGAGGCTTGGCCGGTTGATTCATGTTTCTAAGTCGTAGTCGAGCAAAATGGCTTTCATACCTTCCGTCAAAGCCATGTAGTCTGCAAATCACTTCAGACTAACCGCAACCTCAACCATTTTGACCCATCGTGTACGGCTCTCAGGGAGCTCAGCCTCAGGATCCACGGTAGCAGCAGCCTGGCGCTTCCTCTTCTTCATCGCCGACTTGGACTCTGAGACAGGAAGGTTACTTTGTTGCGTCTCCTGAAGTTGACGCTTTTGTTCCTCTTGCTCTTTCTTCTCTTCATCCTCAACAACGTCATCGACGACGATGACACTTCCAGTCTTCACGCGGACCGAGTACTCAGTCTCTTTCTCTTCGAACCATTTCCCGACATTGAGTGCTTTCTCAATAGCTCGCCCCGTGGCCTTGACAAAGACTTCCTCCCGCTTCGAGGAGATGTTGGCTAGCTCTGCAAGTTTTTGTTTCTCATTTTTGCGCGTGTCTTCCAAGTTGATGTTTGCCGTGGCGCGCTTCTCGGCTTGGAGGAGTAATTTCTGAATGCGCTTGATTGCGCTCATGAATGGCGTACTGGTCGACACATAGACAATCTTAGGGACAGATGCCCCAGCGTATGGCGAGGCAACTGGTGCATGGGGTATGGGGCGCTTTTCGACTTTAGCATCTGTGTAGTCCAGACAGTTAGTCTTCGAAGTCGTAAGGTTGAGCTGTCCAGCAGTCGCATTCACGATCTGGGGACGCCCCGCAGGCGCACGAGGTCAACTTACATTTGGGAAGCTTGACAAGGTCTTGATTCTTCTTCTCGAACTGGAGCTTCTGCTCCAAGGGTCCCTTTCCCATGGCTGGATTATTTCACGAATGAAATGCCGAGTCACGTTTCAGTTGCTTATCGTCCGTTTTTCTGCCGGGCGGAAGCCCCGATATGACCCTCCCCCAGATGGCACCTCCGCCCTGAACAACAATGGGAGGTGAATGAACTATATCATTCTTCGTGGGTCTTTTTTTCTACCTTTCTACAGAAAATGAGTGTCCGCATTGAAGATTTTGTTACACGATTTTGAGTAATCTTAGATAAATAATGGGGGAGTGTCCGTCTGTCTTTGCCGTCCTGTGGTTCGCCGTTATTGACGTACTCTCTTAATGGATTTTATGGAGAGTCATGGCAATGCAGATTCTTCCAAATGTTTCGCACATCGTATTCTCCTTTGCTTGTTACTGGATATGTCGAATGTCCGATGGACTATAAGCCTCACGTGATTCCACCCCTCGATCTTGTACCGCGGTAACCTCGTTTACTTGATAGTTCTGTATCCCAGCAAGCCAAAGGTCGTCATGAAGATATCAACTTCCTGCACACGATGCAGGACAGGCAAACGAAAATGCATCGTGGAGCGGGTAGACCTACCTTGCCAGCTGTGTTTACGACAAAACAAACACTGCTCTTTGGTGAACTCACCTCGAAGACAAAAACATATCCTTCCAAAACTCTCAACTAGCGGCAAAACAAATGACACAGACTTGGGTCTTCTTACTACATCCACTCTACAGGCGGAACTGGCAGTGACATTGACAGATCTCTACTTGAGCCTCATCCATGACAAACCACATACTTTGTTCAGCCCGGTCGTCCTACGAGAACGAGTCCGAGATGGCACATTACCCCGGGCGGTACTATACGGTATAATGGCGATGTCAGCCCGGTAGAAGATTGACCGCTTCGTTTCTAGTTCAACATGACCTGATACATCTATAGTTTCTCGGACGATCAGGAAGTTCGACAAAGGACCAAGGAGTTCTTCTCAGCCGCAAAATTCGCCTTGAAATTGGATATTGACAAGGTATGTCTCGATACGCTTCATGCAAGTATTCTGGTGGGCAACCTTTGTGGAGCTGAAGGAGAGGCTTCAGGCGAAGCCCTATTCTTTGGTAAGAAATGTCAACACTCAAAATTGTGATGGACTAACAAGGAACAGGAGTTGCTTTCCGAATGTCACATGTTTTGCACTTGCCAGAGCCTGATGCTGGAGATGACAGTATCACACAAGAGATCAAGGTGCGAACCTGGTGGTCACTGTACATGATAGACACATGGTCCTCAGCTGGGCTGGATCTCCCCCGCCAAATGTATGACAAAGGCCAAAATCGACTTCCGATGCCCGAAACAAAATTTTGGTCTCTTGAAAGAGGAAATAGTTCTGAAAAAGACGGTCGACTAGGGGTAGGTCTCTGGGGTTACATGGTGATACTCGCCCGAATTTTCAGCCATATCCAGGATCTCCATGTGAAACTTGCAGAGGGAGCTCTAGATGAGCATCATGCTGAAGCAATTACTGAAGAGCTAGCGCATGAGTTTGATAAATATCTTCAAGATCTACCGTCGAATTTGCATTTTACGGTTGATAATCTGAAACAGCATGCTGCTGCAGGCCTCGGGCGGGCCTTTGTCGCGCTTCATCTTGGTTATCACCACTATGCCACATTGCTCTATTTTCAATACTTTGATACACAGCTTGAAAGGACGCCCAGTCGGACCATATTTGTTGCTCGTTGCAAGTACCATGCTGCTGCGTTCAGTGATTTGTTGAAATTGTCTCATGAGACCGAGGATTGTGAGGTCTTTTATCTCATTGTGGCTCATATGACTGTCGTTTCCTCCTCTGCGCTACTGCATACATTGTTATTTGGAAGTCAAGATGAGCTACTCGATACAAGGAAACGGCTTTACCTGAATTTCGAGATACTTATGAAATTGAAGCCATATTGGCCAGGTGTGGAATTGATGGTGAGATCTATCTCATGAGCTCGACGATCGATGAACGCGCCAATTACTAACATTGAAACAGATGGAACGTTTATTCACATTTCAAAAAGTGTGCATGCAGTCCATGGATGAAATCTACACTGTAGACAGGTGGATTGTCAAATTTCTGCTTCATCATGCATTGCCTATCGAGGGTGAAGTCGGAACGCCCAATGGATCCGACTTTGCCGAGCGTGGAAGATTTGCCAGTGATGCCTTGTCAATGCTTCGCCCACCGGAGTGAGTCACCATATAAGCCCTAAGTGCTATTTGTCCCGGGAGTATTCATAGATTTGGTCTCTTGTCGAAGCTCGTTGCTGGCCACGTTTGCATCTTCGCCATCGAACAACGCTGCAATCTCCTCAAGTGTTGGTCCCTTTGTCTCCACAAAGATGAACCAAATACAAATACACTCGACAACCAGGATCGCTATATATACGAAATAGAACCGCCATTTCAGAGCTTCCAGGCCGATTGGGTTGACATACTGGTTGAAAACGGATGACAGAGCTGTCAGGGCCAAACAAACCGCAATACCCTTGGCTCGAATGTTGAACGGAAGAATTTCAGCCACATATGCCACTGTGAGACCTGGCCATGCGAATCCTGCAACACCATAGAAGAGGAATATCATGGCGATCACTGCGGAGCCAGCGCTGTTATTTCCCGTCTGGGCATATACCGCGGAGCAACTGCCCCAGGCATATATCGTCAGTCTCCATCGAATCAAAAGAAAATGGGAAATAGACTCACCCAGTCCAGATAGAAAAGCTAATCAGCATACCAACACCAGCAATCATGAACAATGTCTTTCGGCCAAGTATGTCAACGAGGAAAGCGGAAAACCCAATAGCAACTAGGAAAGACCAAATCTGCAACGCCCCGTTGATCATAGACTGGTCATAAGATGACTCGATGCCAACAGAAGAAAGGATATCGTGAAGGTAATACGATACCAATCCATTACCGGAGCACTGTGAGAAGAACGAAACCAGTGCGATGAGCAGCATTCGCTTTCGATTACCTGGAGTCTGAACCAGGACTTGCCAACCAGCATTGGAATTTCTCTTTTCCATGAGGATGGTCTGTTGAATCTCGTGGAACTCAAATGAACAGAAGGGATCATCTCTATCGCCAGCTCCATGGTACTTGACAAGGATATCAAAAGCTTCATCTGGGCGGTCCTTTGCACATAGCCAGCGAGGACTCTCCGGGAGGAACCAGATACCACAGATTTGTATGAAAGGCATAGCGGCCTGCATACCCACTGGGATCCTCCATGCTGCTTCAGAGGTATATTTGATTGTTCCAAAGACGGTCCATGCAGCAACAATCGATCCCAAATACCACAATGTGTTGTACATTGTTGTCAACTTTCCGCGATGTTGGGGGTAGGCAAGCTCTGTTATGAGCAGAGGGGCGGATCCCTGACTCACGTTTGATCTTGCCAGTCGTCAGTGAAATATTGTCAGCGGATATGAAGTCTCACATACCCAAGACCCACGAGGAATCTTCCTGCCAGGAACATGTTGGAATCGACCGAGGGGACCACCTGGATGATTGTCCCGACAAATAGAATGATCAACCCGATGGTCACACCAGCCCTTCTTCCGAGGAAATCAGCAATATAGGATGCTAGCAGGAGCAGAAGCAGTCAGAAGGATCTCAAGCAGAATGAGAAAACCACATACAGAAGAGCAAAGAAGAAACACCACCAATATTCTGAATAGCAGTGAAAAGACCCAGGGTAGAACCACTCGGGCTATTGAAATCTATTCAAGAATCAGCATCCCATCATCGAAGCGTACAACTCGTCGGTACTCACAATCCTGCCACGGAGTCATAGTCTGAAGCCCATTCAAAAGAGAGCCATCATACCCATTGATCGTTGCACCGAGAAACAGGATAGGCATCATCGGATACAACTTGCGCAACCCACGATGTTTCCACCAAGTAACACGAGGAGCCTCCATGTAGCCATATCCAACAAACTCGGAATGGGCAACAGAAGCCTCACCGGTCTCCAAATGTTTTTCTCCCTTATTCAGATTCATGTTGCAAGGCCATGCAATGTAGTCGAGGATGACTGAGCTCTTCCACCTACATTCCTGGGCCACCAAAGCCTCTTTATATACATATTTCCAGTCGAAATGGCAAGCACCCATCGGACCCCTTAACCAAAACTCAACAAACAACATTCCATGTCTCTACCCTTCCCCGGGTTTCTACCCAAACAGGAAAAGCGGTTGCGGAGAAGCGCCATACTTGATGTTGCGGGGAATCAGCCAATAGACAGCCCTCAAGCCCGCAACATCTGATCAGGTTGATCTGATCCGAGGATTTAGAAGTGCGGGGGTTTGGGAAGTTGATCGATGCGATAGTGCGGGATATCGAACCAATCGACCGTGTTCAATGCCGTATTTTCTTTTTGGACGTGGTGCGATCGCCCAAGATTGGTGTGCAACCCGCCGGCATCTGACTGCATTCCTGTCAATTGTACATGTATGTGGAGGGTCCGATGAGGGGTAAGAGGAGAGGGAGGATAGGTATAAGAATGAATCCATGAAATGGGGTTTGTTGGATTCTCGGAGACCATCATCTCTTTTCTTTTCCGATCTACTTGGAGCTGTAATCTACAATGCTCGTCCCTACCTCTGACATTCCACACCTTCGCAAGACGGAAATTGGCCAGCAACTTATTGTCAATGGCAGGCCTTTTCTTTCTTTAGCGGCTGAGCTGCAGAATTCCTCTTTGACTTCGGCGGAGTATATGGATACTGTCTGGCAGAAGCTTGTTGACACTCATATTAATACTGTGCTGGGATGCGTGACCTGGGAGGACATTGAGCCAGTGGAGGATGAGTTCAGCTTCACCGAGTTGGACAAGGTGATTCTTGGAGCTAGGAAGCATGGACTACACCTTGTGTTGTTGTGGTTTGGATCTTTCAAGAATGGTACGTTCCTTGTCTGGATGTGCATGCTAGACTTCTCTGATACCAAGCTCGTCTAGGTATTTCTACATACGTACCCCCGTGGGTAAAGACAAACACCAAGCGGTTCCCTCGAGCGAAGCTACGCAAGGCCGGCGGTGTACTCCAGACCGGCGATGTGCTGTCCATTTTCCATGGGGAAGGATGCAAAGCCGATGCCAAAGCGTTCTCACGCTTGCTGGCTCATATCAAAGAAGTGGACGGGGCTCATTCGACTGTGCTGATGGTCCAAGTCGAGAATGAGACTGGCTTGCTGGGTGATTCTCGTGATGGCTCTGCTGTCGCTGAGAAGCGATTCCTCGAGCCTGTTCCGGAGGATCTGGTGCAGTTCCTAAAGAAGGACTGGGAAGCGCTCCAGATTGATCTTAAAGGCAACTTGGATTATTTCCAGACCCAGGCTAGTACCCGTGGAACATGGGAACAGGTCTTTGGCAAAAGCCCTCATACCGATGAGCTCTTCATGGCGTACCACTACGCCAAGTATCTCAACCAGGTTGCTGCAGCTGGCAAGAAAGAGTACCCTATTCCATTCTATACGAATGTCTGGCAGAACTACGTCGGCGAAGACGGCGATAATACTTTCCCAGTTGTCGTCGGTGGAGGTGGACATCCAGGTGATTACCCATCTGGCGGTGGCACCAGCAACGTTCTTGATATTTGGCAGCAATTTGCACCATCGCTGGACTTTATTGCACCGGACGTCTACCTCAATGACTACGCAATCTCCTGCCGTAAATACCGACACCGGAGCCAGCCGCTCTTCATCCCTGAGCAGCGTCGGGATGAATACGGGGTCCGACGTATCTGGGTAGCATACGGATCGTTCCAAGCCATTGGAGTCTCGCCCTTTGGCATCGACACCTTGGAGCCTGCCACAAACCCATTCACCAAACACTATGGACTCCTAGACTCAGTATCCCAAATTGTGTTAGACGCTCAGACCAGGCCGAATGCCTCGGTTGGTTTCTTCTTCGACGAGCTAGCCACGGATGGCTCAGATCCGTCCAGTCCGGTGATCAAGCACTGGGCCGGCTACGAAATCACCATTGAGCGCTGCTTTGTCTTTGGCAAAGCCGGACCGGGCGCAGGCATGGTCATCCACCGAGGCGGAGGAAAATTCCTTCTGATCGGATGGGGCTTCCAAGTCCGTGCACGCTCTTTGAGTCCTACGAGCAGCTTCACCGGCTTCTTGCGGTTTGAAGAGAAGATGGTCGCGAACAAGGAAACGGGAGAGTTGCGGACTCTGCGTGTTCTGAATGGCGATGAGACTCGGAGTGGAATCTATGCTATGATGCCCAATGAGGAACCTGATTACGGGGGATTCCCCATTTGTGTTACTATCCCCGCGCGCACGATGATCGCCGAATTGGAGGTGTACTCCGTGGATGAGACGGATGACGAGTAGCGAGGAAGTCCTCTGTCAAATCAGCTGGCGGTGCATGTATTTCGTATAGAGCCTCAGAGAATCCAACACCCCCTGATCGAAACTCCAGCGTTCATCTCCGATAGGGAGGTCCTCCGTAGAGGTCCAAGTGTCTTTTGGGCCCGGCGTTCACCCGAACATCCGGTAGCTGGAAGACCGATGAGATGCAAGTCCGGTCCGTGACGCAATGATCGCCTGAAAAATTGCAGTGATGCAGTGGACTTTTTCCCCCCTGAGGCCAGTTGACGTATCGGAACCAAATCAACACGTTGACGATCTTCATGTCTGGACTCGAGGGATCGGCAGGGTGCCGTGAGCTGAATGACAGTCAGCTGATATGCACTAGACTCACTTGGGAAGGTCCAGTTGGAGCCGATCATTCTTTGTTTTTGGGGTAAACCGTTATGGCAAGAAACGGCGCTGTGCATTGTTTGAGGCTAATTTTTGAGCTCTCACGGGTCAAACTAGAGAGGTGTCTAATTTTTCCAGTTGACCTGTTGGTTGGCATGAAACCGAAGCCAAACCCCCCAACGCAACAGGGCAACCGAGCCACACAACAGAGGCACGAGATCTCTCTGGCCTGAGGCAGAAATGACGGCCCGCCAACCATGGAACTCGGCCCTGGGCCTTGATTTGGACCATGGAACTGCATTCCCATTGGGGATGTTGACAATCGGGGATATGCTTCCAGTCTACTCCGTACATCTGCTGTCTACTCGTGTACAAATACGAATGGCAAGATGCACTGCCATTTTTTGATCCAATTCTGTGCGGTCCCGGAATCGTGGTAGAGGCGGTTTCATCGGGGATTGCGTGTGAGCCCCACACCAGATCCAAGCGAAAGATCTAAGAATAAAGGGAATTATTGGATGAATTATTACCAAAGGTGATCGAAAGTGAAGATCCTCTGCTTTACGGCAGACAGTTGTCGTTTCTTTTTTTTTTTTTTTTTTTCTTTCCTCATCTGGGGGGCGAATATTATATGTGGCCACCTTAAAAATAAATCGTACGCAAGCTCAAGGGAGGCAAATCTCTAAATTGACCAGTCCCATGACAAAGTACACACAATTGACAGAACCAAAAATGTCGGCTTAACGGCTGCCTATCCCCCGTTCCCGGAGACCAGAAGCCGTATGCAAGGCACATAAGCAGTGCAAGGGAACAGAAATCTCATCATAGGCTGGAATGAATTTAGGGGGGCTTAGAACCTACCTAGATAGGTCAAGTGTATACCGGGGCGGCGGGAAAGCAACGGCTGTCTAAAGCAAACCCAGAACCCAGGGACCTATGATGATGCGACGCTGGAGTCTCCCCCCGGGTCTGGACTCGGAAGCCCTTAATTAAAATGTCGGACGGGGCAAACATCGCTCGCCTTTTTAGTAGGCGATTTCCCCTCCACTTTTACCACTTTTACTACTTTTGCCATTTTCATCACTTTCATCAATCCCTTCCCTCGTTCACTGTTCGCTTCTTTACACTCTTTCCCTCATTCGACGTATCATTGCGTTTCATTCGGAAGCTAGCTCCCGACGCCCGCTCTTCACTTTGCATACACATCAGATCTGGCGTGCAGGATATCTATCGAATCTGCATTCTGATTGGCTCTCCGGTCTTCCAAGGGATATCTCAGACAAAGAACACCCGCCAGCCTCGAAAGCTTTTCCTTTGGACGTGACTGTCTCAGACATATCGAGACGCGACCAATCGGGCGCCCGTGTCTGCCTGCGTTTCCTCTTTGGGTGTATCAGGTCTTCCCCTCCCTTGGCTGGTTTTTGAGCTATCCCAGCCGTCGCGATCCGGTTGATAACTACGGCTTTGGACCGTCTGGACGTTCCATTTTTCTCTCACCTTGCTGTACAATCGCTCTCTGTCATTCTTTCATCGCGACGCCTGTCTCGTCATACGACTTTCCAAGTTGCATAGCATGTCTCCCGACTATGAATCACTCGATGCCCCCGATGGGTCATCGTTAACCTGGATCTTTGATCATTGCTTGCGTTACGCCGACCAATACGAAATCTCTCTTCGCGCTGCTTACGAGCTCAACTGCCATCCCACCAAAAGCACCATGGCAAGCTCCAACACTCCTTCCGTGTTGTCTCGCAACTCGGTGTGGTCGAAGGCATCCAAGTCTACCCACCGCAGCTCCGACACGCCTTCTTTTGATGGTGATGCCAATGCCCAGTTTCGTGCATTCCTCACCCGTACTGTTTCCCAACTGCCTTCCCAGCCCTGCTCGCTGCCTCCGAGCTTCACTACCTCTTTTGTGCGCCGTTGCTTCTGTTTGGACCTGGCCGAAGTCGACTTTGCCCAGGCCTTGACTGCCCTTGATTACCTGAAAGATCTTCAGGACCGTTGGAAGAAGGAAATCGATGCCGCTTTCCGTCGCTTGAATGTGACTGCCGATGATGCTCGGGATCCTAAGAACTCGGAGCTGGCTCGTCAGTACCCTGGTGTGATGACCTGGTACCAGGAAATCAACGGAAAGGCCCGCATGATCGACTTCTTGTACACTCAAGTCTATGTCGGTCTCCGTCGCTGGATCTTGATCAATGAAATGATGCTTGAGCCGTACAACAAGCCTAACTGCCTGGCTCTTCTCAACACGCTACTGCCACCTGTTCACGCCGCAAGTCTGACTCCGACCCAGCAACTCGCACCAAAGACACTGGAAAACCACCGCGATGCATTCTTCACTTTCATCATCAAGTTTGAGGAGAACCCCAGAATCTTGGACCCTATTATGAAGCAAGGCACCCGTCCGGGTGATGACAACGCCTGGCCTGCGGTGTACGATACCATGGACAGATACCTGACTGCCGTCGTCGAGGTGATTGACGAGTGCGCCCTAATCAACGACCGATCTGAAGTCGCCAAGAGCAGCTCGCGCCGCACCGATTCGGGAATCAGCTTCGCCGCCTCTACCTCGCGCCCAATTTCCCGCCCTTCAACCTCCTACTCCCAGGAATCCCAGGACAGTGAGAAGCCTCTTCCCAACTTCCCCGCACCCCCTGTCATGAGCAAGCACGGATCCATCTTGGAGCGCTTCGCCAGCTCGATGTCAGGGTGGACCAAAAAGGATTCTAAGAAGGATCTCAAGAAGGAGCAGAAGAAGGAGCTGGCCCGGAGCCTCAAGAAGATGAAGTCCTACAAGGATATATCCGGTCGCCCTGATAGCTCTTCCAACCCGCAGCAAACTTCGCCCAACTTCAACACAAAAATGCTCTTCGATATGACCGAAGAGAAGCGCCAGCGCCTCATTGACGAGGCCAGAGCTCGCAAACAAATCGACGCGCCCGCCCACATCCATCCTGATGCCATTGCCGTGGCCATCTAAAGGCGCGCTGGACTACACCATTTCCAACTATCCTCTTTCCTCGTTCACGGTTTTTTGCAAATCCTCAATGCAGCCGTCCCCCCCTGCATATCATCATCAATACACAGTCTCTGTTGTACAGAGCCAGCTGGAGCTGCACATACTTTTATTTTGTTTATTTAAAACAGGCGGCGTTTCTGGTGGAGCATCTGGTGGTGTTCCAATGTTGACTTTACGACTAATGTCCTTATGAAAGCGCCCAGCATGTATAACATACTGGGAATAAAAATTCCAATCCATTTCAATTCATTTCAATTTCTCTTGTGTATAACTTGCACCTGTAGTGACCAGTCAAGAGTGAAACCTCGGAGATTGCGGCAATTGCCGCTCCGTCGACCGTAGAACCCCGATAAGCGATAACGAAACGCCCCAAGTGTCCAGATCAGCCGAATCTCCAACCTCACCTTGACATCTTATTGACACGGGCTAGGGCTCATTGGGTCCGTTATGCTTGATACGACTCACATGGATATCTAAACTCGGTGATTTCACCTATATTAGCCCGCCCAAACTCAGGGCGACCCCCTTATAAACAACCATCTATACAACCTTCACCAACCCAACAATGAAGATGGGATCTCGTATCTCCTGGCGTTGGTACGCCGCCATTGGAGTCCTCATCCCAGGCTGCATTTCAAATGCCAACGCTAGCCCAGCCGTCAATGTGGCGCTCCAAGCCTCCTTCGACTCGGCCCCGTACCTAGTCGAGCTCTTGTATGTGATGTTGCACAATAGATTACCCTCACGACTTGGCGAAGAGTCCAAACAAACAATGCTAATGCACAAATCAACCACAGGGAATCTGCCGCAGAAGAAAACTCCACTGCATACTTCCCATTGCTGGACCGCATCGCCGACGGCACCTTTGAAGACCTCACAACAGAGCAAGAGCTCTACAATAAATTCCTGGCCGTCGTCCAAGAAGGCGGATACCTGCGCACCCAAGAGAGTCTTTCATCCTTTAAGCTCTCGCTTTCGGTCCGCTCCCCCGCGCCCCGCATCGAAGCTCACTACCAATTCTACAATACCTCCGTCCAGCAATCCCTAGGCGCAGCCCAGGATGCCGTGTGCCCAGTCTGGGTCCACCTAGACGGCAAGCAATACTGTTCTTCGACGCTGGAGCGCGCGCAGCAGGATGTACTTGATCCGCAGGATCCCCGCGAACTGCCCTTCGACCGAGTCCTTGGTGAAATCTCGCTCCCTCCTGCTGTGCTCTACGCGGATATTTCCGCGCCCATGTTTAGAGATTTCCATGAGACGCTGAGTGATATGGCGAAGCAAGGGCAGATCTCGTACCGTGTTCGCTACCGACCTCCTCAGCATTGGGTTTCGCGGCCGTTGTTTGTTTCCGGATATGGCGTTGAGCTTGCTTTGAAGAAGACGGATTATATTGTCATTGATGATCGTGCTGCTGAGAAGCTCGATACCGAGAATGACTCGGATCTGGAGACTAAGGAGGATGCCCCGGATGATTTGAGGCCTTTGTCTGCTTCGGAGGTGGCACGGTTGGGTGTTAATTCTGCGAAGTATGTTATGGACAGTCCTGAACCTTTGGAGGCTTTGATCAAGCTTTCGCAGAACTTCCCTCAGTATTCTTCAATTGTGGCGGCTCACAATGCTACTGGGGAGATGTTGCAGGAGATTCGTCACAACCGGGCGAGGATGATTCCTGGTGGTCAAAATGTTATGTGGATTAATGGTGTGCAGATGGATACGCGCCAGGTCGATGCCTTTTCTCTGTTGGAGCATCTGCGTCGGGAGAGGAAGCTTATTGAGAAGTTCCGGGGTCTCGGTCTTTCTGCTAAAGATGCTGTTAAGCTTCTATCGCACCAGATTCTCACTGAGGCTCAAGCTGGTGGTGAAGAGCAGCGATATGACTACCGCGATGATCCGGAGGACAACCAGGTTATTATCTGGTTGAATGACCTGGAGAAGGATACCAGATATGAGGGCTGGTCTAGTGGGCTCGAGGCGGTTCGTGCCTTTATCTCGTATTGTTCTAAACTATGCTGATTTCTTTTAGTACATTGCCAGCGGTTATCCAGGACAGCTCCCTCCAGTCCGTAGGGACCTCCACAATGTTGTGGTTCCTGTTGACCTTTCCGATCCGGAGAGCATGATGCTAATTGCTGGTAACCTGAATGCTTTCATCAAGAGAGGAATTCCTGTAAGATTTGGGCTTGTGCCTCTCGGCTCGTCTCCTGAGTCTATCGCGCAGCTCAAGGTGGCTCACTATCTTTACGATGCGTATGGTCTGGAATCTCTTGTCAAGTATCTCGAAGCGGTATGCTCATATTGACCCAAACCCCCCGAGGCACATCATGGGCTAATATTGAAATAGCAAGCTACTAAGGGAAAGAGAGGCTCCCCTGACAAGTCGTGCTTCGTCACTTCTATCGTGGAACAAGAGCCTCTTGGAGACCATCCAGCTCTCTCCCTTGACCAAGTCTTGAAGAGCGAGAAGTACAATTCTCTCGTATCTCACACAACTGCCTACCAGCGCCGTCTGAGCCTTACCGGCGATGCACCTAACTTCCTGGTCAACGGTATCCCCGTTCCCCGCGATGGCAACTGGATGCAGGGAATGAGTGTGCAGATCAGTCGAGATCTGAAGCTGGTTCAGCAGGGAATTGCCGAGGATCTCTTTGAGGAGGATGCTTGGCTCCCCGAATTCTTCCTGGCTGGGGCATTCAAGAGACGTAATACTTTCCTCATGCCCGAAGATCCCAAGAGTGTCCGTATTGTGGATCTTGTCGGCGTTCTTGGATCAGATGAGAACTCTTTGGACAAGATTCCTCGTATTGTGTCTGAGAATAGCGCTTTGGAAAGTGTGCACATGATTGTCGTCGGTAATTTCGAGGCTGAGGGCGTTGCATTGTTGACTGAAACCCTCAAACTGCGGAAGGAACATCCTGATGTTGAAATACTTCTGCTTCACAACGCCGCATCAGATGATGAGGCTGTCCCCAAGACTCTCGTCATGGTCTCTCAGTCGCTTGCCAAAGGCGAGAGCCTCGACCAGGTCCTGGCTCAGCTCAGTGCATCTGACGATGATGCTGAGATTCCAGAGATCGCAGATGAAGAGCTTTCTGCGGTCCAGGTATTGCACCAGCGCTTGGTCAAAGAACTAGGGTTTGAAGCTGGCACCGAAGGACTTGTCATTAATGGCCGCGCAGTCGGTCCTGTCGAGAAGGATTACCCACTCACAATGGAAGAATTAAGCCAGCTCATCGCGTATGAACGGCTCAAACGCCTCGATCCCGTTGCATTGGCTGTCGCCCAGCTGGGCTTCCAGTCTAAGATCTCAAGTCCGCTCGACCTCGCCAAGCTAACCTCGCTTGTGGCTCTTTCTATGATCTCGGACGTTCCAGAGGGGATCTTTGAGAACACTCCTGATTTCAGAATGGATGTGTCTGATAAGTGGAGGACTGTTTACTCTGTAATTACCGTGTCCAACTCTGATGATCCTACGATTAATGTTGCCGTTGTTCTCGATCCTGCATCTGAGGTTGCCCAGCGATGGCTGCCAGTCATCAAGGTTCTTTCCGAACTGTCTGGTGTTCAAGTCAAGATCTTCCTTAACCCTAAGGAGGGCCTCAAGGAGCTACCAGTGAAGCGATTCTACCGTTATGTTCTCGAGTCAGAGCCGTCGTTTACCGAAGCTGGTGCTCTTGCTCGACCTCAAGCTTCCTTCACTGGTGTGCCAGTTGAGGCGCTGCTTACTCTGGGCATGGACGTGCCTTCATCGTGGCTTGTTGCTCCCAAGGAGTCGATCCACGACTTAGACAATGTTAAGCTGAGCTCGCTTAAGTCTGGAGCCAATGTCGATGCCATCTATGCTCTCGAGCACATCCTCATCGAGGGCCACTCCCGTGATCTCACAACCAAAACACCTCCTAGAGGTGTTCAGCTCACATTAGGCACAGAGAAGAACCACTACTTCGCAGACACTATCATCATGGCAAACCTAGGATACTTCCAATTCAAAGCCCAGCCAGGCCTGTGGCAAATCAACCTCAAGCCCGGCCGCAGCGAGAAGCTCTTCAATATCGACAGCGTCGGCGGCCTTGGATACCGCTCACAACCCGGCGACGAAAGCAATGAGGTAGCCCTGCTTACCTTCCAAGGCCGCACCCTGTTCCCGCGCCTATCCCGCAAACCAGGCCACGAAGACGAAGACGTCCTTGATACCGGCATCCAACCCGGCTCAACAAAAGACTTCTTCGCCAAGGGCCTCAACTTCGCCTCAGGCGTCCTCTCCAGCGTAGGGGTGAGCACCAAGACCAACGGCCAACAAGCCGACATCAACATCTTCTCAGTGGCAAGCGGACACCTCTACGAACGCATGCTAAACATCATGATGGTTTCAGTAATGCGCCACACCAAACACACCGTGAAATTCTGGTTCATCGAACAATTCCTATCTCCCTCTTTCCGCGCCTTCCTCCCCTCCCTCGCGAAGGAATACAACTTCTCCTACGAGATGGTCACCTACAAATGGCCCCACTGGCTGCGCTCCCAGAAGGAAAAACAGCGCGAAATCTGGGGCTACAAGATGCTCTTCCTGGACGTCCTCTTCCCCCTCTCTCTGGACAAAGTGATCTTCGTCGACGCGGACCAGATCGTTCGCACAGACATGCACGATCTAGTCACGCACGATCTCCAAGACGCGCCATACGGCTTCACGCCGATGGGCGATTCCCGCGCTGAGATGGAAGGTTTCCGCTTCTGGAAGCAGGGATACTGGGCTAACTTCCTGCGTGGGAGTCCTTATCATATTTCCGCGCTTTATGTGGTCGACTTGAATCGGTTCCGGGCTTTGGCTGCGGGTGATCGGCTGCGTGGGCAGTATCAGATGCTTTCGTCTGATCCGAATAGTCTCAGTAATTTGGATCAGGATCTGCCTAATCATATGCAGCATCATATTCCTATTCATAGTCTGCCTCAGGAATGGTTGTGGTGTGAGACTTGGTGTGCGGATGAGGATTTGGAGGCTGCGAAGACGATTGATCTTTGCAATAATCCTCTTACTAAGGAGCCTAAATTGGAGAGGGCTAGGAGGCAGGTTCCTGAGTGGACGGTTTATGATGATGAGATTGCGGCGCTGGCTAAAAGGGTTGCTGGGGTTGAGGTTGAGGATGCTGCTGGGGTTGAGTTTGTGCAGAGTGGTGAGGATAGGAAGGACGAGTTGTAGTTGTGCATATCACTCTTACAGGATATAACTTAGAGAATCCAATTACTGTTTATCAGTGACATTTTTGGGGATGGAAAATTGAACATTCGTTTATTTCATTTCTCGGCATGATGTGATTGCAATTGAGGCTTGGAACAAAGAAGGATGGGGTATCTTGGAACAAAGAAAAGCAAATGTAGCAACTGCTTTACTCCAAGCTGGATTCGAACTTGACGCTTGCATTGCTGTCAATCTCTTCCTCGTCACTATCGGACTCATCGGGAACTAGGGTAGTGGCAGCGGTGGCGGAGGTTGAAGAGACAGCAGCAGAGGAAGATTGAGAGTTGTCGCTGTCACTGTCGAAGCTGTGGTCAGCGTCACTGGAAGCTTTCTTGGACTTCTTGGACCTCTTCGCTCTAGGCTCACTCTGTGCCTCACTACTCGATGCTTCCGCGGCACGGCGTTCTTCTGCCTCCAATATCTCCTTTTCCTCTTTCTTTTGCTTCTTACGCTCCTTGCGCGCGGTTTTATCTGACGTCAGTTCACTATCAGCAATCTCTTGCTTCTGTTTCTCACGTCTCTCCTTCTTCTCGCGCTTCTTCTCTTCTTTGGTCTTAGGAGACGACACGGCCTCTGCGTCTGCATTGAGAACCTCAGTGGGCTTCGAATTCTTTGATTTCTTAGACTTCTTTGACTTTTTTGCCGACTCAGACTCAGATTCAGACTCAGACTCAGCGTGCTCGGTGGGGGCATGGCTCATGTCCCGCATAATTTCGGAAAGCACTTGTGTTTGGGTTGGATGAGAGCCCCGGGTCTCTTGAACCTCGTTGGCTTTCATATCCACGTCGCTGTCATCATCTTTCACGTATTGTTCGCTTTTGTGATGGTCGCCCAATTTTCTGTTCCAATGGCGAGCCCTCCTAGCAGACTTCTCGTAATCAAAGACAGCGTCTGGGTTGCCATTGGTTCGCATTTTCATGACAACAGGCCGAAGCTTGCGGAATTTGTCAGAGCACTGTTGTTCGGATCTTTTATTATCCAATGCGGCGCTAATGGTACCCCAGGGGACCAGAGTCTCGTCCATTTCATAGAAGTCTTTGCCCAAAGATTTGCGTTTCTCTTCTTTATTGAGGGTGTGGCTCAGACTTTCCCAGACTGCCTGCATGGCCTCTAGGAAGAGCTTTGCTTCCTCTTCGGACCATGAGCCGCGATTCATAGTATCTTTGTATCTGAGCTTGTTCTTCCAGCGTTGCCAAACGTCATCATCACTGCGACCGAGCAGTCTCCCGATGTACGTCCATTTCGGTCCATGTGATTCATGCAGCTCAATGAGCTCTTCATCTTGCTCTGGTGACCAGTCATGTGCCCGTTGAGATGAGCCCTGGAAATGTCGGCGCATGAATCGGTACACGGAGCGGCGATCACGGCCAGGAAGAAGACAGTAAATCTCGTCCCAGAATTCGGATTTGGATATGGTCGCTGTGGGGAGTGGCCAATCCTGGGATCCACGCTCTGAGTGGTGGACCAACTCGTCGAACGTGAGGCTGGAGATTCCATGCAATTTACAGAAATTGACCTTATGTGACTCGATCTTCTCGAGTTCCTCGGGGGTGTAGAAGCCGATTGTCTTGTTGTCTGCCTCTCTTACTCTTGGGCCTCGCACATTGTTCTTGCTGTCGGTATTGCGCTTGGCAGCCCGAGAAGCAGGGGCCTTTGTGCCATTGGAATCTTTCTTATGTTTGCTAGACTTCCGAGCTTTCTTGTCCAAACTTTCGAGCTTCAATGGGGTGGCTTGGCTGGACATTAAACCATGCGTCGTGGAAGGTGACTCTGTCTCATGTTGCGCATCATCCTTGCGGTGCTTTCTTTTAGACTTCTTGCGCTCGGGTTCGTCCTCGCGCTTTCGCTTCGAGGGCTTCGCATTGTCGTCTGGAGGTGGAGTTCCTATGCCATTGACCTCTTTGTGTTGACTCAATCTCTCCCTCTTCTCCTTCTTCTTCGCATGGCGATTCTTCTTGTCTCTCTTTTTGAGCTCTGACGAGTCCTCTTCTGAATACGGAGTTTCGGGGACTGGAATGCAAACGTCAGGGTCAAAACTGTTGAAACTCGATTGCATTGGTAAACTTACCGACAACTCCGAAGTCATCAGGAATCTCGGGGATTCCCTCGGGTTGTGATGAGTTTTGGCCCATGGTGAAGCCCGAGATGTGGGGAGAAGGATGGGAAAATGCAGTGGAGGAAGCTTCGCATGTCCGAACCCGAACAAAATTTACGGATAAGAGCTCGTGGTACGGCAGTACCTTGACCGTGTTCTTGACCGCCTCTATGCTCGTGCAGTTGGAATTCGAGACTCAATTGGATGTCTTTCGGGATGATTGAAGGGAAAAGTAATATGTACGATCATTCCATACTTTCGATTCAAAAGGCAAGCTCTTATATGGATCTGATTGTAAATGCAACCCAGGCGATGCAACTTAAAAAAAGTGCATTTATTGCTGATCGAACAGCTTCAAGTGTTTAGTCAAACATTCGCTCCTTCCTCCATCAACCAGCCAAGTGGTCGAGCAGTAACTCGGTCATTCAATCTTCCTTGGTCTAGTGGTGATGATTTCCGCTTGTCATTAATACCGATAAGCGCGGGAGACCGGGGTTCGATTCCCCGAGGGAGAGTTTCTTTTTTGTTTGCACTTACTTAGATCTCTTGTGCAGCGTTTTTTTGCAGGTTGACTATTGACTAACTATACAAAATACTCGTCTACTCATCGCATCGACTCTGTTGGGCCTCGGAGTAGGTGTGCACGACCTATAGATCTGGGTATCTGGGAATCACACACAAGATTACAGCGAAATTTCTATTTCTTGACCGGAGTGTAGAGTTATATATTCTTACATTGGGAACGGGGTTTATGCTCATGGATTGCATTAATAGTGTACATGCTGGCATAAAAGCATAGAATTCAAATGCAAGTCGTAACCCCCATACTCCAGCCCAATGAGCACAATCAAGTCAGCTTCATCTCCCGTAGGACCTTTGATACCAGCTTCTTCTGGTCATGCGGGTGAAGGTTGTTCTGATCAGTTTCCCGCAGACAACGCCCAATGGCAACTGTAGCCTTGACAGCGTTCTCTTCAGAGTCGGAGCAGTTCACCCACACCTTTCCGTTCCGCCCAACAGCAAGCTCAAATCCTCCAAAGGGATCTAACTTTTTATCAAGCTCAGCAAGGACGACAAGCCCTTCAATTTCATCGGTCTCAGCTGAAGAGGAACTTGCCCGAATCAAGCGGGCAGCCATTCCAGTTGAAACATCGAAGACCATTCCGCCCGCAAGAGGACCCATGCCTCCTTCAGCTTTTCCGGTTGATGGACTCACGCAGGTAAGCTCGATTTCGGCGCCGGCGCCGACTCCCACAGACAGTACTCGGGCATACACCAGTTCGCCTTGCTTTAGCATTGGCCTCGTCTTCTTGGATGCGCCCTCAAATGATAATTGACCCAGGAGGGCATGCGCTGTATGCGGAGTGATCATACAGTGGAAGAAATCAGCGCTAGAGTGGTGGATCTGTGCGATGACGAAGTCGTTGACGGTGGGGATGTATCGGCGGTTGGGAAAAGAAAGAAGAGAGACTGTATTTTTCTTGGCATCGGTCATGAGGAGACCGGCTTGTGTGGCTGTTAAGACATGCTTGGAGTCCGTAGATTTGGAAGAGGGCTGTGAGAGGATACGAAGGCCAGGGCCCAGCCGTAGAGGGTTGGAGTTGTTGGTAGGAAGATGGTCGCGAGGTACCTCATCGCTGGGTAATAAGACAAGTGGGGTGGTCATGGTGAGTGTTGTGATGGAGCAAAAATTAAGACAGCTCGAGCTCAAGGTGCTCTTTGAAGTTGAGCAAGCATCAAATTATCTGCAAACCCATATTTCCTTATCTACACGTGACTGTCGCATATACTCGCCAACATACTGAGGGGACAGGTTGCATACGTGAGTATTGCTTATTGCCAGAGCTCCTCATAGTTCTACTCTAATTACGAAGTTTGACTTGCTACTCTACCCAACCCTCAGCAATTCAACAATGCTGTCACGGTGGGCATGTCAAGATGTGGCGGTACTGTGTAATCTGCGCCACAACCCTATCGATAAGGCCCAGCCACAGCGGACGAAAATCTTCAAAAGATTTTTCGATTCCCCCTCATCGAGCCCTTCATCACGAACATCCCCTTTCACGCCGTGACGTGTGATATCCCTTTTCTTTTTTAATTTATAAACCATTTATTATCACATTCAAAATGGGTGACGCCACTGCCCCCGCTGAGGTCGAGCGTTTCGCTATCGGTATCTCATTCGGTAACTCTTGCAGTTCAATTGCCCGTATCTCGCCTGTATGTATATGTGTGTGCAATCTGAGATAGTGCAATGACTTACAATATCACAGGAGGGCAAGCCCGAGGTTATTGCCAACGAGGAAGGAGGTAAGACTTTCGAACCCCGCGCTCAGTGAACCCGAATTAACCCTATGCTAGACCGTCAAATCCCTTCTATCCTTTCTTATATCGAGGGCGAGGAGTACCACGGCACCCAGGCCAAGGCTCAGCTCATCCGCAACTCCGCCAACACTGTCGCATACTTCCGCGATTTCCTCGGCAAGGAATTCAAGTCTATCGACCCTACTCCCTGCCACCAGTCTGCCCACCCCCAGCAGCAGGACTCGACTGTCGCTTTCACCATCCGCGACACCGAGAGCGAGACCCCCAACACCATCACTGTTTCCGAGATCTCTACCCGTCACTTCAAGCGCCTGAGACAGTCCGCCTCCGACTTCCTTGGTAAGGATGTCAACGCCGCTGTCATCACCGTCCCCACCAACTTCACCGATGCTCAGCGTGAGGCCCTCGTTACTTCCGCCAAGGCTGCTGGTCTCGATGTTCTCCAGCTGATCCACGAGCCCGTCGCCGCCGTCATGGCCTACGATGCCCGCCCCGAGGCTACCGTTACCGACAAGCTGACCGTTGTTGCTGACTTCGGTGGCACTCGCTCCGACGTTGCCGTTGTTGCCTGCCGCGGAGGCATGTACACTATCCTCGCCACTGCTCACGACTACGAGCTCGGTGGTGTCTCCCTCGACCAGATCATCATCGACCACTTCGCCAAGGAGTTCATGAAGAAGCACAAGACCGACCCCCGTGAGAACGCCCGTGGTCTTGCTAAGCTCAAGCTTGAGGGTGAGGCTACTCGCAAGGCCCTCTCTTTGAGCAGCAACGCCCAGATCAGCATTGAGAGCTTGGTCGACGGTGTTGACTACGGTAGCACCATCAACCGCACCCGTTTCGAGCTTCTCGCCGGCAAGGTCTTCGCTCAGTTCACCGACCTGATCCAGCAGGTTGTCAAGAAGGCCGAACTCGATGTTCTCGACATCAACGAGGTTATCTTCTCCGGTGGTGTCTCTCACACCCCCAAGCTCGCCCAGCTGGTCAGCAACATCTTCCCCGAGACCACCACCGTCCTGGCCCCCGCCACCTCCATCACCGCCATCAACCCCTCCGAGCTGTCTGCCCGTGGTGCCGCCTTCCAGGCTTCCCTCGTGCAGGAGTTCGAGCACGAGGATATCGAGCAGTCCATCCACCCCATGGTCACTGTCACCCCCCACCTGACCAAGGCCATTGGTGTCGAGTTCACCTCCGCTTCCGGCGTCACCTTCCAGCCCCTGCTCAGCGCTGAGACTGCTCTCCCCGCCCGCCGCATTGCTCAGTACTCCGCACCCAAGGAGGGTGGTGACGTCCTGGTCCGCGTGTGCGAGGGTGCCCGTGACATCAAGGTCACCAAGCCCGAGCCCAAGGCCAAGGAGGAGAAGCCCGCCCAGGACGAGGATGACTCCGACTTTGACTCCGAGGATGACGAGGAGGAGGAGACCCGTGAGATTATCTGGAAGACCGAGAAGCCCGTTGCCGAGCTCGCCGTCAAGGGCGTCAAGGCCAACGGCAAGATCGAGGTCATGGTTCACGTCAACCCCGATCTTGGTCTCCAGATCGCTGTCCGTGAGGTTGGTTCCCAGAACGCCGTCCGTGGTGCTGTCAACGGCTCCGCTTAAGTTTTCCTTCCCTCCTGTGAAAAAAAAAAAGACATGGATTTCGTTTATGGTGTGATGATGCATGCATGACTGATAGAGGCTGTCTTTTTTTATGTTTGTCTTTTACTTATACTGCAGTTATCATCATGGAGTCTTTTCCTTTCCTACTTTTCAGACTCAGATTTACATAGAACTCAATTGGATTGGCCAATAGAGATTGACTTTTGCACGTACCTTTCTGTTTTCCCTGGATTCTCATCGCCCTGTGATCGGTGATTGGTTCACAATTGTAGAATCAGAATCCACACAAGGATATCTATATCTTTGCAAGCTAGGAATCTAGATCATGATAAACTTCCAAAGGAAGACAACATATTATATTACAACAACTATTAAGTATCGTCGCAACCAAAACACAAATCCAAAATGATCTTGAAAAATCGGAGAATCGTTTCAACCATGTGATCCATCCATCAATCATCAAAAGCTTGCGTCTCTCTTCAAGCGTGGACCAATCCAAAATGGGTATTGCGCAGTGTATGCCCACAGCCATTTGGTGGCCACGGAATTAAGTTCAGTAAAGATCGTAAGGGTTTCGTAAACAGCATCAAGCGAGTGTAAGTGCTTCAAAAACAAAGTGTAGTCAGAGTCTCCTGGCGATAGCCTGGAACATCCAATGGGAGTGGTGTCAACACAGGGGGACACAACGTCAATTGTGTGAAAGGCCCAGAGATCGATCGAAATCGATAGTTTTGTCTTGCGCTCCGGTTTTTCTTTTCTTGTCGCGATCAGATGACGAACGCTTTAAGACAGCTTATGTTCCCTTAAGCGGGGAAGGAAGTGTTCTCGCGCTCCTTGTTTTGGCTCTTCACACTGTTAGAGCGCTGCGAAGAGAAGAAGCCACGGCGGCGTTCCTTGCGTCCACTGTATCCAGACTTGTCTTTGCGGCCGACGGCACCACCAAGGCAGTACATCAGACATGCGATGAAGAGACAGGCGGTTGCAGTCCACATGAATGCGAAGGCCTTGACGCCGACCTTGGAGCTTTGGCCATTTCTGTTGAAAGCGTCGCGGCCCTGGACGTAGACAGCACTACCAAACCTAGTTAGCACATTTGAATTTGGAGGAATGTCAATTGAGGCGGGACATACGTCATGAGACAGGTGGTGATGACCTGGAAGGTCAGGCCGAGCCAGGCGAGGAAACCAGAGAGATAGCCTGCAATACGCGTGCACATGGCTAGCAGACCGGTGAAGAGCGACAGCACGATGAAGAACAGACCAATGATGATGAAGGGGAACATGAAACGCGACATCAAGAAGTAGTGGCTTGTTCTGTAGGCATTGTTAGTATACGTCGATGTCTATCTGATTCCCATACAGGACGTGGAGATAACCTACCCAATGAATTCTGGGGGAACATTCACATCGGTGTTAAAAGTGCGGTGGCTTGGGGGTCGAATGGGTAGTCGGGGTGTGATTTGCCGCATACACTCCTGCCCTCGCTGTTCACACTGCAGACGTTCCAGAAGGTCCATCGCGAAGTTGTCGGAGCCCCAGGAATATTTCCTGTGTCCGCCTGCAGGAAATAGATCTCATTCAGTGGAGTGCTGTTGCGAGCACCAGCCAGCAGTGTGAGGAAGATTAGCAAGACGGAGCCTGCTGTGAAGAACAGGCCCAAAAAGCCCAATGTAACTCCTATAGTGGCCGTCAGATTTTGATACTGTGATCAACTGGGGGAAAGTTGCTTACTGCTCAAACCCATTGCGTTTGATCCCTGGGTTAACCAGTACAGATGGTCAAGAGGAAGTAGGAAGTAATAAGTGAAGTATACGAGGTTGGGGGGGTATTTCAAAGGAACGAGATCGAGGGACTTTGGGGGGAGAAAAGAGGTGAAATTTCGAGTGGACAAGGAACCAACTCTATAAGAGCCGGGGGAATCCGAGGCCCCTCTGATATAATGCGCATCATCAGTTCTTCGTCTCCTTCAAAATTGAGCCCATCGACGATCGTAACGTCATGCTTGCACCTGATCGACTAACTGGTTGTAGTTTAGCGCACACTCTATTGGCGGCCCTAAGCCCAATGGGGTTAGCCCACGGCGGTCCATGACGAAGTGAAGCACGAAACAACGTTGCAGCTGCTATCGCGGTGAGAGCCCAACAGTGACGTGGATCAATCTGGAATTTCTCTGCCTATCCAGGTTTTTTTTAGTCTGTCCTTGCCATTGCCCTTACTGCCCTTAGCTTGACCGAGAACCCTACCATGGCCACTTGGGCTTATCCCCCACTGCCGGCAGAGCAGATCAATCATGAGGCGGACACTGCGCTGGTACGTCCATGTCCTTCTCACATAGAGCTCCATACCTTATTGGGGACTGTGGAGCCCTCCCCCATCCCCAATATAATATGCCAACCCATCGATCTTAGGCCCAAGAGCTAGAATGGCTGCTGCAGTCCATGCAGGATTCACTTGCCTCCCTGAAAGAAGGATTGCAAGAATGTGCCGTCCTTCTAGCCCCACAAGAACCAGGCTCGACTTTAGTGCTCTCATCGCTGCGGTCGGAAAATGTCAAAGGCTTCGTGACTAGAGTCGGCACCAAGGTGGTGAAAGGAGTACGTATACCAGATCCGACACGCGATCGAAGAGAGAGCTGATCATTTTCTAGGATATCCAATTGCGCCTTGCATCGCTGCCGCCTACGCGCGGTGCCCCCAGTACCCGTCTCAATCTGTCCCAGGCACCTGGTGCGCCGGAACTGGTCCTGCCGCAGCTGGTCTCCGTGCGAGATCTGGTCGCGCAGAGTTTGGATATCGTCGATGTGAGCACTTGGACGGGTGACCCTCTCAATGCGGGTTTCATCTTTGGTCAACTGCATCTCTTGCTGGAGACTATTAGTGAGGCAAGGCAGATGTTGAAAGGGGAGAGCGATGATACGCGCGGAAAGTGGTGGGACGCCAGCGCGACTGAAAATGTGTGTGCAGTCCATGAGGCTATCATTGGTGACCGTTTACTGATCTTGATACTTTACTTTAGATGTTCGATCCTCCCCTCCCACCGCACTTATCATTCCATCTTTCTATCACAGACTCTGCCCTGGTTCTTCTCCTTCGGACATTGGAGTCCACTGCTCTCAATCACGCGCCTACTGCATTCGCTTCAGATATCTCACTGACAGGGTTTTCTCTGCGAGATCGGATATTCGGATCACGGGCACCAACACATGACGAAGCGGGTGCCTTATTCCATTGGCAAGATGAAGAAGTACGCGTAAAGGAGAAGGTCCGGGTTGAAAGCCAGGATCCTAGTCTTATGGCCGTCATGGCGAAATTGTCCGCCCTTGAGCATGAAGTGATGCGGTGTGTAAGTGCACTGAAAGTGCTCATGGGTAATGAAGATACAGAAAGTGAAGCGTAGTGCTTTTGATACCCTATATTGGAATAGAAAATGCCTTCAATCCCGGTCCATGATATGCATGAATAGAAATGTTAGACACTGTGGATATATGGAAATTGACTCATACCCATGTCGAGCGATTCTCCATAAATCCAGTACATGTAACCAGCTATTATCGTTAACGTGATTTGAAACCTGATCTGTACAGCATACAGTAACTTACTGTAGAGGCCATCTTGGAACGCCAGACCAGCCAATCAGAAGCCCGCAGTTTGTGATGGGCGCATAGGCGTCTTGGCATCAATTTTCTGGTTTCCGGGGCTGATATATTTTTTTTCTGCCACCTCTCTTAAATTTTACAAAGAAATCTCACAAAGCTCATGCTGTCAATCATTCCAGCATAAGGAGCAGACATGTCCCAATCGCGCGAGTTACTGCGCACATTTGCGCGCCCTGCTGGGTCGCGACAGTTCCGCGGAGCTGCCAGCAGGGTGACGATAACCCAGCAACGGGCTTTTACACGAAAAGCTTCGCCCTTGGCCAGCTCCAACAGACTTTCCCATCGATCGAACACCACGTACACGGCTGCACAGCCTCAGCCTCAGCCTCAGCAGAGGTTTGTGTCCACACCGGCGGCGTCGGACTTGCCTCAATCCAGCGAAACGAATCAAAAGGCTGCGGACGACATCAATGCTTTGATTGAGAAGATTGGCGAAAATGAGGCTCAGATGGTCGAAATACTGGAGGAGTTGGATCAGTTTGGGGTGCAGGACGAAGTGGACGAGTTCGTTGAATTGATCATGCAACGGGACGATCACACCCCCGAGTCTTGGGTGCATCTCGTCAAGCAACGATTCGGAGAGGAACTTCCGCAAGGATTGTTGAATGATGCCGAGCTTCAGATCTACGCTCGACTGTATGGAGAACCCATCTTTCGCCAGGAAGAGCCAATGCTCGAAGAAGGCGAAGAAGGCGAGGAGGATCCCAGTCTACTGCGAGAAACCACTGAAGGTGACTGGGAGGAGATAACATACAAGGAAGATGCTGCCGCTGAGGATGATGTGCCTGTCGCCTATGACATGGAGGTTCCTCCCGAGGAGGAAGAGACCAGTGCCATGCGGCGGACGAGGGAGGTCGCAGAGCAACTTGGCGGCGAGATCATGGTTGAACAGTTTGAGAATGAGGCAGTCCCAGACTCTGCTCCTCGAATGCATCCGAACACCCTCGCGGGCAAATCTGGGACGGACCCAAGCACTATTCATCTCCCCAAGAGGACTTTGACCGGCCCTATCTCGATCATCCTGTCGGACTTTTCTAACAAGCACATTGCCCAGTCCGCTCACAATCTGTTTGGAGGACCAGGGTTGCCTCATTCGACCACAACAGCTCCTCCCCGTGCCCAACTACCACAACTCCCCATTCCTCTGCATGCTTCGCAAAGGCAGATGGGAGAAATGGAGGCCAATGTCTACCTGGCAGCCTTATACCCGGGAATCTACGCATCATCCCTCAGTGTCCTGGTTGAGATCCGCAAGCGTATGGGATCCGACTGGATCCGCAATTTCATTTCACGAGAGGAAGGACCAAATGTTCTCGATGCCAGCGGCGGTGGTGCTGGTATTCTAGCCTGGCGAGACATCGTCCGCACAGAATACCAGCTCATGGTGCCCGATCACCCAGAGGAGTTGCCAGTTCCGTACGGGCGATCAACTGTTTTAACAGGCTCAGTAGCTCTGCAGATGCGTGCATCCGCCATGCTCGATAACACCACCTTTCTCCCTCGTCTACCTGATTACGTCCATGTTCGTGAGAAGCCAACATTGGATGACTCGCGCAAAGCTCCCAAGCGCAAGCAATACGATGTCATCATCGCACCTCACTCTCTGCTTGGCCTGAAAGAAGAATACGAGCGCAAGCAACACGTCGAAAACCTCTGGTCTCTCCTCAACCCCAACGGCGGAGTTCTCATTCTCCTCGAGAAGGGCCGTCAAAAGGGCTTCGAGGCGATAGCCGGAGCCCGAGAATTGCTCTTGAAGCGCTATATCGCTAGCCCAGGCTCAACAGAATACGAAAACTTCTTGGAAAGCCCGGACCCAAGTCCAACAATTCAGAAAGAACCCGGAATGATCATTGCTCCCTGCACCAACCACTCAACTTGCCCAATGCACAATTCCGCAGGCGCAACTAAAGGCCGTCGAGACTACTGCCACTTCGAGCAACGGTACATTCGCCCTCCATTCCTGCAACGCATCATGGGTGCCAAAGACCGCAACCACGAGGACTTGAAATTCAGTTATCTCGCCGTCCAGCGCGGCGTCGACCTTCGTCAAACAGAAGGTATCAAGCAAGACGCTGCAGCCACAGATGCCGCATTCGAGGGTTTCGAAGACGAAACCACAGAACTCACTGATAAATCGCCCTTCCACCCTCTCGCCCTCCCCCGCGCCATCTACCCACCCATGAAACGCCGCGGACATGTCATCTTCGATCTGTGCACGCCGGCTGGTAACATTGAGCGCTGGACCGTTCCCCGCTCTCATAGTCGGCAGGCGTATCGCGACGCTCGCAAATCAAACTGGGGTGATCTGTGGGCTCTTGGTGCAAAGACACGCATCCCACGGAACCTGAGATTGGGCGAGAAACACGGAGAAGGGAAGAAGGAGCGTTTGGCTCGTCGCGCGGCGGATAAGGCGCGTGATGATGAAGATGGAGAGTTTGAGAATCAGTATGATGAAGGGGAGGAGGAGTATGACTATGAGGAGATTATTGATACTCCCGCACGGAAGAAGGGACAGCGCATTCCTCCCTGGAAGAAGCATAATGATAAGAAGAAGTTGAGACAGGCTGAGAGCAAGATGTCGGCTGAATAGGTGGTTTCAGCTCATTTTCTGTCTGGGGAAGTTGGATCGCTGTTGGATTGCATTATTTGGATGGCGCTTTGTGTTTTGATATTGGGATCTATTGTATAATATTCGCTACGGCAGTGGCATCTGGCATTGGGTGGGATGGATCTTGTACACTAAAATCGCACTATCGCCTTTCTATAGATGTAAATAAAGCATCTTCACTCTGAATTTGGATGTATTGGTTCATATGAGTAGTGAGGTTTTTGACCTTGAAACCCTTCAAGCTTTTCAAGCCCTGAATCCGCTAAATTTGCTGAGAATTCACGCGGTGGGAGTGCAGCGTGGACGCCGTGGGGATTTGTAGCCAGCGAAGTGGCGTATGAGTCTCCATCCAGCGCAGCGCTTGCTTTTCTGCAAAAGGGCTCTCTTCGAATTCTTGGGTGGGAGCACAATGCTTAGGAATAGCAATCGCAGCCCTCCCAAGATCTGCCTGGCTACTTTCTCATGATGGTATTGGTGACGAACCCGTGCCTTATCGAGTTCTACCTCGGAGCATAGATGATCGTGGTCTCATAACTCTGTGGTTCCTGTTCACTGTGCAGCCATGCTCTTCCTCAACTGCCTTTGCTTCTGGGTACTCTGCAGCTCCAACCGATCAACCGCAAACTTGAGCCGCTCTTTCTTCTGCTGGAGTCGTCTTAGCTCGGCTGCTTTGGCTGCGTTATTCGAGCCAGACCCCGCCATGCGACCCCGCAGTGCATTGCTTTGGGTCTGGCGGGCTGCTAATGCTCGGCTTTCAGGGTTGGAGGAGAGGCGACCTTCTTGCAGGTCGCATTTTGCTTTGAGGCCTTGTTCGCGGCGCGCGAGCTTTTCAACGTGGTTTGTCGACAAGGTAAGTAGGTGGGCTATGCTTGGGGATATTTCGTCGAGAAGTGATTGTTGCGCTTCACGGAGTGTGGGCTCTGGGAGGAGCTCGAAGTGCTATTCCAGTAATCCATGTTAGACTTGTCCACTGTCTCGTCTCTGCTGGCGCTCTGAACGTACTCGAGTTGTTTGGAGGACTTTACATAGTCGCGGAAAGTCGTTCACCCCTGAATCCAGTGTTTCAATGGAGTTGTCCAATATATGAAGAGAGGACTGCAAGGACGAAACACACGAAGACAGTGAAGCAGCCATGGTGTTTGAATGGCAGACAGAAGGTGATTGTTTACAGTCGGGATAGATCGGGCGGTAAAAGCAGCATGTCACCGCCTTTAAGGCGGCGTGATCTCGGGACCGGGCAAACCTCCAAACCTCACTTCTCCTCTTCCGTCCACCTGCCCTACTATCTCCAGACCACCGAATTCACTTCGCATTCGATCTACCTGCCACAATGTCTCTCCTTGGAAAGAAGTTCCCCGGCGCCATGGGTATGTGGTTTTTGAACCTCGAATACGCCCTGAAAGAGGCTCATACATGAACCAACGACTGACGCACCTCTTCAACTACAGCCAAGCCTTTGACTCCCTTCTTCGCTGCCGGTACGCCTACCCGCTATATTACATATTGCCCTGATGCTCCGGACCCCATTTTATTGCTCAATTCGCTATTCCACGCATCCGGGGCGCTTAATCGAACTTGAATCTAACGAATCTCCTGTATAGGCCTCATTGTTCTCTACGGCGTCAACTCTCTCCAGAACGCTCTGTCCAACAGTGAGTCTCGTCCGCGCAACAATATTTAGACCACCGTCAAGTTTCGCACAACAAAAATCCCCGCGAATGCAACTCCGGTGGCTGCCCCGGACACACCCAGCTAACCGTTAAATCCGCAGCCGCCGAGTTCAAGAGCGACCCCCGCAACCCCAACGCTAAGCCCGCTGGCAAGGCCGACCACTAAATTCATCGACAATGAATGTGCGTTGACATCTCGCTCTCTTATGAAGGAGGAGCGGGTAGAAACCGCCGCGATGTGCGTGCGGGCGGAGATGGTCTAGGTCATCAAGGACCTGCTTGCATTTACTGTGATTATGTGGGCAGTTTGCCCCTTCCAAGCATATAGATCATACCCTCGATCGGGGTGACTTGGATCAATTCACAAGCTGTACCAGTACCATTCCGCATTCTGGCAAGATTGCCTCGTCGTACTATTCCTCTCCTGGCATGATGCTCCATGTATTGGAACAGACGGATCTTTTTGACCCGCCCGAATATTCCGGGGATGCCCAACGTAAGGCTATCGACACTAGAGCTTCTATACTTCACGTCCACCCAGCGCAACACCGCGCAACGTAGGCCTAATTCATAACTTTTGACTCGATGCGACCGAAGAAAAAGACCTTGATATCTCTCTATGCCTCACCAGTAGATAATTCTCATCTCCAACAAACCAATGAACCAAAGCATGAGAAAACGTGATACTCAAAGGCATCACCCGTGAAATCCTGCATCAAAGGCGCTAACCCTAATCGGGCATCCAGTTTTCGCCAACTCCGCCTCGCCGAAGAAGACAACCATTTCCACCTCAATCCTGACCCCATCACCCCAGAATTCAACCGCCAAAATGACTAAGATGGCAGGCCTCTTCCGGCCCAAGAAGCTGGACCTTTCTGGCTTCACAAACACCCGCCTGATCCGCGACCACAACAAGCGCATGGCTTTCGAGCAGACCGAGCCAGAACGGTATGAATGAACTTGCTCGCAGGCCAGGACTTGACCGGCAATGTATACATAAAAACATTGCTGAAAGCCCTTCTGCTGCATGTATTATGAGATTGAGACCCATTGCTAACTTCTTTTCGCGCGCAGCCAAGCTCTCCGCTACATGATCCGCAACACATCCCTCCCGGGCCGAGTCCGCGCACAGGCTCAGCTCCAATTGTCCCAGATGCACCCCTACACTCGTCCCACACAGATCAAGAACCGTTGTGTTGAATCTGGTACTGCTCGCAGTGTCTTCCGCGATTTCAGAATCAACCGAGTGAGTACATTGAAACCATGCATGGCGATTGACTACGATCTCTCGCGGGTGCTGAAGATCTTTTTGCTGATTTGTGGTTTCCATATAGTACCAATTCCGTTTGCAGGCTCTTGCTGGTGACCTCCCCGGTGTCAAGAAGGCGTCTTGGTAGATCAGTCGGTATAGCGCTGGTTTCTCTGGGATATGGGGATATCCAGTTGATTGGGTTGCGCGGCGTTATCTCTCGCTTCGGTTGGGTTGGAGCTTGTACAGTATGCAAATATCATTTCATTTGAGGCTATTCAGTTCTTCTTGGCTCTTGGCTCACTTTGTCGTGGGTTTGCGTTGAGTTTTATGTCGGTCGTAGATTGCCCGGTTGGGTAATCGTTGATTATTTGTCGTCTTTCTTCGTTTTGACTGTATTGTTTGCTCGTAAGAAGAGTGGTATTTCTTGGTGATCCTCTGTGTTTCTTTTGCGTGCTGCGTATTGCATCGTTTGCTTGCTTGTCCCTCTTGATGTCTTCAAGGCGTCAATATCATACCAAGAGTCATTCTCATTTCATACTTCGGTCTTTGAACCTTGAAGTATCATCCATATGAGAACACATTCGGCAACTCTTCTTCTGAGATGATTAGTCCTTCGATATTGCATTGTGCTTTGCAATTTGGAAAGCTCAGTCTCAGCCCAGGACCATATCGTCGTAGCGTTGACTTTCGTATGATTGCCCTGATCTCTCAATCATCTTCCACTCTTCTTTATTTACTTCCTCTCATCTTTCTTTTCCATTTCTCTCTCTGCCCTCAAGACTATCCAAGTCTTACCTCTTTCATGTTTCCCTCTCCTCTCGTATCATCTCATTGATTGATACAACCAGCAGCCATGGCCACCAGAATCCCAGAATCGAGCTTGCCTGCCCGGCCTACCTTTGGCGTAAGCCTGGGAAGCCTCGGGTGAGTCTTCCATTCTGATCGAAACATCATATCTGATGCTAACACCATATCAACACAGATACTTTCTTACCAAGGATGGTGTTATTCGCAAGATCAACAACCCAGATGAGGGCTTCAAATTCGACGTGACCAAAGATGAGCGCATCGCAAAGATAGAGGCTCACGCCGTACAGCGTAAGTAGCCCTAGACTATATGCAGCGTGGGATACATCACGTACAGTAAACAGCAACTGACAAAACACAGAGGCTGTCCGTGGTGTGGTCATGCACCATCTAGAAGACATGGGAATGAAATTCATTCCAATCCCAGTCAAAGCCAGAGGAGTTCCACATACCATGGTCCTCGGAAGCCGTAACCTGAAGACCGCCAAGCGCATCATCGTCTTGTGCGGCGACGAAACCGAAGACATGGGAATCTTCTCCTACCTTGATACCATCGAACACGGTCTCAGATTTGGCACCATTCTCGGCATGATCAGCGACATCTGCAACGGCCGAAAAGTCGCGGCAGACGACGTAGCCCTGCTTGTCTTGAACCCTGCCCATTGCGTCTGGAACCCTCACACCCAGCTCGCTGAGTCCCTTGAGACCTTTCGCCTGCGTGAAGCTCCCTCTCTGATCTCCCCTGTTCGAGGCCCGACCCGACGCAATGAGATCCAGGGCAATCACAATTCTTATGAGCACACGGAGTACGTCTTTGAGCAAGTCCTCTTGCCCCATCTGCTTGAAAACAACAAGCTGGACATCCTGGGGGTCGCCGATGGGGGCTTTGCTGTATACAAGTACCTGAAGGACAATTGTGAGTACATCTTCCCACAGACTTAGGGCTTGCTATGGATCCACATACAATATCACATACTAATCCATTCCATTACTATTAACAGGGAAATTCTGGCGCCAGTTTATCTCCAACATGCAGCTCATCGACCCCCGCCACATCTTCGACGAAACCACCCTCGACAGCCTCTCCATCCCCACCTCCTTCGCGTCCTTCATGCGTGACCGTTGCCGCGCCTGGGTCCGCTCCGATCTCCCACTAGGCAGCCACGAAATTGGCATCGGGGCCCGCGGCTGCAACTGCTATGCGGCGGGTGAAACAGCCCACGGAAATGCCATGTTACCGCGTAGTATGGCCAAAGTGCTGGCGTGGATGGAGCTGATGCACGCCAACCCCGCGCTGAAGGAGTCGCCCCGGCTCGTTGAAGGCGAGGCGTATATGCTCGAGCGGGCCGATCGTAACGGCCCGCCCGCTGATCATGACTGGGCTGGATCGTTTGTGCTAAGCAATCTACTGCGGTTGAGCTGGTGTGGCCCACCCGAGAAGCTGAAGGGAAAGTACGCCCATGAGCTGGTATTGTTTGGCCGCGGTCTTAATGACGCTTATGATTGCACCCCAATTAATCATCTCAATGCGTTAATGGGCCGTATCTATGAATATCTCGAGGCGTTGGAGGATGAGGAGAAGTGTGGTGGTGATGTTGCCCAGTTGGGCGACGGCGAGGTCTCCACGGCAGAGAAAGCCGATGCTGCGCTGTGAAGCTGTCATGATCACTCCCCCCGATGGCCTGGTTCTACATACTGTTACGGGTCTGGTTGTGGCCTTCAGGGGGGAGGTGAACAGTGAATATGGGATGCCCTTGGTTGCGGCTCAGTCTGGTAGTAGAGACCGAGCCGGAACCAAGGTGGACATCAGACAAGTCTGAGAAGAGAGAGAGAGCGCAGCTAAGCAAATGAATGGCCATTTCTCTGAATATCTAACGTGGGTGCGGGTGTAGGTGTAGGTGTAGGCGTAACTTCAGTGTTGTAGATGTAGATGCAGAAAGGGAGGTTAGGGCAGACGTGCCAGTCCAAGAGAAAAAAAAAGCAAGGATCTCAACCACCGCAGAACGTCACATTTGACCAGTCACCGACTCACCGTTCCTGAAGAATCCCTGACTTCCTGTCAACCCCGCAACATCCCCCAGTCTTTTTCAACAACCTCTACCTTTTCAACCTCTTCCAACTCCCAACGAAACTAATACGACCTACTGAACCCCGGAAAGTGGCGCGTGCGCTGTCGGCGCCCAGGTGGTTTTCATCGAGTAATAAGCAAAGGCCGACAGTTTTGATCGAGTAAAAGGCTGATAAAGCGGGTTCGGCTGATAGCAGGACTTGCCCGCGTCGCATCGGAGGTGGCCGACACTTTGCCTCCGCCGTTCCCTTGGTTCCGGTCTGCTCGCCCCTGGCCTATACTCTCTTATCGAGAAGAAGATGCCCTGGATACGGAGGCAGAGGCATATGCAGACAATATCTGCGCATGCACATGCATAGGTCACGGATTAGCGACACTCTGTTGAAGAAGGACTGTGCGCCTCAAAATGCAGAGGGCATTCGTGCATCCGAGCCCTCTACCGTGAGCACCCGACCTCGGGACCCTTCGATCGAGTAATAGCAACTGAAAGGTGGAGAGAGGGAAAAAATCCACGGTGGGCCAAACCGACTTTTCGAGGCCGATGGAGATATTTATATGCGCCAAACCCCTTATCTTGGGGTTGGCTTTGCTCCAATACTATTGCGTCGGCTTATCTTCTCCAGCTTGTTCTTATAATTCCCCAGACTTCCTCTATTCCTATTTTGTTATACCCGCCATTGATCATACAGATCACATCTGCCCAAATTTCCCCAAGAAAAAAGCAACTGATTCTCCGCTATGGCGTCCGCTCACATGCCCTCTATTGCCATTGTGGCCTCGTCGCGCGCCGTCATTTCCGGCCGTCTGACGTCGGCTACTATTGTGATCTCGAGAACAACCGGCAAGATCGCTGCCGTCTTTGATTCCGTGATCCCGGCTTCAGAGTTCCCCGCTGGGACTCCATACACGGACTACTCGCCGCATGTGTTGCTGCCCGGTCTGGTCGATGCTCATGTACACTTGAATGAGCCGGGCCGAACTGAATGGGAAGGCTTCTATACCGGCACCCAGGCTGCGGCCTTTGGCGGTGTGACAACTGTGATTGATATGCCTCTGAATGCTATTCCCCCTACGACCACTGTGCATGGCCTGAAAGAAAAGATCAAGGCTGCTCAGGGTAAGTGCTGGGTAGATGTTGGCTTCTATGGTGGTATCATCCCCGGAAATGCCAATGAGCTCAAGGCTCTTGTTCAGGAGGGTGTCCGTGGCTTCAAGGGGTTCTTGATTGACAGTGGTGTAAGTTGTGATATCGATTCCATGTGATATCTGTGCTAACTATAGACAGGTCGATGAGTTCCCTGCTGTCAGCACGGAGGATATCAAGAAGGCCATGGCTGAGCTGGCCGATGAGTCTACTACCCTCATGTTCCACGCTGAGATGGTACCCCCCATCACTGCATCCGTGGGCGATGAAGTCCAAACGTCCGATGCCCCAGCTGCCCCAGTTGGCCCGCTCGAGGCATATGCCACTTTCCTCGCCTCGAGACCCTCATCCTTTGAGACCTGTGCCATTGAAAGCATCCTGAGTCTGGCTCACCTCGCCCCCAATCTTCCCCTGCACATCGTCCACCTCTCAGCGATGGAAGCCATCCCTCTCCTGCGCGAAGCTCGTGCAGCCGGCGTCAAGATCACCGCCGAGACCTGCTTCCACTACCTCTCCCTCGCAGCCGAGGAAGTGCGCGACGGCGACACCCGCCACAAGTGCTGCCCGCCTATCCGTTCCAAGCTTAACCAAGACGGCCTCTGGGAAGAACTAGAGAAGCACACCGGCGACGGCGTGATCAAGACCGTTGTCTCAGACCACTCCCCCTGCACACCGGACCTCAAGCAGCTCCCGCCCCACGTCCCAGGTCACTGCACCAGCAGCACCAAGAAAGAAGAAGACAAGGGCGACTTCTTTTCCGCCTGGGGCGGTATCTCCTCCGTCGGCCTTGGCCTGCCAATCCTTTGGACAGACCTCAGCCGCCGCAAGGGTCTGACTTCCTCCCCGGAAGACGAGAACACAAAGAACGCTCTTCAAGATGTTGTCCGTCTCTGCTGCGCCAATACCGCTGCCCAGGTCGGTCTGCAGTCTCGCAAGGGCGATCTGGTTGTCGGCTTCGATGCTGATATCTGTGTCTTTGATGATGCCGCTGAGTGGACTGTTGAGCCTTCTACCATGCTCTTCCGGAACAAGTGCTCGCCTTACCAGGGTCGTACACTGCGCGGTATGGTTCGCGAGACTTGGTTGCGTGGTGAGCGGGTTTTCAGCCGTGAGCAGGGCTTTGACTGCGAGACACCGAATGGCAAGCTGCTTCTTGAGAAGCGGGTGTGAGGTATTCCCTCTTCTGCGTGTCCTTTTTTCTTTTCTGTTTTCCCCGACTTTGCATCTCGACCTCGTCTGGACGAGCCCTAACGAGCCCTAACGACCACTAGCATTTTATATTAATGATTATAGCTTAGGCATAGAATACCATAAGCATTCAACCTTACTGTTTTACTAGATTATGTATCTGTATTCCTTGATCAAGTCAAGCTAAGCTATTATACACTGTAGACTCACTCAACAACCCCATCCTTCTCCTTCTCCCACTTCTCCCGAACTCTCCTCCTGACACCTCCATTGACTCCCTTCCCCCAAATCTCCTCTTTCTCGTCACCAACAATAACCGGCTCCCCATCTCCCTTGACCTCTTGACTCTCATTCTCACCAACCCTCCCAACAAAAACCTTCCTCTCCCTCAACCCTCTCTCCTTCACCCTCGCCCGTTCAACCTTGTCCGAGTAAGCAGCATACAAGAACGCCTCAGCAACCGCAACCGCCAAAGCAGCAAAGAAAGCAATCAAAACACGCACAGCTTCTGAAATGCCTTGCCTGTCCCCACCACCACCAGCACTCTTCCTCTTTCCACTGTTCTCACCAGCTGTCCAAGCTGCAAATCCCTCATACAAGATATCCGGCGTAGCGAACTTCGTCAGAGCCCAGTATACACTGAACCCGGTGATCACGACCGACAAGAAGATATTGATGACCAGTGAGGGTGTGAGCGTATCTTGATAATCAACACTGTTCGGATTGGAGGGGTCAGAACTGTGGTAGGGATCGTAGTGTTCGGGTGTTTGTGTTGTGGTCGGGTTGAGGAGGCGGTTGTAGGCTAGTTGGTCGGCGCGGGCTTGGAGGATCGCTTTGCTGGCTAGGTATTCAGGTGTCTATTGCGTATTAGTGCTGAGGTTTGGGGTGTTGATTTGGGTTGATCTGGTGTAGAGGTTGATGTAGATGTAGCTGTCGCGTATCACATACCGGCTCAGGTTTCGGCGGCGGCGGCGGTACATATGCCTTTGTGCCGCGCAATAGTGAATTGAGGACTGATGGGGGCGCGGCTTGGTCTGCATCATTGGATTCGGATTCTGGGTTGTTTTGGAGATATCGCGATAGTCGGATTAGTTGGTCGTGGGCTATTGGGCCATTTGCTTCCAGCTTGACTGGTAGGTTTAGCTCTTCGCGCTGCGAGGCTGGGACCTTTTCTAGTGCAGTGAGAATGCGAGTCGTTGTGAGGAGGTTGACCATTGTGTATGCAGCCCAGCCAACTGAAGCTGGAAATTGGGAGATGTTGAAGTAGAGAGCGGAGAGAGCGAGCGGAGATTAGCAGCAACAAAAGTGGCAGTTGAGCTCCTCCCCACATCGTCATCTTCTCTTCTTCACATCGCAGTCATGGCTTCAAGGTATGTTCCAGCTTCACTTCAGGCATTGTCTTCTGCTCTCTTGCATTCTGGCCCTTTTTACCTTCCAATTCCCTCACTTTTCAGCTTGCTCCTTTTCACATCTCATCCCACTTGACAAAACTAACCCCTCCAGCACCGCAACAACACAAACCAACCCGCGCGGAATCCCCGTTGCTCCCTTCGTCGACAATGTCAGCGACTATGTTTCCTCCCGTGAGGAGGTCGAGCCCACTCTTCGCTCCTTCCAGGAGATGATCTCCAAGTATCAGTTCATGGAAGTCAACACCCAGCGCCGCGGCCAGGGATTGCGCGAGAAGATCCCCGATATCAAGAAGACACTTGAAATGGTTCGCTTTTTGAAGTTGCGCAAGGAGGTAATCTACCCCATCCTCAGAGAGGAGTGTTGACGACGAAGAGGACGAAAGAGAGAGCGAAAAAAAGAGAGATTGCATGGCGGGGAAGCAAACGAAAATGAAGACAAGAAGTGGAAGGCTAATGATAATACTCGTCTCATTTCCAGTCAAACCCCGACGCAGACCTCGAAACGAACTTTGAACTCAATGATACCCTTTACGCCCGTGCTGCCATCTCCCCCGCTGATGCGGAGGAGGTTTACCTCTGGCTCGGAGCGAATGTCATGCTTGCATACCCGCTTGGCGAGGCGGAGACGATGCTGGATGAGAAGCTCACAGCTGCCCAGTCTAGCTTGAAGAATTGCGAGGAGGATCTGGAATTCTTGCGCGAGCAGATTACGGTTCGTTCATTTCTCGCGTGGCGACAGATATCTAACCAGATGCGAGATATCTGTACACAATGTTTGAGCTTTTACTAACTGTTTATTGTATAGACATTGGAGGTTGCCACAGCACGAGTGTACAACTGGGATGTGGTGCAAAGACGCAAAGACAAGGCCGATGGCAAAGGAGACGAAAAGAAATAATCAAACAACGCGCCCTGGAGGCTGGGAAGAATGACCTGGGTTTGGTATGAAAATATGAATATGAGTATCGGGAACATACAGTATCAATCTTGTATAGAATTATTGCCATTGTTAGCTGGGAAGTCTATTCTGTTCTTTGGTATCCATGCGCCAACGGTCTCATCACCAATTCAGGTGGAGTTGAATGTCAAATCGTAGACATGAACGCATCAAGCAAAATTTTCAAATCGAATGAGGCGGAAATTAGAGTCTTGTAAGAGGAAGGCTGATACCCTGGTGATATAAGAGGAAGCAAACAGTAAACGCCCTATGCACAGATCAAAACAGGAATGCAAGTCATGATTCGTGAAGAGGCCAATATAAAGAATTAAAACGCAACAAAAACGATTAACCGAGAAAGAAATAAATAGACATAGAGATAGAAACATTCAACATTGCCCAAAAAAGAGAAATGAACGGACTATCCGGCTTCGATTTGAAACATTGGAATGATTCAATCATGCCAGGGTTGAAGCAATGTTATCTGCACCCGAAGCAGCTCGCTCGCGCATCCGCTTCGAAATATCAATGCCAGTCTCATCCCCGACAAAAGTCCACTCTTCAATATCATCGACATCGTCATCACCTCCGTCGGGTGAGGCCTTTGCAGTGGGCGTGGGAGAAAAGGGAGTAGATGAGACAAGTGACTTTTGTCGAGCCAATGTCTTCGCGTATTCAAGGTCGCGGTAGAGAGCCTGGATTGCGGTTGCCACACCATCTTCCTATGAGATAATTAGCACTGGGAGCATCAATTGGAACAGTGGACAACTTACACTTCGGATTTGAACGCCCAAATTGCGCGCCTTCACAATCATGCGTTCGCTATGTGTAGTCTCCCAGAGTGCCCTTGAGAAGACACTGACGTTTAGTTTCTTCATGCAGACTCCAACACCCAGATCTTCCACCCGGCCGCCGAAGAAGAACTGATCTCCAAAGAATGGTTTCACGATTGTGGGAACGCCAGCTCGGAGACTTGCACCAGTGGTTCCTGCTCCGCCGTGATGAGCTGCAGCGTCAATTTGAGAGAACAGCCAGTCGTGAGGCGCAGATTGGATCTGGAAGATTTCTGGAGGAAGAGGAACTTCAGGCTTTGCACTAGCTGGATCACCAAGCCTATCTGACCAGCCCTTTGAAAGGATGCAGCGGACGTCAGCCTTTTGAACTGATTCGATAACAGTCCGTGTCAAAGCAGATGGATCTGAGACCACGATAGACCCAAAGCCAATGTACACGATCTTCTTGCCGTCTGCTCTGGCTTGTTTGATGAAATTTGACAGGTCAGCTGGCGGGGTCCAGTCCGAGCCTTCATTCAGGAACCAGTATCCTGTAATACGAATCCAATCCGGGTAATCGAGAGGAGGGGCCACCACGGAAGGCGAGTAGTTGTAAAGGAACGGAACTTTGTTCTGCTGCATCTTGTCTAACGTAGTAGCCTTGAGTCCCAGCTCTCTGTGTCGCCAGCGGTTGACTTGGCCTGCGATAGCTTTCCAAAAGATAGTGTCGAACATAACGTATGTGATATAGTTGTATGCCCCGCCCATTCGATTTTCTGGTACTGCAAATGCGTGTGGGTATGCCCTAGTCCTAGTCCACGGCATGGTGAAGCCCCGGAAGTAAGGGATTCGAAGAGCTTCTGCAATATGAACCCCGGCCATGGCACTTGGCGATTCAATCAGAAGATCACTGCCTTGACAGCCTCTCCAAGCCGATGATAAAAGATCATCAATCCATCCCCTGAACTTGAGTGATGCTTCTCTGAGGAAAGAGTAGGTGAACATCCCATTTTCGACGCAAATGCGCATCAGCTCGGCGGGATCACCGTCCACGGGGGCGAAGTCAATTCCATGCTTTCTGATCCAGGGTTCAAATTCGGCATGAGTCGCGATCTTTGGCTTGTGTCCCTCTGCAAGTAGCCCCTTGCAAAGTGCAATATATGGCTGTACATCGCCTCGAGAGCCAATGGTCAGGCAAGTGATACGAAGGGGTTCAGTGGGCTTGAAGTTGATAATGGAGGCGCGAGGGTCGTCAAAGAACGGGTGTATCTCCGATGAGTCCTCATTTAGCGTAGGGCGTGTGTCATGCTCTTCGGGACTATCCAGTCGGGCTTCCTGAAGCATGCGGTGTTCAGCCTTGGCTGCCTCAACCTCATCTCGTTCCTCTTCTGCGAGCAAACCGGATTCTACCATGTATTTCACAGACTCGAGGTTTTGGTGCAGTGTGACTGCACAGTCATCTCGCGCTTCTGTGGCATTGAACTCGAAGAAAAGCTCTTCATGTCCACGGATGATAACGACAACCCCTTGATACCCGAAACGGAAGCCCTTTTCCTTTTCGACATTCTCAATATCTTTGAATGGTAGAATCATCTTGGTCCGAGTACCAGGAATCAGACTGCGGAAACAAAGCTTCCTCTGACTGATGTAGATCTTTCCGTAAAGTGGTAGCACACGATGCAAATAGGCATAGTATGTCGCTTGCAGTCTTTCAGTTGGCGGAAGTGCAAAGTGGGCGCGGAACCGATCTCCATGATTGAGTCCACCTTCACCTTCATCTTCTGCATCAATGTGCTGACCTTGTAATGGCCCTTCTCGCTCACCGTAATGTTTCTGGCTACCAGTCCACATACCAGAAACCTTCTCAATGTAACCCATTGATTCCGTCGCTAGCAAAGTGCTCATCTGCCTCGACCGATTTTTCACATAGTCTGCGAATCCCGCTGCACGTTGGAAAGGATAAGCTCCCGCCTTGACGAGATCGTTTAGATGAGCAACCGAGCCGAGGCTAGATGCTTGCATTACATCGGACTGATCAAAAGCATCGCTCTTGTTGATAGCCCGACCAGCTCGATCCAAGTCCAGTTGCGCAGATGCAGAGCGAGTTGTTTCTTCGGAGCGTCGGAGAGTCTCTCCAACATCCGATGAGCGCCGTCGCATTGCGCGCATAGTAGGCGAGTGGAAAACATCACTTCGATTGAGAATTTGACTCGCAGATTCGTTCGTGTCTGTCATGGATTGCACAACAGGCGAGGAAGCTGTGCCTTGTTCTGCAAATGAATCTGCGGATCGATCTTCATTTCCATCACTCGAGCTTCTCTTCAAGGGTGAAGTATCTTGTCTTTGGCCTGCGACTCGACCGTCGGTCCGTCTTTTCTGGCCTATTTGATTTGATTCTTGGCCTTTCGGTGACCCTTCTACTGTGTTCATACTCGTTGCACTCACTAAGCTCTTGATGTAGTTGAATGCGTCCTGACCGGAGTCGAAGAATGAGAAGAAGTACTACACTTGGTCAGAAATGAAGAAAATCGTGGCTTCTCTTACTTACCTCATCGATAGCATATGTTTCACCGCTATCGACAACTCGGATCTTGAATGTGTCGGCAAAGTCGGCCATTGGACTCTCCTCCAAATCAATGATATTATCGATCGGAAAAGATACTTTCACGCTATCCCCTTCATTATGCGTTCTGAAGATGACTTTTTGGATAGCTTTCACCCATTCCTTTGCACTGGTAGAGCTCTCTGCCCTGAACAGATATGTTCCCTGATCGGTGGTGACTTGAAAATCTTTGGCATCACTGTCTTTGTCGCCATCCTTGCGTTCTGCAAGAGAGGCTTCGATTCCATATCGAAGATCCACATGTCCGCTGGGGAAGTAAAGATTTGAAGGATCTGGGTAGTAGGAGAGAACATCGCCCTTCAGAGCAAACCAATAGCGGTTATACTTGGGATTCTTGCGACCGCGCTTGGCTAGATAGCCCGACTTGATCGCCACATTCGATTTCTTCGGAAGGTATGCATAGAAACAGATATGACCCTCAGTCACATACATGTAGCCTTGTAAAAGCATGCTCTGGAGGAGCGAGCATGCATATTCGACCAAAACCTTTTCAGGCTTTGCAAACTCAAACATCTCCATCAGCCGTGTGGAAAGAGCTGACGCAGATGAATGTGATTCTTCCACAGTTTCTACAAGGTTGGAAGAGCTAAATGGTGAGTGTGGTACGGTGGAGGAATCAAAGTGAGTTTGTGCTTCGACCATACGACTCAGAACAGGGGCTGCCCTCGGCGTGGCACTTCGAGTTCGTCTTGCAGCAGGGACAGTAAGTTTCGAGCCTGGGGATGAGTCGACATTCTCTTTCGAGTTCATCTGTGGTAGCCGGTGTGGGAATTTATTGTCTGTCAAGCTTCTTCGATGACGACGGCCTCTTTGTTCTGTCCCAAGTGGTATTGATTCAGAGGGTTCCGCCGTTGGGCGAGGCGCTGACGGTGGTTTCGGTGATGCTGTTGGTGCTCGCGATGACACTTTATCTCTAGACATCTTCTTCCTCAGCTTCTCACTCTCATCGCCCTCTGCATCACTATCGCTTGATTCATCAAACCGAGCGTGAAAGTCCGACTTGGACCCAACTGCAGCAATCATGGAGAACAGTGACTGCTGCATATAGTGCAAATTTCCATCTCGTGTTCCCATGCCACGGGGCGGAGCTGTGAAATCAAACTGTGCATCATCTCCATCCTTGAATCTCTCTGGTATACGGTCTGAAAATGGACGGTTCGATGAAGTCGGTTTCATACTTGCGCTCATCTGTCGGTCTGCCCGGCGTCTGGCGTCATCTCTTAATGGTCTCATATTAAGTGGTATACTGGTATAATCGGACACAGGTCAAAGACGATGGATGTTAACGTTAAATGATGAATCACCGGTCGGGCAGAGGTTCGAGCCAGGTGACTGGCTGGTGCTGATAGGGCGATCGACACTGCACCAGTCAGGAGCTAGACACGCCAAGCTAGACCAAATGACTCTGTCATGTTAATGCGGTCAGCCGATGAACGTGGGATGCCCAAGGCGTACGTACGGAGGACTCCCGATAAGCACTTGGAGCTTGGGCGCCGGAACTGATATCGGGCGTGGAGCTGTCAGAACATGCACACTTCAACCAGCCATATCCAAAATGAAGCCAAGAATACAAAAACGCTTTCTTAAGAGACCAAGACAAAGATTCACCAGATACAAAGCAGAAGGATCATTAGTTGCCTATCGCATGTGACGCAATCAGGTGATGCTTATGTCACCAAGGTACCGGCTGAGGTCATTCAGGCCTGAGGTTTCTATGGTTTGGCTGAGATCTACCTGCATTTACCTGGCACAAAAGCTCTCTTGGCAAGTTCTTGTTTTCTGTCCACGTTATCTTAGAAGAGATGATTGGGTTGAGACATCTATCCTGTTTGAATCTCTCTTGAGCCCAGCACAAATAGAGATGTGGGTCAGCATAACGTGCTAAGCATCTATGGATCGCCTAACATCGGCGATGTGTTGATCATAGATGGAGCATATTCAATATAAATCTCCACTTCACATTCAGGTCTATATTTATATGAGGTCTGGGGCTGTCGCTCGCTTAACATCCATGTCTCTCAAGGCTTAAGTCTGACACCCAGCTAGCCGACGAAGCCTCTTACAAAGTACGCGATCTAGCCCTGGATCCATTCACGTTGCACCAACAATCACACCTCAGGTGTTACTACCGGACACACATTATCCAATCCTTTCAAGCCGAGCTGCGATAGAATAAAGAGCCAACGAGAGTAGCACCATCTCTAAGCGCAAAGGCGTGATCAGAAGCGAGCATCGGCTATCGGCTGAAGTATACACAGCACGCAAGAACATCCTGGGAGCTGCTCACACTTGTATACTCATGGAGAAGCTTTCATTGTATTTATATGGCAGCCATATCGCCGTAGTTGTGTGAACTCAGCCCCTTCCCCCGCGAGTAGACTCCTTGGATGAAACTGCCCCCCTTGACCTTTCCTTCTTTTCCTTTCATTCTGTCATTCTTCTGCGTTTCGGAGATATCTCAGCCATGGGGATTTTTACGATTCCAGAGTTGAACACTCGTCTGGGCACCTTCCGTGCCTATCATCTGGCAGCCATTGTCTTGTATGTCATCTCCTGAAATGTGAAATCATGGTGACAACTCACTTATCATTTATAGTATCTCCTCTTTCCTATCTGCTTACGACTCAGGCGTTGCAGGCGGCATCTTGACTTACAAATCCTTTCAAACAGACCTGGGTTACAAGACTGCATCCCAGTCCAAGGTGTCTTCGCTCACCGTTGGTCTCGAGCAACTCGGATCATTCATCGGCGCTGCAGTCGTCTACCCTCTGACCAACAAATATGGACGCAAGATCACTATACTTGGCTCAACAGCCCTCTTCATTATAGGAGTCATCATCCAAGTCATCAAAACACACTCCCTGGCGGCATGGTATATTGGCCGCATCATCGCCGGTTTGGGCATGGGGGGCCAGAGTGTTGTGATCCCCATGTACTCAGCAGAGATGACACCAAAGGAAATTCGTGGTCGATGTGGTTCGTTTTACCAATGGCTCTATGCATGGGGTGTGTTCACAGCATACTGGATTGACTATGTGGGTCTAGCTCTATCCTTAGCCCTAATAAGCATCAACCACACTAACTACCAAGCAGGGTGTAGCCAAGAGCGACTCCATTGCGGGCACTTCACGCGAGTGGCAGATCCCTGTGGGATTGCAATTGATCTCCGGAGGAATTCTCTTCATCGGCTGCTTGACCTTGCCGGAATCGATCCGTTGGCTGCTGACACAAAACCGCACCGACGAGGCCTGGAAGTCCATTACATGGATCCGCGGCGGAGAGGATATCAAGACCCGTGAAGAGTTTACAGAGACCCAATTAGGACTTCAAGCTGAGCGTGCTGAGCGCGAGGGCTTCTCATACCGCGAGCTTCTTGAGCCAGCCAACCGCCTCCGATTCATCGTTGGGCCTCTGCTGTTCATTTTCCAAAATGCCACGGGCAGTAGTGCACTGGCTGTCTTTGCACCGCAGTATTTCAAGCTGATTGCGGGCAGTGGGACAAACCGCAACATGCTGTTGACTGGTTTGTTTGGTGCCGTCAAGGTCATTGCTAGTACCTTTTTCATTTGGGTATTGGCTGAGAGACTGAGTCGGCGTATGACGCTTGCTGGTGGTGCTGTACTTATGGCTATCTGCATGCTTATCACTGCGCTTATTGTCGATTATGTTCCGACTCAATCTGCGACCAATGTCACTTCTGCGGGAAGGGCGACGGTTGCTATGATTTATCTCGACATTATGGTCAGTCAACCCTTTTCTACTTCAGCATTCTGATTATTCGCTAATTCATGAATAGATCTACAACTGCTCTTGGGGTCCACTGCCATGGGCATATGTGCCAGAGATCTTTCCGACACGGATTCGAGCTCTGGGATTGGCAGTCAGTATGCTTGCTCACTGGGCATCGTCTTTCTGCTTCTCCTTTGCGAGTCCCTACATGATCAAAAATGTTGGTGCCAACACTTTCCTCATTTTCATGGGATTCGACATTGTAGCTGCTGGCTTCTGCTGGATTTTCGTCAAAGAAACCCGCGGCAAGAATCTCGAAATTGCTGCTGGCACAGAGTGGGAAACTGCTGAGCGCAGCTCCACCGATGATAATGAAAAAGGAGGTGTGCTTAATGCAGATGGTAGGAAACTTCAAATTATCAGCGTACATGAGAACTTCCATGCCAACCTCAAGCACCGGTCTGTGGAACATTGACAGGATGATGTGGTATCCATACCGGACAATCAATTTCCAATAACGTCTAATGCAACACCATTGTAAAGTTGAAACAGATATGCCCTTTTTGTAAAACTCACCAAGACCTTAGCAGTGGTAATGAAGTGAGACAGTAGATTGTACATGTATTTGTAAATGTCGTAAAAAGCAAAGCTAGAAAGAAAACCAAACGCCAAATCATGCCTTCTCAGACTTTTTCCGCTTCTTCTCCTCCTTTTCCTTGGACGACTTTTTAGACTTCTTAGGTCTTGTCTCATCATCGGTCTCTCGCGAGTGCTTCTTTGACTTCTTGCGAGGCACAGCCGCCGCTTGAGGAGCATCGGCATCAGCCTCGGTGTGGTCGTGCTTCCGCTTGCGCTCCTCTCCCTTGGGCACCTTGAACGAAGGCACGTCGGCCTCGGATTCCGAGCTGGAGCCAAATGTCTCGGGACCAGAAGCCTCAGTTCCAACAGGTCGGAAACGCATCTTCAGGTGCTTTGGTTGAGGCCTGGCAGGCTTGACATATTCGCGCAGTGCTGCCACTGCAGCGTCGGTCTTTTTCGAGCGTGGAAGATCGATCAATTCCTGGATGTGGAAACTGGGAATACTGGCGGCTGCAGTGCGGTATGTTTGCGACTTGTCATCGAAAATAAGAAGTGACTTGTTGGGGAGGCCGGCCTCCGAGAAAGATTCGGTGGGAATTCCGTAGCTCACGCCGTCGTGGTCGAGAATTGGCTCGCCCTGCATGACCTTGGACATGGTCACCTCTTTGACCTTGGACAATGGGAGAGATGCAGGGGCCGTGAGGTGAATGATTTGTTTGCCGTTGAGGTTGGAGAGAAGGGAGGAAGTTTTAGAGGACGGCGGGGCCTGCTTCTTTGCAGACTTGAAGCCCGCGGGAGGCTTGTAGGGCTGAGGACCGGAGATTGAGACCCTGAAGGTGCATAAATTAGAAACCATTGTACTCTGATGTTGCAAATTGAGAATCGCTTACTTCTTGCCCGAGGTTGTAGGCTCCATTTCACTGGAGCTGTCCGAGTCGCTGTCCGAGTCGGAGCCCGACGAGCTCGAGGACTCATCTGAGCTTGACTCCTGTGCCTTGGAAAGTTTCTTCATGTTCTTTTCTTGCTTAGTCGTAGGCTCGGGCGAGGTCGACCTGCTCGAGCTGCTATCGCTATCGGATGCCATGGCGGCTGTTGAAGGTTCGGGCAAAGCGCAGACCGATGATACTTTCGCAAAGGCTTCGCAGAATGTGGCGCAGCCAAGTTCCACTGCCGTAATTCAGTGAAAAGGTCGATAGATCTTCGGGAAATGTCCGAACACGCAATTCGGCAATCGTCGACGTTGAGTGAGAATGTTCGAGTTGAACGGCCGATCTTTTTTTCTGCTCCGCGGGGCACGGACCACCGGCCAACTTTTTTTGCTTATCGGCCTTGAATCGCAGTATCAGAACGACCGTTTTCTCTTCAAGTCTGATTGCGGTCAATTACATACAATGAAACGGAAGGCCGAAAAGCAGCAAGCAGGTGGTGAGACTCATATCTACAGATCCCATGACTCAGGTTGAAAGCTGACGCCTGTCGTTCCTAGCTCCTCAAAGCGCTTTCGCGGCCTTTGCTGCACGCAAAGCTCGCCAGCAACAAGCGCTAGAACAAGTCGTACCAAAAGAGACACCTCAAGTTGCAGTCTCGAATGAGCCACTTTTGAAGAAGCCGCGACGATCACTTGAAGTAGCCGAGGCTGAACAACTTGGGGAGCATCGCCCACGAACAAGGGCCGCAAAGAAACAAGATGAGCCATTGCCTGCGGATAAAACACCAGAAAAAACGACAAGAGTTACCCGGTCCCATAAGTCTGAAACTCAACCGGAGCTGGAGAATGATTCGGAGGAATCAGAAGCTGGGTCTGAGCAAGAGGATGTCGCAAATGCAGATGAAACAGATGAGGACGAAGTTGCAGCTGTCGCAAGTGATGTTGACGACTGTGAAACGCCAGCGGAGACTCCGGCAGAGCTTCAAAATTTCCCTCTTTCAAAGGCTCGTTTGAACAAAAGCAACATCGTATACAGTGATGATAACACTCTCTGCGTCCGTATCAAGGAAAGAACAGTATGTCATAAGCCTCTCGGCTGATGAATGTGGCTTTGCTGACCTGGTACAGAACTTGGCATTGATTGGTCAATATGACCTTTGGGTTAAAAGAGGCGTTGTCAGTCTGATGGGTGCGAAATTGCACCCATCCGCAGAAGTGCATAGAGTCTATGCGCCTTCGACACACTCCTTGCCGGTTATTAAATGTGTATCTGGTCCTGATGGCGAAGCTGAGGTCGAAATTAAGTCTTGCAGCAGCGGTATCGCACGTCTTCGGGACCTATCCCCTCTGTATCAAAAGATCTGGGCTGGTCAGAGCACTACTGCAGATAAAATTTCTTTGAAGGGAGCTGGGAAAAATTCGAAGCGAACCTTCTCAGTTGTGAGTGGTTTTTCTTTCTCCGAGGTCAAGATTAAGGCTAACCAAGTCGCTAGTTATACACATCGTCAGATGATACGTTGAACAGACATCTTCGGCCCCTTCATCTCGACAAGAAGTGGAGTGCCTCGATGAAAGCCCTTTCACAACGCCAAAGCAGACTTCGTGTTTTGGTATGTGGTCCTAAAGCATCTGGAAAATCTACTTTCAGTCGCTACCTGTTGAACCATGTTCTCAGCGCTGCGCCTGAAGTCGAAACTGGCTTCACAAATACGGACGGTGTTGCTTTCCTGGATCTGGATCCAGGTCAGCCTGAATTTGCGCCTATGGGTCAAGTTTACCTTGCACGCGTGCGCTCTCCATTCTTTGGCCCACCTTTCACCCATCCTTCGCTTGACGAATCCCGCGATGGGGAAATGGTGCGAGCGCATCATATCGGTGCAACGTCGCCCAAGGAAGACCCTGACCATTATGCTATGGCTGTCATGGATCTGATGGATCATTACCGCGCCTTGCTAGACAAGTATCCTCGGTGCCCTCTGATTATCAATTATCCTGGTTGGATCTTTGGTCAAGGACTGGAGGTTGCAACGTGGTTGGTAAGATCTCTCGGTCTTTCCGACGTAGTTTACATGAGCGAAAAGGGCCCATCAGAGGTCGTGGATCCTTTGGCTCTGGCTGCCCGTGAAGCCCGCGTCCCCATGACCATTCTTCCTTCGCAGCCCACCGACTTTGTGAGCCGTTCAAGCGCCCAACTGCGCGCAATGCAAATTCAGTCATATTTCCACATGTCGCACCCGACTGATCTCACCACCCCATTATGGACAGATGGACCTCTCTCTCGTACCAGACCTATCACTGTGGACTACGCCGGCGCGCGGCAGGGAATCGCCGGTATCATGGTTATGGGATCACAAATCAATCCTGATCTCCTGCAAGAAACTCTCGAAGGAGCTATTGTAGGTATTGTGGCAGTGGAATCGCCGGGCGCCCTCACGGGTCAGATTGCAGAACCCAAGGTCTCGAATGATCCCGACATGGACATGGATGAAGAGAACCCAGGCTTGGGGGATTCAATCCAGGCTGCCGCATCTGAAAGCGTTGTGCGAACACGCGAAGATCTTCCATACCTTTTTATTGGATCTGGCAGTTGCACTCCGTTGGATCCAAGATCGTCGCATTGTCTCGGTCTAGCTTTGGTCCGCTCGATCAATACCTCCACACAAAAGCTTGAAATCTCCACTCCTATTCCTTCTTCCCTCCTTGAGAACTCCATCCAGAAAGGTCATGGCCTTGTGCTGGTTCGTGGTCAAATTGATAACCCGAATTGGGCCATCAGTGAAGAATACTATGCCGCTCGTGCGGCGGAACGTCGCTACCAACAATCAACATCCCAGTCACGCAAGTCGGGAGACCCTACTAATGAAAGCGATCCAGAACATAACCGCACCCTTGCACTTTTGCGCGATAGGATACGCAGAGCCAGCAACGTGCCCTGGATGACCGTTGTGGAAGACAATAGTCGTCACCAACGCGAAGCTGCTGCTCGAGAAAAGTCATTGTGGAAGTTAAGAAAGAAGGCCTATCCCGCCAGTGACAGCGAACAAGAGTGGTAGATCTATATCAAATACAAGAGGTCAGAGCAATCGCTCTCTATAACAATCGCCTTAGGGTTTCGCATGCCCAAATCGGGCCTTATCACTTTTGCCCCTCATTAGTCATCAAAGCGGAACCAGATCTGGCCAATAATAAACCCTGCCTCGCGGCAGAATGCGGGAGTTCCCCATGTACCACTTTTTTTTTCTTCTCTTATCGGCTTCTTAGAATTCTTCTTCCCTTTGACTCATTGCTATATTTCTTCGGAGGCTATTTTATTTGGCCATTATACCCCTTCACAGTCAATTGATATTGATCTGTGATCGCCTCCATATCTTCAACTTCATTGAGATCACTGTGTGACTCAAACTCCATCACCATGACTGAGGTGATTCCTCACAACAGCTTCGACACCATCCTGGTGCTCGACAATGGATCGCAATAGTATGTTCTCTTCGCCAGTAGTCGAACGCTGGGTCAATTCAATAGTTTGTCTCAATTAGCCGAGTCTAACAGCCTACTTCGCGCAGCACCCACCTCATTACCCGCCGTCTACGAGAGATCAATGTCTACTCTGAGATGCTCCCCTGCACCCAGAAGCTGGCCGATCTTGGCTGGAGCCCCAAGGGAATCATCCTGTCCGGTGGTCCCTACTCCGTTTACGAGAAGGACGCCCCCCACATTGACCCCGCCTTCTTCGAATTGGGCGTCCCCATTCTCGGAATTTGCTACGGTCTCCAGGAGATCGCCCACCGTCTGCACGCCGACAACGTTGTCGCTGGTACTGCCCGCGAGTACGGTCACGCTGACCTGAAGGCCACCCGTTTCGGAGGCCATGTCGACAAGCTCTTCGAGGGTCTCGAGGACGCCATGACCGTCTGGATGTCCCACGGTGACAAGCTTTGCAACCTCCCCGAGGGTTTCCACACCATCGGCACAACCAAGAACTCTGAGTACGCTGCCATCGCACACCAGACTGAGCCCGTTTACGGCATCCAGTTCCACCCCGAGGTTACCCGTAAGTCTATGGTTTTCTAAGTGGGATAATGAGTCTTGAGCTAACGAAATATCAGACACCCCTCAGGGCGGTCAACTCCTTAAGAACTTTGCTGTTGGCATTTGTGGTGCCAAGCAGACCTGGTCCATGTCTGAGTTCATTGGCCAGGAGATCACCCGTATCCGCAACCTCGTTGGCCCTACCGGCCAGGTCCTGGGTGCCGTTAGCGGTGGTGTCGACTCTACCGTCGCTGCCAAGCTGATGACCGAGGCTATTGGTGACCGTTTCCACGCTGTCTTGGTCGACAACGGCTGCATGCGCCTGAACGAGTGTGCTCTCGTCAAGGACGTTCTCCAGGAGCAGCTCGGTATCAACCTTACCGTTGTCGATGCTTCCGAGGAGTTCCTCGCTGGTCTCAAGGGTGTCCACGACCCCGAGCAGAAGCGCAAGTTCATTGGTGGCAAGTTTATCGATGTCTTTGAGGAGGAGGCCCGCAAGATCGAGGCCAAGAACGCCGGCAAGGTCGAGTGGTTCTTGCAGGGAACTCTCTACCCTGGTAAGTCCTCAAAAGTCTGAATTCAGGTGCTCTATGCTAACGTATCTCAGATGTCATTGAGAGTATCTCTTTCAAGGGACCTTCCCAGACTATCAAGACCCACCACAACGTTGGCGGTATCGCCGAGCGTCTCATGGCCGGTCACGGTCTCAAGCTGATTGAGCCCCTCCGCGAACTCTTCAAGGACGAGGTCCGCGAGCTTGGTCGCCAGCTTAACATCTCTGCCGAGCTTGTCGGTCGTCACCCCTTCCCTGGTAAGTTTTCGCAAACACATCAATCAACCCCAGACTAAAAGCTAACACAAAACCAGGCCCCGGTCTCGCTATCCGTGTCTTGGGTGAGGTCACCAAGGAGAAGGTCGAGGCTGCCCGTCACGCCGACCACATCTTCATTGGTATGATCCGCGAGGCCGGTCTCTACGACGACATTGGCCAGGCCTACGCCGCTCTGGACCCCTCCCGTGCCGTTGGTGTCATGGGTGACAAGCGCGTGTACGCCAACATCATTCTCCTCCGCGCCATCTCCACCAAGGACTTCATGACTGCCACCCCCTACCCCTTCAGCTACGATTTCCTGACCAAGGTCTCTACCCGCATCGTCAACGAGGTCCAGGGTGTTTGCCGTGTCGCCTACGACTTTACCAGCAAGCCCCCCGGTACCATTGAGATGGAGTAGATTTGAGCATCCCAAGGTTGGAATTATAGAAAAGTTCATGTCAATACAAGTTTTTAGCTAGAATGATTGGATGCAGGTTACGAATCCATGTGCATAGAAAGGAATCAAGTTCATTAATTTATCTTCGGTCTTGTATATTGACCACGCAGTATGCCGCATGCAATTTGTCGCTCTACAATCCTCCAAATACGGTAATAACACTACCATGAAGTGGCTGGTTTTTTAAGTAGGGACTGGATGGGATATATACATGAAAAGGCCACTCTCTTCTTCCCTTGCATGTTTTCATAAATAGCACTACCATCTACTCATTGTTGTCCTCGGCTACTCTATCTCAACATCAAACTATTTCATCTCCTCCCACTGCACACCAGCCCACTCCTCTCTCCAGCCAGTGACGTTAAGCTCATCGGGTCTGCAATCCCTCGAGCAAACACCGAAAATGATAGTCCCCCACTCCATGCCGGCATCATCCTTGCCAAGGCCAACACCAGCACGCCCTTCTTCAAGCATACTAATAGTATGCGGCACAAGCTGGAACTCGAAGACGCGAGCCGCACCACAGTACTCACAAGGAGGGATATTGCCCGCACCAAGCGAGGTAGTGGTAACCTTCGCACCGGGCGCACTGAGAGCATGGAATCTCGCACCGACCGCATCGCCAGTTGAATAGAGCAAGGGTGCGCCGTTGAATTCATAACGCAAGACTTGCTCTGGGTTGTGTTCGAGGCGCATGGAGAATTTCATAAAGTCTCTGTCGAGCTCCGACTCGAAGGTGTCTTTTAGGTCGGCGCCTCCGCTGCCGTCTTCGTCCATCGGTTCCATGGTGACATTATCTGGAACTGTGGGTGTTGAAGGTCGGCTGAGGGTTTCATATTCGGCGTCTAGGTAGAAGTTCTTGTATGGGGTTGGGAAGGCGGATTGCGCGGGCCACGGTGTTGTGTCGCTGCTTGACTCCGGGGTTTGTTTTGTGGCAGCGGAGGGGTTTGGCTCTGAGACGCGCACTTTGTCCGCGAAGGATTCCGCTAAGGATTGTTCTTGTTTGGCGGGGGTGGGCTTCTTCTCGGTTGGGGTTGCTGGCACCGGTGCCGCGAAGGGGTTGCTACCGGCGGGTGTTGGGCCGGAGGAGGACGAGAATGGGTTTGGGTTGGAGGAGACCGTGTTGGTTAGGGTTGTTGCGCCGAACAGACTTGCGCCGAGGTCTTGCTTTGGTTGCTCTGCAGATGGCGGGGCTTCATTCTTGGGCTCGTCGATTTGCTTGGGCTTTCCAGTGCCGACTGTCACTTTGCGGGCTGCGCGGTAGGCTCTGATGCTTCCGGGCTTGCGGTTGCAAGGCTTTCTGGGACAGCCGAATAGGTAGAGGCGCCGTTCGTCGGTTGGGAAGTGGTCTGGTAGGTCACCGTGCAACTCGAGGAGGAGGAGCATGGGACTATTGCAGACTTTGCAGTTGGCAAAATCACCCGGGGCAGGGGAGGCCTCGTCGAGCCATTTCTATTGCACTGTTAGCTTCCAAGATTGGGGCTTGTGGCTCGAGGATGTGGGTTGAGCATACGGGCCAGCCTCCTAAATGACTGATTGTGTCTTCAATGACTTCTTCAGCGGCATATCCGAGAAGAACACCAGTATCAGTGAAGTCTTCATCGAGACTCGAGTCACTGTCATAGGGATCCATTGTGCAAAGTGGTGGAAGTGAAAATGTTCACCCCGCCAAAAAAAAAACGGATATGGCGATAAGCGATATGGAAACCGAACAACTCGACCCAACTATAGACTCCAACGGGATGGAAGTAATCGATGTTCACGTCCATGTTTTGGATTTATTTCTTTCTGATTTGTTTCACTCATCTTAGATTCAGTTCACACAGCACTACAAATTAACACCCAAGGAAAGGATGTGTAGGTTGCAAAACTTGGGCCTACTCACGATGTTCCGTTACCTCTACGGATCAAAACGTCAATCAGGTTGGCTTTGTTATACTACATAGTATGCTGTACCTTAACTAATTGTGAACAAGTTCAAGGCTTATACATACAGTTCAGATTATAGCTCCGATTTTCCCTCTGTAGAAGCCCCGTGGTTAACGCGAACATTCTTTTGCCATGACTGGAATATAAGGGTCGCCACATTTCGGCCCATCAGAGCACTTGTCTCCATTGTCGAGATGAAGCTCTCAATACCACCCGTGTACCATACACCTGGAGCCAGAAGCGTGTCTTCAAATGTGACTCGCGGGTATAGAACTGGATAAGGGTTCCACAGTTTCTCATGGAACCAGCTGATATCATTCTTGGAAATATCTCCAATCGTCATATTGCTCGATGTAGAGTCCTTTTCCAGACCTAGGATACCAGCAATAAACTCAGCGGTCGGGCGCTCTGGCGAGAAGATCTTGTAGACATAATGCTGTTCCTCGGAGTCGACAGAGGGATGATCCACTGTTCGGAGAGTGCTGATACTCCAGAAACCGCTGGGTCCGACATCAGCCTTATTCTCAGGGATGAAGTCCTCTGGGAGGGTCGTCAAAATCGTCTCTGGTGCCCTGGCATTGGGATCGAGTCCGAAGTACTGCGGTGCGAGGCGGTGCGGAGACGAAAAGAGAGTAACGTGCAGATTCACATATGGGATTTCATCCGGGTTGTGGTCCAATGAAGGCGATATCGAAATGCCAGAGTACTGCAAAGGACCGGCAATGACAACTTCGTCGAAAGTCGTTTCGGAAGTGGAAGCGGTGGCGGCGTCCAGCTTCGACGATACTTGCACAGTGCCATCATCATTGCGTGTAATCCCAGTGACAGTAGTGTTCACATTGACCTGGGCATGCGAAGCGCTCAACGCGGCATCGAAGATGCGCCAGTTCCCGCCTTCAATCGAGACGGCCCCATCAGTAGCCATACAAACGATAGACTCCAACCCATGGATCAGCTGCAAATTCTGGCCATAGTTCACGCGAGTACTGGCCTGGATGATCTCCCTCGCAAAAAGAGACCCAACATCATTGGCGTGGAGAAATTCTTCGCCAGAGGACGCAGTCGCATTCAACAAATCCGCCACAACAGCCGCCTCAGAAAGCGAGCGGAAAGGAAATAAAGGCTCCTCGTACAGCCGCAAGAACTGACCAACAATCCTCTTCATCAGGTTCTGGGTGCGCAGCGGCGCAAGTCCATACCGCCAGAAAAGCCGGCCAATATTCCACCAGCTGTACGTGTCTTGCAACACAAACACAAATTGGGACCCGTCCCAGATGCCAATGTTGTCATCGGCCTCTCGTGGCCGGGCATAGTCAGCGCTGCGAACTGACAGACCTAGGTCGCGGGAAGCATTGACCAAGTTGTAATTGACCTGGACGAAGATGGACGCGCCCAGTTCAATTGGGTAAGTAGGATCATCGAAGACATTTACTGTTGTCGAGCGGCCGCCGATATATGATTCACGCTCGTAGACTGTGATCTCCACAGGGGTGTTGGCTTCATTTGCAAGCTTGCGCAATTCGTATGCTGTAAATGAGCCTGCGGCTCCGGCTCCTACGAGACGACTTAGCTTGAAGGTGGCTTTGATGGATTGAATGGATGCCTACCGATGATTGCTACCTTCTTTGGGGTTGTATCTACGGCTTGGAGTGGTTGTTGCTCTGCGGCATTGCAGAAAGATAGGAGAATAGCTAGGAAGGGGAGAAGCAACGAAATATAGTGTGTCGCCATAACATAGGCTTCAAATACTGGTGCAGCTAATGCTGGAACTGAAATAGTTCAGGTCTTGACGTGAACATCGAGTGAGATGGAATCCAGCGTGGGGATGATATGGCAACGCTAGTCCTGTTTGGGCCTAGCGCATTCGTGGATTGTATAGGCAATTCTTCTTATAATCCAAGTTATACGGCATGAGATGAGGCACCTGTGATAGGTTGGAGACTAACTCAGTCTGCAATTGTACACTCTGCAGTACACACCACGAACTATATCCACATCTATATCTACATCTCCAGGCGGTAGCTTCTTGTCTAATAGTATACTTCAAACCTTTGCTGATGCCTTAATCTAGTTGCCTGGCACTAATAGAACCGTCGATACCAGGGAAGCAATTCAGTGCCTACACTTAACAGAGACACAAACAGACTATACCGTACGCAAGCTTAAAGCTGCAATAATTGACTATGATCGAATACCCAAAACTAAGTTATATGATTGATTTTATTTTATATTGGCGAGCGAACCCCATTCAACCAGACACATACAGTACACGGAATGTAGACAGTAGGCAGGACAGGTTCGACATCTCAAGGTATTGTTATGGTATGGACAAAAGACGAATCTCTCTCATATCATCCAGTGCCAGGGATTGACTGCACGGAGTGTGAAAAAAGGGAAGAAAAATCCAATACAGACAGGAGAACGGATAAAGGAGTCCCACGAGTTAAAAACAAGAAAAACGCCCGATGCGCCAAATCCCGACTCATCTCGGAGCCCTTCTTCCATGCGAAATCTATCACCATCGGATCATCACTTGATCGAGGGAGAAGGTGGGGGGGATTCATGAACTCATGGCACGGCAGACCGACAAGGTATGACGATCCCCGTGCACATTTTTTGGAGTAGTTAAGAAAAGGTAGAGATACGAAAGGAGGAAGTGTATGAAATGCCCGAAGGGACAAATCAAATGTGGAGGGCGGGATAGAGAAGAGAAGGCGGGCGCTTAAGCGGGCTGCTCAAAGCCACGACGGATAACACGACCGAACTGCTCGACGCCGACACGCTCGCTCTTAACTTCGGATCGGGCCTCGTTCTCCTTGTTGGTGGGGACGTTGACGGTAGCGCCGTCAACCTTCCAGCCGCAGACGTCGACAACGAACTTGTCGAGAGCGTCGCGGCGCATATCGAGCCAGGACTCGAGGTTCTCGGCCGTGATGGAGCGGAAGGTCTTGCCGACCTCGACGGCGATGCGGATGCGGACGAGCTCCTCGAAGCCAGCAACATCAGCGGTCAAGTCGGCGTAGAGGTCGTCAGAGTTCAGGGTGGACCAGAACTGAGCGTACTGGGCAGATTCGAGGAGGGTGTTGAGGCGGGTGAGCTTCTGCACGGACTCGACGAAGTCGGAGGTCTGGCTGGCGGCTTGGGCTTCGCTGGTGATGGGGAAAGGCTGGGTGCTTGTCGGGAGGAGAGAAAGGCAGAGCGAGAAGGCCGCGGAGGGGAAAACGGTCAAGGCCTTGGCCAGGATGTTGGTCACAGTATCAGCTTGGAGGAGGTGAGGGTTGAACTGGAAGCTGGATTAAGAATCTTGTCAGCAATTGATTCGGATTTCTTAAATAAAGTACTTTGCGAATCGAGTGTTATGCCGATTGCAAATGGCATGGATTTTCAGTATTTTCACATAATTCCCTAACATTCCCAAGTATATTATGGGACTGTCAGGCAATGAGAAACGCTTGAAAGATGACCATCACAGAAGCAATTTTGATTCGATATTGATGCAACGCATTTTTTGAAAGAAATGGTTCCAACTCACAGCTTCAGGAGGGCCAGGTTGGCGTAGCAGTCAAATGACTGGTCTTCGCACTGCTGGGCTACATAGTCCTGGAACACGGTGGTGGTCTCGGGGTTGTAGCGGTCGAGGCCACTGAGGATAGCCTCAATGTTGGCGGGCCGGGATTCACACTTGTCGAAGGCGGCCATCTTGATATTGCTGAAGGGAGGTGGAAGGTGATGCGGGTCTTTGTCTCTGCGGGATGTTCTTTTTGGTGGGATTTTTGATTGTGGCCCTGTACCCGGATTATCCCAATATGGATTGTTTCTCCATATTTATCCGGACTATACGATTCCTTGAACGATGCACTTATCTATTGGCTAGTTACTCCATAGTCCCTTGGTGAATACTAAGCTACATCTTGAAGATAACTTGATGGAAGCCCGCGGCTTTGATTCGTGTTCAGATAATACATAGAATACATGTCTCTTGAACGCCCTGTGATCGTGACATCTGATCAAAAGGAAGCACCAGTCTCAGGCCTGAGCGGACGGACAACCTTCATGATCACACAAGACATTCAAGAGAGAGAGAAAAAACCACCGAAGCCGGAGGCTGCAAAACAAAAACTCCGTGTCTGTGAGACGCCATAGTCTATGCCCATATCCATATCGCGAAATCCAGATGCAGAATGAGCAAGGCGAAATTGGTCACCTTACCAACGCGAATAGAAGCACAGAGAATTAGAATTGGAAAAATTGAAGAGGAGAAAAAGACAAGGTGAAGAAAGGAGTGCCTGGGAAAGAAGAAAGAAACAAAAAGTAGGCGGGTATCTCAATAAGAGGGTTATGCAAATGATGAAAAGAAAGGTTTCAGGCCATGACAGGCCGACGAGGTGCAATGGGAATCGCCTTTGGCTCCGGAGCAATTTGAAGGTTCGACATGCCAAGGTCATCGCCATCGAATTTCTTGCCTTTGGGCTGTCCGGTTGCGGAAACAAGGACCGGCTGAGCGGAATTGGCAGCATCATCGTCACCCATCGTGCTACAGATGAAGCGCTCCTCGGAAAGAGGAATCCCGCCAAACATTGAGCCGAGCTGTTGAAGAAGTGCAACAAAGTGGGCATGTAGTTCCGTAAAAATGTATTCATTGCCGACAATTTCAGCCAGGTTGCGGGCGCGGATTTGGCCCGCCGCGCGCCGGCCAGCCGGGTCCATCGCGCGACCCGTGAGGAAGGAGGAAACAGGTGTGTACTGGCGACCAGGTTGTCTTCCTGGGTTGTTCAACTCGTCGCGAGTCTTCTCATCTTCCTGGAAACGCTCTGCGGCAGTCACAATGCTGGCGGCGATGCGACCGAATGCGCGCCAAATGATGGGGCATGCGCGGAATGCTCTTCCGGCATCCCGCCCGGCTAGTGCGACCAGAGCATAGCTGCGACGCTTGCCACGGGCCATGGGGTCCGGAAGGCGGAAAATGTAGGCGATAGTGTAGCCTGCGACAGAGTCACCGAAGCAAATAGGGCCAGAGGAAAGACCGCGGGGCAGTAGCTCGCAGCTTAAAGTGCGGATGGAGGATCGGCGGAGGAGCGCATAGTCGGCCGGTTTCGGCGGCCCGCGCTGAGAGAGGTAGGTATGGATGTGGGTGTGACAGGAGGCGTCGGAGGCGACCGATGCAGAGCGCAGTGATTCGGGGGGTGAGGCGTGAGAGTGGAAATCGTGAGAGTCGTCATCCATGTCCGAATGTGTGTTGCCGCACGAGTTGACCATTTCGCGTGAGCGCAGCACCGGACTGGTATTGCTGGCTTTGTCGGCACCCTGCGGCAGTTGCTTGCTGACATCGGCGGGTAGCGACAGACTACAGCTGGCGCAAGTGTCGCCATTCCCGCCACCTCGATTGGCCTTCTCCTCGGACGAGGCCGGATGTCCTTTCAAAAAGTACGGGTGGTCTTCAATTCTGGGCGATTTGGAATCTTCTTTGTGACGAGGCTGCTCAAAGCGAGAATCGGAGACAGGGGTCCCCTGGGGTGAGTCGGGTTCAGGGTGGCATTGCGGGCATGAAAAAGGAAGCACCTGCGAACAGATGATAGAGGTGGGACCGTGCACCTCACAGAAGTGCGTCAACGAAAGCTGACAAGTCAGTCAAGAGCAAGAGATTCCCTAGGGGTCTATACATACAATGAAGTCCATGGTGGATACCTCAATCCATTGCTGCAGACTGTGGTATGCCCACTAACCTGGTTCCCGGGGAAAAGAAAAAGTGAAGAAGGGGGGAGAGAGAGAAGGATTAAGAAGGAAGAATGGGAGATCGAGTTTCCGGGCTTTTGCCTTTTTACACATGGAACTCCACTCCCTTCCGGTCACATTCTTTTATATCCCGTCTCACCCTTACATGTGAGTAAAGACTTCTGATCGATCACTTTTTGTTCTTTTTTATTTTCTTTTTGATTTTGAGGCTGTTAGATTCGGGAGATAAGTGAAGTATAGGCTGAATTCCAACCACTCCGATTTGTCCATATTTTACTTAGTACATGGGTTGACTCGTTACTTTGTTACTTGTTCCCTGCTTTTCTACTCACCGATTCTTGTGGAATACGTGCGGTTATCCCATATTGCTGACGATCCTGAAACGAATCGGGGGGATTATCGTTTCCATAAGCACATAGGGATCTTCAGAATGGACTGTACTCCGCTACTCCGGTTCGAATGTTCCAGGCTCCACTGATGATCCTCTCTTACCCGGAGTTAGATTCCATCGCCTTATGATTGCCCCGTTCAGTGTTCGGCGTTCAGTGTTCACTTTTTGTCCGGAGTAGTAAACTCCATTGTCTTCCAACATGAAACATACACTGATGCGGTACCCTGATTTAATCCCGGCTCCCGGCACTCGACTAGTGTCGCGCTCAACTAGTGTTGACGCTATACAGGGGACTGCATTGTTCCGTCCACACATGTTCAGCCACCCACCCCCTCTATCCTCTCCGAATCCCTCATCACTTCCCGTCTCTAATATATAAACTCGGTGGTGAATGCATCGCACCTCGTTCCCTTGATTTCTAATCACTGTGAGGGAATTTGCACCAAGCCCACCAAAAGTGGATCGGCAATCCGCAGCGGGACTCCGTTTTCGCCACCAGCACACGACACTTTAACGGTTCGGGTGTTAGTCGCATTCCATCATCTCCACTTCGGCCTTCTGGAATCCTTTTGGCTTTTTCCAAGTCTAAAATCGCTCATCCCTGCTCCACTGGGCCGGTGTGCCTGATAACTCCGTGGGTTGGGAGTGACAGTATATCCGCTGCCGAACATACAGTAATCAAAAAGCCTAGTTTGCTGACATGGCTGAGACATGCTTAGGCAACGGCCAATATAGAAGAGACACTAGGCGTGAAACATACCGCGAGAAACACATCTCCCTCATATCAGATCATATCTTGAACCCTCGATCTGCGATCGAGCCACGTGGAATGTCCTGCATCTTGATCTGATGAGATTGCTGATCGGGACATAAGTACATGTACCTGAATGTACTTCTGATGAACGGGACTCACGTCCCAGTAACGAACAGCGACAAGCATCTCCTCCATCCCAATCTGGGTTGCAAATGGTGGCTGGGCTAGACTCAATGCTTGTACGTAAATGCATAATAAACACATGCACCTAGACAGTCTAGTCCATCACGTGTGGATTAGTCCCTCGAGTCCCAGGCTAATGTTCACTCTAATTGAAAGAGGCGCAGTGTGACTGGTTGGAGAATGTTTCTTCACCCGGCTCAATTAAGGTTGGCTGATAATGTACATGAGCATGTGTGTACTGTAGCTTGTACCGCACATGTCAGTCCTATCCTCTGTACTGGACTGGATTTCCCACCTGTCCATCATTCTGCCTCTCTTGCTGTCTATGCCAACTAGTGATTTCCTAACATGAAACTATTTTCCAGCCCCGGACTGTACTCCGTAAACGTCCAACGGGCGGATTCGTGACCTCCCGGAGCTCCGTGCGGAGTCGGCTCCACGTATTCTGTTTAATGAGGCAGGTCGGTAGAACCGTGGAGACGGTTGACGAAGCTCCGGATTAGCGGACTTCATCGGCAAGTTCATCCTTTTTGTGGGTTTGGTGGATATTGGCAGCGCCCGGTGCTATATATATGTTTCGACTTTCATGGACAGGAAGGGAGTTGCCTCGGCATGTGGTGTACCACGCAGGAGCAGAGAGTCCCGGTAGAATATTTATAATTATTTTTATTCTTATTTATTTTATTTCTTACAATATTTCGTTTTTCTTTTATTGATTACTCCGACGTTGTGACCCTGCTGTGGTAACGTTACTGTTTACTGCGCCGTTTTCGGTGGGAGCTACCGAGGTAGTGCTTCAGTGAGAGTCAAAAAATGTAGTATGGACGGATGGAAATGTGACTATGGAAACGTCTGATGTGTGTTGCGAAGCTACATACATGCTCAACACGTTAGAATGTCTGGTAAAGATATAATAGAGGGAAGCGCTGCTCATCATAACCCGGCGTGAGGGAGGCCTGCATCTGCCCCAGGAGGACCTGACACAGGGAGCTGAAACCACAAGTGCTTCGGTCCGTCGCATGTTGCCGAACTACCCGTACATGTAGACGGTAGCAGCCGTCGGTTGAACCAATCACTGTCAATCACAATACAGGGCTGACTTGGAAGTATGTAAGCTGAGATGAGTCTCTCAGATATCACGTGGCATGTATATGCTTTGTGGTGACACGCGCTCTGCTTGTGTCAATTCAAATACAATCCCCCCAGTAAGTATGCGTGAGCACGTAGTCCTCTTGCTTGCCTCGGACGACTGTTCGTCCTTTTCGAAATGTCTTAACTCAACCACATGTGTCCCCTTAAGTGCGATCATCCTTGGGCATGCGGAGGTTCATCATTGACAACATGTTGCCGGCTGGGCCAGAGACACCAGCTTGGCCCTGAAGACTCTCCAGCAAGTTCTTGGCGAGGTTGATATTGATATTGTCATCCTCACCATTGTCCTCTGAAGACTTTGCAGCCTTAGAGCTGCTTGCCTCTCCAGAGGACAGGTTCTGCGGGCGTCGGTTCAAATCGAGAATACCAGTTCCCTGTAATTCGGCCTCCATTCGTCGAGACAGCTCCTTGATCTGCTCGGTGTCGTCTTCGCCGTCCGAGTCTAGCTCTTCCACTCGCTGACGGATAGAGTCCGATGAAGACGGCATACCCATCATTTCTTTCATCATCTTGGCAAACTCCTCTTCGTTGAAAGAAGCATCCTTATCCTCACCTTCGCTATCGTCTTCATCCTCCTCGTCATCTTCCTCAAGGTCGGAGTCCGATCCAAAGTCGTCAATGAAATCTGCACCATCAAATCCAGCCGAGTCGTCATTCAAGAACTCTTCGAAGCGAGCTACAATGCGCTGGAGATTCTCCTGGGCACCAGCATCGCCGAAATTGCCAGCATCATCACCCTTTCCTTGGCCCCGGCCTTTGAGCTCTGCTTCTAGATCTTCAAAGTTAATATCCAGCCACTTCTCATCATCTTCGCATTTGTCCCATTTTTCTTGAATCTCTTTGTCGGTGGGGAGCTCCTCGTCACCGGTTTCGACGTCCTCAAGCAGCAGCTTCATTTCTCTGACAACAGGCTTGTCCTGGTTTTGAGGATCGTTAAGCAACATCTCCAATCCACATGCAAGTTTCATTCCTGCCTCTGCGCGATCATATGCCTTTTGATCTTCAGTGGAAGGTAGCTTGCCTGCCCATGTGCTTGGAATGGGGAACTCCTGACTCTTGAGCTGCGCGTATCCGACCCGAGTGAATCGGACACTCACGTCGACCAGATCGTCGGGTTTGAAAACCAAACCCGAATTATCTTTTGCGCGTAGGGGTCGTAGGGCAATTGGGTCGCGGACGTAGAATGCCTCGACGGCGGGTGAGATGTACGCTGGCTTCTGGTGTAAGAGAAACGCAGCCTTGCGGGGAATTGTAATGATAGCAGAGTGGAGATTCTCGCTAATCTGCTGAGGGTATTTGCGCAGACGATAGAACGCCTCTTCCTGAATTATCGTAGATCGAAGTAGGCGACTAGGCTCGTCTTGAATGATTTTTCGTGCCTCTGGGAGCGTAATCTTTTCGGTAACTTGTCTCTTCACTTCGTTCTTCGGCTTGATAATGCGCAGTTCTCCCTGGTTGATCCACACCCGATTGTCTGCAACCTCAGGTTCGATCCACGCTGGGAGCGTTCCCGCAGCTTCAATCAGAAGGAACTCCCCATCGCTGTCTGCCACTTTAACCCAAATATCCTTGTGTCGGTTGGTCAATTCACGGAGGAAATATACAATGACCCATTCGTCTTCGATGGAGTCGCCATAGTTGGTGCGACCCTGCAGCGAGGTGATTCCTACAGTCATACGGTTAGTGTCTCTACCGGACAAGAATATATATTTTCATACCATCTTCTTTTGTGATTTCCAATTTAAAGGCCTCGCGTTGCCAGATGTAATCTTTGAGCAGATCCTTGGTTAAATCAGCAGCACTGCGTTGGACCTCAATCAATCGCGCGCGGGTCTCGGCAGCTTCATCGATAACGGCGGGGGCGGGGGAGGTCGGAATATGGTAGATGGAATATTCCACAGCATCGTCGGGGAGTTCTGGCTTTGGAATCGGACGAAAAGTTGACTTAAACCAGGCGATATCCTCCTCGGTGGTCATTTTGGCTGCTTGTGTAGACTGATAATTGACCAGAATGACCTCATGGCATTCTGATAAAAAAAAAAAGCGGCGAAACTCGCATCCCGTGATCTACACGCTAAACCCAAATAGGCTAGAAATCAACACAGAAGCTCACACTAGACCCAACACGGGAACTCTCCAAAACACGTCCGCAACTGCCCCCGTAACTGCCCAACGTGAAGTCTGCAACGCTCTTGCTCTATGAGGTGATGATCACGCGTTAAATATCTGTGGCCTTGGTTTCTCCCCCGACAAGATGGCCTTCCCCTACATCGACACGCCGCGCACTGAATTTGACGGCAACGCGACTTACCTTACCAACGGGTTTCGCAGCGCGGGGCGAACTCATTTGTCGGCATTGGACTCGGTCGAAAACTCATTCCATACACCGTCTAAGGACAACGATGTGATCAAGGGCTTCAACAAACGCGTCACTCCGCGTGCGGGTGCTTCGAAGGCGAGAAGTGCGCTACGGCATCTCCCAGCAGCAGGACCCGAGCAGGGAGAATTCACCCCATTGATGAAGAGCGCGACAAAAAACAACTTCCTGAAGACAATGTCTGCGGCACGAGGAACAGACGATCCGAGAACCCCCGGGTATCAGCGACAGAACTATCGAAGCAACGCTCACACCCCCGGCTTACCCCCAATGGACATGTCGGACATTTATGAGGAGGATCGGACGATGGAAGATGCAACACCACTTCCTCAAGCTGCTAGCAGTAGTGCGCAAAGTACACCAATACCCAGAATGGGACGCGACAGCGGAGGGGTTCTTGGCGGTGGTCAGAACATGATGTCGCTGAAGGAGCAAGTCCAGGTATGACGATTTCCTTAGCATACTGACAAAATTGACTCTATGCTAACATCTCATACTCTGCAGGCTATTGATAGACTCCAGAAAGATAATTGGAACCTGAAACTGAAGATTCATTACATGGAGGAACAGTTAGAAAAAGCCGGTCCCGAATACAACAACGCCGCTCTCAAAGAGAATACCGAACTCAAGGTTTTGCGAATGACCATGCAACGCGATATTTCCCGATACCAGAAGAGCCTGACACAGGCTGAGCGTGACCTTGAGGATTATCAAGTGCAGCTCGCAGAAATGAAAGACAAAGCGTGGAAGAGACAAGCCGATGAGACTGTACAACGCGAGATGGACATGATGCGTGAAGAACTTGAATCCCGCGATAATCAAATCCGAGAAGCCCGTGACGAATTGAGACAAGTGAAGGACAGTCAATCACAAGAGACCGACAAACTTCGAGACGAGATCGAGGACTTGGAGGCAAGCTCGAGAGAAAAAGATCGGCTTCTCGAGGAACGCGAAGAAGAGCTGGAGGAGCTGAAGCATAATGGTGACAAGGACGATGGGGCAGCCGCAGAGCTCCAGATTGAGCTCGATCGTGCCAAGGAGCAGATGCAAGATCTTCAGGCTAGCCTCGAACAGGTCAGGTCTGAGGCAAGAGAAGCAGATGCCGTTGCAAGAGAAGCCATCGCAGCGAAAGATCACGCCGAAGAAGATTTGAGAGAGCTTCAAGATGAGATGGGAAACAAATCATTCACCACCAAAGGATTGAGTCGGCAAATGGAAGAACGAACCGAGAGCCTCGAGCAGGAAGTGCATGATCTACGACAAGAAAATGACGCCCTAAGTGCGGAGCTCGAAAACAAAACGAATATTGCGGCTCGCCTGGAAGAACGCTATCAAACTATGCAACATGGCCTGGAAGACAATGCCCAACATCTTGTCCAGGATCTTGACACTGCTAAGCGAGAGCGAGATCAAGCTCATGACGATTTGAGGAGGACCTCCACGCGACTAGAGGAGGCTATGGTTGAAATGCAACAAGCCACAGACGAAAAGGAACTTCTTCAAACTCGCCATCGTGCACTGACCGACGAATCGGGAGGACTGCAAACCGAACTCGACCGAGCGCAATCTAGGATCCGCGAACTCCAGAAGGCTGTTCAGGATGCTACTACCCGCGCCCAGGACGAAGGACACACAATCCGTTGGCAGCACAAGGTCGACATTGAACGACTGCAAGAAGAGATCGAAAACCTTCAGCATGAGATCGAAGAGAAGGAAGGACGCTTCGCAGTTGATCAAAGCCGATGGGAGAGCAACAAGCGGACCTTGCTATCAGAGAAATCTTGGGCGGAGGATCAAGTGGCGGACTTGAAGCGCACTATTGACAGGCTTCAGGAAGCTGGCAACTCCTACTCGGGTAAGGAGTCTAGACTTCAGGAGGCCTTTGATGCTGAGAAGAAGCGTAACACCCAAGACATGGTTATGCTGAACCGCCAAATTCAAGACCTCAAGGATGACCTCGCCAAGACAAGACGCGACCTTGATGAGAAACAAGATGAACTCCTTGCGGCAAAGCAAGATGTCCGAGTATCTCGCCGTGAAGAGCAAGCTCTCCAGGACAAAGTGCGAGCTTTGGAAGATGAAGTTGTCGTGCTACAGTCAAGCCTGGCAGACGAACAAGAGCTCGCCAAGGGCCGACAGAACAACACGCCTGAACTGGAAAAAATTATGGAGAAAACCATTGCCGAACGACAAAAACTTCGCGACGAGCTTGCCAATGCTCATGTTGAGCTCTACGACCTGAAGACATCAGTGGAGGAGATGGAGACGGAGCGTGCTGAGCTCCAGGCACAACTTGAACGAGCCCAGAGTGCAGATGACACCACTCGCTTTGACCGTGATAAGCTTGAATTACGCAAAACGACGACAAGACTTGAAAATGAACTAAACGCACTGCGAGATGCCAAGACAATCCTCGAGAACCAGCTTGTCTCTGAGAGTGAACGATTCGTGGAAGAGGAGGGTCGCTTGTCTGCTGAGCTTGATCGCCTTCAAGACAAATTGCTTGCAGGCTCAGGCAACCGGGACCGAGAACTCACTACAGCCAAGACCAAGGTTCAGCGATTGGAACGTCGGGTTCAGGAACTGGAAGCCATCATTGAGCAGCAGCCAGTGGCAGATAACGAGCAATCAGGGGCACATGGAGATCTCTCTTTGCTTCGACACAACCTCGACGAGGCTCGGAAACGAGAAAAGCTTCTGCTTCAACGTGAATCCAAGCAAAAGTCCTCAACGCAAAATTACAAGTCACGTATTGAGGAGCTGGAGAAAGATCTTCACGAGGCGATGATGAACAAGTTTGATTCAAACTCCCCGCATAACTCACCCTCAAACAAACTTCACGAAGAGCTACGCACCCTACGAAAGCAAGTGGCTGAAGCACACCGGTCTCTTCAAAAAGCGACAGCAAAGAATCGCGAACTGGAGCGTGCTGCAATGAAAGAAGAAGACCAAAAGGACTTCCATGAACTTCTTAGATCTTCGACCCTCGAAGCCGAATCTCTAGCTTTGAAGCTTTCTGAACGAGAAGGACGTCTAAACGAATTGAAGAAACATGTTCTCCGCATCCGCGAGGAACGAGATGCTCACAGACGAGAAGCCGAAGCAGCAGGCGGCAATCTTGATGTGCTACAACAACGCCTAGAGGAAGCCCTCACAAAAAACACTCACCTCAAGTCAAGCAACAAGACTAAGCATGAGAAGGAGATGCGAGGCCTAGGCAAGGAGATTATCTGGCTCCGTGCACGCCTACAGCGGGAGGAGAAGTTCCGACGTGACTTAGCCTGGAGCAAGGGCTTGATGGAACTCGGTGAACGTGTTCGGGTGGCATGGTTCGTGATCCCATTTGTCCAAATTACCACTCACATAGCTAATATTTTGCTCACAGTAACGACGCCGATCTACGCATGATCTCCGAGATGGGCGTACAAGCCCGTGATCGTACTCCCACTCGCACCCCACGCCACAAGTTACGATCTGCCATCTCTCTAGTGAGAGCTGCCGTCCGCATGCAAAAGATGAGCAGTGATTGGAAGAGGACCAAGAAGCTAGGCGAGGGCTTGAAACGGGCCAAGACCGAAATGCTTAAGCGTCGGGAGGGCTCGAATAAGAGTTTGCTTGGGCAGTAAATGCAGAATGCATTGTCTGTCATCCTGTTTTGATTTTTGTCTTTTGTTCTTCCAGCGTCGATCTTTTGCCATGAGAGATTCCCCCGGCATGTCTTGCAAGTATAGCAGGTTGTTCTTTTTCTTTTCTCCTTTTCAAACTGTTTGTTTCCTTGTCTATCAATTCTTTCAGCACTGAGGCGTTCAGGACTGGCTTTGTATTTGCTTGTTTGACTATTTGTGCCATAGTCATCCTGACGAGAAAATCGGATGACCCGAGTACGAGTATTCTTAGTTGTGTCTGTCAGTACAGAAATTTGAGCCTTGTTTGGCAATTGTCTATACCTGTATATGGACGTGCAAGTCCTTTACAAATTTGAACTAAGCCCGCGCCATAATAAAACCAATAGCTAGCAATGGTTACCATGTAGTCGGTAGCATACATAGCCACAAACAATCATATAGTCTTTGATTGGTGTATTGTACTGTATGCACCACACACACGCTCTCTCTCTTTGTTATAGGAAATACCCAATGGAAAAACAGAAGAAATATTTGCTCAAACAACGCCTCGCCGTTGCCAAAGTTGATAAAAACGCTTCTAAACACCAAATTCATCGGAGACACCCACCCAAAGCCATAGATATCTGGGATGAAGCAAGCATTGACAGGATAAAAAAAAAACAAGGAAAAAAAAAGGAAAAGGTTGAAACGCAGATGACCACGCAAGACTATGGGCAGACATGGAATGAAGTACAGAACTTAACTTCCATCCTCACTAGGACTTTGGGGGTCTATGCCAATTACCTGGGATGAAATGAATGCCTGAAGCTGTCAACGCCATGATGGGAATGTTCATATCATTTGCAAGACACGAGCGTTTAGGCACCTTCACTGCCAAATTCTTGGGTCCATTCGGAGTTCCTTGTGAGATCTTCTCCGCTGACAGTTGGTCTGGAGTTCTTGACTGCCTTGATGAAGTCCTTCAGGACGAGTGGGGGCTCAAGGAGCTTATCTGCATCCACATTGAGCCAGCTCATTTCCATTGCGCCTGCATCTCCCGGTGAGCAGGGGGTGAGTTTCTCTGCGTCTTCAACCAGAACCTATGACAAAGATATTAGTTGGAAGTCGTAGATTTGGGTAAGAAGTGAGAACGGACCTTTTTATAATGTGTTGCTCCTTGAATCTTACGGATTGGCTGCATCAATGCGTCCTGTACAGCAATACTGATATCACTGCCGGAGTAACCCTCGCTTAGATCGGCTAGTTGGCGATAGTCTGTTTGAGTCATTTGACATGGTGTGGAACCCACAGCCAGCATGAACATCTTCATTCGGGCGTTGACGTCGGGTAGACTGATGTGTACTCGGCGCTGGAATCGTCGTCGAATGGCAGCATCCAACTGCCAGGGAATATTAGTTGCGCCTAGGATCAGGACACCCTTTGAGTCTTTGCCAACACCATCCATTTGTACAAGTAACTCGGTTTTGATACGTCGAGATGCCTCAGACTCTCCTTCGCCACGAGGTCCGCACAGAGCATCAACCTCATCAATGAAGATAATTGCAGGCTTATTTTCACGGGCCATGTTAAACAGCTGCTTGACAAGTCTGGAGGCAAATTAGTCTGCATGACTTCAGTATTCGGCGGGTGAATATTATCGCCTACCTTTCACTCTCTCCCATCCACTTCGACACCAAGTCACTACTGCTGACACTGAAAAATGTACTGTTTGCCTCTGTTGCAACTGCTTTGGCGAGATACGACTTTCCGGTACCCGGGGGACCGTAGAGTAAGATGCCCTTCCATGGTTGCCGCTTGCCAGTGAACAAGTGCGGAAACTTGATGGGAAGAATGACAGCTTCCTTCAAAGCTTCCTTTGCATTTTCCAGACCAGCAACATCCTCCCATTTCACGTTTGGCTTGTCGGACAAGATAGCGCCTTGAAGTGCTGACCGGAGCTTTTTCGCTTCCGCATCCTCGCCATTATCATCATCATCCTTCCTGTTGGACCAGTACAGTCAGCAGGTGAACATAAGTAGATAGCTCAACGATCTGCCTTGCCAAGACACAAGAATTGAAATAACAGAGCAGGACCGAGCCCAGTCAAAAAAGGAGAGATCGAAATACATACCCGCCCTTCCCACTACCTTGCGCCACCTTGCCATTTGCGCCGACAGCGCTTGGTTTTTTCCGATCCTCGGCCAAGTGGTTCTTAAGCTTCTCTGCGCGATCCATGTACTCGCCAGCCTTTGCGCGGATCATTTCCTTGGACTTGGGGTTCTTCTCCCATTTCAAGGCCAACATGAACAACTCCAGTGCGGCGTAGTACATCTGATAAGCCTTTTCGTACTCGCCGTCATTGTCGTTCTCGATTGCCTTCTTAACCGTGTCGATCGCACGCCCTAAGAAATCCGTATTACTCATGATGGCAGAGCGTGTCGGCGTGAGCTTGGAGAGGCGAGTGAACCGCGGAGGCAGACGTAAAGCGGGGAGAGAAGAGGGGAGGGTCTTGTGGGCAGGCCAAGGCTGGATGGACAGGGACGTGCAAGTGGATAATAGTTCAACTTCAGTAAAGAAGGAAATCGAAGGTAAGTTTCGGCGCAAAAACAGTCGGTTGGATGGAATTGGAGAGGGGAGAGGAAGAGTGGAAGTTGTTTACGGGCGGGCAGGTCGAGTGATTTTCCCTCCTCCCACTTCACCTCCAACTACACCATGGACCCCCAGAAACAGCTTCAGGCGCTCACGGAGGAGTTCCAGGGCATGCAGACCGGTTTGTCTACCTTTCTACTTGCTATTGACAATGACAGCCACTGACTTTTCCTTCACACAGAGCTCGAGGGCTTAGTCGATGCCCGCCAGAAACTTGAATCGCAGCAGCAGGAGAACGAGGGCGTGCAGCGCGAATTTGCCCAGTTGGACGATGAGTCCAACGTCTTCAAGCTTGTCGGCCCGGTGCTACTGAAGCAGGACAAGACCGAGGCTACCATGGCTGTCAACGGTCGTCTGGAGTTCATTGAGAAGGAGATGTTAGCACCCCCACTACCGAACCGGCATATATGGTTGCTGATTTCGAAACTATAGCAAGCGTATTGAGGGCGAGATCGATGCGACACAGGACAAGAGCGAGACCAAGCGTGCAGAGGTGAGGCGCACTATCAACCTCCCCACCATGGGCACATTCTGACGTCCCACTCCAGATCATGCAATTCCAGAGCCAGATTCAGCAACAGCAGCAGCAGCAGGCTGCGGCCGCTCAAGCTTCTGCGTGAGCTTAAAACAACAAAATCTAGAAGCGAAGGAGATGTGACAAGTGGATGCACTATGAAGTTGGCACCAGATGGGACTAAAGTCCAACCAGTTCACTGCGTTTTAGCGCCCAAAACTCGCCGATGTGATCTATCCCGACTCATTGAGAGACGGGGAAATTTTCATGGGCGTTGAGCGTCCAGTCTCGAGAAACTGGTATACCCTAGTATCTGGAGAGGTGTGGTTTACATGTGCCTCGACAGCAGGATGGCGTAGGGACTAGGTTGAAGATATACCCATCATAATTCTATTACAATGTCAAAGATACAAGTAGATCATGACTGCATCTCCCTGGTAGTTAGATCTACTTCAAAAGGCTATACTCCATTGAGAAATAAAAGAAATATGATTTATATTGACAGAACTGGTTTCTATTCATTGTATCGTGATCGACGTTTATGTGCAAGATATCATATCTAGGCCTTGACGAGCAGGTTCTCGCCAGACATCTCCTCGGGTTGCTCAATGCCCATGGCAGCGAGAACGGTGGGGGCGACATCGCCCAAAACACCACCCTTCTTCAGGCTCCAGCTCTCGGGAGCATTGGCCATAACGAAGGGAACCTTGTTCAGAGTGTGAGAAGTCTTTGGTGTGCCCTTCTCGTTGAGCATTTCCTCGGCATTTCTGCAAATTTTGGTCAGTAAAGAATTCCCGTGATCGATATCGAACTAGGAGGAACAACTGACCCGTGATCGGCGGTGATGAAGAGAACATAGTTGTTCTGCTTGCAAGCCTCATAAATCTCACCAATGGCCTTGTCGGTGGCAGTGACACCCTGGATGGCGGCCTCGTACACACCGGTGTGACCAACCATGTCAGGGGGAGCGAAGTTGTTCATGACGAAGTCGAACTTGTTCTCGCCAAGGCGCTCAGCCATCTTGGTGCCGACGGCAGCGGCGCTCATCTTAGGGTCAAGGTCGTAGGTAGCAACACGGGGCGAGGGGATCATGTCGCGAACCTCGCCGGGGAACTGCTTCTCAACACCACCGTTGAAGAAGAAAGTGACGTGAGCGTACTTCTCAGTCTCAGCAATGTGGCACTGCTGAAGGTTCTTTTGCCGAGCCACTCGGACAAAACGTTACCCATCTTCTGTGGGGGGAAGGCAACATCAAAGGTGTAGTCGGTCTTGTACTGCGTCATGGTGGTGAGGGAGATGTTCTTGGGGTAGGCCAAGTCGGGAGTAGGGGAGCGGTCGTAGTCACCAATGAGCTGAGTGATCTCACGGACACGGTCAGAACGGTAGTTGAAGAAGAAGAGAGTGTCATCGTCTATGCTCGGTCAGTATCATCATCTCGATTTGTAGGTTTGTCTTGAGCATACCCTGGACACGGCGCTCCTTGCCACCAACAATGATGGGCTTCAGGAACTCGTCATTCTCGCCCTTCTCGTAGCGCTCCTTGATGGTCTTCAAAGGATCATCGCTCTCCTCGCCCTCGCCAGTGAGCATACCCTTCAGGCCAATCTCGACACGCTCCCAGCGCTTGTCGCGGTCCATGATGTAGTAGCGGCCAACAACGGTGGCGATAGCACCGGTGCCGAGCTCCTTGGTCTTCTCAAGAAGCTGCTGCATGTACTTGTCGGCACTCTTGGGGTCGGTATCACGTCCATCACCAAAGAAGTGGATGAAGACCTGGGGAATCTGCATCTCCTTGGCGGCCTCGAGCAAAGCGAACAGGTGGGTGATGTTAGAGTGAACACCACCGTCAGAGACCAGACCACACAGGTGCAGACGTCCGTTGCCCTCCTTCGCGCGGGTGAAGGCCTTGGCAATGTTGGGAACCTTGCCCATCTCACCCTTCTTCATAGTCTGGTCAATGCGAACACTGTCCTGCCAGACGACACGACCGGCACCAATGTTCAGGTGACCGACTTCGCTGTTGCCCATCAGGCCCTCGGGCAAACCGACGGCGAGGGATGAGGCATCCAGCTCAGCAAAGCCCTGGGCGGTCTTGGAGTTGGGCTCGGAGAAGCCAGACATGTATGGGGTCTCGGCGGCGGCGATGGCATCACCCTGGGGCGGGGAGTCAGGGCCCGCAATACCCCAGCCATCAATGACAACTGCATGACATTAGTGTTTGTTTTGAGGACCTGGGGAGGTAGTCGATCTTACTCAAAGCAACTTTCTGGTCGACCGAAGCCATGGTGGGGTTGTATATGTCTGAATGACCTATAAACACCGATTAATTGACTTTCAAGGATGTGATAACCCTATATGGGTGATAATACCAGACTGCTTACCAACAAACAGATGATGAGAGGAGAAAGAGAATAGGAGACAAGCGCAAAAAAAGGCCGGTGAGGAGGGGCATTCCCGGTGACGCTTTTGGTTCTTCCCCGACGTCACTCCGCGTTCCGACTCTTCCCTAAGAACTTACCCCGGGATCACATCGTTTTTCAACTTCCTCGGGTTTCTTTAGTCAAAGATCCCGCAAATGGCTTCTCGATCTCCGACAGTGGGCACTCCACTACTCAAATCCTCAGTCGCTCCCGAGACGCCCTTCAACGCGCCACCCTCACCTCAGACCGTACCCTTTCCTTCACCTCAGACTTTTGAGATTATCCCGCCGCTGTATGGGATTCTCGTGCGTTTGCTATCTCCAAAGACCACACTAGACGGCACATCGGGCGCACCTGGAGACAGCACAGGAGCTCCCGGAGCTCCAGCTGAGACCAATCAAGGAACCCAGCAGCCAAACAATGGCACGGCATCACACGATGTACCAGTTCTAGACCCTGCCACTCACCCACCACTTGATGTGAAAGATCTCCCCACCGAAACAAGCTCTGTCCGGATTCGAATCCAGAAGGCGCGCACAATCGTCGAGGGACTACCGGACGTGGAACGATCTGTTGAGGAGCAACAAACAGAGATTGCAGAGCTTGAGGACCGTGTGAGACGCCTGCGCTCTGTCATTTCAGACTTTGGGGACCGTGCAGGAATGCTCAATGGGGGCATCAAGGCCTAATGGCAGAGCAAACAGAGCTATAGGACCCCCAAATACACAGGGAAAAGCAGGCCATCTTGGGATGGCTGGGCCAGGTTCGGAATGATTTACGGTGTTAAATGCTTATAAAAGGAATACCCGGGGTTTGTTTTAGCAGTCAAGTCATAATTTCTTCCAACACATCCCAATTGCCATTCCCGACCCTCGTATAGAACATATTTGGTATTCTATATCTCTGCAGAATTTCCAATGCGATGACCTAATTCACCTAATTCGGCGTGCCGGTCTCCGATATCGTCTCTTTAACTTTCGTGGCCTGAGGCACGCAGAAGATGTTGTTTTACCGTACTGTCCTCGACCAATGGATGATGTTGATGACTCTGTATTGCTATTACCCCTTCCTCTGTCAATTTATGGGGCTGATCTAATTACATAATCAATGAAACTCGGAGCAACTATAGATCCGGTTTTATACAGTATTCGTAAGTTATGGCCGACACACCCCCTCAGTAAGCCCTGATTAATGGCTTGCTGAATCATTGCCAAATACTTCGAATCTGTCATATCAATTTCCTCCTTCAATCAAATGCTCAATCTGGACCATTCGGAGCAGTTTGATGAAGTTCTCATGCTGCTGTCTGGATAGCATCTTGGTCAAGCCATCGGCGACCATTTTTGCCGTCGGCGTCCAGCGTAGGGCGATACGTCCAGCTAGTACTTCCTGTCTAAGCCATAGATGATGAATATCTATATGGCGAAGCTTGGTGTCAAAACTGGCGTCCTGATTGGTGAGAAGACCAATTGCTCTCTCATTATCGCATTCAATTGTGATGACATGAGAGGCATCAAATCCTACGTGACTGAGTAACCTTCTCCACCACTGGAGATGTTTCCCAGCTTCTGAAAGTCCTAGCAATTCGGCTTCGGTGGTTGATGTTGTCACCGTCCGTTGCTTAGTAGCTTTCCAATCCACGGGTCCTCCGTAGACCTGGCAGATATATCCTGCGGAGCTTCTTCGGTCTTTGTGGTCGGCGTACGATGCATCGCTGGCTAGCTGTACTGAGTCTATCTCTAAGGTGCTGCTATACTCAATAGCAAGAAAGCGGGTAGAGTAGAGATAGCTAATCACTCGGTCGGCAGCCTGATGATGCTGAGGACCAGGGTTTGTCAAAAATTGAGCTAGTTTAGCTGTTGCTTTTGATGCATCTGGTCGGGTAATCGTGGTGGCGTATCCCATTGATCCGACCTTCTTCTGATATAGAAGAATGTCCTGGGAAGATGCCCTTCCATCGTACGGTTCTAATTCCTCGATGGGTAGTGGCGTGGATACACTTGGCCGGTCAGTAAGGTTATACCTCACTGCAATGCTAGTGATATAGCTATCTTGGCATAGCCATAGCTTCTTGGATTGCCGGTCCCTGATAATGCGGATGTTTAGGAACCAGTCAGCTTCTCCATGATCGGTCAATTCCCAATGCTTTTCAAGATCTTTTTCAAGCTTTTGGGCTCTCTCCCTTGCTGTCGGATGACTTGCAATTAGGATATCATCCACGTAGAAGAAGACAATGAGTCCATCTCCTATAAAAACACAGGGGTCCTCTGGGACTTGCTGTAGACCTAGTTGGCTAAGCACTCGCGATGCTTCATACTGCCATAGGCGTGGTGAGATTCTCAATCCATAAAGGGCCTTTCGGAGCTTCCAGCATTTTCCTGGAGTTTCAAACCCCTCCGGTGATCGTGTATAGACATCCTTCTCTAGCTTACTATTTAGGAAAGCTGTGACCGCATCTCGCTGTCGTAGATTGAGGTCAAATGCAGCCACGAGTGCGAAGATCATGCGGGCCGTTCTAGCTGCTAGCGTAGCAGCTCTCTTTTCGTCCGATGATATAGTTTCGAGGTCTCCTCTAACACAGATCCTTGCTTTTAGCTTAATCAGATATCCATCTTGATCAAATTTATAGGCAAAGACCCAGAGCAGTGGCAAGATTTGCTTTCCTCGGTCCTTCGGACGGTCCACAGTATCAAATGTCGCTTTCTCCGTGAGAGAGTTAATCTCCTTTCTCATTGCGGCTAGGAAACCCTCTTGGAATGGATGATTTATGACATCTTTCCAGTGTTTTGGGAGTTCTGGAAGGTCATCTCTGTGACGCTTAATTGGCCTATTTGCGTATAAACCGGCCGCGAAAGCATGAAGATATGCTGGTGGCTCAGTTATAGCAATAGCGCTGTAGGCGTAGGCATCGTCCCTCTTTGCCTGCCTTCTTCGTGGTCCTGAGATAATGTTCCCTTCTTCGATATTTCCACTAATATTCCTAGGTGCTAGTAGTCCTGCCTGTAGCTGCAGTTCAGCTTCTTCGTCGGAATCCGCTGAGCCCTGGAGCTGATCATTCTCTGACTCCGGTATTATCATTGCCGGTGCTGTCTCCACCCCCTGATCAGTTGCAAGGGATGCTGGAGTAGGCGGCAGCGGAGGTTCTCGCGGGAATGCGCCTGGAACGTCCGATATAACGTCAATTTGTCGATCCGATGTTTGACGGTCTGGTGTTGTATACACCCCCTGAAGAATAGGCGTCGGTTTTTCGGCCGAAAAACGGTCTCCTTGTTGGATGCTGTCATGGACGTTGTCATCATTGGCGTTATCTCTCGGTTCTAGATCTGGCACTGATCCAGTTATTATCGATGCCTGGATAGCTGCTGCAGCCTGATCTTGATCTAGTTCTTGAGGTTCTTTGACCAATGGCAATGGAACCGGCTGAAGCTGTTGAAAATCTGGCGAGTATCTTCGCGTTTCATCGAATATCGCGTCCCTGACCAGTTTCACTTTCCCATACTGCGGGAACCAGATCCTCCAGATATTTGAAGCTATATAGCCAACCATGAATCCAATTTCAGCGCGGGGATTCATCTTATCTGATTGCACTTGCTTGTCAATTCGACAGTACGCAAGGCTTCCGTATAACCTGACATTTGAGAGGTTGATTCTTGGCGGAATATCACCTGTGGCTGTAAACTGTTTCACGACTTCGGCCCATGGGATGATCCAGCGATTTTCTGTGGCGAGATACGTCGGCGTCCGATTCAATAGCCATATTGCGGCCATTGCTGCTTCTGGCCATAGCTCTTTTGGGAGCTTGCCTTCGAGCATTAGCATCCTCATTCGTTGGATGATGACACCCCCTGATCTTTCGGCATATCCATTCATCTCTGGATGTCCTGGTGGGCTATGGTAAATGACAATGCCATCCGACGTTAAGCTCTGCTCTGCTAGGCGTCCTGCAGCGGCTTCATTGTCATAGGAAAAAGCCCTAATTGGTAGGTTCCACCAATTCTTCGCCAATTGCACGAACTGATTGATAGCAATCTGACACTCGGGTTTATATTCATGCGTCATCAGCCAATGAAATCTGATACCATCGAGGTAAAAATGCGTAATCCAGCGGTGCTTATTGTAAGCAACTGGAAGTTGAATCAGATCAAAATGGACCCTTCCAAAACGTCCGAACGTACGTCCAATCGGTCTTCTTGATATTTGCCGATTAGAACGTCCTAGGTTGCAGGTTTCACAGATTGCTTGCGCTTTATCATTGCCATCGATATTGACTCCATCGACTAGTTTAGTCATTTGTTGGACTGTCTTATATTGTGGATGACCTAGGCGACGGTGCCATAGCTCTGCCGATGCACCTTTAATTCGCTGTGTTGATGATGATCTAACGGCATTTGCCATCAGATAAGATTCTTGATTAGAGCCTTCTTGGTCAAAGACCCATAATCCAACGTTTTTCCATAAACGTAAGCTCACGATTGGGAAGCCATTGCTATCCTCGATAAAACCCTTCTTTTCAGACCAGAACCCTCCTTTTTCTCGCAGTCTAGCGTACGACACTAGGTTTACATGGAACCCAGGTGCGTAGCAGGCATTGCTTAGGGTAATCGTCTGCTTCTTTTTGGTCTTCGGGTCAATGCCAGTAAGTCTCACAGTACCGCGTCCGATGATGTCGGTGCTACTATCTCCGGTTGATAGAACCTCTTGGCAAGCTTCTAGGTCCACGAAGCTGCTTCGGTCATTACACACGTGTACGCCGGATCCAGTATCAAGGATCCATCGGTGTCGGAGTGATGTAGTTAATGCCGGGATACCGATGCTTGAGAATGAGAGGTTTTGATGAACCTTTATACTTGTTGAGGTTTGCGCT